AAGACATGACACATGAACCACTGCTGCGCAATTATACGACGTCACAGCTTATTCCTCTTGCATCAGCACCCGACCTTGATGAGACTCATGCCAAGGTGTTAGCCATCACCAGGCACAAGAACACACATGGTGGTATCCGCTACTTAGTTGACTGGCTTGATGGCGACAGCACCTGGGAGCCGACAAGCAACTTTGACTCACTGGATCTGATTCAGGAGTTCTGGGACAATATTAGCGACTGGTCTTGTAGGGAGTGATGTGGTGCCCAACACAAATTTCAAGCCACTATCTTCCCTTTTCAAGAATCAAGATCGCCCTCATGGCCACTATACACACTTCTGTTATTGCTGGCTGACATCAAGGAACACCATGATGTTTACAGCGCTGCCCACACAGCACTGCCCCCTTTTTCAGTTAAGTAATTTTTAAGACTTGAATATATCGATTTAGACCCACATTTTTATAGAGCACAACATCTGCGACCAACATATACTTAATATTTATTATTCAAATATTATTATATAATACCAAGCCATGAGTATATGAAATTTTGTAAAATTAATATTTTGATTTGTTAAAGATAACATATATATAATATAAGAAAATTTTAGCCAATAATACTCTAGATAGTAGGCTGGTCAAAGTTGTTGGGTTTATGATTGTGCTTATTAATGTGATTATAGTGATTGATTGCATGGACAATTATGGTTCTGCTGTGACTGCTGTAGCTGATGCTGTGGATGATGTGGTCACTATTGATATTGACGTTGGGGTGCCATTGTTTTTACCCAGTGTGAGGGTTGACACCTCTGAGACTGTGGTTATCGTAGTTAATGGTGTTAATAACATAGTTGTTGGGCATTCAATTGCTATTGGTGTTGCTTTAGTTGCTGTTGTGGTTGCAGTTGACATTGCTGTTATTGTTGCCATATCTGTTGCAGTTGCAGTTGAAATAGCCACCAGTGCAGAAGATAGAGTTTGAGCTTGTGATGACGTTGGGGGTGGTGCTAGAGCTGGTACTGGTACTGGTGCCAAGTCTAAGGTTGTCACAGTTGGTATACTCTCTGGTGTGGGTAGGACATTAAATGCTTGCATGATAGTAGTCACAGACATTACTGGAGCAGCAACTGGGGCGCTGATAGTGGTAGTACTAGCTGTGGCTGTGGGTGTTGGTGTGTCAGTGTCACATGTAGTAGTTTCACCATCAATATCATTGGAGAATGTTGGATGGCTTTGGAGCTCATATCCTTCAAGAATGGTTTCATCTGGATAAACAAGATGATGTCTAAGTGCAGAGTGAATGACACTGATTTGGGCCTGGCGGATAGGTGATGCATAATCAGAATGAGTATCAATATCTCGCATCACTGAGAGCAGAGAGTGAGCTGACCTGGAAGCCTCAAGCAACACACCCATTGACTGCCTGGTCTTCTCTGCACCTTGGTTGTCAACCAAATGCATTGAGCGTTTTGCCAGGTGCCATACCAGTGTATCAGAGGACTCTCCAGTTGCAGTTGGTTCGGAAATCTCAAACATCTCCTTTACAGCCAGGCTGGCAGGCCATCCCCAAGTACTAGAAGAGGCAGATGTGCTGCTATCACTGGAAATAGCAGATATAATAGTACTAGTTGGGACTTCAGCGGGTACACGAATGTGACTGATAACTATGGCAAATATGTCGTCAGACTGGAGTGTCAGGGGGCTGGTGATATGTGTAGAGAATGAAACAATCTGGTCAGTGATGGCTTGGTTACTGGTGATAGAGCCAGAGCTTGCATCAAAGCTTGCCGACCAAAATGCATTTGAGGATGTTTGGGTGTCAGCTGGTTGGGGCTCACTTGAGGCTGTCAAATCTAAAGTGGCAGTAGAACTAGCTATGATAAGCTCCATGGACATACTACCATCATATAACGAACTGGTTGAGGGCATAATGGCAACGTCAGTGCTTGATAGGCTTGTGGATGTGGATGTGGATGTGGATGTGGATGTGGATGTGGATGTGGAAATGTGTGTGGTAGCCCACAATGGAAGGTCCTTTTCACTGGATACCAAAGATGATGCTGTGACAGATGTGGGGAATGACAATGGGAATTGGAGAGCAGGAGTCATACCAAATCCGATAGAGCCCATCATCAAAGGAATTGACGTTGTGAATGGATACACCATAGCCAGTGAACCTATAAACTGCATAGACTGCACTGAATGTGTTGAAGAGTGGGCTGTCCATACCAGTGGTGTTTCAGTACCCAGAGATGATGCTGACAATGTTGCCGACAACATAGTTGATGATGCCGAGTCAAAAACAACCCAGCTAGACGATTTTGTCCAATGCAAAGTTTGGCTGTTTACAACTGGTAATGAGGATGTTGACCAGCTAGAAGGCACATTGACAGTGGATCCTGAGCCAAATAAGCTGAATAGACCAGTGGATGTCGGCTTTGTGCTTGTATTTAAGGTGTCAGGCATTCCACTGGAGCTTGAGTAGAGTGAGAAACTTGATAATGAGCTGCTGGGTGGTGGTTTTGAGTTTGTCAGCATGGTACTGTCAGAAACTGAAGGCGTCACTGACTTGCTGGAAACTGTGGTATTGGTTTCGGGAATACTAGAAGCTGGCTCTGAGGAAGTCTTAGCAGTTGTAATATCTTCAAACAGGCTGGATGCAGTGGATGTAGTGATGATGCTAGTGGTTGCATCTGAAAATGTGGATGTCATTGTGGATGTGGGACTAGGTGCACTTGAAGTGGGTATTTCGCTGGCTGACTGTTCCTGCATAGTCAAACTGGATTTGGTAGATGCTGAACTGATAATACTAGATATTACCATATCAAAAGAATCTGATTCCTTGAGAGTGATCTGCACAGCAGTGGACAGTGGTGTGCCAGACGTAATTGTTGATAAAGAGGGCTGGGAAATGGGTGTGGATGTAGATTCTACCAATACTGACAGTGAGACAGTTGAGGATGTAGATATGGTAGTTGCTGGCAGCATATCCTGGGTTGTCATAGTCATTTCAGATAGCAGTGAGATGATATCGTCAAGTGGGTCCCCTTTTTTGGAATCTATTGCAGAAGACACACCAGATGAGCTGGATGGGTTGGATGAGCTGGATGAATGGAATGAACGAGATGAGCTGGATGAGCTGGATGAGCTGGATGAGCTGAACAAAGTGGTAGTATTAGATGTATCAGATAAGATAGACATGGCTGTGATAGAAGTGCTAAGGGTCTTGTGAGTGCTGCTGGGAGCAGTTGACATTAGTAATGTAGATGAAGTGGCTGTCATGGATTTGTTTGCAGGTGTGGTGGTGGTGACAGACTCATTAGAAGACAATATGGACGACGTTGGTATAGGTGTTGTGCGAACAGCTATGTGTGTCAAGGTTGCCAGCTCTGCTTCTGGCTTTGAGCTTCCCATCTCTGTGACAATGGCAATCTCCGCCGTATTGGTGTGGCTAGTGTTGAAGACTCTAGTCAGAGTTTTGGGTGAAATATTTGGCAGAGCAGATGTAGTGGGTGTAGTTTTTAGAGGTAATCTGGTAGCAGTGGCTGCTGTCGCATTGTCAGTTGGCATGGTAGTGCTGATGTTGCTTGGCATTGTGTGTACTGGTGCTGTGCTGAACTGCTTGTTTGTCACTGATATGCTTTCCCAGCTACTCGACGAGCTAGAAAAATTATCATCGTCATTATCATATAGATCGTCTAAAAGCTGGGCGACAACCTTGAGGTTTTTGCTGTGGTTGTAGGCTATGGCAGGCATGTGTATGTTGGGTGGCACATTGGTTGCTTTATGTCCTGGAAGCACCACATTTGAAGATATAAGACTGTGCAAAAGCATATCTTGGTCAATAGAGATGACTGCGTCGTTGACAGAATCCCATGATTGTGTTGTGCTGGGAGAGAGCAGTGGCGGAGCATAGAGCGTGATGGTGTTTCCGCCTTGGAGCGTGACAATATCGGGAAGCACAATGTGTACTGGAGCTGTAACGCCCACTGACGCGAATATAAAAATGGTAAGGGCAATGTAGGCATGGCCTTTAATAAAATGATAGACCATGGTAACTATCACTGAGGGGGTGCCCGGTGTGTGCTATGCAAGTTATTGATAAAAAAGCAAAATAAAAATAATGAGATATATAATAAGAAAATATGCCGGCGAAAAGGCATCTGTCAATTAATGGGAATAATATAATGTAAATGGTATGAATGCCAAAAAAACTGCCAATGTTGATGCGTGATGGCCAGATCGATTAACTAGTACACCACAACCACAGTGAGCGGCATTGTTGGCTTATTAATGGATATTTGAGCAGATATCTTGCCGCCAGACAAGCAATAAGCTGTGAAATGAAATATCAGCGTTGCTATTCTTGTCTTGCAATTACTAATAATTCATGGACCCAATGCTGCGCTATGTCATATTTTTATCATGACATCCTCCATATAAATGATAAAAAGCAGTGGTAGCAGGATAGCTGCATGCCAATATTAACTAAGTGCATGCGGAAATGTGGAGGCACAGCAAGGAATTTTGCGCAAGAGCAACGCCAAAAAGAGTCTATTTTTAACATATCCAATCTGCTTAAAAATAGAGATACAGTGTGATGCTTAATAGTCTGCCAATATTTCACGTCATATAATCGTCCCCCCACACATAAACACAAATTTGAATGCACAATCGCCAGCTATTAAGCTTGATACTATTTTAAAAATAATAATGCAGTAAACATGGTTGGGCGCAAAGAATGTTGTCCCCCTTCTGGTATCCCGATATATCAGCAAAACTATTTACCTACTTGATGGAAGTAAGGATTGAGGACAGACGACTGTGTAGGTGGAATATTATCAACGTAAAAGTTGTCACTGCCCTCTCTGCACTACTGCGCAACTTGGTTTGATAGCTGATCAACAAATTATAGTATATCGGTTGAAGATTTGAGTTATAAATACCAAACATTTATCTTCCAAGTGCTCGCGTAAATTCAGTTTCCTGGGCTGGCGCAGCTACAGGGCAAGCCAGTCATTCGTGCACGAGTCCTCGTTGTATATCATTGAGTGGTTGGAGTTGCAAAAGCAGTGCTGCGCGTTGAAGTGCGGATCTGTCGGGCAGTTCTGAAACGGGCTGTGGTAGTATCCAATGTCAAAGTAATGGACCTGCGACTTGTTGAGGAACATAGCTACGGCCAGCGAATGAATGGGCGCATCACCCCAGCGCTCAAGAAAAAAGCCACCCGCACGGTCAAGAAAGTCAAAGTAGGCAGTGTACTGGGGGCTGCGAAGAAAAGCGAGGGAAGCAATCTCAAAGTTCGACCAGAAATGACACATGTTGTAGTCACCGTCGGGGGCAGTCACCCAGCGCAGCATGTTATTGGGTGCAGTGTAGTCGGGGTACGCAGCACGGAAAGCATTGGTGGTCTTCCACAGGCTCTTCACAGTGACTGGGATCTCGCGAAGTGAGATGGCGAAACCATAGCTCTTGTTGTTGTCGACCATAAATTTGAATGGATCGTAGGGGATGCTGCAAGTGAACTCGACGCCGGGCTCGACGCGCCAGTAGTAGTCAAAACCATCGAGCAGCGGGTGCCGGAAAAAAAAACCAGACTCGTACCTAAAATTAAGCAGTATAGATAGAAGCACACGTACAGGCAATTAGTGGAGGCCGGCATACACACGCATTGTGCAATGCACGATATAAACAATTGCTGAGATTGCATTGTATGTCAAAAAAGAAGGGTGTGTATATGCATCACATCTGCGTTGGACCTGTATCATCGTTTTCTTTGTATAAGCAGTGGTGGATTACATATGTCATATGTAATATGAGATGAATAGACGCACATATGTGTAATTGCGCGTGAGAAATGCTTTTGATTATTTGTGCGCGCACAGCCCACAGGCCATATAACACACATGCCAATCAACATGTTGGGCACATACCTGCACATCTTGCGGTAGCTCTCGCTATCGCCGTACGGAACCCGGCTGCCCATCATGGTCATGGCCCACTTTGCGCGCACGCGATCGATCCAGGGCGGCATTGACCAGTGCTCGTAGGGTACCAGCCCAAAGTGGCAATCACCACTTGTGACCCACTCCATGGCGCGCTTGAACTCTTCGGTGAAAGGTTTGTCGTTAAGAAACACATACGGGTACCTGTGCCGTGCGTTGAACTGATCCTCTAGCTGCCGAATGGTCGCGCGCAGCTGGTGCAGCTCGCTGTTGCGCACCAGGATGACAAATGCTGCGCGTACTGGCAATACCAGACCAGTATTTCCCGGCTTAAGCCGCGAGTCGCGGATCTGATCAGGTGTGTATGTGAGCATGCGCACTTTCTCGATGGGCAGTGGTGGCTTGACCAGGTAAAGCACTGACGCGGCAAGCACTACCAACAGCAGGATCACGCGTATTACATTGGGATATTGTTGGGAGTTGGATTGCCTATGTTTGTGTTTTGGTGCCATGATTCTGTGCTGTGCTGTGGAATAAAATTAAGTATAAATATAAGATGTGCGCACTACGGCATGGTCAGCTGGGCAGTCAGTTTGGCCGCGCGACTGGTCAAAGCAATAGCTACTTGCTCGATTATTGGGTGCATCGGTATGCCAATCCGAATTTATCTAGCCATTGAGTCGATGGCGCTGTGCGAGCTCCGCCTCTACGCACAGTACATGATGCATATTGGCATTATGTGCACGTGGTCTTTTTTGGCAACGTCACTTGCCATAGCACAGAAACACTTCCTAGCAGAAAAACAGCGGAACAAACAAAACAAAATATGCATGTTTTTTGCATTCGCTCCCGTTAAAGTAACACTTTTCTCTTTCCCTTCCCCACTTTACTACTATTTTACTGCCTTCTATTATTTTATTTTTGTACACAACCGCTGCCAAAGCCAAAACGCACCACTATTTCAAAAAACCAAAAATATAATAAGCAAAGGAACAAATCATGGCACCATTCGGTACCAGCGCTGGCAGCAACAATGCTAACACGCGCAGTGCAGTAGCACCTACAGCTCCTCAACCAATCCCTATTTCTACTGCTCGGCAGCAGCCCCCCTCGCAGTCGAATCGCCGCAGCTCGTTCGGTGGCTGGACCCAGTCGCTATTTGGAATGTCTCCGCCCGAAGGCAGCCGCATCCAAACGGACCCCGAAAGAAACGGGCTCTCGCCATCTGCAGGCTATTCAGCGGCCAGTGCAAATTCGCTTCCTGACACTACAGCCTCGTCTGCCTTTTCTGGAATCGGGCTCTTCCGTCGCTTTTCAACTGCATCCACTGCTGCCGCCCCCACCGCTACGCCCACAGCTCCATCGCACACGCAGAAAGTACAAGATCACCCGTCTCCCGAATACAAGTGGACTGCAGCTAACAGCGCTACTCTCAAGCCAGGCGAGTCAGCTGGTGTCCAGCAGGGCCTGCGCACTGCTAAGGATCCTGCGCTTTCGAGCAACCAACAGCCTCAACTCCAGCCCAAGTTCCTTGAAGAAATTCGCACAAACGAGGATCCTCCCAGCCGTCCTGACTCGCGCATGAGGAACCTCATGTTGTCGGGGCAGTTTCTGATCTGATAATCACACAGATATGTAGATGCGGACAAAGGCAAGGCGTCTGAATTTCAGAAGCCCAAAAATACAAACCAAACCAAACCAAACCAAAACGCGTATAGCACTGCATGCGCTTGCCTCCAACATATCATGTATTTCTATATGTATTTTTAAACAAATGTACTTATCATTACTACACCAGATTGCAATTAAAAATCAAATAAACGACCATAATTACTTGGAGTATCAAAGTGCGCAACAGAATGTAAAAAGTTTTATTTACAAATGTTGAGCGAGAAAAGCTAGTAAGTAAAGCATTAGTCTACAAAGGTTGACTTTGTCGCTGCAGGGCGAAATGTTGAGTTTTCTTGTTGATGCTGCTTTTTATTTTGCGAGCACTGTTCACCATACACAATCTATTTTGTTGCGATGCTCTTTCATATAACTATTTTTTTAAAATTAATATACCACCCTTTCCGTCAAAATGCCTTACTTTAATTTTTCACACGCCCACTACCTGCACACACACAGATCCAAATCAACGGCGATTATGAGAAAGACACGGCCCATCTCCCGCCAAATGCAAGCCATTATGCACTCTGTTGCTGTTTTAAACCTGGAGTCACAAATAAGTGTTCCCAGATCATGCCATGATGTTGCCGCTGGTACAAACTCAAATGCTGCCAGTGTCGCGGGTATTAGGATAGGCAGGTGCTTGTCTAAACCTTTATTCGGGCACATACCAAGGACACCAACACATGCAAGGAGCTGGTCGCCGGCAAGAAACGGACACGCACGGCCAAGTGCACTCCCAATTCTCGAAACCATCAACGAATGTGCAGAAGAAAACCGCGATGATTGTGGCAATGGCAATGGCAGTGGTACTGGAGGCAAGCTGGGTGCTGACAGTTGTTATAATGAATATGGCAAAGTTGCTTTGAATCCAGCATCAGTACTATCACAAGTACCAGTACCCAAGCATACAAGCAGTGCACATCATGTTACGGCGACATGTCACTTTTAGAGCATCCCAACGAGAAACAGCCAAATCTGTGTGTCCAAGGCACAAATGCCCAGAGAAAGCTAAGGCTGCCAGCTGTACCTTGCATCAGTAGTTCCAGAGTCAGCAATGCGCGCTGGCATTGATTCATGTTGCGCTGCTAACCACAGGTCAGCCCGGGGTGACAGAATAAATCCATAATCTACAGATCAGCCCAGGGCACATTCGTGCTCTCGGTCAGGCTGTGTCCAGAAAAAATTATGTGTCTATACAGGTGCGTGTAATCCCTACTCATTTTGACTGGGCCTTTGCTTGGCCTTTTATTTTGCTTGGCTTTTCACTCTGTATGCCTTTTTATAGCTAGCTACCCGTTTGTTTTGCTGCAAAGTACCAAAGGCAAAAATTGGCCGATGTTACAAATACGACGAGGAGTAGGGGAGTCTGGTGATTGGCTGGCCTCAGGAATGGGTAAAATAGCCGCGCGCGCCCAAATCTTGAAACCGATTTGTAATTGTCACCTCGCTCTTGGGCGCATTCCGTTCTGCAGCAGTATAAAAGACAAGTGCAGAAAGCCGGATTTTGCGCAGACTGTAGCAACTCTTCTTTATTTTCAACCAAATATATGCTTTTTCGCAGCCTGCTCTGTCGCTCTATTTTAACACAAGAACACACATCGTTTTTGCTCGCCAGACACACTCCAGTTTCAAAAATGCACTCCAAAGTCACAATCATCGGGTCGGGCCCCGCCGGCCACACAGCCGCCATCTACGCAGCGCGCGCCAACCTGCAGCCGGTGCTGTTTGAGGGCATGATGGCCGGTGGTGTCGCCCCTGGCGGTCAGCTTACAACGACGACCGAAGTTGAGAACTTCCCAGGATTCCCCGAGGGCATCACAGGCTCCGAGCTCACAGACAAGCTCCGCGAGCAGTCGGAGCGCTTCGGCACCGAGATTATCACCGAGACCATCTCGCGTGTTGATCTGTCGGAGCGGCCGTTCAAGCTGTGGCGCGAGGACGCCGATGCCGAGAGCGATGAGCCCGATACGTGCGATGCGCTAATTATTGCCACCGGCGCCACAGCCAAGCGCCTTAACATTAACGGCGAAGAGCAGTACTGGCAGCGGGGCATGTCGGCCTGCGCGGTGTGCGACGGCGCTGCACCCATCTTTCGCAACAAGCCACTTGTCGTCATCGGCGGTGGTGACAGCGCCTGCGAGGAGGCGACCTTCTTGACCAAGTACGCCAGCCATGTGTACATCGCCGTCCGCCGCGACGCCTTCCGTGCATCCGACATTATGGCCAAGCGTGCGGAGAACCACCCGAAGATCACTGTGCTGTGGAATACCCATGTCACGGAGGCAAAGGGCAACGGAAAGGTGCTTACCCATGTCGAGCTCAAGGACGCCAAGACTGGCGAGACCCGCGACCTCGAGGTTTCGGGCCTGTTCTACGCGATCGGCCACACGCCGAACACTGCCTTCCTTGCCAGCCAGCTCGACACTGATGAGACTGGCTACCTGCTCGTCACGCCCGGCACATCACTGACCAAGATCAAGGGTGTCTTTGCTGCCGGCGACGTCCATGACAAGCGATACCGCCAGGCAATCACTGCCGCTGGCTCTGGCTGCATGGCCGCGCTCGATGCCGAGAAGTACCTCGAGGACCTTGAGGCACAGGCCCACGAGAATGCGAGCAAGCTCTAAATACAAAAGCTTATGTTATTTTTACTTCCAAATTGCAGTCATTTTTATTCAATTGCTTGTACTGACTGCATTGTCAGCCAACTGGACAATAATTTTTTACATCGGTGGTCCATCGGTCACCGCCTATCGGTAGCAACACGCTGCAGCCCCTGGGCTGGCTTGTCCTATATTCACTTTAGTTGCGGGCATCAGGTTTTGCTGCTTCTGTGAAATCAAAGCGCGATTTCGATACCAATTTCGATATCAATTTCAAGCAGTCACGCTTCCTGTGCAAGCAAACAATGATAAAAGTCATGTTGGAAAGAACGACGGAAAATGCGCTTTCTGGCCAGTGTTCTGGGTGTGGAACGGATTGCCCCAACATTTCTTTGTATTCTGCTCACCTGCCCACCCATTGGCGGCGCTGTCCAGAATTTCTCCTCATTTTTATATTTATCTGACTAGGGCGATAAAAAGGCACTGTTTACACAGTAGCAACAAAGATGATGTTCATCGAGCTGTGCATGGCTGCTCTCCTTGTGGCACTTTAAAGCCTCGATTGTTTTTGGCAGCTCCTCGCGCCCTCGGTCGCTTTCTCTTCAGTTTTCTAGTCATTCTTCAATTTTTTGCACTGTAGTAATACTATAAGAGCTGCAGAAACAATGGCTGATGCCAATAACTCTAACAGACAGGTGATCGGCTTTGTTGCCAACCTCGCCGCTGGTGGCATCCTCGCTGGTGTCTCCAGTACCATTATTGCCCCCATCGAGCGCGTCAAGCTGCTGCTCCAGGTCCAGGCCTCATCTGACCAGATCGCCGCTGACAAGCGCTACAAGGGCATCATGGACGCCTTCCGCCGTATCCCCGCCGAGCAGGGTGTTGGCTCGTTCTGGCGCGGTAACATGTCGAACGTCATCCGCTACTTCCCCATGCAGGTGCTCAACTTTGCCTTCTGGGACAAGTACAAGGGTATGTTCCCCAAATACAGCCCCAATACCGACTTCTGGAAGTTCTTCGGTGCCAACATGGCATCGGGCAGTATGGCTGGTGCCACCTCCCTGATGTTTGTCTACCCCCTCGACTTTGCGCGTACCCGCATGGCCGTCGATATCGGCACTGGCGCCAACCGCCAGTTCACCGGTCTCGGTAACTGCATCTCCACTATCTACAAGAAGGACGGCATGGGCGGTCTGTACCAGGGCTTCGGCATGTCCGTTGTTGGTATCATTGTCTACCGTGCCGCCTACTTCGGTGGTTACGATACCATCAAGCAGGTTGTCTTCGGCAACAACAGGAACCCCAGCCTCTTTGCCTCGTGGATGGTTGCTCAGGCCGTCACTGTTATCGCTGGTCTTATCTCCTACCCCTTCGATACTATCCGTCGTCGCCTCATGATGCAGTCCGGCCGTGCTGTCAAGTTGTACACTGGCCCCGTTGACTGCCTGCGCAAGCTGTACGCTGAGGCTGGCATCAAGGTTTTCTTCCACGGTGGTCTCTCCAACATCATCCGCGGTACCGGTGGTGCTCTGGTTCTTGTCTTCTACGACAAGCTCCAGGAGTGGATGGGTCTCAAGAAGTAGGCGAACTTTTAGCCATACCATTTTTAGTCATCACTTTCATTTTTATCTTCCTCTCAATGATCAATGCAGAAAAAATTGTTCCAAAACTTTAAAAGATGCAAGTTGCACATATTATTGCGTCATCGACAAGATGGTCTGGAAATAAGGAATGAGAGGCTTGCTACGTTACGACCTTGAAGAAGTGGTTTAAGAAATGATATAAGTATCCTTCCAATTATAGGTAAATTGATAGATATTTATTTATGTAGAAACAGACTGATGTTGCGGCTGTCCTGTAGGTTACGAGAGAACCCAGCAGCTTTGGTCGGGTGATCCAGCACTGCCATGCCAGTCTCTGCTCAAAAGATTGGCGTTGGCAGCACTTCATTTAATGTGGAGTCACAAGGAGCAAGATAAATATTTTATTCATAAGTAAGCTAGGTGCGCAAATGATGTGTATGTGAGTTTGTGTGTGTATGCGATATGGTGGGAGGGGGAAGAGGCAGCGGCAGCGGCAGAGCCTTAATTGCGCAGAAAGCAAAGCCCCAAGCCAAGGGCTGCAGCCAAAAGCTACGGTGACGCCTTGCTCATCTGCTCGGGCGACGAGTTGTCCGATATCAATAGGTTGTGCACAGCAATGCGCCGCTGCTGGGGCTGGGGCGGTGGGGGCGCCAATGCAATGCTTGGCAGTAAAGTGTGCGGCTTGGCTAGGGTGGCGCTGACGCCGACGACGGCAGCGCGTGGCGTGGCATGCGTGCACAGGGCTCTCCGCGGTGGACGAGCAGCGGTGCAGACAGCGGCTCCGGTGACGAGGGAGGAGGCGTCCCTGTGGCGCTCTGCTGTTGGTGTTGGTGCTGTTGGTGTTGCTGGTGCTGGTGCTGGTGCTGGTGCTGTTGCTGGTGCTGTTGCTGGTGCTGTTGCTGGTGCTGTTGCTGGTGCTGTTGCTGGTGCTGGCGCTGGTTCTGGTGCTGTTGCTGTTGCTGTTGCGGAGGCTGGGCCCGGTAGGGCGGGCTGAGTCGACGGCGAGCCGGCTGGTATGGGCGTGCGCAACTGCGGCGGCTGGCGCCAGCGTCGACGCGCTCGGGGTCTCTGGAGCTGACGACGAAGTGACAACCGAAAAATGCAGCGGGCGCTGCTGGTGGCGGGTGGGTGGTGGTAGTAGTGCTGCTGCTGCGCGGCATCTTGGGCGGGCGGCACAACCGTAGAGCTGATGCGCACGCTGGGCGACATGCGATGGCGCGGGTCTCGCACGGCGTCGGGCTGGCGTGTGTATGGGCTGTAGCGTGATTCACTGACAAAGCTGGTGGCAGCGTGTGCCGGGCTGTGGTGACTCTGCACCTGCGCGCGGTGATGAGGACTCCACGGGCGGTGCTGGCCAAAGTGCTGCTGCTGCTGCTGCAACGGCGGGCGGCCATCCTCAGCCATGTGCAGCGGCCGGTATGCGGGGAACGTATGGGCCGGCGGCAGCATCTGCGGGTACGGGGCCTCAAAGTAGTCGGTGGGTGGCTGGCCGTGGTGCAGCTGCGACGGCGGCGGCGGCGGCAGCGCCTGCGCATGGGCGTGCGGCTGGAGCGCCTGCGGCGCCGAAGCGACCATGCTGACCGGGTTCGGCGATGATATCGAGCTCGACGCCGGGTGCGAGTAGCTGGGCAGCGGCTTCCGCAGCGAGTCATGGAGCGGCGGCTGGTAGTGGCCATGGCCTTGATAGCGCGCCGGCTGCGGCGACTGTGACAGGGCCGCGCGTGCAGGGTCCAGCGCCTGGCGCATGTGTGTGCTGCCCCAGGCGCTAGGCGGCGCGGCCGCACCTGCGGGTGCATTTGGGGCAGCATCTGGGGCTGCAGCCGGTGGTCGTGCGGGTCATGGTAATCGTGGTCGCGCGGATCGTGATAATCATGGTAATCGCGCGGATCGTGGTGATCGTGGTGCTGCGCGAATGGCGCGGCGGCTGATGCGCCCCACGGCGACATGTGCGATGGTGAGGCCGCGTCAGAGTGCATGGCTGTTGACACCAGCCTCGAACGGTTTCCCTTTGGTCGCACTGACTTTTGCTCCTTCCGCACGCGAATCTTAAGGCCCTGCTCGGCAAACAGCTTGGTCAGCCGCGTGGACTCGTCCATGCCCGGAAACTTTTTGGCCGAGTACACTGTGAACATCGTCGACGTGATCGACTTGCAAAAGAATACCTGATTGCCCACAATTTCAAACAACGAAAACTTCAGCCGGTACACGCCCTCGCAGCGCACTGACAGATCGGGGAACACGAAGAACGCGCCGTCATTGCCGTTGACGTCCTTGAGATGCGCCAGCGACGCCACCACCGATCCTGTCATCGTTCGCGCCTTTTTGTCGCTCAGCGTGTTCAGCTCGCGCTCGCCCCGCTCGTCCATCAGTGTCGCGTACATAAAGTAGTACGGGTTGTGCAGATACACCCTACGCCACAAAGTCCACAAGAAATACAGAGCCCAAGCAGGATGAGTCATTGGGTTAGTGAAGTGTTCAATTGCCAGCAGCACGAGCGCATTCATTGCACGGACGCGCTCATTGCACGGGCACACTCACCGCGGATCAAGGGTCAGCTTGCCACCAGCGTGTGCGCGTATAGCCGCCAAGCGTGCCTGCTTACCTATTGTTTGCCGTTGTCGGGTCGCTGACATGCAGCTGAATTATCGGCGGCGGGTCGACTGGTCGCCGGTCTGCTATCAAAAGAACAAGAATGCAAGTGGCGGGAGCCTTGTGGTTTATTATTAGTGATGCAGCACACAGCAGGCAGCGAACGAAAGGGCGAAAACGAACAAATGCGCAAATCAGCAAAAAAATGAACAAATGCACAAATGTGTAAATATGCAAGGCTTGGGCAAGGGCGTGGCATCTGCAACGCCAAATCAAAAGCCTGCTTGATCTGTGATTAGATTGCATGTTTGGTGCGCAGAGCGCGCAATGCGCAGCGTTACCACCAGGCAGAGGCCGGGGGTGAAGGCAGATGCAGATGCAGCAACTCCGCTGCCATAGCCAAGCCAACCTTGCTTGAAGAAAGGAGGGAGCGAGGCTTCCTTTTCTCTAGCGTGGCGCCCTGCCCGAGTGTCACAAACGCAAGCAAAAGGTGAGCCAACAATAAAACAGAAGAAAAAACTCCCCCAGGCACATGGCTAACAATTAGTGCTGTAAATTCGGGTGTCTTACCTTTTTCGCCAATTCCACACATTCGTGAGCGGTTGGGTTCCTGCCGCAGAACCAGTGAGTGTTCGCTACATGTCAAAAAGCATTTTTACATGCAAAATAAAGAAGCGAGAAAAATACATAATAAAATGCGGCCGTCAGTATTGCAAGCGGTTAGTTAGTTCTTTAGTCAAATGGTTGATGGTGCGATGATGGAGGAATACGCGAGCGGGCCACGGTACTGATGCTGCAGGCTGGCGTCGGGTTAAGACAGTAAAATATAGGCAGATAGAAGCAAAAAAGAGAGAAGCATAATATGATAAATAGAAAAGTCTCTTGCAGAAAAAATGGTGCTCGACCTACATTTGCCGTCTGTTGTTCAAGCTTTGCTGAACAGTACCAAAGTGAACTGTGTTCTCCATGGGTGCTGAGCTCCAAGGCAGCGCCCGTATCCCTAATTATGTGTGTGTGTGAAAGGCTTTTGTGCCTATGTGCCCGTTTGCGCGTGTGTTCAAGCGAGAGAGCGTGCGTGGCTTGGCAGTGAATTGGTGGCGAATTAGCAGTGAAATGGCGCGGACTTTGAATTAAAGGCGACGCAATAAATAATAAAAAACTGAGAAAAGAAGAGAAAAAGAGGTGACTGTACACACAGTTTCGTGATATATAATGCAAATATCTTTAAAAAACTGAGAAAAGAAAAAAGGCTAAGAGAGGCGTGGGTGCTCGAGCAATTAAAGTGCGAATTGAATTTCGAATTTGAGAGAGATACAAAAAATACACTTTTTTCGGGTTGGCGATGACCTGCAAAATCCTGCAAAAAAATAAAAGGACACGTTTTTTCTGCAGGTTGCTGGTCAGCGAATTAAAAGCCGCCTCTGGCTGTCCTGGCACTTCCTTTTTGATTATGTGTGCCATTCTGAGCTGCTCATCAGCCTAAAAAAACTGGGGCTGAGACAACAAGGAGATGGCAGACAGGCAAGCAGTCACCGTCAGTCAACAAGCCAGCCAGAGGCGAGTTAGTTGGCAGAAGGGCGCGCCAACTGCCGCCAACTGCCGCCACTGCGCAACTGCCGCCGTTGTCGTTGTTGTCGCCGTTGTCGCCAGTTCTGGCGCAACTACATGGCTCTCTCTGTCGCGTTACCAGCCCTCAGTTCCATTGTCCAACCAACCAAACTTTCCATATTTGGCCTGCCTTGCATGGCTTCGCCTTGATTTTCTGCATACAGCAGGATCCGACAGACTTTCTTTTTGCGTCTCTTTGGTAGATTTTCGTCCTAAATCTCGATTTCCACCTCTTTGTTCTTCTTTTTCCGGGTCTGCAGACGATACACTCACACCATGTGTATATATTTTTCTTTCCATTTTTCGGGGCCTAACATTGCATTCTCGCACATTAAAGCTGACACAACGGTTTTACACAGTGGCTGGAGCGCCTTTGATTGCAATTGTTGACGTTGTTGCCATTGTGTGTTTGCTGCTTTTTGGGGGTATTTTTGGCTGCATCACTGCCAATTGCAAATGTTGGCCAATGTGATACATTGGTAAAGCAAACACAATCGAGATTTCCCTCCCCATTGCGTACGCCATTGTCCCCTCTTTGTTGTGGTCATTAATATTTTTTTACATCTTTTCTTTGGCAGCTCCACAGTGTATTCGAATGGTGCCTAGTAGATCTACCAGCAAGTTGCAGTTTTATAAAGCAGTCTGTATAACCAAAAAATTGAACTCCATATCTGTTACTGCCTGTTGTTGCTGCGCAAGAAAAATGGGGATGTTGGTATTGTAATGTAGATTGCGCTGCACAGGAGGTTGTGCCGAACAAATGCCCACTATTACTGATTTAAAAGTAGAAAACATCACTGCTTGACAGCCACCACCAACTGGCTGGGTGCATGCATGTGGATTTGTAAAAGTAAATGGGGATCAATTAAAGCATTAGATACGAGAAGAATATGGCGAGGGTGAAGTAAAAAAACTGAACAAATTGGCTGTGAAAATGTGAAGACGCCAGAATGCAAGTAGACAAGTGCGGGAATTGGTCGGAGACAGCGAGGGATCAGACTAAACGGACACAGTCAGCCGGCGGCACAAATAAGAGTAACATTGACGAGTAGGTGGGAGGGCCAGAGACCAGCCGGCCTCCGAGATGAACCGGACTACAGATTTAAAGGTGTTACTGCCAGAGTCCATCCACCGCAGTCGACAGAGGGCCTGTCTTTGCAGACAGATAGGCAGGCAGATAGGCTGCTATGGCTGTGTTATTAATTAATTCCGCCGCCTCCAGTTTCTTCCCCCCACGCGTGCCCGGCCCCGATTGGCAATTCACACATCCAGTCTAGCGGTATGTCCTGCAGTTGGACCGGAGCACGTTGTCGGCAGTCGTGGTATCCACCAGCTTGCGACCGCTAACCGTGTCTGCGACGGCCTTTATGTCGATGGTCGATTGCGGGTTGGAGATGCCCTCAGGCGAGATCCAGTCGTACAGAACACAGCATGTGACCAGGACAAATACACACAGCTGCTCGCTCTCAGGGCTGTCCGCCTTGCTCTGCTTGAGCGTATTGAAGCTGCCCGCTGCCAGCGTCGATAGGCTGTTGAGCACAAGTGCCTCGGTTCTCGAGCTCTTGGCAAATTGGCTAGCCGAGTCAACTACCGCCTTGACCATGGGGTTGTGGTACGCATAGAACAGCGACATTTGGTTGGAGACGTCCTGCGGGATGACGTTGCGCGCAATATTTTCCTACATGTGCCAAAAAGACAGAAAAAAAACAGACACACATACAGATAGACAGGCGTGGCCGTATCCAAAACACAATCGATTAGTTGACACAAAGCCCAAAGTCAACATCAGCACTAAAATCAACACCAACACCAAGACCAACACCAACGCTGAAAGAAACGTAAAAATGTACAGGCTATGGCTCACACCCGTTTCTAATGCACTTACATCTTGGGACTTTGCCATGCGGGCGTGCGTGCGACGGTAATACGACAGGTCGTTTTGGATTGCTGGGATCGACGCCTACAATCACCCTCTTGCAAACAAGGTTTGGAAAATGTAAAAATAGAAAGGCACAAGTGCAGGCGCAAGCGCAAGCGCAAGCATAGGCAGCAGTAGCAATTCCAGTAGAATAAAAAATAAAAACGGAGGACTATTAGCAGAACTGTTGTGCTTTGTGCCAATTTATCCGCCAGCAGCGTCCGCATTTTACCACTCATATCTCCTTGTGTTCCGGCGTGTGCAATTTGCAGTGGACATGCCTCTAAACTTACCTTCAAAGCGTCGAAAGTGAACGCGTTCTGCATTAGGTCAGCCAAAAGACGCGCCAGACCACGGTTTCTGTCAGTCTTTCCCAGATCCTGGTCGCTGACCTGGGTGCACAGCTCTTCCAAGATAGTGGGTATGATCCTGTCTACACCAAGAGCATACAAATTCGATAAGGTTCAGTAATAGCATCCAGACACACACAAAATACAGACACGCATATTCCCAAGAGAAAACATAATGTTTGTCAGGTTCTGCTTAATGCAAAAAATGGCCACGTACCAATATCCTGCGCGTACTCGAAGCACTTCAGCAGCAGCGCGCAGAGGGGCATATCTTTCTCCATGCCGCCTCTTCGTTCTCCTCTGTTGGCTGCGAGATAGCCACTCGGATCTCTTCACCGCCGCCCTGGTAGTCGCGGATGTCCTGTATCAGCCCATGCCCTGTCAGCAGCATGTTGTAGCCTTCGGGAAAGTTTTCCTGTATGTACTCGATGTTGCGCAGGTCTAAAATATAAACACAGAAAAAAATGCACACCAGAAAACCAAGGGTTGCGAGTGTGCATAAACGCAAATAGTTTGTTAGTGTGTACAATACTGGTCCAAGCACAACTGTATACAGCTTGGTGCATGGTCTTTGCATTCAGCAACAAATGGAATTATGCTGCTTTCTTACCTCCAAGATTAAGAATAAAGTCAGTGAATTGCTTTGAAAAGCGTGCCGTTGGTTCTGCGTCTCTGGAGTTTCTCGCAGCACCAGTCGAATGGCCGCCGAGCTACCGCGCAACATAGAAAAGAACGACCCCATTATGCTAATAATAATAAACGAGAGAGAGGGAAATAAAAATAAAGAAATAATAAACGAATTGTACTGTGTTGGTCGCTTTAAACTCCGCACTTTTAAAGCCCAAAGTGTAGGTGGTCAGCTACTCCTGAATGGTAGTGCTTGTTATTTTGCAGTTAAAAAATAATAGAGAGTATTGGAATAGTGTTTGGAAAGGCACACCCTCGTCAGCATGCAAACAATAAGGAATTGTAAAAAACGGAAAGCGAAAAAGCGTTTGCTATGCTGCTACCACCGGCACTGCCGTTCTGCTGATTTAGAATGTGTAACTGTGACAACAGGGAAGACGCGGTCTCCTGTGTAATAAAAAAGTTTAGGCAAAACTAATAAGAAAAAGAAGAAATGAAAATGAAAATTAACGACAAAAAAGATGCAACTCGAAGCAAAGACAAACCCAGGCAGCTGGCCAAAAAACAACAACGAAAAAACAGGTTTGGTCCGATTGACCACAACAGACCGCTTGACGCTTTGTGCGACCCACTCATGTGGAAAAGAGAGAAAGTAGATCCATTGCGCGAGATATAAAAATAAGTAAAAAGCTAAAAACTAAAGCCCACTCACGTGGAAAACTTTGTCACGCAGCCAGCACCCACAAGATTGTAATATGCGCAAGTCTCACAGGCCAGGTACACATGCTGGGTTGCTGGCCCTGATGAGGAGTTGACAGCACACATTTAGCGTTTTTGCTTGATAGAATATTATTTAATTTAATTTCATACTAACCTATTAAACCATACCATACCAAATTACTGGAAATGCTCGTCGCCCGCCATCTGTATACAGGGAGGCTGTTTGAGGACCAGAATGCCACACCATGGCGGCTCAACCTGACAGCTGTGTCGTCGCAGAATTCACTTGTAGCTGTGGCCATAGACAGGCACGTATCGATATTCGACATTGGACATTATGGACGCATTCCGACATTTAGGCAAAAATTGGCATACCCAGACCCAATATATGACGACAAGATAAACGCCATATCTCTAGATGTGTTGGGCGGCCGCGAGACAGTCATTGCAGTCTACGACAGCGGAAGGTCGATTGCATGGGCGCTGGAAGGCGAATTCTCGGTTGTTTGGGATCACCAGTAAGATATCTCACTAAATGTGTGTTTATCAGAGTCAAGTTGATACCAATCGTGCACATCGCTATTAATCGTGTGTCAACATATATGTAGTGGGCAGATATCAACTTGGGGATGTTCTATCCATAGCACAACGAACACTGTTGCCACCAGCTCCAATGCGCATGTCATTGATGTCTATCGCTTGAATGTCGGTGGTGCCAGAGGTGATATGGCTAACGACAATAGCGAGACCACCAGCTGTTGGCGGAGGGCTTTCAACTCGAAGGGCATACCCAAAATGTTCCACACATTGCATTTTCGGCAGGTGGCAAGTACATTGCATCAGCCAGTATTGATTCGACCATCCGGGTCTGGTCCCTGCGCAGCAGGCAGCTGGCTTTTGCGTTCAGATACAGCCAATGGTGCTGGGCAGTGCGGTTTGTCTATCCATTTTATTTTATGCCAGCGCACTTGCTGGGGAATTGCACGATAGCAGATCTGCAGAGTCTGATAAGTCTGACGAGTTTGATGAGTCCGACGAGGCCGACGAGGCCGATGAGCCCGATGAGCCCGATGAGTCCGACGAGTCTGATGAGTCTGATGAGTTTGAAGGGCGCGCGGGGACCAATTCAACCGACGAATATGTCCAATCGAGTGGCGATACCAATGGCGGCTTAATGCTGTCCATAAACGCCACTGCGCTAATTTCAGAATTACTTGTCGACCACGCAGGCGATATACAGAATGGACACACAGGCAGAACGCCCAGCCCCAGCGCAGAGTGCAACACTGATAGCGCCAGGACATATCATTTCAGCCGAAAGAGCACATGGTACCTGAGGGCGAATCACCACACATGGCATCACCACTACTCTTTTGCTGCACTGAAAGAGACGTGCTGCTCATCGACCCTTCGGCCCAAGCCCAGGAAGCCGTTGTTGCAAGGATCAAAAACGCACTTTACCGAGAATCCTGGCCACTAAGTAGGGGGGCAGTGGTTTTTGACAGAATTTCATTTCTCGAATGGATCCCCGACATGTCCATAGCAGTGGTTGGCTCGTTTTCAGGCACAGTCGCAATCATTGGCGTGCAGACGCTGGAGTCTGCCGACGGCCAGGGCGCAAAGTATCGTATGGATGTTTTGCACCATCTTCCAGAAGAACTTAATAACGGCCAGCTCTACGGTTGTCTGTGTATCGGCACCCGGTTGGCGTGGGCATATCGGCCCAATGACCTTATTCGCGACGTATTTGGATGGCAAAATACTGGCGTACGAGATCCTCGATGCAAACGAAGCTGGGTATGTGCTCTGACAATTGCATTTTTGTAAATTGCCAAAGTGAAATGTAAATAGATAATAAAGAAAAAAAAGGAAAATAAAGAGAAAGGGCTGACTAAAAAACACATGGCAGATACTAAAAAACCACCCAGAGTGTATGCCTCAGATCGCTCGCGGGTTGGGAATATGCTTCAGAATCCACGGGTGCTTTAGGACCTCGTCGAGCGGCAGGCGATCGGCGCCGTCGTACTGAAGTAGGCGTGTTATCAGGTCGGACGCATGCCGGGAAACGTAGGGCGGGACATGCAGATCGACCTTGGCTATGCGCCTATACGTCGCCTTGTGGCTATTGATGTCCTCAAACGGCGGTACACCCACAAGGAACTCGTACATGAGCACGCCGAGGCTCCACAGATCCACCGATGCGTTGTGATCGCGGCCCTCAACCATCTCTGGCGGCAGATAGTCCAGCGTTCCGCAGAGGGTGCGCCTCCGCGAGTTTGGCGCGTGGACTGACCACCCAAAGTCGGCAATTTTCAGGTCACCGTTGGCATTGAGCAAAAGGTTCTCGGGCTTGATATCCCGGTGGATGACATGCTTGGCGTGCAAATACTCGAGTGCGCTGGCCATCTGCGCAATATATTTTGCCGCAACAGGCTCGGAAAAGGTCTTTTGCTTTTGCAAAAGCTTGTACATCTCGCCTTCCGACGCATACTCCAGGATCAAGTACACGCGCTTCTCGTCGTGAAAGTAGCCGTAAAGGCGGAGGATGTGAGGGTGCCGAAGGTGTGTTTGAATCTCCACTTCGCGCCTGAGCTGTTTCTCAATCTTGCTCTCCTGGAGCTCAGCCTTAAACATCACTTTGAGGGCGCATATAAAGCCAGTGTTCTTCTCACGAGCAAGGTACGCGCGCCCAAACTTTCCCTTGCCTAGGATGCGGCCAATATCAAAGTCTGACAGGCTCCAGTGGCGGCTGCTGCTGTTGCTCCTGTCATTGCCTCCCGTGCTAGCACTTGCATTGTCATCGCCATCGCCATCGCCATCGTCGCTGCCATCCCTGCCGCCCGCGTAGTTACCCGGGCGATTGGGAGCGGTGGCGTGCTGCTGCGCGCTGCGGGAAGTGCTAGAGCCCAGCCTGTTTGCCGCGTCCCCGCTTGATAAGCTGTGGCTGCCCGCGACTCTAGTAGCATCGGTGCTCACTGTACTATTATCAACTGTATTGCAATAGCGCTGGCTGCTGGATGTCTGCCGCAAAGAGTCTTCGCTGTTTAAAGAGGATGCTGAGGTGGCCACCCTCATTCCCAGCTTCATTGTGCCAATGTTTGAGGCGAGAGTATCTACCTCCTGCTACAAAATATGTACATCACAACAGCAGAAAAAGACACCCGAGGGCCGTCAACAGTCAACAAAGGCAGGTTAGTAATGGCCGAGCGTATTTCACGAGAAAAAAATAGGCAAGGTTGTTGCTCATTGGAGTCGGCCGCAAAATGCTAATGTTGATAATAGCACGTACCGTTTTTGCAGCGCCTGGTCGGCCCATTTCAAATGTTGAGTTGTCAATAGTGAAAACAAAACGAGTGCAAAGAAGCACGCAATAAATGAAATAAAAGAGGGTATGTGTCTGAATGAACGAATGAGCGAATGAGCGAATGAGTGAATGAAAAAAGAAAGAGAAAGAGAAAGAGAAAGAGAGAAAAAAAGAGCTTTTACTCACCATGAGCCGAAACGCAGAAAAAGGCATGCATCCATTATGTTGATATGATTGGCTGGCAAAAATTACTATCAACATGTGCGTTCGATTGGCAACCAGTGCTGCCTCTTGAAATGAAGGGGGTTGGTGACGCTGGTTTTTGTATTGTGGTCTCTGTTTAATAATAAACAATTTGCGCTGCTGCCATGTGTATATATATACTCACGCACATAGTGCATGTTGATCGTTGGCAATGGCAAAACGATCCGATCCGCCACACTGTGTCGCAAGTTTAGTGGGACCGAGGCTGCCAGCGCACTTCATAGAAACTTCGTACACCAAACCGACTATAACACCCGCATGCAATTAATTTGCGTGTATCTGTGTGCCAATAAAACTAAATTGCATTGTAATATTTATATGCGTGGTGTCTGAGGATGCTTGTCTATTCTGAATATTTGTCTATTCAAACCAATCAATCGAGTGTAACATGATGTCAATCATGGCGAGCTTCCGAGTGAGCATATCAATTCTAAAGTGCATCCGTTGTAAAGCAACCCATTGTAATGCGCAGCTGCTTCGAGGAGCTCGCTGAACTGCTTGTTTGACGGAAGCGACTCGCCAGCACCAGCAACCTGGAGCCGATAAATGTTGCCTGGAAGCATGCTTGCGCCGAGTTTCTGGGCAAACCGGCCAGCAGCATTTCCGATAACCGAGTTCTATATCGTTGCAGTACGTCAAATGTGTGATCGATACCAATGTCAGCACATGTGCGATAAAAGGCAAATGGAATGCTGTCAAAGTGACATTGGGTTGGCTAAACATACCTTGTTGATAAAGACCTGTATGGTCTTTGCTTCCCACTGCACGCGCAGGTATAGTCGGCTATCCGCGGCTATGCTGGAGGTGCCCTCTGCATTCATCTTGAGAATTCTTAGCTCGGCTTGAGGTGATATGCGGGGCTTTTTCATAGGTTGGGTACTTGTTTTGTCGGAGCGAGCGCAAGTGCCCTTTCTCAATGCTTCCAGAGCAGCCAGCTGCTTGTCTGTCAATGTATTTTTGGACTCTGTTCGGATGTCTTTTGGCCCCGTTCTCGCAGGGCGCGTATATGTCGAAACAGGCACGTTACTCATATCTTCGGTAATATGCGTTGTGCTTGTGCTTGGCGGAGGCGCGCTCGGGCAGGCGTGTGCATCCGCGTTCCCGTGCTTCGAGCAGTAGTGCTGGTCACAGAAGCCGCACTTTACAGGCAAAAAGTCAAGGTGCCCGCATCCTTCGACAGCGCAATTTTCCCCGACATTAGGAAGCTCCATGGTGTTAATAACGTGGCTACAAGTAAAAAAGTACGATGTTGCGCAAAAAAAAGTTGTAATAGGATATAAATATAATAAACACGAGTTGTTTGCAAGCCAAGCAGAGTTTTCGTAAAAAACAATTGTAGTATTGAGTATTATTAAAACAATTATGGACAAAACAAATATAAGTAGTGTTACATGACAAACGAAAAATGCCGCTGGATACTCTCGTAGGTGACAAGAGGCCACCACTGCTTGCGAGCTGGATGCAGATGCACTGGTCCTGACGGGTGGTCTGGAGGTGAGGGACAGGGCGCTGGATCCAGCGCTACCTCTATGAGATCAATGTATGGGGTACTTATGCCAGGGCCGTGGCGTATCTCCATCTCTGGCTGGTGTGCAGCATTGGCATACTCAATATACGCGACAGAAAACTTTGGCGAGCACATCCGCAAGGGGATGTACAGGTAGTCGCGGGTGGCAATATCGCTGGAATTCCAAATCCGATTCAGGCGCTTCAGTTGCGAAATCTACAAGTCTCAGGGAACCAAAGAGCACAACAGTATCAGTATCACAGTAGGTCGGATTCTCGATGCGCATGCAAAAGCAGTACACACGCAAAGAACAAAGTATAAAATAGTGTTTGGTTACGGCTAACCTGCGCCGAACAAACAATGCCATAAAATAACACAAGATGCAGTAGCCCCAGAGAACCTGGGTTTTAAAAACATACTTGTATACCATATTGCACAGAGATGCCCTCAAGGGTTTCACACGCCAGTATACGGTGCCGTATCATTTTGATTGTACGCGCAGCAACAGCGGGCCCAGGGCAATGCTAGACGCCGGGCTGCTCCCTGTCTCGGATATCGCAATTTCATTATGGCTGCATGACATGATAACCAAATTATCTCCCAGGCGCGTAGGCACAGCAATGTTGGGAATGGCTAGCGGCACAGCACGGCTGCGACTAGGTTCCGAGATTGCTAGCCTGCATACGTTCGAGTCGCACAATGCAGGGTCAGCCACATCGCCTGATTCGTCCATCTTCCCAGAAAACAGCTGTGGCGCGTAAAAGCTACGCGAGTCGCCTTGGGCGGTACCTTCACCCTGGACTTCTAAGTCGCAATCTGCCTTCACGCCAACCATGTGTGTTTCCGAGCGAGGCAGCGGCGACGCTATGGCATCGCCAATGCTTTCTAAAAGGCCACATTCCGCGCGCCTGGCAACAGAGTGTGCAAATGAATCAAAGTCCTTCGTTGATGGCGACATCAGCGGGTCGTGGGCCGCTCGTGAGCGCTGAACCATACGCCGCAAAACCTGGTTCCACGGCCTCCTTTCTTTGGGGACCACCACCGCCGCTGCCCACGCGCTCGAGGATGAGAGCGTTTCTAACATCGCCGCGGCATCCGACGCGCTGGCACCACCTTGCAAGTTAGATAAAGGCTTGCTCGGCCTCAAGCAGTCCAGCTCCGGCGAGGAGGACACTACAGCGGCGTTCGGCGCCATGTGCATGCCCGCGGGGCGGCTGGTGGGCGAGTGTGCGTTTTTATGTGGTCTGCGGCTTTTGGCTTGCGGGCAAAAGCTGGCCAGAGCATTATATGTGCCGCACTGCAACAGCGGAACCAGTGCGTGTTTGTCGTTATGCCGGTAGTCGGCCGTTGTGGTAATCGCTGTGCACGGGAGCCCCTTGCTTTCTAATGCGCCGAACAACTGTTGCTGCAAAAAAACAAAAAGCACAAGCTGACAATTCGTTCAGAATGCGCAGGTGAATAGAGTAAAGTGTAAATAAATGCCAAAGAAAATGAGAGGTAAAAGAAACCGAATCAGCTGGAAAATAATATTCTAGGCAACGAAGGAAAAGAAGGAAAACAAATTTAAAATGCGCCCGCTGGCCTTTTGGCTGCCTTTGCATCCTTTGCAAAACAGTGCTACGTCACACCACCTGCATCTGATTGGTCAGTGCTTTTTGTGCTCCTCCAGCTCAACCAGCACGCCGCCGCAGTCCTTTGGGTGCAAGAAGACAACCGGGAGATTGTGTGCGCCGATCTTGGGCTCCTCGCTGAGCGCGCGGACTCCGTTTTCCTTTAGGGAGGCGATTGCCGCCTTAATATCCGGCACATCGAGGCAGATATGGTGGATTCCACCGTTCTTGTTTTTGGCCAGGAACCCAGCGATAGGGCTCTTTTCGCCATGTGGGTGGAGCAGCTCGATCTTTGTGTTCCCCAGCTCGACAAATACTGTGTACACACCATGCTCAGGCATCGCCACACTCTCGCTGACCCTGTCCGCCTGCATAACGTCCCGCCAGAACAAGGTCGCCTGGTCCATATCCGGCACCGCGATGGCCACATGGTTCAGGCGTCCCAGCTTCCAGGCCGCCGATTCCTTGGTAGCGTTGGTCACAAAGGTGCGCCGCGCGCTGAGCGAGGTCAGGGTCGACGATGCTTGCGCCAGTGGCGACAGGCGACGGTACAATTTGCAGAGCATTTTATATTGGTTGGCTGCGACTGTGGAACTTGAGAAAAAAGTAGAAAAATATTGGGTTATGTTTCAAAGCAAAAAAACACAGAAAGGAAAAGGTTGCATGCACTTGATCACCGAAAATGCAGCAGGCGATATGGCGACGGCTGCGATAAGGAATCGCGGACAACCCGAGCGTGAGAAGAGAAGGTTATCTTGCCAATTAAAAAAGCATCTCATCCTCGTGCCGAAAAATATGCACTTCCCTTTTTTGTCCTCTCGCTTCAGACAGGGCGGGCAGCGTCAGGAACTCTATCGTTGTTGGGTTTGGCGGGCCGGGCATTGCCATCTTCAACAAAGTTGTAGAAAGGGACGTAGCGCTTGAGCTGTTCGTTCTCGCGCCGGAGCTGCTCCATCTCTTGCCGCAGTACCTTGGCCTCATTACACTCTTGCCGCAGCGCATCAATTTGTTCTTGGTACACGAAGTTCTGCCGAATCATATCGAGGTGCAGGTTGCGGATCTCGCCGCTTATTTGCTCACGCAGGGGCGCCAGCGCGTCGGATAGCAGGTTCTGGAGGACGCTGCTGCTGATCGAGCCCAAGCCTGCCGTGCTGGCAGCTGGTGCCCGTACTGCCGCAGTCGCCGTATCTGGCGGCAGAGCAGTCTCAGTTTGCACTGCAAAAGCAGCCTTTGGCGTTGGCGTTGGCGTTGGCACGGTGCCTTTGCAGGTTTTCGAACAGCTGAGACGAGCGGTGCTTGGCCGGAGAGTGGCGGACAGGCCTGCCTATTAGCAGCCTATTGGGAGATTTAAACGCCACAGCAGCTGGCGGCTCGCAACTGCTAGCAAGCTTCTCTTGGTCGGGCCGGTCGTCTAGACGAGGTCTGCTCTTCACAGCTGGCTCCCTAAGCTCTGCACCTGCTGGCTGGAGGCAAAATTATATGCCGAGGCCGAAACTGACGTCAAGGATTTGGCCTCTCCAGGCAGGCTGTGCCGGGGTTCAACATCCAGAGGAGTGCTGTGCTTGCTGAACAGTTGTGAAACAATGTCGCGTGGAATTGAGCTGGACGGGTCCCCGCGGACAAAAGAAAAAGAACCGGCCACGGGTGCAGTACTCTGCTTTTCTTGCGCTCTGGCGTGAACATCTCCATCATCGAGTCCCCAACATCATGCGACCTAGATCCATAGAGCTGCGATCCGACTGCAGCGGCTGTGCGATTGGCGAGGGCTCCAGGCTCTCGCTAGCGGCTGCCATGCTTCTTTCGAATGGCTCCCTCGGTTGCGGTTTGGCAGAGTCGCGCTCGTAATCAGTCCGGCTGAAGCTAGAGTGCCTGCCAGCGCCAATGTTGCCTGTGCTTTGCACCTCACTCCTGGTCTCTACAGGCAGTAGAGACTGGCGGACACGAGATTCAACTTCCAATGCTGCAGTGCCACTTGCGCGAGACAAGGAAGATAGAATGTCTCTGCGGCCGGACTCTATAACGGCGCTTTTAGAGTCGTAGGCAGTGCTCTCTAGCTTTGTCGGGGACAGTAAGTCCATGAACGAGCGATCGTCGCGCATGATGGACATGTTCTCGTCAGCAAACAGCCCGTCATCCTCGGGCAGCGGCCTCTTCACGGGAACTATAGGTGAGTATGGATTCTTGGGCCTGACTTTTGACGCGCTGCTTTTGGCTGGCTGATTGGACTGGTACTCTGCCAGCGCCGAGCGATAGCGCCCAATGCTGGGATGCTGAGGTGGAAGAAATCTGCTGGTTCTCCTGGAGATCCCACCCGTGGCGGCAGGCGGAGGCATATTGTTATCGCACACATTGCCGGCGGTGCTAACCCTGGATGATGCAGCTTGTCTGCTATCGACTCCAAATATATCCGTGGCGTCTTCGTCAGAGCTAGCATGTCCACTGCGGACGCTGACGCTGCGGCTGGTTGCCCGAGACTTCCACTGGTTTGGTGTTGTGTCCTCTGAACTCTGAAATGGCTGCGATAAATCACCCTTTCCCACTGTCTCGCCCTGCGAAAGGCCAATGCTGACCACAGCGCGCTGTGCACCGACAGAGCCCCTCCACAATGGCTTTGTGGGGTGCGTATGTCATAGAGAAGGGCTTCACCATCAATGGTCCCGGTCCCAATGAAAAATGGGTCATGGCAACTCGACAAGCATGTTAGAGGAGACCCCACTGCAATATCCATAGCGCCACTGCCGCCGCCTCTGCCCGAGGCATAATTGTTACTGTCTGTGATCACAATGCGGCCGTCCAGACCAACGTCACGATGCTCGAGTTGTTGATCGGGTGAAAGGCAATACCGCGCAGGGGTGCTGCGTGTATGTGCGAGTACGTCTTTACTGGTGCAGCCCCAGCGCGCGTATTTTCAAAAAGCTGCAAAAGACCGTCCTCGGTGCCAACGACAATCTGCGACCGAAGTCCCGAGGATATGTCAACACACGTCAGTGCTCTGTGGGTGGCCGATCGCAAATCGAGCGAGTCTTGAGCAGCATGTTGTATACGGCTATCTCACCGCCCTGGGAAGTTGCAGAAACAACCAGCTTTCTCTTTGTGTTGACAGCCATGCAGGAGATATCGCTCGTATGCTTCAGACACTCGCTGCCGTAGTCGTTTTTGACAAAGTCCCAGTGTCGCACTTGCCTAGTGGTGTTGTTAGCGACAAATAGCGACTTTGAGTGGGGCCGTAGTGTTGGACCGCCACAATATCCATTGTGCTGGCGCGCCCTCCTTTGTCGCCAAGGTTTATGTCCTGGAGCGACTCCCCTTCCTTGCTATATTGGCGAATGACGTTTCCTTTGCCGCCAACAACAAACGAGCTGCCGCTGGCTGCCCACGAAACACACGATATGCCGTCTATAATCCCAGAAGTCTCATTAGCAGTATGCGTCGCTTTCATCAATACAGAAGCTCGGTCGCCTTGTTTGCTCGATCCTATGTCGGCAGACAGCTCGGTGGTTTTTCGACGTCCATGGAGGTAGGATGAGCCAGCTGGCTGCTGCTTGAGCTCAGATATGCCAAAGTCCCAGACGCGTATAGTATCACTCGTGGTCGCGACCAAAGAGTAATTCATTTGAAGGACAGAGTCTACTCCTTTTTTTATGATAGTACAGTGCGTAAATTAAGTGTATATAAATTGAATTCTAAACAAACAGGGGAAGCAAAGACAGAAGAACACGCATAAAAATACAAGCAAAGGCGTAAGGCGTGAGACGCGGAACGCAAATCAGCACCTTTAAACTTTAAAAATCAACGTTTAATTTCTTAAATTTATTTGGGCACTTCCAAGGAACTGCGCAGGTGTTTGTTTAGTCAGCTCCATCGCAGGTTTGGAGCGCAAAACTGCCCTGCACAAGGCGACTCTGATTGATACCCTCTATCTTCCCAATTTCCCATTTTATTTTTGCATTTGTCGCCTCATGTCGACCACCAGTAGTCTGGTTTCATGCCCTATATGCGACAAGCTAGTGCCCGAATGGTATGCGAGCGACCATATGGACCGCGGTGCAAGGGCGCCAGCATCAGCCAAGACCACGCTACGCCCAACGCTAGCAAGTTGCCGCCGCCGCCGCCATCCTCAGCTGGAAACAAGCGCACAATGTTCATGGCCAGCCCCAGCAGCCGGCAGAAGAGTAGCACACCATCTATAATGTTTCCATCAACCAAAAAGGCGAGGCCTAGTTTTGACAGCAGCAGCGAGCCGTCCGCAGTCACAACCCTGCCCCTTTAGCGCAGCAGAGGAGCCACCCTGACCTGTCGGAAACTGCTGATTCAGCGAAGAGAATCCAAAACACCAAGCTCCACTGGCTGAGCGCCTGCGACCTCTAACGTTGGACTCATTTGTTGGCCAGAGCGAGCTGGTGGCCCTGGCGGCATTCTGCGAATACTCATCGAGAGCGACAGGATGAGTTCATGCATATTTTGGGGCGGCCCGGGGCTGGGCAAGACGACGCTGGCCCGCATCATAGCTCACAAGACTAGCGCGGCCTTTAAAGAGATGAGTGCAGTCACACAAAATACGGTCGATGTGAAAAAGGCCATTGAGGAGGCCGGGAACTTGAACCGGCTGACAAACAAGCGCACAATTGTGTTTATCGATGAGATCCACCGCTTCAACAAAGCGCAGCAGGACATATTTTTGCCATATCTCGAGCGCGGTCAGATTGTGCTTATTGGCGCAACGACTGAAAACCCATCGTTTAAGCTGAACGGCGCTCTGCTGAGCCGCTGCCGGGTATTCCGGCTTGAAGCACTTTCAGACAAGGATATTGCATCGATCGCCGTTCGGGCCGCGCAGCTCAAACAGCAGGATCTTGGGCTGGAGGTGCTAGGACTGGATGATGCTATTTCCAAGTACATATCCAGCATCAGCAACGGCGATGCGCGTGTGGCAATCAACATCGTGGACTTGGCAATGAACTCTTTGCAAGCGGGCACAAATCTCGATCTGGACTGCATCCGGCGCGCACTCCAGCGAACACATGTTACATACGGGGAAGATGAGCACTACGACCTGATTTCGGCTCTGCACAAGAGCGTGCGCGGCAGCGACGATAACGCGGCTTTATACTGGCTTGGGCGGATGCTACAGGGCGGCGACGACCCCATGTATGTCGCGCGGCGTCTGGTCAGAATGGCATCGGAGGATATCGGGCTAGCTGACAACAGCGCGCTGCCACTTGCTATGGCGACACTCCAGGCATGCCAGGTCATTGGCATGCCCGAGTGCGACACAATACTGGCGCACTGCGTAGTGTATCTCGCCAGGGCGCCAAAAAGTGTCGAGTCATACAAGGCGTTCAAAAACGTTAAGGCATTTGTGGCAGCAGAGAATCCGTGGCCCGTGCCAATGCATATCCGCAATGCACCAACACGCATGATGCAGGGAATGGGCTACGGCGACGGGTACAAGTACAATCCTGACTATGAAGAGCCAGTCGAGCAGGAGTATTTGCCAGAGGCTATCCGCAGTCACAATTTTTTCGACAAGCCGAGTGACACGTATTTTTGAACAGAGCAACTTTTTATTTTGTAATCGAATTTAAAAATGGATATATATGTACAGCATGTCGTTCTACATGTAAAGGGAGCACACACTGTGTGTTGGGACCAGAGTCGGGGTAATTGCTGCTGCTGCGCAGCAGGCATATCAGCACCCGCCATACAGCCGTCTGTGCGACAGGCGGGGCATCTGCTCGATTTGAGTCAAAAAGTCGCGCACGTCCTCGCGGTACGCCTCCTCGGGATCGACCACTTGGTCAACAATGAGAGAAAACAAGCGCGAGTCAATGTCTTCAGAGTTGTACGAGCTTTCATGGTGCTGCTGCTGCTGCTTTTGGCATTGCAGGCAGCATTTGGCGCAGTGACGGCAGCGGTGGCAGCGGGCAGCGGCACGAGCGGGTCTCGGATAGTGGCGGCAAAAAGCGACGTGTCAAAGCCCCAGTCGCACAATAGAGCCTCGAGGGCAGCAGCAGTGTTGATTCCAGACAATGGGGGCAGGGCGATCCGCAGGCTCTCCGTCGGTGTGGCCACATGATGGTACTGAACGTTCCACCCAGTCCCGGCCAGGCGCTCGGTCAAACGAGACAGTAAGAGCGTGTGGCGCTGCTGGATGCGCTGGACATCAGCAATGAGCTGAGCGACGTTGGCCAGGGGAGCCAATTCAGAGGGCTGCTGGTGAACCGAATACGGCGGTTGGCTCGACGCCATGATCGAGTATGGTATAGTGATTGTCACGCACTGCTCAATCGGGATGGCTGCCTCTTGGGCGGCCTGGGCGACCAGGTGCAGCTTCTGCTCTTGCTGGTAGTCAACGCTGGCGTTGCTTTCCGCATTTTCGCCAGAAGCTGCGGGAGATATCCCCGATGTAGTTGTGTTCTTGGCCGCGAGTCTAGTGGCGGCTGCTGTGGGTTGGGTCTTCGAAAAGGGCATACTGATCCGAGTTCCATACGCAAGCGGTGATACGGCAGCATAGTCGCGGCGCTGCTGGGAAAGACTGCCGACAACCAGGGCCTGGCGCTGGAGCTGGGCCATAACCACGCGTGCCGATGCAATGTTATTTGGACCTGACAGGCTGCGCATGGCCTGCGAAACTGTCCGCAAATAGGGCGACCACTTGCCGCCGCTACCAAAGGCCCAGCGGCCAAACCCGATGGCGCGACTGGCTATGCGAGATGTATCGCGGGGAGTCAGGCGAGTTTGATACAAGAGACGCTGGTACAACGTGCGCAGATGAGGCCGCGCGCCGAGACGGGCGGCAGAAGTTTTTGCAAAGAGGCGGCCTGCAGCGGTGGTTGCTTTGATAGGCGCAACACGGCCACCGCTGGCAAACGCGCTGAAGCCTGTGCGCAGGTAGTTCATCAGGCGCATGACCCACTTGCTGTTGCCGCCGTGCAAGGGCTTGCCATGGTGAGAGTGATGGTGATAGGCGGCTTTTGAAATGTGGTTCAGACCGAGACGTGTAGAATCGGCTGCTATGATGCGCAAGCGGCCGGCAGCGGCGTAGCTGAGCATAATTGAACGAACAAGACGTGAATTAATGAAGATATAAGTAAATAGGGAAAAAGAAAAAATATAATTGTGAAAAATTATTACTTTTAAACTAAAATATTGAATGGTAGAATTTGAGAAAGTAGGAAGTAGAAGGTTGAAAAGATCAAATAACAATGCAACCCCCCTTTTCATTTGCGGCGATCATCACTCCGCGTTCACAAATACCCGCGGAGGTCACGAGCACAGGCGCTTGGCATTGGATACGGCGGATCATATCATATTATATCAAATCAAATCACAGCCATGGCATCCACACGTAGTCCATCTGGGCCAGGTTGGCGGGCGCCACGGCCTGCGCCATCAGGTGGATCAGCGGCTGCATCGGCGACAGCTCCTTGTCTTGCACATCCTTGGGTGGCAGAATCTCGGCCAGCTGCGCGGCGCGGTGGACAATGAGCTTGACGTTGCGGTCGCACATCTCTGCCAGCGCGGCGGGGTTGACGGCAGCCAGCGCACGCACCGATGGCATGTGGATCAGCTCGTCGCGCACATACAGATCGAGGAAGTCGCGCAGCAGGTGCTCGCGTTCGGCCAGGCGCTGCACAACCTTGTGTACGGCAAACGGCAGGATGCCCTCAAGCCCCAGCTCGGTGACAAAAGCCTGGATGGCCGGCGTGAGACGGAAGGGGACAGGCTCAGCGCTGTGAATCAGGCCAGGCGTCGCCTGCATTGGCACAAGCTCAGCCAGGCTGATGTTGCCGGACGCGCGCGAGATGGCCAGCTTGGCAGGCGTGCGCTGTGCGCTGGCAATGATGTACGTCAGCGCAATGGAGACGGCCACCTGGAACGAAAAGTTCTCTCGGTACAGCCAGTAGTCCATGGGGACGCGGTGTGGCGGCGCACGTCATCAGCAAGTAGTGACGGCGACACCATATGCTGACAGATGTGTTCAAACAGCCCGGCAGCAGCGGCAGCGGTAGCGGCCTCGTCGGACGGTGCCAGCTCGCGCATGCGCGCCGTGTGGTACAGCGCCGGAGCGATCTCGGCGATACCGGTACGCGCGCACGACGTGTCGTAGACGTCTTGCAGCGTGAACGCGTCGGGCGCTCCTGCACAAGGCGGATATGTGGGGCGAGCGACACAATGGTCGGCAGGTGCAGGGCCAGACGCCGTTGCACCCACGCGTCGCGGTCCTGCTCGGCGGCCACATCGAGGTTGCGGTACAGCTGCGCCCAGCGCTCCTCCTGGTGGTTGTGGCGTGATGTGAAGTGCTGCACGGCAAAGTGGATGACGCTGCCATCGGACCCGCGGACCGCCAGTGTGCGCGCCACGCTGCCATTGCGCAGCACGACGGCCAGCGCCGGCATGAAGCGCTCGATGCGCACAAAGTCGTCGCCTGTGTCCGACAGGCGCAGGTACTGGCCCGGCACTTCGACATCCTCGAACTTCTGCTGCTCAAACTCCACCAAAAACGGGCTGAACAGGCTAAGCATCAGCGCGCGCGGCCGCCGCCGGATGGCGCGCCGCAGCATCTGCTGCCACTGGTACAGCCGCGTAACGTACGCGCACAAGTCCATGCCACGCACCGCGCCAAAGTCGCGCTCGAACCGCGCCTTGATGCCACCGGCCGGTAGACTCAGCGCCACGCGGCATGTGTTGGCGACAATTGTGTCAACTGGCGTTGCGCCGCCCGCGTGTAGCTGCTGCAGCCCATCGCCCAGCAGCGCGTGGACAAGGCGGTAGATGTCTTCCTCGGGGCACGGCTTGAGCCGGTGCACAATCTGGTTGATCATTGTCTCCATCGACAGCGTCAGCAGCGGGTGCGCTGTTTTGAGCTTGGCCATCAGCTCGTCTGCGGCCAGCGAGGGTGCTGCCGCCGCAGCCGCCGCTGGTGCTGCCACCTCGCCCGCCTGCCGCTGCCGGGCCACAACCGCCTCCTCGCGGGCTGTGCGCAGCGCGTAGTGCAGCGCCTGCGGGTACTGCTTGGCGATGCGCAACAAAATCTGCTGTGCCTGCCGGCTGTACGCCGCGTCCAGCCGCTCAGGAGTTGCGCAACAAACGCAATCCAGTACCAGGTGGGCATCTCGCTCTTGTACGCGTCGAAGCCGCGCACACATTTCCCGCTGCATCGTCCTGGCTCAGCAACCACAGCGTGCGGGCCAGGTATCGCCGCACGCGTGGCCGCTTGCACAGGCCTGCCGCCTGCATATAGCAGCTGATAGCGTTGACTGCACCAGTGGTGTCGGGCATGTTGCTGCAGAAACGCTCGTCGTTGTACCGCCCCCATGCCGCCCACGCCTTGGGTGACCCCAGGTCGAACTGGATTCCCGTCGCGAACGCATGGTTGGCCTCGTCAAGCTTGCCCAGCTTTGCCAAGAACTGGCCCTTGAGCGTGAAGAACTCGCCTTTTGCCCGTCGAAAAGTACATCAGGTTTGTGTTGCTGATCACATCCAACCCGCTCTGCAGCTCATGCGGCCGGTGGTAGTAGCACTTGGCTTGCTCGCGCAGCTTGAGGAACGCCTCCTGGATCTCGATGTTGGGCAGCGTGTAGATGCGCGTCAGCGACCCAATACACACATCAACCAGCCCGTGCAGCCGCGCTACGTGTGCAAACCGGTTGATGATCCACGCCATCTCGTGGTATCCGCGGTAGGCGTACGATGTGAGCACTGAGTTGTTGTTGCCGCTGGGAGTGCTGCCGGCGGCAACAGCAGAAGCGGCGGCAGCAGCGGCCGCGGCGGTGGTAGCAGCACTGGTGCCAGGACCAGAACCAGAACCAGAACCAGAACCAGAAATAGCGCCGGCAGGCTGTGGCTTTGTGGCGACGCTTCCGCCATTAGCACCGGCACCCGAATCATCCTTGGTGGTAGAGTCTGGCTCGCTGTCCCCGGCCTTGCGAGTGCCCTTTGTCTTTGGTGCGGGCTTGGCCGCAGCAGCCACCGATGACGAATCGCCTTCGACATCCTCAATGACAGCTGCCTTTTGCTGCTGCTGCGAGATAAAGGGCACATACACGTCGTTGATGGCCTTGAAGACGTGCTGGCGCCAGGCTACAAGGTCGCTCCACACATTGATTGGGTCGCTGTTGTTGGGCAGCCGCTCTCGCCACGTTTGCAAAACAGACTTCAGGTCTCCCGATTTCGATTCGAGATTGTCAGCCTTGGTCGCCGCCAGGCTGGCGTAGATGTTGCTTGCGTCGCCCAGCTCAACCATGAGCTGGAACATGTGCAGTAGCGAGATGTGCGACGGGGTGCCTACCCCTGGCAGCTCATTCCACTGCTGCAAGCATGCGCGGATGCCCTCTTTGCACATGCGCTGAAAGTCCGCCGTCTTGGAGCCGGTTCCCGTGCCGGCGCCCGAGCCGCGCGCCAGAGTCAAGAACGTCTCAAAGAAGCGCGCGCGCGGGCTGCCGCGAACTCGGGTGGCGCGGCTTTGAGCAGCTGTCGCACCTGCGAATTGCGCTCGGCCCAGTCCCACACGCGCCAGCCGGCGTCCAGCTCGATCTCCGGCAGCGACTCGTGGAGACCCAGGTCAAGCAGCATGTCCCAGTTCTGCAGCCGCTTAGTCGCCTCAACCCACCGCGTCTCCCAAAGGCAATACTCGGACTCTGAGAATGGCAGCACACCTGCACGCGCCTTGGTCTGCGCGCGCTCGTACGCGGCCTGCGCGCCGGCCCAGTCGTCTAGCTGCTCGTATGCCAGCGCAATGTGCGACTCGCGGTACTGACAATGTCTCTTCCAGGCGCCGTAGAAGTAGTGCCGCGCTGCCAGCGCCGAGTATAGCTCGGTCAGCGCATCAAATGCGCCCAACTCAACACCCGTCGCGCGGTCGAAAATTGCTGCTCAACCTCCCGTCGTTCGAGCAGCTTCGTTTCGAGCAGTGACAGCGCTGGGTACCATGCGCAGTACGTCTGGCCAAGATACCGTAGCAACTGCGGCGGCAGACGCGGTGCCGGTTGACATTCGCAAAACGCGTCGAGAATCGCCTGGATCACGTTGGGTCGCATCCCAGTCTGTGCCTGGTGATACGGCTTCGCGAGCAACCGAATGACGCCGCTAGTCAAATCGTGCTGGTCTTTGGGCCCGAGGCCTTGCCATAGTAGCGGGAATAGCGTGACCCACATCCTGTACGCAAACTGCGTGTCAGCAAAACCAGGCGTGAAAGCGGGCGAACAATGCTGCCAACGGTTGCAGCGCCCGCATCTGAATCTGCCTTCAAATCAATGTCCATTGGCTCCCTTGTCTGCCTCCGCTGCTTCCGCTGTGCCTGCCTGCTGTCGTGAATGAGCGCAGTTCAGCCTGCTGGTGGGCCGCCGCAAATACCAATGGCAGGCACTGCTGCAGCCAGAATGTTGATGACACGCTCTCCCAGTTTTGGGTCTCCAGCAGGTAGTTCAGGCGCACTGACAGCGCCCCAGGCATGTTGGCGTCGAACGTGGCCAGAAACCTCCCGCGCATCTCGCTGTCTTCGCTTTGCATTCCGGACAAAAACGCCTGTTCGAGCCGCATGGTCATCTCCGACCGCGTGAACCGCACGTCGTTGTATACCTCCAGAACCAGACCAAGATACTTGCGTTCGAGCAGTGCAAACGGGTCTCCACCATCTGTGTCGGAGCCTGCACCTGCACGGACGCTCGCCCGGCTGGCGTTGTCGCTCGCAGATGCCGATCCATGGACAAAGCTCATCATGACGACATTAGCATCGCCTTCTCCTTGATCGTCGGGAATACCTCCTGCGGGTCCAGTACCCACTCGCGCACCATTGCTAGATAACGTGCAGCAGTGCTGCGTCGCTGGACCGCTCGATGAGCTGTATGATATGTGTCAGGAAGCTGCGCCGTTGGTCGCCCAGTCGTGATATGTGGTCGCGCAGCAAAAGTAGCAGCATTAGTAAAATGTCCAGTGGCGTTTCCCCCTTGACCAGTGCTTCCACAGTTAGCGGGATCTGACCGGCGCTGCTTGCCACGAGCTGGAGGATATCCGCGCTGGTGTTTGCCACCCTCGTAGCCACATTACTCGCGCCATCGCTGCCCAGACCCACTGCGATGACGCCGACGTCGACGGCTGCAAAGAAGGTGGGGCAGTCCCGGTTCCCTGCTGCGCCCCCGACGCGGCCTGCGACCCTGACGCCGAGTGCGAGTTGTGCTCTTTCGTGTATCTCTGGACAAACTTCATCAGTTGTGGGATGTGCGAGAAGAGCTGCTCGCCTGTGTGCTCGCCAATGGCGTGCAGCGTCAGCAGCGTGCCGTATATATTTGTGTTGTCCTGCAGATTCTTCCAATCACCGTCTCGACGTGGGCCTTGAGATCGGCCACTATCGGCGAGCTTCCAAGGCGCTCGTTGGCCGCTGCCTGCTCGTACAGCTGCCGCAATATCGATGCGACTATCTTCTGGACTTGCCCGTTGTCGACCGTCATGCACTTGCGCACGATGCCAACCAGCACGCCAAAGTACTCTTCAAACCATATTGGCTGCATCTGGTTGGTCACCACGGACAGCACAGTCAGAATGTGCAGCACCAGCTGCTGGTTCATGCCCTGCGCCTCGATCTGCTGCATCGACCGCTCAAAGAATGTCAACCGCAGGTGCATTGTCGGCCACTTGTTCGAGTCCAAGTACTGTGTCAGAAGCTCAAGAGCACGTGGGCCCAAGTTCGATTTCAAAGCAAAGTCGAACACAAGGCACAACATTCGAAGAAGTAGCCCGACTATGGTCTCGCGCCGCGATTCCGACATCAGTAAATCTACTGATGCTGCTGGCACCAGCACTGGCGTACTAGTGCTAGTGTTAGCACTGCCATTGGCATTGACGCCGGGCTTGCTGCCGGTGTCTGCCTCGCCGGCCGGCACAGTCTCGGCGTCCTTTCTATTGTCCAGCATGGCGTCCCACTTGAGAACAGGTCCATGATATCCAGCGCAAGCGTCCTGGTCTCTGAGGTCGCGCTGTGCGTCAGGCACATCTTTTGCAAGATGCCCACCAGATTTGACGCAAACTGCGTTCGGTACGGGAAGAATATCGACGGATGCCCCGCAATGAGCTGATACACATGCGTCGTATGCGCCAACGATGCGCTATTTTCAATCAGAATGCGCTTTGCCAGAACCACCCACGCAGGCGGTCCGGCGGCGGCACCGTTGCCGCTCTCTCCGGAATTGCCCTGCTGAGCAGTAGGCGGCAATCTGATGGGCAGCACTGGCAGCAGTATGTCCAGTGCCTGTCGAACTAAGAATCGGCTTTCCACGTGGTGCGCTTTCAGCAACGAACTGTACGCTTGGAGAATGATTTTCGATGGTGTATCGAATGCGGCGATGAACTGTGCCACCAGCACGTACGAGGCGTTCTTGATCATGATGTCGTCGTTGCGAATGTAGTTCCACCCAAACTTGATGATGTCCTTGCGAATGTCGTTCACGGCACTGGCGGCATGCCGGATGAGAATGGATGACAGTTGAACCAGCTCCAGCCGCACCGACGCCCGCTTGACGAGCAAAGCCTGCGCGCCATTGGGCATGTGCACTGCCCACACGCGCTGGTTGAACATCGCTATGACAGGCGCACGCAATAGCTCAATGCCGCGCTGCTCCTGCGTCAGCGGCGGGCGCGGGGTGCTGGAAAGCGCAGTGGCGCTGCTGCCATCATGCCCACTACTGCCGGTGTCACTGGCGCTCTCGGTCAGTGCAATGTCCGGCAGTGTAAAGACTGTGGCTACCATCGGGTTGATCAAGTGCTGAAGCAGAATGGCATTTGACTCGTCGGATGTGCTCATGTCGGCCAGTCGGACCAAGAACGCGACAGAATCTCGCGGCGCTTGGAAATCGGCCACCGCACTATAAGGCTGTCCCACACATACTTGAAGACAAACGACACATCGATGACGCTCGAGCTGCGCCCAGCAACATCAGTAGCCTGAATAAAATGGCCGGTGGATTGCCCATCGCGCGCGTGGCCAGTAAAAGGCAATGCACCAAGTGCTCGACCAGCACTGGTTTGGCCAGGCGCGACGACTGGTCGGGGCCACCCCCAGCGAGGTGGAAGCGGTCCACGTCGCAAAAAGCGTCTGCAAAAGGTCGCTACGCTCTTCCAGCCAGAGCGGCTGGAACTCGAGGCATGCATGGATCATGGTTGCCGCCTCCATGGCGATATACAGCCGCTTTGAAACAGCGTCGCTATAGGCTGGCGGCTGCCTGGTTGGCAAACCAGCAGCGTTCGGTGCGCCCTCCGAGTCTACCGCCATGGCATCCACCGCAGCATCGACACTGCTGCTGGTGCTGCTGCCATTGGCGTTGCTACTCGCCTCGGCGTGTATACAAAACTCGCGCAAAATGTTCACCAGCAACGGTGTCTGAGACATAAGCGCTTCGCGCAACGGGCTGCACTCCGAACTGCTCAGCGCGTGCACAAAAATGCGCGCGTAGTGAGTGCTCTCGATTCGCTCAACAAAGTAAACCACAGACTCGGTGGGGTAGCGGTTGAGGAACTTGAACAGCGGCTTCCTAAAAGGACTGGACTCCCTGCGACACAGATGGACCTCTAAATTGACAACCGAGCCAACTAGGTCGTCCAGGAGAACGCCCGCCGTCGACGGCAGCAGGTGAAAGACCTGCAGGATGGCAACCAAAATTTTGATCTCGTTCATGTCCTCGATAGATTTTTCGGACGCGGCCTGCAGCAGGTGTGGGTTGGCCCACTGTTGCATGTGGTCCAGCAGCTTGCGCCCAACCTCGACCTTGAAATAGTTTGTCAGCAGCTGGAGTAGCCGCGCCAGGCCATCGAGGCTTGCAACAGTCAACCGTTTGTAATCTGACAGGTTCAACAGGATCGGCCGGAGCCCAGTCTGCAGCAGATCTCGGGGCAGTTTTTGCTGCTGCAAGAGTACCTGCTTCAGACCATCGTTTGCTGCGTCGACAACCTCGACCGACTTGTGGTAAAGAGATTTAAAAAATACCGATATTATGCGCGCGCGAGTCGGCGTGTTCTTGGCGTCGGCAAACTCGGGGCGCACCATTGCCGAAGTCAGCATGCGGATGCACACATGCCGGAGGTGCGTCAGCGACATGGTGTTTGTGCGAACCTGTGCTGGATGATTGACCAGCGCTTGGTCCTCGGCGTCTGCCAGAGCCAGCGCCTCAGACAACAGACGCAGAAGCTCCTCATTGATCTCAAGGAACGGCGGATCAAGCGACAGGCAGTACGTGATTGCGTCGATATTTCCGATCTGCATGTTGTGCGGCAGCGCACGCAGGGGTTTCCCGAATATTGGTATCAGCAGGCGATCGCGAGATGGGAGAAGCAGCGCGGTGACACTGCAGCCGGTGACATCGACCAAAATGTCCAAGCACGCCTTTGCTGCGTCTCTGACCTCGTTGCTCGGGTTGGCCAGCTCCTTGGTGATCAGCGCCAGGAAGACTTTAGCAGCCGGTTGTTGTCAGGCGAAAGGCGCGCCAAAAGTCGCTTGAACGCCAGCATGGCCCGTTGGGTGGCAGCAGCCATCCCCTCTTGTCTGCTCTTGTCCACCGCATCGGCCTCAGAGGCAGCAGCGTCGGCATCGGCAGCGCCGGATACTGGCTCCTCGCCAGCATCTGCGGCAGATTTAGTCAAGTCGTTGTCAATTGCAATATCAGCATCGGGCATCTCGGCAGGAGCAGGAGCAGGAGTAGAAACAGAGACTGCAGAAGAGGGAGCGGCGCTGCCATCAGCTGCTACTTGTTCCGTGTCAGGTGCGTGTGTACGGTCTCCGCTGGCGAATTTGCTGTTAGGATCGGGTGTGCCGCTGCTTCTGTCAATCGCACCGTTCGCGCCCATGGTGCTCGCATTGTCTGACTTTTCAAAAGCAATCGCACTCGTGGGAGTTGGGGTGGCGCCTTCTACCTCACCATCTATCACCATAGCATCGCTGGCCAACGTAGTCGGAAGCTCGGCAAAGGACCTTGTCGTAGGGGGCCAATCTTAGGGGCAGCAAAGGTTGCATCGAGGTTGCTCTCCTGGCCGGGTTCGCTGTCAGACATGAGCACGTCGCTGGTAACACCATTATTGACAGAGCCGTCTTCGCAGTCCATCTCCAAGGTGTCCGCTCCATCACCGTCCGGTGGCGCAAATATGTCGGCGGAAACGCCTGCTTGATAATCCGCATGAGAGTAGCGGACGACTCGGCGGGGTTCGTGCTTGGTATAACGTTAGAGTGAGTGTCCTTTAGGGTGAACAAGAGCGCCTTGCTGAGCTCAAGCAGGTTTTCAGCTAGCCAAGTGCGCCCTAGGTCGAGCTCCTCAACGATAAAGGCAATTCCAACGCATCCACTATGTTTGGTATCAATGGCAGGGTCGTAGCAGGCTGCGCACAGGTCGGAGACGATGGTCTGCATTGCTGGTAGCTGGCCAACGAGAGAGGCCTTTTTAGATAGCAGCTCGCGCAGCGTAGTGTAAAAGTGCCGTAGCATCAGCGTTCCCATGGCGCGTAGACGCCTCGAGCGCGAGACCAGAACGCGCGAGATGATCTCGGGAACAGCACTGGCAAGCGACATCGCGTGAGTCTTTGCGTCCTGCTGCACAGAATCCGGCTCTGGCGACACGGCCTCAACACATTGTATGATGTGCTGCCGAACGCCGATGGCAATGATGGACAGCAGTAGTTCCCGGGCGGCATCGCTATGCACGCTGGCCAAGCTGAGCGCCCAAATGACGTGCATTAGGCCGCTGTGGCTGATTGGCATGCTCTTGCTGGCGACTACAGAGTCAGAGCACAACTCACTCAGCGTGGCATTGCTCGCGGTCAAGGCAGCCTCGTTGGTGACAATGGGCGTACCTGCCTTGAAGGTGTCGCCGACCGAGGGGCACGACGCAATTATGCGCTCCAAGATCTGGCTGCCCTGCGCGGTGGGCGAGGAAATGTTGGCCAAGCGCTTCAACGCAAGCGGGTCGGACGTCAGCGCGATAAGCTGCCGGCTGTAGCTCTTGGCGTCTTCAAGCGCGCTGTCAGCCTGGCTGTCGGTGACAAAGGGAAGCACGAGTGTGTACCTGGAACAGGCCATAATAAACTCCACCGCATCCTTACGTGCGAGCTCTAGCTGCTTGGTCGACACACGGTCTTCGAGCACCTTGACCGAAAACATGACCGCATCCATCAGCGGCATCGAGACCAGCCTCGGGAGCCCCTCGAATGTCATCGAGACAGAGAGCTTGTCTTCGCTGGTGCCCGAGCCAATGCCGGAGTCAAGCTGCTCGCCAGACTCAACTGGGAATCGTGTCAGGAGCATGTGGCGATTGCGTCCGCCCAGCTTTCCCAGAATGCGCGCGGCCACGGGTGCGTGTGTCGAGGCGCTGGATGGGAGCCGCAAATGCAGCCACAGCGACGACATAATCTCATCCATGACGGGTGTCAAAATGGGGTCCAAGAACTCGCGCGTGAGATTGTCGATGCACAGCTCCAGTGTCCGCAGGCCCTGGCTCACCAACTCGGGGCCAGATTCAAGTGCGAACACGAGCGGCTTCATCAGCAGCGATAGATAGGGGAGCAAAACGCTGAGTCGCACGGGCACAGTCAGGCAAATCTCGACAAACAGCTCCTGCATCGACGACGCCAGCTTGGTGAACCCGAGCGCACTATTAAGGGTCTCAAGCAGGTTCTGCAGCACAGGGAACACCTCCTTGTACAGAGTCTCGTAGCGGCCACCGCCGATGCTGCGGAACAGGGCGCGCAAAAGCAAAAAGTAGTTCTTGGGGCGCTTAGCGGCTTTGGATATGGTCAGCGCCGAGTTGATAATGGTCTGGACGTACGGCTGCAGCACCGGCTCGTTTGCCTCAGGGTAGAGCGCTAGCGCCAGGAATGCGATCTTGAACAGATGCAGCATTGTGCTTGTGAGCGCCTCGTCGTCTGACCCGAGCAGATCCAGCCGGTCGCACAGGTAGCGCAGCATGATGGAGATAAAGGCCGGCGAATTGGGGTCCGACGCCACAAACACCTGGACGCTCGATATGGCCGCGCAGTGGTCGATCATCGCCTGGAACGCGTAGTCGAACTGCGACGTGAACAGCTCATGGAAGACAGCCGGATCGAGGTTGATGAACAGATTTGCAAAGTGCTCAATCTGCTCCTTACCCTCGCGATCGACAAGCTTGATCTGGGCCTCGCGCGACAAAGCAGGGGACCGTGTTGCCTCGCCGTCGCCGTCGTCATCGACATCAGCGACGCTGTCTTGGGCGGCACTCGCTGCGACCTCGCTGCGAATCCGCTCAATGTCGTGGATGCGGCAGGCGCGCAGCCCCTCGCGGAACAGTGACGACAAAAGATCAAGCTCAAAGCCCAGTAGCTGGGCCTCCTGCGTGGACGCTGCCGAAAAAATGGATATACTGGCGCCGGAGGCATCTGTTGTGCCTTCGGCCTCTGCACCTTCGGCCTTGGTAGACTGAGCACGCGGATCCATACCCACTGCGAGCATCGAGTCGCAGCGTTTGAGCCCGTAGATAACGTTCTTGCAGCCGGTGACCAGGCTGCGCAGCAGGAAGCGGAGCTCCTTGATATTATCACCCTGTTCGAACGCGTTTGTGCGGATCAGCTCATTAACGCCATAAATCTTCTCCTCGGCGTGCACGCCTCCGGACTTGATGTCGCTGATCGCTGCCGCTGCCTGGTTGCCGATGGCCGCAAACGAGGACGTGAATGTCTTTAAGATGGTCAGCAGCAGAATGCGGGCGTGGCGCTTGTCGGGGAGAAGCATGATTCGTTCGGTAATGTTGTGCAGCAGCTTGGCACACATCGTGTGGACGCCAGAGCTCAGCGACTGGTCGTGCATGCACCCGGCGTAAAAGTCGATCATCCGCGTGAGCTGGCTGGGAGAAAGATCAAGACGGATGTGGTGAATCAGGTCGGCAAGCATGCTAAACGCAAATGGCTTGAGTATGCACTGGCTGGCCAGGCCTGACCCGACCAGGACCTGCATGTCGAGGAATTTGTCCGCGATCGGCAAAAAGGCCTTGCGGATGTCGGTCGATACAATGTGGCGGGTGGCAATCAAAATCTCCTTGCGCGTGGCGGTCGCCTCAGCCGGGCACAGGCACAGAAGCTGCAGTGTCAGATTCGCGATTCGGTCCTGAAATGGAATCAGCAGTGGCGTGAATCCGCGAGCAAAAAAGGCCAGAAACGACAGCGTCTTTGACTGCGCGGTTATCAGGTCAGAATGGGCACTGCGCCAGTGCTGGTTTTGGCTTTGCGCAGTCTCAGGATGCCCAATGAGTCCCTTGGGTTCAGCTCGAGCATGTGCAGGATTAGCGGCAGTATGTTGGTCACGAACGGGTCGGCGTGGCGGCGGTTCGCCTGGATGATCGAGACGACAATAATTGGTATTTCGGTCAACACTTTGAACGATGATGTGGCTTTACTCAAGTTTTTTGTCGACACGTCTCCCATGTCTGGGCCCGGCGACATGGCGCTGGGAGACATTAAATTGACGTTGGGCGTGGACAGCGGCGCTGGTGTGTCAAGGCTGTCCATGACCTTGAGCATCTGATCGGCGTTGCGGTAGATTTCGGCCGCCAAATCGAGAAACGGCAAAGCGATTCCATCGAGCAGTTGGCGATACATGCGGTGTAGCTCGTATATAATCTTTAGGCACACGACGGCGTTCTCCTCATTTTCGGTCTTCACCAGAGCTAGCAGAGTGGTGACCACCTCCAGCACCACGGGCCTAAACACCTCGCTGTGTGGAATACGCTGTATGACGTCTAGCAGCGTCGAGCGCAGCTTCTATAGACAGGTAATAATGAGAAGCAAAAAATCAAAGTTTGAGTTTTGGTTTGAGTTGAGTTGAATTCAAAGCTGTGTTTCAAAATTTTGATTGGAGTGCCAATTTGCAGTAGTTTTCTCGTAAGCACGTACCTGCTCGGGCGCTGAGCTGACGAACACCGGCGGCGTCTTGAGCAACAGATCACGAATGACTGGCCACAGTATGGCCACAAACCGTGTGTAGTCCTGGAGCTGGAAAAACTCCAAGGACTCGCATAGCTCGTGGGCAATTGTTTGTTTGAGCTTGACATCCAGCCTCTCGTCGCGCAAACGCGTTGCATATACTTCAAAGTTTGTAATTGCCATTTTGGCTGCCAAAGTGTAGAGTTGCTGTCTATGCAGAACAAAGCACGCAACAATGAGGGGGGAGTGTCTGCTGGGTTGCTCCTTGCGAACGCGTGTGTATGCTTTGAAACCGTGGAGGAGCGCAGAGAGCTGAGTGGGTTTCTCGACGAGCGTGAAAATATGCAAACGATCCTAGTTTGTTGTGTTTCGAACTGTTGAGTGAATTGAAACGATAAAGCAATGAGGGTAATGAAAATGAAAAATAATAATAAAGCAAACTTTTAATAAGCTAGAAACTGAAAAAGAAAAGAAAAGTAGACAGCACTCAAGCAGTGGTCCTGCGGTCTGTTGCTGAAACATGCGCTTGAATGGAATTGCCCGTCTCGCAAAAAAAAAGTTGAAATAGTTGCAGCGCTCAGCCGTTGCCCAGAAAAATTTGGCCCCATAGTAGCTTATAAACAGCACGTGATTGTAGTTTTTTTTTATTGTTTGGCAATGGGCAAGGTGGCGTGGTAGACCAATCTTATTCATCAGCTTTGGTTTTGTCTTTACTTGTTTTATATCTCGCCCAATGGATCTGTTTTCTCTCATCAAAACTAGTCAAGCTTCGCGCCGTCCGTCTCTTTCTAACTTTTAGCTTCACGAAAAGAAATCAATTGTAATTTGCATTTAATTGCTCTCACAAATTATTATATTTTTAAAATTTCTCAGATTTTACCACCGAGAAAGCACCGGACTCATCAACAGCCTGCTCCTCATTACTCCAACACACACCGATAGGACATGTCCAAGAAAAATATCAGCAACGAACAGCCCAAGGCGGCAGCGGCGCAGATATCCTCGGTCCGGTCGATGTAAGCAAAGCATGAACTCGCTTTGAATTCTTTGAATGGTTTGTCGAGCTCTTTTGGGCACTGCAATTTTAATTATTACTGAAGCATTCGCTGCGCAAATCCATTTTTTGGGTGGGGTGGTTTTTATATGTAGAAGCCCCAGTCGCCAGCATTGAGGGCGCAGACACCGACAAAGCTCAGGGCGTCGTCGCCAGCTTTTCAGCCATCGCCAGCCAAAACGCAGCAGAGTATTGTTGGGCTCTTGTCACCCGGATCGCAGTCCAAAATTGGCCCTGGAAACAGTATGCCATTGAAGATCGCACCCGCATTCACTCCTCGGCATCAGAAGCAGCAGCAGCAGGATGCACAACGGACTGGTCAGACACTTCCCAAAAAGGTTGGCCAGGTCGCAACACAGCTCACGACTGCATTCACAAAGGCATCCTTGGACGACAGCCCAGCCGCCGCAAGCAGCAGCGACAGGAACAGTATGGGCGTCGAGGACGACTTTGTCATGACGCTGCCACAGGGCACCAGCCAGACGACATTTATGAAGCCGATCGGACACTTTGCAATTGACGAGAACCTTCGGAGGCTACTAGTCACGGAGCTACATACAGAAAATGAAGTGGTGGAATCGGGTCTGCCATTTCAAATTCACAAATACCACTCGCTGAGCCCGCTCGAGACAGTCGATATCTTTGATGCCTCGGGGTCCATCAAGGTGCAAGCAATGAAGGCACAGTCCATTGTTGACGGCCGCCACTACACTCTGCACCGCATAACCAGCGCGCATGCGGCAAACCAAGCAGCTCTCGGCGAAGTTGACAAATGGAAACTGGTGCAGAATCCAAGCATCGCTCAAGTACATGAGGCCTTTACCACTCGCGCGTTTGGCGACAGCTCGCTGATTATTGTGCGCGACTACAAGCCGCTAGCATCATCTTTGAAGGTCAAAGTTGTCGATAGCCGTACGTTGGTGTCCGAGCCTTCCTCTGGAGCATTGTCCTGCAGCTGACTTCGGCACTGAGGGCCGTGCATTCCGCTGGTCTGGCCGTGCACACATTGTCGGTGTCGACCGTCATTCTCTCCCCAGCTAACAGGATCTATCTTAACACGTGCGGGCTGGCTGACGTGCTGTCGCTACGAGACAGAGTCAACATTGACGCCTCCCAGCAGGGCGACCTGCACGCGATTGGTCAGATTCTTAACGTTATCCTGGGCGTGAATCCCGAAAACATTGTCAGCATAGCAGGGCAGGCGCCGGTGTTGATTCCGGGCGTCAGCTTTTCAACTGACTTTAAAGAGCTGCTTAGCTATCTCAACGGCCGCCTGACCCCGGTGATTGCCATCGACGACATTCTGCGCCTGGCCGGATCGCGGGTGTTTGCCGAGCTCGATGCCGTGCGCCGTGAGGCCGACTTGCTTCACAGCAACATCAGGCTGGAGATGTCCAACGGGCGGCTGGCGCGGCTGATGTGCAAAATGAACTTTGTCACCGAGCGAGCGGACAACAGCATGGACCCCGAGTGGTCAGAGACTGGCGACCGATACCTCATCAAGCTCTTCCGCGACTACGTGTTCCACCTGGTCAACGAAAACGGCAGGCCCGTGACAGACATGGCTCACGTGATTGGTAATCTCAACAAGCTCGACGCAGGATCGACCGAAAAGGTCATGCTCATGTCCCGCGATGAAAAGTCGTGCTTGGTTGTCTCATACGCCGAGATCAAGCGCTGTGTCGAGGAATCTTACAAGGAGCTCATGACATCGCCCAAAGTCTGGAAATAGTTCAAACAATATATAAGGAATATTTACTTTTCTTTGCTTTGCTTTGCTTTGCTTTGCTTTGCTTTGCTTTGCTTTGCTTTGCTTCTCCGCAGCAGGCACGACCGTCCATCCATGCAAATTGCAGTGCCAAAGTTTGCTTCGATTCGAGCTGAATCGAGCCGCAGCAATCTTTCCTTCCCCGCAGCGTAGCGTAGAAAATCGTTTTGGGCCTCCATCACGCGTGCACGCTTTCTATAAATTGGCGCGCAAATTTTTTTTTACAAAAGGCCCAAAAGGAAGCAGCTTATAGTAGCTCTCTCGCTGTGGCTGCTACAACAAAAAAGCCGTGGTCAGTCAACAAGCTGAATGTGAATTCAGTTTTCTCTGGTTTTTTTCCCAACCATATTTTCAACACTTTTATATATTTTCTTTTTTGCAGAATTCGCCAAATTCAATTATTTATTTGCCCCAAGCGCACCACAAATCGGAAACACAAATCAACTCCGCATTCTTTTCTTTTTATTGTTGTCGTTCATTATTACGCTATTCTCTCGACAGCACCAATTTGCTTGACAGGCACGAATAAAATCCAAGTAGAAACAAAAAATAAACCACATTCCAAGCAAAACTTGCTGATTCCCCCCGATACAACAGAAGAAAAATGAATTTTTCTGACATTCTTGGCGGCACTCTTTCGCCGGATGCCCGCATTCGCGAGCAAGCCACCCACGCTCTGGAGAGCGCCGAGAGCGAGAACTTTGTAAGCTTCACATTCGGCAAATTCCGTTGCACATTGTTTTTTACTTTTGCATTTGCTGTTGATTATGAAAATCCAAAAATGCAATGTCAACTGGTTTTTTAACAATGTGCATTTTCACCGTACTGCTTGCATTTATAACTGAATTCCGGCTGGCTCATTCTTTACCTCTATTTGTTTTGTGTAGGTCCAGTATTTGCTCTCACTGACCCAGGAGCTCGCCAACGAGGCTGGTCAAGCACCCATCCGCTCGGCCGCTGGTATCGCGCTGAAGAATTCACTTTCCGCAAAGGTACGTAACAAAGCAACTTTTTATTTTGGAATTTCACCGCATTTTTATTTTGGGCAATAAAGGGCCATTCATTGCGCTTTATGTTTGTTACACTTTACTTGCATGCAGCAGCGCCCTTGCTAAAAAATGTGTGGGCACTGCTACTCGCCACTGTTGCCGTCTGCACCCATGATGTATGTGGCGAGTGCGTGATGGATTGGTTTCTGTTTTTTTGCATGATCGTTGCTGGTCATGAATACAATAAAGAAAACACAAAACACCAACTCGCAGCCTATGTGTCTCTGAGTTTTTCTTTTGCACCTATATTTAATCTTGCTGGCCATGTTTTTCCCCTTGCAACCACTCTTAGGATGAGACACGCCAGATGCAGCATGCCCAGAGATGGCTCCAGATTGACGAGGCCGTCCGTAGCCAGATCAAGCAGGGAACTCTGATCACCTTGGGCTCAGAAAATCGTCAGGCCACGACAGCTGCGGCACAGACAATCGCTGCCATCACTGCCATCGAACTCCCCCAGGGCCAGTGGACCGATGTCGTCAACACGCTGTTGCAGAATATTTCGACTCCCAACACCAATCTGAAGATTTCGAGCCTGCAGACCATTGGTTTTATCTGCGAGACTATTGATCCCGAGATTTTGGCCACTCAGAGCAACACAATTCTCACTGCTGTCATCCAGGGTGCCAACGCTGAAGAGCCCAGCCAGGATGTCCGCTACGCTGCCATTACAGCCCTGTACAACTCGCTCGAGTTTGTGCGCCAAAACTTTGAGAACGAGGGCGAGCGCAACGTGATTATGCAGACGGTCTGCGAGGCCACCCAGAGCCCCAGCACCAACGTCAAGGCCGCTGCCTTCGAGTGCCTGGTCCGCATAATGCAGCTCTACTACGACAAGATGGGCTTTTACATGGAAAAGGCGCTGTACGGTCTGACCGCCATGGGCATGAACCATGAGGAGGAGAAGATCTCCTTGCAGGCGATTGAGTTCTGGTCGACCGTTTGCGACGAGGAGATCGAGCTACAACTTGAAGAAGAGGATGCCAACGAAAGCGGCCGGCCCTTTGACCGCACCAACTTCCAATTTGCCAAGACCGCCCTGCCCCAAGTCCTGCCCACCTTGCTCTTCCTCCTGACCAAGCAGGATGAGGATGCCGACGAGGATGAGTGGAACGTGTCCATGGCCGCCGCCACCTGCCTGTCGCTGCTCGCCCAGACCATCGGCAACGACATTGTTGCGCCTGTCATTCCCTTTGTTGAGCAGAACATCCGGAGCCCTGACTGGCACTGTCGCGAAGCCGCAGTCATGTCCTTCGGATCGATTCTCGAGGGTCCAGACCCCAATGTGCTCACCCCGCTGGTATCGCAAGCACTTCCCGTGCTGATCGAGATGGTCAAGGACCAGGTCCTGCAGGTCAAGGACTCGGCCGCGTGGACCCTTGGTCGCGTGTGCGACGTGCTGATTGACTGCATTCAGCTCGACGTGCACTTGCACAACCTTATCAGCGCCCTGGTCGCGGGCCTCGAGGATAACCCGCGCATTGTGGCCAACTGCTGCTGGGCAATTATGAACTTGACCGAGCAGCTCGGCGGCAACGATGCTGTGACTTACCCTTTGTCCCAGTACTTTGAGGGCATTATTTCGACCCTCATGCGCAGCACTGAGACCAACGTCAATGAGAACAACTCGCGCACATCAGCCTATGAGACTATGGCGACGCTTGCGAGCACTGGAACCAAGGACACGTTCCCGACCATCGCAAAGCTTGGTCTTGCCATCCTAGACAGGCTCGACACCACCATTGCCAATGCCAGCCAGGTTGTCGGCACTGACGACCGCGTGGCTCTGAGCGAGCTACAGTCAAACCTGCTCAACGTGCTAACCAATGTCACTCGCACCCTGGGCAGACAGTCTCAGAGATCGCCGATCGCATTATGACCAGCGTGCTGCAGCTTCTCAACACCAGCAGCAAGATGTCGGTTGTTGCCGAGGACTCCTTCCTGCTGGTCGGGGCCTGATCACAGCGCTCGAGAGCGACTTCTCTCGCTACCTCGAGACATTTGCACCTTTCCTCTACACCGCCCTACATAACCACGAGGAGTACCAGCTCTGCTCAATTTCGGTTGGCCTGATCGGTGACATCTGCCGCAGCCTGGGCCGGGACGCGGCGCAGTACTGCGACCAGTTCATGACCATCTTGCTGCAGGACCTCGAGTCGGACGTGCTCCACCGCGACGTCAAGCCCGGAATCCTGTCCTGCTTTGGTGACATTGCACTAGCAATTGGCGGTCGCTTCGAGAGCTACCTTGAGGTCTCCTTCGGCGTGCTTATGTCGGCGTGCAACCTGAGCGCCAACACCCAGGCCAGCGACTACGACACCATTGACTACAACAACCAGCTGCGCGTCGGCATATTTGAGGCATTTGTTGGCATTGTCCAGGGCCTCAAGTCCGACGGCAAGGCCCAGCTTATCTTGCCTCAAGTCCAAAACATCCTGAACTTTATGAATGTTGTGTACTCTGACCAGACAAGGTCCGAGGATGTCACTAAGGCGATGATTGGCCTGCTGGGTGATCTGGCAGATGCGTTTGCTAATGGTGGAATTCGCGACTACGTGCGTGCCGATTGGATTCAGGACCTGATCAAGGAAGGCCGCGCCAACCCGCGCGGCTCTTCGATTCGCGAAGTGTCTCGCTGGGCCCGCGAGATGGTCAAGCGGGCGTCGGCGTAAGCAGAGCTTTCTCATATATATCCCACTCACGTTTTCTTTTTTGATTATTATTAAGCCTTTTTAACAGCTTTGTTCAGCAAGTTAACCACAAATTTGCTTTTTCTAACCCGCATGCTGAACAAAACGGGTCTGGGAGGTATCTGAACGTGTATTTATTGATTCAAACCTGCTATGCGGCTCTGCGCATTAAAACAAAAATAGGTGCATGATAATGCTTTCAATTGGGCCAAGGGGGGCGCAGTCGAAAAAAAAACGAAAAAGCACCATTTGTAGTGACCGCGAGGGCGTCAACGGTTCAAGGGGCAGGGTGATTATCCAAAAAAACTGGATACGCAGCCAACAGAAGAAATAGTCCCTGAAATCAGACGGCGCATTTGGAACAAAGATATTGCTGCAGCCTTCAACATATGCACATCTTCAACTGCTTCGGCGAGGGATTGGAGATTCCTGCTCGGTTCACGCGATCAGGGACAAAAGATGACTGGGACAAATATGCACATAATTGAGGATACGTCTCAGTAACCAATTTTATTTCCCCACATATTTTTCCGTATTCTGGTGGTTAACGCCTCACTTATTCCCACAAGGCTGTTTGAACACATTCTTGATTAGCTGTCTGAGTAATCAGCAAGCGAAGCTAATGGGTAATGCTGACTTCTCTCGACCTTATTGAGAAACCAATGATTACGAAATGTAACTTTACCTTTGTATATTCAATCGAGAAGTCAGGCAGTAATAGCCGCGCCACCTTGATATGAGAAATGAATAAAAATTATATTATTTATTTGTTCTTTGAAGTTACATTCGCTAACCTCAGCGAAAGACAGGGTCGGGCAACAACCTAATTGAAATGGAGGCGCTTTATCCCAAACTCTCAAAAAGAGGGTTACTTGTCCTGAGGTTTTGAGCAGTATATCCATACAAGCCTGCGCATCTCTGGGCGATGTATTTCCCAATGTATTTGGCCAGCGGGTTAGTCGATGCGGCCAGCTGCCTGGCGTTGGCACGCAGCAGCAGCTCTTCCAGCTCAGTATCTGCACCGCCGAGCTTCTTGTGCACCGCGGCGATTGGCGCCAACGCCGCATTGCGCACCTGGTTCCGCGGGTGGTTGACGCAAGCTGTCGAGTACGGTATAAACTTGTCCAGCTCCTGTGTGTTGATCATCTCTGGCGACGACAGCCGTTTTACCACCTCGGCGACAAACTCAAAGACCACAGCCAGCGCGTTGTCCATTTTAAACACGCCCATGGGGTCCATGCTGGGCAGCGTTTGGACCTGAGGTTCCAGCAAACTGCGTATCCCGAACGAGAGACGCTGTTATCCTGCGCCAGTGATGGCAGGGGTGCCCGCTGGAAAAATCCTCGGCCAACTCGAAGCACAGGTCTGCATCGAGTTGGGTTGTCATATCGTAGTAGGCGTCTTCTGCGGTTCCGCTGAGAATTGTCGAGTCTACAAACCGGTTGCGCACCACCTCGAGCAGCAGCAGCCTGGCTGTATCCAAAGTAAAGTACTGCGACTTGCGGTGCACCAGCACACGCAAGACATCGAAGCAGCTATCCTTCACGAACACAGTGTTGCGGGTTTCAGTAGGGTTCTGCAGCCAGCCCAGGCACGCCCGTAGAAGCGGTCCAGATAGCCTGACCCTCCGGCTTCCGTCCCAACCCACGAGTTCCCTGACCCTTCTTTGGCAAACCGCGCCAGGCTGCGAAAAATAGACTCATCAACGTCGCAGTTTTCGGTAAGGCGCTTCAGATACATGTCAATTTTGTTCAGCCGCAGCGGAGTCTCTGCTGGCACTGGTGATGGGCCACAGTCGGCCGAGGCATTGTGACAGACATCACCGGATCCACAGGGCCATACCAGTATCTTGCTGTTTGCGTGCGCGGAGTGGCTGTCTGATTGGCATACGCCGCAATTAAAGCGGCGCTGGAATTTCGGTACTCATTTTGAGGCGACGGGGTCATCAGCGGTGTCCGCTCTGGAGTCAAAAAGTGACCGTGTGCTGTCTCTGCTAAGCCTGAGTCGCTAGACTGGCGCGATGCGACGTGTTCTGCCATGTCCGTCGAGTGCATTTCATTGCCGTGTTCGTCCATGCGCATGAAATCGACAGCTGGAGTCCTTGCTGGCTGCGGCGTGCTGTACTGGCTAGAGGCGTGTCCTGTGTTTGGCGCCACCGTCAGCGCTTGGATGAAGCTAAGTGGTACAACGTTGTGATCCATGAGTCCAACAACAGACATTTGAGCAGTGGTCTGCACCGCCTCTTGGTTGTCAAACTGAGAGTCACTTGCAGCTTGGCCAACGGGCGTCATACGACTAACCACCTCTGCTGCAACATCTGTCTCTCCAGCTGCCACGATAGTCCTTGCGTCGTCTGTATCCGTTTCTATGTCCATGTCCATGTCCATGTCCATATCCATACCCATGTCCATATTTGCACTGGCACCAGTGCCAGAATCTGCGCTCACACCCGCGTCCACACCTGCATTGGTACCCGCGTCCAGGTTGGCGGTTATGAGCGGGTCTCGAGGCGGTGTGTCCATCTCGAGAAGCGAGGTTCCCATATCTACTTGGTTAAAGTCGATTAGCCCCAAGGACATGCGCGCCTGCACGGGTGTCCTGAGCCCATGGACGCGTCTGCGAACGTACTGGTGACTTTGGATGCTGGGCCCCCCAAACACGAATGAATCATCCTCATCTTCACCCTCATCCATCTGCACATCATTGCTCCCGTCGGTGTTTTTGTCAGCAACAGCAATCTGGTCAACTATTTTCGGAGTTCTTCTCTCATCAAGCACCATCGACTGTCGGAGATCCGACGGCTGGCCGTATCCATCGCCTCGTCAGCATCGCTAGAGAAACTAGGACGCGCTGACGCGGGAAGGCATTGTGGGCCGCGGCCGAAGCAAGCGAAATCATCGGGTTGGGAGTAGGCGACCCTCGCATGCTATTGAAGCTGGGACGCATCCCAGACTGCCGCGCGCTCGAGTTGGAAGGGGTCCTAAGCACAGCGGCAGCTGAAATTGGCCGATCGTCTTGGATTATATTGCGCGGGTGGTTGGATTGTCCTCGCGCACATACTTGGCCTTGTCGCGCAGCAGCATGGTGCGAGTGCTATCTGGGAACGAGGACAGTAGCTTTTTCCCGTGGATTTCTGATACATTGTGCAGTTCCCAAAACAGCTCCCGCGATGACTCTCTACTGCTGGCTGCGCATCAGTCACGCCGAGCTTGACGATCTCCCCATCGTTGTCATGATCTCGACAGTGCGGCGGTCTGACGATTCGAGATTCTTCTCATGGCTGGCTAGAATGCTAATACAGGTGGTGACCATCACCGACCTGAGCACTGCGCTCTTGTCGGACATTCGCTGGCGCAGGGAGTCGACGGCCTTTGCACGCAGCGGAAAATGCTGGAAGACCACCTCAAGCGACTTTGCTGCCTTTTGAGCGCCAATCCGCTTGGTCTGGGAACACTGTTTGAGCAGCGCATCTGAAATAGGATCAAACATGGCAGCGGCGTGAGGCCCTAGTCGCATTGCAATGTCCTCGCACAAGCGCATGGCGCATAATGACATCGAGGTCCTCAGGCTACTGACCGCCTTGAGTATTTCATGTAGGTGCTCCTTCAGGTTGGCAACCAGGTCTTCGTGGAATTCGATTGCTGCGTTTCCCCACACAATCCCGCGATACAAAGTGGTGGCTCGCTCGCGCTGCACCCAGTTGTCCTCAGACTCGCGCCCAGCAAAAAAGCCCGCGTTAAGGGCAAATTCTGATGACAGGCCTTGTTTACTAAAGACATTATGCACCTTGACGTCGGCCGGCACATTTGGGCACGGCACAAAATCTCAGAAAGCTGGGCTAGTGACGGCTGCCTCCGCAAGGGCCGGCGCGGGTTGAGCATGCTCGATGGACACCGGTTAGTCGCAGCTGACATGGCGTTTGGCGTCTGCATGGGCGGCGGGCTCGGGGTTGAATACGGGTACGAGGGCGAATACGATCCTGCATTGGCACCCACAGATGATGGACCCACCAGACCATGCTGCAAGGACAAGTTGTGATAGGGCTGCTGTTGATTGTGTTGATTATTCTGCTGACTAGGCCGTACGGGCGAGAGCGACCCAGTATTCCCAATACTCGATCCGGGACGAAGTCCTTGTTGGGACATGCTGCGGTAGTTGCTGGTTCGGAACGCGCCATTGGCTGAAAACTGCGATGGTGGAGGCAATGGCGGCACCGGCTGTGATGGGAGCGGCGGAGGAACGCGCGAGTCCATGCGTGAACTCGAAAGTCGCGATCCCGGACGGGAGATATGCACATTTCCCAGACGCGACCCGCTACGCATGCCTCCATACGGTGACGCAGCCATTGTAGCCAGCTCGCCCTTGGGATCAGTGATTGCAGACATTAATGTGGGGCGCTGGTGCTCCAATACCCGCACACGCGCAATAATCTCGCCCTGGAGCTCTGGCCGCGAGTGATAGATCATGTTCAGCGCCCGCTTGCTAGAAAATCGCACGGCTTCCTGGGTATCGTCTAACAACCCAAAGGCGCAGCTAATGTAGTGGGATGCCGGAAAGTGGGGGTGCTCTTCAACGCAGCAGTGAAGCCACTCAAGAGCCATCTCTCGCACGCGCCATATCTTGTGCTCGAAGCCCTGCGTCTGCACATCGCGCTCAAAGGTGGCAGCCGCATTCCATTGGGACAATGGCGAGGATGGCACGCGAGGTTTGGTGATCCGCGATTTAAATGGCGTAGTGAATTTGGGAAGTGAGCTGCCAAGCATGCTGTAACTGGAGCTGCTGGACCGCGTCGGCGACGGCGGCTGATCCAAGGATGACTTGCGACTTTGCATGCTGTTCAGTTCAAGCCACATTGATGTGAGCGTCGTGAGTGTCAATGCGCGCACGGCCAGCCGTCCATCGCCAAGCCTATCGAGTAACTGAGGCAAAATAAAATGAAGCAGCGCCTTTGTGGCCTGCAAATTGGAGTCGCGCGTGATGAGCTCAACGAGGGGCTGGATACACGCAAGTGCCGCCTGGCACGCAATGACCTGCGACGACCCGAGGATGGGTGCAAGAATGGCGAAAATCCCCTCAACAGCTTTGGTCTACAGCACTGGGAATGCAAAGGCACATAATACGCAGAAACATGGTACAAATATTAGTGATTTTGTTGCGACAATTCATGTTGGCTCTGCAGATGCATCAGCAAGCGCGTAGAATAGGAGTGCGACTGAAAGAAAAGTGTGTGGGCATCTTAGTTTACTCACCGACCCTGTTGTCCCTTGCGCCAGGCATTCCTGTAGTCGCTCGAGCACTGCAACCTTCTTATCCAGGCTGAGTGTCTGGATGTTTTGCAGTGAGCGGTGCAGCTGGTCCAATGTCTCGGACATTTAGGTATGTGCGAAAGCGTGCGAGTGAGTGTTTAATAATAGGAGTAGTAATGCAGTGGCACGTCTATGCGCCGGGGGAGCGTGGAGCGTGGGAAGCGTGCGTCTTGTATGAGGTGACCAAAAACCCGTATAGTGACGTTGTTCGTGCTGCTTCTACTTTGAAAATAGTGTTTGAATTACTGGGAATGCAGTGGCTGCTGCTTTGCGCACTCAATTATCGTTCTTGCGTATATTTCCCGTCCTTGGTTTGGGCAAATATAGTTTAATATTACCACCCAGACGTATGGTAGCGTGCTCTTTCTAGTGGCCGTGTCTTTGGGTATAAAAAAGGGCGCAGTGGTGTATAGAAAATATAATAACGCAAAATGCAAAGGCAGATAAAAATTAAGACGTTAAAAATAAAAAACAAGTTGGTTGGAAGAAGGAAATATGTGTAAGCCAAAGGCGGCAAAGAAAATAGCTGGAAGGGTCCCTTTTAGGACTTTTTTGGCTTAAGATTGCAATTAATTAATTAAAATTAAACATTAATTGAATTCTGCATAACCGCTTATAGAAAATATGAGCACCTGCGTGCAGTAGCGGCCTTTAGCTTGATGAGCCAAGTAGTTGTAAAGCATGGAAAACAAGCTGTCGCTGCCAATATCAATGCTGCCACTGATACTGCTGCCCCCAAATTCGCCACTTGGGAATGCCAATGTATTACTGCTTCCGTCTTCTGGAAGCAGGCTGGGGTCGATTCCGTTGGCCTCCAACATGCCTCGCAGGCTGTTTATCCAGTCGACAACCGAGCCTTCGCTGCAGCCAATGTCTGTTGGCAGTGTATAGGGGTAAACCGCTTCGGTGGTCTCGACAGCAATGGCGTCAGCGGCAGAACAAGCGACGGCATAATGCGAGTCCATTGGCACCGGCATTGACATCGGCATGCCATGTAACTGCAGCAATGACGGCTGCGGCGGCGGGCTGCTGCCATATCCTGCGGTAGTTGTATCCTATCTTGCCCTACAGAGTACATGCTTTGTGCACTTGACGGGTTGCTTTGGATGTATTTGAAAAACTCGCGGTATCCGTCGCCACTTTTATGCTTTGCACTCACAGCAGCAGCAGCAGCAGCATCAGCATAAGCATCAACATCCGAGAAGCCGCACTTGTGGTGTCCAACGCAGCATAATACGAGCGCCTGGGCAAACCAGTGGCTGAGAAGACTGTGCTGCTTTTAGCGCGTCCTTGGGCTCGGCTTGATTTTGGGCTTGGGCTTTGACTTAGTCTTCGACTTGGCCGTCTTTGTTTCAAACTGCGCTGCTCCGGATTCAGAAGTTGCCAGTGGCTGTGCAACTGGGGGAGCGTAGTCTTTGGGCAACAATACCAGCACCGGCTTTGTCTCTGAATATTCTAATGCAGAACCATTGTCTGACTGAGATAAGTGCGAGATGTGTGCAATTGAATCAACCGCTGCAGCGCTGACGCCCGTGCTTTCAAAATTGGTGATCCTGCTGCTCGAGTGAGCCAGTGCTCTGGCCCATGGCAATGTGTGGTCGTCAACAGCAAATGCAGAGGAAATATCTATGCCTGTGTGCTCGCTGGCTAAAAATTGCAAATTGGAGCTGCTGGCATTACTTACGTCATCGTAATACTTGCCAAATACATGGGCAAAATCCTGGCTGCTGTCTGCAGAAAGCACGGCTGCAGTCGACGGATCAATCTGCGCAATGCTGAACGGTTGGTTGAGATAGTGGCTTGAATTGTCAGTGTTGACAGCTGTGGCAAATGCCGACATGCTCCCCGGCGACCCTGGCAGCGCAATGTTCGAGTTTACAGAAACATTCCACCCGGAATTCCAGTTACAAACGAGCCCGACATTGGTGTGCTCATAGTGGGAATGCACTCTGAGGGATAGATCATTGGGCTGCCAAATGAGTCTTCAAGACTGGCCAGCGCTGCTATGTCTGCCACCGTCAAACTGGGACCAGACGCACTCGTTGGAACTAGCCCGGGTGGAAAGTTATACATGTGGTGAGGATGGGACGGACTCAGGCCTATGCTGAATGTGGGCGGCATGAGCATTGACCCGCACATGCTCACCGGCGTCTGTGGCTGGAGCATCGAGTGCGGAGTCAAATGTGAGCCAGATAGCAAGGGCAGCTGCTCAAAAGCTTGCTCATGGCTGGCGGACGCCCACAGGGGCAGCTCTGTGTTTCCACCGAATGGCTGCGGAGAAAATCCGGTGCTGCCGCTGACCAGTGAATCCAGCGATGAGTGTGGCAGCTCTGAAACCACTCTTCTGGCCCGCTTGGACGGTTGCTCAGGGGGCTTGGGAGAGCATGCTTGCGCTCATTAAATGGGACGTTTAGTGACAGCTGCCGGACAGCGCCGTTGCCGATTCCAAGCGAGCAGCTGCCATTGGGAGAAAGCTTTTTGAGCGCGTCGACGTTGCTGGTGGACACTACTCGCCGGACTTCTTCTTTGTCGAGCCCTGGAACCCAGTGGATGTTCTTGTGTAGTGCTCCCTGAACAGCGTCTGCAATTCCAAGAACGTGTCAGATTCATGTTATGGCTGCTAGGAGCCCGCTTGCAGTGCGCCCATACCTGGATATGAGAAGACACCTGCTTGCGGGCGCGGAATCTGCCGGTCATCATGAAAATGTACCGCGAGATAATGTCGTTCCTACCAGAAAGCTCGGTGGTACGGGAGTTTGGCATCTTTGGATCGAGTTGGTACTTCCGCTGGCCGACTGTTGCAAATAGATGTGCCGCTATAGAAACAAGTAGGCAAGCCGGATAATATTATAAATATGCAGGTTATCTTAATGTGTGAATTTTTTAATTTATTTGATGTTGATAATAGCATGTACGCGCGCATTTTAACTGTGGCAGGAAGCGACATTGCGATATTTACCTTTTAAAAACGAGTCCTCGATCTCTGGCGGCCAGACCTCTTCGTCAGTTAGCACTTCAACTGTGGCCGAGTGATAACTCTCGACGTCTAGATCGGCCAACAGTGCACGCACAGTTTTTGCGTCCATTGAGTAAATTGTAATGTTTTTTTGTAATATAGAGTATGAAGGTGTCGAGATACGCGCTTGTATAGAGGGAGGGATATTGTGGATTGTGGCTGGGCGTGAGTTTAATAATATGGTAATACTGAATGTGTGCTGTATAGGTTTAAACGAATGGGTATAAAGATAATTTAGAGATACTAGCTGCAATCGAGTCAGACACAGATAGCGGCTACAAATTGTGGACTGCTCACTAAATCGTAATGGCGATATGACTATGGAAGTTATTGAAAGGGCCAAATGTGATTATATGTCTGTGTATTTTGATCGGCGGACAATTTCAATACGGGTAAAATGCCAAAATGTGAAGCGTGTTGGAACTTGTCGTGAGAGAGCGAGTTAATGAGTTAACGAGGAAGAAATAAGAAAGTTATAGAGAATTGCGAGCTAAAACTAAAGAATCTTTAAATATCTAATTGTGTGATCGATGGTATCGTGATTATAATAATAAGCTAGAGGTAAGAAAGGGGAAGTCGAATGGCGGACAATAATGGAGTGGTAATTAAATCTCTACACGTAAAAAGTACATTAAAATTAAAAAGGTAGATATACTAAATATTGAAAATAAAAAGTATAGCCGGGAAATATCAGACGGCGTAAGGAGGAAAGGGGAGGGAGGAAGAGGAAAAATAAGAGGAGGAAATACAGCACACGACAAGGAAAACAGCATAGTTTTTTTTGCAAGGCGGCAATGCTCGTATATATGAAAATTAAGAGTAGTAAATCGCCACGCGAACAAAAGATCGTTTACATTATTTTCCTTCTTTAGCGGTAAGCGTGTTGGCTGTTAGTGTTTATGTTATTCTTTGAGATGCGCGCAATTCTAATAATTTAAGGATTTCGCGAACCTGCACCCTGAAAAGCGTGCCTTGGGAAATACTACTGCGCGATGACAACTGCAAAGCAGTTTGGTGTTGACGAATGCGCCAGCAATTTTTGATAAATAAAACTCGCTCCCCGCATGGACAACGCCGAGAGTTGCGTAATTATGTCAAAGCAGTCCCTGGATTGCAAATGATAATAGGACAAGTTGGGGGTGTGAAAACTGCAATAAAATGTTACTTCTGTAGCAGTCATCCAATTGGAAAACCACAAGCATTCAGGAATTCTCAAGTGTGTGAGCTTGGGAGAAGAAAGAATGCTATCGGCCAGTGCAAAACGTTTGCATATTTCATAACACTATATGACGAGACAGTAGGCAGATCAACAACGTTTTCCAAACCCCAGATTAGAGTAGGGCAAACGTGTCAAAGTGGACTTGGCAGCCATGCCAAATATATCGGTTTTGGCCTGTAAAGTTTTAGCACCCTGCACGGTTTGTGATCTACATGTCTTCTCTGTTCAAAATATGATCATGTGACATCTGTGGACCCTGAGCCGCGGTGGATAAAATCATGCAGCTCGAACTGCAGTTTGTATTTTTAAGCGCAATTTGCTGGGTGATGACCATTGGCTGATGTATCGGTCGATTCTTTTCACGCGGTGCATATTATTATATCGTTTTCAATTGTTCATCGCTTGGAGAAAATTAAAACCCCCACCAAAAAAAAGCTGCCAAGCTCATTTCATTTTTATATTTTTTGTTTGCATCTGATTTATTTTTAATTGTTCACTTTAGTAGACGACCCTTGTTCTGACATTTACATTTACTCTAATAAAACTTGTCTTGGTTAACATTTTCTCCCACACACACGCACACGCATACATACAAACATACGCACAGACAAATTACCTTTTCGACATTAATTTGTTGAGCGCCTCATACCATTCCCTTTTACAACATTTTAACAAACTAGCGGAGCAAAAATGGCAGATAACACAGTCACCGAGAGCCCCTCAAAGGAGCTTATGAGCTTTGCGGGATATCTTTACAACCCTTCGAAATCCGGGCTGCGTGCACGCGAGGGTGTGCTCAATGGGCGCCGTGTGCAGTTTTTTAAAGGAAAGAGCGCGGTCAACGCGCTGACCAAAGCAGAGGACGGCAAGAATCCCAAGGTGTCGTCGCAAGAGGAGGCAATCGATTGGGTACAGGAGCTGCTCGACTTCCAGCTCATTGTGCGCTGTGACAGAGTCGGCGATGGATCTCGGCAGCTGCGCGTAAACCCAATGCAGAATTACGAAGAAGAGGCTTATTACGCCTGGCTGTACGAGGGGTCGCAGATGTTTGTCATTCTTGGCGGAATCGGTGTTGTAGCCGTCGTCCTGGCTGGAGTCATGTTCCCGCTGTGGCCGTCGGTGCTGCGGAATGGCACTTGGTACCTGTCCATGTTGGCGCTTGGACTCATTGGCCTGCTGTTTGCCACTGCCATTGTGCGCCTAATCGTCTACATCATATCGCTTGTCGCCGCACCGCAGGGCCTGTGGATATTCCCCAATCTTTTTGAGGACGTGGGATTCTTCGAGAGCTTTGTTCCGTTATACGGTTGGGAAGTTCCAAAGGATGCTGTTTTGAGCGGGAAGGCAGGCGGACCGGGCCCATCTGGAAATGCTGCAGATTCAGGACCCGGGGTCGATCAAAAGAAGATTGACTAGGTGCCATGTGCATGAGCTGAGGTCAAATACTATTGCTACTGCAACATGGGGTTTTGAGTATTTTATATTCTTTTTTGCAAAGATTTCTAAATATCAATATGTCCGCATCAAACAAAATCAAAATCAATGAATCATAATACTACCAGTTCATTGGAACTCGAGGAGAGGGGTGATCAGCACTTATGCTTGGTAAAATCGAGACAGCACTTCTTGGTCGAGAAATCAGCCATATTGTCGGGCAGTGTCAGTCCGACGTTGGGCTTGATGTTTGACGGCGACACGGCTGCACGTACCGGCGAGTTGGACGAGTTGACGCTCCTAATGCGCTGGCTGAAGTTGGCCATCAGTTTGCGCGACGCCCTTTGAATCTGCTTGCGCTTGCTGGGCGTGCGGGTGAAGATGCGCACAATGCATTCTTCGTACTTTTGCGGGGCGCACATGCTGATAAACTCACTGGAAATGGACAGCTTCTCGAAAACGTTGTACTTTGAGTAAAAGCCGACGTGGTCGACTGGGTTCTCCTTGTGCATGCCGTAGTGGATGCGGCAAAAGTTTATCAGCACGTCCCGCTCGACAAAGTCGTCGCCATCGGCGCGCAGTCCAACAATGGCGGCCTCATTTATGTTGTTGCTGTTGGCTAACGAGTCGAGGTCTGCCGGGAGGATAAACTCGTCGACAAATTTGTACAGATCACGAGTATGGATGCGCGAGATAATGTTGCGGGCCGGCTGGAGCTCTGGGTCGCGAGAGCGCTCGATGTCGCGCAATATATCGTCAGTGAGATCCTGGTACAGCCGGGGGTCGCGAATGGCGTCTGATATCTTGAGGACAGGGTTGGCGATTATCATGGCATCCACAATCATAAGCGAGATGGCCTTGGCAGCGTGGTGGCTGTATAGGCGCTTGTGCAAGCTGTAGCGGGTGTGGAACATTTCAGTTAAATTGTATGTCTCCTTGTGGTTGTAGCAGATCTCGTCGTCAATGACACGCGAGTTAAGCATCAGCCGCGAAAAGTCATAGCTGCTCTTGACGCCCACGTTGTAGCAGTCTCGCTGAATGTAGTCAAACTTGTCCACGTCAACGCCATTGCGTTTGTTAGCCACAATGTCAAAGAGAAACATCTTTTCGCCGGGAACACGCGCAGTAGATCCTATAATCAGCTGCTTGATAAATGAAATGTCGGACTCGTCAATGTCAATGTTGTTTTCGTCGATGGTGTGGTGCAGCATCATCTCGGAGCCCTTCTCGTGCGACCACACAACATCGGGGCACACGCGCGGGATGAACGCGTTGTCAAAGACGTGGCTGAAGGGGCCGTGTCCCAGATCATGGCAAAGGCCGGCTAGCGTGACACAGCGAATATCGCGCTCGTTGATCTCCAGCTCCGGCTGGTGTTGCGCAAACCCCTGGACCACTTTGCCAGCCAAGTAAGACGTGCCGATGCAATGCTCGAATCGATTATGGCTGGCTCCGGGAAAGACGTGGTACGATGTGCCGAGCTGCTTCAGGTACCGCAAGCGCTGGAACTGCGGAGTGTCTATGAATTGCAGTGCAGTTTCACTCAGGTTGATGTAGCCGTGGATGGGGTCGTTAATGTACTTGGTCCTGTCCAGGTTGCTGGCCGCACCAAAGTCAAGGTCGCTGTGCTGGGAGAAGTTTCTACGTAATAGATGCTGTTGTGCACTCATTGCTCGTAAGATATTATAAAGGAAAAGGGGAAATGAAAGCGAAAAGTGAAAAGTGAAAGCAAAAGATAAGTAAATTAAATGAGACAGCTGAGACCACCACAAGACACCCACGCAAAATTACATATATATATATACGTATGCATGCATGTGTGTGTGAAAATGAAAATGAAAATGCGGAGGTATATATTTATCAAAGAACCCCTGTTGATGATGACCACGTTTAAAGATGAAGGAGGTTTGCCAAAACATCAGCATCACAGCATCAAACCTGTTAAACGTTGTTATTCGACGCCTGCCAGAAGAGTCGTGTTATTATCAGGCAGTGCCAGCCATTTCTGGGTACACGATGCCCAGTAGTGGTGGACAGCGCTTTTGGTGGGATCGCAATGACAGCGCAAACGCGATTCTGGGCTCAACGGGCAGTTAGACCACGGGTTGTGGTAGTAGCCAATGTCTTCAAACCAGTGCACTTCTTCCTTCTGCAACATCAGCGCGGCCGCAATCGCATGCACAGGTGCATCACCCCAGCGCTCGTAGAAGAAGCCGCCGGCGCGGTCCAAATAGTCAAAGTAGGCCAGGTACTCGGGAGAACGGAAGAACGCAAGTGACCCGATCTCAAAGTTGGACCAAAAGTGGCAGCCATTGTATGTCTCGCCACCGTCGTTCGATAGCCACGAGTAGCCGGCGAGGTGGCGCACGAAACCAGGATTGCTCTTCACAAAGGCCTTGGCCGTGTCCCACAGCGTCGGGATGGTCTCTGGGTACTCGTGCAGCGCGATCGTGTAGCCGTACTTGATGCCCTTGCGCTGCATAAGCAAAAAGGGGTCATAGTCAATATCGCATGAATACTCGACGTCGGGCTCAATGCGCCAGTAGTAGTCAATATCGTCGAGCAGCGGGTGCCGGAAAAAGAAGCCGCTGTTGAAGCGGCACATGTGACGGTAGCTCTCGCTCAGCGCGTAGAACACACCCTGTTCCTGCATCTGCTGTCGACACTCGCCCGCATATGTCTGGTTGATCCACTCTGGGTACGACCAGTGCTCCTGCGGCACCTCGCCGAATGTGACGTTAGCCTTGGTCATTGCTGTCGTTTCAGCCTTGAACTCATCGGTAAAGGGCACGTCGTTCAAAAACACATATGGGTAGTTGAACTTGCCGTTGAAGCGGTCCTCTATTTGCCGCATTGCTTTCTTCATTCCAACGAGCTCCGAATTGCGCACGAGCACGACAAACGCTGCACGCACTGGTTTGGCCACGTGCGGCAAGTACATGTCTGCATCGATGCTGTCGGCTGTCACAGCGCGATGTGCGAGGGTTGGTGCCAATGCAGACATGTTGCCAGACTGCCGCATGAGCAGGGCCAGCAGCAGGCCTATAAACAGATTGAGCGCTGCGAATTTAAATGTCATTTATTTCACGAAGAGACAGACGCTACACACAAAAATACGCAGCAGGAAAAATAATGAAGGAGTTGAAAAGACAAAAAGTCGTGTGGCACTTGTCAAATCGAGCTTGTATTTTAATTGTCTTAACTGTGTGAGCGCTGGGAGTGCGTGCGCTGCTGATGGGTCAGGGCACGGGGGTACTCACGGCCAGCCGTGGCTCAATACTGGTGGTTTTCCAGCTGCACAAGGACAAGTTCCTCGTAGTATGCGGCTGGGACGTATCGGTCCATAGACGCGGCACTCTTGCCAAGGTATCCGGTACCGGTGCGACCGCCGTGGCAGTCGTTCTCACAAACAAACACCAGAAGCGTGCCAAACTCCAAGCCCAGGTCAACGGTATGCAGCAGCTGCCCACCGACTAGCCGCGCGCCGCCATTGCCACCAGTCCAAGGCTTAGCGTGCGCAGCCAGCGGCAATACTAAAAGAAGCGCTGGCATCAGCTGGCACTCAAACACCCGCCGCCCTCCACAGTGCTCGCAGCGAGGCAGATTCTCTGCCGAGTACCCACGCCGGCGCAGCCTCGGCACCAAGTCTACGGCATCCCCGTCATCCACATCACCATCGCTCTCATCGCTATCGTTGGCATCATCAGCCTGGATACCCAGCTGCTGAGCGACTGCGTCTTGCTTGGTGTACAGCAGCGGCTCACCGCAAAATTGGTAGCGCATCACTTGTTCGGGATTCTGAGATGTTACGCATACAAACCGTTCAAAGCCTGCGTCGGTGCCCTTTGGCTGCGCTGAGCGCTCGTATTTTTCGTCTGACCACTCGTCGCCGCCGCCGCCGCCAGCAGCAGCTGCTGATGCTGCTGCCTTCTTACCCCGCGAGCAGGCTGATTCTGCGGCCAGCTCCATGGCCTGCTCAATCTCGGCCCTGTATCGCTCTTCGATCTTCCTGTCACTCAGCTTCTCGTTGTCAAACTCTAGATACTGTGCCGGCACGTGAGCAGCCGTCTCTGGCCATTCGACCCGCTTCACCTGTTCATCTGGCTCGGACGAAATGGCCAGCTGCTCGAGCTGTGTATCCAATACTTCGCCCAGTTCGTCCGGCTCTTCCGTTGTCTCTGCTGTCTCTGTTTGCTTGTTTGACGCCGGCTGTTTCTCGGCTTTGCCCATGAAAGAGAAGCTCAACAAGTCAGACTGTGATGCTTGACCTCCAAAAAGCGGTCCTGAGAACAGCGACGACTCTGACGAGCTGCCAAATGCACTTGTTTCAGATCCTGCTGACCCAAATCCACCCGTGCGCCAGACACTGCCAAAGTCGAGCTTCGCGGCAGGCGCAGGTTTTGTCGCTGCTGCTGCCAGCACCAACTTTTCCTTCTTCTTGGCCGATGTGTCGCGCTGGCGCTTAACCAGCTTTAGCGCATACTCTTTGTTGAGCAAATGACCGCGCACCGCCTTGGCCGCCCCGGTCTTGCCTGTGCACGCGCGCTGGTTGCAGGCCCACACGTAGATCACTCGGTCGTACGCGGAGTCGTTCAGCGGCACGTATGCCTGCACTAGCATGATCATGCTGCTGCCGCAGTGTCCACACATGGCTGCTGACCAGTCCGGGATTGCAGATGTTGAGTCTAACCACAGTGGCCGTCCACCCAGCTTGCACGCAAACGGATTGCTGTCATCGGCTGCCTCCATGGGTCCGTCCGAGTAGCCAAGCATCATGGCTGCCTGGGCCTTAGTTTCAGTCTGCTGGCTCTTCATGTTGATGTTTCAAGATCGTATTTGAGTCTGACCGCGTCAAGTACAATTAAATTCAAGAGCCACGAAAAAGTTGGAAAAAGTTGGAAAAATTTTGAACGGAAAAAAAGAAAAAGCATTTTCTCAAGCATGTATTTTCCTTTCAGCAAACAAATAATTTTTATGTGAATTTTCAAGCAGAATATTTAAACAAAAAATTTTCAAACTTTAAAAAAATGGTATGGCTAAAAGTTCGCTTACTTCTTGAGACCCATCCACTCCTGGAGCTTGTCGTAGAAGACAAGAACCAGAGCACCACCGGTACCGCGGATGATGTTGGAGAGACCACCGTGGAAGAAGACCTTGATGCCGGCCTCAGCGTACAGCTTGCGCAGGCAGTCAACGGGGCCAGTGTACAGCTTGACGGCACGGCCAGACTGCATCATGAGGCGACGACGGATGGTATCGAAGGGGTAGGAGATAAGACCAGCGACAACAGTGACGGTCTGGGCAACCAACCACGAGGCAAAGAAGTTGGGGTTCTTGTTGTTGCCGAAGACAACCTGCTTGAGGGTATCGTAACCACCGAAGTAAGCGGCACGGTAGACAATGATACCAACAACGGACATGCCGAAGCCCTGGTACAGACCGCCCATGCCGTCCTTCTTGTAGATAGTGGAGATGCAGTTACCGAGACCGGTGAACTGGCGGTTGGCGCCAGTGCCGATATCGACGGCCATGCGGGTACGCGCAAAGTCAAGGGGGTAGACAAACATCAGGGAGGTGGCACCAGCCATACCGCCCGACGCCATGTTGGCACCGAAGAACTTCCAGAAGTCGGTCTTGGGGCTGTACTTGGGGAACATAGCCTTGTACTTGTCCTTGAAGGCAAAGTTGAGCGCCTGCGTGGGGAAGTAGCGGATGACGTTCGACATGTTACCGCGCCAGAACGAGCCAACACCCTGCTCGGCGGGGATACGGCGGAAGGCGTCCATGATGCCCTTGTAGCGCTTGTCAGCGGTGATCTGGTCAGACGAGGCCTGGACCTGGAGCAGCAGCTTGACGCGCTCAATGGGGGCAACAATGGTCTTGGAGACACCAGCGGAGATGCCACCGGCGGCGAGGTCGGCAACAAAGCCAAGCACCTGGCTGTTAGAGTTCTTGGTATCGGCCATTTTGTCCTGAAGCTTTTCCTAAAGAAAGATTTATATAATCGTGAAAATAGTGCAAGATAAAGTGGAAAGGAAAAAAGAAAAAGGGTGAAAACATTCTTCACCCCAATCTTATGTGCTCTCGTTTTTCGGAAAAGCAAAACATCAAAAAATTTTAGTTGCAAGCTGATAACACTCAGGCAGCAGTCACTAATTCTGTGATTTGATCACCCCCAACATTTTTATTGGGATCTCACGGTATTGCAAAAATGTTTTTTTCAGCACCTGCCTGTCCCTGCGACTGTTTTTTTTGGTTTCTTCTATCTTTGTGACTGGCAGGTGGGTAGCGGAGGTGCGCAACTGAGCCGCGGCTCCATTCGGAGAACAGTGATGCTGGTCGGAATGTTTGGGCATTTTCTCTGCTTGCTTGCGGCCACAATCACAGAAGAAAAAAGGCATACCATATACCATGCAAAGTTGCCACAAAGACTGCGGCCCTTTTTAGCTAAGCAAAGTTCAGCGATAAAAAAAGAGCCCATTGGCATTTTTAAGTTGCCTCAATTCAACTTTGTTTTTTCTTTCAACCGAGCTTCCCATTTGTCATTTATCTCGCTGATCACCAAAACCTAAATAAAAAACAAAAAACAAAAAACAACAGCTATTTTTCTCTCTTTTTAGAACTTTGGCTCTGCTATACCCTATCCATTTTTATAACACCAACAGTATTTTTTTTCCGCCGCTGCCCGTTCACCGCCCACCGCCGCTCCACCAAGCAATGTCGACCCCCGAAGGACCCGCGCACAATGCGAAATCTAACAATTCTCCGGCTAGAGACAGCGAGAACAATGCCCAGGCTCGAACAAACTCTCCACGTGCCAGACAGTCGGGGCGTGGGCGTATCAACAAAACCGCGCCGTCGTTCCATCCGCGCCAAGGCACAGCAAATGGCCAAAATGGCGACTCCAACAGGTCCCGCATCAACAGCACAGGGTCTGATGCGCGCTTGAAAGCTGAAGCGCCCAGCAAGGCCAACGAGAAGCAAGCTGAGGATAACAGCGATGAGGTCGTCTGTTTCATTTGCGCAGATAATGTGAAATATTATGCTGTGGGAGAGTGCGGCCACCGGACCTGCTCCCTATGCAACCTCCGCCTTCGCGCACTGTTCAAGTCTAAGGCCTGCCCGTACTGCAAAACTGAGCTCGAGTCGGTTGTTTACACGCGGGAAGTCGAGACTCCGTACGAAGAGCTGCTAAAGGCGCCGCTGCCATACATTGACAAAAGCTTGGGCATCAAATTCGATTGCAAAGAGGCGTACGATGATACTATGCACACACTGCAGTTCAACTGCCCGCACACCCAGTGCGAGTACGCCGACGCAGAAGGATGGAGGGGCCTCAAGGACCACACGCGCAAGAAACACGTGATGCAGTTCTGCGATTTGTGCCTGAAGAACAAAATGGCGTTTGCCCACGAGCACAGGCTGTTTACAAAGGCGCAGCTGCGAATCCACTTTGCCCGTGGCGACGGGATCGGGTTTACTGGCCATCCAGAATGCCAGTTCTGCCACATCGCCTTTTACGACAACGACCAGCTTTTTGAGCACTGTCGCAAGAAGCACGAGCAGTGTTTTATTTGCACGCGCAGTGGCGTTGGCAGACATGTGTACTTTGCCAACTACAACACGCTGGAAGAGCACTTTAACCGCGACCACTTCCCTTGCAAAAAGCCTGAATGCCTCGAGAAGAAGTTTGTTGTTTTTGAGAACGACATTGACCTGCAGAGCCATGATCTGGAGGAACACAGTAGATCCATTGTCGGCCAAAGGGCGCGGCGTGACGCGAAACACATCAACGTCAACTTCCAGACGTCCACGCAGCAGGGCGGCAGCAGCGGCAGCAACGCAAATGCCAGCGGCTTTGGGCAAAGTTCTAACTCTGGCGTTGCCTCTGGCAGCGGCAGCAGGAACAAAAACAAGTCGCGGCAGAACACAGAGCAGCGCGGCCCCAGCGCAATGGCCGTAAACGGGCCTGACGCCACCGGCGTCAGCATTTCCGGTCGCCAACGGCCCAGTGGATTTGGCCATGTTTCCGAGATCCAGCCCCAGGCGCAGGCGCAGACGCAGACGCGGACACAGTTGCAGCCAGTGTCTAACAGCTATAGCCGCATTATGTCGGCGCCAGTCTCCAGGCCCACGTCACCTGAGCCAGAGCCAGAAGCCAGCACGCTCTGGCCCACTCTGGGAACTGACTCCGGCTCCATGCGCAATCGCGCACCGACAGCGTTTGGCCGGTTGTCCGAGTCAGCAGGAGGCAGGGCAAGAGACCCTACCATCACTGCGATCAGCGAGGAGACCATAGCCTCTCACCAAGAGCTGCTGCAGCGTGTCTCCGCATACCTCAGTCACCGCGATCAGCCTGTTTCGCGTTTCCGCCAGCTGACGACGCAGTACAAGAACAACCAGGTTTCTGCCGAGGACTATGTCCAAAACTGCTGGCTTCTGTTCCTGACTGTCCCCGGAAGGAACGCCAAGGAGATGATCCAAAAGACAGTAAAGGCTGTGTCCAGCCTTCTTCCAGAAGCAAATCAGAAGGAAAGGCTGCTGAAGGCCTTAGGCGAGCACCGCATAAAACAGCAGCAGTTCCCTGCGCTCACTCCGTTGACTGGCTCCGGCACGAAATCGGGGGGCTTGTCGGCAAATGGCTCTACTGCGCGCGTTTTGGTCATTAAACAAGCGGCTGGCAGCAGCGGTGGTGGCGGTGCAAGCCGTGCTGGATGGACCAAGCCTACACAGGCCTCAACAACATCACCTACAGCGTCTTCGCCTCGCTCCAGAGCCGAAGTTTCGGTATATGAGTCTAAGCGCGCGTCCTCAACTGCGCCGCTATCGTCTACGACATTCCCATCGTTGGGATCAAGCTCGAGCACGCCGTCCATCAATCCAATGGTATCCAGAATGAATATCAGCCCTTCGCTGGCTAGCCCCAGCCACAACTCATACACGGGCAAATTTATACAGACTGCAAATACTTCTGGTGGCAGTGGATCCCAGAGAGCTGCAAAACCCCCAAGAGCCGAAAGCTCTCTGTTCCCCGACCTCCCACCCCCCTCGGTGGCCAGAGTCAAAATAGCGCCACTCAATCCTAACGCCTCCTCTGCCTGGAGTGCATCGGATGAGCAATCGAGTGCCAGCTCGTCGCAGCAGGGCTCTGGAGATCGCAGGCAGCCACGCAACAAGTCAAAGGGCAAGCAGGTTTTGTTCTATGTTGGCTAAAGCGACGCCAGCTCCAAGCTTGGCAGGTTTTTAGCACACAAACAACCATGTTCAGGTCATGCGTTTGCATGGCTATGCCATTCGATAAACGCTCTGTGCGTAACAAATTTTGGTATCATTGCATTTTATTATATTTTCAATCCAAATATACATAGACATAGATGTAAAAGTACACTTACACGTGCATGTGCGCCTTGTTCCACGTCTTCATGCACGTGGACAAATACAATGTTGGTTGTAAGATTGACAACTTAATAATAAAAACACATTTTGAGTAGAAACTAAAGACAGGAGACTATCCTAGTTCATATTCTTTTTTTGTTTGTGGGCATCGAATCCAACCTAAATATGTGCAGTTAAAAAGACAAATATTAGTATTAGTATTGGCAAACAATCATACGTATTTTAGATAACCTTTTTTAGTGTGCTTACCATGACTGGTCGATATGCCTTTCAACAATGCGATTTATACTCTGCTGGCGGACTGCGTAAGGGTGGGAGAATGCCTTGAAGTAGACTTGCATAGTGTGCCGATACCCGTTGATGGCGGTTGTACGCACTGCATCCGGAAGCGCGTCAGTCGAGACAACCATTCCGTTGATAAGAGGACCAAACGGCTTGATTTGTGGCTCGCAATACACCAAAATTCCGTACTCGCCGACCTCCAGCGGGCGAATTTGGATCTGGACGTTTCCAAAATCCCCGCTGATCGTCTCGGGTCTGTAGTTGTGGTGGCTTTCGTTCCATATGATGTGGACGTGGTTGTTTCCAATGTGCCGTTTCTAAGTGTAGCAATGATAATATAAACAAGTTTTTAGCCATGGTTCCTGCCAATTTTATGCAATAATTTGACATTCAGTTGAAATTCGCTTAATGCCCGATGGAAAAACAATTTGGCTTACCTTTTTTATCTGGCGTGGGTCGCTGGTGTCTGTGGGCATAGAAACAACCTCGTGGAATACAACGTCGAGCCCCTGTCCAGAATAGTAGGGACACGTTGCGCCGTCTGAACCGTCTGCCTCGAGCTTTCCTGTGAATCCAGTAAACTTTTTCAAGTCGATTCGCCAACCCAGACCACTTACAAAGCTTCTGTACGACAGGCTCGTATCTTCCAAAGAGTTTGACAAAATCTCTGCCTCCGTCCACTGCCCCGGCCCAACGTATATAATCGCAATTTTTATGGTTTCGTTTGCGTGTATCCGGTCCAGCGCGTCAATGTCCCGGTACAGCGCCTCGGACTTTACCAGTGGGAGAAAGTAGTTGAGGCTGTTTTTCTGCGAGTCAAAGTCAACCTTGTGCTGGATAATGTTGCAGAACATACGCATCTTTAGCGGGCTACAAAGGTAAAAATCCGATACAGTTGAGTTGCGAATGTAACATTTTTGGAAATAAATTTGTTAGATGTGGCGTAAACTGCTTGTGACCAATAAACAACACTTTCCAGACACATTTTCAAAGCTTACTTTAACTGGTCGATGTCATTGGCCAGGCTGTCAATCGTGCTCGCTTCTCCTTTTCCCCCATGGCTGATAATCGAGCTGGCTTTTTGGTTAGAGCTGCAGTCAAATAAATTACTGGGTTCCAGACCACTAGCGCTGTGTAACGATTCGCATGCCTGCGCTTCCTTGTCGATAAATGCCTCGATCTTGTTGATAATTTTATAGTCATCCGGCTTTAGCACGCTAGTGTTGACGATCTCAGCATCTTCTGGGGCCATGATATCGACACCGTGGGTACTTTTGAAGCGAATCTTCTCGCTGAGCAGTTTGCTTGTAGACAGTGTGCTATCTCCATTCAATCATTGATTAGGGAGGGATGTCGGGTTCAGCAAATGGCTGGTATGTTTGTGTTTCATGCATTGGTCAATCGGAATCATGGTTGATTTTTTTATATTGATATTTCTTTACCTTATAACCTTCAATGGTCTGCGAGTGTCGTCTTTAACATATATGTCATCTCCGTCGTTTATCTGAGGGCATGGTGCCGTGAGAACATATGAGTCGCACCTGTCTTTTGTTTCCAGGACGCGGCTCTCGCTGGCAAAATAAAATCTCACAGCGCTTTGTCCGGCGCAATAGCGAGTTGTACTGCGACAATCTATATGTATTTTGTGTGTGTAAAAAAGAAGTGCGCGTATTTAAAGCTTAATAACAAGTTAATAAATATGTCAGCCACGCATAATCATACATATTTTTGTAAACCAAACATCATTTTAAAATGAGAATAGTGCTTACTCTCGGTCCCTGGCTCCCTGTAAATGGTGATAATGTTGTTTCCGTGTGAATAAAATAATGTATGGCTGTTGTCAAAGCGCTCACCCACGTAGGGATCAATGTGTGTCTGCTTAAAGTCGCTACATAGTGGGTTTCTTAGGAATTTATGCAAAACAAGAATAACAATAATCTGCACTTTTAGTGGTTTGGTTCAAAGTTGCAAAAAACATGCTCTGTAAATATGTAAAGTTATTTACAAGCATTATTGCTCATCCATGTATTCGCAAAATTACCTATACTGAGCGCCCAGGTGTCGGTATCTGTCATCTTCGTCGAAGAAAAGCAGCAAGCTTATGTATAGCACCTCGCCAATTTGCTACATCGTATTACAAAATATAAACAACTTTAACAATGTAGTTCATTCTTGCGCTAGTGCATGCTTATTTAAACCAAAGCTCTAACAACATTGGTTTATGCACATTAAAGCTTACCTTTATAGAGTCAATGGCGGTGCTCTTGGCATACTCGTCATCCTCGGGCATGTTCTGAAACGTGTCTAGCAAACATTGCGGCGGCGACTCGTATTTCGATGGCTGAAGAGAGAGAAATAATTTACCGGCTGATTCGGTGCCACTTAGCTCATGGTTGTACTTGTGGCCACATGCTGACTCCGGCGACATTGGGTGCGCACAACTGCGTATTATTTTTTCGACTAAGAAATCGCGGATGCTGGTGCCGTCTGCCCCTTCGACAAACGTATCGGCGCGCGTAATCAGCTCTGGCGTCTTTATCAGCATCGTTTTGAGCATGAGGACCATCTCTCGTATTACAAGAGCTACAAGTATAAGCATCATTAAATTATTGGTCAAAATTGCGAGGCTGTTAGTATGTTAGTCTGAGAAGCACGCATTACTTGCGTCATATGGGTGCAGACAATTTTGACAATACTTACCGCCATCCGTGGTTATATTATCTGAGAATCTGTCAAAATGTTCGACTATGGCGTACATGAGCCTCATGACAAATGTCCTGACTCGAACCTACAGGTTAATGTTTGCACGCGAGATGGTTGTTGGTTTGAGCAAAGAGTGTCAGTTAACTGATTTATAACCTTTTTGATTTTTTAATCTGATTATCATAACATATTGTATTGATATGCAATATGAAATGTCGCAACAACTTACCACACCCACTAGCCTCATCATGTCCGGGTGTCCGATAATATACAAGCACAGGCCGCAAATTGCCATGCGCACAATTTCCAGGTCTGTAGAGAATAGGCGACTGGAGATAGCAGTCAAACAGTTGTCGATAACCATGTCGTTTTGCAGCCTACAAATAATTGTGTGAGAGGAGTGATAAAATAAAAACTTACAACATTGTATACTTTGGTTAGCAAAGTAGTTTTAGAAATGTCAATAACACATACACACAAAACATATACGTTGACTTACCGCTTATCGGATATTTTAAGTTCAGTAAAGCCTATCAGCGCTAATCCAGAGATTGCAGAGTACTCGACGGTCGCTTTGCATTTTTGGCTGAAATTCGTCAAAGACCTAGGGCTGAGTAGAAGCCGCCATAATGTCTCGCACGTCCTGCCAAATATTGGTCCGCCCTTTTCCCACTCGACATGATACTGGCGGACCCCCGGAACTTCGTGGATGATCGGATACTCCGTGCGCTCAATGTTTGGAACAACGCCCGCCAGCATCTCTGCCCCTCCCGCTGGCTCTGTCGGCTCCGCGGTATTTGAGTCTGTTAGAGCCCGGATTTTTACGTTTTTGTGGTTGGCGTTGAGCACACGACCGACACTCAAAAGCGTGCTTATAGATGTCAGCATGGTCACTGCGCCCAGGATAGCCGGCTCAGATAACTCGCCTTGGTAAGAGTCAACCTCTAGAAGCAAGCGCCGAAGACCCTTATCCAGGGCCAGCAGCAGCATCCGCGACCCTGAAATGCCTAGGGACAGAAGAAGCTGACACTCGACTAGGAACACTTGGACCTGGCCAATGTTGATATCCATGCCCTTGGCTAGCGGCGAAAGGGTGATCAGTGCAGTTTGTAGAAAGCGGGATCGCAAGAATAATATCCGGCTGTTGATGTGGTCAGAACAGCGGCAGCCCATTCTGAAAATGGCGGTTTGTGCAGTGCGCCCTCGCTCGTCGTCAATGCTAAAGCTCGTGGCCATTTCTGCTACCCACCACGATGTGCTTAAAAGCACGTCGTCGTTGTCTGGAGTGTATCGAGAGCAATCAAGAACTGCTCTATACTCGTCCCACGAGCCAACTAGACCACGGAGGATAATCCTGCTTTTGGCGAGTTCCGCGTTGGACGGCGTGCCCAACAGACCGATCCAGTCGAGCCATATTTTCTGCAAGTCCTTAACGGGGTTGTTTTGCTCGAGGACGAACTCGCTGATGTGAAAGTCAACCCACACAGCCTCAGATTGCCAAATGCGCACCATCATGTTATCGATAAGTTCAGCTGCAGCCTATTTGTGCAAAAAAATTCAGCATAAAAACACATTGTCAGCAAATAATACAAAAAGACATGTCCAAGAATACATATGTGCAATGGAATGGCGCTCATTACAAACAACAATAATGAATCGTTCACACTTACATTGCCATTGGAAATGATGATTTCACTCTTTTGTAAAACAATGTCTGCGGTGCGAGGTAGGGTCTTGTGCAATTGCGCTAGCTTGCGCATAGTCGCCTTATCAGTCGTGTTGTCGGCAAAATCCGCCGGCCCGATTGCCTTTTTGGGTGGCTCCCTGTATTGCATATGCATCGATGACACAGCCTCCAGCCTCTCAGATCCCCTGCTGCTCTGATCAGTGCTCAACGCGCCTATAGTCTGCCTGTCGCTCGTGTTGTCAAATGTGTGTACAGCGTCGGGATTGCAAGACGAAATTCGTTTTAGCGACCCTTCCTGCGAAATGTCAGTCCCCCCGCGTTGGTTAATGTGGGCTGGAGGGCTGCCTTGGAGCGAAGTGTCTCTGGAGTTCAAAATGCTTTTCCTCCTGCGGAACGGAGACGTGATTTTGCGCCAGACGTTGCTCGACGCCGGCGGCGAAATTGTTTCGAAGTGCCCGTTTATGCCGCCAGAGCTAGATGAGTGCTGGAGTATACCGTCGGCATTGTGTAGCATTGGGTGCATCCCACCCCCACCGCCACTGCCACTGTCCCTGAGAGACAGGAAATCAGGCGTCTTCCTGAACACTCGCGCGGGCTCGATGTTGTTCTGGCGTGCCTTTGCCATCAAATCTTTGGGCAGTGCGGAGCCAATGTGCTGCAGATTTCTTGGCAATGAAAAAATCACGTGTGTGTAAACACTGCGGTTCTGCTTGAGCACAGCTGGGCGCCGCTTGTCGCTAGAAATGCCCGGCTGAAGATAGTCGTTTATATGTCCATGCTGCTGCTGGCATGTTTTTCGAAAACCTTTGACCTCTTCTGCTGAGCACTGGATGCGAGAAAACACCTTGCGCATGCTGTCCCACGAAAGATTCGATATAATGCTAAACGGAGTCGCTGTCTCGAATATGTCGTGCGAAGTGTCGACATCCAAGTGGTATTTGGGGTTCTGTAACTCATTTAGGTACGCGTCAACCCTGTTCATCCCTCTACGCTGACGCTGGCCCGAAAACTTGCTCTCCTGTATCAGCGTGCGCTCATCGACCTGGAGAATATGCCGCCCGCGTGCAATTGTCAGCGCGCGGAGGACATTGCACCACACGTATAGATGGCTCACCCAGACGGTTGTGGTGTTGTATAGCTCGTGGCACCTGTTGGTAACCAGAGTTGGCATCTCGCCCAGGATGAACCATCCGGAGATCAGGCACTAAACTTGACAGTTGTGAATAAATAAATAAATAAAAAACACACAATGTCAGTTCAACGATGCAAAAACAAGCAAGCTTTGAAAAAAATATTTTTTAAATGTCGTTTTTACGTACCTCAATAATCATTGTCAACGCTCGGCTTGGGTACGAGTGGGTGTCGCTAGCATCGCTCTCCTTGTACGGCTTTTTTGATAAGAACATTATTGCTATGCCCTGCAGTGTCTCCAAAAATCCCCGCTTAACTTCTCTCGGCAGTTGGTGGCGGTAGAGGCGCAATACCGCCCGGTGGATCAAGAGTGTGTTGTAAAGCAATACGAGCTAAAATGTAAAACGCAATAAAAGAAAACAAAATGTAGAATGTTAGTAAAATTGGAAATGTAATGGCACTTTGGCATATTAACGTATTGCCCCCCCTCTCCCAGCTTCTGTATTTCTTTTCTTTTTTTGCTTGTTCGTGCCAAAAGTTGTTCAGCTACAAATAGGAGCACACACAAATATATATATATATATATATTTACCTTTTTCTCGTCCCATTTAACATCGTCGACCAGCCAGTCCAAGAAGGTGTACACGTAATCCATGCAGTCAGAAATTACAGCGAGAAGCGTCCCCGCATCGCCGGCTTCGTCACTAAACAAGCGAACAGGCCGATATTCTTCGCTGCTAGCCAGCCACATACGCACAACCGTCAGCACGCCAAGACAGTTTTCATAACTAGTCTGCAAAAGCTCCGTATACTCATGCGAGTCCTTTCCTGGTCCGTTATTGACTATATTCGGCATGGCTTGGAGCGAAAGCCGCAGAACGTCAATAAAAAAGTATGTGGACTTGAGATCGGTGTCGAGAATAATGTGGCGGAGCACACCGTATGCGCGGGTTGACATGGTCTCGAGCCCGGTGGCCAGCTTGTCGTCCATGGTTGATTCGTCCAGCGCTGCTGTTTTGTTGCTAAAGGCTGGTAGGCGGCTGTTGATGTTGGGCATGCAGAACTCCTTTTCTAAGAGCATGTGTGGTTGCCGCGAAACCATGCACTCGGTCATAAAGTTGATAAACACTCGCAGACCCATCACGGGGATCTGGCGCACATTCTTGTTTTTCGGCACATCTACTCGATACAAAAGACAAAAAAACCCAATGAAGGGTTTTTGGTTAGTAAATTATATGTTATATACAGGATACTTACACACATCATGTTGTTTGTCAGAGTTGTTTTTTTGGACTCTTTTTTAAATGTTGGTTGAATTTACCGTATTCATATGGAAAAATCCACGACAAATATGCCTTGCGAAACAATTGATAAAGATTTGTGAGGGATGCTTGCACCTCGGCATGGTTCAGCGCAAACATGGGAGCAAATAGCGGTAACTCATTGGAATCCCTGACCCTTTGCTTGAGAAAGTGGAACGGCCTGTTGTGCTTGTAGATAAAGCCAAGGCCAATGTACTCGACGTATGCTGCCTGTGGTTCGGGGATAAGGCTGGCCAAGTACATGATAAGACCAAGGACGTCTTTAATCATGCGCAGCGACATGATTCCCTGTGGGCTTATCGGGTTCGCGGTATCCAGGAGAACAGGGCAAATGCTAGCGCGACCATTTTGAAACCCTAAACAGTTGTTTTTGTTGTTGTTAAATATAGACAGAAATAAATGTTAATATTGGTAATTGGTTATTGATTGATTTCCATATTATTTCATAAATATAAAGGTATGTCGCACACACACACACACACATTCTCTCTCTCTCTCTCTCTTTTGCACACGTATTGGACCAACTTCTTACCTATTATCGCCTTTTGGCCACACCCGATTCCAGGAATATCAATACCGCCAGCAATAGCGCTCATAATCTGACCAACTACCTGGGACGCCCCTGGCCTGTCAACATAAGAAAAAGCACGAAGACAAATAGCGTTCGTAAACAGATCAATCGTCCTGTCAGAGTAATTCCCATTCATAGCGACAATGTAAATGCACAGGGTGTAGAGCCCAAGCATGCGCACATCCTGGTGGTTTCCATGGTCGAGCAGAATAATCAGTATGTTTTCGATCTCGGTCTTGTGCCATCCTGTGGATATTAGTCTTGGAAGGAGCTCGATGGTCTTGTGTAAGCACATTAGGGGCACCCAGAGGTCTGCCATGGCGGGGTTGGTGGGCGATAGGAATCTCTCTGGAAGTGCTACATATACACAAAATAGCTGATATTTAATATTTAATTATTTCAGTTGATGTCTGTTTTATTTATTGTTTTGTCAATAACTTTTTTATTTTTTATTTTAACTTACAGTTTAGATAGTCGACCTCGTTGACAAACGCAGTGCTGAGCATACTGAATGCCACTTCGTGAAACCGAGCGTACACCCAGACCATCTCATTAGGTTTACACTTTTCTATCCATATATCAAAAAAGAACAACAATTCTGTATTACTTTAGTACAACGAAAATATATACTCATAACAACAATGAAATATAAAATATAAAATATAAAATATTACTTACCTGTGAAATTCATGAATCCCTTTAGACGAACTCCTGCAAGAAGTTTAGAGTTGAACCAGTTCAGGTATATCCGGCGATTATCTACAGTTGATTCTTGCAGCTTTTGGATAAATACTTGTTGGACGGGGATTTGGTGGTCCAGTGGCAATGAGTCGATGCTTCCGAATGTCGCTGGCAACGGATCAATATCGCTTAGGTCCAATATCGGGTGGTTTGGCGATAGTTGCCATTCGTTAGACTGCTTGATACTGTGTCTTTTAAACATGTTTTTTTTTTAAAAATGTTTTTATCCAAAAATGAAATAAAAGAGGATAATGTTACGCAACAAATAAAATAAAAATGCTTGATCCACACAAAACAAAAGAATTTTTTTTTGTGTTTATGTAGACTGGACACGAGTGAGACATTTTTTTTTCGAGTCTAGACATTTCAAAAGAGAATTGTATAAAAAATTAATTAAAAAATGTTTTTGAAATAAAAGAATGCAACAATTAATGGTGCTAATATTGAAATATTAAAAATTTGAATCTAGTTGCGGTAATTATCAATATTGTTCATGGTCATGCTCTGTGCAAGTGACATGGCGCCGCCACTGCCATCATAAGTGAATCCGACAAACTGTTCCTGAACAGTCTCCGAAAGGTTCGAGTCAGCGATGTACGAGTCCTTGGGAGGCTCAGCAGTGAACTCCTCGTCAAAGTTACTGGTATCGTTAGCCGACGCCACGCTGGGCTTGAATGGCGGCTCGTATTGCTTGCCAATCAGATAGTCCCAGTTGATCTCGGCAAAGAACGGCTGCTCCTTGATCTCGGCAGCGCCATTGTTGCCCAGGCGGCGGCGCGGGTCACGCTGGAGTAGGCCACGCAGCAGCGACTTTGCGCGGTTACCCATGTCCTCGGGGAAAACAAGCTCGTCCTCGAGAATGCGCCGGTACATCTCATTGACGTTCTCGTCGTAAAAGGGCGGCAGGCCAGTCATCATCTCGTAGAGCAGCACGCCAAAGGTCCACCAGTCGACGGTCTTCGTGTAGCCGCGGCCCTGCAGAAGCTCGGGGGCCAGGTACTCAGGGGTGCCGCAGAACGTGTTTGTTGTCTCGTTATCGCCCATGTTCAGCTTGCACAGTCCAAAGTCACACAGCGCAATGTGGCCGCTGTAGTCCAGAAGAATGTTCTCGGGCTTGAGATCGCGGTAGATAACGTTGTACGAATGCAGGCAGTCGAGGGCGCTGAGTAGCTCGGCGGCGTAGAAGCGACTGCGGTGCTGGTCAAAGCGGCCCTCGCGTTGCAGGTGATGGAAGAGCTCGCCACCAGTGATGAAAGCCAGGACGAGGTACAGCTTCTCGGGTGTCTGGAACGAGAATTTGAGGGGCACAATGAAGGGATGGTTGATTTTGGCAAGCACGTTGCGCTCGGCCAGAGTGTGGGCAACCTCGGAGCGCATGACAATCTTTGACTTGCTCAGAATCTTCATTGCGTAGATGCGGTTGGTGTCGCGCTTGCGCACCTGCATGACCTTTCCGAAGCTGCCCTTGCCGATGACCTTGAGTAGGTCGAATTGCTCAATGTTGAGGGGGGTCGAGTCCTTCTTGTTGAAGCAGTACTGGACGCGAATGTGGCCAGAGTTTCCGGCGCCGCCCAGCAGCGGGATCCAGTCGTCATAGAGGCGGTTGTCGGCAAAATCGGGCATGATCTGCACGGCGCCCAGGAAGATGGCGCCCGTGGTGATGGCCTGGGACTGACCGCTGTTGGTAGGCTGCACCTGCTGCTGCTGTGTGGTGCGTCCTTGACCATTGGCAGCGTTGGTGCTGTTTCCGTTTCCAAACCTCTGGAAGCCGCGGGTCTGGGGGGTGCGCTGGTGCTGCAGCTCGGCCGTGCGCTGGTAGAGTGAGACCATCACAGGACTTGTGCGCGAGACATCACTACAGGCAAATGAGAATAATGATTGAGCAGGTAAATTTAGTTATTAGGATTAGTTTTTTTTTTAAGAAAAAAGAGTTGATCTGGTGTTAATGTGATCCAGTATTTGGGCGATCTGCTTGGAATCGCAGGAATTCCCAACCAAAGAACAAGGTATATCCACGAGAGAGTGCAAGTGCGAGTGCGAGTGCGATTGAGAGGGATCAGGCAGGTATGTAAACCTGTTTCGGGAGTTGCGAACAAATAAGGCGCGCAGAGTGAATGGTCGAGTATTTTTGTAATGAAGGTCGTTTTTTATAGGGATATGAGAGACATTAAGGATGCGGAGAGGGAGAGCCCAAAAACACAAAAACACAAAACACAAATTGGATGCAGATCATTTGTAGTCTGGGTCTTTAATTGGCTCATACTAAGCTGTACAGCGAAAAAGCAAAATGAAGATCTGCAAGTGTTGTGGTCAGATAGCTGAGAGCGGATGCAAATGGGATATGCAGCATTGCAACTACAACAACAGGTGTTTTGTTGTTAGATGGTTGTGGCATGAATAGAGAGAGAGGGAAATATACAAACAGACTGCACTCAAGTTTAAAGCTCAGCTTATTTTTCTTCAGATTGACATGTGTTTTGATGAGTTAGGATTTTAAAACAAAAACCTAGTATTGCCCAACCCACCATGCATGAATATGGACATGAACATGAACATGAACATGTGCACGAGATGTGGATTTACTTTGTTAGTAGTGGCGTTGAGGATGAGCAACGAGGACTCTATATCATGTGTGTGTGTGTGGGGGGGGGTTGTTTATGACAACAACAATAAAGATGACATGAACAAAAAAACCACATCAAAAAGTGCAACAATATGTGCAGAGTCTGAAGAGTGAGTGAGTGAGTGAGTGAGTGAGAGACGTGTGATGCGGGTAAACATCATTCAAAATAACATTCATTGTCTGTCTCTTGATATTAACCAAGAAAAAAAACAGAGCAGAGCAGCATGCAATAGTGGCAAAGAAAGATAAAAATGCAAAAATGCAAAAGCGTATAAAATAAAACAAGAATAAACAACTTTGGGATCGGCAATACAGCATATCAGACATAGATAGACAGACAGACAGACAGACAGAGAGACAGACAAAGAAAGCAAAAATTGAAAAAGAAACAAGGAGGAGGGGGTAAAAGGGGGGATGTGAGAAAAAAGGAAACATAACAGGGAGAATAGAGAGAAGGTGAAAAAACTTACAAACTGACACGGTATTTCCAAATAGGATTTTGCATGTCACCACCAAGACTGGTAACAACAGCTTCGTTCTTGTCAAACTCGACAACAGCATATGGACGCTGATGGGCTTCGTTTTTGTAAGGAGCGTAGCGAGCCATCAGCTGCTGAGACCCAGGCGGGTAAACCAGATTGCGCGCCTCCATAACGCGGATGACCAGAATGCCGGAACGCTTGACCGATGAGGCAGGGTTCTGGTTGGCACTGGGCAGGCCATTGGTAGCCATACCCTGCTGCTGCTGCTGCTGTTGTTGTTGCTGTTGCTGGGAGGGATCTGTGTTGATGCTTTGGTTGGACGCGGCTGAGGGAGAGCGCATTGATGATCCGGAGCTATTGACGCTGTGGGTATTGTCGATAGACATGGATGCAAACAGCTGTTGCTGCTGCTGGGAGTATGCAGAGTGCTGAGCGGCGTTGGGACCGGGGTACTGCGGGATTCCGCCGCGGATGGAGCTGGCTATTTGCTGCTGCTGCTGCTGCTGCTGTTGTGGAGGGGCCTGCTGTTGTCTCATAGAATTAAAAAAGCCCGAGCCAGACGCAGTTCCGGACAAGGGCTGGTTTGCCGGAACAGAGTCTTTGGAGCTAGCCGCAGACGAGTTGTTTTCTATATTTTGCGGGTAATGAGTTGTGCACATAATAACGATGGGATGATTGAGTTATTGGAGGAGAAATTAGAAATTAATTTTTTTTATATAAATTATTGTGTTGCGTCTTGGTCGTTGCCACAATAACATAGTGGTGGCGGTGGCGGTGGCAGTACTTACTGGGGCGTAGCCAAGACATGGGAGAAATAAAAAGTAAATAACAGAATTTATAGTTTGTTGATTTAGCAAGTACAAATAAAAAAAAGGATTAGAACAGGAACAAAATAAAAGAGCAAAAAAAAAAAGGAATTATATTTTATGTTGTTTGGAAAGGCTAAAAGAAATAAAATAACGCAAACAATGAGGGCGGCATTGACACCGACCGACGATGATGCGAAAAGGCTGATCGAGATGTAAATAAAAATAAAAATACACAGGATTAGCGTTGCTGCTGATGCTGCTGCTGATGCTGCTGCTGCTGCTGCATCAACGAACTAGAAATGTTCAGGCTGGCTGGACCCATGAACGACAGGCGGTTGTTTGGGTTCGACACGCCCGAGGGCAACGTGGTGGTGGTGGCGTTCAAAATGGGGAAGCTCACAAAGGCATTGAGCTTGGCCGACTCGTACATGCCGCGCACAGTGCGGCGGCGCCTCTCGGCAATGCGCGAGCGGGGCAGCGCATCGCGCGGCACAAAGACAATCTCGTCGAGCAGCACCTGGTGGCGGTCCAGCACGCTGCTGAAGGCCAGGCAGGCGATGTTGGGCAGGAACGAGTCGGCAGTGGGCATCTGGCGCATCATGATGACGGCGACCAGGCGCAGCGAATTGGAGCTGGCGGCAGAGGCGGACGAGTCTGCATTAGCCAGCGGCGGAAACGTGGTCTGGAACACCACGCAGCTGTCCGGGAGGATGTCTTCGGCCGGGTCCTCGACGGCGCGCTCAATGTCGGCGTAGAAGTACATGTACCCGTCGACGGTGAACGTGGCATCCATCTTGCCGGCCACAAACAGGTACGGCTCGGGCGGGGCGCTGCCCGCAGCCTCGTCGGCCGGCTGCAGATACAGGAAGCCCAGGTCGCCGGTGCGCACAAACTCGCAGTCGCGCGACGTGGCCAGGAAGCCGGTGGCGGCTTCGTCAGCGGCCGGCATCGGCATCGGCATCGCCACGGCGCCGCTCGAAAGCCCAGGCAGCGGCGTGCGGCGGTTGAGCGCGTTGCTCTGGCTGCACACCCACACCTCGCCGATGGCGCCGGCCGGCAGCGGCATGCGCGTGGCCGGGTCGACGATGGCCACCATGGTGCTGCCCGACACCTTGCCCGAGTCCTGCAGCACCAGCAGCCCGGCGGCCATGCCGTCGGCGTCGGCGGCGGCGTCAGCGGCAACGGCCACGACGCGTGCGCGGCGCAGCGCGTGCGGGTCCAAGCGCAGCGTCAGCGGCGGCACGCCCAGGTACGCGCGCGTGCTGATGCAGGCGTTCATCTGCGTGGCGTACAGCGGGTTGATGGCGCGCGCGTCCAGCCCGAACGGCGCGAAGAAGTCGCGGATCTGTGCGCACGCGGCCGGGTCGATGCGCTCGTCGGTGGCGACGATCAGGTTGCGCACGCACGCCAGGCTGAGCGCACCGCGCGGCGGCGGCGCGGCGGCCAGCGCGCTCATCGCGTGCTGCAGCATCGGCAGCGTGGCGAAGGCGTCCTTGACGCCGTGGCGCTGCACCAGGTCGAACCACACCAGCGGCGCCGCAAAGAACACCGGCGGCGGCACCACCAGCGTCGCGCACCCGACGTAGACGCCCAGGAACGCGCAGTGCAGCAGCCCGTAGCCGCTGTACGACCGCACCGACGCCACCAGCGGCAGCTGCGGCCGCATCTGGAAGTCGGCCTTCTGCTGCGCGCAGAACCGCAGCAGCGCCGCGTGCGAGAAGCCCACGAAGCGCGGCGTCGACGCCTGCGCGCCGGCGAACAGCATCACCAGCGCCGACCGCTGCGCCTGCGCCCACGCCGAGTCGAAGCGCAGCGCGCCGCGCCCCAGCACGCTCCTGGTCGCCGGCGCGCGGTCCAGCGCCAGCGCCGGCGGCATGCGCTGGCCGCCCAGCAGCGCGCGCAGCGCCGGCACGCGCAGCGCCGCGTCCAGCGCCTTGCCGCGGAAGACCGCGTCGCCGGCCGCGTCGACCAGCACGGCCGCCACGCGGAACTCGCGCACGGCCGCCAGCAGCGGCGGCAGGTCCTCGGCCAGCCGCGCGGCGTCGGGCGGCGCCACGACGATCGGCACGGCGCCGACCGCCAGGCTGGCGTGCACGGCCACCACAAAGTCGACGCCCGGCGCCAGCGCCACCAGCACGTGGTCGCCGGCGCGCACGCGGCGCTTGTCCAGCAGCAGCGTGGCGGCGGCCGCCACGCGCGCCGCCAGCTGCGCAAAGGCCACGGGCCGCGTGGCGCGCGCGCGCGCGTCCAGCTGCACGTACGCCGGCGCGTCGGGCGTCGCGGCGCCGCGCCACGCCAGCAGCTCGGCGATGGTGGCGAACGCGCCCAGGTCGGCGCCCGAGCGCTCGTCGACCGGCGGCGGCGGCGGCTCGAGGCTGGTCTGCTGCGTCCAGCGCGCGAGCGGCGGCAGCCGGCCGGCGGCCAGCGCGGCCGGCGGCGGCAGGTTGAGGAACAGCCCGGCTGTCGCTACGCGCACGAAGCTGCAGCCGACGCGGCCGCTCTCGAACTGGTGGCGGCACAGCTGCGCGTTGACCGCGCGCTTGCCGTACTGGAACGCGCGCGGCAGGGCGCCGGCCGGGCACAGCGCCACGGCGAACGCGCTGAGCCCGTGGCGCGCGCGCAGCACGGCGTGGATCTCGTCGGCCAGCGGCGCGTGCAGCCCCGACCCGCTGCGCACCTCGGCCGCCACCACGGCCAGGTGCGTGTCGTTGGCGTACATCTCGAACGCCGCGCACTCGCCGACCTGCGGGAGCAGCCGCCGCACCGTGGCGTTGATGTCGGCCGCGTAGTGGAACGACAGCGCCGGCCCGCCGTCGCCGCCCAGCGCCAGCGCGCGGATGCGGTCCTCGTAGAACCCGAACACCAGCACGCGGCCGCCGACCGCCGCACCCATCAGCCCCGTGCGCAGGAACGCGCCGCTGCTGGCGCGCGCGCCGCCGCCGCTGGTGAAGCGCGCCGCAAAGATGCTGGCGCTGAGCTTGGGCAGCCCCCAGAACGCGCCGCCGGCGCTGGACACCCACAGCTCGCCGACCGCGTCGCCGGCGCACAGCTCGCGCGTCTCGGGGTCGACCACCGCCACCGCCGCGCCGGCCGCCGGCCGCCCGAACGCCTGCACGCGTACCGTGCCGACGCGCTCGGCGCCCGGCTCGCCGCCGGCGCACAGCTCGATGCGGTTGAGCCGCAGCGCCGCGCGGTCCAGCACGAGCCCGTCGCCCGCAGCCGTGGCCGCCTCGGCCTGCAGGCAGTCGTGCATGGCCAGCAGCCGGCTGCCGTGCTCGGCCAGCGTGCACACGGCCGTCACCACCGCGTGGCCCTCGGTGTCCTCGATCGCGCGGTACGGGCAGCCGAACGGGTGCAGCACGCTGCGGTTGAACGCCGCGTGGAATGCGCCGTCGACGAACAGCGTGTCGACGAGCAGCAGCCGCAGCCGCCCCAGGTTGGGCGCGATTTTCTTGCTGAACGCGCCGATCGACGCCGGCTCGTCGGTCGCCGCCGACAGCACCGCCTGCAGCCCGGTGTAGTCGCCGGCCGCCACCGTCGCGCAGTACCGCGTCAGCACGTTGATGTACGCGCCGGCTGTGTCGCACACCGCGCTGCTGGCGTACACCGTCTGGTGCCCGCCGTAGCACCCGCCCAGCACGCCGTACACCAGCCCCAGGTGCTGCCGCGGCTCGACGTACGTGACGACGACGTCCTCGAAGACCGCGACCGACGCCGTGTCCTGCGGCGGCGCGGCTTCGGCCTGGGCTGCCGGCGGCGGGGCCTGCAGCGGCCTGGGCGCCGAGATGATCTCGCGCCCCAGCGTCGACAGGTTCGACGCCGCGCGCGTGCGCATGCTGATGGCGTCGGCGTCCCTGCCCGTGCCCTCGCTCGACACGATGCTCGCCGAGTCGCGCGCCCGCGACCCGCGCCGTATGCGCGGCAGCGACCCGGCGCTACGCAGCCGGTCAAGGAACCCGCCGCCGCTGCCCCAGCGGTGCTTTGACGACTGCGTCGGCGACGGCATCGGCTGGTCTAGCAGGTCCAGCGGCTCGGTGTGCGACACGCTCAGCATGGGCAGCTGCGGCGACCGCCCGTGGCTCGGGCTCTGGCTCTGGCTCTGGCTCTGGCTCTGGCTCCGGCTCTGGCTCTGGCTCTGGCTCTGGCTCTGGCTTTGGCTCTCGTCGTCCAGCGCCAGCGCATAGTCGGTTGTCTCGCCGCTGTCCTGCTGCAGCTCGACGCGGTGCTTGTACTTGCGGCCAATGTCCAGCATGCCTGTGCTCATCATCCACACAGCGCTCTGCTGCATGATCTCGCCGTGCGTCACCTGCACGCCCTTCAGCTCGCCGTTGGGACTCTTGCTAAACTCGATGTACGCGACATCGCCGCTCGTGAGCCGGTCGATGCTCTCGTCGCCATGGTCCGCTGCCGATCCTGCTGCTGTCGCCGGCCGCGCGACGTGCTGCGCCGACACGTTACCAGCGCCGACTGCTGACAGAACGTGGCCGCCGAGCTGATCGGTGCGCACCCACGCCACGGCGCTGGGCCAGCCGGGGCCGACGTTGTTCTGCGCCAAGTCCTTGTTGAGCGCGCGCGTGTTAAGCTCGGTCGTGAGCACCAGCGCCGCGCCTGTCGAGTTGAGCACGTGCGCCAGCTCCGCGTACGAGTCGCCGGCGACCACCGGCACAGCACACATGCCGGCGTAGAAGCACCCGAACAGGCTGCCGACAAAGTCCAGCATCTCGTATTTGCGGTACACCAGCGCCACGCGAGAGCCCGGCGCGCACACGCCCTTGTGCCGCAGAAGTGCAACGATTTGCAGCGCGCGTGTGTGCAGCCCGCTCCATGTCCATGACCCGATCTCTTTGCCCTTGGTGTCCACGCACGAGTACGCAATGCTCTGCGATGAGCTGCGCGCCCGGTGCCGCAGGATCGCTGCCAGGCTACTGAACGACTCCATCAGGTGCTTAAGCTTGGCTGAGTGCGCCTCAGCTGGGATCGTGTGCGGGCTGATGAACGCCCCGATACTGCCAAATTCGTCCTCGGCGGGTGGTCCGTGGTACTGGTGCTGAACCGGTGGCTGTGCCGACTGCTGCTGCTTCTGTTGCTGCTGCTGTTGCTGCTGCTGTTGCTGATAGTCGGACTGAGATTGGCTTGTCGGCTGCAGATAGTTACCCTCGACAATCGTCTCCATGTACCCACCCTCGGGCGCAGCCACCATCTGGTGCTCTGCCGCCCCATTTTCGCCGCCAGCCTGCATGCTCGCATCCCAGTCCTCGTACACCAGCGGGCCCTCGTACAAATAGCTCGTGTGTCCCCTGGTCGCCATATCCGGGTCCTCTTCGGCCAGCATGGGAACCTGTTCTGCCGGCGCAGTCATCTCAAGGTACGTCTGCGCATCCATCGACATTGCCGCTGACTCCTCAAACGTGTACTGCAGTGACTGACGGTTGTTGGCGCCCATCTGCTGGCGGCCCCCTTCTGACTCGACCGGCCCGGCAATCTGCATCTGCTCGGCCGCCAGCATCATCATGTCGAAGTTGGCAGGGACCTCAAGCTCAGACTCGTGCTCTGCTTCATAGTACGATATGCGCGCCGCATTTTTAGCCGCCACCGCGTTCCACCCTGCAGAGCGCGTGCCATATGTCGGCCGCCGAGACACAGCGCGTGCGGCAACTGACTTTTGCATCTGCTGCGCTTGCTCCACAGTATCAACCTCGTCCAAGACGGGGAACGCCACCTCACGTAACTTGTCGTTGCTGTTGACAACCTGAAGCCCGCCGCCGAACGCCGCGCTTTGTATGCTGTTGCGCTTAAGCTGCTGCAAGTGGCTAGTGACCCGCCCCGGAGAGACCGGCGGTTCAGGAAATGTTGCCGCTGCCGCTGCCACCGCCGCCGCTACTGCTGCGCTTCCTTTATCGCTACCAAAGCCAGTGTCAGCCAAAACCATGTCTTTGAGCGTGATCGTGCCGCCGCGAATGGTGCTGGCCGCCCCAGTATCCGCCAGCACACTGCTTCTTGCCGAATGTGGCCGCTGTTGCTGTTTCTGCTGCCGTAACGACGCGTACATCTCCTCTTCCTCTGCGTCAAACTCGTGTGTCTCGTGCGTGCCCGACACCGGCGACAAGAAGGTTTCCGCAGCCGCAGCGCTAAAGGGCATGTGTGGCACCGGCACCGGTCTTTTTTCCTGCATTGGCGCCGCTCTTGCGGCTGCCTGCGGATCAATGCCGTGGTGGATGAACAAGCCTACGGTCGGCGTATCGGGAGTGAGCAGCTGAGACGCTGATGGCATGCTGGGTGCTCCCAAGCGAGACGGCAGCTGCACGTTGCCCCGGTCCGCTGCAATTTGGATCGGCTCCGGCCTAAAATCCCTCTGTGCATGCGCCAGTGCGCTGCCAACAGCCACTTCTGCCATCCTATCTTGTCCAGTCAGCTCATGCGGGTGCTGTGTCGTACTCTGCGCGCCGACCATATCCGCCATGTACCCTGTGGGCTCCAGGTCGCTGATCTCGTCCAGGATGCTGTTGCTGCTGCTGTTGTCCGAGTACAGCTCCTGGTTGTTCTGCGATGACAGCGCGGTATAGGGATCCATCATGTCGCTGAGCACGTCGTATGCGCGCCCAGACGTCATCTCGTCGAAATCACCGCTGTTCTCGCCGCCATAGCCTGCGTTCTGCTGTCTCCGCGCAACTGTGGGCATTGGTGGCATCGAGTGCATCGGCGACCCCAGACTGAATCCAAACTGCGGAGACAGCGGCCCGCTTTCCTCGCGCGAATACCCTGTCTCTACACTCAGCTTTTGCCGTTGCTGCTGGTGGGACAGGTGCATATCGTCGCCATAGTCGTCCATGCCACTGCCGTTATTGTTGTTGTTGCTGCTGCTGCTAAAGTCATCCAGCAGGGCTTCAAAGTTGATTCCGGGCTTTTTAAATCCCATGGCCGTAGACTTGCGCGCGTCGTAGTTGGCCTTTGTCGACCCGCTGCGCACACCAACAACTGCGTCTGCCGCTCCCCTGCTTCTGTGCGCACCAGGCTTTGGGTTTACGCCACTGTCAACTGTGCTGCTGCCACTGCTGCCATTGCCGGGTGAGTCGAACTGCATTTTTCTAGCACCCGGCAGCACGTCTTCGTCGTACCCGGCGGCCAATATCGAGTTCCGCACATTGTCTGTACTGGACTGATACTCTTGCATCAACTGTGCCATCCGCTTGGCCAATCCCTTTTGCGTGATATCGCCGTCCTTGTACTCTTGCTCGATGTCTCGTATGCGCACCTGGTACACAAACGGTAGCTCGTCGATGGTTGCCTGATCGATAACCGTGTCCATTGCGATCGGTGTCGTTTAATTAAAGTAAAATAATGGTATGGGGTATTTGCTACGGTTGTTTGCTATGTGTGGTGGATAAGCTACAAACAAGTTTAATAATTGATGTAAAAGAAAAATACACGCAAATGTATGCAAAGCAAAAAATAATTGATGGGAATGAAAATAAAAAACACAAAGGGTTGAAAAAAATTAAAGCAAACAGACAAACAAATCACCAACTCCCTCTTTCTTTCACGTCTAGTTTTTGCTAATGGGATGCTAAAAGCAGGATTAAATGCGCGAGCAATACCCGCTTTGAAGGAATGTTTGGAAGTTTCAGCGTAGAGTCATGAGACTAAGCATAAAGTAGAGGAGAGAAAGGGGCAAACATGTTTGAGACTTTATTTTAAAAGTTACTACTCCAAATCCAGCACTTCAAAATGGGGGAAGAATTGCGTAAAGACCAGTAACAACGAGTCATTGAAAAGTGAGGTGGAGAGGGGATATGGGGGATTCCGGTTTCACTGCGCATATCCCTGACATCGTTGCCGTCATGTTGGTTCCAAGAGAGGCAAGGGCCGACATGGACTTTTCAAAATGCTCGAAATTCAAGTTTTTTTCTTTTGTAATAACAAAAGTCCTTTGCTGCCTTTTTGCTCACAGTTGGTATAAATATGTTTATGCACAAATGGGCATCAATACTATTGGTATTGTAAACAAAAGAAACGTACCAGAAACAAGTGGAAACAATAACAGGGCGAATCCTCCGAATAAAAGATAATTAAGATCGGACGTCCTTGAGTTGTTTGTATTTTGCGCTGTTGCTTTCGTCTCTTCAACCAAGTAAAAAAATAACAACAAAATACAAAAAAATATAGTGAAAGGGAATTATCAGTGGAAAAAATATAAAGTGCAACAAAATTATAACAAGTTGGGTAAAAAAAAACGAAAAGAAAGAAGGGCCAGGATTTAACCCAAGCGGAATATTTTATCGTCTCAATTTGTACATATTTTCTGCCTTTGGGTTTCCTTTTCTGGAGCAGAATTTTTTATTTGCGCAAGCACACTTTTATCGCAGTGTCATGTTCATCAGATTTCTTTCTGCAACCTCACTTCCCCTCACGAACACGCAAACATACACAAACAGGTACAATTAATAAACGCAAAAAGCGAACTGCACAACAAAGCGATGGATCGGACAACAACACTGAATGTGCATTTTTCTTGGTGTCTAGTGCTGGAACCAAAACAGCTCACCAGTAGGGCAAATCCTGAACATAGACGTAGACACCGATGCAAAGATGCAGCTTGAAAGCACGCATCTGCCTATTTTTGTTTTGCTTATTCTTAGCGTAGTGCACTGCGCTGCATTGCATATTTTTTTGCATTAAAAATGCTTTTCTCACTAAATTGTCGTATGGCTGCAGGTGGCCTGCTCCCCATGTCATCCCGCAGCCAAGCGCGACAAAGAAGGACTGAAAAACAAATAAAACAAAAAATAAGGCCAGTACATATATTTGTGTTTGTGCTTGTGACCAGTGCAACACCCATCTCAAATCTCAATTCCGGAGGACATGAACGCAAGAACGTCCTCCAGCGCAACCTTCGAGTCGCTGCTGCCAACCGCCTCCTTCGCCGACGCATCAAGCCCGCCCTCCGCCTCGTCCATCCTCTGCTTGACCAGCCCAGCCACGGTCTTTGCATGTCCCCTCCGATGCTCAATAAATGTGTTGAGCGCGGCAACCGCCAGCGACTCATGCTTCTCGGCCCGCGCCGCCCAATCCAGCCGCTTGTCCTGCTGCGACTCGGCCTCGACCTGCGCCCAGATAAGCTCCTCCTCCTGTTCAATCTCGGGCGCCAATTTTGTGCGCAGCAGCACCGAGATGATATTCTGCTCGTGGATGCTGCCCGGTCGCGTCTTGGGCGCCACTGACATTTCCTTGAGCAGCGCCGCGTGCTTTTTGCTGACTGCCTGGTTGAGCACTGCGTATTTGGCCGCCAGAATGTTGAATTTGCTCAGAAGGTCCGGCCATGACACCAGGTTTGGGTTGTCTGGTGTTGGCCGTGTTTCGTCAATGACCACTGTGAATGATTCGTGCAGTTGCTGGAGCTGCCGCCGCAGCATTTCCAGCTCGACAATGTTTGAGTCGTCCATGGCTCGTGTGGATGTGTGGATGTGTGAATCTGTGGATGTATGTGTGGGTGATTTCAATAAAGTGATGATGTTGGTGTTGACGTTAAAAGAGCCTGCCAATAGAAACTAGCCCCTGGGCTACCAAAGCGGCAAGCCAATTTTTAACTTTGTATTTTTGCGGGCGACAAGCCGAGTATGGGCAGCGCGACAAGTCGCAATGTTTTTTAATTTTACTGATAGTACTACTGGTGCACCTGAATGGCTCTAAACTTTGTCAACAGCACCAGCCGTGCCAGGAAGTACTCCTTATAACTTGGCAATTTGCTTCACTTTATTCTCAATATATGAGCAGAAGAAAAGTACATTTTATATTCCACAAAAAAAAAACTTTTTTGGTTTGTATTAAAATGAGAATGAAAAAAACAAACCGATTTACATCTCGTCCAGCGACCTCATGGCCTCCTCGAACTCGTTCTTGAGGGCAGTGTAAGTCTCCTTCAGCGTCTCGTACTCGGTCTCGGCGGTCTCCACGTCCTTCTCCTTCTGGGTGAGCTTGCGCTGCAGGCCCTCGTTAAGAAGGTCGAGCTCCTGGGTGCTACATTATCAAAAATATCAAAAATAAAAAAAAAAACAAATAAAAAAGATAAAACTTAGTATAAACCCCCATACAATAAATAAGCAAACATTTGTAATCCAGTTAAAGACACCAATACAAATAGCATATGCAGAAGGCGTATCAGCCGAGGCGTCATGTGCAGAATCGTACTTTTTTATGGCCTCGCGCAGCTGAATCTCAAGGTTGTCAATCCTCTCCTCCTGAGTGTTGGCGTTCTTCAGCACAATGTCGCTCTGGTTGAGCGTGGCAGCGTTGTCCTGCTGGATCTGCTTGGCCTCGGCAAGCTGGGCATCCCGCTTATCGGCCTCCTCCTCGAGCAGCTGGACGCGGTTCTGGAGCGAAATTAGTTCCTGCTCGCGCTCGGTCTGCTGGGCAAGAACTAGCTTCAGCTGCTGGTCGGCCGCCTCGGCGCGCTCGTTGGCGGCCTCAGCCTCGGCACGGTATGCGTTGATCTTCTACACAGGGGAAAAAGATGGAGGGTGCAAGCGGAATGTGCGACAACACGAATGCAATACAGAGTTTAGTCGAATGGGAATAAAAGCATAAACATTGGTCAGTGTTGCAGATGGAGTTTGGAATTGCAATCTTTGGTCGTCATGCAAAAGTGTCTGCTTTAACTGCGAGTGGCGCCACCAGTCGCTAAAATAAGCATTTCTGGCGATTCGGGAGGCAACCGCTACTGTCACAAAGACAAAAAAGTTCTTGAAGGGTTTGAAAAATAATACGTACCTCGCGGGCCTTGTCCATATTTGTAGTTGGAAATGTAAATGTGTATTAAAAAGAGAAATAAAGGGTATGTAGAGTAGAAAAGAGTAGAAAAGAAGGGTGCTAGGGTATGTGAACAAAATAAAGGAGACAAATAGAATAAGCGAATGGTTATATAAAAGTGTGGCAAGCTGCTCCTAGTTCCTTTTGCTTCTTTGCCAATGCTGTTGCATTTTTGCCTGTCGTCTATTCTTTGTCATTGTTTTCATCCAATCTGCTGGTGTTTTGACAGCCGCGAGGCGCAAAACGACCAGCACTCTTGTTTTTTGCACTAAAACAGCAGACTGGGGAAATCTCTAGGAATAGGGGAAAACTCCGCCTTGTTCTATTTTTTGCACCAGCGCAAGTTTGTTGTTGTTTGTGCAAAAAGTAATCCCAGTTCCTGGATTTTGATGTTTTGGCATGGGGATGGTTCACTTCTCGACTCGGTTCAAGCATATTTATTGCTTTTTCTTATGGCTTGGTATGCTGCGTCTCCTGACCAAAGTACAAATGCAGGAATTATCACAGCACAAAAATGACTGCTTGCGTGATCACAGGTTTTCCAGCAGTTGGACTGTGGGAACCATCGCTTTTGTTTATCAGAGAGGGAGGAGGATCGTGTGCAAGCAGTTGAAAACTCTCGAGCCCTGTAGCATAAAAAAAGTAACTACCACTACGTATATATTCCAGCAGGCTGGGCGCTCTCATTATCACTACTACAACTCTCTTTTCTCTTTTCAAATTCCTGTTTTACAACCCACTCCATAGCATTATCCTCGCACTAAAAAATAAATAGTATCCACAATATGGCGAACCAGATTCCGTACAAGACATACGTACAGTCGGCTGAATACATCAAGACTCGGATCAACGGCTTCCAGCCCGAAATTGGAATCATCTGCGGCAGCGGGCTGAGCTGCCTGGCCGAAACATTTGAGCGTACCAAGGCAGTGGTCAAGTACGACGAGATCCCGGGCTTTGTGCGCAGCACTGTGGAGGGCCACCCAGGCCAGCTCGTCTTTGGCGACCTGGCGGGCAAGCGCGTGGTGTGCATGCAGGGCCGGTTCCACTGCTACGAGGGATACACCGTGCAACAGGCGACGTTCCCGGTACGCGTCATGCACCTCCTGGGTGTGAGTGTCCTGCTGGTGACGAATGCCGCCGGCGGCATCAACCCCAACTACGAGGTCGGCGATGTGACGTTGATCGCCGACCACCTGTCGCTGCCGGGCATTGCCGGTGCCAACGCCCTGATCGGCGCTAACATTGAAGAATTCGGCCTGCGCTTCCCATCTATCTCGGACCTGTACACACCGCGCCTGCGCAATATCGCCGCGCGCATCTACTTGACCAACCCCAGTTTGCGCGAGGACAAGGGGTTCCGCGTGCATGAGGGCGTTTACGCATGGTGCTACGGCCCGTGCTTTGAGTCTCGCGCCGAGCTGCGCGCGCTGAAGACGCTAGGCGCTGATCTTGCGGGCATGAGCACTGTGCCTGAGGCTGTAGTGGCCAAGCATTGTGGCATGGAGGTTCTGGCCATGTCACTGGTCACCAATAAGTGCGTTGACCGCAGGGAGCCCAGCTCTCTCGATGTTGTGGCTGCAGAGCTTGCTGGCCAGCCCCTGGTTACTGTTGCAGAGCAGTTCCCGCACCATGAGGAGGTCATGGCTGCTGCTGCCGCGCGCACCCCTGTCATCCAGGAGTTTGTACGGAGCATTATCAGGGACATTTGATCAATTTAATTATTTTCATTTTGAGGGTGTGTATTAAATAGTATATTTTTATTTACAATTACAATACGATATAAAATACAGACTACACATCACTACGCATATCTCGGATCTGCTTGTCGTACCAATAATTCCTACAGCGCGTTGTTCAAAGAGTTACAGGATTTAAGAAGAATTAGTAAAAATCGAACTATCGTCTAAAAAAGACAAGCTGCAAAACAACATATACACATCTATTTTTTATAGTTGTGTTTCTTTCAGAAAATATACGGTCAAAATTTCAGCACTTGGCCCAATCCGCCATAAATGACGGACCGAGCAATCTGACTGACGTGCAAAAAATATTAAGGCTTCATCATCAAGGTTGCGGTCAAAGTCGCAAGAATAATAAAGAACGCAAAACAAAAACTTACAATTTATCACATTACCACACTATTCAAACAGCTATATAAAAAATAGAAAATAATTTTAGCAAGAAGAGAGAAGAAGCTTGGCAAACAAACTCTTGATTTTCATTTTGACGAGATTGCAGGGCGGAGAGGAAAAATGGAAAAAAAAAACTTTGCGTGAGCCGCCTTTTTTTCAGGGGAAAAAGCTCTAGTAGAGCCGATCTGATCAGCGAGTTTTAATCTACACGATCAGACTCTTTTCCTTCAGCAGCAGGGCCAGCTCGCCGTTGGCGTGGATCGCCGCAAGATCATCGCTGCCGCCAATGCTCTTTCCATCAACAAAAACGTTCGGGAACGTAAAGTGGCCGGAGACTGCGCCCAGCGCGGCCTTAATCTCCATTGGATCCGCCTCCAAGTCAGCCTCCAGCACGGTGAACTCCAGCCCGCGCCCGTCGTGGTACTGCGACAGCAGCTGCTTGGCGCGCCGTGAGTACGGGCAGTACGTCTTGGAAAACACCATCACGCGGTGCTTCTTGATCAGCGTGCGCACCTTGCGTTCTGCCGCCGAGGGCGCTGGCTTCTGCGCCTGTTCCTCCTGTTGCATGGCTTGGTTCGCTGGCTCGTTGGCTGGCGTCTTCACAGGCTCATTCACAGGCTCAACCACCTTTACCTTATCCTTTGCTGCAGCTTCAGGCGCAGCAGCAGCGTTGGCAGGACGGTCGGCAAGCAGTGCCGTGAGCAACCCCTTATCTGTCAGCATCTGTGCCAGTTGGCCACTACCCTCAAGCTGCTGCAGCTCCTCGTTCCCGCCAACACATTGCACATCAATAAAAATACTGGGGAACGTCGTGCGCTGGTACAGGCTCTTCAGCGCCTGCCGAATGCCTTGGAGATCCTTCTCACTACTCATCTCAATGACAATATACCGGAGCCCCCGCTGGTCGCGATACCACTGCAAGAGCGCCTTTGCCGCCCGGCAGTGTGGGCACTCGGGCTTGCTGAAAATCACCACATGGTTGTCCCGCAGCGTCGACTGCACAAAGTACTCTGTCGGGTCCTTGATGAACCCGTCCCTGAGGGGCACCTCATTTAGGTTTGCCACTTGCATTTTCTTGGCTGCTTCCATATGTACCGGCTGGTTGTCAGCGGCGGTGGCCGGCTCGCTGCGCCTGAATAGCAGGAACAGTGCAAAGAGTGCTAGCACAAGTATAACTAGGACTCGGCGCCGGTAAAGCGCTTTGGACAGCCCCATTTCTGCGTTTTTTTTCTCGCTCTGAATGCAATGTCAAGGCTGGACGAGTGGCCAGTAAGGGCGAGTTTCCCTGGAATTACAAAAATAGAAGGAAAAAAGAAGAGGTCTGTTGAATTGTGCTTGCTTGAGCAGCAATAAACAGACAAAAATAGCAATTGAGCGACAGATAAAAATGTTAAAAATACACGGGAAAGTAATAATAAAAAACAAAAGCAAGGCAAGGTGAGGCAGCGCACAAAGCATACAAGCTGGTCGACGATGGTGCGCATGTTTGCTCTGTGCTCATGCGCTCTTTTTTCACACCCCCACCCCACTCCGCTTGTTTGCTTTTTTTGTTTCGGCTTCCGCCCGACTCCTCGAGTTTGGTGGCAATTTGTTCTGTGCTCAAAATAGTTGACCAAAGCAAGCCATTTCTCTCCCTTTGTCCGCTTATTGTTTTGGCTCCTTATTTTTGCTGCTTATACTCGCTCTGTCACACTTTAAGGTTTAAACTCCGGACGCACCAGCGACACATTCGAGCGACGACGACAACAACAAAAGAGCCTTGCGTCAGCTTGCCCAGCCACATCCCCATACCATACACCACACCACACTGCACACATGTCTCAGCAGCCTGCAACCTCAGGAAGCGGCCAGAGCCGCATGCGCCTGCCGCCCTCGCTGGACAGCGCCTATAAAATCGTGCGTGACGTCGGCCAGGGCGCCTACGGCCTAGTCTGCGAGGCCGAACACATCGAGACCGGGCAGCATGTCGCCATCAAAAAGGTGTCGCGCGTCGGCGAGAAGGAGGTACTGGCGAAGCGGTCGTTGCGAGAAATCAAATTAATGCGCCACTTCAGCGGCCACGAGAACATCATCTCGCTGCTGGACATTGACGTGACCAACAGCCCGGATTTCAACGAGATCTACCTGATACAGGAGCTGATGGAGGCCGACCTCCAGCTGATCATCAAGTCCGGCCAGCCGCTGACGGACCCCCACTTCCAGTACTTCCTGTACCAGATCTGCCGCGGCCTAAAGTACATTCACTCGGCCGGTGTCCTGCACCGTGACCTCAAGCCCAGCAACCTGCTGGTCAACGCAAACTGCTCGCTGCGGATCTGCGATTTTGGCCTGGCACGCGGGCTGGCTGAGACCCCCGAGGGCAACATCGGCTTTATGACCGAGTACGTGGCCACCCGCTGGTACCGCGCACCTGAAATCATGCTCTCGTTCCTCTCGTACACCAAGGCCATCGACATCTGGTCTGTGGGGTGTATTTTTGCCGAACTCCTGGGCAGCAAGCCGCTATTCAAGGGCCGTGACTACGTTGACCAGCTCAACCAGATCCTGCAGATTCTTGGCACTCCCGACGACGCCACGCTGTCGCGAATTGGCAGCGAGCGCGCCCAGATGTACATTCGCTCGCTGCCGTACATGCCCAAAGTTCCCTGGGAGCGCATCTTCCCGGGCGCCACGCCCCTGGCGCTGGACCTGCTCGAGAAGCTGCTGGACTTTGACCCGAGCACCCGCATTACCGTTGAAGAGGTGCTTGCCCACCCGTATCTCAAGGCATACCACAACCCGGATGATGAGGTGTCGTGCCCAGTGGCCTGCGATATGTCCTTTGAGGCCGTCACCTCGATGCCCGACGTTAAGCGCATGATCATCGACGAGGTCATTGATTTTAAGCGCCAGGCTGTCCAGGAGACCAACGACGCCGCCGCAGAGATATCCGACTATATGGATGGCTATGCTGATCCGAACGCTATACCCGCCAATGATGGGTTTGCCCGCGCGCGCGAGTACCGGTCGGTCGACGACAGCTACGAGCCGGGAACGGCAGCGCAGCACCAGCAGTTTATCGACGAGTCTGGATTGATGAGCGCCAGCGATGCTGCGGCGCTGGAGCGGGAGCTAGCTGGCGATGTGGAGATGAACTGAGCTGATCTTTTTTTAATATTGCAGTGTGACGTTTAGTGGAATGAAAATGAAAATATGCTCAAATATATGTGATAATTAGGTATTGTCAAGTACATTAAAAAGGCAGTGGGGCTTAGAGGTAGTAGTGGTGGACAATCGGCCGTGCCTCGTCCCAGGGCCCGTGCATCTCGTTCTTGTACCGCTGGACCCAGATCAGCCACAGTGGGCAGCCAAACGTAATGAACAGCGTAATGAACACGTGCAGCATGGCGATAGCGCGCGAAATATACAAGAACATCGCTGCTGCGATCAACGCAAGCACAATCGCCATGGCCATGGACGCTGCCGCCGAAATGCGCTTAAGGTACCGCCTGAAAATCGGAAACAGCGCAAACCACTTGAGCGCAAACGCAAGAAACGCAAACACGCTCAGGTTGCTATTCAGCTGCGACGCCAGCAACACACTGCCCAATACGGCGGCGTTGAGAGACACACTGCCCGGAAAACGGATGTTGGTCAGATTGCCCGTACTGTAGTCGTGGAATGCCAGGTTAACGCAAAAAAAGATGACGGTCATTGCCCAGATCGTGTCGCTGCTCGTATCTTCCGTCAGCGTGCGCAGGATCGGCGACAGGCCAAAGAGCAGCAGCGCAAACAGCACCGCGCCCTTGATCAGCTTGAACCGGACTATGCGCTGCTCGGGCGTGCGCAGGTACATGTTCAGCAGATCCCAGAACACAAACCCGAATAGTGTGGATACCGACGAGCACCACAGGAGCACCTGGCCTGTGAGGCTGCCGCGGTACAGGCTGATGAACACTGCGATGAACACCATGATGCTCGATATGTGCTGCGTGACTACGGCCGTCTGCATGACGACTGTCGAGTAGTCGTACATCCTCACGTTGGTGTTCTTCTGCAGCTCCATGAGAAACGTCTCATCAACATAGTCATCCGGGTACTCCTGTTTTATGTACAGCAGCTTGCGCCAGGGTCGCCGCCCACGCACACCCGTTGGCCGCCCACCTGTTGTGCCATCGGACGCCAAGGCCGACGTCGGTAGATACAGCCCCGGCCAACATGTAGCGTCTGCTCCCGCGTGCGCCTCCGGGACCAGCGTGCTGCTGCGCCCGCTTGGGCCATTGCCGAGGTGCAGTTGTGCTGGTGTATTGTTTGTGTTGGTGCTGGTGCTGGTGCTGGTGGCAGGGGAGGCGGAAGTTTCGCGCCGCCGACTGAGGAACGACACACCTATCCGCGTCGGCACTATCTTCATTGCCTTCCGCGTTGCTTGCCTTTACTGAAAAAAGTAGGCGAATTGTGAAAAGAAAATTGGAATTGGAATTGAAGAGACCGAATGCAAAAAAATAAAAGAAGTGAAATGCATGTGAATACTAAAAAGATGTGCGTCTCCCAAGACTTGGCTTGGTAAGCTCAAACATGTTTATGCTAAATACATTTGATGCTTTGTGGCATCATTGCTAATCTATCGACCTCTACAGATTCACGCATCAAATCACAAGAAATTAGTGTTGGTGATGGTGACGACAGCAATGATTGATATACTTTCAACACCTAAATTGATGAGCACCATCACGGGCATGATGCGATTTGGTTGTGTATTTTCTAAACCCAAATGTCAAAGTGCCATTGGGTAGCTGGAAATATGTTGAAAGCGGACTGCTTCTTTGCATCTTAGGAGAGTTGCCCATTCTTCACATTGCGAGAATCACCTGGCTTACCCGAGGAAAGCATTATTAGGACCGTAAAACAAATAATGTGCGACGGAATGTGCAACGGATTACAATCTCCCAGCCATTTATTTTTTACTTGCACTGTGATCTTTGCTATTTTTTGCCAAACGCATTCTGCGAATTGCCATTTTGATGCAGTCCAACTAGTACCCGCCTTCAATACGTGTTCGTTTCGTGTTTTCTTTACCCCTTCTACCTCGGTGCATGTATGTACCTAGGCAATCCCGCGTTACTCACCCACTCAATCTGTGCATTCGCAAATTGCGTAATTTACAGTCTTGAAACTGTTGGCCACAATGTGGCTTGCTGCTTCCTGCTGCTACATGCAACTATTTTGGATGACTGTCATTTTCATTTTGGCACCATTTTTATTCTGCCCCCTCCCCCACATACGCGCATACATACAAACCGATCTGAGATTTTTGTTTTTGCATTTTCCACTTTTTTGCCCTCGCAGTCAAAAAAACCTAGATATGAGGCCTCCATACTGGCGCATTTTGTCCAGCGCAGTAATGTTTAAATATTCTGCACACTGACCATGCCCAGAGAATTTGCAATAAAAATGTTTGGATTGCTTGTTTGCTTCATCCGTTATTTATTAGCATTACGCCCTGCTGCCCGCACGATAGAAGAAGCAGTGCTCTCATAAAAAAGTTTCGACATTTTTAGGCAGGGTTGCTTTTTTCTTCTATACTCATCAACATTTTCCACCAATTCTGTCGTTTTTACCCGGTATTTTTATATTCACAAAAAAACCAACATGTCTTCAGCCAGCTCCTTTTTTTCGCACAACTCACTCGGAGAAAATACGCTACGAACAAACGCCCCAAGCCTTAAGCGCAGAAGAAGCATCCTCGAACCGCTCAGCCAGCCAAGCGCAGCAGCCCCGCCAAGGAAAAGACGAGTGCTCACAGCAACCAGCCAAAAGGAAAACATTTCCGAGCAACAGCCCACATGCACAAACACCATGACCTCTTTTTCGCGGCGCAACAACGCGCAAACAGGGGTGCTCCCAGCAAACAAAAGGACCTGCCCAGCCCTCCAAACCCTCCACATCAAGGCGCTCGAATACGGCCTGCGAGTGCCTATCAACAACACGCCTCTGGGCATACTGGATCAGGCTGAAAACATCATTTATAACCGGATGCATCGGCCAATGATTGCGCGGCTGTCGATTAGTCAGCGGAGCTCGAGAAGAAGGGTTATTACATCTCCGCCAGTGCTGTCATTGCTTCCAATTGACATTATTGCTGATGCCAATTTAACCAGCGTGCCGGCCTTATCTACCGCATCCATCATACCTGTTCGCCCTCGGAGACACAGCCGGCGCAACTCGACTGGGTGCCTTGAGTTGACGCTTTTGTTAGAAATGTGAAAGATGTAGACAATTGTACAAATATATATGTAAAGGTTGAGCTTTGCAGTCAAAACTTGAATTATTCTAGCCGATGGCGTGATCACAAATGGCTCCTATTTGATTACCATGATTTGATCGTGGAATTTTATTATACCTTTATTTTTTTACTTGATCGCTGATGGAAAAATTTTTCTCGTTGGGATGTGGATTCAGCTTGATGCAACTTTTTTTCTTCCTCGGTTGGCAAGTCGGGCATGGGGTATAAAATCCCTGCGACAGCTTGCTATAAAGCCCTCTTTCGTCTTCACTTTTCTTATCTCCGTCTTTTGTTTATTTGTTTATGTTGTATTCTTAGTTTGTGTGTTTTGCGATAAGGTATGTATTATTTTTAAATTTGAATTATATATTTTTACTGCAAGAGTACTTTTTAGGCATGATGAACAATACACAGACCTGTTCTGTAGGACGAAATACTTAGAATCGATTATCGTCTTCTGGAGATGAAAGTGCATTATCACTGACCTTTACCTAAAAGTACCTTTTGCTTTATGAGTTTAAACTACAAACTGTTGGTTGTTTTGATACACTTGCCACTAAACGTCATTGTTTTTTGTCTTTTTTTTGCTTATGATATTATTAGTATAGGTTTGATTTATTCGTGGATGTGTTGACTAATATCCGACAAACAAGAGCGAATTTTGTGTGTATTGTATAGTATATTTTTTATTGTTTGAAATATCTAATAAATGTATAAAAAAAATTAAACATTAGTAACAAGTAAAATATGATTGTAAGATAAAAAAAACTAATGAGAGAAACTAAGCCATGTTGCTGTATACCTTGACAACATCATCTAGCTCCTCAAGATCGTCGATGATTGCAAGCAGCTCTTGGGCCTGCTCTTCATTCACATCCACCGATGTCGTAGATATGTACGCACCAGCCATGCGCTCTATCGTGTACCCCGAGGACTCGCTCAGTTGCTGGGTCACAACCCTAAGCTTATTAAACTCGCAAGTGACCTCAAACCTGCCATCCCCCAGCTCTGCAATATCCTCCGCACCCGCCTCGATTGCCTTCTCAAACATGATATCCTCCGAATCGCCAGTCTCGCCCGCTGTGAACCAAATACATCCCTTCATCTCAAACATGTATCCGACGGAGGTCATTGACCCTTCCATGCGATTGAACTTGTTGCGCAGGGCCTTGACTGCGCGGTTTTTGTTGTCCGTCAGACACTCGATCATGAAAGCAATGCCATGGGGACCCAGCCCCTCGTACACGACGCTTTCTGCGTTTGAGTACTCTTTGGATGCCGCGCGCTTGATCGCACGCTCAACGTTTTCCTTGGGCATGTCTGCCTGCTTGGCCTGTTTGATAGCAGCAGCAAGGCGCAGATTGAACTTCATATCCGTGCCGCCCTCTACGCAAAAGAATAAAAGGACACCCTGACACGACAAACGAATCAGGGGAGAACATATTAGTGAGCCATTTTGGGTCCACAAAAGATAAGGATAAAGTTATGATATTCATATAAAAACATTCACTCCGCTTATCTTTTTTTACCTTTTGTCGCGGCTAGGATCTCCTTTGAAATGGACGCAAATATCTGGCCCTTCTTCACGTCCGCGGCGCCCTTGGAATGGCGTATTTTGGCCCACCTGCTGTGCCCAGAATGCCTTTTCGGCATCAGCAGACAAGCGGCCAGCCGCCCGCCGCCGACTGATGTTGCTGGGGCTACGGCACCAAAGGCCGAGGAGCCATGCCGGAGTACAGATATCATCGATGTCAGCAGCTCCATTTTATGCAGAGTTCGACCAGTGTATCTGATTTCCCTTTGGACAATCGCCTTTGTATAACGCAAGTTGATCTACACTAATGAAAACGAGAGTGTGCGAAAAATACAAATGCTAATATAAGCACAGGGCGTGGAGCTTTGGAAAAATAAAAAATAAAAAGAGACGGGAGATTGGAACGTGCCAGAGTTTCTCGTGGTGATTTAATCCAATATTGTGCGATGCAGAGAGGCGAGACGATGGTAAATCCGATAATGGGACTCAGAGTGCGTTTATCGATGACAGGGTTGTTGGATTGCCTAGCAATTCAGATGTCAGCCGCAGAAAGTGGTTCGGAATAATAAAAATAGGCAGTCACATTCAACTCAGTTGCCGGGCATATAAATTACGTATGCAAGTTGTCAATTCTTCAGCTTTTTTAACAAAGCCAGAGAATCTCTGAAAAGAAGCACTAATAGAACAAGCTCAATAGAAAAAATGGTCGTGATGGGAAGCGATACTGTAGGTGCACGCGCGTTTACGGAGTGTGCATTTTCATCTTGCTATCGATGGCACTGCCAAAAATACGTGAGGCAAAATATAAAATCGATATGAAATGTGCTTGCTTGCTTGTAGAGGCTCCAGGCTCAACAGCGCCAACACGCGAGGGGTCGGCTTGAATTAGCGCATAAATTTTATGTTTTTTTAATATGCGCTTGGACCACCACTGGACTTCGTAAAAGGTGCGCAATGTCCATCCTTATGCTTTGTTTTTGGACTTTTGGACGCCAATTATGAAGGGGTTGTGCGCACTTGCCACTCGGAACAAAGTCGGCCTGTATGTCAATTTGAGGACAAATAATTATTCCGCACGGGTACCACAGACCAAAAGTACGCCAAAAAAGTATTTGGCATTTACAGCTAAAAAGCAAAGCACACGCCTCCAGACCGTCCTGCATGTACAAATACAAATTACGCTGTCCTTGGATATTGGGTGTTGTGCACATTTCCACTAATTGCATCCGGATACGCCCGAAAATAATAACATCGTGATTCTCGCCACCCCCACGCCTCGCTGCGCTCATATCCTCGATTGGAAATCTGCCTGACCGTGATATTTCCATGCGGATGTGGAGAATAAGAGGGAGAGAGGGAGGGGGGGGAGGGGGAGGAGGGCACAAACCAGCGGCGTCGTTTATCAGGCGCCATCAGTCACTATTTCTCGCTTGCGGTTGCTGGGTGAAAGGGGTGGGTGGTGCCCGTGCGGCTTACGCGCTGCTGCTGATAAAACATGCGGCATTATGACGCAGCAACCACAATCAAGAAGCAAAAAAGAGGAACAGTGCGCTTTTATTATCTTTTGCCCGCGCCGCCATCGATTAGCACATTGCCTTTACTTTTGCCTCTATGGACACATTCTGGCCAATAGATGTTTTTTGATGCGACTGCGATAAGTACGTTCGATCGAAGGCCAGGGAATTTTTCAGTATTGCGATTGTTACCGATAGGAGAGCTGGTTGGGTTATTTTTGCTCGCACATAGTAGCGGAGTGGGTGCTTATTAATTAGTGGCCTATTCCTCCCCAGGAAAATAAGGGGATTTGCACAGTCGCCAACCGCTCCGATTTGGTAAACTGTATTTCCTCCTGGTCTGTCCACTCTTATGCCTCTGATGAGCTCTCGATTGAGAATGCCGCTCCCGAAAAAATAGGGGGATACGGCGAATCTTTGCTTGTGTCGGGTGGATGATGGATGATTGTCATTTTGTGTACGCTTGTGCCAACATCTCAAAAAGATCATATCCGCGGACGCAGCGTTTTTTGTGTTGTATTTTTTTTAGCCCAGTCACTGCGCTGTCTATTCCGCCTGTATATAAAAACAACCAGTCGCCCCCATGTGAGGACTGCACACATGCTTTTTGCTTTTATAATTTATTACCAGCTGCTGTAGAGAATAACGACATTATTTGCGTGCAGTTAACCGAGTCTATTAGCTGTCATTACAGCCTGTGTTACCCTTTTCTATTTTTTCTACACATTTCCTAATTTCCCTTCATCGCACGGCCTTCTTTTTTCTTTTTCTTTCTTTTTTTCTGATCATATCATTAGCACCATCTCTCATATATTTTAATATTTTTAAGGTTACTACTGGCGATCAAATCAATATTGTATATTTATATTAGCCACACTGCCTCCATACAAATAAGCACGCACGCGCAATCACACGTTTTTTTCTTGTTTTTTGTCCGTTGTATTTCTCACATTTTTTTATTTTTCACAAAAATGGCATCCACAACTAGCGTCGACAACATCGACATGGGCACAACAGTGTGGATGATTGCATCCACAGCGCTCGTGTTTATGATGATCCCGGGTCTCGGCTACTTTTACAGCGGCATGGTCCGTAGCAAAAATGCCCTGTCACTAGTGTTCATGTGCATGTTGGCGCTGGCTGTCGTCACATTACAGTGGGTGATCTGGGGCTACTCGCTCGCTCTTTCGGAGACATCGACAAACCCTTTTATTGGCAACCTCTCACACTGGTTGTTCTTGGATGTCAACTATAAACCGCACCCAAACGCACCAACAGTACCCGGAATCGTGTTTGCCATCTACCAGTGCATGTTTGCTGCTTTGACACCAGGACTGGCGATTGGCGGTGCAGCTGAGCGGATTCGCGTGCTGCCGACTATTGTCTATACGTTCATCTGGACGACGCTCGTGTACGACCCCATTGCCTACTGGGTTTGGGCGCCCAACGGCTGGCTGTGCAAAATGGGTGTGCTGGACTTTGCCGGCGGCTGCGCCGTTGAGATAGCGTCAGGCTTTGCGGCACTGGCTTTTTACTTTGTGCTCGGCGAGCGCCGCGGATTTGGCGAGGAGAAGTGGCACCCGCACAATTATCTCAACATCATTTTGGGCTTCGCTTTCCTCCTGTTTGGCTGGTTTGGATTTAACGCTGGTGCTGCGTCGCTAGTGTCAGGACGTGCTGGCATCGCCTTTATGACCACCATACTGGCCGGTGCTGTTGCCGGGTTGGTCTGGCTCGGTCTGGCCTTCCGTGTGGAGCACAAGTTTTCAAGCTTTCACTTTTGCTCGGGCGCTGTGGCCGGCATGGTGTGCGTGACGCCCGCAGCCAGCTACGTGGCCACCTGGGCGGCCATTCCCATGGGCGTAATCTCTGGCGTCTGCTGCTACTACGCTATTGGCCTTGCCCTGCGTCTGGGTATCGACGACTGCATTGACGTATTTGCCGTCCATGGCATTGGGGGTCTTCTTGGAGTTTTTCTGACCGGTGTTTTTGCTGACAAGAACATCATTGAGCTCGACGGCATTCCATCGGCCGGTGGCCTAATCAACGGAAACGGCCGCCAGTTGTACATTCAGCTGGCTGCCTTGAGCGTCTGCGCGGCCTGGTCCTTTACTGTCTCGTTTATCGTGCTCAAGATAATGAACTACATTCCTTTGTTCCGCTTCCGCGTCCACCCCGACGCCGAGGAACACGGACTGGACTTTACTGAGCTTGGCGAGGCTGGTTACAACTTTATGCACGAGATTGCTCAAATGCACAGCGAGTCGCAGAGCCCCCGCTTGCAGGCGCGCAGCTTCCAAGAGTCCGACTCTATCAAGCATCCACACAAGGACATGCCGCTGATCAAAGAGTCTGTGTCGTCGGGTCTATTGACTGCCACACCTTCTGTGAGGGCAATCTGAAGTAGCAAGTTTGCTTACGCCTCATTATACACGTGCATTGTACATTTTCATCTATCGATTTTATACCTGTAATTTTAATTCATTATTTCATACATTCACACAAACATACGTCCATTTTTAATCAGCGCACTTTAACGCATGCCATAATTTTTTTGGCACAGCTGTTGAGTATAATCAAAAGCCAGAATATCAATACGAAAAACACAAGCTTTGCCAGCGCCATAGACTTGAAACTATAATCACTATTTTTAACAAATATAATTTGATCATTTGATAATTATAATATCTTGAAAAATATTTATTTATATAAACAGGGTATTTTATTTTAAAAAAATAATCGCTGACACCATCCAATCTTTCTTACATACATGACATGCATTGTTCGTTGTTGTGGTTGGAGAATATTTTGTTATGTGCAGCCCGGCTTTAAATATTGGCAACAATGTATTTGCAATACTGCCAACATTGATAATAATTTGAATAAATGTGCAAAGTGTAAACCATTTTTACGGAATACAAACATTATAAGGCCAGCAATACATTTTTAAAATTATTCGGCCGAGCAAATCCGGAGTTTCAAAGGGGGAATATTGAGTGTGCTTTCCACGGTTGATGTCAGATTTGATTGCCAATTCATTTTCCCCGCCACCGGTGGCCAGTGACGAGGAATTTAGAGTATCTATTAAAAGGTAACTCTTGCAATTCTATTGCAGGCATATCGTATCATCATATAGCAACCGCCGAAGGCATCCTCAAGCTCCCTAGTGCTCTCGGGTGGCCCGGCCCAATAAAAGGTCTCCAGTCAATCCCACAGCTACTAACATGACATGCACAACCAAAAACATCGCGACCCTCTCAAACCTGGGGATTGGTTTTATTCTCTAGTTTTGGCGTTTTACTCACCGGAGGTACTGGATAGAGATTATAAAACAATTCAAAAAATTATAGACCTTCCAGCACCCCCACAACCTTGAATTGCTGCTTCGATTCTGGCACCGGGGGAAGCTGAAGGCTCTCAGCCTAGCCAAGCAGCTTACCAAACCACAACTCAATAGAGTTGTACATGTTGTGTACGGCCTTGCTCTCGCAAGGCAACAACTACGACGCCGCATACGGAACGCAGGACTGTTGCCCTACACCAGCCCCGCGTAATACTTGCGGCGCTTTCGTCAATCTCCACAAAAAAGCAACACTCTCCGGTCCACTCGCAGCCCCAGCCGGCTGAGCGCTCGTGCATGGTCGGGTGCTTCCTTTGCTTCCACCCCCACTTAAAATAAAGGGCTTGGCTCCAGATGAAGACCATCACACAAAGCTGTTCAGGGCCGTCAAAGTGGACCATTGATATGTGATGAAAGGAAGCAGATCAACCACAACAATGACAGCGGCCAAGAAAGGGACAACACAAAACAGGAAACGGATGCGCAGCCCCAGTAGGCGCTGAGTGGTGCACATCAAACACAAAGTTGCCGGAAGCAGAGGACCACCCGCCCCCACATTGACGCAGCAGGGGCCGGAAGCAGATTATAACACACTTTCTATTAAGCTCAGCAAGGGCCGGGGGCGTCGGCTGTCTGAACAACGGGCAGTTCTACCGGACAACACAGCACGAATGCCATGAGGTCTGATACCGGGACAATGACGTGGGGTGCCAAAGGTTGTATAGTTGGTTGGTACATTTCATACGTTCTTTGTGCATTACCTTACGACACAGTTGTTGAAGCGAGAGACGGTCATCAAATAAAAGGGAAAGTGAGGCAACCTGTGTGAGGAGAAGAAAAGAGAACAGAGAGAGAAAGATATGGCCAGGAACTGGTCGCCCCCTTTTTATAGCCCTCTCATTTCTGCTTTTTTGGCGACCAGAAAATATTTATTCATTTTTTTTTACATTTTTCCTTTCTTCTTGTATAGTGCGGAAAAATGCGTGCGCAAAAATAAAGAACCGAATACCGCGTGATGCACACGAAAACAGGTTGTTTTTTCCGCTCTCATTATAATTGCATTTAAAATGTTGTATTCGAATGAAGCAGCTCGGCTGCAGACAAACGATGAGTATAATTTATTTCATTGTAATTGTTTGGAGTGGTCTTTTTTTGCGCGCCAATATGCCAGGGGAAGGGGTGTCTGCATTTCCAACATAATCCCGCCTAACGAAAAGTGCTGTTTCAAATATAATAAAGTTAATAATTCACATTGGCTGTTAGAAAAAGGAAAAGCCACCGCTCATCCTCACCAGAACAGAAACACATGCGGTACTTAAATACTTGCCATGTGCAGCCTCGCAGATGTGATAGTATATTTGCAGCCAGTGGAGTCGCCTGTGTGTTGACCACAATTACAGACATAATACACAGCAAACATAGAAAAAAGAGGCGAACTTTTTGGGTGCACTTACCACCATTCGCTGTCAGTATTAGTTCTAATTGGCACACAGCAACACAATGCCCGAGTGCCAGCACAACTTTCTTAGATATAAACCAACCTTTGCGTTTCCTCGGTGAGCGACAAATTCTGCAAGTAAAGTTCAATTAAATAAAACTGTTGTCGAGCGCCAATTAAAAAAATTACATTTTCATTTTTTAGTGATTGAAAAGCATGCAGTGTCGATCCATATATATTTGTATATTTTCACTTTTGATATTTACCCCCAACAAAAAACAAAGAGGTGATAAAATTACATGGTATATGGATATGTAGATAGTGTAAAGTGTAAAGTGTAAAGTGTATATAGAAGTACGGCCATTTGATTTATCTTTAGGATGCTTGACGCAAATTAAATTCAATATGAAGCTCTTGTGATATATGCATATTGCCAATATATATGGAAAATATTTAATGGGTGCTAATAATAAAAGATATGGAAGGAGCTAATCTGAAAATTGAATTTAATGATTGACTTGCCCCACAGCATAAAATAAAAGAATTGGTAATAAACTAATAAAAAATCAAACAAGCAGGAAAAAAATTGTCCAAACGGGGTGAGTTGAGTGCATCTACCACAGTTGCTGTCAGATTACCTTGTTCTTTATTATGCCTGCAACCATTTTGTTAGCAGAGGTAATCATATTTAAAAAAATGTTCAGCAACTATGGCAGGTATTCCCAGACTCTCTAATGACCCCAAGTACATGCCCACAACACAACACAACAAAATAGTATAAAAAACTACAACTATTCCAACATTGACCGATGGCTTTTTTATTTTTGCCTTTAGCTGTTTTTACGCGCCGAGGGTCGTGGGAGGGAGCAAGGAAAATAAAAAATGTGAGCCAAACATTAGCCGCTATAATATTAATCGCAAACCTCGCTTTCAGATCCCGAGTATATCCTTTAGACATTTGGATAGCACAGCAGATACATGGCACAAATATTGCATCCAGCATCATCGGTTTTTTGCATTTATTATATTTGGTTTAAACACTGTTTTCAGTACATTGGTTGCATGGAGCGGGTATTAAATTTCGACGTGAGCGGTACGTGAGATTAGTGAGATAATAGAAGAAAAATAAATCAGGATAGCATAAAATACCAGTTGCACTTGTCATTTAACGCGTTTTTGTCAAGCTGTGCATGGTAGTCAATTAGAATACATCTACGCAGCCACATCTGGCTGAATTCCCACTTGTTCTTAGCCCAATGATTTTCCCGTTGCATTACTAATAACTAAAGACAGCGCAAAAAATGCAGACTTTTACAAGTGGTCGATATGATGCAAAGGAAACGCAAACAAAGCATTTAATAGTTGAGATAAAGTAATTTCCCATTCAATATTGCAAAATGTATGTTGACAAAAATACACAAGCAAAAGCAAAAGCAATTGCACTTAATCTACTCATTTGGAACTGAAAAACACTTTTTCACATTAACAAATGTGACAGGCTTGACAATAGTGCCGTCGTAAAGGGCTTCTGTCGCTTCGCCCTCGTACACGACCATGCCAATGATAGGTGTTTCCTTGTTGGCATTGTACGTGGATTTTATCATGCGGGTGGCTTCATCGCCGCCGACAATTGGCATCCCCGTATCCATAAATATAGCACGAAACACAGTGCGTCCCATAGCGCAGCGAATGGCTTCGGCGCCATTGCGAACAACAATGCAATCCAAGTGTAGACGGCGAAGCACAATATCCATGATCTTGCAGCACACCGGGTTATCATCAGCAACCAAACACACTTTGCTTTGCAGATATTCATTATTGATCTCCGGTTCTACAATGGCCTTGCTGGCTGAGTATGTGTGTCCCATCGACGGCGGCAATAGTATGTCGGCTGGGTCTTGCTTTCTGGGCGTAGGTGGAAGCGAAACATCGGGGAAATATTCAGAGGTGCGTGAGGGTTGGCGGTTGCTGCTGTGAGAGTCGTGCGAAGAAATAGAAGAGACGTTTGCGCCGGGGTTAAGAAGGCTACCGCGGTGGTACTGGGAATGACCTGAGTCGTGGGCACCGTGCCAACCAGTGCTACTGCTAAGCTGAAAAGGCGGCAATTCAAAATGCAATGGACTATGCTCCGTCTGTGAGCGATTTCGGCGGGTCAGCGGGGGCACGGTTGGAATGTCTGAGCTTGATCCGTACCCAAATGACGACCGCGTTTCAGGATGATATAGGGGGCTCGACGGAGTGTCCAGCATCGTATTTCGGCGGCGTAACTTATACAACTCATCCATGTTCGCTTTCTCCAGTGCATGGAGATTTTTGAAAGTGAACGTGCCAAACTCGGGGTTCTCGTCTATCGCGGTGTTTTTCGGTTTAGTATTATCTGCAGTCTCGGCGGCGTTTATAATGTATTCGTGCGACTTGGGCAGTGGCAGTGGAACGGTATTTTGGCGGCGCAGGGGCACGCTCTGCCCAATTTCAGGCGCGACAGATAGCTCCTCTAGCGATCGCGATATGGTCTCTTTCATGGAGCCAGCCCCACACTCAGCAATGGAATCTGCCTCTGGGCCCAAGTCCAATGTGGCTCCTCGCGCGTCAAAGTATTCCGTGTCTTCCATGCTTTCAGTCTGGGGCACGAACGCCGGCTGTGTCTCCAGCAAAGTGGTCCAGTCGATACCATAGAAAAACGCATGTGCCTTGACCTCACTTGCGCCCCCGTATCCTAGCCGCCGCCGTGGGTCGCGACACAGCAGTCGAGTTATAAAGTCGCGCGCTTCAGGTGTAATCTCGGGAACGGCGTTGTCGTCGTCGCCACCTTCCTGAGCAAGCTGCTCGCGAAGCTCGTCGTAAAAATCGACCTCTGCAGACAGGATGTTACGGAAGACCATCTCTGGCGTATCATCGTGAAACGGTGGAATCCCAAATAGAAACTCGTAGCAGATAACACCGAGCGCCCACCAGTCGACACTCTTTCCCGAGTCTAGTCCCAAAATGCTCTCGGGAGCAATGTAGTCAGGCGTGCCCAGAGCGTGATTGTGTGGCTGCGCTTGGCTTGCCGCGGGCAAAGTTAAATTGCTGGAGCTGCTGTTGCTGGAACTTGCATCGGCAATAGAACTGACCACCGCATGTGCACTGGCCAACCCCGGCACCTCCTTGAGCTCTGCAATGCGCTTACTTGGTGCCGAGGCTTGGCCCTGTAGCTCAGCCATGCCCCGAGGAATATCCACATACTCTTGCCACACGCAGCTGCTGGGAATGTGTAGCGCCACATCTGACGGCAATAATGGTGCGTCCTGCGCAGGATGCAGTGCGTACTGGTCGACGCGGCGCCCGAGAAATCCAAGCTTGGATAGCCCAAAGTCTGTCAGCTTTAGATGCCCCTCAGAATCGATCAGCAGGTTGTCCGGCTTCAGGTCGCGGTGCACAACATTGCGCCCATGCAAATCCCCAATGCCCAAAACCACTTCGGCTAAGTACTGCCGCGCCCAATCCAGAGGGAGCGCGCCAATTGTCTTTATCAGCGACGCGCAGTCTCCACCATTTAGGTAGTCCATTACAAGGTACAAGTTCGTTCGCGACTGGAATGTGTAGAGAAGACGCACGACAAACGGCGACCCCGTCTGCGCCATCATTATTGCCCGCTCGGCCTTGACGTTGCTGATTTGGTTCTTGGCAATCATGTCTGCCTTCTTCAAGATCTTGATCGCATAGTAATCCCCCGTTGTGCGCTTCTTTGCCAAAAACACCGATCCGTATGCGCCCTTGCTGATCGGTTTGAGCAGGGTAAAGTCGTTTATCGAAGGCATGGTTGGCGTCGCCAAAAAGGCGCTGCTACCTTCGCTCAGACCCATGCGTCCCGCAGTTGACGACGACGACATCGATGCCTTCTGCACCGCTGCCCCCATTGCTGTCGACGACGTGCTGCTTGAAATCGACGCCTGCCGTCTGGATGAAATGGAAACATTCTTTTGCACATAGGCCTGCCCCATTTGAAAAGGCTCACTCTGATTTTCGGGCCAAGGCGACGCTGACGCGCGCTGCAAATCGCTCTCCGAATCTGTCTTTGGAACGGTCTGCCTGACCACAGTGTCTCCACCGCTCATGACGGTCGCCTGCCCAGAGCTTGGGTACCCAGGCAAACCCGGCGTGTCCAGAGCCATCCGGCTGTCCTCTGGAAGAACCCATTTGCTGTAAGCTTCAGATGACTCAACAATTGCGTACTGGAGGTCGTCGATGGCGGACAGCTTGTTGGCAATAGTTGCAACTATTGTCTTGCCCAAGGCCTCCAGCGCAAGGTCTCTAAACCTCAGCTGCGGAACCCTGTAGTTGGCCACCTCAACCCAGGCGTTTGACCGCACAAAGTCGACGTCGGCCGTCAAGTCGGCCTTGCCACTCCTGCCAGCACCCCATTCACACTTGGGCACCGCATCTGCATCGTCCAGCGCCATTGCTTGCAGACACATCTTCGCCATCGACTGGGTTGAAATGCTCGATTCGTCCAATAACTTTTGCCACGTTGGATTGCCAATATCAATTGCCTTTTGTTGCGCGCGACCGCGCAGAGTATCGGCGTCCGTGCCACCGTGCGTCAGATCCTCCAGCTCCTCGATGTGGCATCCAGGGTACCACGCCTGGATCTGTGCCCTGATATCGCTGAGCCGGTCATTCTGATGCTCAACGTCCATGGCTGCTCGGTGCGACTGCGCGCAAAGCCACGTGTGCTCCTCGAAGTACGCCTCGGGGATCTCGCGGTCGCAAATCCGACAGGTGATGGTCTCCATTAGTGACGGCGACTTGGGAGGTTCGTCAATCTCGGCCACGCCAGGCAAGCTCTTGGACCACGCTTCGGCTGCGTCGTCTGCAGGCACATCTCGCTGCGACAAGGGCCACACCGTCGACACATAACGCAAGACCCAGAGCACGTGGCTCGGCTTGTTGCGCAGTCTGTCATAAATCAACATGCCCTTTGCCTCAACAATGGTCGCGCGCGTCAGATTCGGAGATTGCAGCTGCACATTCATCTCCACCGTACGGGTTCCATCAGCCAAAAGCTGTTCGACAGCAGAGCGGAGGATCGGCACGTCGTTCTCTCCAAAGATCAATTTTGCTTGCTGGTCGATCAAAGACGTCGGGTCGGTGTCCAGAAGCCGCCGGCACGTTGGGCTGATATACCGGATTCTCTCGTCCAGGCCCACCTCGAGCAGCATGTTTAGCCCCTTGTCCACGGCTGTTGTATTTTGCAGCGGACCTGTGGACCCGTACCAGCGCGGCGGATGGCTGGCCTGGTAGCCTTGCCACGTGTTCTGGCGGTCCTCGCCGGTCACACTGTCGCTAATGTCTTGCGGCAACAAGTATCGCTTGTCGGCCGACTGCGCCCTCGAAATGACCGATGGAGCCTGTGCGTTCGGCGAGTCGCTTAGTAACATATGACTCCCGCTGGGCACCTGTTTATGACTAACAGACATCGGTTCGCCAGCTTCCGTCGCATTGGCTCTTGCGACTCCCTCCTTGTGTTGGCTGTTGCTGCTCGAGCCCGGCATTAGCCCTGATCTGCGGCCAAGCTCTTCTACAATATTATCGCTGTATGTCGACACCACTGCCACGTACCACATGACAATCCGATTGAGTAATGAGATGGCCAGCAGCGCGCGGAAAAAAAGTCCGCGGCACGGCCAGGGCTGCTGCTTAGAAGTCTCAGCGTTGGCGCTCGACCCCGTCAGTGGCGGGGATGCGGGCTTTGATGGCGACTGCTCCCACATATTTCCCAATATATCCAGCCGCTGGGCCAAATATTCTGTCGGCAGCATTTCCTTTATGTGCTGGCGTTCCTCCCCCGGGATACCGTCACCGTTTTCCAACTCGTGTGCCAGCGCCTCTTCAAGCAGCTGTCCTGAGATTGGGCGCAGCATGTCTTCGGCCGACAGGCCCAGCACGTGTCCAATAATGCTGACCAGATCCATGATGGCTGCAAGGAACGGTGTAGGCTTGAACTCGTCCTCTGCAATCAGCGGCGTTGTCAGCATGGATTTGCTTGAGCTAGACGAGTATACAGATGCCCGCGACAAGCTTCGCTCTTTCAGACTATGATGAATGCTGCTGCAACGGCGTCCCGCTGTGTTATGTGAATCCAAAGTGCCTGGAGATATACTGCCGCTCGTAGCTGCCAAATTGTGCAAATAAATGTCGGCCTTGAGACAAGGGAAAGGCATCTCACTTGATGATTGGAATGTTGAACCACCCAGAGTCAGCTGAAGCCCGCCGACTGGCGCATTGGGACTGTTAGAAAAGTAGTCACTGCACAGTGGCGACTCGGCGGTAGCTGGTCTGCGGAGTGCACAAGTATTATCTGCAAACATTAATCCACCGTTGCTATATTCCCAAGCAGTATCAACCTCTCTAGGCGAATCAGTATTGGAATCCGATGGTAAATGAAGGTGCGATCCAGCTGGACTCTTGCTCGCGGTCCCTGCATTAAAGTGGCCGTTGCCTTCACCTGACAACGCGCGCAAAAAGGTGGTTCGGCGGATTGAAGGCGAGCGAGTGACCCGGCGCAGTAACTGCGGCATTGTCAAACTGTTCCTAGTAGGCTCTACAAAGCCCCCTTGAGCAGCTTCTACATTCGCCAAACCCAAGGCTGGAGCCTGGTTGCCAGATTCTGAGTTTGGATTGCCCCTGACGTGCGGCAAATAAGTCGCACTGCTATCACCATGCAAGCTGAGAACGTCCTGGAGCCGTCTGTTGATACTCTTAAGCTCCCATGCTGCTGCTGGGTCCCCCGGGTGCGCATGCAACATGTGTTTCTGATGAGTTCCAACGTTGCCGGCCAGATGGGGAGATGGCCTAGCAGAAATATTCAGCCCAGGTGTCTGCACAGCGTTCTCGTCCGAGGCATAGGGCTCATCACCAGAGTACTCGGCATCTGAAGTGATGCTGTCCTCGTTATAGCTGTCGCTGTCGCCACTTAGATCCTCGTTGACGTAGCTCAAACCCTCTTCGACAAACTCACTAAGGTCCTGGATGATTTTCACCAACTCCTGCTCACTCTCCGCTTTGGCTTTGCTCAGGCGCGCCCGCAGCCGCTGCTGGAAAGACAACAGAAGCTCAACTGCTTCATTTGGATCGTCGAGCTTGGCAATCATCCAAGGCCTCCGTTCAGAGGACCCTACAGGGGACTCTGGGCTCTCGCAATTGAAGTTATCGCCAGAAACCAGCAACAATTGAGGCGTTGATGTGCCGCTATTCCGATGGCTGGTCAACTCTTGGCCCTTGATAACGCTGAGTCGCCGGTGCGGTGCCGCCAAAACCTGAAGCTGCTGTTGCTGTTGCCGAGGCGGCGGCATCTGCGTGCTGGGTTTTGGCATTAATGGAGAGAGTATGCTGCCGACGTCGTCCGGGCCAGCCTTTCTGTTGGCCACAGTCTCTGCACTATTGGGAACCGATGGACTGCCCAAGCTGCTGCTAGTCGCCATCTGGTAAATTGTAGAAAAGGCATTGCTTGTAGACGCATGTCGGCCAGACTCGGAAATTCTGCGCTGCAAGTGCGTCGGATCGGCCAGGTATGGGTCAATCATTACAGTCGCACACTGAACGCTGCTCGGAGAATATGTGCCAAAATCGACTGAGCTGTTGTTTTTCAACGTGCTGTGGGCCGAGAGCATGATGGGGCTCTTAGACATAATGCTGCTGTCTCTGCTAACATGGCTTGTCGAGCTGCCGCGGCGGTGGCAGTTAAATGAGCCCACACGACCTCTGTGAGTTTTGTGCCAACTGCGCAGAATGCCTTTCCACGTAGAGACGACGTGTTGAACCACTGCTGAGCGCGAGTGGCTCGGAATCTCGTCAATCCAATCGACCCAGACAATGGTGCTGGAAGGGTAGCCCTCGCTATTCTGCGTCTTGGCGTGACTCCTCTTGGACGCTGCCTCTGGTAACTCGGTCTCTTGTTGCTGTGTGAATCCCCGGCGACCAACACTGACAAGCTGGCTGATGATGGTACTAGAAGTGGTTCTGCGCGTGAGGCCGGGGAGCTGGGATGGTAATGCGCTAGCATTGGGCTGCGAATACCCGTTTCCGTCCTGCTCCATGTCGCCCTTGCCATTGCCATTGCCCTTACTCTGCTTCCAGCGCCGTGCCTTTGTATTGCGGGAGATCGTGAGCATGCGCTCGTAGGAGTAGTCTGGACGCTTAATTGTGCGCTTCTGGCCGCTAACGTACGAGACCACGGGAATAAACAAAAGATCCGGCACAGATGTCGACATGCGCAAGTACGCGGTATCCAGATCATCCGCATCAGATCCAGGCTGCGGGCTGTCGGCATACACGCCATCTCCCTCCTGCACGAGCTGCGGAGAATAGTCGGCATAGGCTGGGCCACGCCATGTCCGGCCAGACTGCTGAGATGTGGACATGGTAGCGGCTGCGCCATTGGCACCAGTCATGTTGTCTGTGCCACTCAACTTGATGTTGCGTAACGAATTGTGCTGCATCCTGGTAAACAAGATCTGGTTGGGGGTTGACTGCCCTGACGACGAGTCTTGGTCGTAGTGGTTCGTGGAAAACAGCCTGCGGCGCTGCTGATGGCTTCGGCCAATAATGCTGCTACGCTCGGATCCTGGTGTCTGGGACCCCGAGGCCTGCAGCAAATCATCGCCGTCGTCGTCCGCCCCATTGTTACTACTTGAGAACATTGTCATAAACTCGGGCGATAAGGTCTCACCAAAGGCAATAGGATAAGCTGATGCTGAGCCTTGATTATCGGCAGATGACATTGCAGCCTGCGAATGTGATGTTTGTCGCGGCCGGGTCAAGGGCGCACTCGATGCACTGCTTTTATGACCACGCCGCGCCGAGGCTACAGTAGCCTCAACTGGGTTTACAGAACCGGTCGTACTCTTCCGAGATAACCTTTTGCGGAGATTACTGCTGCTATCGGGAGTCAGCGGCGCAATGTTGGGCTGTGTCGAGGGCGAGTTTCCTGGCCGCTGGCTAGCAAACGAAAGATCAAATACGCTGTACCGCCTGTTTTTCGCACCTCGGTTGAATGGGGTCGGCGACTGCTGATAATTCTGCTGCTGCCGGTGGTGGTCCCAGCCATGCATGGGGCTGGCATAGTCGACGTGCGATGACACAGCTGACAGCGGATCGTCACTGACAGCCGGGCCAAATTCAGATGCCGGGGTCGCCGCCGACCAAGACGAGTGCGTCGAGCTCTTGCTGCGAGCCAGCGCTGCGCTTGTATCGGGGGTTTTTGTGCGCAAAGGGGGATCGCCCGCCAAAAAAACCCCCGAGCCCGCTGGGTTTTCAAAACCAGTAACGTTGCGGCGCGAGTCATGGCTGATGTTTCTACCGCTCGAACCGCCGACCGTGCTGCGTCTGTTTACATGCGACTCAAACGATTTGCGCGACGAGTCCACCGGCATGCGGGCAGAGTTGGGCGTGATGGTCGAAGACTGGGACTCTGGATATTCCAAATTCGGTTCTATGAGCTGCATCCGCAGTCTTTCGGGAATTGGGCAGGTGCGGATCAGCGACCCTTGGCGCTGAGGAAGCCGCTGTGACAATCCCCCGCGAGTTATCTTCGATGTGTTGCTTCCCGACAACTCGGACCCCGTGTCGACGCTGCCACCCTCTTTGTACAAGCTGTCGCACCTGCTAGCAATGTTGATTGGCTGTGTGGCTGTCGTGTCGACACCATCACTGGGGTATGCACCTGACGGCGCACAAGCCGTCGCCTGCTGAGTTGCGGCACCATGGGCCGCTCTGTGACTACCAGCGACTCCATCTAATGGAAGAGTAATGTTTTCGTCATTTTTGACAATCATGTGTTGGCTAATTAGTGCGAAGAGCGTAATTGGCAGTGTAAACCTAGATTTAAAATCAAAATCAATAACATAAAGCCAAATGTTGAAACCAAGCAAACTGGACTTGTGTGTGCCCAAGCCATGGCCAAAAACAGGTCATGGGGACATTTTCGCCTGCCAACCGTCCCCACCATTTGGACTGTAATTAAAGTCAACAAGACAAATACTTACCTGCTACAAGCACAGGCGTGTTGCCCCTGCCCTTAGAACCCTTGGCAATGCGCTCAGGCTGCTTTCCGTGAGGCTGGCTTGCTGCTTCTCCGCAGTTCTCTCTGCTGATACTTGTGCGTCGGCTGTTGTTCTGGCTTCCATCACTATTGCTCGAGCCGCTATCACCGCTTCCGATGTTTGCATCTGGCGGAATGTCTTCCCTGAACTCTATGTCGCTGGTTTCGGTGTTGAACCCGAAAATATTGAAGAATCCAAAGATATTTTTGCGCAGACGCTGCTTGTTTTTGTCCACTGGCGTTGCTGGAGGTGCGTCGCTCATGGCTTGACAATGGAGTTCGTGTGTTGGGAATTTAGAAATTCGAAAATATTAATAAAAAAGTGGTGCGAGAGAAATAATAAAGAATATAAAGAATTACCCTTTTTGAAATATGTTATAAAAAGCCGAGATGTTTAGAACCACATGTTATGTTTGCAACAGTGACGGCCAATAGAATTTTAAAATGCTCGCAGCGCAAAATACGCCTGCCTATTTTTGGCTGCACGAGATGTTGGGTAGGGTGGGTGGGGTGTGTGCGAAGGATATGTGTGTGCGTATGTTTGATTGTTGGACAAAAATAAGCTTTGACTTTTTTTTAAATCTTTAATTGCCCCTTCAGTAACTGGGAAGATGTGAAGCGAACAATAAAACGAGAAAGGTTTGGAGCCGTAAGAAGTGCGAGTACAAGTAAAAAAATACAAAATACAAAATACAAAAATAAAGGCCGGCCTTGAACTATAGAAATTATTTTGTCAAAATGTTGGGTGGTCGTGTTGTGTGTGTAGAAGAAGAAAAGCAACAATGAATACCAAAACCAACTATCGAGACAAAACAGAATAACCCCAAAAATACAGCGTATAGATGTGAAAAATAAATAACGGAAGACGAAAAAACAAAAAACAAAAATCACAAAGTTGATTGGTAGATGCTGGTGATGATGGCGGCGGCGGCGGCAACAGTGGTGGTGGTAGTGGTGTGACAACAATTACGTTGCAGAGATAAAGCAACCAGGTAAGTAATATTTGGGCAAAACTGGTGCAAAATCGCCCTCTTCGAAATTCAACTCGGTATTACACTCACGACCAGAATTGCATGAAAATCGGCACTCCTTGCATAAGGAACGCGGAAAAAGACATTTGCTCTGGGCCTTTTTAATTTCGTAGCTCTAAAGCGCTTTTTTGCGTAATAGTTTGATGATGCCATTTCCTGCTTTGGCCGTTTGAAGCTTAGAGGTTGAAGAGGGTCAGGGCTCATAGACACCAGAGTGGTCACCCGCGTTTTTTTCCAACACTTATTTCGAAACAATTTTGAAACGCGAGAGAACAACCAAGTGTGCGTGACACTGCTCGCATTGTTTGCCTGCAAGCAAAAAATGGAGGGATATAAAGGGGTCACGGACTCAACAACTTATAAATCGCACATGACAAGTTGCAGGCCCAAAGCTGTGAAATAAAAAAGCCATATTGTTTGGTTCTCAGATTTGGTCGCGTGTCACATTTCGAGTATTGCATCACACGGTTGTGATGAAAACCATTTAAAAACCCCATTGCATATAAGTAAATGGGAGCGACAATCTTAGTGGAAAGCAAGCCCTTTTAATTGGCCATCTAGAGGCTAGAATCAGCGGAGATATTGAGCTTGAGTGCACAGTCTGAACAAACCTATCCATTCAAGACCCAAACGACAGCTATTTCTGTGACAGAGTCAAAAAACCAAGCGCATAGTCAAGTCATCCTTTTTTATTGAATTAGCTGTCGCTGTCGCTGCGGGCTCGGCGGAAGAAAACCCAGCAGCAGCAGAAGTGTGTTGAAAATGCTCAGGGGGTCTCTTCTCTGCCTTTGGAATACCAAACAATAATGAGGCGGGGCTGTACTCCCCTATATACTTGATTTCGTAGTTGCAATGCGCAGAGCCGCATAGCAGCTTTAAATCAATATATCCATTCAAATGGGGCGATGAATAATCGGCGTTGATCAAATCAGCGATGCGATTTGGCTACATTTTAATTCATGCACTTTGGTTTGCGCGAGCGCGCTGTCGGGCAAAAAAAGAAGGGGAACGCGTGCGGCTCGTGGTCCCAAACTGCGGCAGGCTTTACTCTGACATCAAAGCGGAAAACGGGTCGCCAAACTCACCTTTCTTCGAGTAACTGCATTTTCATTCCATTATTTTGAACCATTTCAATTTTCTTTGCAATTTTTTCAAGCCGCAATGTCAGACGGCGATAGTCGCACAACTATGCAGACTGATGCTAGCATCGATGCCCGGGTGCCGGTCACGACTGTAGTGCACCCCTTTTTCATGCCACCCTCTACCAAGCGTGCCATAAACGCAACACACACATGTAGTGGAGACAATGACACGCAGTCCGATGATACAACGGCTGAAACAGAGGCCCAGCGTCGCAAGCGCCAGAAGCAGAAGGTCGCCGCTGGGCAGTCTGTGGGTGGAGAGAAGCGCGGGCGCAAGCCAAAAATAGCCCCGCAGTCGACCAAAATACACTCGTTCTTTGCGGTCAGCACAAAACGCTTGAATGACCAGGTGCCAGTATTGCTGGAGTTGAATGATGATGGCGTCGATGACGGTGCCAGTAATGACGACGACAACGACGAGCATGAAGAAAGTCCCAGTGACAATGTCGATATCACTGCCGCTGTCGATGGCCGGATGAGTGTTAGCAGGAACACAGTCAGCAAAGAAGATAGCTTTGTCTCTGTGTTTTCCGCGTCCACAAAACCCGAGATCAGAGCACAAAAGGCACAGCGACCAATTTTCCGCCCAATTGGCATCCCTGCGCCGTATCCATCGGAGTACACGCACATCCCTCTTCCAGCACAGGTCCCCTTTGAGCCGGTGGCCCGCGCACAGAACAGTAGGTTTTCAGTCGATGCGATTGATATAGCGGCAGCCCAAAGGTCGCTGGCAAACCTTACATGCAGCAAGCACCAGGATAATATCGACAGCGGCTGTATGCAGTGGCAACAGGAACTCAGCAGCCGCATCAGCACCCAATTTCAAACATATTTGTCTTCGCGCTCAACCGCAGACAGGGCGATTAGGGCAGCATCGGTCAAATTTACGCGCGGCGCTGCTAATCTTCCGAGAGTGCCGCCACATTTTCAGTTTGCCGTGCCTTTTCTCAGTGCTCTTTGTGGTCAAGCAGAACCCTTGGACGCGAGCAATCTCAATACACAGTTGCTGTCCTCGCGCTATCGCCCCAAAAGAGCCTGCGAAGTGCTTGATAACCGGCGCGTGGTTCTCCAGCTACACTCATGGATTGAAGGCATGCGGCTCAAGCGCGCGCTGCCAGTTCCTGAAAGGGCAGCTCCAACAGAAAAAATGATATTTTTTGACAGGTCGTCTGCGAAAACCTTGCGCGTCTCCAGGCGCACTATAGAGAGCGACGAAGACGACAGCGAGGCTAATGCCGAATACACATATTTCATGGGCGGTGGCAAAGATGATGCGGACAGCAGCGATGACTTTATGCCGCGAAAGCCATTGCGACGCAAGAAGAAAATCAAGAGCAAGGACGAGTTGGAAGATGTCATAGCATGGGCGCAGAGCGACGGCACGCTGAACACTATGCGCGATAAGAAATCCAGAAGGCTGATGAAACACCAGCGGCAGGGGAGCAACGGTACCTCGAGCGACACAGAATCATTTGCCAACGTGATTTTGCTTGAAGGGCCGTCGGGCTCGGGCAAGACGGCAGCGGTGTACGCCTGCGCCGAGGAGAGCGGCTTTGAGGTGTGCGAGATCCACCCGGGGCAGAGACGCAGCGGTAAGGACGTGCTGGCAATACTGGAGGATGTAATACTGAGCCACACGATTGCAGCGCCCACCAGCAACTCCGATGGCAAGGCGGCAACCAGGGTCAACCAGATGTTGATTCTGATTGAGCAGATCGACGTGCTGTTCGAGCAAGACCTCAGGCTCTGGCCAGCTCTCAAGCAGCTGGCGCTCAAGAGCCGCCGCCCAATTGTACTCACATGCACGGAAGCCGCGTGTGTGCGCTGGGAGACGCTCATCTTTCATTCCGTCTTGCGATTTTCCCGGCCGAGCGAGAGCCTGTTGGTCCCGTACTGCTTTATGCTGTGTCTGGCAGAGGGAGCCCTGGTCTCTCCGGCCGATCTGGCGCACATGTGCCGCGACGCCGGCTGCGATCTCAATCGAATTCTGTGTGCGCTCGAGGTCGTTGTCAGACGGGCCAACCTACCGCAGTCACTGACATGTGACGACACATCGTTGAGCTCTACAGGAATCAATTTGGACTTGGATTTGGGCGGAACGCTGACGTGGCTGTTCAATCCGCTGGAACCCGGAGAGACGCCCGACACCCGGTACAGATTCTGGATGGAGCTCGTCACATCAGCGCAGCCTGCCGATTGCATCCGAAACTGGTTTCACCTGTGGCCCGACCCGCCGCCGACCTTTGATGCTCCTCCGCCAGTGGCTCAAAGCACGGAGACGACGCTTCTTGCTCCTGCTATGCAAAACATGTTATTTTCTCAGCACGCTCGAACAGTTGAGCCCATTGCATCTGCCAATCGGCCATCATTAGGAGTAAGTGTCCCGCCGGTGCTCGCTCTGCCATCACTGGCCAGCCAGAGCCAGCATGGCAATGGTGCACCCGATGCTGGCCGATCCCCAGGGCACAGCCATCTGGCCCAGTCGGATTTGGATCAGCTCAACGCGGTGGCAGAATCGCTGGACACGCTTTCGCTGGCCCGAGCTGTCACAAGCGAATCGCCGACGCAGCACGAGTGCTTGCGAGAGCCCATGTACTCATTTGTCGCACCCATGACCGACAACTGCCTCGACGTCAACTACCTGCTTCTCGACTTTGACGTGCTCACCCGCTACAATGACACGGTACTACCGGACAGCTTCGACTCTGCCAGTCAGCAAACGTGCGCCGAGATTGACCGCTACTTGCGAGATTCAGCCACTAATAGACTGGTTACCGTGCGGGCCGACGGTTGCAGTGGCAGTATCGAGCTCATGATGGCCGCGCAGGGCGTCAAGCAGCCCGACGTGCCTCCTGCTGACATCTCAGTACAGGACGCAGTCCAAAGTGGTCTCTTTGGAGCGCTTGAATTTTCTGGCCTGCAGCCTCAGCGCTGTGGGCACTCTCGCGTCGCAGAGGCTGCTGGTTACCTGTCGACAATAGTCACTTGGGACTGGGTGCATCAGGGTAAAGCTGAGCCACCGGCGCTGGACAAGGCTGCTGCATCGACTCTGCTGGCGGAGCAGGAGCAGGAGCAGCATCTGTACCGCGTGGGCATCCGGCGCACGCGCATGAACACGTACCGCGCGCACATCAAGCGCATGTCGACAGAGATGCAGAAATTCGTTACCAGCTGGGGTAAATATATTTGAACAAGAAATAGATAACAAATATTTTGATATGTAAAAAATTTTAATTGTGTGAAATGCGGTCGACCATTGATATTCCGTTGCGGAAGCGCGTGCGGAAGACCACATTGGCATTGTTGAACATGCCCTCCTTGAGTGACACAACGATGAACTGCGAGCCCTTGAAGCGCGTGCGGAACAGCTGGCCGATGTTCTGTGTGTGCGACGGGTCGAGGGCCGCGTCGATCTCGTCAAGAATATACATGGGCGCCGGTTTGAATTGGAGCAGTGACATGATAAGTGATAGCGCAATCAGCGAGCGCTGACCACCGCTGAGTTCTGTCAGGCTATGTTTCCACACGCCACCCAAGTTGACACGGATGGCCAGACCGGCCGACAACGGCTGACCTTCAAGCTTTTCGAGCCTGGATGTGTTACCGGGCAGCAGCTCGCCAAAAATGGCGCCAAAGTCCTTGTCGACGAGTTTCCACGTCCGCTCGAGCGTCTCGACCTTGTACTTGTCCAGGGACGAAATAGTCTCCTCAATCTTGCGCTTGTCGCGAATGACGGTCTTGAGCATCTGCTTGAGGACGGCCTCGCGCTTGGTAACATTCTCGATGTTTGTCATAACCGCGGTGTTTGTCGTCTTGCGCATCGACGCGAACTGGTCCTCGAGATGGCGCAGTTGGTTCTTAGCCTGCACAGGGTTGTTCTTGACAAAGTCGTACGGCGTGTCGGGCTGCCCAAACGACTGCTTCTGGTCGACAATCCACGGGTGCTCGCGCATAAGGGCTTCAAGCGTGCGCTTGTTCTTGCCTTGGGCCGACTCAAACCGCTCAAGCTCGTGGGCCAACTGCTCGCGCTCAAGCTGCACTGTCGTAAGGTCCGTCTGCTTGTTGCGATGCAGCTGGTCCAGCTCTGCAATCTCTTTATCATATACCAGGAGCTTTTTGCCGAGTCGGCTGACTGCGGCTTGCTTTACGTCCAACTCCTCTTTGGTGCGTACGAGCGTGGCCTCGATCTCCTGTCGCTCGTCCTCCTGAGCCGCAATGGCCGCATCGCTGTCTCCGGCCTGCTTCTCAAGGTCCCCAATTTCGCTTTCGATCTCTTCCTTCTCGAGCGTCACTTCTTGCGTCACACGCTGGCACTCCTTCATACGCTCCTCGGCGCGTGGCAGCGCTTGTTTCAGCGCTGCCAGCCGCTTCTTGAGCTGCTTGATCTTGCCGCCCTTGTCCTGGCTGAACTCGCCCATCTCTTTTTCAATCTTGCGCGCGCGCTCTGCAGCCAGGCCGTGGCGCGTGGTCGCCTCGGGGACCGCAGCTTCTTGCTCTGCCAACTCCTTCGAAATTTCCTCCAGCCTCGACGACATCTGCGCATATGAGCTGTAGGAAAGCTGCTGCTCGACCAAGGACAGCTTGTGTTTGGACAGATCGAGCTCGCGCGAGAGCTGTGAGAACTCGTCGCGCAGCTCGTCGATAGCCGACAGCTCGGCCTCGATGGCCGAAAGTTCTTTGTGCAGCTCGGCGTGATCCATGCGCGCGTTTTTGAGGTCCTGCAGCCGGTTGAGGACGCCGGCGCTCGACGGCTTGGAGCCGCCCTGCATCGTGCCTGCCGGGTCATACACATCGCCGTCAAGCGTGACTGCCTTCTTGCGGATGTTCTTGTGGAACGCCATCTGCTCTGCGGTCTGTGGATCCTTGCAGACGAACGTCGATCCAAACACATACGCCATGGCCTTCTCCAGTTCCGATGGGTAGCCAACCAGGGACAGTGCCGTGTCAACCTTTCCTGGGGCCAGGTTTTTGGCAAAATTCACGACATCTTGGCCAAGCTGCTGCGCGGAAATCTTGTTCAGTGGGATGATCGTGACGCGCCGCTTGAGCCTGCCGTTCTTGATCAGCAGCGAGCCAGTGTCGTCATCGTCGACGATGACATTATAAATGCGCCCGCCCGCAGTGATCTCGAGTGCAATGGCTGCAAACTTGTTCTTGTCATCAATGTTGATCAGCGAAGCCACCAGTCCTTTAACCTTGCCGCGGTCAAAGTTGCGTACTGGGTCCTGGTACTGGAAGTCAAAGTTGCTCAACTGCGCCTCCAGGCTGCGCCGGTGTTCGTCGACCGACTCGAGCTGCTCGAGCACCTCGCCGCGCTTCTGCTCCAGCTCGCGCTTGACCTCTGGCTTGAAAGCGTGCCCCTTCATGCGCTGGTTGACCTTGGAAATGTGCGCCTCGAAGGACTTTTTCTCCTGCAGCAGGTTCGAGTTGTCATTGAGCGCCTTCTTCAGGCTGGCGTTGATATCCTTGGACTCGTCGTTCAACAGGCCCATGCGCAACTTCGCCTGCTCGATGGCTGTCGCCGCGTCGCTGGCCTCCTTCTTGGCCTCCTGCAGCTGTTGCATAAAACCTCCCTCGCGGCCCTCGTCGGTGGCCACACCGGTGGTCAGCGACTGCAACAGTTCCTCAAGCTGGCCAACGTCCTTGATGTGCTCGTCGTAGAGCTGCTTCTCTTCGGTGTACTTTGCCGCCTGATTTTGGAAGTCCTGAGCGCGCTTGGCCAGCTCGCCCTCGTACTTGCTCTTGGACTCGAGCAGCTTGGCCTTGGTTGCGCGCTCCTCCTTGATCGATGTCACTTTCAGGTCGCTTTGCGTCTTAATCCTCACAAGCTCCTTGGACAGCTGATCGACCTGCGCCTGCAGGGACTTGAACTCGCCGTTCTTTATCATCTCGCCCTTGCGCTTCTCCTCCGTCTGCACCTTGTTCTTAGCAATATTGGCAATCTCACCCTTGAGTGTCTCTAGCTGCTCTGTCATGTGCTCCAAACGCGACCTGCTTTCGACCAGCGACGTGCTGCCGTTGTTGACTGACTCTTCGCACTTGGTGTAGTCGTAGGCGACAGTGAGGCGGCGCAGGCGGTCAAGCTCAATCTCGACCTTTTGGTACTCCAGGTATGCCTGCTTCTCGTGGCGCAGCTTGTCCAGCTTTGGTGTGATTTCCTCAGCCAGGATGGCCGATATCTCCTCGGTCTTTTTGTCCTTCTTCGCCATAGTCTTCTGCGCCTTGTCCTTGCGCTCCTCAAACATGCGCGTGCCGGCGGCCTCCTCGATCATGGCCAGAATCTCGGGCGGCTGCATGTTCAGTACTTGCGTAATCTTTCCCTGCATGATCAAGAAATGCGGGTTGTTAATGCTCAGTTGCACTGACTGCAGCATGTTGGCCACTGCTTGCTCCTGCGCTGTGTGTCCGTTGATCATGTATTTGTTTTTGCCGCCGACCATAATCTACAAGTTCGGAAAGTTGATGAGCAAGCGCCGCTTTTTTGTTGCTGTTAGCTGCTGAGACTTTGAACTTTTTTATGTTGTGAATTTCGTGAGTGCTATAATTGTATCCGTGTCTTACCTGTCGCGTCAAGGAAATATGCTTGTAGTCCTCGTATCCCAAAGGGCTGGTCTTCCGGTCGTCATTTCTAAACACCACCGTGACCGAGGCCTTGGTAATTCCCGCCTGGCCACGCTTGTATATGAGATCCTGGAGATTGTTTGCGCGCAACTACTCAGCAATAAAAATGCGTTGTCACAAAATTGAAAAATATATATATCGGGTTCAGTTGTCAAAGAAGCAGTGCTGAGAAATAACTCTCTCTTGTGCAAAGTACACCAGAAAAGGGTAGCGCAGTCCTAATTCTTACCAGCTTGTAATTGCGAATGCCAAGCACAAAGCAAATTGCATCGAGCACGTTGGATTTGCCCGAGCCGTTCAGCCCGGTAATGGCGTTGAACTCGTGGTCCCAACCTGTGATGTGCGTACGCGCGGCGTACGACTTGAAGCCGTCGAGAATAAGCTCTTCGACGAACATTGAAATAACCAAAAAATAAATAGAATGCGAATAAATAAAAAACAAACAAACAAGAAAATGACGAATTGGAGCGAAGCAAAAAAGAACGAAAAAAAAGAAGCAATTAACTACACAAATCGACTGTTTACTTTATTTTTAATCATAGACACAAAATCAGAAGGATTGGATTAATTAACACGTGAGTATTAGTAATTTAACAGATTCTTGTGGTGGCGATCGATATCGATGATATTGCGACAGCTGCAGCAACACACAAAATGGCGACAAAAATTTCGTCATAACTGGCCAATGAAATCCCAGGATAACCCGCACTAACCGGTACCAAATGTTCACCCCAGGCCTTAAAGTACAAGGCTCCCGACCATGAAAAAGTCAAAGAATTTTTAAAGAATTCCTTATCTTTTTCTTACAAGCCACTTTAATTATTAATACTCTCCACATTTACTCCTCACTTACAAACATGTCCTCCAGCACTGCAATCTCCACCAACATCACATGGCATGCCGGCGATGTCTCCCGCAACGAGCGCGTCCAGCTGCTCAAACAGAAGGGTCTGACGATCTGGTTCACCGGTCTGTCGGCCTCCGGAAAGAGCACCATTGCCAGCGCCCTGGAGCAGCACCTCCTGCACAAGGGTATTAATGCCTACCGCCTGGACGGCGACAACATCCGCTTTGGCCTGAACAAGAACCTTGGATTTAGCCCCGAGGACCGCACGGAGAACATCCGCCGTATTTCCGAGGTCAGCAAGCTTTTTGCCGACTCCTCCGCCATTGCCATCACTAGCTTTATCTCGCCCTACCGATCTGACCGCGACAGCGCCCGCAAGTTGCACCAGGACGCTGGGATTCCCTTTGTTGAGGTGTTTGCCGATGTGCCAGTCAGCGTTGCCGAGGAGCGCGATCCCAAGGGTCTGTACAAGAAGGCCCGCGCTGGCGAGATTAAGGAGTTCACTGGAATCAGTGCCCCGTACGAGGCGCCTGAGAGCCCCGAGATTCACATCCGCACCGACCAGAAGAGCATTGCCGAGGCTGTCGAGCAGATTTTCGCGTACCTTGTTGCCAACCAGCTTATCTAGAGTCATAAAGTTTTTTATTTTAATATAATGGCTAAGTATATACACATGCTGTCATCTTTTGTGTTTGATGAATCTAAATTAAAAGATAGCCCAGATAGGACATGGCAAAACAAGCAATGTATTCAAATAGAACAAAGGAACCAAATTTGTTTGTATTTATAACGGATAAAAAACTCAATGACAAGGTAAAAAGATAGAGAATGGAAAGGGAAATGCTAAATGCAAAACCTTAGTCCTTGTTCTCCTTGACCTTGGCCTCCTCCTCAGCCTCTTCCTCGCTGTCAGACTCTTCAGCATCGGACTCCTCAGCATCGGACTCCTCCTTAGCCTCAGCCGAAGCGAACTTCTTGTTGCTCTCGCGGGCAGTCTCGAAAGCCTCCTTGAACTTGTTGGCGTTCTCAGAGTTACCAAAGCGGATGGCCAGAAGCTGGCGCTCGACCTCATCGTCAACGAAATCGGCAGCAACGTTCCAGACCCAGCTGCGATCAGAGCCGACGTTAGGCGACAGAACCATGTCATCGGTGATGTAGTGGTTGGCGCAGACCTTGAGGGTTTTGTCGCGACGCATCAGCAGGCGAATTTTGCCGGTTTCTTTGTGCTTAAGGAGCTTGACATCTCCGGTACCGCGCTCCTTCCACTCCCTGCCCTCAGAATCGAAGCGGAACAGCTTGGAACGCCTAATGGTTTTCAAAATTCAGATGCAAAGTAGGGCTTAATATAAATAGGTTTTTGAATTAGGTATTATTTTTTGGCTCATATAAACTCGAATGACAGAGCCGTAGCAAACTTTGGAATTCCAAACCATTTGTTTGGACGCTAGAGTCAGTGCGCAGTAGCTTGCGCGCGTGCATGTTTTTTTTTAATAAATGTAAACTTACATCTTGAAGATGGGCTCCTCATCCTCCTCGTGCGTCTTGACGACAACATCCTCAAGCTTGACAATGGGCTCGAAGTGAATGTCGGGGCTATCGACAATCTCCTCCTAAAAAACAAATGGCATTCAGACAAATGCGCATTAGTGAGAATGTCTGTGTGAGTCGAACAGTTGCAAAGGTCAGTCAAATTGTGACCAGTTCGCGGTGAATTGCAACGAATGCAAATACATTCATATGCATATTCTTACCTGGTTCCCGGTGGCGGCGGCGTTCTGGTTCTCGATTTCAGACATTTGATTAGTGTGCGTGTGTATAGTAAAATAGTAATGAATGCTAAAACGTTCAACCAACAAAAAAGGTGGAAAAATACAAAGTCGCGGTGTTGGTGGTGGTAGTTGGCAGGAGCTTCAAAAATATACATAAATTCTGTGCGCCGAAAAAATTGTGTCGGCTCGATGTACTACGCCAAAAAAAGGCCCAGTGAAAACCCGACTCGGCTCAATAGAACAAGTTGGAATTTTTTGAAGAGATGGACTTGGCGACCAAAGGCCAATTTTGTACTACCGCTCTTTGTTTGATATTACTCTTTTTGCAACGCAGTAACCAGGGGCGGCCTTACAGATATCTGGCGATCTAGTATATTTTACTTTTAAACGCCCGCGTGTGGAAACAGACAATGCGTACAAACAAACGCACAACCACGATATTCCCTATATTCCGACAGATTGGTATACTGTGTGTTCATATTGACCTGATCGAGAATATTGATGACTGCTTGAGTGCACTTGTGGATAATCTTGTTTGTCAATACAATCCTAAGTTCGCACTTTCTCTTTGGGATGATGTCGCGTCCGTCTTGGCCTTGCAACAAGCATGCATGGGTTTTTATCTCTTTCGCCAGGATAGGGCGGCCAAATGTTGGATACCTAAGCGAAAAAGAAGGCTTGGCCAAGCCTCTTTATGCCTTGCGATCGCGGCCGACATTTATCGATATTGGGTTTGGGTTTGGCTGTGAGCGTGAAGCATGAACAGCGGCCCTGCCGCGATCGAAATAACAAGCATGCGGCGGGAGAATTCATATTTCTCATCATCATTAATGCATGATCGGCAGCTGTTAGTTGGCCTTTCGTTTTCCTCGTGCTTTGCTGCCAAGCCAATGCGCCCCCTTGCATTAACTTGGGGTAATAAGCCATTTTTCATTTTTGAACTCGGCTTTTAGTGCAATCCTGCTCACCCGTGTTATTTCATGTTATTTCCCGCACCATATTCCGATGGGATACGCCGCTGGTGGCGTACTCGTGCTTGATTGTGATAGAAGAGGCGCGGGATATCGTGGGTGGGGTGGATGCGGATGAGGCGATTTGAACGGTGACAAGGCATCCCTCACATAGTAATTCCAATACTCTTTTTTGGGCTGGTCAATATGCAGGCCATTGGGAAGACTATTTGTACTTCTCTGCTAGGGGCGAAAGGGGGAGAGCTATCGAAGAGGCGGGAGTGATGAGTATGCGTTTTTTGTTTCATTTCAAAAGAAAAGCGGACTGGAAATAAGTTCAAACATTCAAGACTGGGATTTTAGTTAGATTCGAGTTTTCTTGGCCACACAACGACGGTTCTTTCCTTTCCACTGCACCATTTCCGCTACAATATTTTCTCTACTTACTAAAAAGACATTTTTTTAGTCTTCTTTATTTCCTTCTCATCATATCGCCCTAGTCTCCCGCAAGATCACCCAAACATTGATATACGGGAGAGCTTTTCCATTTTGGACTAATTTCAATTGCGCTGCCCTTTTTGCTTATTACTGCTCTATTAGTCGCCTGTTTGGAATCTATCTATATTAGTCAAATAGAATTGCATTTGCCATCAATTTTTTTGCAGCGTTTTTTCTTCAGTTTTTTTTCTTTTCCGCCTCTCGTTTGTATAATTGCGTCTCAGCACATATCTCTGCTTGACGCCCGGCGCTGTTTTCCGCTTGCTCTTGCGGAATACAAATAATCTAGGTACGTATTTTTTGTGAAAATGCCAATTTTTTCCTTAGCACAGGTGACAATATGCTTATTTTTGCCGCGTGGGATGAGTAGTGCTGCATTCCCCGAACATATTGTGCTACCCTTCCTTGTTTGCCTTCTATTATCTACAATACAAGTAGCAGTCTCTTTCTGTATAATTGCTTGTATTCGCACCCTGTGCCTTGGAGCTGCGAATTATCAGCAGACCACGCTGTTATTGTACATTGGGCTGCACGCTACAGCTAGTCACTGCCATGTTTGGCCCGCACTCTTTTTCATCATACTTTAAAAGCAGCCTTGTCTGCTGCGGCGATACCAACAGGCACACAAAGCGCAATAATTGAAAAAACAGGTTTATATTTTTCATTGCTATTTTATTCTCGCAGCAACATAAAAAAACCTGAAATGAACCGCAGCTGCTTGCGTGCTGCTGCCGCATTTTTCTTTTTTCCCTTTCCGTTTCTGTCCTGGTATTGCGAGTGTGCGTGCATGATTAGCCTTGTATTTTTATGTCTACCCGGTACTTTTTTTCCCTGTGCTGCAATCCCTCGCTGTAATACGAAACACCTTAATTTTGGATGCACATTCCTTGCTCCCTTGAAAATTTTTTATTTCCCCTGCCTTGGCCCAGTTTTCGCTTCTCGCAAATCGCATTTGAAGAGTGCTAAATGTCGATGTGCATGGCAATCATTTCTGCAGTGCTGTTCTTCCTTTTCTATTTTAATTTTTGGCTAACGCGGTCACCCAGAATATTGAAAATTTGTTGAAAAATGCAAGTTTCTAAACCGGGCAATGTAATTTCTGCTTTCTTTTTGAAAGATTGGATGCAAACTACCATTTTAAGCCATGGAGGAGGGGCCAACAATGTGATATGATTTCGCTCTGTTAATGTCATTTTATCAGTTAAAACAAATTGACATTCATTCATTTACTTTTCCATTAATGTCAAATATTTTTGTCCTTGTTGCCGACGTGCGTCTTTACACCAACGTTACTAATTAATTTTCTATTGTCTCTGTTCAAACAATGCTCGTTTCAATTATTTCTTTTTGTTTGTAATTATCCCACTGACCAATAGTTGCAGCCGTGGTCGCCGTAGTCGCGTTAGTAATAGTACCACGAATAAGTAACATCCACCGGTTCTCATTTACCTTATAACCCTTTCACAATCTCACTCTCTCTATTTCTCTCTCTACAAGCACACGCACGCTCCCTCTTTTTGGCGCTCGTGCTTATCAAGCCTTTTATTCCCCACACTTCCCCCCTTTTCACCCGACCAGAGAACGCCCGATGATCCCAAGCGGGGCTCTGTACACAGCACCAATTGTACCGATTCACTCAGCCATGGATCACACGCCCTCATCATCGTCGCAACCCTCAAGCAGCATTGAAGAGAGCAGAGAGTTCCACACCAATAGTGCTGTGCCAGGGTCTCTATACCCTTCATTTACCAACCCATTTGCTGCGTCCCCTGCTTTATCGTTGCGAGCGTTTTCTGATAATACTAATGCCACGATGTGGAGGCCACATCCATTATCAGGGGTCGCTAGTAATGCCCACGATATATTTTCTACGCAGACGCCTGTGCACGGTTTGTCGCAGCCCGGGTCGAGCTCATTTGGACGCGGCGGGATGCAGCGTCAGTCTTTTGACCTGTGCATGTTGCCGATAACATCCCAGCAGCAGCAACATAATTTTCAACTGCACGCTACGCCAACACCAACACCGACGGCAGCAACATCCGCGGGAGCACCTGCGTTAACCCCAGCTGCGCCCTTGGCCACAGCAAAAGTTGAAGAAGTTGCCTCACCAGTCGATGCCTCGTCGCCCACGAGCAACAACAACAACGATGCGGCAGCACCAGTAACGGCAGAAGCGGCAGTAGCAGCAACATCCGGCTCCAATCTCTCCGACATTGCACTCCTCCTGAGTGGCGCCATCAGCATAAAACCAGGCACCACAGGAAAACCGCCATACTCGTACGCCACGCTCATAACGTTTGCGATTCTCCAAAACCCTCGCAAACAAATGACGCTCAGCGAGATATATAGCTGGGTCATGGGGCAGTATTCTTATTTTGAGACTGCTGGCACTGGGTGGAAGAATTCTATCAGGCACAATTTGTCACTTAATAAGACTTTTGTGCGCATTCCGAGGCCCGTCAACGAGCCCGGGAAGGGCGCGTATTGGACGGTTGATCTGGCTGTACTTGAAGAAACCATGCATAATCGGCCAAAGCCGCCGCCTCATCGGTATTCGCTGCCCCATATTACGCTGGATGGTCCCGAGGCGGGGTCTCGCGCAGCAGGGATGAGTTCGATGGGGTCCTCATCATTGTCGGCCGGCGCCGTGCCTATGGGTGCTGGTGGAGGGTTCCAAATGGGCCTTGCGCCACAGCAACAGCAGAGTCAGTTTTCTGGTGACCAGCATGGATTCTCGGCGAGTCGCTCGTTGATGATGGGTATGGCATCAAGGGTAGGAGGCGACTTTGATATGATGCCCAGGCTTTCCCCAGCATCATCGTCCCTGACACCTGGCGGAGCGCACGCATTGCGTCGAGCATCGCTGCAAATATCCCCGATCCACAGATATCAGCCATACTCAATGGCCGGGATGCCGCCACTACCGCCGCCACCGCACTACAATATAAGCAGCAACCATATGCAGGCGCACCACCCACACATGTTTAACATGATTAGCTCATTTGCTACTCCCATCATGGCTCCTCTCCAGCCGCCATCATCAGTACGCTCTCATGCGGCGAGCAGGACTGCTCATACGATTCAGCCTGCGACGATCCAGCCGCACTTGCACGGAGGAATATCGTCTGCCGGGTTTCTGGGAATCAACAACTCTGCGGGTGCCGATCCAGCATTGCAATCGGCCACTCCCCTTAGTGCCGACACCGCCTCTGCCAGTAGCAGGAGCAACACAGTCACGAACAAGCAAATGGAGCAACTGTCCTTGCAATCGCACCTTTTAGTCAAACCAACGCCGTCGTTGCCCGAGTACCTCTTGGCGCCGCACCAGAACGTTGCAAATATCGTGAAGCAGAAGCAATACCAGACTGCTTCACCCGAGAGCAGGAGTGCTGGGAAGCTGTCAGAGTCTGTGGCAACTAAAACACCCACCAGAAATATGGTTGAAAAAGAACATTATGAGGCGGAAAACGCCGGGGATGACTCGCAGATGGCGAGACGACAAAAGGCGCAAGATGGAGAGTTTGGCGACATATCGACGTACTTTACGTTTGGTGATGCCTCAGAGTCCAAGCCCAACGACCCGTCAGATACCAATTAGTTGGCAATACATTTTTTCTTATTTTATCTTTTATTTTGTGTCTCTGGTTTGTGTTGTAAATATCAAATATTTTCAAATATACGGATACTGCAAGCGGTCGGTCTCAGTTTTTCTCTTCTGCATTTTTACTGAATTGTCAAAACTCAAAATGACTGTCGCGTAATGGCTAGCGTTGGGCGCCTAAACAAGAGGAAAAATATAAGCGCCGCGCTGTAGGAACTTGGGGTGGTAAAATAAGTCAGCTGTAATGACAGCGCAAAGGGAACCACCGGCGAAAGGAAAAATGATTTTTTGCGTAAGCAAATTCGTTTCACGTATCTCTAGAGTTCGTTCTCGAGAGCAGCATTAACAGTTTTTTTACATAGTGCTGAGCTCGCTCTTGACCTCCAAAGTTGCACCCTTGCAATCGAACATGTGCAAGGTTTGCTCTGGGCTCAATTGTTTTGATAGCCAGGTGCTCGATGCCGTAGTTTTCGACGATCCGCTTGGAGCACTAGAACTGGGTTATTGTGCGGCTTTTCACTTTTTCCCACCCTGTGCAGGCTGCCGGCGATAGTGCCGCCCTTGTATATGTGCTATTAATCTGGTAATTGTAATTATTAATGACGATTGTTGTTGCTCATGCGGCATTTAGTCTTTAATGTCCAATCAGAAATATCAATTTAAATGATGAGATCAATTCGCAATCCAATTCTATTTTTAAATTGCACACAATACAAACGCACACATTGAAAAGAGCAAGGGTATCCTGATAAGACGCTCAGACTGAGTGAGAAAAGGAAAAAAGGTCCCTAAAAGCAAAAAACAAAAAACAAAAAACAAAAGGCAAAAAGCAAAACAAAACGAGCTTACAAACTCTGAAATGTGTAAAGGGAAATAATATAGGGAACTGATTCCTTTATAGAAAATTTAGGATTTACCCTGAATTCCTTTGTAAAAAATTTTATTTTCCAAAACAGCAAGAGAAGAAAATTTTCCAAGAATAACATTAGGCGTTTTTTTTGCTCTGCTCAATTTAAAAAATAATTTTTTTATCCTGTTTCTTCGTCTGGGAATAAGCAGGTGAAACACCATTACAAAGTGATTATCAAATGTGATGCCGCTGTGAAGCAAAAAAAACAAATGTATATATGCAAGGTGAGAGTTTTTGCTCCCTTATTTTTTCGCATCTTCTTTTGATAAAATTGCTTCTTTTTTCTCTCTACATTTTTTATTTTCGAGCACTTGGCATTTTCTTCTTCATTATCGCACATAAACAAACACGAACACGAACATACACATACACGAACACACATAATATATCACTTCGACCAAACCAACAATAATTAACATAATGGGTATATTCAAAAGCAGAGGCAACGATGCAAACAAGCCGGGCATCGGTATGGATAACGGAGCGACAGTCCTTGTGAGCATCGAGGACCATGAAATACTGAGCAACACGATGGGCACAACAAACAGCTTTTCGGGCGTCAACGGGCGCCGGCGGAGATCTATTGGCGAGCTGAAAAATTCCATGTATTCGCTGGAAAGCAGTGACGAGGAGGACAGCCAGCAGCAGAATACTGCAGCCGGGCGCCAGCGCCGCAACTCAAATGCCGGAGTCAATGCGAAGGGCGACGCGGACGGAAACGGGTTCCCAACAATCGAAGGATACACAGTGATGGGCAGGATCGGAGAGTAAGTTATAAAATGCTGAATGTTGGGCAGTTGCTTGTATTTAATTGTGACATAAATGTGAGAAATGTCGTACATATTGGCTATTTACTAATTTTAATACCGCCTCACACGCCATTTAATTTTTCTACTCATGATAGAGGCGCGTTCAGCAAGGTATACCGCGCGCGGCAGAACGCCACGGGCGAGGACGTGGCCATCAAGGCGATCTGCAAGACCGGGTTGACGGCAGTGCAGACAGCCAACATCCATAAGGAGGTAGCAATCATGGACAGCCTGCGGCATCCGCGCATCATCAAGCTGCACGGGTTCTGCGAGTCGCACGACTACTTTTACTTGGTGATGGAGTACGCCGAGGGTGGCGAGCTGTTTGACCGCGTGCTGCAGCTCACGTACCTCAGTGAGCGGCTGGTGCGCCACGTTATCATTCAAGTAGCCGAAGCAGTGCAGTACCTGCACGCTAACGGCATTGTGCAGCGCGATCTGAAGCTGGAAAACGTGGTGTTTGAGCCTATCCCGGTGGTGTCGACAGGCACAAAAGAGATGAAGAGGCAGGGCGACACGGGCGACAAGGCCGAGGAGGGCCTTTTCGTGCCGGGCGTCGGTGGCGGCGGCATTGGGCGCGTCAAGCTAATTGACTTTGGGCTGAGCAAGGTTGTGTGGAACCAGGCCACGCACACGCCGTGTGGCACAACAGGGTACGCGGCGCCCGAGGTCGTGCGCGATGAGCTGTATACAAAGTCCGTCGACATGTGGGGCATCGGCTGCATGCTGTACGCAATGGTGTGCGGCTTCCCACCGTTCTACGACGAGGACGTCAAGGTGCTGACGCGCAAGGTGGCACTGGGCCAGTACGAGTTCCTATCGCCGTGGTGGGATGAAGTCAACCCACAGATCAAGAACCTGATCCGCAACCTTCTGGAACTGGATCCCGCGCGCCGCTTCACCATTCAGGACTTTATGCGACACCCGTGGGTGGTCGAGGGTCTGGACGAGATGTACGACAACGCAGCTGTCGCGGCTGCCGCGCGGTCATCGGTCAACAAGAGGCGCAACCGCATGACGCAGCTCAATGGGCTCGGCAGACAGCCTGTGTTGAACCAGGTTATGCTCAACAACCAGCAGCTGCACCAGGGCCAGTTCTCGCCACGCAACACAATGAAGCACGCATACGACCTGGCATACGCTATGCGGCGACTCGGCGACGACGAGTCGGCCTTCCAACGTTATGCCAGCACACCTGTGTGGGAAGAGGCCTTTGGCCAGCACGGCATCAAGAGCCCCGGCCCACTAAACGCCAATTTCCCGACTCGTCAAACCAGGCCGCGCGAGCCTCCGACGCCACGCACGCAGAACCTGGCCACAGGCTGGGTCAACATTCAGGCTGTAGCCACACCTATACAGCAGCGCCACTGCTGGCAGGGTACCACGCTGGGAAGCCCTGTTGACTTGCACGCCGCTGAGGCTGATCTCAACCTCATCTCGCGCGTGCTCGATATGCCCATCAAGAAGCACCGGTCAAATAATGGCGTCACGACGCGCGCGGCCAAGCAGGCTGCCCTGTTGGCCGCCGCGGCTGCGACCACAACTTCGGACGGCAGAAACTTGTTCTCACTCAACATGGGCGAGGCCACGCTGCTCAAGCGCCGCTTCATCTCTTAGAACTTTAACATGTGCAAAACTCCATCTTTCTTTTTTCTATATTTCTTTCATATTCTATTAAAAATTTCCATTTACCATTATTTCAACTTGTGCGTGCTTGGTGACATTCAGCACTGTTTACTCGGCATCCTCGTCCTCGTTCTCTTCTTGGGGACGCTCCAAGAACATCTTGTTGCCCCACACAAAGATCGACTGCACCTCAGGCACGCTCTCAGCCTCACGAGTCACAATGTTCTCTGCCAGCGCCCGAGCCAGCTCCCCATCCACGCCAAACGCCTCGCCGTCCCTCTTGATAGCCGTCACCAGGGCGCCCTGGTCCGTACGAGTAACAAACGACACAATCACACGGTCACCGAGCGCAGCCACATCCGTCGGGACCGCCTCCAAATCCACGACCATCGGTCTGCCAAATCCACTGTTCTCCGCCATGGGCAACACAAGCAGCGCCGGGATCCTCTCCACAGCCACCACAAAGGCACCCAAAGCCTCGACCGCTCTGACCCTCAACACACCGTAGCGCTCGGTGGCAGCCGACCGATCATGGAATGTGTTCTCACCGCACAAAGCCTTGCCATTTTCGTAATACACATGCAGGTACTCTGCAAGCTCAATGGTCTGCAGGAGCTCACCTGTGGAAATACGCCACAGTCTGACAGTGCCGTCGCCGGATCCGGTTACAGCCACAGTAGGCGCAAACTCAGCGGTCGCCACACTGGTGACAAACTCGCGGTGACCCAGACCGAATGCCTCGATATTGTATGCATTCGGGTACTTGCTCACGCGCAGCTTTTCGTCGCGATCGCACGAAAGTACATACGTAGGGGATCCGTACGAGAAGCCGAGGGAGCACAGGATGGAGACATGGCCCAGGAGCATCTCCGTAGGACCCTCGGACACCGTGGGGATGCGATAGGAGTCGCCAAATTTATCAGCTGTCACAAGGAAGGCGCCCTGTGGATCAAAGCAAATCGCATTAGTGCGCTTCTCCGTCTTGAGCTGGCGCTGCACCGCCCATGTCTTGGTGTCGTAGATCATGATACCCTTGTCTGCCGTGCAGATTGCAAAGAGCCGGCCGTCGCGGCTAAAACTGGCTGCGCGAATCGTCGTATCGCTTGGGTTGCTGTTGACGTCGCTGGGACCGGAAATCTTGGTCACATTGTTGCTGTTGGCTTGGGACTCGGATGTCGAGGCAATTATTTTGCCCGCGCTGTCGGCAACTGAAAAGTTGTTCTCTGACACAAAGACCACAATGCCCTGCGAGCTGGTTTCGACAAGTGAAACTGGAAAGCGCGCCATTATTAATATTATCAACAAAAAAAGTAAAAGACCGATGAACGATGAATTGAACGAGTACGAACGCGGATCAACGTCGGATAATATTAATTTTAAAAATAATTGATTTTATTTATGTACTATTGAGCTGCAAATACAACAAGCGGATTCGAGTATGGCATACATCACGTGTATACATAATATCATTTACACGGACTTATTACTTTTTTGCAGTGCCTGTGATGCTCGCATACATGGCGTCAATATCTGGACGGTAGTAGTCTGCGGCAATATTGCGGCGCAACTTCATGGTCGGCGTCAGTATGCCGTTACTTTCAATATCAAACGGTCTGTGGTCGAGCTTGATAGCCTTAAGGATCTCGTATCCCTGTAGCTTGGCCTTGCGCCCAGCATCGGCCAGCCTATCGCGCAGTGCACGGTTGACCTCGGCATGAGCGCAAAGCGCCTCTGGCGTAGCCGCAGGGCCGCTGATATTGGCAATATTTTTGGCCCAGGGCTCGAATGTCTCTAGATCCGGTACAATAACACCGACAAGGCAACTCTGCAGCGAATCGCCATGGACAAACATCTGCTGCACAAGACTGTCCTTCCCGTAGATATTCTCAAGAGCCTCGGGAGCAACATACTCACCCTGGGACAGCTTGAAAATGTTTTTCTTGCGGTCAATGATGGAAACCGTGCCGTCGGTATTGATCTGCCCAATGTCGCCCGTGGATAGCCATCCTCCCTCAAGGATGGTCTCGGCGGTCTTTTTTGCGTCCTTGTAATATCCGCCAAAAACGCAAGGTCCGCGCACCATCATTTCGCCGCGTGGGAAAGGCTTGTCCGTCGACAGGTAGTTCATGTCGGGCACATCTGTAAGTTTCAGCTCCATCGCGGGCTGCGGAACACCGACACGGCCAGCCTGGTTCTCCGTGCTGACATTGACAACGCCCATACCGCAGGTCTCGGTGGCGCCCCAGCCCTCGGTGACCAGACAGCAGAAGCAAATGCGCAGAAACTGCAGCACGTTCTTGTCGATGGGCGCGCTGCCTGTGAGCACAAACTCGAGGTTGCCTCCCAGTAACGCGCCAATCTTGCGGAACAGTATGCGGTCCCAAAACATATGGGTGTTGCCCTTTCCAGCCTCCAAATTGGCCATCTTGTCGGCCACTGCCTTGCGCGCAATGACGCCCGTCAGTCCTGGCGCATGGATAGTGCCGGCTACTAGGCGGTCGTAGATGCGGTTGAGTAGGCGCGGCACGCTGGTGAAAACATTGGGACGCAGCGTCTGGAGATCGTCGACGACATTGAGGATGTTGCCCGAGTACATGCCAATACGCCCGCCCGCAGACATAATGTACACCTCGACAAACCGCTCGTAGATGTGTGCCAGGGGCAGGTACGCCAGGGCGACAGGAATCCCCTTGAGCGGAATAAGGAAAGGCGCGACGCGCTGCACGTAGTCCATGTTTCTGTGCAGGATCATCGCCGCCTTAGGTGTGCCCGTTGTTCCCGATGTGTAGCAGAGACAGAATATGTCATCAGGCTTAGGCGTGCGAGGGTGCACGGGTGACTCGGCGCCCAGTGCCTCGACGGCCGCCAGATCGTAGAGCGCAATGTCCATGGCGTCCGCCCACTGCATCAGCACACTGACGCTGCTTGTGTTGAACGGGCTCGGGAGGGACTCTTCCCTTGTCTCGGGCGCAAAGCTGTCCAGCGACACAACAACCTTGAGCTTCGGCAGCTTCTCGCGCAGCTTGAGGATCTTGGGCACCTTGTCAAGGGAGCACACAAGTATTTCAATTTCTGCGTGATTGAGAATATACTCGATTGAATCCGCGCCCAGCGTATCGTACAGCGCGACCGAGTACCAGTTCTGCGACACTGCTGCGTAATCCGCCAGCACCCACTCCACCCGGTTGATTGCATATAAGCCCATGGGTAGCCTGGTCAGAGCGCTTATATCTGAGTCGGGGCGCACGTGCTTTTGCATTAAATGCACGAGTCCGCTGCCAATTTTTAGCGACCGGTCGTAGGCCTCGCCGTACGTCATCCACTGGAAGTCGCCAAACTTGTTTGCATCCTTGTTGTACACGCGCCGACCGAGAAAATCGGCGTTGGGGTGAGTTTTGGCGGAGTACTGCAGCATGCCGAGCACATTGTCGGGGAGCACCTCGCGGTGGGGCGGCATCTCAGGCGAGTCCTTGGTGAGGTGGTTGCGCAGAATATACGTGCTTCCCGGAACCTCAGAGTTGGGGACGCGGTAGGACTTTGTTTCTTTGGCTGGAGGAGACATGAGCGAGTGATAATATTAAGGATGTGAGAATGTGGATGGATGAATAGAGAAAAAAAAGAAAATTACAGTTGTTGGTTTGTTGGTTTACGTGTTTCTGTATGTTTCTGTGTCTGGGGGACAGGAGGGGGAGTATTGAGAGTTGAAGAGTATAAAAGGGCAAAGTTTACGAAAACAAACAAAAAAATTAATAGTGAGAGAAGTAGAAAGGGGACAGGAGAGATTGGGTTGATATAGAAAATATTCAGTGACCAAATTTGAATGATTACGCCGTTATTCGAATGCTATTTATTTATCCTATCCACAAGTAGCAGCATGTGCTTGCGTATCTTACCGCTTCCACAATCGCTTTATTTTTTCTTGCCTTGTGAAAATTCTTGACAAATGCAATATTTAAACGATACAGATAGCCGATGCGGATTGCCAATCGTTTCCCCACCCTATTTTTCTCTCACAATAATGGAAACAATGCCTGGCCCTCATGTTTAAATTGCTGGCAAGGTGCAATGGATTCTCTCGCTTTCAGCTGCTGCTGCCGATTCTCGGAGCAGATGATCCGGCAGCACTATTTTAATTGATAAATTGATATTCACATGAATTTTTAAAAAAATGTATTCCCGATTATTTTTACTGTTATTTTTTTACACGTGAGTGATAGACACGCAAAAAACTCATTCCGCGGCCACCCACATGCAAGCGCCTGATCTAATCTACGCCTCTTCAGTATACGGAGGAGGGGGATCAAGAATCTCTCTCTCATAGCCACTGTCGCGGTACTGGCGCCTGGGCCGATCGCCATGGTGGAGCGAGCTGAGTGGTCGGGTCCTCGAAGCCGGGATCAGCTCAAACTGCACAATAAAGAATGTCCGGCGATTATCCCTCGTGCGGCACTCATAGCGCAAGGGCATATCGCCGTTGAAAAATGGCATTGGCTCGACGACTGAATTAGGCATACGAACGCACTGGTGGTTGACATCAATGAAGGGCGAATAAAAATCAAACGCATATGTCTCATCGGGTTTGATCTTCCAGCGCTGCCGGCGGGAGGATTTCTCAAAATGTCGGCGGCGTTTCTTGCTGTCCTTGTTCAACGTATCCTTGATGGGGAAGTACTCGGCTACGCGACCGTCCGAGTCAAAGGCGCCGTCGATGGGCTGGATTTGGCGGATGATCTTGTTGTTTATCTCGGGAACCTGCTCTCTCTCTGAGCCATGCAAGTCGCTCTTCCAGTAGGATAGCTTTTGCACGGTGGATAGCAGCGGGCTGGTAGCCGAGGGTGTGTCAGATTTCATGTCCAGGACAAGAGTCCGGTCCATGCGCCTCATGAACCACTCAAAAAGACCCGTGAAGGGCGGAAGCGGGAGACGTTGATCGAAATAATTGCCAAACATTATATTATCGGCGGTCAACCCGTGGCCTATAAACTGGCCAACAACCTGGATTGAATAGAGGGCCTTGCGGCTGAACCCGTTGGCAAAGTACTCGGCCTGCGCGGGCGGTGGGTGGCATGGATCGGACATGAGTCCGTTGAATCCAAAGACGCGCACGGTAATATAGCCCTTGAAGTGCGGCGTGTCGATCAGCATCGGTGTTCGCTCGTAGTTGACGTCTATAGTCTCGAGGTGCTGCATATCAGGTCCTGCGCGCACGCGCAGTACGTAGTTGGCATTGCGTTGCAGGACTATCCGCTGCGACGATATTGGGTCATAGAGGTTTTGTGAAGGTATGAGGCCTCCGCCCAAAAGTCCGCCAAGCATCATGGTTGTAAAATTTGGCTGTAGATTTTGGCGGGTATAATTACAAAACTATCTGGAATGTGTTTTGTGGAAACAATTTGTGTTAAAAATGTAGGATATTTTGTCGTGTTTTTTGAATATAAAGATGAAAATACGTTAAATTTTATACTTTATTTTTTGCTGTGCCGGGCGCAACATGTGCTATTTAAACCAAGAATGTGTAGCGGCACAATATTTTTTATCAATATGTTTGTTATTTTGTACAACTTGAACATGGTACAGCAAAAAACACAAGATCACTTGCGCACGACGTATATTTGTTTATTTGTTTGTGGAGGCGCTCAACATTTTTAAATTGTATATTTGCTCGCACAAACACATATGTTATTATTTCCTCCCCAACCGTTCCGTTCTGCGATACACACAAAAATAAAGAAAGAGGCGAGAGTGGATTGAGCCAAAACCAACAAAATTCAAAATTGATCCAAAAACAATGTCTCAATCATCAGATCATGGTGATTTAGAAATTCAATCACGCAAGAAAAAATTTTTGAGGCCTCACAAAAACTTTACTCAATTGATCTGTGTGAAAAATAGCATTCATTTCAGAGCGTAAAAAAAGAAAAAAAAGTTTTCAATAATTTTTTTTCAGACTGGTGGGCAAAAAGTAACAAAAGGAAAATTTTCTTGGACTTGTATTTACTCCACTTCTTCTCTCTTATTTTCATTGTGTCTCATAATAATATTTATTTTTTTGTACTTTCACTATTTTTTTTAGTTGCTCTTGTTGGTAGTTTATAACTGTAGTCAAGCACGATCTTACTATATTACAAGCTTCCCTCCTGTTAACTTTCCCTTTCTGTTTTTTAAACACAAGTACATCAAATTTCCATATAAATCAAAATGGGTTTCCCTCAGCGTGGTGGTTTTGGCGGCGGTGACCGTGGTGGTCGTGGTGGTGCCCGCGGTGGTTTCGGCGGTGGTCGCGGCGGAGGCCGTGGTGGCTTTGGTGGTGACCGTGGTGGCTTTGGCGGCCGTGGTGGAGGCCGTGGTGGCTTTGGCGGCGACCGTGGTGGTCGCGGCGGTGCCCGCGGCGGCTTTGGCGGCCGTGGTGGAGGCCGTGGTGGCTTTGGCGGCGACCGTGGTGGTCGTGGTGGTGCTCGTGGAGGCCGTGGTGGCGCTCGCGGCGGTGCCCGTGGCGGAGCCAAGGTTATTGTTGAGCCCCATCGTCATGCCGGTATCTTTGTTGCCCGCGGCAAGGAGGATCTGCTGGTCACCAAGAACCTGGTTCCTGGCGAGGCCGTCTATGGCGAGAAGCGGATATCCGTTGATGGTCCCGATGGCACTAAGGTTGAGTACCGCGTGTGGAACCCCTTCCGCTCCAAGATTGCTGCCGGTATCCTTGGCGGTGTTGACCACATCCACATTGCGCCCGGCAAGAAGGTGCTTTACCTGGGTGCCGCCTCCGGCACTACCGTCTCCCACGTTGCTGATATTGTTGGCCCCGAGGGTGCCGTCTACGCCGTCGAGTTCTCACACCGGTCGGGCCGCGATCTGATCAACATGGCCAAGAAGCGTACCAACGTTGTGCCCATTGTTGAGGATGCTCGCTACCCCCAGAAGTACCGCATGCTTGTGCCCATGGTTGACGTCATTTTTGCTGATGTTGCCCAGCCCGATCAGGCCCGCATCATTGCGCTCAACGCGCACCAGTTCCTCAAGAACAGCGGCCACATTGTTATTTCCATCAAGGCTAACTGCATTGACTCCACCGTCGAGGCCTCCAAGGTCTTCGCCAGCGAGGTCAAGAAGCTGCAGGAGGAGAAGATCAAGCCCAAGGAGCAGCTGACCCTTGAGCCCTATGAGCGCGATCACGCCCTGGTTATCGGTGTCTACCGCCCGGACAACTAAAATGATTTGAAAACTGATTCTCGTTGGCGAGACGCCAATTCTTTTGTTTACTATTTTTTGGCGTTTCTATACATCATTTTTGAATTCTTCTCTTTTTCCACTTTATTTTTTTCTTCAATTTCACATTACAAAAAATTTTTACTCTTTCGGTTTTTTCCCTCAGTTTCGCTTGCGATTGATCTTAGTAAATCACTGAATCAGTGAATGGGAAGGAAAAAATAATATATTGGCAAGCCGACTGGTTGCGGCCCATTTTCTTGTGCAGGCACGTGAACGAGACCTTGCATCTGCCACCTGCGCTTAGCAAACTTTTTTTTGGAAATGTTTACTTTTTTGCAGCAATGCAAAATTGGGGAGGAAAATGTCGCCAAGTGTTCGCTATTTTTCCTTTCTGAGACCAAAACCACCAGTTCCGAATATACTTTTCAATTCGCTTTCAACGATCACATCGAATGGATAGCTAGAAAGGGTAGCAACATTGTGGCTTTCTTAATTCAAGTCCTAAGTGGAAAACAACAACAAAAACATAGATAATGCCCATTTCCTCGCATATTTTTCTACCCCCCACCAATGGTAGTACAAATTGACAATGCAACAGAAAACCCCGACATCTGTGTTTGCATATGTCTGCTGCAGAAGAAGAAGAACAAAAAGAAAACAAGAACATCGACTGAATAAAAAAATGCGCTACAAGAAAATCCCGCGGATGAACAGGAGAGTAGCAGGAAAAATGCGAGAGAAGCGCCGAAGGAAACGCCGAAGGAAAAAAGGAGTAAAAAACTTCAAAAAAAGCAAGACAAAATACACAATAAAACATTTTCACCCGGTTTACTCTTCTCTCTCATTTTTCCATTGCATTTTACGTACCATTTTTTATTATTCATATATTCCAACACAAAAAGCACAAAAAACATAAGCAACCTACAAATAACCTATACAAAAAACACCAAAATGTATAACTCGTTACCAAGCCGCAGCGCTTCCAAAGCCAGCTACACTGACCTAAAAACACCCATGGACACAGACGGTTCGGGGACGCTTATCCGGAAACTGTGGCATATGCGCAAGCCACGAAACATCTCTAGCTGCACGGACCCCTTTTCAGCATCCCTCATGTCGACAACAAAGCCGCTGGTCATCACGCGGGTAGACCAGCCATGGATCCGGCCGATAGATCTTCGGGCAGGACTGGATATTGGCGAAATAATACGCCTAAAAGACGAGCATATGATGGACTCCCCGCGCTCACCGATGCCGCCCGCTTCGCCCCAAAGCATAATGTCTGGGTTTTCCATGCGCACGGCCGTTAACCGCAATAGCGTGGGGATGGAATGCATGACAGATTCGCTGGGGCCGCCGTGCAGCCCGTCTATAGACACCTTTAGGCAGACGGCCAGTCCCCAGGCGCGCAACAGCATGACCAACGATTCGTTTGGGAAGCGCAAACTGCGCCATGACTACTTTCGTGTGGCCACGATGGATGGTAAACCAACCATACGCAACACCTACACCTGCCCTATTGCGCTGTGCCGGGCCTCCTTTGAGCACTTTGAGCACTTGCAGGCGCACTGGAATGAGCACCCGTGGAACCGTGGTGGTATATTAACACCCGTTTGCGACGGAGGTGTGCGCCGGTTGGGGTGGTGGGAGCATAAGAAAAAGTTCTTCGCATCTTTGGTGCAAGGACTCAGCGCGCCAGAGTTTCCCGAGACTGCAGAGGGTGGGCAGAGAAAAGTGCCGAGGAGGTCGAGGAGCATTGATGAGGTGTGTCGGTCAGACTATGGCGATATTAGACTGTTTGGAAAAAGAACATACCATGTGTCGCCGCGGGTCGTGCCCATGTGGCAGGTCACCCAGTGGGAGAACCAAAGGGATGCCTAATAGCTCCTTTCTCAAGAACATTTTTGCTATATATTTACCAAACTATGTATTCTTATTCAATTTTTAATCCAAATATTTTACAAACTTTTTTCCTTGTCTTCTCTGGTGTCTTAGCCACATATTCTCTATGCAAACCCTTTATTGAAAAGAAGTGTGCAGCACGCATGGCATAAGTGGGGGAGTTTATATAAAAGGTGGCGAGTGGCGAGTGGCTAATAGAAACGAGGCGTCTGTATGTGTGCCTTATTGTATTTGGCATTGCTGACCTGGCCATTATTCTTCTGCGAATGATCCTTTTTTATTGCTTCCTTGAAACAGCAACCATGTGGCTGAGAAACCTACATTTATACATCAAAATTAAAAGTAAAAAAAATGCATAAATGCCATTTATTTGCAAAAGCAATGTGTCATTATATTTTAATCTTGCCGCTTTTGCGCTAATGATCTTTAATTATGTCATTTTTCCACCCACATATTCACCAAGCATGAAATTGATTCTAGGTTGCACTACCACACACCCCTCCGGTTATTTTCCACTTTAACATTCTAGCTAGACTCTCGAGATAAGCAATAAATAAATTCGCCGCGCACATTTACCTCTCTCCATCTTTTGGCCTTAATATATAATCTAAAATAAAAGTCATTTTTCTTAGAATTTCTCACTTTTCCACAATTTTTGTAATCTTGTCATGTGCTTGTACTTTGTGTCGCTCTGTTTATGTCCAATTTATCTTAATTTTATTGCTTTTTTATTAGTATTAGGTGAAATAAAAGCGGCATCCGTGTTTTCAATGGAGAATCAATAAATGTGGCATTAAAGTATGACCACACAAAAAACTTTTTGATGACAACGCCACTTTCTTTTTACGCCTTGTGCCTTATTTTTATGGATTTTTTTATACATCTTGTTTTTATCTTCCAGTACATATACTGACGTCCTCTGCCATTTACCCTCGTTTTTCTTAGTTTTACTTAATTTTATTATTTGCTTATCCCAACCAATTGCATATTCAACACTCTTGACACCACTTTTTTGGTATTTTCACTTTGAAACATTTTTTGTCTTTCTCCACCGCCCCCCAAAAATAAAAAATTTGCATTAGCGGGGCAGCAAGCACAGGCCGTCCATCATCCCTTTTTTTGTCTTTCGCCCCTCATTTAATTGCAGAGTGCCCTTTTCTTATACAGGACTGACTGGCTGGCCAGCACAAACAGAAATACTTATATATAGAGTCTGGAATCCGAGCAACCCAATAAATTTTTTAAGCCATTTGCAACTTTAATCGTTTTTCCATTCTCTCCTATACTTTTATATTCTTATTTGGTTACTTTATAGTCAATAACCTTAGTCATATTAAATCAATTATTTGTACTACGATACCGTCTGTTACAACAATGACCAGAGGAAACAGCAACCGGCTAGAATTCGAACTGGATCAGCCTGATATCGTACTGCGGGGTATGATCGATGACGCCCCAGGCACGCTTTTCTCAGGACGACTGGTCGTGAACCTGATAGAGCCGATTCGCGTTAAGGGACTCAAGGTGGTTCTTGAGGGCCATGAGCGTCTTGAATGGGAATATCGTAAGTACAAACTTTAAAAACCGTGTAGACAATGGTGTGTATTGAGCACACGTTTTTTGTTGTAACCTTGATTCATCTTTTTTGTGGACGTATCCAATTACGTGTTATTCGTCGTCTCTTTCGCAAAACTTCTCATTTTCTTTGCCCCAATATTGGGTTCAAGTTTTTTTCTTCGTCAGCAACAAAAGGGGCAACGGTGATCACTTTGTTTTCCCACCCCCTTTTTCTATCGCCTAATATGGCGTTGTCGGATTTAAACAACATTGCCTTTGCTGCCCTCTTTTCCTTTTGGTGATGCACTGCGCAGCAAAACAAATTGTTTGAAAGGGTGGGTTTTGTTAATGCAGAGCGCCTCTTCATATTTTTCGAAATCACCTTTTACCAATACCCTTGAACAATCACAATGCTTCAAGAAAAAAAAAACCAAAAGAGCTCCTTGATTGTCTTTGGTTGTTCCAAAAAAATCAGTACGACGAGTATGCTTGCTTGTCCATTTCGCCTTTTGCAAATGCGTGTTTATATCTGCACAGTTCCGTAGGTACATTAATTACTTTGTTTTTAATAGTACCTACACACCCACACACACCCGCGTTTTGGCAGCAAAAAAGCACCTTTTATTTGTCTTTGTCTTTCTGGCCACGAGATTTCGGCTGCATGGGCAACCTATCTCTTTTAGATTGTTTTTGCTTTTGCCTGAGCATATGCAAGATGCCAAAAAAAGTGTCTGTATGCCGCGTTAAAATTTCATTGTTGCTAAATCTGTTTACTGTTGTGCATTTATTAATAACGAACACACACTCACACCCACATCAACATTTACGCTGTGCCACTTTCCTTTTTTAGAGAGCAACGGCATTGCATCAACAGTGTTCCACCGCGAAAGCACACCAATCACGCATAAATGGACGTTCTTCACAACCAGCGATGGGAGAAAGGCAGAGACATGGGAAGCTGGCCGTCACGAATTCCCCTTCTCTGTCGTCTTCCCAGGCAATATGCCTGAGACAATCACTCTGCCGTACGCCAAAGTATCCTACCAGCTCAAAGCCACGCTCCGGCGCACAGGCATCATGGCAAATCTCTCCACACAACAGGAGCTCTCAGTGAAGCGCGACTTGAACATTGACCGGAGCTTCGGCACCGGCGCTATCGACGTTGAGAACCGGTGGCGGAATGACCTCGAGTTCCGGGTAATTTCAGACGCCGACACGTTTACGCCGGGAGATCAACTGAAGGCGCACTTTACGTTCCAGCCGCTGGTCAAGCATATTCACTTGATCAAGATCGGCGCTGTGCTGAAGGAGTATGTCAGATGCCATACACCCTTGGGCGAGGCCGAGAAGACTGTGTCAAGGGTGGCAGCGTCGGTGGAGGTTGTGGCCAAAGGTGATGAAAGGCTGGAGGAGAGCGTACTGGGCAGACGGCAGTCTGTGGTTGTCGCCGGGCGGTCAATGGCGCCATCCCCAGGATTTTCCCGTACTGGCAGCGGCGTCGACCTGACGCACGCCATCGAGGAGCACCTGCAGCTGGCCATTCCCGCCGACCCCAAGCGGCTGCAATGCGACCATCTGTCGTCGTACATTGAAGTCACGCATAAGATTAAGTTCTCCATCCATTTCCGCGACAACGAAGGCCGTCCGCGCACACTCTGGGTCAGCGTGCCGATCTCCATAGTGCCGACGATCCTGGACACAGCGCACGGTCCATGCGCCGAGCTCCCCACGTACGCTAATGCGGCAATGGACCAGCGCATTGCCGTGTCCTCGCTCGACCCCGGACCACCCACCTACGACGTGGCCATCTCCGAGTCTCTCTCGCGCGCCTCTTCCTCGATTTTGTCCGAATCAACCGAAGGTATTACGCCCACGGATAGCTCGAGTGTATCTGTACATAGCGACGAGATGGCTGCTAATGAGGACCCTGTAGGGCATGCGCCTAGGGATAGGCGCGCGAGCGTGGTTATCCACACGGTTGATGAGAGTCGTCCGCTGGTGCACCCCACTGCGCTGCATAATTTCCTGCGCCGCCCTATTGTATTTCCCGCTTCGGCCGAGGTTACGCCGTTGCCTACCCCGTATGCGTCGCCGGTGGGGTCTCCGCAGCTCAAGTCATCTGACGAGTCATTTTCCCACCCCACGCATACTAGCTTGTATTCTGTCCTGTCTCGCAGGACCTAATTTATATTTTTAAATACTGTTAATATTACACGTTGATTTAATATACTAAACTAAAGTCCCAAATGCATGCATATGCCCTTAGTTTCTCGGAATTATGCGCGATGGTAACGATATTGTGTGTCGATGCTGACTCGACCCTACACTGGGACCGTCCAGCAGCCAATACGGACTTGCCGCAGGTAACGCTACGGACGAGCGATATGAAGGCGGCGGCGTATATACTTTTGGAAACCGCACAGGCGACTTTGCCCGTGGCGTATAAAGCGGCAGTTCGCTGACAATACTGTCGCACCTTTGACTGTCAGTGTTCAACTCCAACAGTTGCTCGAGTTGTGTTTCTTTGCGGCGTTTGGCCATGAAATAGACGCCTACTATGAGCCAAGTTAGGCAGCCTAGCAGTACTAATCCTGTGAATAATAGCAACCCTTCGATCGTGTTTAGCACCATGTGTTGTTTAAACTGTAGTGGTTCATTAAATAAAAAATTATAAAAAATAAGGGCAGGGAATATACTGTTTTATTTCTTTTACTTTTTAGGCAGAAAGATGTCGAAATAAAATTGTTTTATTGAAACTTTAAATAATGTAGAGAAATTGAAGGGCTAAAGAGAAAAATGCACAAAGCAGTTGTCCTTTATTAACCCGTGCTCGTTTTTTTAGCCTGCTGCCATCATTCCTCCTTTTTGACTTGGCTGACTGACTGGCTGACTGACCGATTGAATGTTTTGCTGCCCACATGTCTTTGAATTGTTTTATATTAATGTTTCTATATAAAATTAAAAATGAATAAAGCAGAACTTAATATGTACATGTACATACATGAAAGTATTATATGTTAATATATTTATTTTTGCGACTCGGCGCGGTTCACTGCAGCCTTTGTTATTTATTATACATATTAGCAAGTTATGAGCATTGCACAATCAATATACCGGCCGCGTGTCACAAATCTCCAACGCCTTTGAGTCCATACGCGACATGTTCAGAGCGACATCTGAGCGATACGCAGGCGGCGGAGGAAGTATTTCTGAGCCTTCAGCCACCGGCTCACGGGTTTCGTGCGAGTAAACCGGCAGGTCAATTTCTATGCTCTCATGCCTCATTGCCAAATTCCTTAACTCCTGCGTCTCGAGAGCCTTTTTCTTCTCCTTGTGGTTCTTGTAGAAAAAAATTACCAGGTACCCTGCGACACACACGCTAACTAATACTGCCAGGAAGGTAAGGACTATGCCTCCCACCGATAGAGCCATCGTATATAATGTAAATAAAAATAGAAAAGTGAAAATAGAAAAGTGTAATTATTTGAAAAGACAAGACAATATTAGGTTGGAACAGCTAAAAAAACCCAACTAAATCAGTAATTTAGCATCCTTTCTTGTTTTTTTTTTGTTTTTTTTGCTAGAGGCTTTGCGGCTCTTTTTATTAAAAATGTAAAAAGCAAAAATAAAATAAAATGACTTCATTGCAGCTCTTTGTATTTTTCTTTTATAATCCAACCATTATGCTCCATTGCACACGCCCACAAGCCAACATCTCGCCAATTATATAAATCAACAATAAAATTAGCACTTGCACAAAAACAGCAAATAAAATAGTAAAGTGCAATTGACAAAACATATCCACCCTGCTAATTATAATTTCAATATTGTTGGTGAGAAACTACGCAAGAATATTTTTATTTATTTGTTTGAAATATACACAACTTGTATGCCAATGTTGGCACATACATTATTTTTAAAAGAAAATGTCAGTGACCCTGAACATGGGCCACAGGCAGCGGGAGCGCTATTGTGTGTCTATACGGGCGCTCATACTTGAAAGACCCGTCATTAAATTTGTACTTATTGGCTATTGGCAGTATCATGGACAAGCGGTATTTAGGTGGCAACGGCTGCTGGATTTCCTGAGTGTAGACCGGGGGCTTAGTCTGCGGCGAATAAACCGGCAGGTCGATATCCAAACTACTGCGGCTGCGTACCACAGCGCCCAGCTCATTGCCCTGGTTGTTGCGTTCACCTCCTTTGCCGAGTTTTGTCTTGTACTTGGCATACATCCTTGAGCCAACAAGCCAGCACGTCGCTACGCTGATAAATGTAAAACAAAAATTGGTCACGCTGATAAACCCATGTTGATATATATATATAAATGTATATCCTTATTTAAAAAAACTAGACTACAAGTATTTAATATGCTAATTAATAACAATATAAAAATAAACGCTGACATTTAGAAAAAAATACAATTTGTTCAGTCACGTCTCTTGAAGATGATTATATAATTTTTTGTTGCAAGTAGACTTGAGGATGACTGAGGCTCTTTTTGCGATACTAGAAAGAAAGTCAGGCAGTAAATAGAAAATTATTTATTTTAGAAAACCTTCTTTTTCCTATTATTCAAATAGGAAAGGGGGCAACTGTGCTATTAACACATGTTTTGCCACAGTTGCACATATATAAGGCTCGGCTGTCTTTACAAAAAAAAGAAGTAAAATCGAACATACGTCATATTTAGCGCCCATGCATGCTTGCGCATACACGCAAAGATGCAAATGTTAAAGAAATATTAATTTTTAAAAGTGTCCGACAAAATGTACCAATTTGTTCATTCATTCATTAGTTCGCCTAGTCGCTGTCATCAGCATTGTTTGCCGAATTGCTATCCGAAACATCGCTGCCGTCGACACTCATTTCCCGTTCAGACTCTGAACTCGTGTCGGCGCCGACCAGAAGTCCGTCCAGATCCATTCTCAGATCCAGCTGTATGCGGCGCTCAGCGACTATCTTGCGAATAGTCTCGTCGGCAATGCAAACAATGTGCCGACCTCGCCAAAACTGCAGCAATCCCAAGTCATCCAGTGTAAATAGCACATCCTCGATTCTAATCCCCGTTAACCGTGCCAGCCGATCCAGCGAGAATATCCGTTGGTTGCTCTCCCAGCCATGCGAGTGATGCTGCAGGGGACGCGCAATTTGCCGCAAATACTCTTCGACCGAGGGCAGCTCGCCAAGAAGAGCTTGCATCAGGGTGCGCCGCCAATACGACCGGTAGCTGTGAAACCCCTGCGATGACAATGGCTGCTCCGGCCCACCGGTCGTGCCTTCCATCTTTGTGAGCTCATAGCTCAGCTCTATCAGCAGCTGGCCATAGCCCTGGCCGCGGAACGGAGGCAACACCAGGATACACGCGAGGTTGTTTTGATCGACTGAGGCCTTTTCTTTAGAAAAATATCCAGCAAAGCTGAATTGCTGCTGCTGACCCTTTTTGCCAGCCGTCGGCTTGACTAATAAAATGTAAAACAAAAAGCTGGCAATGTCGTAGTAAATGGTCTTTTGGTCCAAGAACAGCTTGGACAACAGACACAAGTTCTGACAAAACAGTATGTGCTCCTTGCCGTCCACCTCGTACAGTGCTGCGGCCGTGTCCTCATACACCAACCGTCCGCGTGGGAACGGGTCCCCACATTTGTGTGTGAGGAGCGATCGCCGGTATCGCATGTATTTGAGGCAATGCTCGCATATGTAGAGATCTGGCCCCTGCTTATACTCGGTGGGGTATGGCGACGCATACCAGGCGGCAATGCTGTAGTTGCCTATTATTATCCGCTGGACCTCTTTGGCTACCGCTGACACCGCTGTTTCTGCTGCTGTGCCTGTCGGCTCGCTGGCCAGCTGCGACCCACCCTTGTGTTTTGGCTCCGAATCCAAGCTAGCCGTCTGCTTTTTATTGCCATTTGTTATTGCTTTGGTTTTTGTTTTGGTAATTGCTGTCGTTTTGGTCGCTTTTCTATGTACAGGCGGCTGTTCGCTACAATTGTGAAAAAATATACGCGCACACAAATAAACCGCCGCCATAGTTAGTGTAACGAACAGAACAAGTGTGGCTGTAAAGCGCTTTAACTGAGTACCTTCTCATTATTTAGAAGTTTGTGGTTGACTTACCTCTTGGCTATCCGTTTAACCATTTCATATATTTATTTTCTTTCCTTTCCCGCGCTGCTCAGCCCGTCTTTTGCAGAAGCAGAAGCAAAGGAAACCAGCAGCAGCAGCAGCCAATGAAGGTTGTGTGTAGAAGAGTGCAAGGGATTCGGAGTAGAATGAGAAGGAAAAAGAGCAGAAATTTCGCTTTAGGATTGAAGTAATAGAAATAGGCAAACAAAAATATATAAATAAGTAGAACGGGTCTTGAGTCAATTTTTTTTTGCTAAAAAATGAAAAATGACAAAAATAGACTTTGCAGTGTTTGCTATAATCACGTGTAAAACCATACAGCGCACGCTTTTGTCGCAGCAATGGCCCATGAATATTCGTTTTCGCGCTGACGTGCGCATTTTTTATTCCTACCAGATACAGCCGCAGCGCATTTTAATATTTATTTTTCTTTGCCATAAAAACCCCTCGATTATACGGATACAGGATGTACAACGGAATCGGCCTGAACACTCCCCGCGGCAGTGGCACCAGCGGCCACGTAATTAGAAACGCGTCATCGCTGAGGCCAGGGCAGGCAGGCGGCAGCTCACAAAGAATGCACCAGTACGAAAGCGACCGGCCCATCAAAACCAAGCCCATAGACAAGGGTATTCTTGAGCACGAGCGCAAGCGCCAAGTGGAAATAAAGTGCCTGAAGCTCCAGGATGAACTTGAGGCTCAGGGCCTAGACGAGGATGAAACCGACAAGCGCGTAGACGAGCTGCGGCAACAGCTGCTCAAGAACCTGGATAATCTGGATCTTTTGGGTGGCAAGAAAATCAAATCATTTGAGACACAGAGACTGGCAGAGGCCAAGGGTAAGGAGAACGAGGTTCTGGCTAGGGCGCTGAGGGTGGAGGATGGCTATGTAGAGGGGTCGGCGTTTGACCGTGAGCTGCAGGACCTCAGGCGCCAAAAGCGTCTTTTGGAGAAGGAGCGGAAGAGATATTTAGAGAAGGAGCGGATGAGTCGCAGGAGGAGTAGGTCACCCAACAGATCTGACGAGAGCGGGTTGGAAAGTGATAGAATCCGCAGTTATCACAGAGGCAGGGCGCGCAGGACTAGGCGTCGGTCAAGGAGCTCGAGCAGATCAAGTAGTTCCAGCAGTGGGTCGAACAGTGACTCTAGCAGTGAGGGACTTTTGAGCTCAGATGGCGATAATGGCAGGTTCCGCAGCCCCAAGAAGCACAGCAGCAGCAAACATGCATCTTCACAATCAAAAATCAAAGATACAGCCAAAGCAAACACCAGTGGTGGCAACTCTAGTGAGAGCGAGGGTGAAATGAAGGAGGAGGACGGTCCTTCGACGCGCCAGGTCCGGCCCGTCGAGGACGGCGAACCAGGCGAGATTGAGGATATGGGCTTGTCTTTCGCCTCTGACGCAACAGACTGATCTGAAATATTGCGTCGATTACACGCCATATTGGATAAATAAATAAAAAAATTCACATGCACAACTCCTCGTCAAAGGATTCCTTTTGGTCGCTCTCTTCGGCACTGCTGTACTCAGTGTCAGAGTCAAGAATCAGTGGAAAATTGAGAATAGCGGCTACGCCCGTCAGCTGCTGCAACTGCTCTCCAGAAACGTGGAGGCTGGAGAAGACCAGTACGTCCGCGCTTGTTGCCTTTGCGTCTTCAACGAGCCGGATGTATTTCCTCCTCGTCTGGACGTCGGCGGCACGGAAGAGCTCGTCTGTGACCATCAATGTCCTGATGGCGCCATTTTCTGCTGCCTTGCGCACATCCTCGTAGCCATAGAATGCGCGATCCGGTTTGTTATTGAGCATCTGGTAGAACTCGTCCATTGCCTTGACTTCCTGCGTAGCCTTGGTGTCAGCCAGTCGCGCCTTGATCTGTGGGTCGCGCATAACCTCCTCTAGCGCGCCCTTGTGGCCCGAGGATGTGTGCACTAGCAAAAACTTTGACTTGTTCTCCATAATCACCTTATCCTCTGTCTTCACCGCCTGGGCCAGCATGTAATCGTAGAACTGCTCGCGCACAAATCCAGGACTGCCCAGAATAACAACCTTGACAACGCTGAAGTCGATGTGTTGCTTGATGGCCCGGTATATCTGGTCGTAGAATCTCTGGACGCCCTTCTCATAGTTTTCCGTCGATCCTCTGCGCTTACGTGGAATCGGAACCTCAATCCGTTGTCTGACCACGGTCATATACTGTGTCAACAGGCAGATGACTGCCAAGCCCTCCTGCATAGTAACTGCCGCGACGTCTGCCTGGCGCGTAATGTCGCAAGCATCTTTGACGCGCTGTAAGGAAATCATGTCCCACTCGGACTTGCTTAATGTGAACGGCTGGTTCATCTCAAGATCCAGCGTGTGGTATTGGCCAATTCCAACGTGCTTATTCTCGGCTATATTGCGTCCATTGATGCGCAGGGCGCCCGCTTGGACGTCGAAAAACACGTCTTCAATGGAAATAGTCAATTTGAGCCGTATGCGATCTGTGGATACGGACCCCGTGGTGGTTTCGCTTTTAATTCCACGTATAGTTGATGCTTGTAGCTGGTCGCCCTTTTGGATGAGGTTGTAGACATGCCACATGTCCTCGGGCTCCTCGGGCGAGAGGCGCACATACCCCGAGTTGTCCTTTTCGATGTCCTGCTTAATTAGCTTCATAATGGAGAAATAAAATATAGTGAAATGAATTTATGATAAAATTAATATTAAGAGAAAAGAGAAAGAGGAAAGGAGCGGACAAACAAAAGAAGCAAAATTGGCAAAAGGGCTGTGCCTTTTTAGCGCAGTGAGTGACTTTGGGGGATGAGCTCAGTCGCCATCGCTGGCACGTGTTTTTATTTGTGTTGCAAAAATATAAAAAAAGTTTTACACGGTTGTGTTGCGAGTCAGTTTTTTCTCATACTTTTTTGATGGAAAAGGGGATAATTAACCATTATAACAACAAATTTGATCAGATCAAGGCTCTGTGGGTGTCCTTGATTTTTAATATGGCCTGGACCCCTGACGATGAAGCCTACAATGCTACACGCTGGTCCTGAAACCGTTTCGCCACCACCTACAACAACGCACTGCAGCGCTACCTTGCCGCTTTAATGTCGCCCTCCTTGTGCTTTGCATTCCGCTTTCATCTCTCCGAGATCTTGTCAGAACAGACTCCCACAGAAAGTGACGACAGCTCTCTGTGATCCAGTCAGCCGCCATAGGCCACTTCTCTGGGCCTGTTTTGCCCCCTGCCGACTGCATGCCCGGTTTTTTTTGAATAGTCACCCTGCTTTTCGGGTTGTTGACGCCCCGCTACCCACTGCTGGGAAGTCTTTTTTATTATGTTGATTTTCTCTCGGCCTATTTTTAATACTAACCAAACAAATACGAAGGCAGTTTTGCGCTCCAAAACAATAAATAATTTTATATGAATTCAATAATACTAATAAATTTTGTCCAAGCTCTTAAAACAATACTATTGTCTCTCTATTTTTTTTACTTTTGCTGCTGCCCAGTCACAGCGGCGTTAGCGTCGGGCGCAGCCCCATTTCCAAGACTCTGCGACATCATCTTCCACAGAGTCATGTCCTTCATCTGGCGCTTAACCTCCTCCTCGTTCTGCTGGCGCTCCTTCTCAATCATCGCCAAGACCTCCTTGTGCTGAATTTCAAAGTTGTCGCGCATCATCTTGCGCATCTGGTCAAACTCGGGCTGCGGCGGGTTCTCAGTATCCGCAGGGGCGCCGCCAAAGACCAGGGACTTCCAGCTGCCTGCGGTCTTGCGCTTCTCCTCCCAGTCCTCGACCAACTTCTGGCGGATCGAGTCCTCCCACCGCACAAACTCCTGAGCGGCGTCCTTATCCTTGTATGTCTTGATCCACGGCCGCACATCCTTGGGCTCCATCATGTGGATGTACTCGAGGAACTCAGTGATTTGACTGATCCAGTTGTCGCTGGGCTCGCCGCGGAAGGGCCTGGCCAGAAGCCCGTTGTCAGGCTGCATGGTGAACGCCTCGGGGCTGATGTCAATCATAATAACTCTGGACATGTCGCGGTTGATTGTGCTCAGGTCCTTGTAGTTCTTGCCGTCAATGTTGCGCATGTGGTCCTTGTACAGCCTGTACGGCGCGTACTCGAGCGGATCGAGCCGCTCCATCACCGTCATGCCGCTGTGGCTGGGCTGCGTCGAGAAAACTACAACCTCAAACATACTGGCCATGTACGCCAAAAAGTGGTCCAATCCGGGGCGCTTGGCGATGCGCCATCCGTACTCCTTGGTCCAGTCCATGTGGATCAGCATGTCATCCAGGCAGAGGACCAGCGTGTAGGGCATAGTGTACTCGTTTTGGTCCGGCAGCAGCTTCTCGGTCGCCGGCTCCGAGAGGAAGGAGAACGTATTGCCGGCACGTGTGGTCGCGCGGTGCCACAGCTGCTGCACTGCGCTTTTCTCCGGGTCGTCCTTGAGGCCCTTCTCTGCATCCGCAGCAGTGAACGGGCGGCCGTAGTACCCAATGCCACCAATAAGTAGGCCAAAAACAAGACCAGTGCCAATATACTTTGCAGCCTTGATCTTGGGCTCGTCCTCCAGCGGGGGCAAGTCTGCGCGCTGCCGGCGTGCGCGCCTGGCCTCGGCCGCGCTCATGCCGTCGCGGTGCTGCTGATGATCCTTTGCCTGGGAATCCTCCGAGACAGGCTCCTCGCCAAGAATTCCGCTGGCCATGCCGCTGCCCGTCGATGAGAATCCGAATGGCGATGCCGTCGAGGGCTTCTGCTTGGCTGCAGAGGCATCGTTGAACTGCTCGGCCTGCGACTCGGCAGCTGCCTCGGGCTTCTCTGCAGCTATGCTATCACCCTGATTTGTTGACTGCTTGTCGCTTGTGGAAGACTCGTCGCTAGCGGGCTTTTCAGGTGTCTCAGGAATGCTCTCTGACGGATTTCTGACGCGAATCATCGCCGGGCTAGTGGTGCTGAGATTCTGGCTCCGCAGCAGCTGCAACGCGCGCGGAGTCATGTTTGCTGCTGAAGCCTTGGCGAGCTGTGCAGTCCGCAGCTGCCGTGTCAGCGGTGAGGCGATACGTCCAAACATTCTGAATCTTTGTAGTTGCAAAATAAAAGCGTTTTTGATTTGGCAGAATCTGTCCAACAATATAAATTCGCGCGGTAAATGTTCTGCTGTGGTGGAATTGGAAGAAAAAAATGAACAACAAAAAAGAAAGGCGCGAACTTTAACAACAGAAAAAAAAGATAACTGAATTCAAAAGTGGGCTGACACGATCAAGGCTCTGAAGGGCCCAAACCCCTCAACCCGCACCCTCGAGTTTTAAAACTCTGCCCTTTATAATCAATTGATCTGCAGCCACTACATTGATCATGATCAGCCTGCCACGCGAAACGAACGCCAAGACGATCGCACAAACAGTGCGATTAAATGCATCATCTACATTTGCATCCGCAGAGGCAACCATCTTTTAAATAAAAAATTTTTACCAACTTGTTTTTTTTCCTTCTAATTCTCTCTCCTTACCTGCGAATTCCTCGCATTTCGCTCGCACAGTCCCTTTCAATACTTCACAGCCTTTATGGATGCGTTTCTCGATATCGAAGACCCAAGCGACTGGCCCGCAGACTTCCCACACCTGCGCGAGCTCGAGCAGCTCCTACGATGCCCCGTGTGCAAGGAGTACTTAGACACACCCATGGTAGTCACCAACTGCGGCCACACGTTCTGCTCACTCTGCGTGAGACGCTGCTTGACTCAAGAGACCAAATGTCCCTCGTGCAGGGCATCGACAACCGAGGGCGATTTGCACCCGAATCGGCTTGTTGACAGTCTTTTGCGAGAATTCAAGCACGGGCGGCCGCAGCTCTTGTCCACCCTCAGATCTGCAAATACGCACAAGCCGGTGGAGGCAAAGCGTAAGCGTCCGCGGATCATAACAAGGAGTGCTGCGAAAAATATGGATGTTGATACAATGGCCTCCGATGAGCAATTGGGGACTGACAATGCCATTGACCTGACCTCATCCGATATTGAGCAGATGAGAAGCATGAGCGACTTTGAAATTGCTACAGTAAACTCTGGCATGACGCCAACAGCACCAACATCGACGGAAAATGATGGGGACAGTGACTTTATGCCCAGTGATATTATCGGCAGCAGACGCTGTGCGCCCAAATCACATACAAGATCATCTCACGAAAACTCTGTGCTTTGCCCTAACTGCCAGAGCCAAGTGCGTTCGGCCAAAATCAACTGGCACCTAGACCGATGCCTCTCCGGCAAGTCCATAGATGAGCCCCCACCAGCAGCTGCTGCTTCTGAGTCAACAGCCTGGCCAACAGCAACAAGGCTCCAACTGACAGGCACGTTGGCAAAATTTGCACTGCCACGACCAACCAAGCTGGCCTACAGTTTGCTCAGCGAGGCCAAGCTGCGGCGAACCCTGCGCGAGCTGGGGGTTCCAGCTAAAGGCGACAAGCACCAGATGCAGGCGCGCCACGTCGAGTGGGTCAACATGTATATGGCCAACACGGACTCAGAGACACCCTTGTCCCATAGCGTATTGCTCCGGCGTTTGGCCACATGGGAGGATGCCATGGCTCGCCAGCCTGAGCCTTTCAGGGCCCCACCTCCTGCCACTCCCGGAGCGGTCACCGATCATACGTCAAAATATGCAGATTCATTTGCTGCCCTTGTTGCACAGGCCAGATCCACGCGCCCCAGGCCGCCGACCAAGTATCCACTGTAACCGTTTGCTGACAAAGATAGACCAACTCCTATTTCTATATATATATATTTTTTTGTACTATCAATCCAAGTCGCGAGGTATATTTAAAACAAAAAAGTGCGTGTATTTCAGTCATAAACATACACAAGCGCGTGCATCAGCGTCCAAACGAGCACATACGACAGCAAGGTGTTCATCACGGTCGATCCGGCAATATCCATGAAGCCCGACTTGAAGTACACCGACGGCTTGCTCTTGCACTTGACAAAAAACACAAGTCCTGATATGACCACCCAGTTTATCAGGAAGAATATGAACCCGTTCCACCCAGTCAGACCCAGAATGCCCGCTGCTGTGCCGACGCCCCACGACGTCAAGGTGTGAATGTTCGACAACGCCAGTGTGTTGAGCTGCACTGTGGGCTCAAAGTACTTGTAAAGGTCTGCCTGTTCCGCCATTCTAATCTGTAATGTGGAATTATAAGTAATACAAAGAAATGTGAAATTAAAGTGAACTGAATTGAACTAAATTGAACTGAGCAATACGGAACTGAAAGGTTTTGAATACCATTTCATTCAGTGAGAAGGCGACGCCTTGTCAAAAAAAATGTAATGACAAACGCGTGTTCACGTGAAGAGGGCTCACAAGGATCTTTAACTCGTACAAAATTATATTAATTATAAAAATTATTTTGTTGCGAATTAGAAAAAGGAGAGAAAAAACGCTACCATTTTACTATCTTTATTTCACACTTTTTTGTTTTACAACCCACCAAATAATATAGATCACTGTATAAGCGCAAGAGCAACAGCAGCAGCAGCAGCAGCATATTATTTACAAAATGGGCAGCGGCGACCTTAACATGAAAAAGTCGTGGCATCCGCAGACTCGGGCCAACCAACTGCGGGTTGCTGACGAGAAGCGCAAAGCCGAAGACGAAGCCCGGCGAACCGCAAACATCTTAAAAGAGCTGCGCGAAGAGCGCCAGCGTGAGGAAATGGACATGCTAAATGCCACAGTGAACAAGAAAGCAATTAACAAGCTAGAGTGGATGTACAACGCGCCAGCACACCAGCAGCAGCAGAACCAAGAAGACTTGGAGGCGTATCTGTTGGGCAAAAAGGACATGAGCACTATGCTAAAGCAGAAGGAAGAGGAGAAAGCGGTGCCGGAGGAAAAGTGGAAAAGCGGGCTGTTTGCTTTTTCCAACAGAAACGCTAATAGCGACAAGGACTCGCTTGCAAAGAGCATGGAGGACCCGATGATGGAAATCAAACGGCGCGAGCAGGCTGCCATTCAGGCGATGCTTGGAAGGCAGAAACAGACAGTGAGCAGGGATTCTGAAAAGAAGAAATCGAAGCAAAGCAGTGACGACAAGGAGCGCAAGGAACACAAGAAGAGCAAAAGTGCGCGCAGATCGCGCTCCAGGGAACGCGAGCTAAATGATTTGGATAGCGGTCGACGTCACAGAGGTTCTCGCGACTCCAAGCATAAGAGCTCTCGCGACTCCGAGCATAAGAGCTCTCGCGACTTCGAGCATAAGAGCTCTCGCGACTTCGAGCATAAGAGCTCTCGAGACTCCAAGCATAAAAGCCACCGTGACTCTGAGCACAAGAGCTCTCTAGACCACCATAAGCGCAGCCATCGGTCCGACAAGTCGCGCTCGCATCGGTCTCGCTCACCATCCCATCGATCACGGCGGTCCCGCTCACCAGCAAGAGATTGAATCATTTTTATTGTCAATAATTCCACATGAATATACTGAAATTTTGTAAATATGGCTTTTGTAAAATTATGACTATGAGAAAAAAAAAGTAGCATGCAAAGTGCAGTGGGGGAAGAAAAAAAACAATTGAAATGGATTAGTTGGCAGTGATGGTAGCGGCAGCAGCAGTGGCAGCAGTGGCACTAATGGACGTTAATACTTCGCCCTCAAAAGCCTGCCGCATCTGAGCGTTATCAAAATACAAAAAGTGCTCCCCGGCTCCAAAGTCCATAGCCAAGGAGTGCGCCATAAGCACGTCATCCTCGGCATTGCGCGGTGCGCGCACAATTGAACTCAGGGGCCAAAAGTCAGTTGGCGTGCGTGAGCACTCATTCGTATACATGAACAATGTTTCGTCGGCAATGACAAAATACCGGCGCTTCCAGAACGAATTGGAAGGCTCCTGGATGCTTGTGTACCCGCGCAGGCACCGGAAGAACTTATCACCCATTAAGCCCGAGCTCTGGGCGAGCTCTGCTGTGTTCCGGCGGTGCTCACTGACCTCCTCCATTAACTGGGCCACCTCAGGCACTGGTATTTTTTTGAACGAGCTGGCGATGCAGACTCTACTTTTGCGCTTGCTCGAGATACTGGTTGACTGCCTGTCGGGCGAGCAGTTTAAGCTGTACCTGTGGTATGTGGGCCTCGCGGGACTAGCCGTTCCGACAGTGGGGGATATGCCGCTGTCCGAAAATGCACCACTCCTCTTGCTGCACATGCTGCCGCTCCCGGCGTATGTCGAGGGCGAAATTGGAGAAATAGGGCTTATCATCGCATCTGAGGCCAGCGAGCGCTCTGATTCTGAGTAGTGTGGGATTACAATTTCAGTGAGCATGGCTGACTCGTTCGCAATCAACACATTGTGGCTGTATCTGCTGCTTCGATTCAGGTTGTCGTACTCCTGGATATCAGAGAGGCCGCCGTTCAATGATTTTGGCGTGGGTGGCATGCCGAGAGGCAACTCGTATGTGGGCTCTGCGGTTTTGCAAGGCGATGTTGAAGCGGCATTTCTGGAGCGGGCGAATGCTACTAATTAACAAATTCGGGAGAGAAAGAAATCGGCATCATAGTGTTTAAAATGCAATATATCCAAGTGTGGTAATATTGAATACATGGTGGCCCGGGGGTATTGCGCTTCAAAAAGTATTTAAAAAAGAAGTACAGACTTGTAATTAAAAGGAGAAATGAAGAATGCTCGCATCTTTAACAAAGTCTGGTAAGAATCGGAAAACTCGGACAAGAGTAAAATATCCAATATATGCGCAGCAATCTAGGGATAGCACTTAATTAATAGTCGCCAGCGACTTCCGGATATCAGCTAATAAAGCTAAAAAAAACCTTTATTAAACAATCTTGGAAGTGTTGCGGCTTCACTCAGAAGCAGCAAAGCCTTCCCCCACATGCACATATGCGCAAGTACAAATATAGAAACCATCGCACAAAATTTTTTTTGGGCAAAATCAAAAAGCAAGACAACAGTTCAAAACGGATGGAAATAGGAAAATAAACTTACCATCTTCGTTGCTTAATGCATCCAAGCCAGTTACTGAGGAAACAACCGAGGAGACAGCCACTTGCTCGCCGGGATTCGGCTGGCTGCCTTCTTCCGTAACACTGCCCATGGCTGGGGGCTTTGGCTTAAGCGGTGTGTCATCTGTGTCTGCCTCGCTGGCGGGGCTGGCAGGGCTGCCGGGAGAGCGAGGGCTGTTGGCCAGCGATGTCACAGATGACGAGGGGGCGTGGCTCATAGACATCGAGTGGCGGTGCCAGATGGTGGACCGCACCTTGCTCTGTTGCTGCTGTTGCCGAATAGAGTCTGAGCGGCCGAGACTCCTGGCTACTTTGGAGAAGAGTTCCCGAAATCGATTGAAAACGGGCATTTTGGTTAATGTTAATGCTTTGTGCAATAAATATATAAATTTGATAATGTGGAAGAAAAAAAAATAGTTGCGCAAAGGAGAGGGAAAAAAAGTGGGGAAGAGAGCAGCAGCAGGATGCCAATTTAACATTCTGTTTTTCTTTGTGCTCATCAATTAATACATAAGACCGAAAGAGAGAATAAGGATTGCCCTCACTCGGGAGATGCAGCAAGAGCAAGGGAAACATGTGCAAAAATTTATTATGTTGAACATTTAAATGTAGTCTGCAGAAAATCAACGTTTGGGGTGGGGGGGGGATCTCTAACCTTACAAAATTATTTTATTCACACATGTTCTGACATCACACCCAGATGGATGCACACCCTTTTTTTCAGCATAGAATCGTTTCTTCCCAAAACGTGAGAGAAGTAAATTTGTTCTGTTCTATTTGAGAAAATAGAGGAAGGAGGGTGATACATATGCTCGTGAAAGAAATTCACACGCATAATCGTGATTGTTTTGGAAAAAAAATAACAGCAAATAAATAAATAAATAAATAAATAAATAAATAAACAAAACAAAAAGCAAGCGCACGCTGAGAGCGCATTTTGTTATGCTCGAATTGAATTTTTTCAAAAAGAAAATAACATGATGCAGCGTTGACTTTGTTTTTGTTGTTGTTTTTGTAGTACTTACTGACCATGGGAACCGACTTTTTGACCAAGTGGCTGGCCTTGCTGCGCAGCAGAACGGGTGTTAACTCGGTGGGCTTGGTCGTATTGATGGTGATATCATGACGGTTAAGAAACTCGGCAACTGTGCTTTTGTGCGCAAGTCCGCGAGCTACATTGTTTGATCAAGTCAAGGACAAAGCAAAAGCCATATTAGATAAAAAGAAATCTAAAGAATAACATAGCTAGCCGATGGGCATGTGGTTGCAGTTGTGCTTTGTGGCAAATGTCCGACCTATGCATTCTTTTGGCTTACCTCGTTGAACTCCACTATACATTTGGCCGGCACATATCGATATATGCAAAACACAGGGTAGCAAGGAGTGCACAATTAAGGTTAATGAACAGCATCCCTTCAAAAATGATTTAGAGAGCAGCGCACCAAGATATGGGGCAACTATTGAAAAAAAACATCAGCAGTAAAAAGCTTACCTAATTTTTTCGGAGACATGGGTGACCAGCACATTCGTCCTCTCGAATACCAGAAAGCCAAAAACAATTTCGTCAGGCACACAAAGTGCCATCTCTACAACTCCGCCGTCGCCCACGGAGTACAGGCTCAACACGTCGCGCGTTTTGCCGTACCCAATTATCATCCTAGATTTCAACAACAACAACAAAAAAGTGGATAAAATGGTTAAGAGCAATGGCTGTGCATAATTAGTAAATAAAAAACAATAGAGTTTGGAGTTAGCCGCAAGAATACTCATTCAAATCGTTCGATTGGAATCTACGCAATCCGCCTCATATTCAAACACTATCGCGGACTGCAGCATGGAATAGAATACTAATTTTCCAAAGTGCAAAGAAAAATAGAATAGAGTGTGGCTTAGCAGCCTCAGGGATTTATTATTGAATTTGTTTTGTTTTTCTTGTTTTTATCCTGCTGTTTTCAATCGGCCAAGTTCAAAAAAGTTAATGTTTGTGCTTTTGAGTTTTTTTGTGTGGATTTTGTGGATTTTGTGGATTTCCCTCCCTCCCTCCCGAAGCCACTCCGCAGTGTTCATAATTGCATTGTGTGCGGAGATGTAAACATACCAGTCGATGCCATCATTGTCGAGAATCCGCTGGTAGGCTTTAAAAATCTGCGGGTCGTTCAGTTTGCAAGCCATTTTGGCGTAAAGGTCAAGCGCGACTGATGCTGCTGCCGCTGCTGCCGGAGGAATATAGTGCTGTGTGTTGGTGGGGTATGCGTGTATGTGCGTGTCAGCCAAAAAAAAAGGTGGAGAAAATATGTGTGACGTCAAAGAAAAATTAAACGAGTAACCAAAAATAAGCGTCAAAAAAAAAAGAAAACACGTCAAGCTTGATGGCCGTGAGTAAAATAAAAGTGTAAATAAAATATGACGAGAAAAAACAAGGAAAAAAAAAGAGAAGAGAGATATTGAAAAATTGAAAAATTGACCACATGGAAGGTCTCTTAACTATTTTTTTGTTTAGCAAAAAAAATTGAAAAACTGAACCGCATGGTTGTCAACATTTGGCGCATTGTGCTTTTTTGTATATTTTTTATCAACCTGCCTAAACCGCTAATTTGTTCCTTTTGTGAAATCTCTGTTTGCCCTCGCGTGCATACCAAACTGCGCCCAGCAGAGGACAAAAGTGCCGAAGCAAGATTGTCAAAGTGCGTTTTTTTGTTGTTTTTTTTGCAAAGTAAAAAAATGATTTGCATGGCTCACACCACTTCAGCCGGTATATCAGCTTAAATAAAATTGGTATGTTCACTGTGAGCTGTGGAGCGGCAACTCATCTGGTATCATATTCCCCCCGTTCTGACGATCATTTGCGTACTCGAGAGCATTTCCTGTCGCTTCACAGAATCCGCACTCTAAATGATCTGGATAACGGACACCAAAAAAAACACCCCCCCCCCAGAACATATGGAAGCCACCGTCAGAAATAAAGTGGCTGAGTCTGCTTTTTCCAGCTGTCAGCGTGTGCGTAATGACTGGTCACCAAGGCATTGCTTACTCCCAGTTTAAACCACAGTGATTGGCACCAGACCTGTTTGCGCTACAGTGACGCTTTCCAGCTTTGTCGCCACAGCCAAACTGGTTTGTGTCCAAGCGAATCGACGGCGACGTGAGCGGCATGTGCATAAAACTTTTATTCAAGACGAGGCGAGGTGGTGGGGGGGGGGACCGCGCTTAATGAGAAAAGACGGGGCGGATGAGAAATGACAAGCCATTGGGCGCAGCAAGGGCGAACACTGACCGCGCCGCGCCGCGTGCAGTGGCGGCAGCGGATATAAAACGAAATGAACTCGACGCCATCGCCTTCAAACTCGCCTTCTTTTTCTTCTCTTCCTCTCCTCAGTTCCTTTATCTTTGCGTATTAATTCAACTGTGATTATTCGCACTTTTTTCTTTTTTTTTCTTCTTCCACAACATGACCAAAACACTTCGGATCGGCGTTCTCGGTAAGCAAGCGGATATGACATCGTCTCTTTTCTTTTTATTCAATATGAGGCTTTCTTTTTCTTCCTTTTTTTGATAAGGGACGCAATATGAATTAAAAAAAATCAAACAGTCACAAAAACCCACATTGATATTCTCATCTTGTAGCGCTTCAGGGGGCATTTGTTGAGCACATCCATGCACTAAGCACGCTGCGCAATGTTGAGCAAATCGGCAACATCGTCGAGGTGCGCACCAAGGAGGAGCTGAGCACCGTCGATGCACTGATCATCCCCGGTGGCGAATCAACAGCAATTGCGCTGATCGCCGAGCGCTGTGGTATTCTGGACGACCTGCGCGAATTTGCCCGCACAAAGCCCACATGGGGCACCTGTGCTGGGCTCATCCTGATGGCCAAAAAGGCCACGCACATGAAGAAGGGCGGACAGCAGCTTCTTGACGCACTCCCAGTGACGGTGTCGCGCAATCAGTTTGGGCGCCAGGTGGATTCGTTTACGATCAAGCTCAGCTCGCCCTGCCTCGATGATATTGGCGCACAGGAAGGGGAGGGCAATAGGGCCCCGTTCGAGTATGTGTTTATTCGTGCGCCGGCTATTGTGTCTGTGGACGATCCTGAAGTGCTGCCGTTGGTGCAGTTGCCGCCGGGATACGGGCAGACAGAGGACTCGGAGAACGGCTTGCTGGTAGCTGTCAGGTACCGCCAGATGCTGGGCACGTCTTTCCACCCTGAGCTCACTGATGACAACCGGTGGCACCAGTATTTTGTGCGCATGGCACTTGGCAAGAACTAGGCTAGTCTTTGAAAGCAGCAAAGAAGGCAAGCAAAGGCAGGAAAAGTGCATCTTGATCTGGAATCATGATGCTTGAAAAACAATATCAAATGGAACGAGTGATGATTTGAATCAGCGTTTATTTTTTATTTTTATCTTTATTTTTGTTTTCCGATTTTTTTATTTTTATTCTCTTTTTTATTTTAAAAAAAATCGCATTTCATATTTTATTTCTCACGCTTCTTTTTTTCCCTTCGAAATTCACACTTTGAATCAGACCACAATGAGCTTTGGGAGTGGAGGGCCGGCGCTGTCCAGAGACACACCAATCGACACGCGCATGTTCTCTAACGAATCCTTGCTGCTGCGCATGGACTTGGCAACACATGCCTTTTACAAAAAGCTGGAGAACCCACAGGACAAGAAGATGCTAGAAATAGCATCACACGTCGCAAACGTCAGCGTTCTGCTGCGGCAAGCAACAAAGAAAGAGCTGAAGAGGTACGGGCAGCCAGGTGAGCAGGATATCACTCATGATGTGCGCATGAAGTACCAAGCTCGACAGGACCAGATCACGCAGCTGGGCACCTTTGACATGCAGTGGGGACTCAAGTGGCTGCTTTCATTCATAATCTTGCTCGAGTCACCCGTGTTTGGAACCGCTGGCGCCGAGCGCATGGTCGTTATTGCCAAGCAATGGGTGAATGCCCTGGCCGACGCAGGCATACACGAGGTAGCAGACCAGATGCCGGAGCTGCATAGCATTTTGCAAACCGCGCGGGATGAGCTGCCGGCATCCTGTGCACTGGCCGAGCAGCTTCCGGGCAAATTCAGCTCTGCGTGCAGCTTGCTGTTTGCTGGCCAGCTGCGCGATGCCCACGTTGACATGTACAAGCCCAAGTGGGTGGTAGCCGAAGAGACGCTCAATAGCCAGGCCCATGTAGAGTGCTTGTCCGAGATGTCGTTGGATGAGGCCCGCCAGCTCGTTGATGATATTGTGCCCTTGGACGCGGTGTGCATAAGCAGCTGCCCCTTGGATATCCGCATTGATTCGGTTGGCGCAGCGGGCGCCGAGGACGCGTCAGGGCGGCAGCATTACGTGCATGTGTTGGTACGTATTTTTGACCGCCAAAAGATGGCTGACAAGGAGGATAAGGAACCCATCTTGCTGCGCTTTGGATACGAAAGTCTCGAGTTTTTGCGCCCCGGGTTTATTATTGAGGCCACGCTGCACACATTGAGCAACGGGTGCCACTATATCGACGCGGTTACAATGGTATGGCCAAGCTACTCGCCGCTGGACTATGTCAAGCTCTATTGATACATTTGAAGTGAAGCTGCAAATGTATACAAATATTTTTTAAATCGAAGTAGTGCGCAGCAAACATTTGTAATTTCTCCATAAACGAAAGCCCCTCTTCTTGGCACCAGATGAGCAGAAAAATTTCAAAGAATGGGGGGGGGGGCGCAGCTTGTGGCTGCGCATTTTCTGTACATTCCAATTAACCTGTCTAATAAACTATTTTCCTCCAAATTTTTTGTAAACAAATAATGCCGGATACTCAAGGTACCCCGAGATATCGTGTGGATATAGACGCTCTTTTTGCAGACTACGTCAAGGACGCTCAGGTCGAGTCCGGCCTCAGCAGCAGTGAAATCAGCCGACATCTTTTCGTCAAAGCAGCAGCACTAGCAGCCGAAAATTCAGACCTACAGATAACATTCATCGAGTGCCGGCCGCGAAAGCATCTGGTGAAAAGCGTTGGTGTCGAACCAATTGTTGACCACTCTGGGTTGGATCGCATCTCGATAAAATACGTGACTTCACCAGACATGTTTCGAGCACTATTTGCTGCGTGGCATTGCGGCATGGAACGACAGACACGGACGTATTCAGAGAGCAATTTCCTGATATGGAACGCGACCCCCGAGTCCAACGGTAGCCTGGCGGTGACTGATGCTGTCTGGGCGCCAGACTACATGCTTATCGATGGCTTTGACGCGGTTGCCGACGAATCGAGGTAAGCACCATGATCAAATGAGCACAAATGCTTGGCCAAAATATAGATTAAAATTAAAGATGCAATTGACACTAACCATTCAATGTATCTGTGTGTTCAATGTCATTAGCATGGGGCGGCTCTGGGCACTGGTCAACAACACGCTGGACCACATCAATCGCATTCGTGAGAAACAAGGTCACAATAAGTGTACTTTAATTATAGGGCTGGCCGATGAATAAACTGGAGTAGTAAAAAAATTCTGCACACGCATTTTCAAATATTAATTTGGACATATTACATTTAGTTGATACAAAGCACAAAAAAATCTACAAATACTGGTTCAAGTAATCAGAAAATCAATGGATGTCTTCCCACCTGGAGACGACTGGCGCGACAAGCCAGTGGTGTTGGCACTAGCGAGTTTTTTGAAATCAGAATCGCAGCCAATCATGGGAAGGGGGCTGTGGAATGGCACGATATTGGATTTAATCGGTGATGCATTAGACGACGACGCAGCGGAATGCACAGCAAGATCCGGAAGATTGTTACTGGTCAGCTGCCGACCAAAGGCACCCCAGTCCTCCGTGCATGTATCAGCGCTAACTGCGTCGATAGCAGTAACGACCCTGTCACCTGCAGCACGAGCATTTGAAAGCGGCATGGTGCTCGACCAAATAGCACCACCACCCGAAGGCAGCATCGAAGAAAAAGGAGAAGAAAGAGAAGCAGAATTTTTCACAGTGACTGACAGACGCCGGCGGCGCTGAAAGGGTGATGTCGAGGTAAGGTAGTGAGAAGTACAGCTATTGCGCTCATCATCCGATTCCTGGTCAAAACGCTCAACTTTACTGTCAAACGACTGAACTCGATGTCTTCGACGCTTCAAAGAAGACAACGGGAAATTCGCCGTTGACTGGAGCTCTCTGATATACTGGACGCATTTCTCCAGAACCTCAAGCTTTTGCGGCTTGTCGCGGTTCTGGAGCGATGGAATGAGTGCCTTGAGATCATTTATAACGGCATTTGTGCGCTCGCGCCGCCGCCGCTCCATTTGAGAATGCGATTTACGCCGCTTGTGCTCACGCTCCTCGGCAGCTTTTGGACTTGTGCATGGGTAGCCACTGTCCATAACGCTGCTGTCATTCCACGGGCTGGCCTCCATTTGAGCCGACGTGGCGGTGGGGGCCATGTATGGATGAAAGTGGGGTCTGTAGGGGGCGCTGCTATAGTGGTGGTGTGTGCTTGATGTTAAAATTGGGCTGGTTTGAAGATTATAGGCTAGATAAATGGGCTGATGTGGTGTCAGTGGCGACATGCTACTAGCCGCAATATTGTAATATCCAGCGAATGAGTCGCCGTGATAGCTTGGGTGGCTGGTTGGGCTGTGAGAAGAAGCCTGCGGCCGGGCATTAGCGGGTGCAAGGCATGATCCAGCTTGAACCGGAACAAATGGAAGCATATTTCCTTTGCTAACGGTCATATTGAGTTGTAAAGAAAAATATGTATAAATGATAGTCAGCTTGTGTAAAAAAAATATATATATAATTTGCGAGAGGTAGAAGGTTGAGGGGAAAAAAAGAGGTTTTCAAATTCCCTAAAAAAATATCCCGCTCATCTGCCCATTTATATGTAAAAAGGGCAAAATTGCACATGCTCGGAAATTAATAGCGGTAACAGGGACAAGATTTGTATTTACTCTCTGACTAAACGTTAAGGTACATTGGTTGGTGCTGGTGGTAACGGACGCACCCCGTCTTGTTGCGAACGTGACATCAAAAAAAATTGCCAAAAAGGAAACAGCGAAAAAAAATTGAGTGTGCTGATGCTATCTTTGTTTCTTACTATATCCTATTATTTTGGTGTTTTTGTAAAGCTGTGACATGTGCTGCTGCGTGTGGGTTGGGAGGGAGGAGATGCTTTGTCGGGCACGTCTAAAAACAGATTTGCAAATCGGGAGTGGCGAGATTTAGAGGGCGTGTGCGCATTGCGGAGAAATATGGTGGGAGAAAAAACCGGCAGCATTGCCAGTCTGTCTGCAAAGATCAATATTTTCTTTTGGGAATTGATATGGAGAAAAACCAGTTAAAACGCTGGCAGTTTTTTTTTTGGCGATGGACAAGTTTTCAGTTTTCAGTTTTTGTTATGTTTTGTTTTGTGTTTTCTGTCATTCTCATTTCACATGCGATGGACAGATGACAAAACTCTTTCCGTCGCAGCATGGCATATTCTAAATTTTTTACTATTGAAAAGGCGCTACTTCGGGCAGGTTAGTATGAAAATCCATCCCCCTTATACTTGCAGTGAAATACAAATGGAGATAAAGGCATAGCGTTTCCGAAACAGCCGGCCTAATGGATAGCTTCCATTTGGTATTGCCAATCTGGGCATTATTTGGCAACGTGATCACAATGGCGCGGAGCATATTTCTTTTTTTTTTTTCTAGTGTAAACTAGCTTTACTTTCCTATCTTTATATTTTTGCTTTTTTTATTTGTCGAACAGCTGGTATTGTATTCCATCATTATATTTTCAATATATTTTGTGCAATATGCAAAAATACAGGCAAATGTTGCAATTTTTTACTGTACACATACCAGCACAGGGCGGGAAATACGATATCCTTAATCATTTTTGTGCTGCGATATGCATAGGACGCGATTTGCATATTGGGCAGCGTCGCTCATTTTGCTTTTTCTAAAAAAAAGTGTCTTGTTTCGAGCACTTAGTATGCGGCGACATCTCTATTGCTGCTGCTGCTGCCGCATGCGAGCCGGAATATGCACCCTTGTGACGCAGCGTGTGTGTGTGTCCTTGTTATATTGTGCGTGACTGCGAAAGTAATGTTTGATATATGTTATTTCATGCTCATATCTTTTCTGCTGGGACGCACGCACATAAGCACATGTGCATTAGCGATAAGGCCAACTTGCCTTGTTTGAAATTACATTGCCTTTCTCACGACACAAATCGTTGGTGGGTTGCCCAACGCAATTATCGCCAATTAAAACAGATGTCATTTTGTCATTTGCATTCCGAATATCTTTGCGTCAAAGTGCAGGAAGGGGATAAGCGGATATGGCAGGCGACAGTCTGCATTTGAGCCCGCATAGCTTAATTCCATGATGGTATAGTAGTTTTTTAATTCCCACATATTGCCAATTAATGCCTTGGAAACCAGTCAAACGATAAGGGTGGTGCGTGCATACACAACGATCGCGGTTCGGATTGCCTGGTTGCGCGCGCGCGATGCTGCAGCAGGCGCATTGCAGCTGAATCAGTCAAACATTGATTGCAAGCTGCGGTAAACAAGTAATTCGAAACAGTCCCCCCTCCCCAAAAAAAAACTGTTTTGCGTGTTTCAAATTGGTCGGAGGATGTCGGCACATAATTTTTTAAAATTATATTGCTAGAAACACGTGTGGCAAAACAAACGGTTTTTTCGGAGAATTTTCACAACAATCTAGCGCGGTGCCTGTCGATCGCGCATGTGCAATTTTTTTGATAACCCTTTTTAGCAACTGCCTTCATGCAGCGTGCGATATTCAAATATAAATCCTTTTAATGTGTGTGAGTGTACATTTTTAAGGGGGAAATACATTCTCACGCCTGGGCAAGAAAGGACGCGGAAGAAGCCCTTTTTTTTAGAAATGACCAATTCCATTTGGCCTCGATTTTTTTAGACTGTGTGATTAGCCATGTTGCCATCCCCGTGAGTCGCACGCAAAATTACATTGGCGTTTATACGTGAGATTAATAGGGTGAATAGATAAGCGCAGCCCTTAGTTCCTTCCAGCTTAATTTTTACAAATAAAGCTTAAAAATATGGTGATGACTTGGCCATTTTTTCCACTGAGAAACGAGATATAATGATCCAGAAATGTTTTGCACAAACATTTGACAAAGGCAAAACCAACGGATCTGCATTACGTCGTCTTTGGATAGATCGACGCACCTTTAAAGATGATCGGCACACGTACCACGACAATACCTTCGATGCTCCGCAGATAACCTGTTAATATAATTGCAGAGAAAAGCTGACCTGTGCGCTAACTGCCAAATAACGATATATCGAATAAAGTGAATGCAAGCAAATCACATGCTTTCCTTTTGCAGCCTGGCTAAATGGCAAGCAAAAAATTGGGGGGAAAACATAAAATCTTTGACATTAAACAACTCAAATCTTCACACTGTGGGCAGTGAAAATGGTGTAACAGGCTATCGTCTATTTGGTCAATGTTTATGCTGTATAAATCACTGTGCACTTGTCATTCAGCCACCGCATTGCAGCAAAAACAACGTGGCTCTATGGGGCGATTGAGAAATAGGTTTAAAAAATTACATTTTCTCCATTTCCAAAATATATCGCTATAATGGCAGTGGATGACATTTGTGACGGTCAATTCTACCTCGTCAGTAAGACGCTGGACAAGCCGCCGTTGCATTCAATATAGAATGTGCATCCTTGTATAAATTAAAAATGCGTCCTAATAACCCGTAAAGAACTTGCGGCTAAACAGGCATTCTACAAGTATGAGCGTCATATGTAGCGCCAAAACAATTAATTTGGCATTTTTTTGCCTCATGCCAACGATCGCAGTTAACAACGGCAGACACTTAAACTGTAATGCGGCCACTTGTATGTGTCAATGTATATGGTGGTTGTTACCACATGCTTTGCCATAAATAAACATTTTTAGTAATAGAAATGGCGCTGACAATGTGCGCAATGCGCTTCATGTTCAATCTCATGCCAAAATACTTGTTAATATAATTCAAATTAACACATTTTCATTTGCATTAATTGTAAGAATGACCACAAACAATATTCTCAAATGAAACAAAACAAAATAAAAAATATTTTCTGCATTCGGAAGCAATTCAAGTTATGAAATATCAATAAGCAAACCCTGCCCTTCCCCAAACAAGTGAGTCGCAAGAATCGGTTTTCTTGTTAAAGATTAGCTGCCGATAAAAATAAGAGTGCATTTTTATTAAAAATTTTAAACCCAACTTTATAAAGGCCGTCGATCATTTATCTACAAGCAAAAATGCAAGTAAAAACCTGTGTATCGGAGGGAGGTTGTGCACACAATCCCCCCACATTCACTGTCAAACTCATTCACCATTCCTTGCCTATGCATGGATTTTATCATTTCTTGGTTTTTTTCCACTTAAAATTCCAAAAAGGGGGATGCGGATATGGCAGCAAGGCGCACTTTTCAGAGTGCATTCGTAAATACAAGGTGTTTATGCGTGGAGCAAGTAAAAGAAGCTCCCCTCAAATGCCTGAATGGTGGGTTTTTACAAATGGGGAACAGTAGAAAAGTAGTGAGATTTTTTGTGCACAAGAAAGTGTGAATTTCTGATGGCACGATATGCATGCCGTTAAAGCGGGGAGACTAGCTGGAGAGGGATTTTCTATAAATGTCAGTCTATTTTTTTGTCAACAGCACTTTAACTTGATCCGTTTCCCTGGTCTTCTCCTCCCTCTACAATTTTTGTCGTGTCCTCACCTTACTTTCCCAAGTAATAATCCGGTATAAGATTTTTAAAAATAAAAATATTAGACGCAACATTTATATACTTGTGAAAACCTCGCTGCTGTTTTTTAAATACGCACTGCATTATATTTCTCTACCTTCGGCTTATTTTGTTTGAAGCTTGGTCCAAAAAATTACATTTTCCCCAGCCAAATCCTTGGGCGTAAGTCCTGATTACAAAGCACCGAGACTTTAAACGTTTTTTATTGTTCACTTTTTGGTACGTATTCTATATATTATTAATGAAGCAAGCGTAATCCGCCTCATTTCCTAGCATTATTGTCCGAAAGGGAGTTCTCCCTTAAAGGTAAATGCTGTTAAATTTGCGCACTTGACTATTCAGGCAGGCGGGGTTTTGCGTCCAAACCAAAGTAAAAGCATTTGTGACTAGATGTGACAATTTTTTCAAATGCAACGCCTTGTTCCTGTCATTTTCCTTGTTTACTTTTTATATTATTCTTATTAGTTATGCACTTGCAGCTACTCACTAACTCATTTGTGACTACTTATTCTCCGTTCCGCGTTCAGAATTTTTCCCTGATATTTCAACTTTTAGATTTTTTATTGCAAGTACCAAGTGCCTGAACTATTGACGCCACCAGTATATTAGATTGCGAGTTTAATACACGCTTTCGCCGCAAATAAGACAAATCGTGCTACGTCACAAAATGCCGGGGCCGCATCAGGCAAAGTCGCCAAAAAGAGAGACAACGCTGCTCGAGGAACACATTATCGCAACTGATGCTCAAGGCATCAAAAACAAAGATGGCGTGGTCAATGGCAGCGGATTGAAACACAGGACTTGCACACCAGCTAGCGACATCAAAGAAATTGGCCTCAAGCAACGCCTGCAAATTAAAATCTACAGCCAGGAGCAACAAACATACATCCAACACCCCACAGCCGCTCCTGTCTCTGTTGCAGCCGCCACTGTACACGCGCATAGTGTCAAGGAGTGCCATCAGCACCACAGACAGCCACCTTACCACCATTATTCCCATTCAAGTGCACCCCACACCACCGGCCTGCCTGAGACCTCATTGCTAGATTTCCGCAAACACAAACACGGTCGCTACTTTTATTTCCAGCCCCCTTCTGCTGCTGCCTCCACAGCTGAGTCTTTTACCTCATCAGCTTCCGTTATTTCTGTCTCTGAGAACAGCCAGGTGTATTGCCACAATATGCCACAACACCCTTCAGAGTCAGCCCCAGCCTTAAATGCCGCTCCCATGCCCGCCTTTACTGATAACAAGATGTTGTATTTCAGCCAGCCCTCTGTGCAGTCCCAGCAGCAGATAAGCACATTGTCCAGCGCCAGCAACGGAAATTCAAACACTGCCCCGCAAACCAACTTTGCTTATAATAACTCCAAGTTTAATTACAACCCTCCGACTCGCGCCGACATTCAATCCCTACACTCCACTAAGCACTCAGCACCAATGCATTACCAGCAGCATCAGCAATCATTGCCCCCAGGGCCAACACCCATGCCCCAGTATCAAAACGGATATTACCAACATCCACCAGCACCACGCGCAGGTCAAGCCTACCACAGTCCAGCAGCGGCAGCAGCTCATAACAGCAGAGAGCCCGGGATGCCGCTGTACATGCGGCCCGGAAGGCTATCATTGTCGACATCCACCTCGCCCACAGCGCCCAAGGGTTCCGGATTTATGCAAATACCTGGCCGCCCGCTGACTGCTGAGGAAAAGGAGATAAAACGTAAGGTGTCTCACTCGGCCATCGAGAAACGGCGTCGTGAGCGTACAAATTCCGTGCTGAGTGAGCTACAAAACATTGTCCCAGGCCTGTCCAAGCCTGGAAAAATCCAAAAGCTCGAGATTCTTGAGGCTGCCGCCAAGTACATTCGCCAACTTACCGCCAGCGCTGGGGTGCGGAAACAGACAAGTTCAAAACAGCATCATGGATTGAATAAGCACACGCTGCAGATGCAGTGCCACGACCAGGGTTTTCAGGAGGGTTCGCAAGACTGCCACCACGATTACCAGCCGCGGGTTAACCAACATCAGCCAAAAACTTTTGACAAGTTTAGCCCATTCCACTCGCACAGCAGGATTCTAGGGCACGCTGTTTCTGATGAGCCATTAGACCAGCAGCACATAGCTATAGCCACGCCAACATCTGTATATTACAATATGTCGGCAGATGAGTCAACAGATGAGGCCACATCCAATGCTCAGTCTAGGCCGCTTGCTGCCTCATCATCGTCGACATCATCAGCATCGTCAACATTGCCTGCTGACCCGTCTTCAATGAAGGTCAACTTTCTTTTATGCTGAATTCCAAAATATGAACAAGCCCAGCAAATATTGTATTTCTTCCATCCACAATTCCTTTATCGAATGTCGCTACTACACCAACAAATTTTGCTTGCATTGCACATGAAAGCGACACGCAATTGAGCAATGTTTGGAAGGAATGGCGGCGACAATTTCCAATTTATCTACATTTGTCGGTTGGAATCGGATCCATACATATTTTCACGCGCTGGTATTCAGCGTTGGCCATTTGCACACTTGGAGATATTTGATTCTCAAAACGGCATGTGTCATCCCGAGTGATCAGCCGCTAGCTCAGTGAAGGAAGATAGCAATTTTGCTGTTTTTTGTATTTCATTCTTATCGATAAGCTGGGAAAAATACGCAAATATCTGTGCGTGCACACTCACGGGTCTTTGCAGCCGACAAATAAATAAAACGTGGTCTTCATGCGACAAACTCAAAACGATTTTCGCAATGCCTACTACGTGCACTATAATAAATTACAAGGCAGCTGACGAGGAAGTCTGATGCCAGCAACAGAAGCTCACAGTCGCGCACAGACCAGTCACAGCGGGTGCCTTCCGCTTTGGTCTTTTCTCTACGCCAAGATCTATTCAAAACTAATCCAGCAAATCAGCAGCAGGATTAATCAGACTGATCGCATCAACGACACAGCCGATGACACCCGATGTTTTGCGTTTGTGCGATTTCCAAATATCCGGGTTTTTTTAACTGCTCGCGCGCACATTCATGCCTAGATTTTCCTTTCTTAGGCGCCAAAAGTGGTGACATTAGTTGAAATTTGTGCCAAAAATTGGCCTTCTCATTTTTTTGTTGTCCCAGCGCGTTCCTTGATATTGAGTGAAGTGCCTTTTTGATCTGATCCCCCGCTTTTAAGGCTGAAAGCTGAAATCCTGTGAGGTGGCGGTTTTTTCTCTTGTTTAAATTTCCGCCTGTCAGGCACCCACTTTGGTGCACAGAGTGTCGCTTTAATTATCCTTGTCGGTATTTATCCTGCCAACGACAGCAATGTAACGGATGCCAAATCGGCTGCTTGTGGCTAGCCACGCGCAACGCAACAACAGTTACAGCAAGAAAAAATATTTTAAGCAAACCCGAGCAAACGGCGCTGCAAATTATCATTTTATTTTATGAAAAAATGAATGTGTGCTTCCAGGTACTATTTTTTGAGCCAGGTTCCGAGCTTGCATCCCCAAAGCATCAATTTTTCTTTTCTTTTTCTCTTTTTTCTTTTTTCTTTTACACACTGATTGCCTAATTTCAATTGAATACATTTTTATTTTTGCAATGTCTGCCATGCTCAAGACCTTTTTCAGACAGCCCCTTGCGGCCCGCCTGGCCACCTGCACCCCGCGTGCCGTCCGCCACAACTCCAGCGCTGCTGGCGAGTCCGTAAGTATAAAGCGAGGGATCCTACTTGACCAAACTTTTTGTTACTTTGCTTTCTTATTTGTGCATGTGTCGCGCACTGAGCTTTCCAAGTGTGCGATCCCCCTGACAAGCACACGCTTTAGACAGGCGCGCACACTGCACGCTACGCGGCGACAAATTGACAAAGTCTTGTTTTTTGTTACTATTTGCTAATCAAGCGCATTCTGGTCATTTGAATTGGCATTCCTATAGATTACTGTTCGCGAGGCTCTGAACCAGGCCATTGACGAGGAGATGGAGAGCGACGAGTCTGTCTGGCTTCTCGGTGAGGAGGTTGCTCAGTACAACGGTGCTTACAAGGTACGTTTTCTGGGAGTGTGGATTTACCGAATTCGAATTGCATACAAGCAGCAGTAACTGAAAAAGGAAGGAAAATAAACTGGGCTGACTAGGACGCTTTTTTATAATGTTGCCAGGAAATCTGGACAATGTCGAGAATTGAATCTCAATAGTGCGCTAACTCAAGGCTTTTCATGCATCGTTACCTTACTGTTGTCATTTTTCTTTTGTTTGTAGGTTTCCAAGGGTCTTTTGGACAAGTACGGCCCCAAGCGTGTTGTTGACACTCCTATTACCGAGATGGGTTTTGCTGGTATCGCTATCGGCGCCGCCTTCCACGGCACTAAGCCCATCTGCGAGTTCATGACCTTCAACTTTGCCATGCAGGTAAGAATAAGCAATACAACACACACTACGCCAGCATCATTGGTAGCAGGCTGACTTGATCCGTCTGCAACATACGTGTGTATAATCTGAGTACATGTGCATGTTTATTTTATTACCGTCTAAATATCTGTGCAACCTTTTGATTTTAAAGTATAGGCCATCGATCAAATCATCAACTCTGGCGCCAAGACGCACTACATGTCGGGTGGATTCGCCAAATGCCCCATCGTTTTCCGTGGTCCTAACGGCGCCGCCGCCGGTGTTGCCGCTCAGCACTCGCAGGATTACGCCTCGTGGTACGGACAGATCCCCGGTCTAAAGGTTGTCAGCCCCTATGATGCTGAGGATGCCAAGGGCCTGATGAAGGCGGCCATCCGCGACCCCAACCCCGTTGTTGTTCTGGAGAACGAGCTCATGTACGGTGTCAGCTTCCCATCGAGCCCCGAAATAGCCAGCAAAGACTTTGTTGTCCCCTTCGGCAAGGCCAAGATCGCCCGCGAGGGCACTGACATCACCATCGCCACCTACTCGCGCCCCGTTGGCTTTGCCCTCGAGGCAGCCGAGCTCCTGGCCAAGGAGGGTATCAGCGTCGAGGTCATTAACCTTCGCTCGATCCGCCCCCTGGATCTCGCCGCCATCATCAAGTCGGTCAAGAAGACCAACCACCTGATGACTGTTGAGCAGGGCTTCCCTCAGTTCGGTGTTGGTTCCGAGATCTCGGCGCAGATCATGGAGTCTGAGGCCTTTGACCATCTGGATGCCCCCGTCTGCAGAGTCACCGGCGCCGATGTGCCCATGCCATATGCCCACAACCTCGAGAACCTTGCCCTCCCCGATGCCGAGGTCATCTACAAGCAGGTCAAGCGGGTTCTCAACATTGAGTAAGACTGCCGGAAACTAGTGTGCTTTGGATAAACAAACAAACAAAATAGTTTTTCTATGAGCTGATTGAAACCAATCAAATCTTCGATCATAAATAATGCATGGATTGAGGCTGAAATACCACGAAGGCGGCAGCAGCAGAATCAACGGGGCGTGCCCAGTAAACAGATGATGATGCATAATATGCATTCGGCGCCTCACACACAACATGCAAATAAATAAACCCAATGATATAGTTAAAAAACTCTGATAAACTCGTCCCTTGTGTTGCGTCATGGATCTAGATCGATGATAATGATTCCACCGCTTGTTTTGTTTGTCGTGCAAAAAAATTCGAGGGTTTAAACACTTGTGGATAATTTCAAGACACAACAGGGCACATATATAAGGCAGACTCTGACTTGCCAAATGTTTCTCCAGCAGATGTCTTTTTAAAGATTTTTATTCTTCAAATCCTCTACGCAACATCAGTAGCAATATTATACATATACAATATCTTTTAACAAGACATCAAACTCGTAACTTCATTATTTTATTTTATTCTATTCGTCCATGTCGACCCCCAATCTTAGTAGAGGAGCTGCAAGGCGTGCGTCCATCTCGACTGACATCAGCCCCGGCGATACTTTTGTTCCACTGAGTGAGGAATTCAAACCCGACTCCACTCGCGCTCGCTTTGAGGAGCTCGCCAACACCTACCGCAGCACCCACGACTCGCGCGGCCGTGCTCTCAGCATGTTTGACAGCTCTGTGCAGAAGAGGGAGTCACTCCTGCAGCTCCTCTCGATGATCAAGAATGGCGACCTACCGCCGACCGCGCAGATGGTCCACCTCATCAACACCATCAACTTTGACAAAATGAGAGAGTACGCCACCACCTACCAGGGCAAGAAGGTCATTGACAACCTGGAGAGCTCAACCAAAAGCGGCATCAGAGCGTTTGAGGATGTCAACGGCAATGAGAACGCGCAGCATATTGTCAAGAGCCTCGACAATGCGCGCAAGAAGAGTGCCGAGGACCGCCAGCAGCTGAAAAACAAGGTCAAAAAGAGCGCTGAGGAGTCCAAGGACATGGCCAACAGTGCAGGCAAGGATTTTTTGGTTTTGGCCAGCGGTATCAGCACCTCATCAGCCTTCCGTAAGGCCATCTCTGACCTGACAAGCCTGGTCAGGGCCACGATCCAGGACAAGGAGCCCACTGAGCAGGAGTCTGAGCCGCTGATTGACCGCGTGCGCAACCTGATTGTTGAGGTACGCCACAACAATGATGTTCTCAAGTCACTGCGCTCGCTCAACTCTCTGTACACCAGTGTGTACAGCAAGGGCGCCAGGGCCGTGAATACCGCGCAAGAAAAGGCAAATTCGCACCCTGCAGTCGAAGACCTGCATTCCGCACGCACCCACACCGAGGACCTGTTTAAGCGCCTGGGAAACGGCTACGATCTTAGCCCAATGCTCGGTGCCCTGGGCGCCCTGGCTGTGCTGTACCGCGACAACGAAAACGTTGAGCAGCTGGTTGCTGACACCAAGGCGTTCGGCGACTGGGCCATCAACGTTGACGAGGAAAAGCTGACCTCAGAGGAGTTTGAGAGCCGCGGCCAGAATCTGCTGGACAAGGGCCGCCATGTGCTGACGCAGAGGGACCGTGAGAACGTTGACGTTGTGACGACCGAGGCGGACCACTACATGCAAGCGGTGCAGAGCAACCCTGTGCTTGTTGACTACAAGGACTCTGTTGTTGGCCTGATGCACGCAATCGCTGGCAACAACCTGAACAGCGAGGAGCGCCGTGAGCACTACCGCGCCCTGCGCCAGGACCTAATGGCCAACCTGCCCATCTTGATGCAGACAATTCGCTACGTGCCCCTGCCGCGCGTGGCCGGCATGAACGACGAAATGGAGTTTGCCGCTGACAATATTGTCCTCGACCTGCAGCACTTTGTGCCCGAGCACATGAGCTTTGACATGCACAGTGAGATATACCCTCGCGCCGGGATGCTCAAGGACACGCGGGCCATGCACTCGCACAAGGGTTTCAAGGCCGAGCAGTTCTTCTACCTGACCATCACTGGAGTGAACTGCGTGGCCAAGCGCGTTGCGTTCTACGCCAAGAAGAAGAAGGGCTTGCCTAGAGTAGCCGAGAAGGGCATCGCCGATTTGGTCATAGGCGGCCGTGGTATGGACATTGTTATCCGGGTGCGCAAGCTGCACAACAGCGAAAAGCCCCGCGTGCCGCTCGAAAAGACCTCGGCCACCAGCGGCAGCAGCACTCGCGCCATGAAGGATGGTATTACAGCCGAAGCTGCCGCCGACAAGGGTACGCGTGCAGCACGCGAGCTGGATATTGTCGATGTCAAGGTCAAGTTGCACGACCTTGACTTCCGCGTGCGCGAGAACAAGCACAACATTAGCAGTACCCTGGGTATCCTGCTGATAAAGCCTATTGCCAAGAAGCTGATTGCAAAAAACATTGCCAAGTCACTGACCGAGTACCTAGTCGTGGGCGACAAGCTAATGGCCAAGCATGGCGATGCGGCACAGGCCATGGTTATGAACCAGAGCAAGAGGGCATTCACCTCGGCCAAGGGCGCGGCCAGCAAGGGCGTCCAGGCGAGCAAGACAAAGATTGAGAATATGCGCAGTAAGGGCGACAAGACCAAGGGAAAGGTGCAGGAGTCGGCACCGGCTGCTATCGACAAGACAGCAGCCAAGAAGGCCGTGAAGAAGGATATCGCCAACAAGCAGACCGCCGTGCCGGTTGCGTCGGCCAACGATTACACTGCGACCGCCGACGAGATCGCCGCCAAGCGCGAGCAACTCGATAATCTGAGACGCGACTCAATGATCGAGAATATGGTCGATAATATGGTCGAGGAACAAATTTAATGATTTTTCAACTTTGGCTCTTGTTTTTGGTATCCCACTGTGGCTGGCATTATCGCCGTCGCTATTTTTCTCGTAGTTTTTTCTTCGCTCCAAGTTTATTTTTCGTTTCCATCTTCTTTTTCGTTTGAGAGAGGAAGAAAATTTTGAAATACGAAGAGAAAAATAATAAAGTTAAAAATTTTGTTGAAGAACTGGCGTCTCCTCAACTCGCTTCCATTCTCGCCGATGCTTTTTTGATTGATGACGATGACGATGAAGTTGGCGGCGATAATGGATATGTATGCCTTTTATTCTTAATGCGCTGCAACGCTTTTCGGGGATTAAAATACCTTGAAATAGTAATTGCGACACAATTCCCACAATGCCGGACAGCGCCTTCGGACTGCATGTGCATTTTGCATTTTGAATTTGCACTAAAATATCTTTTCTGTCACCAATTCAATTAAATTCAATAGAATATATTCATTTGTACTTTCACATTTTTGTCCTTTTGAATGCAATGCTTGTTGACACATTGCCACTTTTGCTAGTATCGGGCATTCTCTTTCTCCTGTCGCCCGCAATTCAAGCTCTCGGAATGACGAAAAGACGACGACTTGAACTCAGGAACCAAACGAAGGAGTCATTTTATCACGCATACAATGGCTATATGAAGCACGCCTTTCCATTTGATGAGCTTAACCCGATCACTTGCACGGGGCGGGGGCGTGACAGAATGGTTCCTAAAAACATCAACATCAACGACGTGCTGGGCGATTACCTTCTGACCCTGGTCGACACACTGGACATGCTCGCGGTTCTAGGAGACAAGGAGGAGTTTGCAAATGCGGTTGCCAAAACTATTCAATTTCTGCCGGACTTTGATATTGACAGCCATGTCCAGGTGTTTGAAGTCACCATCAGAATGCTCGGCGGCCTGCTCAGCGCACACATTATTGCAACCGACGAGAAGGACACATTGGGCATGCGCTTGGATAACGACAAGGGCGGAAACGGCACCGCGTACAATGGCGAGCTGCTGCGGCTTGCTAGAGACCTGGGCTATCGCCTGTTGCCAGCATTTGAGGCGTCGCCGACTGGGATTCCATACCCGAGGACCAACCTGAAGCATGGGTTTCCCAAGGGCGAGACCTCCAACACGTGTGCCGCTGGCGTGGGCACGTTGCTCCTTGAATTTGGCACGCTCAGCCGGCTGACCAACGAGACCATATTCGAGGATCTGGCCCGTCATGCACTGAACGAGCTGTGGGTCGAGCGGTCAAAGAAAAACTTGTTTGGCAATACATACGATCTTGAGAAGCAAAAGTGGGAGTCAACAGTCGCCGGCGTCAGCGCAGGTATAGATTCTCTGTACGAGTACATGCTCAAGAGCTACGTATATTTTGGCGACCAGCAGTACCTGCAAGCATTTGAGGTCTCGTACAGCGCGCTGTTGCAGCATGCTCGAGACACGATGGGCGGCTATGCGTTTTTCAACGTTGACATGCACTCAGCCGAGGTTACCAGCACGTGGATTGACTCGCTGTCGGCATACTTCCCGGGACTCATGGTACTTGCCGGCGACGTTGACAGTGCAGAGTCGGCCTACATGCTGTATTACCATTTGTGGCGGCGGTTCCGTGCTATGCCCGAGCGATTCAACTTGTTTTTGCGCGAGCCAGACATTGCATTCTATCCGCTGAGACCAGAGTTCATAGAAAGCACGTACTTTTTGTACCGGGCGACCCACGACCCCTTTTACTTGGACATCGGCGAAATGGTGCTTGCAGACATAAACGCGCTGTTTCGCACTTCTTGTGGCTACGCGTCGATGCAAAGCGTGTTTACCCGCCAGCTTGAGGAGCGCATGGAAAGTTTTTTTCTCAGCGAGACGCTAAAATACCTATTTTTGCTGTTCGACGAGGAAAACCCACTTCACAAACACCACAGTAACTTTGTCTTTACAACCGAGGGCCATGTTCTTCTTCCTCTCTCGCCCGTGGGCAGAAACTCATTGGCTCAATACCCGTCAGAGTCCACATTCAGTAGGCGAAGCCTACTTCATTCAGAGCGCCCACCACGAAAAATGGAACCGTCGATCTACCGCACGACAAATATCCGGCAAAAACTGCAATCCGTTCACCCTGACGACATGTTTGCGCTGCCAAAATTCACAGCATCGGATTTGTTGGCTGATGATTCCGATGCCGATAATTTTGATTCAGCAGCCCACACACGCATGAGCCGGCAGTGCTTGGTTCCGCGGGCCCTGAACATAGTGAAGACAGGGTCGGCCAAAATAACAAGCGGCGCCGAACCCGTCTCCGCACAGTTTGCTGTTGAATGGAGCCAGCCACATCTGCAGAGCCCCTTGGCGCAGCTGTACGCCATGCAAGAGCTATCCCGCGCGATAAACGGAATTACCGGTCGTAGTCCGGCTGATATTGAGGAGAGAGAGTATCTATCCGCGCTTCTTGTTAACCGGGGCGCTTGTACAATGCCCCTGCGCGCGGACTTTTATAACATCGACACGCTGGTCAGCGGCGGTCACAACTCTGAGTATGCGATAAACGGGACGGCGGTGCTTGATTTGTCGCTGGAAATGGCCATGGAGTACGGCGGCATGTGCAGTTTGTCAGCAAATCTGTACCTTTCAGAGCGTCATAACGGGTGGATGGCCATGGCTTTGGACCAGGCTGGTCACTTTGCGGATGCCCAGGGGTTGCGCAATCCGCCGGTTTTTGCGGAGACGTGGCTGACTCCCAATACACGGCAGATTTCATTTATGGAGTTTGTGCTTTCTCGTGCAGTCAACGGGGAAGTCACATCGCATATTATCCCACCGCAACCAAGAGCCCGCCACGGAGTGCCTCTGCTGAAGGACCTGTGGGACAGCGAAGAGACCAATGCTCGTTCTCAGCATATGGCAACCGAGTTTCACAAAGACATTGACCCGATTGCAACAGCATCGCTGCTGCCAAACAAATACAAGGATACCGTGCAGCCAAAACGCCGCGGCTACAGTTTAGCAGACCAGCTAAGCGGCGGGAAAAACGGCGCGTTGTCTCCAAACCAGCAGCTGGTTATTACGAATGGAGCCGGCCAGGTAATGACCGATTACGTTGTTGTTCGGGTCAGCACGGATGTCTCATTGCGTGACTTTGTGCGCACCGTCCCCGTTCACAATGACACCAGCCATGCTACCAAGCGCACGTGGGCACAATTATTTAGCCGCACTGATAGCCCGGCGCCTGTAAGCATCCCGGAAGACATTGCTACTAAGATCAGCGCGAAGGCAAAGGCAAATGCCGATATAAAAGAGCAGAATGCTAAAAGCAAGTACCGCCCCAATTCGGACCACCCCCATCGTAGACGCGAGTATTCGGGGCGGTTGGCAGAGTTTGCCGAGATATCGTTGTACAGCAGATACTCGCTGCCTCTTGTGCCACGCCCGACGACATTGGTCATGCCCCATCTATTCAGTTCCTCGGCGGTGTATGGCTGTGAAGAGTATACGCCGTGGGAGAAAAAGCTTGTTCGGGGGAAAATAGTTGCTGTGCACGCTGGCGGCGGCTGCACAGTGTGGATGAAGGCCATTCAGGCAATGCGCGCAAGTGCCAAAGCATTGCTGGTGAACGCGGGGGATGCAGATGACGGCCACAGCCATTGTGCAACTTTGGGCCAATGTGTGCGCAGGAGGCCAGTGTTGGTGCAAAGTTTGCGTGATGAAGAGCAAATGTGCTTATGCAAACATGTAGATTCTAGCTGTGTCTCTTCCTCCTCGCAAAGGCGCAAATCAGATATCAAGAAGCAACATTCAGTGACAATGCCGGTTGTGATGGTCGACCAGGGCGTTGTCGAGAAGCTTCAGGCGTATTTGATTGCCGGCCTTCATGTTCGCATAGAGTTACTTTAATAATAAATTTATACAATATTGCGGCCAGAATTTGGAGAGGGGTTTTTTGAATTAATCAAGCGGACGGTGGCTTTGAGGTTTGCTAGTATAAAATTGAAAGATAAATCTAGGTCAACTTTTTTAATTGATTCTCCTGTATTAAAAAATATTTTTGCAACATATCACTGCAAGCGTATAATACAAATAAACGTATTATTATATTGTCGTCCAATCATTTTAATGTATAAAACAATGTTGTCTCGGGCTTTTTTCTTTTTTTGGCAAATACTTCAAATTCTGTTCAATGGCATAAATACAAGGAGTAATGACAACATTTAACAAGTCTAAGCTCTAGTTTTTAATTGCTGCAATGTGGTATTTGATTTTTTTCAGCTGCGCATGTTTAATTTTCAATTATTCAATTTTTATTTGAATTTTTAGAAACGAAAAAGAGAAAAAAGAAAAAAAGAAAGAATAGATAAAAGTGCGTGCCTGCGTCGATTCAGCGCCTGACCAGCTCGCTCGCAGTGGCAGCACCGAGTGTAGCAGTGCAGTAGATGCACATCTGGTGGCCACCAGCCGTGGCCACGCGGTAGTTGGCCACTGCCTTCCTCAGGCACAGAAGCTCGCTGTGGATTTCATCGAGATCCAGAAAGTGCTTCTTGGCGCCGCGCTGCAGCTCCTGCACCTGATCTTGAAGCAGCTCGTTTGTCTGCTTGGTAGCGTCCAACTGCCCGTTGACGTCGGCCAGCTGGTGCTGCTGGTCAATTCCGCTCTTGGCTGCAAGCTGGCTGGCAGTGCGGCTCGTATCTGCGAGCTTTATGTGGAGCTCAAGTGCCTCAGCAAAAGCGGTCATTGACTCGGTATGCGCGGCATCGGCGGCGCTCAGAGCAGCCTCCAGATTTGCCACCGCGACGCCCATGCTGGCGCAAGCGGACTCAGTTGCAACTCGGCCGGCCTCCTCCTGGGCGCGGAAAGCCTCCAGCTCCTTGAGCCTTGCCTAGGTATCGCGGCAGATGCCAGCGGTCTCGCGGCAAGAAGCATCTAGCTGCGCGTGAGGCGCGTCAACATCAGCGCGGAGAGCTGAGTTTACAGCATCCGTCTCTGCATGGTTGCTTTCGGCCACAAAGCAGGCCGCGTATTGACTCACATATTCCATTCTCAGCTCGGAAAGTGCGCCCTCAGCCTCATCCAGGGTGGCCTCAGCCACATAGCGGGCGGCGCGCTCTTCCGCAAGGGCGCGCTGGAGCTCGTAGATTGTGCGAGAGGATTTGTTGTTGTTGTTGTCGTTGTCGGCCTTGGACTTGAACTTAAACGCGGCGCGGCAGGCCCGGCGAAGCACATTGGTTGTGCATGACACAGTCGATGTGGTGGTTGATGCGATGGTCAATGCAGCGGTTGAGGTAGTCGACGCGACAGGTGTTGCTGTGGCAGGAGTAGTAGCGGCCTGCCGCAGGGCTGAGCACATCTTGCGCGCGATGGTCTTCATACGGAAATGCATGGTTAGCAAGATGAATAATAAAAGAATAATAAAAGAGGAATGATAAGAATAAAGATAAAAATAATATAAAAAGGCAAAGTACTAAGGTGGTATTGGTGGTGTTGGTGGTGCTGGTGTTGGTGGAGAAAAGTATGCGTGGTGGTGTTGAGGAAAAGTTAACTAGTGGTGTTAGAGGAAAAAAATAAAGACGCTGGAAGGGGCGGGAAATAGGCGTTATTTAAATATCTGCTCGTCTTTTGTTTTACGCTGGTTGAGCTGTGCAAAAATATATGCGTTCTCTTGCTCTTCACAAAAACGGACCATATGTTATCGGATCATCCATTTGGTTTCGGCTGGAGCAGGGTGGAAGCTTCAAGAGGGCTTTTTCGTTACGTTTGTTTCCCTTTTTCGTGAAGGCAGGTTTCCCCCCCCACGAGTTAACGTGTGAGGATCGGCAATATCCGAAAATCAAGGCTTTGAAATTGTCAGGATTTAACATCCATCACAATATTTCAATATATGCACATATTGATCTGCAGTCACTTTTGCGATATTTTTCAAACCATAGTTGCTGGAGGGCAAGACCACGTGTGCTCAATATCAGTCTGAATAGGTTTTGCAGCCAAAATAATCGTGGCTATCTGTAAAAATAATTTTTTTGTCAGGCTCACGTTTAGGCTATGCAGGAAAAAAAACAAAGTAGCAGCAGCATGTTTTTCTTCGTCTTGGCAGCGGTAACGGTGCGAGTAAGGCGTGGAGAATAGAGTCATATTTTTACGTGTCGGCTAATAAAGAAATTTGCTATTTTTTTCCCAAGGTAAAGGCCGGGATTGCTCTGAGCCATTGTTGCGTTTTCTTTCCTTTTCACTGTGGTTCTACAGCAATCATGGTAGCAAAAGGTTCATTTGCGCATCAAGATCCATGCACATAAAAAACCAAAACAGATAATGGATAAAAAAGAATATTTCATCCGAAACATCGAGAAAATTGTGGCCGTTTCCGTCACCACAATTATCACGGATGGAGCGCGGAAGGGCATTGATATCCGTATTTAGTTGAACAATTGTTGACGACATCCTGTAAAACCAAGGGGGGGTCGAATTGAAAACTTATTTTTTGTTTGCCATTGACAATGCTTGCACCGAGTGAGAAAAAACGAGTAAGAGGGTAAAAAAGAGTGCGTGATTAAAAATAGAATGATGGGAAAACATGGATGCGTATTGCATTAGGTCCCTTTTTGTCATATGGAACCAAGAAAGAGCGCAAGGTCCAAAGCTGGAGGCAGTTGCTACGGGCCAGTATTTTTCGGTTTGCACAGGGGACGACTTTTGTGTATTAAAAAAAGACATGGAGCAAAAAAGCCACAGAGCCATTTCACAAGATGGCCAAATTCAAACCATTTGGCACGCACCAGATCAACCAATCGTCGTCAGAAAAACCAAACATTGCTTGTTTGGCTGTATTTTCTTACTATCCGCCCTGGGACTTGAATAACAAATTGGCCCAGGTGGAATAGCATCGGCAAAAACGTTTAATATCAGTTTGTTTTGTTATGCTTGATCTACAACCACCATGTTCTGAAGATATGGGCCTTGCCATTGTGAGCACATGCATTGAGCAATGAGAGAGTCTTTTTATTATATTTTCAACGTTCTTTTGCTTATTCATCAAAATTAATTGTTTTGAGTGTTTGCAGATACCGGACCAGAAAAAGTAAAATAGTTAATGATACGCTTTCGTAGATATCAAGAGTACATTGCATATTAATTCTCACTTGCATATATTTTGGAAGCCAATATGCTCAGCGGCTATATTCAGAATAGTACTATGTATTTCCACTTTTGGGAGGAAGATTATATATTTGTAAAAAATAATTGAATTTGAATTTAAAGATAAAATAAACAATTAACTAAAAAGATACCGAATGTGTTTTTGCTCTCTCGGCTGGAGCAAGCAATTCGTTCACACTATCCTTTATTTCAATGGCCCCGAGTCTCTGGCGGCTGCTTCGGACAGGACCAGCCTGGCTTGAAGCTGCAGAGTCTATGAAAGACTGGCGCTCCGTTGTGCGTAAAGAACTTGAGACTTGTGGCATACCGCCCGTCCAGGAATATGACTTAATGGTTGGAATTGCCACTGTAGCTACAGACTAACGCTTGCGAGAAGGTGTGCTTGGAGTAATTGGGTATGCAGAAAGGGCTTTTGACAATACAGATGATGCTGTACGGTAGCAGCGGCAACGGTTGGCAGGTTTTTGCTCGGGCTCCACGCTGGCTATTTTACTGTGCTGCCGTTTGGTACTGGGCTTGCTAACCGTGGCAAGATTGCCCGAGTTTTTAGTGCTGGTATTTTCTGCAATAATGCTGTTGGTCGCAGTGGTTACAACACGGCGCATGCAAGAGAAGGAGTATTTGGGTACAGAAGTGGATAACAATTCGGCTATGGTGGGAATATACGGCTTGGCTCTATGTTTTTCCGAGCGGATAGCAGATGATTGCTTGGTTTTTATGTACACAGGCGGAACCGAAGCCTTGTATGACACGCGAGAAACTGCAGAGCTGGCAGACCTGCTGCAAATAAAAAGACTTATGGTGGAAGGTATTGTGTAGTTTAAAAGCAAATACGAGATAAAAATATACAATAAAAAAGAAGAGAGCAAAAGAGAGAGCAAAAGAGCAAAAGGGCTAAAATGTGAATTAGGCGCACGTGCGTTTGTGTGCAAGTGTGTGTTAGAAGGGGCGTGTTAAACGTTTATATTGTTTTGTTAGTTAAAATGTTGGGCGTTGTGTTGTGTGTGTACGTGTGAGTTGAGTAATTTGGGTAAGTATAACTATTTTATTGACTATTAAACATGAAAGGAAAATTGAGGAAGAAAATGTGAAAAGTGTAGCAGCTCCACCAACAAATATTTATTTATTTTCACAGTTGGCCACGAGCATCGAACAGCAGCAGCTATTTTGTCTCAAGATAACCCGCTTTAATATCCCATCCCATCCCATTTAATGTCACAACATTCAGCAATTTTGGATCGGTAAATGCTGCAGTTTGCCTGTTGATATTCAACATAAGCGGAATTCTTTTAATCTTAATTATTCTCCAACCCATCAAATTTAATAACAGAGCCGGATTATCTTATTGGAACTGCCAGCTCGGTATAACCCTGCGCATGCTGCGAAGAAACCCAATTACCATGCTCTACAGATATTTTTTACGCGTTTCATGGTGCATGGACTGAAAATATATTTTTTTATACGGCACCGCTTGCCTAGCCATGATATTTATGCATGATAGGTTGTTAGCCTTGTTTTTTTGCCAAGTGCGCAATGTACATTATAAATGAATATATGGCCGGCACTAGGCCTACGCGTAAAGCAAAAACACGTTGGATTTATTTTTATAAAAAATATTGACAACGTATATTTGTCAGGCAATGACGATGTGTCGGGCCATACTCTGATTATTATGATCACATTGGTATTGTGGACTGAATAATTAAACAATTTTGTCAAGCAGCAAAAAAAAGAAAAAGACTAACCCCATGATTGAAAGCGACGCATACCGCCCTATTGTGCATCAAGAATCCTAAAGATAAATCAAATGGCTGTACTTCTGTATACACTTTACACTTTACACTATCTACATAGCCACATACCATGTAATTTTATCATCTCTTTGTTTTTTGTTGGGAGTAGATATCAAAAGTGAAAATATACAAATATACAAATATATATGGATCGACACTGCATGCCTCTTCAATCACTAAAAAATGGAAATATACCTTTTTTAACTGGTGCTTGACAACAGTTTTATTTAATTGAACTTTAGCTGTAGCATTGGTTGCCCACCGAGAAAACGCAAAGGTCAGTTTATATCTAAGAAAGTTGTGCTGGCACTCGAGCATTGTATTGCTGTGTGCCAATTAAAACCAATATCAACAATGAGTGATGGTAAGTGCACGCGAAAAGCTCACTTCTTTTTTCCATGTTTGCTGTGTATTATGTCTGTAATTGTGGTCGACACATAGACAATTCCACTGGCTGCAAATATACTATCACATCTGCGAGGCTGCACATGGCAAGTATTTAAGTACCGCATGTGTTTCTGTTCTGGTGAGGATGAGCGGTGGTTTTTCCTTTTTCTAACAGCCAGTGTGAATTATTATTAACTGTCTTTATATTTGAAACGGCACTTTTCGTTGGGCGAGGTTATGTTAGGAAACGCAGACACCCCTTTCCCTGGTATATTGGCGCGCAAAAAAGGACCACTCCAAACAATTACAACGAAATAAATTATACTCATTGTTTGTCTGTAGCCGAGCTGCTTCATTCGAATACAAAATTTTAAATGCAATTATAATGAGAGCGGAAAAAGCAATTCATTTTCGTGTGCATCACGCGTTATTCAGTTCTTTATTTTCGCGTGCGCGTTTTTTCGCACTATACGAGAAGAAAAGAAATAATGTAAAAAAGGAAAATGAATAAATATTTTCTGGTCGCCAAAAAGCAGAAATAGGAGGGCTATAAAAAGGGGGCGACCAGTTCCTGGCCATATCTTTCTCTCTGTTCTCTTTTCTTCTCCTCACACAGGTTGCCTCACTTTCCCTTTTATTTGATGATCGTCTCTCACTTCAACAACTGTGTCGTAAGGTAATGCACAAAGAACGTATGAAATGTACCAACCAACTATACAACCTTTGGCACCCCACATCATTGTCCCGGTATTAGACCTCGTGGCATTTGTGCTGTGTTGTCCAGTAGAACTGCTCGTTGTTCAGAAATCCGACGCGCCTGGCCCTTGCTGGGCTTAATAGAAAGTGTGTTATAATCTGCTTCCGGCCCCTGCTGAGTCAATGTGGAAGTGGGTGGTCCTCTGCTTCCGGCAACTTTGTGTTTGATGTGCGCCACTCAGCGCCTACTAGGGCTGCGCATTCGTCTCCTGTTTTGTGTTGTCTCTTTCTTGGCCGCTGTCATTGTTGTTGATCTGCTTCCTTTTATCACATATCAATGGTCCACTTTGGCAGCCCTGAGCAGCTTTGTGTGATGGTTTTCATCCGGAGCCAAGCCCCTTATTTTAAGTGGGGGTGGAAGCGAAGGAAGCACCCGGCCATGCGCGAGCACTCAGCCGGCTGGGGCTGCGAGTGGACCGGAGAGTGTTGCTTTTTGTGGAGATTGACGAAAGCGCCGCAAGTATCACGCGAGGCTGGTGTAGGGCAAGATTCCTGCGTTCTATATGCGGCGTCGTAATTGTTGCCTTGCAAGAGCAAGGCCGTACACAACATGCACAGCTCTATTGAGTTGTGGTTTGGTAAGCTGCTTGGCTAGGCTGAAAGCCTTTAGCTTCCCCTGGCGCCAGAATCAAAGCAGCAATTCAAGGTTGTGGGGGTGCTGGAAGATCTATAATTTTTTGGTTGTACATGTCATGTTAATAGCTGTGGGATTGACTGGAGTCCTTTTGTTGGGCTGGGCCACCCGAGAGCACTAGGGAGCTTGAGGATGCCTTCGGCGGCTGCTATACGATGATACGATATGCCTGCAATAAAATTGCAATAGTTACTTTTTAATAGGTACTCTATATTCCTCCGTCACTGGCCACCGGTGGCGGGGAAATGAATTGGCAATCACTTCTAACATCAACCGTGGAAAGCACACTCAATACTCCTCTTTTGAAACTCGGGTGTGGTTGCCCAAATAATTTTAAAAATGTATTGCTGGCCTTGTTAATTTTGCTCCAACGTTGAAAATGATTTATATAAAAATATAAAATGCAAGGTTTTATTTATGAAACGCAAACATTATAAGTGTGTATTTACGTCTTCTGCCAAGGACAACTAAAATTGATGGTTCTACTTGTCTAGTCACATTGAGAATGTCAATCCCAAAGGTATGGCCGGTACTAGCACCAGCATTATCTATGAAACACCGCCTGGTTAACAGCTGGCGCACAAACTAATTGACTCCTATTTTTTGTAACGGTCGCTCTAAACAAACCAATGTGCTTCAGTAATACCATCACTTTCTATTATTATTGTTTTTGTTGGCCAAAACAAAATATGTGAACTGTGCGTGCTGCGAATATGAACTATGACGAATTTAGATGCCATTTGCTTAAATCACCCATGTACGACAATACAAAATAGCCAGTCTGGCTCGCTTACAAAAGTATTGCCTGAACCGAGTCGTTTTAATGTTGTCTCATGATTGGTATGGAAAAGCAAATAGAAATTTCCGAGAACAGAGCAAAAAGCGTGAGAAAATGCAGATTGAAGGCACAGGAGCCACTAGCGCACCGCTAAAATTCGCGTAGGAATTGTCGATCGAATAAAAAGGAGAACTACACTGTGAGTTTGAAAAATAAATTTTGTGCTAAGAAAATTTTACCAACGTGCCCTCAAAGCGTATAAACACGCGAAGGTAGAACACAAATATTTTTAATTGTTCTTTACGCCTCCGATACATTTTTATTCAATAGAAAATACAATATTTTTTTTTACCTTCTCACAAAAATATGACTGCAGATAATCGAGATGCAAAAGAAAACCGATTGTCGCTGGGTGGCTTGGGTAATTTTACCGAAGAGGCGCTAGAAACGGATGCAGATACGCTGCATATGCGCGGGTCGAGGCAGCGACAGCGCCGCCAACCTGGCGATGAAAACACAGATCGACGCTATTCAAATGATCTTGGGTCGGAGTATAGTTACAACGATAAGCAAAATCAACAGAACAACATGACTACTTTAGAGGCAATCTCAGAGCATGGGCCGCTGGAGCGCGATCTGACCAAATTGGCCGCTGGTCTCCAGAATATTCAACAAACACCTGCTTTGGCAACAACTACGACTAAACCGCAGCGGCCTCTTCAGATTCATCTGGATATTGCTGCGGTTGAGCATAGCATAGAGACTGGTACTCCGAGCAGCGCTGCGCCCGAGCGACATGGCCTACTCTCACATTATCTACAACTCGCAGACATTGATAAACAGCGTGAGCGGCTTGAGAAAAAGCAAAAAAAAAAGTACCCCGCACAGCAGGCTGCAGGAAACGAAAAGGCCATACGAGACACAGAGCCTGACAGCCATGAGACACCCAACAGGGGCCACAGGGTCGCTCAAATTCGCAATCGGTTTATAAGGTCAAAAATCCTGCGTTACCGTAGAAACAACTCCAGTGCCAGAAGCAGGAGCTCAATCGATTTGTCAGGCTCGGAGCAGCCTCGAGCAGAATCAGACCCGCTGGCCTGTCAGCCGCATTCGACCCCCGGAGCTGTTTCTTTTGAGGGCCCGCAGACAAGAAGCGAAGCAATTGCTGGTTTTGTGGGGGCTCATGCATACCCCTCAACAGACGATAATATTACAAGTTCGCCACAGAGACCCAGCACCGTTCTGGCCAGAGCAACAAATTCGAATACGTTCGTAGGCATGGACCTGACCCAGTTTCTGCCCTATGCATTATCGGCGCCCGGACTTCAGTCTATGGTTGGGTCACCATTGGCATCACAGGCGCCCAGCATCAACGATCTCACTGGTTGGTTCAAACAAAGGGAAAGCCTTCTCGACATGTCAGCTGCAACAGCAGCTACAGCGGCCACACCGGCTAGTGAGTTTATGCCAACAGAAGAGGATGCGCTGAACGATAAACACTCGAGGCTTTTGGATGGAATACACCGACTTTTGCTTCACCAGAGGTTCATCTGCCTTTTAGCCCAATCGATGATGCAGTATGGCGCACCGCTCCACCACCTTGAAGATAATCTGTCACGCATGGCCCACCGACTCCAGATCTCGGCAACTTTTACGACCATGCCCGGGCTTGTGCTTATTTCGATTGAAGACACGTCAACATTCACATCCGATACCAAGATCATCCGCTGCCCCAACGGCTATGACATGCACCGACTAGAGCTAACAGATCGGGTGTTCCGCAAAGTCGGTAAAAACGAGATGGACGTTGGCGAGGGAACCCGCCAGCTCACCAAGATCATGAACGCGCCGCCGCTGTTTGCCTGGTACTGGCAGCTCCTTGTTTGGGGCATCTCCTCGTGGTCAGTGTGTCTTTTGGCATTTAGTGGGTCATGGGTCGACTCGCTGGCCGCGTTTATTCTGGGGCTGGGCGCTGGCTGCCTCAATCTGCTGGCCAGCCGCCTCAAGGGCTTCACAAACTTGTTTGAAGTGATGGTCAGCATCATGTGCGGCTTCTTTGCCACAGTTTTTCAACGGTGGATTTGCTTTGGCGCGGTGACGCTATCAGCAACAGTTGTGCTTTTGCCCGGCCTTCTTCTGACAACAGGTATCATTGAGCTAGCCTCGCGCAACATGAATGCGGGAACCACTCGCGTGGCGTACGCGCTGATGATTGCCTTTGTCATCGCTTTCGGCATCCGCCTTGGCAACGACATCTTTGTCGAGATTTTTTCGAGACCTAATCGCGTGCCCGATATGAATACAGCCGTGTGCTCGCCCGTGTCGCAGTGGTGGTGGTGGCTGACATTCCCCATTGCCATATCCACCATCTGCATGCTCATAAACGTTCACCCGCGGCAGTGGCACGCGTGCATCATCGTTGCTGGCACTATGTTTGCGGTTTTCTGGACACTTGTCATTCACCTAAATCTCCAGATCATCGGACCTGTTGTATCTGCATTTGTATTGGGGCTGGCAGCCAACATTTGGAGCAAGATATTCAAGCACAACGCCTACGCAATCATGCTGCCCGGAATGATGATTTTAGTCCCTGGTAGTGTTGGTGTCCGCGGCATTATGTCGATGTTTAGCGGGACGACAACTGGGGCCAGCACACAGCTGGCGGTTCAGATGGCTCAGACGTCGCTGAGCATCATGGTTGGCCTGTTTGCAAGCAGTTTTGTAGTATATCCCCGCGGCAAAAAGCAGTCCGCGTTACTCACAGTCTGACCATTTGAGATCCGTGTGGCCAAAAGTAGACAACAGCCACTTGCCATAATCGCCTTCCATAGCAATGTAGATTTGACAAGATATTAATAATGATGTTTTTTTGCTGCGCATTTTCTTCTACGCTGGGTTTAACATTTTATGCAACGTCTCATCTCTCTTCAAATCAGAGCAAATTAATGCCAAACTATCAGGTCGTGCGCTGTGCCAGCGATTGCTGCGCAAAATTCCAAAGTCAGCAAGAAAAGAAATCGGGGAAATGGGCGTGCGTGGTATGTGGGCTGAAGCAGAGTCGCAAGCAAGTGTTCTTCGAATCGACGGCGCCCAAGGACTGCCGTGCCGCTGTCATGGAATTCAACATGAATCGGGGTGTTGCGCAGGAAACCAAGAATTATGCCATGTCTATTGCACTCACCCAGTTACAGCAGCAGCAGCAAGCCATTGCGCGATCACCCTCAGACAGCACAACCAGATCACCACACACACAGAAACCAGTTGACAGGGGCATAGGTTCATCAGTGTCCAAATGGGCCGATTACATCGACAGCGACAGCAGCGATCTCGAGGATAATGATTATAGTGGTAATAGGAGCAATGGCCAGGACCCTCAGCGCGGAGTTGACAAGGGGAATCGTATTGTCGTTGGGCGAGTCCAGCAAGATCGGGATGCGACTGAAAACTTACTAAGCAAAACTCGCAAGCCAAGCATCCTACCTACCTCCAAGGCTGCCCAGTCTGTATCTAAACCAAAATCCATATCAGAAGGGTCGGGGCGGTACGCACCATACAACAAGGCACCGCGCGCTATTCCATCTGCAAAGTCAGTGCAGGTCGGCGCACCAGCACTCATCCAGGATCTGTCAGTGCTGTCCCAAAAGAACACAAATGCAAGCACCATTCAAATTCAAAATGCACCAACCGCTGTCAACAGTACAGTGGTTGCGGCAGCGCAGCCAAAGGAGCCACATAATGCAAGAGAGTCAAAGTGGAGCGAATTTGACAGCGGTTCTGATTCGGACAGCGACGAAAACTAAACTAAATGATTAATATTTGAGCAAAATTTGCAAATACAATTAGGTTGGCAAAACGAGTTTAAATATATAAATTGCTCAAGCTACCTGCTATTACTGGCGCGCTGTTTGGATTGCGTAGCGGGGGTCTTAGGTTGGTTGGAAATAAAGCCGCCTGTTTCTAGTGCCTGTCGGGCCGCATTATTAATAAGCTTGAACCGGTCAGGTCCTAAATGCGTTCCACCGTACCACCGAGTGACCACAACCATCACGTTGACAACCTCCAAAAGTTGCAGCAAGTGTCCCAGCCGCTTTCCAGCCGCCGTCTCCCCGTCATCATCGTTATCCTGACTAATAGAGCCATTTTCCAGCTGAATTCTGTAAGCTAGGATGTTGTGTGTGGCCTGGGCAATTTTTCTATCCTGCAAAAGCGCATCATGCACATTTTGCACATCTTCGGCGCTCTTCACCCGCGCAACGTGCGCAACAAAAACGCTCTTTTTCATCTCCAGCGCAGCCCCCGTGTAGATTTCTGGAACACTAGATCCACTAATAACAACGTGAGAACTGGCCACCAGTGGTTTGCTAAAATCAATGCCGTTTACTGCCTGGGCATCTGGTGTGCCAGTATTGCTTGTGGATTTGGGCTCCGCCTCTTTGGGCAATGCTATGGGGTCCAAGGGTTGTGGCCAGTGCTCGGACAAATAGCCGTCCAGCCATGCCACCCAGCTAAATACCACCACGTCACGGCACATGTCTTCGTCCCACATCCGGTGTAGCTCCTGCTCTATATTGCTGTGTATACTGGCACTGAGTGCGAGCTGTCTCATGGGATATATATAGCCGGGCGTTTGCTCGCCGTGCTTGGCCCTCAGGTCGATTGCACCGATCCATTCAAATATCGGCGGATCGTCACTCGGGTACGTTGCCGGTAAGTGGAAGCGAATATCTGCCTGGGCCTCGATACAGTCCAGTGGTACGTGCAACAAATAAGAGCTGTGTCCAGCCGTTTGGTCTAGCTCTACCGATGAGTCGCCGAATATGGCCTGCAGAGCCATGATCTCGTCTTGCTGGCGCTGTCTGTTGTCATCGCTGCTAAATTCCATGTTGTCCGTATATTAATTAATTGTGTTTAAATAATACCTAAATGATGGTCTGCACGCTGTTCTGGCGACGCATGCCCCCCGAGAACCGCCGCCAGATGCATCGATATTATAATTAAGGGTGCCAATCACGCGTGTTTGACCTGCATCATCGAATCATCATAACAAATCTCCAACCAGCTGGGTAGCTTTAGAGATTGTGTTTACACACCTTTACATTTAGTTAAAAGGTAAGTGGGTTGACAGTGCATTGGCATCTTTCGCCAGAGGTAGAAAATTAAGTCCAAGTCTAAATCCAAGTCTAAGATCACACCCAAGCCCAAGCCCGCGTCCAAGCGCAAAGCCAAGGAGGCGTCCTTTTTCGTACTCTTATTTTTTACTGATATATCTTTTAGACCATGGTCTGATGAGGATACGCAAAATTTTTTTTTTAATTTTTTTGGCCGATAAAATCAAACTCAAAAACCCTGTAAAACAAAAAATACAAAACCTTATTTGTTTTCATGTTTTCACAACTCAAATGTTTTTGAATTTTGTTGCCTGTTGAATTCGGACATTTAACATTGGAAGTAAACCATTTTTCTCCTTCCTATTCAACATTTAATTTTCCAAAAAATAACAGCAGCGATATTCCAGGCCCCCAGAATGTCAGCAAACACAAAAGACAAGGCAGAATTCGCGTCACAACTCGGACTATCGCGAAATCGGCCAGCATGCGCAGAAAAGTGGTGGACACCAGTAGTGTCCATGGAGTACGAGACACACTCAGGACACAACATAGCGCTGACAGCGTGCGGACTAGGAATAGTCCTTGGATGTGGGCTGACCATTGCCTTGAACAACGGCTGGACATATATAGGGATATTCGGCATATACAGTATGCTGGTTCCGCTGTACCATGTTCTTGAGTACATGTGTGTGGCCCTGTACAATCCCAGTCGCGTGGAGCTGGAATCGTTCATGTTTTCTCCCGACGGAGAGGGTTTGTATCCTGTGGCACTGGCAGTGTCGCTGGCGGAATATGTGATTGAATGCTGGCTATTTGCAGGCGGCGGCAAGACACCCGGTGTGATCCCGGCTATTGGCCTGGTATTTGCGGTGGCTGGGCAGCTCATTCGGACACTGGCAATGATAACGGCCAAGACCAGCTTCAACCATTACATCGCTAACCGCCGGGAGCAAGACCACACGCTCATAACTCACGGCATATACAAGTACGAGCGGCATCCGTCATATGTGGGCTTCTTCATGTGGGCTGTCGGCCTGCAGCTGATGCTCAAGAACCCACTGTCAACTATTTTGTTTGCTGGTGCACTGAGTTACTTTTTCTGCAAGCGCGTGGCGTATGAAGAGCGCACATTGAGGTTTTTGTTTGGCGAGAAATACACCCTGTACATGGAGCAGACTTCAACATTAATTCCGATTCTCCAGGTGTTTGCCAAGCCGAAAACCATATCTGCACGCGCTTCTTCAAGCAAAGCTAGCGCCAGTACAAAAAAGTGAGCCGCGCTGTTCGCCGCATCGATATATGTCTGGTTGTATCTTTTTTGCCTTTTTGTAATATTAATTTAAAGGATAAGATAAAAAAGATGAAAAATTAAATTAGAAAGCCCAATTGTTCTGTCTAGTTGAGCATGACTGCAACTGCTTCATCCAGGTGAGATGGCGGCTGCTGCTGGCGCTCAGAAAAGTACGCAAGCAACGCTTCGAAAACGTCACCCCGCGCCTTGCGCAGCGCTTCAGGAGACGATCGTGAGTACTCATTCGCGGTTATCTGGAAAAGCGCGATGCTGAGCGCGTGGAATGACTGACACTCGGCGGGGTCATTGTGGTTGACCAGCGGTGCCACAAAGCGCTGCAAGTACTCTAGAGCAAGAGTAGTGTTATTTGTGAAAGCAGTACATGGCGCAACCGAGGAAGGCTCAGGTGCTAACCGCGGAACCTTGGACGACGAGGGTCCCGAGGTAGATGCTGTCATCATGGCGTCTGTCACTGCCATCCTTTGTCGCTGGCTCTGGTGCTCCATGGACTCATCAGTATCTGCGTTCAGTGAAGGCGCTCGCTTGGAGTGCGAGCTGGTGGGGTTCGAGCCGCCCAGCAACAGTGTGTTGGGACTCGGAATTGCCGATGCCTTGTACTCGGCCAAAGGTCCAGCCGCGCAACTCTCTTGATTGAGCACGTCACAGTCCAAGCCAGCACACAAGTCCAAAAACTGCCGCTGGCGAACAAGGTACAGGGCGCGGCGCAAAATGTCCTGCGAGCTGGGCCTGGTAAATTTGAGTTCCCAGGTGTCGTTGAAGCGTGCGGATTTGTCGCTAGGCCGGTTGGGATTTCCACCAAACATAAAGTGCGTGCGATTGGCCCGGTCGTATACCCAGTCCTGGGCAAAGCGCGCCAAAGGAAACGGTGGCATGACACTGCCGCGGCCGGCATGGTTGGCAAACGGGCTTTCGCCGCTACCGCCGTGGTCATTCATCGAGGTGACAAAGGCCGCTGCCGTTTGCGCAGAGTTGTACACCTCTGTCCAGGTCTCCGTGGGAATGTGGTAACAGAACACGACCATCAGGATGTGGTCGGCAGGCATCTGGAACCCCTGATGCTGGCCGTCAGGGTCCTCCGAGTATCTGGCCGCCGCACGGTAACTGCCTCCCGTTGCGCCGCAACTGTTTGGTCCGGAGGCCAAAGAGTTGTGGGTGCTGCTTCGAGCGGGCTCGCGCCGGGCGCCCGCATCAACCAAGCTAGAGCACGGGTGGAACCCGGCTCCAGCCGCCTGCATCTGCGCTGCGCTGGCGTACGAGGGCCGTGTACCGCTGGGATCATAGTGGCTGGACTTGGAGCTGCGGGCATTGTGCATCAACATCAGGTTCTGCATCGACGGGGTGGATGCCATGGAACTAGAGTCGCTCTGCGCCGAGGCCAGAACATATAGCTCTTGGCGCTCGGTGTCCAATGAGGTTCTGATTGTGCGCCCGTCCTGAAGAAGATGCACATGATGCGGGTGATGCGAGTTATTGTCTGGAGGCGGCATTGGCGCCTGAGCCTGGGCCACCGAATAGGCCGGGTTGAGCCGCTGCTGGTCGGAAAGATACTGCTGCTGCGTCATCAATTGGCTTGTGGGGTTGGACGCCGCGAGGTCTGCCATCTTCTCATAGAACGTGTTGGTGGCAATATCGTATATAATGAGGTCGCTGGGAATAGACACGTTGCGTTTGCTCGAAAGAATGTACAGCCGCTGGAGACTCGGGTCAATAATCATCGAGTGGAAATACCGCCCGCGCACGTGCTGTTCCTGCTCGAGCATGTGGAAGTCGGGCTTGAGCCTAGTCCAATTATGTTTGCGCAGGTCGTAGCGGTACAAGCCGCTGTAGACAATGGTCGAGTCGTTGGCGTCTGGGAGAACTACCTTGCCGCCATATACGTAGATGCAGCAAAAGTGCGGGTCAAATGCCATCTGCGTGTTGAACAGGAGCCGGGGCCCGTCGTGGACCTCGGTGTTCTCGGACAACACAATCCACTCGTCGCTGACGGTGTCGTAGCAAAACAAATCGTTTTCTAGACCTGTGTTCCCACGGTACTCATGATCGACATACTTGCCCATGATGTAGATGCACTTTTGCACGCTGTCAAAACACATTGCGTGGCAGGACCGTGGCCCCGGCCCACCCTCGTCGCGTGTGTTTTCACTGATACACGTCCAGTGACCAGTATCCATTTTGAGCATCCACAGGTCGCCCAGGTTGTTGGCTCCGTCCCACCCGCCATACAGATACGCATAGCGGCTCTCCTCGTCAACACACATCTGGTGGCCTCCGCGAGGCGGCGGAACAACGTAGGAGCCCAGATCCGCCGGCTGCCATGCTGCGGCGTACGGGATCCTGGATGTGCAGGATGCAAACATTCCTTCGCGCTCGGCCTGGCAAAGCAGCTCTTCGGCTTTGCTGTAGTTGCAGTTATCCACTAGCGCGTGGTATATTTTCGTCAGAACAGGCGCCTCCAAGCTCGCAACGGCTTGCTGCTCGAGGGCGCTAAATGCGCTCGTGTAGTTGTGATCGCGGAAAAACTTTAGGCATGAACGAATGACCTCTTGCTCTCTGGACCGGTTGAAATCGGATATAAGGCCTTGTATGATCTGTGGGTCCATCGTGCCGCGAAGCTCGACGTGCCAGATGCTAAAGTTGAACTTTTGGTCGTGAGCCAACAGCGGCTGGATCCTGATGTATTGGCATGGGATGTACTATAGTGAAAATATGAGTAATTGCAGTTGGAATGCAGTAGCAGTAAAAAAAGAGAAAGTGGTGAGAAATATATATATTTACTTGCGTGTACCCAGTTTGAAGAGCAAAATCTCAAGTAAAATGAGAAATACGAAATGTGAAATGCAGAAAAATCTAGTTACTGCTTTGTTCATTCCATCCAGGGTACAAAAAATAGATGGCAAATATCGCAACGATAATATACGCTGATAGCTTACATAACCGTTGAGTTTCTGCTTGAGGGATATCATTTCTGGCTCGCTGTCATTCCGCAGGCCTACAAAACAAGTGGTAGCATCGAGAAGAAAATGGCGAACATAGTCGCAAGTTATCCACCCGGCGATTAGTAACAGAAATAAAAAGGATATGAGAAGGAAATACCATTTTGTTGCTTGGAAGGCAAATGCTTACCACTGTAAAGAAGCTCGATCATGTTGTCTTGCGACATGCCGCCAAAGACCTTGAACTCCTTGAGGTTGCAAACGTGGGCTACAAGTAAACAATGGAGGAAAATTAATTTTAAAAATACGAGCGCCTTTAAATATCATTTGCCACATCGGTCAATTCAAACTGCGACTTACTCTTATAAAACTTGCCAAACTTGATGGACCCTACATGAAATCGAAAGTGAATATGGAAGTACAAAATAGCTTATGCATTTAGTTTATAAAATATATAGATATTATCAAATCAATCGCAATAGCAAACAGCAAAGGCGCAATGTATGGCACAATCAAGTCAATCAGTCGTCGTGGTACGAGAAGAAAACTCAGCAGATCGAGATGTTATGCAACATGTGTTCACTGGGCATGACAAGATGCAAGTGCATCGCTGCGTAGAAACCATATTCCGTTGACTCTTTGGCGTATAGGGCGGAAACATATAAAAAATGGGTCAGCAAAAAACATCAATGTAGAGTTTATACGCCCTCTCGGCAAGCATGTCGGTACTTACGAACTAGAGCTGGGCGTTCCAAGCGCAAAGTAATATATTGACGATGGTTGTTAAGGCTGGTTGACCAGCGCGAGGCCTGGTCGTGGGGCCGATCGACAAGAATGTTTTTAGGCAAAAAGTTGGCAGAGTGACTAGACCAACTCTGAATCTCATATGGCAGCAGGTCATACTCGATGCGCAGCTCCTGAGCCTCGTCGATATCCATGGAATTACCCGCATCCGCTGCCAAGATGTGGTCCTGGCATTCAGAAGACCCGGCGGTGGCGTCACCATAGGCCTTGTTGCCCTCAGCAAACGAGCATTCGCTGTCGACTATCGGCGATAAGGCTGGAAAGTGCGTCTTTGGCTGCGACGCAGACAAGATCCAGGATGGCAGCCCTGATTCCGAGGTGGGCAGCGCAAAGTGCGTTCTCTTTCTGTCGTCTGGGCTGGCTCCAAGCGATGGCGTAATAATGCGGTAGTTGGCGTTGGTCATAAAGGGGGCGGCAGAGCTATGCGTGGCACCACGCTCACGGTTACAATCGACTGCGCTCATTACAGCCTGAGACACAGTGCTGTTCGAGGCAGCGCTGTTGCCCGCAGTCATTTCGAAATTCAAGCGAATGCGTGGTAAAGTGTTTTTTAGGCCTTGAAAACACTTGCGGTCAAATGATTAAAAAGATAAAAATAGAGCAAAGGGGCAATAAAAAATGGGCCCACAGAGAGACAAAAGAGAGCTAGGCAAAAAATAATGTGCTTGGGTGTGAAGTAATGGAAAGAGATGGTTGTCGTAGTTCTTGTTGGCGTAAAAGAGTGTGGAAATAGATGAAGCAGTTGAGCGTGTGCAGAGTAGAGCAGAGAAGAAAAGAAAGGACTGTTTTGCAGTCGACCGCCGAGAGTTTAACTTGGGTTTTCTGTTCATTTTTCTTATTTTTTCCAACGTCAAACAGCATTCTCCTCCCCATCTCCTCTCTGCTACTTGCTTTGCCCGCAGTTCAGTTTTCTTTTTTATTATTAAATTTTCCCCCAATAAACGCCCGCGAAAATGCCATAACGCCTGTGATCGGCCAATCTCGTAATGGTCATCGTCATTCTTTGCAGCGCGGCTAACAGCTTGCGCGTACAGAGGTTAAAAAATAGAACAAGGAATTAAGCACTTGTCGAATCTATCAAACTCATTATTTGTTCCCCTTTTTCTCCCCACTATTCCTTTCTCTTTTTTACTTTCAGTTTCCTACATTTTTTGATCTCGGGGGGAGCATTCTCTGTGGACATCATTACATTTACCAAAGAGCGAATAAGACAGCAAGGCTGCAAACAAACAAATGTCGACTCGTGTTCAAAAAGTGATGGTCAACCCCATCAACGTCATTTTCAAGTACCTCCAGACAAAGACGCGAGTTCAGGTCTGGCTGTACGAGCAGACCAGTTTGAGACTCGAGGGCCAAATCCTAGTAAGCAACAAAATAAAAAGGGGCAGGAATATGCAAGCACAACGAGAGGATATTTTTTGGCGGGCCCTGATACGACTACAAAGGAAAAGGCAACAAATGCTTCTAGCACAGACACTTTTATTTACTAACCTTACGCACGCATCACTTAAGCATCTGTTTTGCCACATTGTAGGGTTTCGACGAGTTTATGAATGTCGTTCTTGGCGATGCGCAGGAGGTGCATGTCAAAAAGAACACCAGAAAACCGCTTGGCCGGATCATGCTCAAGGGGGACAACATTACGCTCATCAGTGAGGCGCCCAGCCAGAACTAGAAGCGGGCAGGCGCGAAACAGATATAGTGTGACATCAATTATTGCGATGTCACGTGACAATTGCAATTGGGAATTTGCGATTGTTTAAAATTGTGATTGTTACGATCGCGATTTCTATTTTCACGGGCGATAGTTTCGAATAGATAAGCGGAGCTCTTTAAGCTCCCTTATAGTGGATTTTTAATAAAAATTAGTTAGTACGAATAAGTTTTATTACATATAGCCCAGCTAGAGAACGCAGTTTTAAGGCAGAAAAGTGCCATATTCAGTGTCAATTATAAATATACTAAAACTCTAAATAAAGTACATTGTGCAAAAAAGTTATACATCTTGTTCTTTGGAGCTTACTGGACGTTCTTCTCATAAAACTCCTTCATGAAAATGACAAAGGTCTTGACGCCCTCGATAGGCATCGCATTGTACAGCGAAATACGGATGCCACCGAGACTGCGGTGGCCCTTGAGCTGAACCATGTTGCGCTCGGCAGCCTCGGAAATAAATTGGGCCTCGAGCTCGCGCGTCGGCAGGGTGAACACGAGGTTCATCGCACTGCGGAACTTCTTGTCGACAAGGCCGTGGAAGAACTCCGGGTGGGCGTCGATCATGTCGTAGACCAGGCCCGAGCGCGTCTCGCGGAGCTTCTCGAGCGCCTCAAGGCCCAGGTTCTCGGCCCACTTGAACACCAGCCCGCAGACATAGATCGTAAACGTCGGCGGCGTGTGCGGCATCGATTCGGCGCCGTCATAATAGCACCAGTCGAGGATCGAGGGAATGTTGCGCGTGATCCCGGGATCGGCCTCGTCACGCTCAAGCAGATCCTTGCGCACAATGACAATGGACACACCAGCGGGGCCCATGTTCTTCTGCGCACCGGCGACAATGGCGCCGAAGCGGCTAATGTCAATTGGCCGCGAAAGCATGTTTGAAGACATGTCGCAGATGACAGGCACCGAAGGATCGACGGCGTCAACCACGTAGTTGGCCGGGGTCTCGACGCCGTGGACCGTCTCGTTCTCACAGTAGTACAGGAACGCGGTCTCCTCAGGCTTTCCCAGATTCCACTCTGACACAGGCGGCAAGCTGTTGTAAGTAACCTCGCCAGTGGCCGCCGACTTGACACCGTCAAGCACAACGTTGGTAATGCCACCAAGCCGCTTGGTCTCCTTCAGACCGCTCTTGGACCATCCGCCAGTGACAATATAGTCGCAAGCCAGCTGTCTGCCCAGTTTGCGCTGCTTTTCGCGCACAGACTTGCATGCCATTAGGTTCAGATAAGCGGCGGCAAATTCGCCGGTGCCGCCGCCCTGCAGAAAAAGAATCGAGTAGTTGTCGGGTACCTTGAGCACGCGGCGCAGGGTGGCCTCGGCATCGCTGATGATGTTTCCGTAGACCTTTGAGCGATGGGACATCTCGAGCACGGACATGCCCTCGCCCTTGTAGTTCAGCAGGTCACGCTGGACCTCCTCGAGAACGGAGAGCGGGAGGACTGACGGCCCGGCAGAAAAGTTCCACACGCGGTCGTGAGAGATCTCAGACGAAGGGATGGAGGCGGTGGCAGAGTTGAGGGACATGATTGAGAAAGGGATAGAAAAATATTAGTGAGTGTTTTTGTATTAAATCACAAATAATAAAAATAATAAAGATAAGGAGAGCAGAGAAGAGAAAAGCAGAAAGACCAAAAAAATGGAAAATGACAGGGAACATAAATATTACAATCATCCTCTCGCTTCAAACTGTACTTGCAAGTCCTAACTTGTTTCTGAACATGCTCCCGTTCCCATAGAGCCTGCGGCTCTTAGCGCCCAATCGGACATCTGGTATAATGTGCGTGACCATCGCTTGGCTGTGACCAAATCACACACCACTCACCTCAAACCCAGTAGTCACATTTTCTCACATTCAGGCCAGCGATCACCGCGGCCACCGCAGCTAATCAGATTTTGCAAGCGCCTTGATCTCATCAAAGTTTTTCTTAATGGGGCGCGTCTGAAAGTGTGCAAAAATGAAATTTGAATTTCAAAAAGCCATTTCATTTTTGTTTCTGCTTTTCAATTGACAACTTCAATTTTATTTTATTTTATTTATTTATTATTCAAAGTTCAGTTTATTGCTGACATTTTTGGACTATACTACAAAAAAGAGAACCACTCTGTTTATCAATTGTTTTCTATTTACCCGAATACACTAGACAACCCCCCCCACCCCGAACGCTCGAATCGAAGCTGAGAAGCATGACAGCAGGTTCCTCTTCCAGGGCCGCAGCATCACGCAGCGGCAGCGGTAGTGGCGGTTATAACCGATCCGGCCAGCAGCAACAGCAATTGGCAGCAGATCCGAGCTTTGTCCCCACCGGGCCGTCGCAGGCTGAGATCGAGCGCAAGGCGCAGGAGTGGCGCAAGCTCAACGCCAAGCGCTATGACACAAAGCGCCGCATGGGCTTTGCCGAGCAGGAGAAGAGCGACATGCCGCCCGAGCACCTGCGCAAGATCATCAAGGACCACGGCGACATGAGCGCGCGCAAGTACCGCCATGACAAGCGCGTGTACCTCGGCGCGCTCAAGTATGTGCCACACGCGGTGCTCAAGCTGCTGGAGAATATGCCGATGCCTTGGGAGCAGGTGCGCGAGGTGCCGGTGCTTTACCACGTGACAGGCGCAATTACCTTTGTCAACGAGATCCCTTGGGTCATTGAGCCCGTGTACATGGCGCAGTGGGGTACCATGTGGATCATGATGCGTCGCGAGAAGCGCGACCGCAAGCATTTTAAGCGCATGCGGTTTCCCCCGTTCGACGACGAGGAGCCGCCGCTTGACTATGGAGACAACTTGCTCGATGTGGAACCGCTCGAGGCGATCCAGATGGACCTGAACGAGGAGGACGACTCGGCAGTCATTGATTGGTTCTACGACAACAAACCCCTAGCCGACGAGAGCGACGATGAGGATGACGACGAGGAGGGTGGCAGCGGCAGCGCGGCGAGGAGGGCGGTCGGATGCCGTGTGAACGGACCCACATACCGCAAGTGGCAGCTTGATCTGCCGGCCATGGCCAACCTGCACCATCTGGCCGGGCAGCTGCTGTCAGACATGGTTGACCCCAACTTCTTTTACCTGTTTGATCTCAACTCGTTCATCACAGCCAAGTGCCTGAACATGGCCATCCCTGGCGGGCCCAAGTTCGAGCCCATGTACCGCGACATCAACCCGGCCGACGAGGACTGGAATGAGTTCAACGATATCAACAAGATCATCATCCGGCAGCCCATCCGCACCGAGTACAAGGTAGCCTTCCCGCACCTGTACAACTCGCTGCCGCGCAAGGTGCGGGTCTCAACGTACCACACGCCGGCGCTGCAGTATGTGCGGTCGGAAAACCCCGACCTGCCGGCGTTCTACTACGACCCGGCGATCAACCCAATTTCGTCGCGCAGCCTGGTGTCGCAGTTCAAGGACGACGCGCGCTCAGTCGAAGACGAGATCTTTGGTGACCGCGACGAGGACGAGGACTTTGTGCTGCCCGACGGTGCCTCGGCATTCCTGGCCGACACGCCGCTCGAGACTGACAACACGGCCAACGGCATTGCACTGTTCTGGGCTCCGCACCCGTTCAGTTCTCGCAGTGGGCGCACGCGCCGCGCGGTTGATGTGCCGCTGGTCAAGGACTGGTACATGGAGCACTGTCCGCAAGGCATGCCTGTCAAGGTACGCGTGTCCTACCAGAAGCTGCTGAAGAACTACGTGCTTAACGCCATCCACTCGACACCCCCGCGGTCGCAGCGCAAAAAGTACTTGTTCCGCCAGTTCAAGGCGACAAAGTTTTTCCAGTCAACCGAGATCGACTGGGTCGAGGCCGGCCTGCAGGTTTGCCGGCAAGGCCACAACATGCTTAACCTGTTGATTCACCGCAAGCGGCTCAACTATCTGCATCTCGACTACAACTTCAACCTGAAGCCGGTTAAGACGCTGACCACAAAGGAGCGCAAAAAGAGTCGCTTCGGTAATGCCTTCCATCTGTGCGTCGCTGAGGGCACGCCGGTCAGCTTGGGCAACGGCCTCGCCCTGCCGATCGAGCTGATCCGCGGCGGCGATGCACTGCAATGCGTTGCGCCGGTGGCCGAGCACTCAGCGACAAAGGCCGTCGGGTACGCGGGTCGCGCCGGAGGCGATGCCTTTCAGGTGCACGCAGCGCCCCAGGACTGCCTGCGCATCACTTGCATTGACGGCACCACGCTCGTGGTCACGCCGACACACCCGGTGCTAGCTATCAGAGGCCACCTCAGAGCAACCATGGAGGACGCCAAGTACGTGTCGGCGGGCGAGCTGACGGCCGAGCACTCTGTCGTGTGTTCAGCGCTGCTCAGCATCACTGACCACCCGGATGCCGATGCGCACTCCCAGTATGAGCTGGCCGGATGGAGCATGCAGCAGGGCCGCCCGCAGATCCTGGCGCTTGCCCGTCTGCTTGGCGCCCTGGCAGCCGGCGGTAGCGGCATGGCGGAACAGTTTGCTGTCGGCCAGCAGTGCGCACTGTTTTTACAATTGCGTGACGGTCTAGACGTCAGCCAGGCTCAAGCAGATATCAGACTTTTAACCGGCGGCCGCCAGCTCGGCACGATGCACCGCGGTCGCGGGCTGGCCAATCGCGCGGCGTTCGGACTCCAGCAACTCCTGCGCTTGGAGCTTCCGCGCAGTGTGTGCGAGATGGCCGAGGCAGCTGGTTACAGACACCATCGTGACGTACCGACGGCCATTCGCCAGGCGCCTGTCTCGGTGCAGCGTGAGTTTGTGGCTGCATGGTGGGGCTGCGGAAGCACATGGGCGGCGGCAGCCACATCAACATCTTCCAAGCCTTCTGCCGACAGTCTTTGGCCTCTTTCTGCCGCTGCCGCTGCCGACAACGACGGCCAGGCGAAGAGTACCGACAAGGATGCGACTGTGATGGTGCGCGGGCTTGTGCAGTGGATGCAGGACTCGCTGCGCCAAAACTTTGGAGTCGAGACGCAGAGTATCGAGAAGAATGCGCTTGTGGTGTCTGCGCAGACGCACTTTGCTGCTGGCATGCGTCTTTCGGGCTTGCGCTCCTTTGGTGCATTTGTTGAGCGTGTTGGCGTGCGCTACTGTTGCCGTGAGCAGGTCGCGCTTGACGCCATGCGGCGCTGGCAGGGATATATTGCCCAGGCCGACCAGAGCACGGGGGCGTCAACGGCGTCTGCCAAGCTGTGCGGCTTGGACGAGTTCATCCAGCTCACCCGTCTGCCGCTGGCGTCCTCGGACCAGCTGCACAGCGGCTTTGAAAGTGCGGTTCTCGTGCCTATCGCTAGTGTGACGGCTGATGTGCGGCGGCGCATGGTCTACGACATTTCGGTGCCAGCACACGAGAACTTTATCGCCGGCTCGGCGGTGGTGCACAACTGCCGCGAGATCCTGCGGCTGACCAAACTCATTGTTGACTCACATGTGCAGTATCGGCTGGGCAACGTCGACGCGTTCCAGCTGGCCGACGGGCTGCAGTACCTGTTTGCTCACGTTGGACAGCTGACAGGTATGTACCGGTACAAGTACCGGCTGATGCGGCAGATCCGTGCCTGTAAGGACTTGAAGCACCTAATCTACTACAGATTCAACACTGGCGCTGTGGGAAAGGGCCCGGGCGTCGGGTTCTGGGCACCCGGATGGCGCGTGTGGCTGTTCTTCTTGCGTGGCATCGTTCCTCTGCTGGAGCGGTGGCTGGGCAACCTGCTCGCGCGGCAGTTTGAGGGGCGCAACTCCAAGGGCGTCGTCAAGTCGCTGACCAAGCAGCGCGTGGACTCGCACTACGATTTGGAGCTGCGCGCGGCCGTCATGCACGACATCCTGGACATGATGCCCGAGGGCATCCGCGGAAACAAGAGCAAGGTGATCCTGCAGCATCTGTCAGAGGCCTGGCGGTGCTACAAGGCGAATATCCCGTGGCAGGTGCCGGGCATGCCCAAGCCGATCGAGAATATGATCCTGCGGTACGTCAAGTCCAAGGCCGACTGGTGGACTTCTGTAGCGCACTACAACCGTGAGCGTATTAGGCGTGGCGCCACGGTGGACAAGGCGATTGCGCGGCGCAACTGCGGGCGGCTGACGCGGCTGTGGCTCAAGTCAGAGCAGGAGCGGCAACGCAACTACCTGAAGGATGGGCCCTATGTCAGTGCCGAGGAGGCCGTTGCCATCTATACGACTGCAGTGCATTGGCTTGAGTCACGGCGTTTCTCGCCGATCCCGTTCCCGCCGCTGTCGTACAAGCACGACCCGAAGCTGCTGATCCTGGCGCTCGAGCGGTTGCGCGAGTCGTACTCGGTGCAGGGCCACCTGAACTCGTCGCAGCGCGAGGAGCTGGGGCTGATCGAGCAGGCGTTCGACAACCCGCACGAGACGCTCAACCGCATCAAGCGGCTGCTGCTGACGCAGCGCGCGTTCAAGGAGGTTGGCATCGAGTTTATGGACATGTACTCGCACTTGGTGCCTGTCTTTGACGTGGAGCCGCTGGAAAAGATCACAGACGCGTACTTGGACCAGTACCTGTGGTATGAGGCAGACAAGCGGCGGCTGTGGGCGCCTTGGATCAAGCCGGCTGACTCTGAGCCAGCGCCCCTGCTGGTGTACAAGTGGTGCCAGGGCGTCAACAATCTGGACGGCGCGTGGCAGACGGACTCTGGGCAGTGCACAGTGATGGTCGAGGCGAAGCTGGCGCGGGTGTTCGAGAAGATCGACCTGACGCTGCTCAACCGGCTCCTGCGGTTGGTGCTGGACCACAACCTGGCGGATTACATGACAGCCAAGAACAACGTTGTGATCAGCTTCAAGGACATGAACCATGTCAACTCGTATGGTATGGTGCGCGGGTTGCAGTTTGCGCCGTTTATCTTCCAGTACTACAGCATGATCATCGACCTGCTGCTGCTTGGCCTGGAGCGCGCAAGCGAGATAGCGGGGCCGCCGGCACAGCCTAACGACTTTTTGCAGTTCAAGGACGTGGCGACCGAGCGGCGGCACCCGATCCGCATGTACATGCGCTATCTGGACCGCATCTACATGCTGCTGCGCTTTGATGACGAGGAGGACTCGCGTGATCTGATCCAACGGTTCCTGACGGAGAACCCGGACCCCAACAACGAAAATGTTGTTGGGTACAACAACAAGCGGTGCTGGCCGCGCGACAGCCGCATGCGGCTAATGAAGCACGACGTCAACCTGGGACGCGCGGTGTTCTGGGACATCAAGAACAGGCTACCGCGGTCGCTGACAACGGTCGAGTGGGAGGACGAGCAGACATTCGTCAGCGTGTACTCGCGCGACAACCCCAACCTGCTATTCGACATGGCCGGCTTTGAGGTGCGCATCCTGCCCAAGTGCCGGCAGACGACGGCCAGCGCGCAGGACGGTTCATGGGCGCTCATTGACGACAGCTCGAAGGAGCGCACGGCGACAGCGTTTTTGCGCGTCGACGACGCGTCGATCCAGCGGTTCAACAACCGCATCCGCCAGATTCTTATGTCTTCAGGCAGCACAACGTTCACCAAGATCGCCAACAAGTTCAACACGGCGCTAATCGGCCTGATGACTTACTTCCGCGAGGCTGTGGTGCACACGCGCGAGATGCTCGATCTGCTGGTTAAGGCCGAGACGAAGATTCAGTCGCGCATCATGCTAGGGCTCAACTCCAAGGACAGCAACCGCATGCCACCCGTCATCTTCTACTGCTACGGCGCTGGCTTCCGCGTGCGCATGGCCGACGGGTCGACGCGCGCCATTGAGGACGTGTCTGTCAGCGACCGCGTTCTCGGCGCTGACGGCCAGGCGCGTGACGTCGCACACACGATGTCGGGGTCGGCGCCGCTCTTCCGCGTGGCACTGGCTCCATTGCGCCACGCGGAGGAAGACGCCAGCGACAGCTCCGTGCCGCTGAGCTACTGCGCGCCGGTGGTGCGTACGGCTAGCAGCATCTCAGTGCAGAGCATCTGCTCGGACGGCTTAGGCGATTTAACAGCGGCGGCAGAAGTGGTTGGCGACATCGCTGACGCGCGCGCGCTGTTGTACGACGACTCCTTCTTGTGTAACTCTAAGCACAGGCTGGTCATTCGCGTGGCGAGCAGCACTCAGCTTAGTGAGCAGGCTGCGCGCGCAGCAAATTCGCACTGGTCGGACGCCGGCGCGTTTGCCGTCGAGTCAGTTGAGCTGCGCATGGATCCACAGCTTGGGTTCGAGCGGCCGTTCACGACGCAACAGGTTTTCGAGTACAACTCGAGTGCGTTCGGACTGGCCGACAACGCTAAGGCGCGCGCGCTGCAGGAGGCCAACAGGCACGTGGAGCACATGCAACAGCTGGCGGCCGAAGCTGGCGTCACAACGCCCGACTGCGTGTACTTGTGGCATGATAAGCAGAAGGCAGCGTTCCGCATTATGTCGCGCGGGTACCCCGAACAGCTGGTGCCGCCATGCCGCAGCATGTACTACGGCTGCGTCCCCATGTCGGCGTCGGCGTCCAACCTGGTGTTCAACTCGCGCATGGAGGCGCAACAGGCCGCCGAGAGCGCAATGGCTGCCTCTGCGCCAAACAGCCACCTGATGTGGGCTGTCAGCTTGTGCGACTACCTAGCGTACGTCGACAGCATGCAGGCGAGCGGCCAGCAGCCCGTGCCCTGCGTCATGGCGTACAGCGGCCTGGTCAGCCGTTGGCCGGGCGCGGAGAACGGCAACGGTTATGTCACCCTGGTTGCAGGCGGCGACTCCGAGCTGGCGGCTGACCTCGGCTGGGCGCTTGGCTGCTGGCTGTGCGGCGGTGGCAGCAGCGGCAGCAATGGCAAGTCCGAAAACACAGCCGATTCTGTGCTGCAGCATTGGGAAAAGATTGCGGCGGCGGGCGATGCATTCACCACTCTGCTCAGCGCACTGTGCCTGTCTGACTCAACAAAGGCTGTGTCGATCGAGACGCGCGACGCACTTGTTAGCGAGCAGCCCGGCGTGCGGCAGGCGCTGCTGGCCGGCATGCTGGATGTGTGCGGCAAGACGACCGGCGACTTGCGCGTGGCCATCGCACAGCCGCTGGACAACAGTGAGTCAGTGCTACGACTGGCCTACGAGGTGGCGCGGTCGCTGGGCCTGCAAACAACCAGTCGCAAGAGCGTGTCGCATGGGTTTGTTGTAATTGGTGGCGATTTTGCTGGTATCCCCAGCGTCACAGCGGTGTGCGCGGCTTCGTCAAAGGCGGCCGTCAGCGCTGCGAATTATGCGACGTTTGACGTTAGCACGCAGCCGGCCACACAGGAGGCCGCGTACTATGGGTTCACAGTCGCAGACGGGCAGTCACCGCTGTTCTGCCACGGCGACTTTGTCGTCGGGTCCAACTGCCCCAAGGAGCTGGGTGGGCTGGGCATGCTGTCGATGGGCCACGTGCTGATCCCGCAGTCGGACCTGCGGTGGGCCAAGCAGACCGACACAGGCATCTCGCACTTCCGCGCCGGCATGTCGCACGAGGAGGGCCAGCTGATCCCCAACCTGTTCAGGTACATTCTGCCGTGGGAGAGCGAGTTTGTCGACTCGCAGCGCGTGTGGGCTGAGTACGCGCTCAAGCGCCAGGAAGCCAGCGCGCAGAACCGGCGGCTCACGCTTGAGGATCTGGAGGACTCGTGGGATCGCGGTATCCCGCGCATCAACACGTTGTTCTCCAAGGACCGCCACACGCTGGCGTATGACAAGGGCTGGCGCATCCGCACCGAGTGGAAGCAGTACCAGGTTCCCAAGGCCAACCCGTTCTGGTGGACCCACGCCAAGCACGACGGCAAGTTGTGGCAACTCAACAGCTACCGCACAGACATGATCCAGGCGCTGGGCGGCGTCGAGTGCATTTTGGAGCACTCGCTGTTCCGCGGAACATACTACCCAACGTGGGAAGGCCTGTTCTGGCAGCAGCAGTGCTTTGCCGCTGGCACACTGGTGATGATGCACAGCGGTGAGCTCAGGCGCGTCGAGGACGTCGCTGTGGGCGAGCTTCTTATGGGCGACGACTCGGCGCCGCGCGTGGTCGACGAGCTCGTGCGCGGCCCGGCTGGCTACATGTTCGCACTTGACATTCCCGCGTGGGGCAGTGCCACTGTTGTCGTCACGTCCAACCACGTGCTGGTGCTGCGCAGCGCCTCGGACCCGGGCGCCCCACTCATCGAGTGCACGGTTGAGGAGTACTTGGCCATGGCTGCCGCCGAGCGCGCTGGCCTGGCCATGCTCAGCGCGCGCATCGCGTACCCAGTGTCCCCAGCTCTTTTGGACTGCGACCCGCTGCTTTTGGGCGCACGCCTGGCCTATGCTACCGGCGCAGGCCGCAGTGCCAAGCTGTTTGTGGCTGCCAGCCTCGCGTGCTACGCGACTGCGCCAGCTGTCAGTGCGCTGATGCGCGACGACGCGCTGCGTTGCGACAGCACAAACGCTGCCGATGCCACTGCGCTTATATATGCAGATACGGACGACGATCTGGATGTGCCGACTGTATACCGCGCACACGCCAGTCCGCTGGTGCGCGCATTGGTGTTTGCCGGCGCGGCTCTTGTACTCGGTGGCAGCCTTGGCGACTCGTCGATCTCTGTGCGCACGTCGAGCGAACAGTTGGCCCGCCAGCTGCACGCGCTGCTTGTGACGCTGGGCCACCCGGCCATTCATTCTGTTGACGAGAGCAGCGGAGGCGAGCCGGCGACGCACGTTGTAGTGTGTCCGCTTTCCAAACAGCTGTTCAAACAGGGTGAGGTGCCGACTGTCTGGGACGCCGCGCAAAGCCTGGCCGAGCCGCTCAAGAACTCTTGTGACTCTGCAGCCAGCTGTGTTGCCTTTTCGGTGCGCAAGGTTGCGTCTGAGCCGTACTTTGGGTTCAACGTGTCGGGAGCCAACCGCCGCTTCATGCTGGCCAACGGCCTTGTCACGCATAACTCAACATCGTTTGGCGGAGCTATGGGCCAGCGCCAGCTCACCAATGCGCAGCGCTCGGGTCTTAACCAGATCCCTAACCGTCGCTTCACCCTGTGGTGGTCTCCGACCATCAACCGCTGCCTGCGCCCGGATACTGAGGTCTTCATGGCCGACGGCTCTGTGCGGGCGATTAGGGATATTTCCTCTGGCGATCGCGTGCTGGGCATGGACTCGCGCCCGCGTCTGGTCGAGTCAGTGCACTCGGGCAAGGATGTCATGTACGATGTTTGTGAGATGCGCGGTGATGTCCGGCTGGGCCTCACCGAGTTTACGTGTAACGCGTGGCATATCCTGCACCTAGTGACACGCACTGCCGCTGTTGCTGATGTTGGCGCCGTAACGACAGAGGATGGTGATCAACGCGATGGCAGCAAGGTATTTACCGTCAAGTATGCGGCCCTGGACATAGTTTCAGTCGACGGCGAAAATGTCAAGATGGTCGTGTGGAAGCAGAATACCTTCAACACTTTGATTTTTGGCGGCGACGAAGCGAGCGCCCGCAGCGCTGCGCTTGCATTTAGCGACAGCGTGAGTGGCCAGCGCATACAGTGGGAGCTAGAGGCGCGCCTCTACGCACGTGTTGACCCGCAGATCCGCCAGCAGACCTACCAACTGGCGGCGCCCGTGCTGCTGGAGAACACCAGGCTCGAGCGGCTGTGCGAGCAGACCGGCGTGTCTGCCAGCAAGGCCGCTGATATTGCTTGGCTTGTCGGGCTCTGGATCGGTTCCGGCGCGTCTGCAACACCGACCGTTCGCGTGGATGCGCAGAGCGTGCGGCGTGTTAAGGACGTTTGCCAGTCCATTGGGCTGGACACAACGAGCGCCCAGTGGATTTCGGCGGAGGAGGCTGGCACGGGCGAGCAGCAAGGCTGGGTCGAGCTCGTTGCCAAGCTGCCGACGCCCGGCTCGAACACATTCTTGAATCTGGTTCGCGCATTGGACATGGGTTCCTCCGACCCCAAGCGCACGCCAGTGTGGATTTCGACCGAGGCCATCAGCGTGCGCGAGCATCTTTTGGCCGGTCTGGTTGACTCTACTGGCCGCATTGTGCCTGCGACCACCTCGGGCGATTGCGCTGATGATATCAGCCATTGCGCTGATCGTGATATGGACTGCAAGGCGGAGCAGGCCAAGTATGAGCGCGTTGACTTGGTTGCCAACCAGGAGGCCGTCGCCTCCAGCATCCTCGCGCTAGCTCGCTCCCTCGGCATCGCCTACTCTGTGTCGCGCCACGGGTCTTCTGCCGGTGACCGCAGGACCAAGAGTGGCTCTGCCCTGTCCGTGTCCCTGGTGCCATGCAGCGCGCTGAGCAGCGTGCTTTGTTGTGCATCATCTGGGCTCAGGCGTGTGTCCTCTCCCGCTGTCGTCCGCCACCTGCCGGTCGAGTTCAGATTCGATGTTGTTGAGTCTGGGCTGGCGCAAGCCGTACGAGGCGAGCTTTCATCGAGTGCGACTGGCGACCAGGCTCTGCCCTTGCGGTCGGTGGGCTCCGGGCAGCAGGGCCGGGACATCGTGGGCTCGTTTGACGCGAGCCTCGTTTGTTTGATTTTTACTGCCTTTGACATGTTTGGCTTTGCACGTGAGGACGTCGCCACACAGTTCGGTGTTGACGAATCGGCTATAGCGCAGTTCCTCGGTGGACAGTCGCCGAGTGAGCTGCTCGAGTGCCGCTTCCGCAACATGGTTGTCCAGCACTTGTCCTTGGAGGCCTTGCTCAGGATCGACGCCGCAAGACGCGCGCCTGGCAAGGGCGAGTACGTCGGCCTTACGCTGGAGAGCACATCGGACCAGCTCTTCATGCTGGCCAATAGTGCAATTGTCCACAACAGCAACGTGTACATTGGATTCCAAGTGCAGCTCGATTTGACAGGTATATTTATGCATGGCAAGCTGCCGACGCTCAAGATTTCGTACGTCAGCTTGTTCCGCAGTCACGCGTGGCAAAAGTCGCACGAGAGCCTCATTCTGGATCTCTGCCAGGTGATGGACAACGAGTTGGAGCCGCTGCAAATAGAGACGGTGCAAAAGGAGGCCATCCACCCGCGCAAGTCGTACAAGATGACGAGCTCGGCAGCTGACATTACATGCTTTGCATCATACAAGTGGCCCGTGTCGACGCCCAGCATGCTGACCGACGGCAGCGACCGGATGGACGCCGGAACGACACAAAAGTATTGGCTCGACGTGCAGCTGCGCTGGGGCGACTACGACTCGCACGATATCGAGCGGTACACACGCTCAAAGTTCCTGGACTTCACGACCGACAGCATGAGCATCTACCCGTCGCCCACAGGTGTCGTTATCGGCGTCGACCTGGCGTACAACATTTACTCAGCGTACGGAAACTGGATCCCCGGAATGAAGCCCCTGATGCAGCAGGCCATGGCCAAGATCATGAAGGCCAGCCCAGCGCTCTACGTCATTCGTGAGCGCATCCGCAAGGCCCTGCAGTTGTTCTCTTCCGAGCCCACAGAGAGCTACCTGAATAGCACAAACTATGCCGAGCTGTTCTCCCACCAGACGTGCTGGTTTGTCGACGACTCCAACGTGTACCGTGTAACCGTGCAGAAGACCTTTGAGGGCAACTTGACGTGCTTCCCTGTCGAGGACCATCAAATCTTGACCGAGCACGGGTTCTGGAGCCTGGACCAGGTGCAGGAGCACTTTGCGCGCCACTCAACCTTGCGCATCGCCTGCTACATCGAGGATGGCTCGCTCGAGTACCACTCGATCACCATTGATGAGGTGACCATTGACCAGGGCAAGCATGATTTAGTAGAGATGTTTGCACCCGAGGAGGATGTCTCTATCATGCCCACGGCCAACCACCGCATGCTGCTGCGCGTCGGCCGCTCGGATCAGGATAAGCTGCCGCTTGAGGTCCACACCGCCGGCTCTGTGCTAGAGCAGGGCGCTCATGATGAGACCGTGGATGCGCAATTTATGGCGCGCTTTGCCGCCGGCGAGTCTGTCAAGGACACTGGTATGAGCGATACAGAGCTTCCGTTTGCCACTGCGCTGTCATTGCGCACTGGCGATGAGATTGACGCGTTCCTCGAGCTCTACGGGTACTGGATGGGCACTGTCAGCGGTGATGCTATCGGTGGCCAGCAGCTGGATGCTGGTATGCGGTCCGTGGTGGTCATGGCTGTGTGCGACACAGACAAGAGCCATGTTGCCACGCTGGTGGCTCGTCTGGGATTGTGTGTCCAGCAAAAGTCGGTGTGCGAAGAGCAGCTGTGCCACTGCATCAGCGACCTGAGCTGGTGGTCCTACTTTGAAGGCCAGTACGGCGGCGATCACAGTGCCCTGTGCCTTTGGGACTGGGTCTGGAACCGTTGCCTGAGCATGCGCCGCCTGCGTCTGATCATTAGCGGCATGCAGCGCGCCTCGCGTGCGCACAACGAGATCCGCACCTCGTCGATGGGCTTCCGCGACGAGCTGCAGCGCCTGCTGCTGCACGCGGGATACTCGGCTGTGTTTGGCGGCGAGCCGAACGCCTGGACTGTGAGCTTCACCGAGACTGAGCAGCTGGCCGAGCCCAAGCTGAATGTCCGCCGGCAGTTCCGCTCTGTGGAGCAGCAGAGCGGCACGGTGTGGTGTGTAACGGTGCCATCCCGCGGGCAGTACATCATGGTCCGCCGGGTTCTGGCCACCGATGACGCGGGCCATGTTACCTCGGCATCGCGTCCGGTCGTTGTGGGAAACACTAAGCCGATTAACGGTGCCATGACGATTCTGAACCCGCGCACCGGTCAGTGCTTCATCAAGGTTATTCATAGCTCCGTGTGGGCCGGCCAAAAGCGCCTCGGACAGCTGGCCAAGTGGAAGACGGCCGAGGAAACTGTTGCGCTCGTGCGCTCGCTCCCGGTCGAGGAGCAGCCCAATCAGCTGATTGTCTCGCGCAAGGGCATGTTGGATCCTTTGGAGGTCACCATGCTGGACTTCCCGAACATCACTATCCGCGGTAGTGAGATGCAGCTGCCCCTGCAAGCCCTGCTGAAGATCGAGAAGATCGGAGATATGATTCTCAAGGCGACTGAGCCCAAGATGAGCATGTGGTCGTGCTATGATAACTGGCTGTCGACCGTGTCCCCGTACACAGCCTTCTCGCGGCTGGTGCTGATCCTGCGTGCGCTACACATCAACAACGAGCGCGCAAAGATCATCCTGCGCCCAGACAAGACCACCATCACAGAGCCGCACCACCTGTGGCCGACTTTGGCCGACGAGCAATGGATCAAGGTGGAGAACCAGCTGAAGGACCTGATCCTGGGTGATTACGGCAAGAAGAACAACGTCAACGTCGCGTCCCTGACGGCCTCCGAGATCCGCGACGTCATTCTGGGAATGGAGATCCAGGCGCCCTCACAGCAGCGGCAGCAGATTGCCGAGATCGAGAAGCAGGCGCGCGAGCAGTCGCAGCTGACCGCTGTGACCACGAAGACGCAGAACGTGCATGGCGACGAGATCGTGGTGACGACGACCAGCAACTACGAGAACCAGGCTTTTGCATCGAAGACCGAGTGGCGCCTGCGGGCCATTGCCGCGCAGAACCTGCCGCTGCGCACCAAGCACCTGTATGTGTCTTCGGATGATATCAGCGATACAGCGTACACGTACGTTTTGCCCAAGAACTTGCTCCAGCGGTTCATTACTATTGCCGATCCGCGCACGCAGATTGCTGGTTACCTCTATGGTGTATCGCCGCAGGGCAATGACCAGGTTAAGGAAATCCGCTCGATAGTCATGGTGCCGCAGTGGGCGACGCACCAGCAGGTGAATTTGCCCGAGAAGATGCCTAACCACGAGTACCTGCGCGATCTGGAGCCCCTCGGATGGATCCACACAATGCCCAACGAGCTCTCGCATTTGTCGCCGCAGGACGTCACCACGCACGCGCGCATCCTCGCCCGCACGGCGGACAAGCCCAAGGTACGCTGGGACGGTGAAAAGACCATCACCATGACCTGCGCCTTCACACCCGGATCGTGCTCGCTGACGGCGTACAAGCTGACACCGGCTGGCTTCGAGTGGGGTCGTGAGAACCAGAACATGACCTCGGCCAGCCCCGAGGGCTTCTCGCCAGCGTGCTTTGAGCGCGTGCAGATGCTTTTGTCCGACCGGTTCATGGGATTCTTTATGGTGCCGGACGACAATGGCCTGTGGAACTACAATTTCATGGGACCGGCGCATCGCGCCGACATGTCGTATGGCTTGCAGTTAGATGTGCCACGCGAGTTCTATGATGAGATGCACAGACCGAGTCACTTTATGAACTTTACTGATCTTGAGGGCGGTGCCGGCGATGAGGTCGACCTGGAGGACGAGTTTGAGTGAAAGCACGAGCTAATATCGACGCTGCTATGGATTCCCTTTTTCCTCTCTTTTCTCACTTTTATATTTTCTCAAAAGATGTTTCTAATTCTTTATTTTTTGTTTAAAGGATGAAGGATAAAAATGGATAATAGTATTTTTAGAGGAAAATTAGAATGCCACTCCTAGGCTTTGTTTTTGCTGCTGCTGCGGTTGCGATGATGATGATGGCTGCGGCGGTGGTGGTGGCGCGCTTTGCATTGGCGCCATGGTTGCGGCAGGCGGGAGGCTGGCATTTGAAGCGGAATTAGTCACAAACGCATAGCGCTGCTGTGGCGGCAACGTGCCAACATAGGATCCTTGGGACTTTGCGAGAAGCAGCTTGGCTGCACTGTGAATGGCATCAACTGACGGACGCAGGGCAGCTGGTGCATGAGCACCAGCGACTCTGGCTAAATTTATCTGCAGCTGCTTGGCCACGTCCCTCTCGGCATCTGTGATAAGACCAAAATCACCACTCGCCGCACGTTTGTCCTGCATATCCAGCAGCTGTGCCAGGAGTCGGTCGTTGGCGCTCAAAATTGACTCGGCGGTCTCGTCCTGTGTGTTACTGTTGCTGCCGTTCTTGCTGGGCAAATGCGAGTCCAATCCCACGTCGGCCGGTGTCAGGCCAAGATCGCTGAGCAGCTCAGGGGATATTGTGTGCTGGTCGGTCGAGTTTTCCAGAAATGTGCTCGCGTATTCTAGTGCCGAATCTATATCTGCCATCGAGACAGCAGCATCAGCGCCAGTGTGTTGGTTGCTACCATCAATGGCATTCGCCGTCTCGGCCAAAAACAGGTCTTCTCTTCTAAGCACACCGTATTCGGACGCCCTGAGAGACGATTGCAGAGAGTCTCTGGTGGGCAGGAAGCTGCTGAAATAACCATAGTCCTCGTCCACAGGCAACGCCAAAGGCTGTTGCTGCTTCAAGGTTTGCTTTGCTTTGAAACTCGAATTGCCTTTGGGCAAGAATGCCTCCAACGTGTAAGGCTTCCCCTGTGCTCCAGACGCGCTGTCTGACACACCAGCAGTGGCGGATGGGTGAATGACAATGTATTGCAGGCCTTCAGGAAGCTCCGGCAGGAGCTCACTGTGAGCGACAAATAGTGGGTCTGAGAACAGGATGCCAGTTTGTGTGCGGCGCAAAAGCGCAATGAAACGACCGCCTATGGGCGATTTGTTCTCCTGTGCAGCTTCAGCGTCCATCGTGTGCAAAAATTATTTAATAAATAAAACTGAAAATATACAAGATGGCAGCAAAATGCAAATGAAAACAAAAAAGAATGTAACGAAGAAAGGAAAGAAGGAAGGAAATGCAAAACGCGAAAAAGTTGAAATTAAATTCAAATTTGAATGCGCACGTATTTTCGTCGGTCCTTTTCACCTACGCTTCAAAAGAGGAATGGGTCGGTCTGTTTTAATTGATTTTTTGATTTTTTGATTTTTGATTTTTTTTTGTTATTTATACTTTAATGTTTACACTTGGATTGCGTTGTTGTTCGCAATGGCGCTGAAGCCATTCGCTGCGCTATGGGACGCACTGTGTTTCGCGCTATATTTATGGACACGGGGATGCCCCAATTGTCGGCGGTGACGAAGCCACCCGCATGATAAAACCCACGTACAATGCCAACAAGGAGACACCTATCATTGGCATGGTCGTGTACGAGGGCGAAGCGACAGAAGCCCTTTACGACAGCACTATTGTCAAGCCTGTCACATTTGTCAATGTGAAAAAGTGTTTTTCAGTTCCAAATGAGTAGATTAAGTGCAATTGCTTTTGCTTTTGCTTGTGTATTTTTGTCAACGTACATTTTGCAATATTGAATGGGAAATTACTTTATCTCAACTATTAAATGCTTTGTTTGCGTTTCCTTTGCATCATATCGACCACTTGTAAAAGTCTGCATTTTTCGCGCTGTCTTTAGTTATTATTAATGCAACGGGAAAATCATTGGGCTAAGGACAAGTGGGAATTCAGCCAGATGTGGCTGCGTAGATGTATTCTAATTGACTACCATGCACAGCTTGACAAAAACGCGTTAAATGACAAGTGCAACTGGTATTTTATGCTATCCTGATTTATTTTTCTTCTATTATCTCACTAATCTCACGTACCGCTCACGTCGAAATTTAATACCCGCCCCATGCAACCAATGTACTGAAAACAGTGTTTAAACTAAATATAATAAATGCAAAAAACCGATAATGCTGGATGCAATATTTGTGCCATGTATCTGCTGTGCTATCCAAATGTCTAAAGGATATACTCGGGATCTGAAAGCGAGGTTTGCGATTAATATTATAGCGGCTAATGTTTGGCTCACATTTTTTATTTTCCTTGCTCCCTCCCACGACCCTCGGCGCGTAAAAACAGCTAAAGGCAAAAATAAAAAAGCCATCGGTCAATGTTGGAATAGTTGTGTAGTTTTTGTATACTATTTTGTTGTGTTGTGTTGTGGGCATGTACTTGGGGTCATTAGAGAGTCTGGGAATACCTGCCATAGTTGCTGAACATTTTTTAAATATGATTACCTCTGCTAACAAAATGGTTGCAGGCATAATAAAGAACAAGGTAATCTGACAGCAACTGTGGTAGATGCACTCAACTCACCCCGTTTGGACAATTTTTTTTCCTGCTTGTTTGATTTTTTATTAGTTTATTACCAATTCTTTTATTTTATGCTGTGGGGCAAGTCAATCATTAAATTCAATTTTCAGATTAGCTCCTTCCATATCTTTTATTATTAGCACCCATTAAATATTTTCCATATATATTGGCAATATGCATATATCACAAGAGCTTCATATTGAATTTAATTTGCGTCAAGCATCCTAAAGATAAATCAAATGGCCGCACTTCTATATACACTTTACACTTTACACTTTACACTTTACACTTTACACTATCTACATATCCATATACCATGTAATTTTATCACCTCTTTGTTTTTTGTTGGGGGTAAATATCAAAAGTGAAAATATACAAATATACAAATATATATGGATCGACACCGCATGCCTCTTCAATCACTAAAAAATGGAAATATACCTTTTTTAACTGGTGCTTGACAACAGTTTTATTTAATTGAACTTTAGCTGTAGCATTGGTTGCCCACCGAGAAAACGCAAAGGTCAGTTTATATCTAAGAAAGTTGTGCTGGCACTCGAGCATTGTATTGCTGTGTGCCAATTAAAACCAATATCAACAATGAGTGATGGTAAGTGCACGCGAAAAGCTCACTTCTTTTTTCCATGTTTGCTGTGTATTATGTCTGTAATTGTGGTCGACACATAGACAATTCCACTGGCTGCAAATATACTATCACATCTGCGAGGCTGCACATGGCAAGTATTTAAGTACCGCATGTGTTTCTGTTCTGGTGAGGATGAGCGGTGGTTTTTCCTTTTTCTAACAGCCAGTGTGAATTATTATTAACTGTCTTTATATTTGAAACGGCACTTTTCGTTGGGCGAGGTTATGTTAGGAAACGCAGACACCCCTTTCCCTGGTATATTGGCGCGCAAAAAAGGACCACTCCAAACAATTACAACGAAATAAATTATACTCATTGTTTGTCTGTAGCCGAGCTGCTTCATTCGAATACAAAATTTTAAATGCAATTATAATGAGAGCGGAAAAAGCAATTCATTTTCGTGTGCATCACGCGTTATTCAGTTCTTTATTTTCGCGTGCGCGTTTTTTCGCACTATACGAGAAGAAAAGAAATAATGTAAAAAAGGAAAATGAATAAATATTTTCTGGTCGCCAAAAAGCAGAAATAGGAGGGCTATAAAAAGGGGGCGACCAGTTCCTGGCCATATCTTTCTCTCTGTTCTCTTTTCTTCTCCTCACACAGGTTGCCTCACTTTCCCTTTTATTTGATGATCGTCTCTCACTTCAACAACTGTGTCGTAAGGTAATGCACAAAGAACGTATGAAATGTACCAACCAACTATACAACCTTTGGCACCCCACATCATTGTCCCGGTATTAGACCTCGTGGCATTTGTGCTGTGTTGTCCAGTAGAACTGCTCGTTGTTCAGAAATCCGACGCGCCTGGCCCTTGCTGGGCTTAATAGAAAGTGTGTTATAATCTGCTTCCGGCCCCTGCTGAGTCAATGTGGAAGTGGGTGGTCCTCTGCTTCCGGCAACTTTGTGTTTGATGTGCGCCACTCAGCGCCTACTAGGGCTGCGCATTCGTCTCCTGTTTTGTGTTGTCTCTTTCTTGGCCGCTGTCATTGTTGTTGATCTGCTTCCTTTTATCACATATCAATGGTCCACTTTGGCAGCCCTGAGCAGCTTTGTGTGATGGTTTTCATCCGGAGCCAAGCCCCTTATTTTAAGTGGGGGTGGAAGCGAAGGAAGCACCCGGCCATGCGCGAGCACTCAGCCGGCTGGGGCTGCGAGTGGACCGGAGAGTGTTGCTTTTTGTGGAGATTGACGAAAGCGCCGCAAGTATCACGCGAGGCTGGTGTAGGGCAAGATTCCTGCGTTCTATATGCGGCGTCGTAATTGTTGCCTTGCAAGAGCAAGGCCGTACACAACATGCACAGCTCTATTGAGTTGTGGTTTGGTAAGCTGCTTGGCTAGGCTGAAAGCCTTTAGCTTCCCCTGGCGCCAGAATCAAAGCAGCAATTCAAGGTTGTGGGGGTGCTGGAAGATCTATAATTTTTTGGTTGTACATGTCATGTTAATAGCTGTGGGATTGACTGGAGTCCTTTTGTTGGGCTGAGCCACCCGAGAGCACTAGGGAGCTTGAGGATGCCTTCGGCGGCTGCTATACGATGATACGATATGCCTGCAATAAAATTGCAATAGTTACTTTTTAATAGGTACTCTATATTCCTCCGTCACTGGCCACCGGTGGCGGGGAAATGAATTGGCAATCACTTCTAACATCAACCGTGGAAAGCACACTCAATACTCCTCTTTTGAAACTCGGGTGTGGTTGCCCAAATAATTTTAAAAATGTATTGCTGGCCTTGTTAATTTTACTCCAACGTTGAAAATGATTTATATAAAAATATAAAATGCAAGGTTTTATTTATGAAACGCAAACATTATAAGTGTGTATTTACGTCTTCTGCCAAGGACAACTAAAATTGATGGTTCTACTTGTCTAGTCACATTGAGAATGTCAATCCCAAAGGTATGGCCGGTACTAGCACCAGCATTATCTATAAAACACCGCCTGGTTAACAGCTGGCGCACAAACTAATTGACTCCTATTTTTTGTAACGGTCGCTCTAAACAAACCAATGTGCTTCAGTAATACCATCACTTTCTATTATTATTGTTTTTGTTGGCCAAAATAAAATATGTGAATTGCGCGCTGCGAATATGAACTAAAATCAATTCGTTTGCGACCTCTTCGTGCAGATAATTGGAGTGAGCAACCCAAATGGCCAAAAATGAGCAAATACATAACCTGTGCGAGCGCCTCTAGCCAGAAAAGCCAGTCTCTACGGCGAACCAACATGACAACATTGGCTTCTTTACGGACGGCCTACTGGTAAAAAAAATAGGACGGACCAAGCACAACCTTTGCCGCCATAGTGACGTGCACCAACAATGAGGGACATTCGCAGGAATTCACCATATCAGGACAGACGGGGGACGGAAACTTTTCATCTACGACGGGCGAGCTTATGGTGATAGCAATTGTGACTGGCCTGATTCCATCGGTAAATAAATTTGGGGTTTACTGCGACTCCCAAGATAACTGTAAAATCATATAAACTTTTAGCAAATATTAATTAAAATTAAAGTAGCATTTATAATATGTCAATAATAATGACAATTGTTGTGACTGGGGCGTTAACAAGTACCACGTGGATCCAAACAAAACTTATCACAGAAACTTTGTATTTGATTCAGATTGTCAAAATATGATATGCGTATGCAAACTTATCTTTCGGACATTGTGGGTGACTAACCAAACAGGTTTAAAGTGGTCATCGGGATTTGCGTTATACACATTGCAAGGATCCTACTACACTGCTATACAGACATTTCTCGAATTATGTAACAGGCAATTGATGGCGTGACCAGTTTAAAAATAGAACGCTTAACCAGGCAGCCGAAGACCACAAGACAAATTGGATAGATAAGCATTGCCATCTCCATTGTAAATATAGCTATCTCAGTGTCCATTTTCTGTTTTTTCTTCTTTTTTTTGACAAAGCCGACAATGAAAGCACGCTGACATTCCCGTGGATGCCATATTGTGTGAACACGGAAAAACGTGACTTTTTAATATATATATGAGTGCATTTCAGTCACATTTTGATAAGATGACCTGCCAGAGATAAAGCAAACATAGCCGTTCCGGGCCTTGGAGATCTGTATGGCGGACTCTAAACTGCAGCTGCTTCATTCTAGTTTTCTCAGCTGAACAGGGGATAAGCAGGTGCATATGTTTAATTGACCAAAAAAATTAATACCGGAACTCGAGTGATAGTAAGCAGGACAATTAAGTGACTTGCCAAAAGTATAATAACTGTGCACAAAAAGATTGGCGCATACAAGTTACTCGCCACTAAAGTGCAAAAAAACAGATTTGCTGGGGAAGGGGCAAATGGAGGCAGGCATCCTTTTTTACCCTGGGGGTGGGTTGCGATGGGATTAAAGGGGGTAAGGATAGCAAATGCTATTTTCTGAAGACTGGTTTCTCGCTGGCATCTGCTTTTTTTATGGATTTCCCCCCTCCCCTTGAGCGCATGTGCAATAAACTGCCCTTTCGGGCGTGCTATTATTCAATTGGTGAGAGGAAAAAGAAAAACTCAATTGGCAAAGCCGCAATTGCTGCTGAAATGATGACGAGCAACGCGTCGCTTGTCCGAATCATTTAAATAACACACTGGACGAGCACGATATCTCATCCCCCCGCGCCTTTTGTTTTTCTCTATCTTCATCCTCTTCGATACTCTTTACACTCAAGTAACTTTTTCCCGGCCATAGTACAGAAATCAATCCATCATATTATTTTTATTGTATTTAAATATCCATTTAATCTCATTAGTTTTATACACTATCGTTTTCAAAACATGTCGCAGTCAACAAAAATCTGTCAGCAAGCTGAGAAATCCGTCAATAATATGTACATTAGTATGAATCAGCACCCGGCCCACCACAACTTGCGCACGCCGCCTCTTGGCCACCAAACTGCCTTCAACATACAGCAGCAGCCATTGACGATCGCGACGAATCAAGTCAAACAGTTTGGCTACTTTCCTTACCACTACGACAACCAATTGACCTCTTCACCTTGCTCCTCGGGTACCTGCTACTCCCCCGAGGCGCGTTTTCCCTTGGAGGCACCTGTCTCTGAGTTTTCTGGGTCGAACCATCCAGATAGTGGCATGGATGCAAAATCGCCATCGGCCCGGTGCTTTCCACCCAAGACCGCGTCGCCGATCCCGCTGGCAACGTTGGCTGCGGCCGCTGCTGCTAAGCATACTCAGATGCACGGCTTTGTTGTATCTTCTTCTAACGTTATGGTTAGCCAGCCGCCTGAGCAGCTTCAGCAGAGGCAGCAGCAGCAGCAGCAACAAGAGCAGCATCAGGAACCACAGCCAACAACAGCTCGTCGGCGTGGAGGCCGCAAACCGGCGCGTGGCTTAACCGCAGAGGAGAAAGAGAAGCGGCGCAAAGTCTCACACTCTGCAATTGAAAAGCGTCGCCGTGAGCGCACAAACAACGTACTCCGCGAATTACAGATACTAATTCCCGAGTTGGGAAAGAGCTCAAAAGTTCAGAAGCTTGAGATCATCGAGGCTGCGGCACAGCATATTAAATATTTGCGCGCGTTGTGTGGTTATCCAAAAACTGCTAGTATTGCGGAATCTGCTTTTGCGCGCCCGGTGGCTGGGCCACCAATTGTTGCAAGTGGATTCGATGAAGATGACATTGCTGAAGAGCCGGAGGAGGCGGAGGATGATGCTGATATTGAGGATGAAGTGAATGTTGCTTTGCAGCCGATGGATGTAAATCAGGACTCTGGTGCGCCATCACATGGTTCTATGAATGTCGGTTTCCTTCTGATGTAAAAATCCTGACTCAATAATTTTCAGTCAAACATTCTAAGCAACATTACAGCGGCATTTTTTAGCATTGGCAAGCGGGGAGTGGTCCCCCCGCATATTGTTGGTATGCGTTTGTCTGCTTCACAAACTCGATCCTGTAACATCTCAAACACTTGCACTCTTTATTTTTCATATTCCATTATTCATTAATCCATTAGTTTATTGCACACAGATGCACATCATTAATTTTAAAAATAAAAAACCATTTGTACCGCCATATAAGTAAAAAATTTAGTGCACGAAAAAGCCAACCTAAATTGCGGACCAACGCCAAATAAGCGAATGACATGTTTCACTTGAAAGCAGTAACATTATAACAAAAATTCCTATTTATTTTACGCTTGGGAAAAAATTGCGGGGAAAAAATGGATAGCCTCAAAAAGTGAAATTGTTTTCAATAGCATTTGCACTGCAAAAATGCTGTCCACTGTATTTTTTAAAAAATGTTATGAGCAACATCCTGAACGCATCGAAAAAAATTTGAGGGGAGAAGGAGAAATTTGGAGTTGCAGCGCACGACACAGCACGACATGTGAATGTTAATGTCAATTGACCTTTGATTCCATCCGATCGCCCGATGAAAAAATAGGAAGATATAAAAAAGCAGTATTTCAGGTTCGATTTTTGGTGCTTGAACACTCCCCCTACCCTTTTTTATTTTACCCCCGCAAAATAGACAAACCCAAAACATAGTGCCCATGTATTTACGCATGCTGGTTGAAAAATACAAATTGAAATTTGCAAAAAAAAAGACAAATGAATGAATGCATGAGCAGTAATTATGATCGATGGGGGAAAATACATCATTTGTCAATATCCAGATGCAATACAAGGTATTTAGCGCTATGGTCATTTGCATTAATCTGTTGCTTTTTCTCACGACAACTGAAATGCACACTCAACTGGGCGTCTAATTTTATAACACAATTACTATTACAAAAACCATTTTTTGTGGACTGCATTGCCAAGCGAGTATGCCTCTGTCAATGTCTGGTGCAGATCTGCAGCGTTGGTTTAATGCGACATCAATGTGACTGGGGCTACCGGGAAGCCCGTCTTGCCAATCTAGCGCAACAAAATTGTTTTTTGTTTATTTTTACAACCACACACGACACCATTGCAATTAAATAAAATAAAATTGCAGTCAGACGACCTAAACGCAATTCAAAAAATGAGGATCAACAAGTGTGAATTCTGGCATCATTTCTATTTGGGGATTGAGATCTTGTGAGCAAAAAAAAAACTGACCTCGTTTTTTTATTTATGTGTAAAAATAAAAATGCATATGCATTTTTTGAATCTATCTCATTCCTTGGTTCCTTTGGCACGTGTACACGCGTAGCGCAACTAAGTTTTTTTTTTGCAAAACGAATTGTGGAAGAAAAAACAATCCCATCGACGGAATTCCTCAATGCTGAAAACTAAGCCGCAGTTCTGGGGTCCCAGTGAGATAGAAAGAGAGAATGTAAAAAGGCGCAATTGTCAATCTATCTGTCTTTCATGTTAGCGGGGCTGATCCGAGATGCGCACAACTCGCCTTTTTTGTTTGGTCTAGATACCTTGTTAAACAAAAAAATGAAACAAAAATAGAAATAAAAAACACACCTGTACCCGCGCTATTTAATCAATTCTCAGAAGAAGCTTGCCTGTGGTCTTGCGGCCCTGCAGATCAATATGAGCCTGCGCGGCATCCGCTAAGTCGTACGTCTTGAACACCTGGATGTCAAGCTTCTTCGCAGCCAACAGCTCCACCAACTCATTCAGATGGCGGTGGCGCTCCTCCTCGGTGACCAAATACCCGTAGAGAGAAGGACGCAAGAGGGTCAAATTCTTAGGAGTCAGATCAAAAAGGTTGACTGGCGGAACAGTTCCTGAGGCATTTCCAAAAGACACCATCGAGCCCAAGCGGCGCAACGACTGAATGCTTCCATTAAAAGTCGACTGGCCAACACCATCGTACACCACATGTACGCCCTCCTCTACTATCTTCTTTACAGACTCGGGCACGCTCTCCTGCGTATACAGGATGATGTGGTCCGCACCAGCTTTGCGTGCCACCGCCGCCTTCTCCTCGTTAGAAACCGTGGCAATGACATTTGCGCCGTAGTGCTTGGCCAATTGCACAAGCAGTCTGCCAGTGCCACCGGCGCCCGCCTGCACCAGAACCCAGTCGCCCTGCTTGACCGCATAGGAGCGCGTCACTAGAGAGAGCGCTGTCAGACCCTGGAGGAAGGCAGCGGCGGCAATGTCAAGCGGAATGATCGAGGTATCAATTTTAATTGCCTTCGTGGCATCGGAAATGGAGTACTGCGCGTAGGTATTGGAGCTACCCAGGTAAACAACGGCATCGCCGACGGTGAATCCTTCGACACCCGCGCCGACTTCTATGACCTCGCCTGATGCCTCTTGGCCCAGGGAGGATGGTAAGGTTACAGGATAGACACCGGAGCGGAAGTACGTGTCGATGAAGTTGACGCCGGCAAATCTGTTGCGCACGAGAAGTTGGCCTGGTCCGACCGCAGGCTTGGCCACTTTGACCACTTTGAGAACCTCTGGTCCGCCGATCTGCTCAAATTGAATAGCCTGCATGTTTGTTGTGTTTCGCTTAAACGTATTGTTATTACAGACTTAAAAACAATTGCAAAGAAAAATAATAAAGCGTCGAAAATAAAAAAGGTTGCGAATAAAAAAATAAAGAAAGGAGAAAAAGGGGATGGGTGACGCAACAATCTGCGTCTCATTTTATAACACCGAGTGGGTGACGTTTTTAGATCAAAGGTATTTGTCAGCTTTATCGGATCTAGAAATAAAGAAAGGTGCAATCTCAGCTTGAGATTCCCTCATCTAACGCTCGCTAAAGCTAAACATGTTTAATTTATTGCAAAAAATTATAAAAGAGAATGCGGTAGCAGCAATTATTAAATCAAAAAAACAGGAACCGGAAGAGCCACACGGCCAGGAACAGCACGGCAAAGAATCTGATGTTCTGGTATGCAGCCAGCCATCTAAAATTCAGCGTGTATGCGCGCAGCGACGGCGGAATCGGGTATGACATGGACTCGAACAAATTGAGCAGCTTTTGGAAGCAGTCGTTGGCAACCACGTCGAGCCACAAGGTGTGGTCCAACAGCCACTGGTTCTCGTACGACCTGGCCACGTATAGCGCGCGGGGCCCCCGTGGCAGTAGCGCAGCATCAGTCTCAAAGTCGGCTCCGACTTTGGCAGAACTCTCTCGTACATTCCATCTGGGCGGCGGAGACTGCATCTGCAGGGATGGTCCCAGCATCGATCTCCGGGCACTGTCGCCAGTGGGGGTTGCCGAGCCCCGGGGCGATGCCAGCAGCGACTGCGTGGTAAACTTTTTTCTTCCTGTCTTGAGTTCCCAGCGGCCACGCGGCGTAAGCGCGCCGTGCTCCATATCAGGGGAGCTCACACCCCCACTCCCGGCCCACTCGCTCGGGTTGCTACGCGCGGCCAGGCGCTGGCCGAACCCGTTGCTTTTCCCAGTGGACATGCCCAGCGAAAACAGCGTATCGTCCTGTGACATCTTGATCTCCTCGATGACTTGGCGGGGTACGTAGAACACTGCAGCTAGACGCTTATACAGCGACGCAATGCGGCCCTGGGCCTCGTGCAAGGCCTGGGCGCGTGCGCGCATTGTCTCGCTGGCTCCGCCCAGACGGTCAGACACGTCACCAATGCCGCTACCACCCGACGCCCACGGCCGCGCACCAGGATCAGAATCGGTGGCTGAAAAGACACGTGAAATCACGAGGAAGATGTCAGAGACCAGTGACCGCGCCTGGTCGGAGCTTCCCTCGGGCACAATCAGCCGGAGCTGCCTCTCGGCCAAAAGCTCGGCGCCATGCAGGGCGTGCACAACGGTCTGGAGCAGCGGCGCGGGAGGACGGCCAAACACAATGCATATAGGCGGGTTTCCAAGCGCGCCCAGCACCATGGTGTCGAGCACCTGCGACCCGCTGCGGAAGGAAAGGCTCTCTGAGGCGTATGGCGCCAAGTGCTGCTGTGCGGTTGCGACAAGGTACTCGAAGAATGCGCCGTCCTTCTGCCCCTTGTTCTGCTGCTGCAATTGCTGCTGCGGTGGCCTGACGCTCGGCGCTTTGGTCGGCGTGGCCATCATTCCATTCTCAATGGTGGGGCCGAGTGTGGGCACCACAGTGGGCGTGTCTACGCCCATCTGGCTGCGCAGGTGCGGGAATGCATCCAGCTGGAGTCGCTCGACAGCCGCGAGGATGGCGCGAAGTTCAGTGCTTGTGAATGCACTGACCACGCGCTCAACCACCGTCAGCGCGTCCATGTTATGACCGTGGCCAAATACCGAGCCCACGGCGCCGTTAATCCATGACTGCACGCCATGGCCGGGTTGCTCGCCCAGCGTCTGCACCGTGTGCGCGAGTAAATCGACGTTCGGTGACGAGATCTGGCGCAAAAACAGCGCGAATGCCTGGCCATAGAGCACAGACGACATGCCCTTCATCATCAGCGGGATTCGCGACTGCCACACGGGCGACAGCGCATCTGCAGCGGTGCTACTGGGGCTGTCTGTCCTCGAGCTGCGCCAGGGCATTATGTACCGAATCCATATGCTCGCAGTGACGTCCAAAAACGGAATCCAAATATCTGTGTCCGCAATGCCCGCGCGGCTGCAGCAAGCCAGCATCAGGCCGAGTGTGTCAGCGACAGACACAGTTAACAACCGCGACCGCAGTGTATCGCGAATTGTGCCGCTCATGCCGACGCGCTTGTCGTAGGCCTCTATGTACTGCGCGCTCACATTGTTGTTTCTTAGCGGGTTTACAGGCCCAGACTGCCCAGTTGCCGAGGCCGTTTGGGGCAGGGCACCAGTCAAGTGGTAGCGTTCCATCTGCCGCTCGCCCTTGGCAAGGTGCCCAACCAGCATGTGGAACAGGTTCAGCGCCGACAGGTGCGAAAAGCTCGGAATCCAAACCCATCCGGACGCGTCGCACATGGGATCATTCGCAGCCAGCAGGCCACCGGCCTCCTTTTGCGCCACGCTGCGAATGGAAGCCCGCAAGTCCCTGGTGATGACCGGCAGCCACAGGAGTGTCGCGCACGAAGCAAAGTAGGTTGCCAGGTCGAGCGCCTGCGCATACTCGCAGGTGTCCAGCAGATCGACATCGGTCGTGCCTGGCTTGCGCGCATCGCCCATGTCGCCTTGTTGATTTGTCTGTGTTCTATTCGGGCTAAAGTCGCTCAGCCGGCTATGGATCTGATTCATCGGGTTGGCATCACCGCCGGATTCGTTTTGGGCATTGAGCCGCTTCTCGGGCACAGACACGGGAAGGAAAAAACATGTGTATTCGCGCGCCAAGCAGGATACTGCTGATCCTGAAACCACTGCGCCGTGGCTGACTGGCTTGCGCCCTGCCGATGTTGATGGATATTCAATAGATCCACTTGCCAGGTCAGTGGAGTTCTCCCGCGGCGGCACAAGCGCCTTGCACAGGTGGAAGATATAGTATTCGAGCGCGTCGACGTTAAACCCAGTGCTCCGATCACTATTGCTGTTTCCAGCAGCTTCCACACGCCTGGCAAATTCTGCAGGCAAGGCTGGACTCCTGCTGCTATGAAACTCCACGGGAAGGCTCTGCACTTGTACCACTAGGCCATAGACAGACGAACCACGCTGCCGCTGCAAAAGATGATACTGCAACAGTGTATCTACCAAACGCCCGTCTGGCCGCAGCAGCATGTACAGCGACCGCTGCTCGTCGCTGCGCATGGCCTCGCTGTTCTGGAACCAGGGGTAAAGTAGTTTGCCTATGGACTCGGATATCTCGTTTATGGCCTGGGCACCACCGTTGGATTTGGACTCTAGACTGAGGTACGGCTGCAGGCTGTCGTAGACCACCGTCGGTGAGCCGTTTTCAAAGGCCACCCGCAGTTGCTCAATTGAAATTGGCGCCGCGTTTGCGTCAGCAGCAGCGCTGGGGGTGCTGCTGAGTTGCTGGTCGCTGACGTTCATGGCTTGTTGGCTATACTTTTATATTTTATTTGAAGCCTCTGTATACCTTTGAATTAGAGAAAATAAATAATACGACAAATTGGTGAGCAAATTCAAGAATGGACAGAATCGAGAAAGCAAACCACGAACACAAACGTGCGTTTGTATTTTTTGTGCAAGAAAAACGCGTAGATTTAAAATTATGTGGATGTGGGGATGTTGGAATGGTTGATCGCAAACAATTAATCAACCGATCACGATTAATTGTCATAAAAAAATGAATAAAGTTGCATTTTAGAAAGTGAAGCATTGTAGCTTTGCACAACTTTGGCCAACTATCCACAATCTGTCTGACAATTGCAAACGAATGCTCACACGCGTGTTTTTGTATTTTTCCTAGATTAAAAATAATCTTTTAAAGCAGACAACTGAGTAATTGAAGTTTTGGTCTCTCTGCTTTGCCAGTTTTCTGGTTTTCTGGTTTTCAGTGGTTCTCAGGCATTTTGTAAAAAAAAACATGTGTGCTTTGTATAATTTATGGCAAAGTATGCCAATTTGTCCGCCAATTATAAATGAATGTGTAAAGAAATGTATTTCACAATTTGAAACATAAAATACATAAAAAAAATATTTCTATTGAGTGCATGAAATTTTAATATTTTTTTTATGTATTTTATATTTATTATAAATTGTAAACAAAACTGTACTTAACCTGTATTTATATTATAGCTGAAAAGCTATGCTAATGTACTGTTAAGCAGACTGATGATATGGAAGTGGATGTCGAGGTTGTTAATCGCGAAAAAAGTTTCCATCTGCATGCCGGTTGATAGGGTGCTAATTGGATTATGCAGGAGTAAATTAGGAAGACATAATAATGATGCCCAGATATGCTCCCCATATTGCAATACACACGCGTGAGTGCACACACACGAAAACCACAACATTGACTTGCCAAGGTACCGGTCTTCTCACAGAAGAATCAGTTCTCGCCAACAGAGTCCACAATTGGCAATGTGCACAACAAAGGCGACAAAGCACATATATAAGACGAAGCCAGCCCTAGTTCTACTTTTGATTCCATTGATAATAAAAACTTTCATAAATCAACACCCCGTCCTTCTAAAACTACCACAGTAGTGCCCCCTCACCACCCACCTCTTATTATAACAGTGCTGACACGGGTTCAGCATATCCAATGTTGCAGGTTATTAGGTGGTATATATGCTTAATGATGTTGCATTTGTGCATCAGTAAATCTTAATCCGGTGATTTATTTTCCATCGACAATTTTCTTCTACAATTTTCAAATGGTGTTCTCAAGTACTTTTTTCTAAACGACTGTGCTCTCGCTTCAACACACTTTTTTAAATACACCTGAAAAATAACCTTTCAATTCAAAATAATAATTCGCATAAAAATATGCCAAAGTCGCGCTCAACAAAACGCCGGCAACCAGTGACAACCACAATGGCAGCAGGCAAGCCCACCGGCACTCAAAAAACAATACCTCTTCCGCCGATCCACATCGACGGCCAGGATAAAATAATAATCAATACTACGGCACTCAGCGACGTGTCTCTCGGAAAGCTAGGCAAATCATCGACGGACACGCGGCGGCGCATCAACCACTTTCACACGCTGATTAAAGAATACAGCAAGCTGGCTTCAAAGAGGCAAGCGCGCGGCAATGATTTATCTGCAGAGGACATGGTGAGTATAGGTGAGCGGATCGAGGATGTGTCGCGGGAGATGGCGCAGATGGGCGGTCTGGACTGGTACCAAAAGGCTAGTCTGTTGGGCCAGTGCAAGCAGCGCGGCGGTGATACGAGCAGATGGCTGGTGCCGAAGATGCGGGACTTGGGCGTGGACAAGAGGCCCGGGAAGACAAGGCTGTTGGATGTTGGGGCCCTGAGCTGTCTGAACTACGCCAAGGAGAGAAAATGGATTGACGTGACGCCGATTGACTTGAACTCGCAGGAGCCGGGCATATACAAGCAGGACTTTTTGGACATTGAGCTTGACAGCAATGCCCCTGTTCCATTATTGTCGCAACATGATGATTCTGGCAGCGGGGACGAGAGCGACATTGAGACAAACACTGCGCATTTGTTTCAAAGTCCGTTCGAAGTTATCTGTCTATCGCTAGTGGTGAATTTCATAGGTGATCCGGCCAGGCGCGGCGACATGCTGAAGCAAGCGGCGCGGTTGCTCGCGCCCGAGGGACTCTTGTTTCTCGTCCTCCCCCTCTCTTGTGTTGCCAACTCGCGGTACCTTGACGACGAGCGGCTTTTGGAAATAATGCAGTTCTTGGGATTCACCCAGCTCCACCAGAACCACACGGCAAAACTTGCACATTATCTCTACCGCCTCACAGCCAGCATACCTGCTACCGCATCAGCATCGGGAGATGAGCCGCAATTTAAGAAAAAGATGCTTCACTCGGCACCCGGTAGAAACAACTTTTCAATTGTAGTATAGCCATTATTTAAATAATAATAATAAAAACCACGAATTATTTCCTGACAATAGAACGGTGGAACAAAATGTCAAAGGTCTTTGGCGACTTGAAGTTGCCTGAGCGATTCATGATGAATGCATAGGCATTGCCGGGCGCATAGATGCTGTACTGCGGCGAGCCATCGCGAGTAACACCCTGGGGCCCCTTTCCCGTCACCAGTGTGTCCCTTGAGTACATTGCGCTAATCGGGTACTCCCTCGTGCGCGTACCGCGTCCCGAAATCCGGTATGTATCCAGAAGCACTGTCTGCCCATTGTTAACCACCCTCATGCGAGCAACCGACCGGCTGATGTAATGCAGGATTCCGCCGCCAATAGACACACCGGCAATAATGGCAACAGCAGAGATGCACGCGCGCTTCCATTTGGGTGACAAGGCCAGCTCGCCGGTCTCCTCGTTCTTGTCCATTGAGTATCGCCAGTAGAAATCGGCAAAATTGAGCCACATTAGCATTTGGCCGCCGACTACCCAGGGGCCCCAGCTGTATTGGTTGCGCTTGGCTTGTCTATCAAATATTGTCACTTCAGTCTTGTCCTTGAACTGGGCTAGCGCCTTGCGCTTCTGTACTATGTCCATTTGGACGCTGCTTCCATGCTTCCAACGCCGTAGAAGTGATTTTGAGCGCAGGGGCTTGAAGAAGCGAATGCCGCCGAAAAACATTTTCGCTTATTCCTTTTTGGTGATGTGATAGAGGTAAATAAAATAAAAAAATAAGGTGAATTAAAATAAACGCGCAATCGATAAAATGAAATAGGGCTTATCTCATTGTCAGTGCCTTTTGAAAAATATATTAAAAAAATGACAAAAAAGGCTCACGGTGTTGATAAAAAAAAGAGGAACACTGCAGCTGCCAGCCCAAAGTAAAATTTACAGACCGCTTGCGGGGACCACGCACGTGCATTGAACATCCTTGCTAATTTATCTTTCACTCTATTATTTGAAAAATAATACACGAGTGACCAATGCAAGTGCCAGTTAAACATGACCATTTAAATATTGATAATAGTAACAAATGCAAATTTTTTTGAACGAAGAAATAATGATGATAAAAAATATTAAGCTGGTCAAATATATAAAGTTAGACAGCCAAGTGACTGAGGGCTGAGTGGGCGGGAAACCTGTCCCTTGCGCGCTCTTACTCTCTCACTTACTCTCTCTCTCTCACATTCTGCCACTGTTGCCCTTCTGCTTGGGATTGCGGTTAGATGGCAAATACGACTCTTCGTACTGCGACATGCCCATCCCATTAGAGTCATTTCCCGAAAGCGATGACAACGATGTGACTGGAGGCGATATCGAGTTTATGTGCATTATGCTGTTCCCCTGCTGGCGAAGAGACATGTTCTGTTCAGGCAACGGCGCCGCCACTACTATCGGTCCGTAGGGCGACCATGCTTGGGGCCTTCCAACCATCCCACCAACATTGCTTCTGTTGCCGCCACTGCTGCTGCCGCCAATAATGGCACTCAGTGGGTGACTGAGGGCCTGGAATCTCCCCGAGGGCAGCTCAGCTGACACATCCGCGCCTTGGCTATTAGCAGGATCCAAAATCGGATCATACGACGCATTAACGGCATCCGTCAGCTGCTTCATCCACATATCATAGTAAAGCGAGCTCGAATCAGCAATCAGCTCAGCATGCGTACCGCGCTCAACAATCTCTCCATCCTTCACAATAAGAATCTGATCGGCGTGGATGATAGTCGACAGGCGATGAGCAATGATCAGTGTCGTGCGGTTCTGCGTCATATCGCGCAGGGATGTCTGGATATTTCGCTCCGTCGTCGTATCCAATGCACTGGTGGCCTCGTCCAAACAGACAATTCGCGGGTCCTTCAATAGCGTGCGTGCAATGGCCACGCGCTGCTTCTCGCCGCCCGACAGACGCTGGCCGCGTTCACCTACGCGCGTCTCGTATTGGTCTGGGAACCCCATAATGCGATCATGGATGTGCGCGCCGTCAGCAGCTCCGGTGACGTCGGTCATGGTTACGCCACCGTTGGTGCCTGCGCGGCCGTAGGCAATGTTGTATCGGATGGAGTCGTTGAAGAGAACAGTGTCTTGGGGCACGACGCCGATGGCCTGGCGTAGCTGGGTCTGCAGGACGCCGCGGATATCCTGGCCGTCAATGAGAATGCGGCCAGCCTGCACATCGTAGAACCGGAAAAGCAGCCGCAGTATTGTGCTCTTGCCGCTGCCGGACGGGCCGACAATGGCCACTGTGGAGCCGGCGGGCACCTTGAACGACACGTTTTTGAGCGTCAGCTGCCGGTCGTAGGAGAACGAAACGTTGTCAAAGACGATCTCGCCGTTGGGCACGTTGAGCGGGGCGGGGACTTCCGGGTCCTTGACCTCGATGGGCTCGTCAAAGAGCTCGAGCAGCTTCTCCATGTCGATAAAGTTCTTTTGGATCACACGGTAGTAAGTGCCGAACCAAGTCAGTGGGCCGTAGAGCTGCGTAATGTACGCCAGGAGCATGGCAAAGTCACCAACAGTCATCTCGCCCTCGTACACGCGGTGGGCGCTAAGCAGGGCGCCGGCCAAAAGGCCCAGCTGCACAATGAGGTTCTGGCCCAAGTTCATCAGGTTCGCTGTTGTCGTGCTCAGCCACTCAGCCACCTGGTACTCGTCAATGGCCTTGATATACTCCTTGACCTCGAACTTCTCCGCGTTGTAATACTTGACCGTTTCAAAGTTCGTCAGCGAATCAACCGTGCGCGCCTCCATCTCGTGATCCAGGTAGTTTGCCAAGCGCCGGTACTCCGTGCGCCAGCCGACCAAGAGAATAGTGACCGCCATGAACATGGACATTGTGGTCAATACAATGGTGCCAAAGTACAGGTCAAACATGACGGAGAAGAAATAACAGGCGAGCACAATATCTGCCAACGTCGGGATCACGTTAAACACAATGGATGTTAGCAGGGACACAACAGAGGTGACGCCGCGATCCTGCACGCGCAGGATCTCGCCAGTCTTCCGCCCCACATGGAACCGCAAAGACAGCCGGTGCATATGCTCGAACATTGCCACAGAAATACTCTTCGTCGTGTTCTGGCCAACAGGGATCCACACATAGCTCTGCATTGTGTTTAGAATGCCCTCGCTGCCCTGCATTGCGCGCAAAACAACGTACAACAGGACATGTACCCAGGCGAACTGCGCTGGGGTGCCATCCTTGGGCGCCAGGGAATCAACGACGATCTTGAATTGCATCGGAACAAGCACATTGACCAGGCGTCCGGCGGCCAGGATCAAGATGCAGCCGACCAGGCGGAGCTGCAACAGAAGGTTGTTGGACGGCCACATGAAGGGCAAAAGAATGTTGATTCTCCGCCGCATGCTCATCATGTTGGGGCTGTAGTCGTTGGACTGGTGGTACATGCGCGCCTTCTTCGCCCCGCTACGCAAGGCCTCGGTCTGGTTCTCTGAATCATCCATCATGGTGTTGTTGCCGCGGGCAAAAGTCGGTGGCACAAGTGGTGTGAACTCGGTCGGTGACTGCATACCGTTGTTGCCGTTGGCGCTTGGGGAGCTGCTGCCGGTCTCAGGGCTGGACGGATCAGAATCAATTGCGCCATACACTCCCCCGCCAAAACCCGTATTCGAAGAAGTAATCGTGGGGCCAACGTTGGGATTGACTGGCAACCGCGACTCACCAGTATTCCTCTTCTGCTGCTGCCGCTGCAGGGCAACCGCATGCTGGTACTTGTTGCAAAGCCGCATTCTGTAAGCTGCGCACGCCACCAAAATGGTATTGAGCATAATACGGACGGAGATCAACGACCACAGCATAACGTTTTTTGTCGCCGGCGTTACCCCGGAATCAGCGCCCCAGGACGAATCGCAATTAACGTAAACAAAGAGCTCGCATACAGAAACCAGGAGCGAAAACAACCAAAAAAACTCCCGCGATGCCGTCCACGAAAAAGCACTACCAGCAGCAGCACTTGAAAGGACAGAGCTAAATTTGTCGCAGGCCAGGTACTTATGTCTCAGCTGCAGTATCCATGATGTAGCCGTGCAGATTTGGGCAAAGGCAAGCCATGAGACCAGCGTGATAGCCATGGAGCTCTGTCTACGACGAACTAACTCTTGCCTTAATGCGAAATCAAGCATGGTGTGGACGAGACATTCGGCCACCAAAAGCCATACGAGGAGGTTACATATTTGACTTAATATCTCGCCACGCAATCCTATTTTGCTGCTCTCGCTGTTGTCCTCTGTCGCGTGGGCCTTTTTGCCCTTTGTCTTTTTGTTTTTTTTGCTGTGTGCGATGTTTTTAGTCACGGTGGACGTCCGGTGGATGATGTCGTTGTCGTTGTCGTTGTCGTCTTCGGTGGATGCAAATGTGGATTCTGATGCGCTGTTGGATAGGCAGAATGGCATGTTATGTTCTTCAGTTCTTGGGGAATGCAGCAGGTTTTGGCGCTCAATGTCTAAGGCGTAATTTCCTATATGTACAATGATACAATGTTTTGTTTTTTTAGAGCATGTGGTCAATTAAATTTGCATATGTATTTGTGCTACTCAATTAATAGGCATAGTGTGGTGATACACATTAATGTAGCACGCACGTCCACACGATGCCCGTGGTTGCAGAGACATTGCTCTGCTCTGCATAAGCGCATAAATGGCGGATACATGAAAAATGAATATAAGTAGGAATGGGTGAATGGCATAATACATAGGAAAAAATAAAAAGGGACAGCCGGTATATCTTTTTGTCCTATTTCTACAATGTAAAGCTTTTCTTTTGCTTTGTCGGCTTTATCTATTATCCTTTAGATTTTTCTAAAATCTAGAGATAAAGCGAGTCGATGCAAAATATAAAATATTTTGGTTTGGCACATTTTAATAAAAAATATTTTTTTTAAAGGGCAAGAAAAAAATCACACTCGCTCTGTTGGACAATTGCAAAGTTCATGTGACCAAATAAACTTTTTAAAAGCTTTTTTTTGTCCCGAGCACACGCACAGTGTGCATGTAATCAGAATAGCTCAAGGAAAATAAAAAACTTGTTTTTCATCTGCGTCAATGCAAATCGGGATAAACAAAGGGAAAGATGTACGAGAAGAAAAGAAGAAAGGGGGTTAAAGATATGCCATTTTAAGCCCGGAAAAAAAAAAGTGGGCAGTAAAAAATAATGTGTCATAAGAGAAAAAACGTAATGAAAAAATGGTTAAATGACTGGGATTAAATTTAGGATTGTCCGATAAACAATATCAAATGACGCACATTTCCAACATGCGTTTTTTTAAAAAAAATTGTGAGAAGAATATTTGACAAATGAACGGATACTCATTATAATATTGGGTAAAGGATGTAAAACAAGCAAAAAAAAATGGAATGAGCGAAGGATGGGATTTTCCCAGTACATGCACACGCACGCATACACGCACATATACGGCGAATGAAAAAGATGGTGTATTTTATTCCATGGAATAAAATAGAGCTTTTTAAGGTATATGATAAAGCCTATGCTGAAATTAATTTGTGTGAATCCGAAGAATGCGTGAAAAGGGAAAAAGTATTCTATGCATGTATCAAGCAAAAAAATGCAAGTATCTATTTGTCGAATAGAGAACCACTTTAATATCCAAAAGCACTGATCGCACACACGGACACACACTTGTATTTTTTTGTTTTTTGTTCATATTGGCTGCATAATAATGAGACGGAAACAGGATATGTTTATGCCTCTGCATGAACGAAAAAAACATGCAATAAAAAACAGGGATGGTCAAAAGGATATTGAAATGAAAGGAAAGAGGGAGTAAAGGAAAAGAGCAATGTGCAGGAAGTATTCTGTGTATCATGTTGACTGTGCTATTTGGATAAAAGGAGGGCGGGATTGAATAATGGAATGAATGAATGGATATGTGTGTGCGTGCGTGCGGTAAGTGGCGGTGTGATGTCATGCACTTTAGAGAGAGATAGCAAAAAAAAGATTTAAAAATGGGGAGGGAGGGAGAGAAAGAGAAGAAAGAGAGAAAAAAAGGAATACTCAAGACTTGTGGTTAATTATAATATACAGAATGGCTTTTTTACACAAGGTTATTCTTGTTGTACGTGTGTAGCCCGAACCATTACAAGCTGAATATGGGCATAAAAAGCCTCTGAAATATGTTTGTATGCTTACCATTAAAACTGGAGCCAATGGGCAGTCTGTGAACGGCAGAGAATCGCCGATGAAGGAATCCAAAAAGAGATGTAATGAGAATGTATGCGAGCAAAATGACACCAGGGACCACAGCTATGTATGAGTCTGCAATCCAAAGCCGTGCATTATCTCCCCATTTGTCGCTGGCGTCGGCGTCTGTAATAACCATATCGAATGCCTTTTTTTATTTCAAGCGTCTTGTTTGTGTGTAAGAGTCTGGGTTCCAAAATAGAAATGATTTAATGATGATTGGAATATAACCAAGAACAAAATTATTTTTTGAAGAATAAAAGACGAGATGAGGATACAAAAAAAAGAGGAGAGAGGAAAAAGGAAAAGAAATGGAGGGGATGGGAGAAATCTGGTTGGTATTTATAATGACGAATAGTCCTCTCAAAGAAATAAAAAAATCAGAGTGAGAGAAAAAGGTAAAGGGAAGGGAATGAAAAAAGGACAATAAAGTGTTCAAAGCAAAAAAAAAAAAAAAAAAAAAAAAAAAAAAAAAAAGAGAAATAAATAAATAAATAAATAAACTTGGCCTTGCTTTTTTTTGGTCGTACCTTTTCTCACTTGTATGCAAAAAAAAACTTTGCACTTATTTTTTTTTCTTTTTTCTCATTCATGGTTGTTTTAAACTTGCAGTCAAACACCACTTTTTTAGATATAAAATAGAGGAGCTAGGCTTTTTTATATATTATTTTTCTCTGGCATTATATTTTTTGTATGGCTTGAGGTGGAGTAGACGTATTATTAGCTTTACGGACAAAGGGATACTTTCCATTTCTCCATTTTTTGCGAAAGAGCTAGAGTGGAATTTTAGTCGATGACTTTTTTTAAAATAGCACGCAATATATTACAGAAAAAAAAACTAAAATCTGATTATTTTTTCTGTTTTAGTGAAATATCCTCTCAAAAAAAGAAGGCGAAGTAAAATGGAGACAGAAAGAGATGGCCAGTGTCAGCGTCAGTATCAGTGTCAGTGTCAGTGAGCGAGGTTTGTTGGCCAAAGGAGATGGAAAAAGAAAGAAAGTGAATGAAATGTGGGGTGGGTATTTTAGGGTGGGTGGGGGAGAGTGGTTGCCCAATATTTGATGACTTGCAACTTTGTTTTTTTATCGCCTTGGCCTATTTCTTCTTGCTTTACTTCAGCTTTATTTATATGCAAAAGCAGAGGGAGAAACAAGTTGAAGTGGATTGTCATGTGTCGGAGGAAATAGGTCTATTTTCGTGACAACTTCATGTTTGAAATTTGATTCCCGCTTCTATTTTGTTTATTTAGTTTGTGCCAACTAAACCTTTCGTCATTGTGCGTATTTTGTTTTTTATATATATTTTGCTCGTGTGCCAACAAATGATTTCATCTTTTTTAATTTTTTTATTCTTTTAATTATTTTTTAAAATTAAAAATTATGGAATGTTTACTCTGCTGCTGTTTAAACTTTACAACAAAAGCGCACTGGTGTTTCTACCTCTTTTTGTAAACGGCAGCAATATGTGAGAGAGATAATTTAGAAACTGGATTGATTTGTGTCAACAAACTCAACAAAAAATTTTTGTTGGAACCAAAATGTTTATATTTTTTGTTTATTGTCGGTGGGAATTGATGGTTGGATTATGTTGGGTTGGGTTGGGAGAGATCTGAATATCTTTTTTTTATTTGGGCAAGCAATGTGCAATGTACAATGTGCATTGTCTTTTATTTTTACATTGCCAAACTCAAACAAACATAACAAAAAAAGGACAGTGAAAGTGAATGAGGGAGGGAGGGTAGTTTTTTTTTTTACCGAATGGGGCGATCTTATTACTCTGGCCAGACAAATTAACAAAAAGCTATTGAATTATCCTTCAAATTATCCTTCAAAGTCCCAGTTCAGTCAAAACTCGCAGACAATTTCAATCTGATCGTTTTGCCTAATTGGGTTGGTTGGTGGGTTTGGTACCTAGAAATAAACAGCAAAATCCAGTGTTAATTTTTCTCTCTCGGAGAAAGGAGGGTCATTTTTGGTTTGATTGATTCGTTAATTATTAGTTTTTTTTTTATCCCGAGCCAAGTCCGCCTAAATAATTTAATTTTTAAAAGTTTACTTTTCTAACAAAGAAAAAGAAAAAAAGGGGGGATTCGTTTACAAAAGCTTTGGAATTCAAGTTCTTTTTTCTTTTAATTCAGTTATCTAATTAATTCCTACACTTTTTTATTTTTTCATTCATTCATTTTGTATTTTTAATTCACACGCAACAGCCACACAAACACAAACACACGCACACAGATATTTTTTATATTCATTAATTTTTTATTATGAGTTCGTTTTATGACGAAGTAGAAATTGAGGATATGGAATTTGACGAGGAGACACAGGTGTACCATTACCCATGTCCATGCGGCGATCGATTCGAGATACCCATTGAGGATTTGCGCAACGGCGAGGATGTCGGAAAGTGTCCCAGCTGCTCGTTGCTTTTGAAGATTATTTATGATCCGGACGAGTTTATGGATGACGATGATGACGAAGGGGTTATTGAACTGGGAACGACGATTGTGGTAGTTTAGATTTTAGATTTTTTTTATTATTGAAATTGTTTTTTATAGTCATTTTCAGGCCAGTGCTGACAATTACGCTGTAACAAATCCACAAGCTTGGGGATGATTGTGTTTACGCACTTGCCCTTTTACATTTCGGTTGTTTATCACAGGGGACAGGGCTTTGTCAAAGGAGCGAGTGTATCTATTTTCTCTGGGCGAGAGAGGTACGGACGTTTTTTTTTTTTTTTTTTTTTGCCCAGCGCATCAAATTCCAGCTGCTTTGCTTATCATGCGTATTTATTTTTGTTACTGATCAATAATGAATCATCACTATTTCGGGTTTGTTTTGCTCCGTCATCTCCGCAAACAAAATAAAATCGAAATACAGTAGGTGTTTGCGCTATCGTCTTTTTCTTCATCTCTTCTTATTTTCATACAATTTTTTATATCTATATTGTTGAAATGACCTCGACCAAGCCGCATTCAAAAGACCTCTCGGTGTACTTCACAGAGTCCGCCAAGCAGCGTGACAACAGTCCTCTGAAATCGCTCATGAAGTACATGTCCGCCGATCCTGCCCTCGTCTCTCTCGGTGCAGGGCTCCCGCACCCCTCGACCTTCCCCTTGGGCGCCCTCACCACGCTTGTCGCCCAACCCGGCCACATGCTTTCCGAATGCGCCCACCCCCCAGCAACCAGCATCCAGGTGAACCAACCAACGAGCAAAACCGAAGGACTCGAGCGGTTTCTCCAATACGGCAATGGCCGCGGAGTCCCCAGCTACTCAGCCTTCGCGCGCACGCACACCGCCTCGGTCCATAATCCGCCATACGCAGACTGGGACGTTGTGCCTTCGGTGGGCAATACGGATGCGTTTGTCAAGGCCCTGATGTTGTTCTGCGACCGCGGGGACACGCTTGTGGTCGACGAGTGGACGTACCCGGCGATTCTCGGCACGGTGGGCCCAATGGGCATCCGTGTGGCCAGCGTAAGGATGGACGCGGAGGGCGCGGTGCCGGAGGATTTGGACCGCGTGTGCGGGGAAAACCGGGTGCGTGTCGCGTACATGATTCCGACGGCGCAGAACCCGACGGGTGCGACAATGTCGCTGGAGCGTAAGCGCGCGGTGTACGCGGTGGCGCAGAAGCACGACCTCGTCTTGATCGAAGATGACCCGTACTATTACCTGCAGTTTGGCGCATACGAGGAGCCGGCGGAGGGTGTGGATAGGCTGCGCGGATTGCCCGGGATTAAGGGGCTGATCCCGTCGCTGCTGTCCCTGGACACCGACGGGCGGGTTATTCGGCTGGACTCGTTCAGCAAAATCCTCGCCCCCGGGCTGCGCTGCGGCTGGGTGACTGCCCCGCGATACATCGCGGACAAAATCCAGTTCCACAACGAAACCACGGTGCAGCAGCCCTCGGGGCTCAGCCAAGCGCTGGTCTCCAAGCTGCTGAACGAGGACTGGGGCCACAGCGGCTGGGAAAGCCACCTGCTGAGGACCCAGAGGGAATACGCTGTGCGCCGCGATGTCTTTGTCGACCTTTGCCGCGAAAAGCTCAAGGGCCTGGCGGAGTTCACGGTGCCGCAGGCTGGCATGTTCCTGTGGTTCCGCATTGTGCTGCCGCCGCAGCTCGAGCAAAGGCAGGGGGTCATGGACGAGGTGTTTGCGAGGATGATCGAGAAACACGTGCTGCTTGTGCCCGGCCGCATGTTCTCAGCGAAAGGCGTGGATGGGCCTTACATGCGCGCGGCCTTCTCGTACGCATCCGTAGAGGATCTGGGCGTGGCCGTCGACCGGCTGCGCGAGGCGCTGCTGACGTTCCAGCAGGAAAAGTAGATAGGCGAGCTAGATATAGATTAGGAAACAACGGATTAGTTCGGCCTTTCGGCAAGAAAAATAGATAGGAATTAGCTGGATTATGAAGCAGCGGATTGGCTTGGCCCTTCGGCAAGGAAAATAGATCGGGATTAGGCGGATTAGGAAGCAGCGGGATTAGGTGGGCCTTTGCTTGCACTTTGCCACTGCAGCCTGCAGCGCGCGCGCCCGGGCGGCAGCCCGGCGGCTCTCGATGTCCACGCGCATGCGCTGCGCGCAGTCCTGTGCGCGCACCAGCAGCGAGTGCGGCAAGCCGGCGATGCGCGCGACATTAAGCCCGAAGCTGTCGGCCGAAACGCCCTCCGCCAGCCGATACAGAAAGGCGACTTCCGGCACGGCGCCCGACTCCGCCGCAGCGGGCTTCTCCACAAACGCCATATGCGCAGCAGCCACCCGCGGATCCCTCGCAAAGCCGGCGGCCACATGCGCATAGTGCGTGACAAAAAGCACCATGGGCCTCGCCTCCAGCAGCTGCGCCAGCACCGCATACGCAATGGCCGCGCCATCATGCGTGCTTGTGCCGCGGCCGAGCTCATCCAGCAGCGCGAGCGACTTTGGCGTGCACCGGCGCAGAATCCCCGCGGTCTCGCGCATCTCCACCATGAACGTGCTTTCGCCGCGCAGTATGTTGTCGTGTGCGCCCATCCGCACGTGGATGCCATCGAGGAGGCTGAGCCGCGCCTGGCGCGCAGGCACGAACGAGCCGGCCTGCGCCATGATGGCGACCAGCGCGGCGGTGCGCGCCAGCGAGCTCTTGCCGCCGGCATTCGGGCCCGTCAGCACAAGGGCCCGTGGCCCAGGAGCCTCCGCGCCTCCGCCGAGGGAAAGCGAATTGGCCACGTAGCCGGGCTGCTGCGCCGCCGCCATCGGGTGCACAGCGTCGACCAGCCGGAGATGGGCCTCCGGACAGTCGCTCAGCGCGGGCTGCGTGTAGCCTGGCGTGGCCGCTAGCTCGGCCAGGCCCAGTAGCGCGTCCAGCGTGGCCAGCGCCGACACGAGCGCGCGCAGCTCGGCCAGCCCGTCCGCGGCGATCTCCCCGAGGAACTCGGCATAGGCGCGCGCGGCCGCGGCGGCGAGGTCCGCGCGGCACCGCTCGCGCTCGGCCAGCAGCCGCACGGCCTCCGGCGTCTGATAGCGCAGGTGCGTCTTCGTGCCATTGCCAGCACGCAGCCAGTCCCCCGGCACGGCCTGCGTGCGCCGCACGTCAATGAGGTACTCGACCCCGGAGACCGAGCGGAAGGCGAATCCCGGCTGCTTGAGCTGCCTGCCGACCGACTCGGCGCCGAGATCAAGGGCCTGTGTGAGCGCGGCGATTTGCGTGTGGTGTCGGCGGAGCTCCGCGTGGTGGGCGCTGGCTGGCGTGAACAGCTGCGGCTTGTGCCCGCCGCGCGCCTGCGTGCGGTCCACTTGCGCCAGCCACCCCCGCACGAGCCCCCCGACACTCGCGCTGCGCGCAGCCAGTGCGCGCAGCGCACCAGCCAGCAGCCCCGGCGGCTGCGCCTGCCCCTGCGCCTGCCCCTGCCCCTGCCCCTGCGCCTGCCCCGGCCCCAGCTCCGGGCCCTCTATCGCGCCGACCACCCGCGCCGCCCGCGCAAAGCCATCCATGATGCGCAGCAGCTCCGGCGGCTGCGCCTGCGCGTGCAGGATGCGGCACAGGCCGCGGTCCAGATCAACGCCCACCCGCGCCAGCCCCGCCCTCGCCGCCGCCCAGCACCCGGCACCGCCCTGGGCCCTGTCCCGGAGCCACCCCACCGCGTCGACGCGCTCCTGCAGCCGCCGCAGGTCCGCCAGCGGGTGGCCGACCCAGCGGCGCAATAGCCGGCGGCCCGGCGCCGTGCACGTGCGGTCCATCGTTGCAAACAACGACTGCTGGGCGCCAAAAACATCCAGGGCGCGCAACGTCGTCTGCGACAGCAGCATGTGCGCCTGTGTGTGGAACGGCTCGGGCGCGCCCTGTGCCATAATGCCCTGCGCCAGGCCCATTGGCGCAAGGTACGCGAGCAGCTGCGCCAGTGCTGCGGACGCCAGCGCCGGCATGTCCAGGATGCCCGGTGCTGCCGCGATGCCCAGGCGCGCGCACTGCTCGGCCGCTGACACTACGGCGGCGGCTGGTGCCAGGCGGGCGATGCGCGGGCCGGGGCGCCCCACGTGTTCCAGCAGCGGCGGCTCCTCCCCGGGCGACCCTGGGGCTTCGGCGCCGATCGGCCGCCCGCAATACGCCGCCAGTGCCAGCCTCGTGTCGCGCGCCAGGCCCGCCGGAAGCAGCAGCTCTGCCGGCGCAACGTGCTCGAGCCGCGTGGCCATCTCACTGCATATAGCGTCATCGCCAAACTCATCCATCAGCAGCATGCCTGTCGAGACCTGGGCGGCAACCAGCCCCGTGCGCCGACCATTGCTCTGCTGCGATATGCTGACTATCCACGGTGCCCGGCCCTGCTCCTCCGCGCCGACTTCCTCCAGCATGGTCCCCACAGTATACACCTCGGCCAACTGCCGCACGAACGGCGCGCTGCGGTTCTCCCCCGTGGCTTTGACCGCCGCCGTCTCTTGCTGCCGCACGATGCCGACGCGGAACCCGGCGAGAACCAGCCTTCGCACGTGCACGAGAAGCCTGGGCGCGGGCACGCTGGCGTTGTAGAAATTGGTGTTCTTGGCTTGCGTGCACATTATTCCCAGCACCTGCGAGGCTATGCGGGCGTCCTCGCCGAAAAACCTGTATTTGTACCCGACCTCGACCGCCAGCAAAGTCGACGGGTGCTGGGCTTTTATGTCGAGTACTTGGGCTTCGAGCGGCGTGTATTTTTTGTGCAGTGTGCGGTGGACTACCTGGACATGGGTGCCTTGGACATGCAGGTTGGAGAAGAGCATGGTTGTTGAGGCCAGCTGTTGGTCAGTTGCATCCTCATCTTCATCTGCCTCTGTTTGATCATCTTCTGGAGTGGTGGGGACTACTGGGATGGATTGGGGCGTCTCGGCTTTGCGCTGCCGTTTGATGGCCGGGCGTGCTGGCGATGCCCCCGCTGATCGTGTCTTTTTGACCGAAGCTGGGGGTTCTACTTTCTCAGCCGCTATAGCCGAAGCTGCTGATGCTGCTGCTGTTGGTTCTGCCGTTGCTGCTGCTGTTGGCTTTGTCTTGAAAAAAGACGAAATAGACGCCTGCACTCGTTTCGGTGTTGCGCCCATTTATAATAATTCAACCTGTTTTTTAAATAAAAAAAATATTTTTTGGAGCTGAAAAAAGAATATAAAAGTGTTTATTCCACACACCTCATGAAGAAAACATGCATGGTCACCAACTGGATAAAAAAAATACCAGACCAGATCAGATCAGATCAGATCCTTAAATTATAATTGTAAAAATAAAAACTCATATTGCTTGCTGATCACGCCACACATAATATATAATATACTCACATGTTTTGAATAATTTCTTGTGCTTTCAATACCTGTTAGATGTCCCTGTCATAATAGTGCTGCATTTACCCAATTGAAAGTTTCCTTTTTTTCTGGTTGAATCAATAGTAGTCGATTTCTGAAATCTTACTATTTCTTTAGTGTTTTATGTTTTTTTTGCGTATGTGTGTGAATTATTCATTATCGGTGAATCTGTCCTGACATATAGAATTATATTTTAGTTTGCAAAAAGAAAAATCTATTCAGAATTTTTTAATGTTCCAAGGCAAAAAAAAAAAAACGCACGGGCACACACACCATACACGCACAGCCTCGTGTGCATATGTGCCCAGCCGATTCGTGTGCTTGTGTGCTCATACCACCCTCTCACGTGTCATGATTAAAGACCAAATAAAGGTTGCAACATGAAAATAAAAAAACAGGTTTATGGATGTCCACCATTTTTTAACACTTTTACAAAAAAAAAATTAACGGAAAGTTCTGCTGACCATTTTCTCACACATGTTACACTTTTTTTAAAAAAAAAAATTAAAATGGAATAGGGGGAGGATTTTCATGAAAAAAAACACACACTCGACCCAAAGAATTGCACAATATCCTTCGGCTTAACGTAAAGCTGCAGAAATGTACATTAATCGCTTCTTTTTCTTTTCTTGCCGAAATAAAAAAATTCCGTTCTTGGAACAAAACAACAATACCTTTTTTTTTGTAATTGCCGAGCTCTAGAATATATTATAAAAGTTCACCTGTTCCTAGTCTCCTTCCTCTCTCCCAAATTTCATTTTCCCCTCTCTCACCATCCCCCTTTTTTTCTGCTCCTTAATTTTTCTTCATTTTACTATAATCTTGAACTCACATTCTTATTCTTTCATTCTCTGTAATTATTGCTCTCCTTTTATTGTTACAACCAACTCCAAAAAAATATTAATATTAATATTAATATTGATACTCTACAACTACTAAATACAAAATACACAATACACAAAGATGTCTAGACACTATCGTCATCGCCACACTCGTCTAGTATGGACAACCTCCATGCAATCCCACATAACACTTATTGACCTCCCCATCCAACCCACATCAGCAGCAACACCTACACCTGTGACGCCCGCGGCACCAGTACTCAGACCAACGCATACACATGGGGGCAACACCTTTGGAGCCGATAACTTGGCCGCTAATCTACGGCCTATACAATTGCGCAACAACACGCATGGTACAAGAGCCACCCGCTCACAAACTTTACCCCCAGAAATTATTGCATCATCATCATCATCCGCCGCTGCCGCTGCTGCTGCTATTGCTGCTGCTGCTAATACAAATGCTGCTGCTGGTAGTGGTTTGAGGGAGGATACAGGCACACAGAATGTGGACTCCACAAGCGAAACTAAATCATCAGTGGGCTTTGTGCGTCGGATAAAAGATTCGTTGAAAAAACAGCTACGCACATTAGGACATTCCGTCCTTTATCTTCCAGAGAACTCAAGAGCTTCACCTTACCATTCAGTTTACTTGAACTAGTTCAAATTTTTTGTTATATTTTATTTTATTATTGTTTTGTAAATACACCCTAATATCTCATTTGGTGTGACCTGAAATACACTGATGTGGTTGTGAATTCGTGTCCGATAATAGAGTAATAATAGGAAATAAGATGCAACAGCCTTTCCATCCTGTCCCTGAACTTTCGACTCCATCGTTTTCTTCTCGAATGTATCATTGGCAAAGACCTCACAAACGGATCCTGTCCCATTAACACTGTAATCTCCTGTATTTGCATCTCCTCTGTATTTTGCACCTCGGTGTCTTGTCCCGCTTCCGCTTCAGCTTCATTTTCTTCGGCCTCGGCTTCGGGCTCTTCAACTATTCTTGATGCTTGTAGTTCTCGTACGAGTCTTTGAACTGCTTCGTCGGGCATTTGGGATATACCGAGGTTGTTTGTTGGTCGGGCAAGATGACTGCGATCATGGCGGTGGCGGCGATGAGTGTTGGTGGCGCGGCTTCCCGTTACTGTTATTGAGCTGGACATGGAATCTGACCAGGACATGTTTAAACGGGCTCGTCTCATAGCTGGCTGGGTGTATTTATATATTTGTGATAAATAAAGTAATGATAGGTATTGTAATGGTTCAAAAAATGGCTAATAGAAAAAATAAGAGAAAACAGTAATGAATAATTAAATAATGAAAAAGAAAGAGAAGGGAAATTACATTTTTTTCTTCTTGGTCGAAAAACGAATACTGCATCATCTTGGGCATTTGAAGAAAAATTGTATCCAGGTTACAACATTGCGTCTTTTTTGTTTTAATTGTTCACACGAAAAAATAAAAATAAAACAAAATAAAACAACTTTATTATTTCACTTGTCCTAAATGCGTGGCTTAAGCAGAAGAAAAAGATGAAAATGGTTATACTGCGTATGAGAGCCATACTGTTATTGCACAAAAAAATACATATATTGAGAATTCAAAAGGGTATTGTTCGTTTTTCACTCCAAATGCACCCATCTTCATTGTTTACATTCTCAGGGATTACTTTTTTCTTTGTTTTTTTGTGTATTTAGAGCCAAGCTACAATGTAAAAATGTCTGTAGATCTAATTCGAAATTAAAAAATAACGAATATAAATATACAAACACGCATAACCTTATGTTTTTTGTTTGCTAGATTTAGAATACTTAATAATGGCGATATTGAATGATTATTTATAATATTGATTCAACCATACTTCTTTACACAAAACACAAAAAACGGCAATCACTGCCCAAGAAAAAAAAAGCCCAATTAATTGCCCTAAAAAATATATCCATAAACACACTCTCGTAATTATTCTCTTATTTACATGCCGTCCAGTCGCTCCTTCATTGCCACCGCCATCGGAATACTTACAACCACAACCCTCGGCTACTACCTCCTAATGCGCGGCCAAAAAAAGCCCAAACACTGCGTATTCTGCAACCCCCTTGACCGCATAGTCTACGAAGACGACGAATTCATTGCCTTTCACGACATCCGCCCAGACGCCACCGCCCATCTTCTCGTCATCCCGCGTCAACATTATGGCACCATCAAGGAACTGACGCCCGAGGATATGCCGATGGTCGAACGCATGTACACCATTGGCCAGCGGGTTTTGGAAGAACGGGGGTTTTCGTCACCAAATGAAACGAGGTTTGGGTTCCATCGGCCCCCATTCAATAGCGTTCATCATTTGCATATGCACTGTTTGGGACTTCCTTTCAAGCCCAAACGAGCAGAGATGATGTTCCCCGGAGCTGGAAGCCCTTGGTTTATGCCCACAGAACACCTACTGCGAAAGATGCTTGGCGAAAGCATACCATAAAACAACCTAAAAAAATTAATGCAACCCATCTCCCCCCCCCCCAATCCACCTAAGGAGATGATAAAATTGCCGCAGTAAAATCCATTTTTTGATCGACAATTAATCCAATCAGCTGTGCTCACTCTTCATTCTCTGCGTGAAGCAGGATTAAGCGCTGATGTGAATGCGGGAGACAAAAAGGTGGCCGCGTCATTGGCATTCTCTCTCATTTTGGAACAACCTGGAAATAAAGAAGCATAAGAGAAAAAAACTAGATAGAAAGAAGAAAAAAAGGGCACTAATAGAAAGTAAGCACGTCAGTCATTTTTCTCCTACTAAGGTTATTATTGCCAAGCCCATACAAATACATATCCTTTTTTACTTTGCTATATTTTTTATTGCTTTCTCTTCTTTGTAATCTTTTTATTTTTATTTTAAATTTGGTTTACGTATCCTATTGCATTCCTGATTTATTTTATTTATATTTTTCTTTCTCAGCACAAACAACAGAAAAATAAAAATAAAAAACAAATCGTTCTGGGCCATATAAAAATAACGAAGAAAAAAGAAAGCTTAACAATCTTCTTTTCGTTATTCTTTTGCAAGATTACTCTTTTTCTTTTTTTATTATTTTCTTTGATTCCACTTACCCTTTTTTTCTTATAAACCATGTCTTCGAACGAAGAAAAGCCCCTCCTCCACAATGACCAGGCCATTGACCCCAGCGCACAGCCCGTCGACAGCGAGAACGACCTGGCGACTGCCATTCTCCGTAAGAAGGCCGCGCCCAACAAGCTCATGGTCGACGAGGCCGAAAACGATGACAACTCGGTGGCCATCATCTCACAGAACGTCCTTGAGAAACTAGATCTTTTCCGCGGCGACACCATTCTCATCAAGGGCAAGAAGCGCAAGGACACCGTGCTGATTGTCATCCCCGACGAGTCCTGCGAGGACAACAAGATCAAGCTTAACCGTGTTGCCCGCAACAACCTGCGCACACGCCTTGGCGACATTGTCTCTATCCACCCGCTGCCCGACATCAAGTACGGCAAGCGCATCCATGTGCTGCCCATCGACGACACCATCGAGGGCCTGACCGGCGACCTGTTTGAGGTCTACCTCAAGCCCTACTTTGTCGAGGCTTACCGCCCCGTCCGGAAGGGTGACAACTTTTTGGTCCGCGCCGGCATGCGCGCCGTCGAGTTCAAGGTCGTCGAAACCGACCCCGAGGAGTACTGCATTGTTGCGCAGGACACGGTCATCCACACCGAGGGCGACCCCATCAAGCGCGAGGACGAGGAGCAGGCCATGAACGAAGTTGGCTATGACGACATTGGTGGCTGCCGCAAACAGATGGCCCAGATTCGCGAACTGATTGAGCTGCCCCTGCGCTACCCGCAGCTGTTCAAGTCTATCGGTATCAAGCCTCCCCGCGGTATCCTCATGTACGGCCCGCCGGGTACCGGTAAGACCCTGATTGCCCGCGCCGTGGCTAACGAGACAGGCGCCTTCTTCTTCTTGATCAACGGCCCTGAGATCATGTCCAAGATGGCCGGTGAGTCCGAGTCCAACCTGCGCAAGGCCTTCGAGGAGGCTGAGAAGAACAGCCCTGCAATTATCTTCATTGATGAGATTGACGCCATCGCGCCCAAGCGCGAGAAGACCAACGGCGAGGTCGAGCGCCGTGTCGTATCCCAGATGCTCACCCTCATGGACGGCATTAAGGCGCGTTCCAACGTTGTTGTCATGGCGGCCACCAACCGGCCCAACTCCATTGACCCGGCCCTGCGTCGCTTCGGCCGCTTCGATCGCGAGATTGATATTGGCATCCCCGACCCCATCGGCCGTCTGGAGATCCTGCGCATCCACACCAAGAACATGCGCCTGGGCGACGACGTCGACCTTGAGAAGATTGCCTCGGAGACCCACGGCTACGTTGGTGCTGATGTTGCCGCCCTGTGCTCGGAGGCTGCAATGCAGCAGATCCGCGGCAAGATGGACCTGATTGACCTCGAGGAGGATGAGATCGACGCCTCAGTGCTCGACTCGCTGGCCGTCACCATGGACGACTTTAGATACGCTCTTGGAGTGTCCAACCCCTCCGCCCTGCGCGAGACCGTCGTCGAAGTGCCCACGACCAGATGGAGCGACATTGGTGGCCTCGAGAACGTCAAGCGCGAGCTCCAGGAGACCGTGCAGTACCCTGTCGAGCACCCCGAAAAGTTCCTCAAGTTTGGCATGGCCCCATCCAAGGGTGTTCTGTTCTATGGTCCCCCTGGTTGTGGTAAGACTTTGCTCGCCAAGGCCATTGCCAACGAGTGCCAGGCCAACTTTATCTCGATCAAGGGCCCCGAGCTGCTCACCATGTGGTTTGGAGAGTCCGAGGCCAACGTGCGCGACGTCTTCGACAAGGCGCGTGCCGCCGCTCCTTGCGTCATGTTCTTTGATGAACTCGACTCGATCGCCAAGGCTCGTGGTGGCGGCTCTGGCGGCGATGCCGGAGGCGCCGGCGACCGCGTGCTCAACCAGATCCTGACCGAGATGGATGGCATGAACGCCAAGAAGAACGTCTTTGTCATCGGTGCCACTAACCGTCCCGACCAGATCGACGGTGCCCTGCTGCGTCCCGGCCGTCTCGACCAGCTCATCTACATCCCCCTGCCCGACCTCGACTCGCGCCTGTCCATTCTCAAGGCCACCCTACGCAAGTCACCCCTGGCGCCCGACGTCGACCTCAAGTTCATTGCCGATAAGACCGTTGGCTTCTCCGGTGCCGATCTCACTGAGATCTGCCAGCGCGCGTGCAAGCTGGCCATCCGCGAGAGCATCGAGGCCGATGTGCGCCGCATGCGCGAGCGCGCTGAAATTAACGGCGAGGATGCTGCGATGGAGGAGGATGACGAGGACGTTGTTGATCTTGTCCCCGAGATCACTGTCGCTCATTTCGAGGAGGCCATGCGCTATGCTCGCCGCTCCGTGTCTGACAACGACATCCGTCGCTACGAGATGTTTGCCCAGAACATGCAGCAGTCCCGCGGCTTTGGCGCGTTCAAGTTCCCCAAGGGTGGCGTGGCTGAGAGCAGCAGCAACAACAACACCAGTGGCGAGGCCCAGGCTGCCGCCCCGGCTGCCGGCAACCAGTTTGCCGACGATAACGCCGACGAGGACCTGTACTCGTAAGCGTGGTTTAAAGGCTGGCTTCGGTTTTGCCTTTTTCCCTCCCCTTTTCTATTCTTTCAATTTTCTCAATTTCAATAATGTTACCCAAACATTTTGTTTAGTGTGCGTCTGGAACAAATATCTCGGCCTTTTTTTTAAAAGGTCTAGACTGTAAATTTATTTGCACATTAATTATTTTTTTGTTGCTGTCATATTACAATGCTTTTTCATTTTATATTGTATCATGATAAATTTGAACATTCCCATCCTATTTCCTGTTATTAATTTTGTTCAAAAAAAATCTCCATATACAACCCCACAGCCATGATCGATCCAAACGACTGCGACTATTTCAGCTGGGCTCCAGAGAGCCACGAATTCCTGAAAGACACTTACAAAAAATACTCATTCCTCAACACAATACCGCTCAACGTCAAGCGAGGTGCATTCCGCAACATGAATAACACTCTCAGCGACTACGTTCTATCGGATCTATTCAAGAACTTGGAGCAGATGCGCTGGGCAATAAACAACATCAAGTTTGGCATGCAGCTTCCAGTTCAAGATGTCGATATGATTTCGGACGCATTCAAGCAGTACAGCGACCTCCTGTTCATCTTGCACCGGATGAGCCGCGAGGAGACATACTCTGAAAATGATATTATTGAAATCACCAACAGTTCCATGCTTGAGCTTGTTTGTCGGCAAAGCACGCTGTTCAATCCACGGTTATTTTTTGAGGACGAGCTGCCCCTATGCACGCTCAACCACCAGTTCAGTGACCAGCCCACGTTGACGCGAGAGTCGTGTTTGCTCCCTGCAAAGCAGCTGCCGCTGACTCCCAAGGTGGAGCCAGAGCCGGAGCCGGGGCCTAGCAAATCCATAAGCAAGCTCGAGGTGCCAAACGGCAACATACAGAGACGAGGCTCAGTGGCAGACACCATTTTGGCATCCCGACTCCAGGCGGCAGATGGATTCCTCAGCAACATTCCTGAACAAAGCTTTCCCAAGTCACCAATGCCAATGTCCTTTATACCCCCCAGAAGCAGCACAGACAACGAGCCGCCGGGTAGCAAACACAAACATACCACAGAGCGCATTAGCAGGCGCCGAACAAACACATTGTCCAACATCAGCCCGATGGCTACAGCAACCTCCAATCCCAAAACCAGGTCGGTCGGCTCCGCAAATTTACTAATATCACACGCGCGCCACATTCGCACAATGGAGCTCTGGGAGCGATATGTCAGCCTTCTTTCCCGCGTACTAAAGGTTTATTCGACTATAATGCGCTTGCTACAGCCGGACGTTTCAAGCGACATTGCCTACAATATAACCAGGTACATGATGCTTGTGGCCGATATTGTGCTTTCTCAGGGAGGCAAAAACCCGCGACTCAAAGTTTGGGTTAACAAGTACAAGCTGCACTTCAACGCCGATATCTGGGACAAGACATGGGGCACTATCGGCGAGCGCCTGGAATACGACGCGGTCAAGCTTGCCATTGACGTTTGGAGCCGTGTCATTGCCATGCCAAACGTATCCAACGACGTGGTGCTATTTGACTTTGAGAACTGGCTTCACCGCGATAGGGTACTCGACTGCTGGCTGCAAATAACCAAGCAGGTTTCAAATAGGGTTCTGCACGCGTATTATCCCTACGACAAGACAGTTGGCACAGACACCATCCATGTGCGGTTTTTGGATTTTAGCGTGGCCGGAAAGACCAACGACGAAGATGCAATTCTTCTGTTGCGCACGTATGCGCAGACCAGCATGGACCTGGATTCTGCGAGCAGCCACGCATTTTACCTGTACTCCAACAATATAACCGCAATGGTTAAACTCGGGCTTTATATCAAACGTATTGTCGAGATTGATGGTGCAAAATACGTTCAGGACTCGCCGACGGCCAACTACGCGCTGCACCTGTTTGGAAAGCCGCTGTTTGAAATTGCAAAGCATATTGGAAAGGTAACACCTTACTATATCGAGGCACGCTGCCGAGTCATAGCTTTGTTCTCTCAGATACTGGTGCTAGCTGAGGACCCAAAAGACCCCTTGCGAACATGGTATCGGAACAGTATCATCAGCATACTTGACAACGAGATAAACAATCTTAGCCACGTCCAGGCAGTACTGCCGAACGTCCCGATGCTATTAAAGAGCTCGCGTTACGTCCGGCCATTCATTGCTCCGCTATTTGGCATGGTGTGCCGTGTGCTTCCTTGGGTAAGAAAGCTAAATTGATTTGCAAAAAAATGGCTGGTTGTGCTATTATATGTATTTGTTGTACTTACAAAGACTAACCTTTTTAAGGTAAAATTTTAATAATAAAGAAAGTATCCTTCGTAGGTCAACGATGTTCCGCTGGTTCAAAGCGAAATTAGTCTGCGGTACCTCGGCTACAACGCGCTTTCTGCATTAATTTCGTTTGTTGGATACTACCACGAGATCGGCTGTTCAGACCTGATCGCTGACACGGACAACATGGCCCAGAATCAGTTTACCAAAAACGTAGCTCAAGACAAGAACAACCCCAACCTCCACTACAAGTACCAGGCTATTCTAGACATTCTGAAAAAGGCAAGTTTGACATATAAATATTGTTTATTTCGCCAGCATTGGAGCTCCTCTAGCTACCAGCCAGCCAGCTAATATCAAACGAATGCAACTTTTTAAAAAATTTATAGATCGATGCCAGTCAGTTTAAGGAGTCGGCGTTAGAGGACAGCGTGTTCATGAGCTACCTGCACTTGATCTTCCAGGTTCTGCTCAGCTCAGCCATTGGGGAGAAGGACTTTTTCAACTTGCAGTGTTTGACATGTGTAACTCTGGTATACCTGTACCAGTATGCGGAGCACAACTCGGGCTATGCCGTTCTGTTCATCGAGCTCTACGTTGAGCTCCTGCGCAACACGCGCGATGACAAGCTGGCCACCGTGTACATTTACGGGCTGACCCAAGTGGCAACGATTACCTGGAAGAATGTCCTTTCCGAAGAGCAGCACCGGAGTATTCTCGTCGCTCTATTTCATGGTCTTTCAAACTGCGACCATGATCTTAAACGGTTTACACATTGGGACCGGTACCACCAAATATTTATCACTTCGATTCGCTGCCTGAGTGTCTGGATGTCGGTGTCTGCAGAGCAAGCCCTGATGTTACCCGAGTTATTGGATGAGACGACAGAGTTGCTAAAGCGCTGCAATATGTTCCTCAGCACAGCAGACTCGCCAATGTACTCCATACACGGCCCGCTCGAGCGCAGGGTCAACTTGGGCACATCTGTCGAATACAACGAGCACATGTATCAGCCAGGCAGCTGGGCCGGTTTTTTGAACATCTCACGACAGCCTTACACGCAGAAGGATACCAGTGAAAATATAGTTTCATATACCACATTGGATTCATTTTCCAAGTCTGATCCGCCGCCATCCCAGCGCATATCCAATACTAGCAAAAATCACACAGTGCGTGTGTTGACAGACTCGCTGCACAAGGTTCTAACGGCGACCATCTCTGTGTTTTCAACCATCCTCCTCCGGATCATCAACAGAGACCAATATAACGGCTCTTACGCGCCGCACGACACGCTGCTTGTGCACTCGGTGCTCCAACAAAAAAAAGTACCTGATAACAGCGTCATCTTCAGCGCATTTGACACCAAGCTTAACCGCTTGATGAGGGATTTTACCCCGGTAAGTGTCACCTTCTTCTCGGCCTACCACAGCATGATCTACTCCATTGTCAATTTCAAGCAGTTCAGTAACGGCAAGTGGTCGGATAGCGCGAGTCTGCACACGAGCAGGTATTCGAGCGGCTCCAAGCAATGGATAGTATTTACGTCCAAGCCCAAGGCAATGGCAGAGTTGGATCCAGGCCCAGAGATATATCCCGATGTGCCCACCACTGGTGAGCTGCCGTACATGCCAACCCTTGAAACTGCTTACGCTTCGAATACAGATGTCCAGCCATGGGTTCGCATAGCAGATGGACTGTTGGGCAGCAACCCATTGCGCTCAACATTCGGCGCTGCAGACAAACTTCAAGGCATACATCGAACAACACCGCTGATTAGCGACGAGGGCGAAGAGAAAATGGAGCAGCGGACGGCTGGTGACTTTGACAAGCTACACAACTTGCGCATAGAGCCCGATATCGAGTTTACACCAGTACAACCTTGCGAGCAACTGCACCGCGGCAACAACCACTACCGGCGCAATCTCCATTTGCGGCACTCGGTAGACTCGTCATTGCTGGAAATTTCCGAGCCAATGCTGCAAGATTTGGACCATCTTGATAATTTGGACAATCCGTTCACTGCTTATGCCGGCGTCATTTACATGAGATCGGCCAACTCCCTGGCGACGGAATGCACACTGGCCAAGGGTCCGCTCAAGGGCGTCAGCCCCGAGTTTAACAATTTTTTGATGACATTGAACCGGGTGCCCTTGCCGCCGGTCGAGCGGCTGAAGACCCATCCAAGAGACCCGACGATCATGCGTTGTTCGTTTAGCATCAGGAGCTTCGAGGTCATTTTTGATCTGGCGCCTAACGTGAGCTCGCTGATCAGCGGCTGCAAAATGGGTGCGCACGATAACGACTGGTTCTATGATATGATGCATGAGCGCGGCATCTATGTGATGTGGTTTGACAGCCACATGGGCAACATTGACATGGACTTGGCCTGGCAGTTTGTCGACGACAGAGACAACTTTGGTTCCAAGCAGCGCGCAAATACATCGAATTCTGTCAAGTCCCACTCAGAAAGGAATCGCGCTTCTCACGACAGGCACCCGCACCATTCAGACAAAAAGGAAAACACACGATTCAAGCCCAGCCTGCCCGTGTCGAATGAGACCATTCAATCGGCACCCACGCATGTAGAACCAGTTTCCGAGACGTCTGGGAAGGACTTTTCTTCGATTCAGTCGTTAAAGCCGGAAAAGGTGGAGAAAAAACGCGACTTTTTAGCCGAGCCTATACAGAACAAGTCCAAGTCCAAGGCGCGGGAGTTCTTTCAAAAGGCCATCCATATCACTCGCCGGCAGGCCTCAAGCCAAAAAAGCCCACTGCCTTCGCGAGAAAACAGCGAGCCCTGCAGTAACCCCTGCAGCGAGCAAAGTAGCATGAGCATTCATGTTAACGACCAGCAGCACGACAGCAAGCTCAATTCTCACTATGCTCAATCGCCACCCTGTGCGGATCCTGTTTTCAGGAACAAAAATACACCAGAAACTCCTGTTTCTGCGTTTTCAACGAACAGTTCGATCGCCAAAATGCACATGGATAAATTTTCGATGAGAGGGGTCGTGTCGACGCCCACATCGCCTTTAATGCATTCGCCGAAAAGTATCAATACAGGGCCTAATGTCGAGACGGGCCGTGATGGCAATTTTCCTGAATCCATGCCAGTCGAGAGTATGGCTGACACTTCTGTACCGAAAATGCGGGTCCTCATTGCGGTGGCTCCAGTTGACCACACATGTGGGCATTTGGTCAAGGTGTCGATGTCTGCGAGTGGTGGCTCGAAGCAGATGAACGACGAATTTATCCGCATGACCGGCCCGTTAATGTCTAGCACGATTGTCGAGACAAAGCAACTTGCTGCTCTGTTGTCGACTACAGTCACAGATGCATCGGCGAACATTGCGTCCTTGAATTGTGATGACTTTTCGGTTGTTAACAGGCGCATGGGGATGATCACATCGATTATTGAGAACTACTGCGTCAAGCACAAGACTGTCGACGACCTGCACAAGTACTTGTTCTCTGTCGGAAAGAGCGGGGTACAAAGCACATTTGCCATTCCACATACGACTACTGATGTAATTGCAAAAAACGACGGAAATGCCGATGCTATAAATCACCAGAAATAATTGTGAAGCTGTGATATCTATATTTTAAATATATCTGGATGTCATATTGTTTGATTTCCAGTAGAAACCATTGCTATGATTTGATTTTTTTATGTATTTGCAGTCCCATTTTTCAGCATGTTACTATCTAGGACCATTAGCACCCCCGCAATTCTTATTGTTTTGTTATACTCTGGGTTATTACAACAGCCCTCTAACATACTTAATCGACAGTAGCTGCTGAATATTGGCTTGTAACAAGTTCCTTCCGCTGAAACCTGATTCCGGCTACGACGCGGGACAATCCAGCAGTCATTGTGCTTGCATACCGCTCCTACATGCCATGCACACGAGTTGTACCTTGTTCCGTATGCAATGTTGGTCAACCCTGACAATATATTTTTTTTCGTATTCAAATAGACATTGCAAGTGGCTTTTTTGAACAATTCGGTTGAAGAGAAATTACTCCCCAATGCAGTTCAATAGTGATGGCGCTAGTACAAATGACTGAACAGTGGACCGGATTGATGAGCCTGAAATGTGCTTAGGCAATAAATTAAATGGGCGGCTTGCACATCAAGCGCCAAATTTAAGGGTCATAAATCCGGACAAGAGCTACTTTGATGAATTAACTGTATGTATAAGCCGGGTGTCATGCCCAGCTCTTGAATTGTTTGGCCCGAAAACATACGCATATATTCCCCACATCCGACTTCAAATGTGGAAAAAAGCAAAGAAAAAATTGGCGATCAAAGCTCTGTTTGGGTGGGGAGGCCATGTAAATTTTTCTATATCTTTCTTGTTGCCTTTTCAACCTAGTAGTGTATCATTTTTTATCGTCACTTTTCAATTTTCAAATCCAAACACAAGAATTCAACATTTCACTTTGCTTTGGTATTCCTCATTCGTTTGACATATAATGGAGAACCCAGAAGGCAACGGCATGTACAGCCAGATTATCGACACGATCGACCAGATGTACGCCCAAACCGACGAGCTGAGCGCTGATAGGATGGAGATGCTCGAGCAATCTCTGCAGACGCTGGCCAACGGAGTGAACGAAAACAACCAGGTGGTACAGTCGGTGCTTGGCGCCGTCAAGCAACTTGCCGACTCGATCCACGGTCAAGGCCAGCTGCTCTCAAAGCTGCATTATCGGCAGGAAGAGACCAGCAAAGAATTTGGCGCAATGGCCAGCAAGTTTAAGGCCCTGGAGACGTATATTGTATCTCAGACAAAACTTATCATGCAACAGCAGCTCAGAGCAGCAGCAGAGGCAGTAACATCTTCGCGCCCACAGACACCCGCCCCAAACACTGCCGGCAATGCTGCTGCTTCGTCGCCAGCATCGACGGCGAGTGCCCAGATTGCAGATAGACAGGCATCAGCTACCCCGGTTGCCAACATTTTGAATTTCAGCGCGGCCGGTGGCTCTTTGCAAGTACCTGGCTCGATGGTCTTGCAAAACCACACGCATCCTTCGACTGCCATGTCATACGGTGCATTTGCGCCATCCACTGCGACATCATTGCCTATGATTAGCCCCCCTGCGTCCACTGCTGCCGCCGCTAATCAACAGAGTTTTTTGCTCGCCCAGCAGATGAGCATTCAGCGTAACCAGGAGATCGCACAGGTTTACAGTGATAACCAGTATTTGCAAAATCTATCTCCGACCGAGCAGTCCAAGTTGGTGCTGTTCATTCTGAAGCAAAAGCAACAGCAGCAGCAGCAACAGTTTCAATTTCAGCAGCAACAGCAATCGATTCAACAACATCGGCAACAGCCTATTCCATTTCAACCACCCGGCGCATCCGCAATGCAAGCCCAGCAAAGCCTGCTAGTGATGCAGCAGCAGCTTCAACAGCGCGAGCGGCAACGTGAGCAGCAGCGCCAGCTTCACCTTCAGGAGCAACAACGGAGACAGAAGGTTGCAGATGAGCTCGAGCAGAAGAGGCAACAACTTTTGGAGCAGAAGAGACAACAACTCTTGGAGCAGCAGAGAAGTATCAAGCAGAAGAAGCAGGAACTAGGTATGTGTGCTCAGAAAGTCAATGTCGACACGCATGGTTCTGTTAGTCCAGAGCTAGGATCGGTTGCAATGGGCGTAGACGTGAGCGACACCCCAGCGGTCAGCAGCAACAAGAAAGGCACTGCCGCCGCCATCGGCGCTACAACTAAGACTGCACCGACTAACAATTCGGAAAGTGTGCAGGTGCCGCATTCAAAACCTGTAGATATTCAGGCGGCGCAGACAGTCCCGGCGGCCCTGATTCGGGTGAAGACTGAATCAACTCCATCTCCATTTCCAATTCCGGCCCCCGCTACAGCTCCAGTTACTGCCCCGATTCGGGTAAATATTGAACCAGCTCCGGTTCCGACTCCAGTCACTGCCCTGCTACTGTCGCCATTGCAGGGAAAGAAGCCCGTCGAAAAGAAGCCCGAGGTCCAGTCCACCACCGTTTCCAAGCCAACACCCCCGCCGATGTCGAATATGATGCCGGTGTCGCTCATCAAGCAAACCGTGGTTGCCGCGCCTCCACAGGCACAAGTACCGATCTTGCTCACTTGCCCTTCTGCCAAGTCACAATCGCCGCTGCCAACGCTAGCGCCAAAGATGTTCACACTGAATACAAGCTCGTCGTCATTGAACGCCCAGATCCCGCAGGTCGTGTCGGCGCCAAAGACGCAGATTCCTCAAGTGGTTTCGTCATACAAAGCACCGGTCAAGGCTCCTGCCACCACGTCAGCCACTGCTCCGGCAAAGACCAAAGCAAACCGGCCGCCAGCTGTCCCCCCGATGCCCCCTATAGGTGCAATGGCCAGCAAGGCAAAGGTTGCTAGTGCCAGTGTGTCATCCGCAAGGTCGACGGTGAGCTCCGAGTCTGGAGGAATATCGATTAAAAGTGGAATTCCATCACCAGTGGCATCGTCGAAATCGACGGCTTCGACAACAGAATCGAGCTTGATCGCTGACAAGCCTCTCGAGCCGGCGCATGCCTCCTCATCCAAGGTGAAAGCTACATGCAGCCGGGTGGATTCGAGGTCAAGGTCCAGATCCAAGTACTCATCTTCGCGTCTAAACCTGTCCCGCTGTTCGGCACACTCCCGCCATCACGATCACTCTCCATCTTATTCGCGCTCACACTCGCGGTCACGCTCTTACTCGCGTTCCCAGGCTCAGCGTTGCAACAGGTCGCGCTCGCGCTCGATGTCACGTTTGCGGTCCACATCACGGCGCTGTGATGTGGACAACAGGCTGGGCCAACTCGAAGTGACAATCAAAGGCGCGACCAAACATGCGCGCGAAGACGACTCGTCAAGCGGGCGCAACACCAAGCGGCAGCATAGAAGCCCACGCATTAGTGGCGTTGCGTTCTTTGGCAATAGCAACAGCGCATCGGACGATGACGACGATGACGAGCTCATTAAAAGATATAGCGACCCTGACGATGTCGAGTTTGGTATTGTTGGCGCGTCAGGGTTAAGCAGGCGTGGCAGCCCATCGGGTAGCAGCGCTACCAACATCACTTCGCGGCTGGGGCACACTGCTGCTGAAGACAACACCAGTAATATGTATGGCCGCGTATCATGGAAAAATGGTAGCAGCAGCAACAGCAGCAGCAGCAACAACGGACGCTTTGCTGGCTCTGGCTCGGGGTACAATGGCGGCCACGCATGGAACACCCAGGAAGATGTAATCGGAAAACTGGAGGACGCAGACGGTAATATTATTACCAGTGAGAGAGTTTCGCAGATGATGGGTCCATTCTACTATCTCGCAATGCCTGCGATCCCGCCGGTATACCAAATGTTCTTTGGGTGCATGCCGATGCGCCCAGAAGTGTCTCAAAAGGTCATCAATAATGCGATTACTAAACTGGTTGGCTTCAAGTATTTTAGGGCGGCCCTGGCACCCGCCGCCAAATACTCAGGATTTGTGCCGAGCTATGTGGTGCGTTGTGACAGCGATTCTAACAAAAAAGTGCGCCGGATGAAAGAGCGGGTTTTCGGCGGGAATATTGTCATTGGGCCTCTGCTGTTCTACAGTCTGGTCATGATGTCGTGTGGCCAGATGCAAAACAATATGGCGTCATCCATGAACACGCTGCTGAGGAACATGACCGGACTTGAATTTGATCAGTTGAGAATCGTTACTAAGGACGGAATCAGCCAGCATTCGACGTACACCGTGTGGTCCATGACCATAGACTGGGTCAAGGACCTGTGCAAGTACCTGGTCGAAGATCGCCGCGCCCAGGACTCTATCACTGCTGCGAGCAAGTGCCACAGCGAGTACATGCGCCAGTGCCGAAACAGCAGCCATGACAATAGTGGTGGGCTGGACAGGGACGGCAACATGGCCTTTAGAATGCTGTCCACCAACGCTGAGAACAGCCGACTGTTTTTGGGCGTCAGGCCGAGCGATCTGCGCGAGCTGTACAAGTACCTGGTGTATATAGTGGGCAAGCTTTCGACTCCACATACCATTAAGTATTTGAAGCAGGTGTCTGAGAGCTTTATTCAAAACGAGGAATAGCGTCTTTTTTTGCTCTCGAACGAACGAAAAAAGCTAGAAAATGAATAATAAATATGAAGCAGTGGCAGTGAGATTGTAGTACAACTATCACTCTTGAGCAGCACCCCTGTGGCGGTAAATGTAGAACTGGTACAGTATGCCCAACTCCAGCCAAATGGTCGACGATGCACCGAGCAGCCACGCCGCGTACTTTTCCAGATACTCGCGCGTCGGCCGCTGTAATGTGAGAATCGACAGGCAGTATGTGACGTTGCCCAATATTACCAAGACAAAGGTTAGCATGGACAGGCCCTCAGTCGACTTTGTCCGGTAGTTCTTGACGAGCTGAGGAATGTACGCGCCCAGATAGACCACTGCCGATATGTATCCGCAGAGCTGGCCGACTGCCCAGCGCAGATCGACGTGCGCAAACCAACCCTAACAAAAACAAAACAAAAATGGGATGTTAGTGAGAAATTGGTTTCTTTGGTTGCCTGGCATTTGTAATCCGCTTTTTGTTGCTTTCTTTCCATTAAATTGCAAAACTTGACTATCGCGCACGCTTATAAAAAAGAGTGCTTTTGGCCTTACCAAGTAAGCGGAACAATAGTAGAGCGTAAAGCCACTGGCAAGTAACAGGCCTGCTCCAATCAGCGCTGAGTGCGGGCAGCAGATCGTCAAAAAAATTGCGTGCTCATTGTTGTCGCAATTGCTTTGATCTGGCGATGGGTGCAAAATCAGCCAGCTCTCCTCGTCAGCCTCGCCATCAAGCTCGCCGTCCGGGCGTGGATGGTTATTACGGTAACTATAAAACTGCCAAATGATTATGCCGTCCGTCAAGATGTAGTACAGCGGCAGCAGCACGGCTGTGATAATCAAATTCCCCATCACCGCGCCCACCAAATTAAGCAAATCGCCGAGCGACCACATAAGATAGAACGTCAGGGATATTCCATCGCACGACTTGCGCTTGTAATTGAGGTGGATTTGAGGAAGCAGGACTACAACCCAGCACAAGATTGAGGTGTAGCCGAAAAAGCTGGAGATGAAAATGCTTGGATCGATCATGAACAGCGTATAAAAAATAAATTTTGTAATATAAATTAATTTGCAAAAGCGGACGATGCGAACGGAAAAGAGGAAATATTTTTTGTTGGAAAGCTCAAATGAGAATAGTGCCTCAATATCGCTGGCTTGAAAATGAGTGCTAGGCTTGGGGCAAAAGGGTTTGATTTTATTTATTTATTTATTCCGCGTAAATATGCGCTCGCTTCCCATTTTTCTACTACAATATCGAGAGAAATTAAACTGTTAGGTAAATACCTAAACTCGAACTCAAATTAAAAAATAATGGATTTACGAGTACAGCCTTAAAAATGACATCTTATCCTCCTTATTTATTCCCCATCAAATGTCAGGCATCGATTGGATGTCGAATGACAATGCCGCATTTTTTGCAGCGACGTTGTGAGTGTCTATAGCAATACACTGGCCCGCAGCATATGCAGCACACACACGCAATTAGCCACAGCGACGTCGGATACACCTGCTTCCACGCGTGTTCGCTGCCATCAGCGCAGACGCCGGAACCATCGGCGCGCACCAGCACTGCACTTCCCCCGTTTGGGCTGTGTTCTGTAGCTCCATAACCAATCTTGCTTTTAAGTCCTGGCGATAGTAATGGCGGTGGCGTTGGTTGAGGGTGGTAGCCACGAATGTCGTATAGTAGCGATTGCTGCTGCTGCTGAGTTTCTTCATCTGTGTCATCATTATGACCTCCGATGCTGCTTCTACTACTGCCGCTGCTCGCATCGATGCTATCCATATTGCTCGGATAAAGAATACTGTTTAACACGAGAAAAGGAGAGTAAATAAAAAATATGTCGCTGAATTTAAAATATTTACAAACTGAAATTCAAAAAATTAATAAAAGAAAACATGAACGGCTGTGAGCACATGTGCCTGCATCCAATGCTCAAAATGTAAGGGAAATAAGCGGTGAAACGCGCGCACGCGGAAAAATGTATCATGCCTTTTGATTTACACATTGTTAAACAATATGTACAATTGCCAAAGCCAAAACAATGGATGTGGAATTGTACTGTCGAGCTAAAGATAATGGGGCATACTTGCACAACCATTTTTCTAGGACCAAAGCCAATGCCTCTGAGCCTGCCGTAAATTCGAGCAACTCCAAAAACTGAAGCTATTGCTTTTTTTGCCCGCAACCGAGAGTTTTAGAGCGCAAAACTTGCTTGATATTTGTTTGACCAAATGCTCGTATATTTTAGTTGACTGCCAATTTAATTCAAAAAATGTAACTGCAAAAGAACTGCATTGAAAATAGTTAGCAATACTAGTTCAACTATTCGAGCGAAAATTTAATTTTCAAATTTTCAAAATGCAAAGCACTCGACTATTGTTGGAAATAGTTGGTTCACATTTTTAATGCTGAATTGTTTTTCGGAGCTCGCTCAAAAAAATATTCACAACTACACGATTTATTTATGCTCCCCATAGACACTATAAAACAAGATCCTACATTCCACAGAATCGGAGCCGGTGCTCAAGGACAAGACCAAGGTCGCTGTCGAGTCCACCATCAAGTTCATGTGTTGGAACCTCGATATTGCGTCGGTGTGCAATTTCATTACGATAATCCTATATTGTCGCAAATTTTTAGAGCTCCATCCAGCTTCCATACGCCCTGCTTGACTGCAAATTGATACAAATGCCGCGCCCAAGCCCAAGGCTGCAGTCAAGAGAAAATGATCCAAAGTCTGATGCAGCATCCAAGCGCAACAGGACTAATTTTTATTCTTTTTTCACATGGCGGCCTACTACTGCCTGATGGCTCGATCCTCATTGGGTAAAACCAGTGACAACAAAGTGGATGGGAGGGCTTTGTCCAAAACTCCAAAATTATTTTACAATTATTGTATAGGCTTGATTAATTTCGTTTTGCAAAATGTTTTATTTGCTCACATCGTCGCAGGTTGACAGTAACACATTTTAGTAATATTTCCATTTAGTTCCTGCTCGACAAATGTATTTGCCTCTCACTCATCCCTATTTCGTTGGATTGTAGCACATGGTATGTGTTTCTTTATTTTGTGGAGGGAAAGAAGGGAAAAGGGCGCAACAACCAAGAGCAGTGGCAGCATGTTTGGAAGGAAATCAGTGAGAAAATGCAGAAAAACATTGTTCCCATTTATTCCGTAAAATAAATCCGAATGCGCGCGCGAGTTTAAATAAATAAGCCTCTTCTTTTTAACCTTCTCGCCCTCTTTCCCCAATTGGGTTTCTTTAATATCCAGCTTTATTGCTCAAAAACCAAGGTCACACACATACACACGCTGGTGTTGATAATAATACTGCTTAATATGTTTACTTTTCCCTTTTTCTTCTTTAATTATCTATACTCATTATCATCTGCGCAAAATTGCATTTTAATTGTACATATGTACTTGTGATAATTTCCAGGCTGTTCCTTCAAAAGACATACTTTTAATATCATTGATCAATTGTAGAATAAAGGGCTTGTAATTTGGGCCTCCTTTTGTTTCCTTGTTTCCTCTTTGCCACCTTCTCAAACTTACATTGTCTGTTTGAGCCCTTTCTTCGTCAGAGAGACAGCAGCGCAAAGTCAACACTCCCATCCGATAATATTTAGGCGCGGCCCTCCTGTTTTTCACTTTTTTCACTTTTCTGCCAAGCATTGGTTTTTTCACTTTCACTCTATCTCCCTCACTCGTATACCTATATACTCTTACTATTGCACCATCCACAAAACTATCGGCCTCAATTATAAACTATATTCTTTTTTAAACATAAAACGTAGAGCCCGCTGCATTTCCTCATCTTTATCTGCTCCTTTACTACTTTTTCTTGTTTTTCTTTCAGCAGATAACTCGTGAATATAAAAAATCGAGGCGGAGGACAGCCACACAACACGTTTTACAGCCTGACCGCTATTTTTTTACTCACGACACCTCAGTATATTAAAATTATTAAACAGGCACTCATTCTTTATAAAGCTGTATTTTGCTTCTTTTCTTTTTTTGCCACTTTGCTTGATATATTTAATCTTTTATTTTTGTTGTGCAAAAAAAGAGGCAGAAAGGGTATGAATATTAGCGAACGCCCGCCCTCACCGTTACAGCGCACTACGAGTCTACCTCGAAGCACCAAGTGCAAAACAGCATTACAAAACATAGCGTGGTTCCGGAAACCTCGCTCATACACAGCTCCATTACCATCCACACAACCTCAACCTCAACCTCGACAGCATCAGTATCAGCAGCAATTGCATTTGTTACCACAGCATCAACAGAACCACAGCAAAAATCAACGCGGTATCAGCGAATTCATGACACAATTGGAGCAGCAGCATGACAGTAATTCCATCATTGCTCCTGCAGGCAGCAAGCGCATGCAGACAGATGGTCGGCAAGCAACCACACAGAGGTCATTGAGTCCAGGAGTTCCAACGCGCACACTGTCTCTGCGCAGGGTTCCGGAAGCCACGGACATGGCGGCGGAGTTTCAAAACCAAATTATCAATATGGGTGCAGCCTCGAGCATATTGACATTTCCCAGTCACGACATGCCCAGTCCCAATTCAGCTGGCCATTCAGCTGGCTTAATTGGCCAGAACCTTGGAAAAATGGCAGTAGCTGCGGTGCCTTCTGGCAACGTAACAGACGGTAAAGCTGGTAATTTACATGCCACAACAGCGTTGGAAGTGCGCGCAGACCTGGTGAGCAAGCAGCAGAGACTCGTGAGCCAGAGACCCGTAAGCCCAGCAATGAGTGAGGGAAGCACGGCATCTGTAAATGGTTCAGTTGGTGGTGGCGTTGGCGGTAAGGGGTTTGAGAAAGTGCTACAGATGTTTCCTGAGGTTTTGTTGGAAAACCCAAAGCCGCCAAGAGATTTTGTGTGCTCCCTGGATCATGCGGGTATTCGGTGGTATGGCCGGATTTTTATTGGCTCCTCGTGTATGTGCTTTTCGGGCACTGGCATCTCGCTTAGCAGTGGAACCAAGCGCAGCACCAGCAACGGCAACAATACTGCTGGACCGCAGGGCAGCAGCATTGGCGTTTTTGCGTGGAGGACGGCGCTGAATAATAACTCGCTGATGTCACTGGCCAGCTCTCAGGGACCTGGGCATCCAGTATTTGGGTCTCTCCCGCGGCTGACCAAAGTGGCAGCAGTGCTGTCAGCGCAGATTCCTAACACTCCGTTATCAACGACAGAGTTTGACAGCTCAGCGGGAGGCTCGAAAAAGCCCTGGCGCCGGACGGCCATCCGCATTCAATTTCGTGACATTACTCGGGTCAGCAAGGAGCTCACTATGGGGTTCTGGCCCAACGTCATTACTGTGGGCACAACACACAGACAGTACATTTTTACTAACTTTTTGCGCCGCGACCGGGCCCACCGCTGCCTATCAGAGGCATGGCAGAAGGTTAAGGACCAGATATCTGCGGAGACTCTTCGGCCAAAGTCACCGCCAATTAGCTATGCATCGAGGCCGGCAGCAGCTGCGGGACCTTGGGTGACGCAGGGTGCTCGGCGGAGAAAACAGCCGAGAGCCCACAATTTGTCAGACAGCACGGCCATTAGCTCTGCCACCAGCACTGCAGCTATTGCTCAATGCGAGAGCGAGATGACCATATGCGAAGGACCGACAGAGCTATCACCCTCATTATCGCCTGATTGTGCAAAAACAGCATCGCAGTCGCACCAGGATTCGACACTCGTGCTAGAAGAAAAATCGATGTTGCTATCGGCAGGACAATATAATAAGCAGAATCATTCCAACCCAAGTAACCCATTGTGCAACAAGCAGCAACAGCAGCAGCAAAAACAAAAACAAATCCAACCACAGAACCAAGAACAAGGGGCGTGTTTCGAAACGACTGCCGTCGCTACTCGGTCTGCGGGCAACAACAATGTCGGTCTTGGCCCACCATTTTTCTTTTTTGCATCTCTTATAGTGTTTTTCTTTTTCTCGTCCATATCGTTCTCATAAAAAATTTGGGCAGAGCCCGCCAAAGTTTTTGTTTCATTTGTTTCATTTTTATTTAATTTCGGAGAATTCTTCCAATTTCACTCGATATTGTCCAACAAAAAAAGAGAACCGACAATCATATTCAGAAAATAAAATTGTCCAAAGAAAAAGCTTGAAGTCTTCATACAGAGATTTCGTAAGATATGCATTTATGAAAGAAAACAATGAAAAATAAAATATGACACTAATGTGGAAAGTATGAAAAGTATGCACCACGCGCCTGACTGACCGGAATAAGAAAAAACGCCCTCACTGACACCACTCATGCTTAAATTAAACTCCTCCCCCTGCCGGCGCAATATTTTTAGTCTTTTCGCCGACATTTCCAATGTCAAAGCTTTTAAATACAATCGTAGTGAGTTGCGGTCAGCGTTAACTGGCCTTGTCTTTTGCTGAAAGGTCCAGCTTTGCTTTGGCCTCAAGATGGAACCAAGCCAGTAGAGACTGGATAAAAACAAGGGACAACCGGAAATGTCAAAAAAGGGGCAGATAATACAGGAATCGAGAGTGCGAGGGTAAAATAAGGAGTGCCAAACAAGGTTTTTTTGGAGGATCACCGTAGTCGTCCTCCCCCCCCCCAGGGTGCTAGCAACCGCACATCCCAACCCATGAAGAACCGGAACAAGAAATCAAACAAGAGGGAACAGGAAATGTCAAAACGGAATCGAGCATGCAAGAAAAAAACTGGCCATGAGCAATAAAAAAATTTCAAACCTTCAGTTCGGCAGTGACGCCCAAACAAGGATGGAAAAATTAGTATTGCAATGGGCATGTGTGTGGGAATCTCAGCAAGCATCTGTTGTTTTTCATTTTGGGCTGCTGCTGCTGCTGCCGGCGCTGGCGGAATACACAAAATAATTTAGATGAGCTTCCCGGGGTCCTCAAGGCTCCCGACAAACCTGATGATGCTCTGGTTGTCAACCACAATGACCATTGTGTCGTTAGGCAGCAGTAGCCCCTGCGGCCACAACATGCCTGGCCGAACGATTTTGGTAGATGGCGGCAGATCAGACATGCAAACGACCAGCTGGGCAACGTCAGCGGGCATGTCCTCTCCAGCAATATCGTCTATTAGCTGGCGGTCTCTGTAGCGAAGCGTCAGCGAATGTGAGTTGTGAAATGGTTCGAAGGGCATACCAATGGGCATCGGTGTATCGTTCATCAACATGGTCAAAAGAGGAAAAGATGGGTTTTTAGAGGTGGAAGTGGTGGGTATTAAAGCAAAACTGGTTCTGGTGCTGGTTCTGGTGCTAGTAGCGTCGCGGCGAGAGAAGTGAGGTGCGAGTGATTTTGTGAAAACGAAACAAAAAAGTATAGAAAAATGGAGAAAAATTTTTTTGGAGGAAAAGAAAAAGCATGGCCGGCTAAGAGCAGCAAGCATGGCTTTTTATATACGGAAGATATGGTCAAGCAAGAGTGCTTCTTGTATGCGAGGCGTGCAAGTGAATAAACGCGCAAGCCAAGATGAATGCGCCAAAGAAAAACTTTTTTTTGCAAGACCATGCGCGGCTTACTGGAACAAAAAATTAGGGACAGAAAAGCAAAAAGAAAAAAGGACAAAAAACTGACGTACGAGCTTTTGTTTTGCTTGCTACTGTCACCTATTGCTGCAAAAAGAAAGGTGGAATATGTCCCGTGTCGATGCAGTTTGACCAAGCCTCCACACTGCACTGCTCTAATCTGTGTATTGTTCTTTCTTTCTTTTTCCTTGGAATAACAAGCCAAAGAAATATTTTTCTTTTTTATTGTTGTCAAGTTTTCCAGTGTCGGAAAATATTTGGCATTTGCTATGGGGCTTGGCTTTGTTGTATTTTTCTTACACGCATATTCGTGCATAAATCCGCTGCAATTAAAAAACAGAAGACAACTTGTTTTTTAATGTGCGTACGTACATGCACGCACACAGAAGGACGTGAAAAATGATCACGCGCTTAGAAGCTAACGCTAATCTTTTTTGCCTATTTTTTGCTTCGATATATTTGATTTTGGTATATTCCCTTTTATCCATTTTGGAATCACTTTTACGTCAGAGGCCTGACCGGGGATTTCGGCCAATGCTCCCCAGCTGCGATGCAAAAAAAACAATGCGATGCAGTGCGATGGCCACAAGATAACAGGCATGCGCTTAGCTTGCTGATGGTATGTGCGTGATTTTGCACTTTGCAAGTGGGGCAACATGGCACTGCAGATTACTAAATGATTAGTCCTCGATTTAATCGCTTAATTATATCAATCCTTATTTGTATTCCCCCCTCCCCACAACATTCTTTATCTTATGTTTGCTCTCCCACGGGCAAAAAAACACAGGCATTCAATTTTCCAGTTACAAACACTACGTTTTTTCACTCCCCGCCATTTTTATCGTTACTTCCAAAGCACCGCATTTCAGTTTTCTCCACTGTTCTAAAAAAAAGAATGGGATTCCTGTCTTTGTGGGAAAAAGGGCGGAAAAAAGTCCGGCCCTTTTTAAGTTTGTCATGATTTTTATTTTTGGAATCGACTGACCAAAATCCACTCATATTCACTGTATCAATTTTTCGGGCAGAGTAAGCCTCGACAAACCCCTTTTTAATTAATTTCTTTTTCTTTCATTTTTTATCCAGCAATTTTTTAACCTACTTTTCATTTTTGACCTTTAAAACTAGAGCAAATTTTGAATACATGACAAGCGTCTTTGGCAAGCTTCAAGCTCTAGTCAGCAACGTTGTCAGCACTCCTGCCCAGCAGCCATCACCACACAAACACCAGCAGACGTTGTCGTCCTCGCCGACGCCCGATGGAACCCCCGCAGCCAGCCCGCATCAGCCGGCCAAGCTGAGCGAAACCACATCCACGATGACTGTGGTCACTGAAAGCGTCGGTTTGTCCGGCGACACGCTCCGGGTATCGACCCACGGACGGCCTCGGCGACAAACCGACGCCTCGATGACCAGCGTCGCCAGTGCAGGTACTAATACTGGTGCTGGCGCGGACACAAACACATCGACCGTGCGGCAGCAGGACATTGATAAGCTGCTGCCCTACCGGATGCCCGACCTGGAGCGAATCTCACGGCTGCACCCTGTCAGCAAAATGCTGCAACAGGACTCATGGGACTGTGGGCTTGCCTGCGTGTGTATGATTTTGAGGTCCTTTGGACAGGCCACCTGCTCGATTTCGCAGCTGGCCAGGCAGGCCAAGACGGACTCTGTCTGGACTATCGACCTTGTCTACCTCTTGCATCAAAATTTAAACGCAGACTTTACGTATTACACAAAGTGCGCTGGGATCAACCCCGAGTATGCCAGCCATGCGTTCTACCAGGAGGGGCTGGATGAGGATGAGGACAGGGTGCAGAAACTGTTCAACCAGGCGCAGGCTGATCAGGCAATCCGGATAGTCGAAATTGTCATCCCACTTATCGACCTCAAGCGCTTCCTGGTTCACCGCCAATACGTGGCAATTTTGCTTGTGGACAAGGCTGTGCTCAAGTGCGTCTCCTGCGAAATGGCGCGCCAGGCGTCGGCCGCTGCCGCTAAGCGCCTGACTGCTCATGGGCGCAGCCGATCGGTTAACATTTTTCGCTCAAACACGAGTGCTTCGGAATCCACTGTGTCTGGTCCAAAGTCTGCGGCGGGCGAGCGCACGGGCATGTTGTCGTGGTTTTCGCGCAAGCGGCAGATGAAGGACGGATATTTGGGCCACTACATTCTGCTCATTGCTTATATTCCGTCCCTGGACATGTTTCTATTTAGGGACCCCGGAATTCCAGAGGAGTTTTGCATGGCCTCAGCAACAATGATCAATACTGCGCGCAATCGTCCGGGCACTGATGCCGACTGTGTCATTCTCAAACTGTAATACATTATACTCACTCCCTTCTTTTTTAGATATCCTGTTCACTATCATATTTGTTTGTTATTTTTTTTACAAGTGATAATGGCATGAGTTTTTAAAATTCCATTCTAATTGACAGTACTGAAACTGTTAATGTCGTTTTGTTGCCGCTGACGCCTGTCCCACTCCTCCGCAAGCTCAGCCACCGACTTTCTGCCGCCCTTCCGGCTACATGCTGTCGACGCAACCGAGCTGCGTCCAAGCGTACTGTTCATCACATTTGCAGCTATCAAATTACAATTCTCAGTCTCGCTATCGACCTCATCCAATGTCTCCAAAATAAGACCACCAACCAGCGATGGCGCAGTAAACACTCGCCGCCGATGATCTCGCGGCATTCCTCGTTCCAAAGACGTGCCCCTACTTAGATTGCCCCGCTTTGCCCTCCGCACTCTGTGCGGTCTGATTGACGGCGGCCCGAAAAACTCATCCCCCTGTTCCATTAAAAGCGGTGTCGACTCGGTCAGTATTGTTATGCTGTGGCACCGTCTGGCTCGTTTGCTGATCGCAAATCCATTGACTCCTAAATTTCCACCGCGGCTGCGCTGCGTCAATTGCTGGCTCTCCAGAAACCGGACGTGCTGCTCTCGCGACCGGTTCTGTTTATCTGCATATTGCGCATTCCTAAAGATTTGATTTCAAATAGCAAAATAAATGTTATATCAAAATATTCAGACGATTAATATCATTAGGGCACAACTATGAATGAATATACAAACAGTTTGTGTTAGGCATCTTGCTAGTGATAAATGTAAGATTCAGTTTGCAAAAGTTACCTTTTGTGAATTATGACGGTGGCGCATACAATAGCTATTAAACACCCAGCTCCAAAAACAATAATGGCACCCCACGATTCCAAAAAATCGTACACATGTAACGTTGGCTGCGCCAGTGCTGCAAATGTACTTGCACTCATACCCGCAGTAACTGTCGGCTCCGGAAACATCCCAATTGCCACCATGTTTTGTGAATGAGAAAGACTCTCCCTCCTACACTTTCAAAAAATATAGGTCCAGGTCTGGTATCGAGTATCTGCCACAGTTACTCGGCTTCAGGCTGTTTTTGCGAATGCAACAAAAATAAGGGAGGGCGAGTATGTGCAAGAGCCCTGTATATTGTCTTGGATATTAACACAAAGAGACCCTTGCTTCCAGACAATTATTTGCAAGGCCTTTGTTGCAATACGAATGGCAATTAGCGATAAAAATAGGGAGATGGGAAAGTAAATAATGATAATAGAGTATGCAAAATAATTGAAATGAGGAGAAGAAAGAGAATGGAGAAGAGAAAGGGGAGATGGGGGAGTGCCGTTTGTTCAAGCGACATTTCTGGGTGCACGTATAGTGCGAGTCAATACACTGCGCCGAGGAGAGTCCAAGACGAGCTATAGAAAACAAACTGCTCAATGTCTGCATATGCGCTTATTGTGCGTGACAAAAATAAAAAAGTAATTGAGCATGCCAAATGCCTGTGGCGGATGATGCCAGCTGCGCACAAACAATGAGCATGTGCTGTTTTTTTTTTTAAAAAAAAGCAAATTGGGGAATCCAAAAAATAACATAAATATTAGAAAAAGCAAGCACAGTAAAAGTAAAAAGGCAAGTGCCATGCAAATAAACGTAGGCGTAAACAAAAAATGTGTTTATGTATCCCCAAAATGTTTGCTTGTAAAATTATAAAATTATAAACTAGTATATGCCCCAGCGAGCATAGCTGGCTCTGCTCTGCTCTTGGGCTAAAAAATGCAAAAAATGGCAACAAGAAAACTAGTTCACAGTTGTGGCTTGGCTTGGCAACTACAGCTCGTTACCCAGAGTGTCAATCTCTTTACTAGTCATGACTCTGGAGAGCAGAATTGGTGTGATGCTTAAGAGCTGAATGAGCTCGTCCCGTGTCAGGCCATAAACCATATCACAGTCAGGGTCACCACTAGCCAAACTGCCACTGTTGTGAGAGTACATGCTTCTGTCCTCATGGCCCCAATTAGTAAGCTTGCTGACTATGTAATCCTTGCCATGTGTGGATACCCCCTTGGCCAGCTCACAGAGCCACTCAATAGCTATCTTCCACAGTGAGTCCACAGTATGCCACTTGATCTGACCAAAGCCATTACTGCGCTTTACTGTGGTCAGTCCAACTGGGGACCTCTGGAACTCATCGACCCACAGCTTGGCAATAATATTGGCCTGGCTGAATGAAAGTGGTCTGAGAACAGAGGTCACAAGGTAGAAAAACAAAACAGGCTCAGGGACTGGGGATTTGACAAACAGACGGTTGAAACCAGTTAGTAGCTTCAGATGGCAGTTGTCCCTGAACAACAATGTGCACTGCACATTGTCATTGGATGACATTCTCTCTGAAATCCCAGGCAGATTTTTGAGCCCCATCCGGATCAGCCGCTTTGACTCATTTGTCCACAGGTGCACCTTAAAGCATTGCTGATAGTACTCTGGCAGGTCATCTAGGGGCACCCATGCACAAACACTCCACACCTTGGCCAGGCGGTCAACTGCCAGAAGAGTTCCTGAAGAATCTTTCAACTCTATTGAAGCCTTACTTGACCGGAAGCCCTTTGAACACAGCTGGTCCCATGACAGATCCTCTTCATCATTGTCATCATCATCATTGTTGTTGTCACCCTTGTCCCCCCACATATAGTTGCCAGTACTGCTGATATTGGCTCCAAGCCTCTGGTTGATGCTGCTGCTACTCTTGCTCCTAGTGTCTTGTTCTGAACCAGAATCAATGCCAATGGATGTCCTGCAATCCATCTGCACTGGCTGCTTACTGCTTGTGTCCTCCCTCCATGCAACAACCTTGTCATAGGATGAAGGAAGAACCTTAGTTCTACTGATGTGGGCTACAGATGCTGGCATGGCAGGTGTGTTGTCATCATCATCCTGTGTAAAATCAATAACTCTCCACCCACCTCTGCTGACATAAGATTGTGGTTTGGCAGAAAGCTGTTTCTTGGTGGAATTATTATCCCTCTCTGCTAACTGCTGCAGCCTCGGCTCCCTATTGGCATTGCCTGACTTGGAACCCACTCTTTCCCAAATGCCGATCTGCCTCTGTTGCTTATGGTGTGCTGGTACTTGATTCCTTGAATAATCTTGATATCCAGGGGTGGTGGAATTACCCTGTCTGCTCTTGAACTTATTTCGGCTGTGGCTGTGACTGTAACTGGAGTTGCAGCTGTGGTCTCTTCTGTGACTCAAGCAATGCTTGCGGCTGGGGCTCCGAGAATGCCTCCTCTTCCTGCTAGTATCATCAAAGTCAGAATTGTGATGGCTGTCATGCAGAGGCCTAGTACCTCCATTGTGCACAGGGCTGGCTGGGATGCTGAATTCCTCACACACATTATTGTTGGGAAACAGGTCAAAGCTGTCAACAGACTGACCACCATCGCTGTCTCTTCTGTGGCGACCAGTATTGCTGGTGTTGATTGCGATACCTTCACCAGGGCATGGGCTATGCTCAGCAACACCAAGCTCTGGAGACACGGATCTATCAGAGGCTGCCCGCAGCTGCGGGCTGTTGTGGATGACTGGTGGCTGTGCCCCGGTCAAGGGCGTGTTCATGCCATTCCAGTTGCTCCCACAGTTGTGACTTTCGCTGGTGTTGGTCGCAATGCGCAAATCGACGCCAGGCATATTCTGGTTGATGGTATTGACAGCCTGGCTCAGGGCCCCGACGACCACGCCCTTGAAAGTGTGCATCTGCATGTTGTGGAGGGCGTTTTGCATCTCGAGATCCGAAATTCTTGCTTGCATGGCGGTGACTTGCTCGACCAGCTTGGCGAGTCGATCCTCAACAGACATTGTAACAAGGAGCTGGTAAAGTAAATATAAAACAAAGGATGAAAACAAAGGATTGAGAGCAAACGAGAGAAATGAAAAGCAAAAAGCGAAAAAAGATAAATGGTTGGAAAGGTGAATGAACTAGTGTGTGGTGAGAAAGCTAATATCCAACGGAAAAGTTATGGAAAATTATATAGAGAAAATTGTAATAAGAAAGCGGTTAGGAGTCGTGACCAACGCCAGGCTATATATACAAAAAAATTCACTCCATACAAACAAACATTCCCATCTAATATTTGTTATCGTTTTGGCATGGATGAGGAGGGCGCAACGAAATTGCGATAAACCCGTTTCCATGATTTTTCTCATCATTTTGGCTCGCTTTCGGAAAATGAAAATATAGAAATGGAGCCACCAGCTAATGCAATTTTCATTTCATAATTTATCCATATGTTTTGCTCAGAGTTTGTCGCTTCATAATTTGGCCTTAAGATTCTCACAATAAAACAGCTAATATTTGCTTGGCCTTCTAAATTGTTCGACGCAGCAGTTTCTCACAAAGTCAATTGTTTTCTGGTTTCTTGGCTGGACATATATTGTGCAAAAACATTACACAAAACCCCTTGTTTGAGACAGGTACACTTTTTTGCGATTGTTGCTGGTGCAAGGGAAAAAACTTTTCCTAATTCAAAATAAAAAACTGTCGCAATCGCAGTCGCAATTGCAACTAGATTTTTCGATTCAAGAAAATCAAAATTCTACCTTGAACGCACAAAAAATTTGATCATGAATTTTTTTTGCCTTTTAAAAAAGCTCCAATAAATAACCTTTCTGCATTTTATATTTCACTACAACCATGGGACCCATCGACACTAATAACAAGCGCTCTGCAGCTAAAGTCGACGAGAGCATGCCCGACAGCACACAAGACAGGGCCGCAATAACAGCAAAGAAAGCGCGCGTAGACTCAGAGACTTTGAACGCGAAAGCTTGCTTCCAGCCGGGCCTTTTCGACGACGCAGACGCATTCACCGAGGAGTTTGCCAAATCGCAGCCATTCCACCACTGCTGCATAGCACCATTCTGCGATGAGCAGCTTCTGCAAGGTGTGCGCAAGGAGATGACCGAGCGGCTGCACTTCACACAAAAGGAGACCGACATTTTCAAGTACCACCAGTCGGGCGATCTGGCCAACCTCGATGGTCTGCCTGAGGAGGAGAAGCAGCAGCTACCGAGCCTGCAGAAGCTCAGGGATGCCATATACTCGCAAGAGTTCCGCGACTTTATTTCCGCAGTTACGGGTTGCGGGCCACTGTCGGGCTCGCGGACGGATATGAGCACAAACAGGTACAAGCAGGGTGACCACCTGCTGCTTCATGACGACGTTATTGGCGACCGCCGGGTGTCCTACATTATTTACTTGCCTGATCCTGACATCAACGATGGCCAGGGTTGGGCACCGCAGGACGGCGGCCACTTGGAGCTGTACCCGCGGGAATCGACAGAGTCATGGGCCCCGGCGGTCAACCCCACACGGCGTTTGGCACCGCAATGGAACCAGATCGTGTTTTTCACCGTGCTTCCAGGCGAGAGCCACCATTCGGTCGAGGAGGTCGCAGGCCTGGGAAAGGAGCGGTTGAGTATCCAGGGCTGGTTCCACTTCCCACAGCCCGGAGAGCCTGGATACGCGCCCGACCAGATGACCCGCCTGTGGTCCACCGGTGCTGTGTCCACCCTCAGCCAGATAGAGGCCAAGCGGCAGCGCGAGACAGGGAGTGTCGGTGACCCATTCACCGAATACCCAGAGGCGGATGACATTGACGATGATTCCGAAGCGCAGCTGTCTGCAGAGGACACGGCAGTCTTGGCAAAGTACCTGAATCCCAATTATCTCAGGCCCGAGGTCATGACACAGGTGGCGGAAAAGTTTGCCGACGATTCGCACATCCAACTCGGCGAGTTCCTCAACAAGGAGACCGCCACTGTGCTTGGCGAGGCACTGAAGGCTGTCGATGAGCACGACGGCATGGCTGGCGCAGAGATGCCGCCGCACGGCACGGGTGAGCGCGGGCGCTGGCATGCTTTTGGGTCGCCGGTTATCCGCCGATTCATGCGCCTGGATGGACCAGCAATGGCCAACCCCGCGGAAGGAACTGTCGACGTAGATTCTCGAGCCATTAAGGGAGGCGAGGCTACGGCGACTGACACGCTGACTGCCATCCGTGATGAGCTATTTGCCAGCGGTGCGTATGCTCGCTGGCTGAGTAGCATCACGACGCTGTCCCTCTCTGGGCACCGCGGCATGGTCCGTCGCTTCCGCTCTGGCCTGGATTACACGCTGGGCACGCCCGACGGCTCTGAAACGACAACGCTGGACGCCGTCCTCTGTTTTGTCGACGAGCCCAGCGAGTGGGCTGATGGCGTGGTTGGTGGCTACGCGTGTTATGTTGATGGTGGCAGTGATGGCGATGAGGCCTCTAATGATGGCAGCGTGTACCGTCTGACTGAGGACGAGAGCATTCTGCTTACGACGCCGGCCGCATGGAACACGCTGAGCGTGGTGATGCGTGAGCCTGGCGTTGTCAAGTTTGTCAAGTACGTGAGTGCGTCGGCGCCTGGATCCCGCTGGGACGTCAGCTTTGAGTACCAGGTACAAGCGGATGATGACGAGGAGGATGACAACGAATAGAGCTAAAAACATCGGTTGTATATTGAAATCTTATTTTTGTCTTATTTTAAAAGTTTTCCTTGTGGAAAGTGAACTTTGTGCCTATGTAGCCCAGCTTGTTGGACCACTTCCTCGACACCTTGCGCAACGACCTGCCCATGAGCTTGGGCCCGCAAAAGAACACGCCAATGTCGGCGCCTGGCGTACGTATGCCGATGTTCTCAAAGATAGTGTCAAAGTTCGGCCTTCCATAGTATGTCGGGCTGCGGTACAGGCCAGTAACAGCATCAGGCCCGGTGGGGTCCTGGTACAAGGCGATGTTGCGAATCTGGTCAACCGAAAGCTGCCCAGTCAGGTACGTGCGAATCTCCAAAATTTCACCAATATCCTCTTCATCCAGCGCAACTAGCAAGTCTTGGAACCACTCGAGCGCCTGGATGTCGCGACAGACCCACAAAAAGTACACCTTCTTGATCTTGCCCTGGCGCGACATCTCGGTGACTTGGTAGTACAGGCTCTTGAGCACTGAGCTCATGGGTGTCACGCCGATTCCTCCGGCGACAAGAACAACGTGCTCGTAGTCAAACACCTGCTGCGTCGGCGCGCCGTACGGGCCGTCGATCATGATTGTCGGCAGGTTTATCAACGGCTGGGTATCGGGAATTCTTGCCGGGCTCGCATGAACAAAATTGTCCGACATGCGGAACTGGACATCTGGCGGCAAGCGGTTGAGCAGAACGACTGAGTTGCGCCCAGTGTGAGCCCACGGCTTGTGCTGATTGCCACTAGCAGTGCTCATTCTGTGGCCCCTGTTGTAATGCGAAACTACGCCAGGTTTGGGAAGCCCGCTGACTGGGTCAATCTCGCCACGCAGATGGTGCATCAGCAGCTCCTGGTCGGCCAGCACCTTGATCGTGCCTAGCTGCGATGAGTCGGCAGGTATGTTCTTGGCATTAGCCAGTTTGTCCGTCAGTCCAGAGAGCTTGCTCTCACTGTACTCGTGCGACTGCGCGTACATAGAGTTCTTAAGCGCATCGCCTGGCATTCCATTGCTGACATGGCCCTCGAGAGTGGGCACGGCGCACTTCTGGAAGGTTTGCACAAGCTTTCGAGTCCAGTCGCCGGCAATCCAGATGTGCACAGACAGCTCGTCTTCCTCGGGCGCACTGGTCAACGTGAACGGGTGCCACTCGAGTCCTGAAATAGAGGGGACGCACAGGTAAATAAACTGGCCGACTTGGAACTTCATACCGCGTCTGTCAAACTTGAGCTCGATGACGTTGGACGGGTGCTGGATAATGCTGAGAATTCGAGGGTTTGCGAAGCGCGACCGAAGCAGACGGTAGACGCGGTCAATCGTGTATATGGCGCCGGGGCCGATGATATACCACTGGAACGATTTGGCGCTGCCATGGACAAAAAGGATAATGATAATGGGCACAAAGAGATGGTGCATCCAGTAGAACACCTCGTAGAACTTTCGCCGGACAACCGGAATGGCAGAGACAAACATAAAAGCGATGAGGAACACCATGGCATGTCCAGTCTTGCCAACCATCGAGCCAAAGAGCTTGGAAGTCAGCGTCACCTTGCCATTGGACTTTTTCGACACGTTGTTGAAGATATAGTAGTATGTGGCAACATGCGCAATGGCCCAGAAGAGAAAACTGTACCCGGCAATTTTGTGTGCGTGGATGTTCTTCTCAATGAGGACATAGCGCGAGATGAACGTACGCCGAAACAACTCTAGCAATGTCGGCGACATGAAAAGGAACACAGCGGATAAGCTGACCATCATGCAGCTCATCCCTGCCCTGGCAAAGCCAGTGAGTGCGCCGGACTTTGCCGCGACCTGGGTCCATTTGCAAGCAAGCACGATGGCCTGGATGGCAACCCACAGGCCAATAAAAAGCACCCGCCGTAATGCGATGTCGGGCATCAGGCAACTCCGCCGCGACCCCCTGCTGCCCCTGTCCCCGGATTTTTGACTGTCGAATGCCCGGTTCCTTGTCAGCACGCTGGCGCGCCGAGTGACTACAGGTACGGGGATGTGCTGAGATGAGCCACCAGATGCGTATTTAGCTTCAAAGGCGACTGTCATGTTTGTTATTCTTTATACTTTGTGGATATAAAGAGAGCGAGAAACTGGTGCTAAAAGAAAACAATATGAATGTTAAAGTGTATGTGTATGTGTATGTATGTAAATGAAAAAAGGGTATGTATATTTTCAACAGCGACTGTCCAGCAGCAAATGTTGGTGTTAGAAATATATATGGCTGTAAAGTCCCAGGCGCGCTCACAAAATGGCAGCAAACGGTATTATGAACAATTGAGAAGAAAAATATAGCTGAAAAATAAATATATGTTGAGAAGGACGGGCGGTTGGGTATTTTATTCAACCAAGCATGAAGGTGATGCGCGGAAATGAAAGAAGTTTGAGAGAAAAGAAAAATGGACAACTGTTCAAAACATGACGCAAAAAATGCAAATGAGAGCCCTGGCAATAAGTGGAAATGGAAAGCAAACGAACGACATGGATTCAATTTTTTCACTCACGCCGCTTGCGCGTGGTTGGCTTAATTGGGCAAATAACCAGAACCATTGAGTAAGTGTATGCCAATAAGAAAGCCATTTTTGACGGCTTGGCCTATTGGTCCAAGCCAAACCAAATCACCACACAAAGAATAATAATAGAAATGCAGTGTGTTGATTTGTGATGCACATGGGTGTGCATGCTGCGTGAAAGGAACAGAGATATGACAATCAACAATAAAAAATTGCCCGTTGGACTGTCGAATGGATATTCTGATTTATACCTGCTACGCGGCTCTGTAAATTTAAACGAGATTAAATAAAACATGCGCATCATCTTCAACTACTTTAGTGAGGGGATTCCTGCTCGCTTCATGCGATCAGTGACAAAAGACGATTGGGACAAATATGCGCAGAATTTGGCCTATGCATATTTTTCGTCATCAGACAAGAAAAAGCCTAAGCGGCGCAGAATTGAGGAAGACAATTGTTTTTTCCCACATATTTTTCTATATCACGGCAGTGTTAACGCCTCACTTATCCTCACAGGTTTGAATTATTTTTTAATTAGCAGTCTGAGTAATCAGAGAGTGAAGCGGGCAGGTAATGACGATAACTTGTATATTCAATCCAATTAATGTGTATACATTGTGGAATTGACATCTTTAGAGTAAAAAAAAGATATGTGCTGGAAAAACCAAACTCATTTTTTTATGGAAAATAACAAATCAAAACTTCAAGTTTATTGTTTACTTTGTTTGTGCGAAGCCTCGCGCACTATCCCCAGGCATCACTGCCTCCATTTTTACAATATTTCCCTTTCTTGGCGTTGATCGTCCCTTTTTTGAAAGAAGAGGCGTGGAAGAGGAGTGGAATAATTGACACATCTGCTCAGACCTCGCGGCTTTCAAAAAGGCCAACCTTATCCACACGCAACTAAACAGAAAATACGGCGTTCCAATGTGTGTGACTAGGATCAGCCATGCAGTTGATTCCATCAACCCTTACTTTTTAAAGTGACAAAATTCGACGTTCCGACGGATACGAGCAACAAAAAACAAATTAGAAATGTAGTCGTTGGTATTTTCTTTCGCCGCTCTCAGTTGTTTTTTCAAAAATAGTATCCGCAAACCAACCTGGTGTAAATTAAATACCCGGAATTACATTTATCAAATGAAACAAGCGCAGTGCCCAAAAATAACTATTTGTTGAAACTAAAAAACCTTGTATTCAAGTGGATGTCTCGCTGTGGTAGACAAACCGAGTACTGCGATGGCTGAGCTCGCGATTCCATCTTATTGTGACATCCTTTACGGTGGACGACAGCGACTTGGAGCCGCAAACAAACAGTCCAATATCGGTGTTTGGATTGCGCATACCAATTTCTTCAAAGATTTTGTCGAAATTGGGTCTTCCGTAGTACGTCGGGCTGCGGTACAGCCCAGTGATAGCATCTGGTCCATTAGAACTTTGATTGAGCGTAATGTTGCAGATGTGGTTAAGAGACAGAGGTCCAGTCAGGTACGTGCGTATTTCAAGAACATCACCGATATCCTCCTCATCCAGTGCAGCGAGAAGGTCCCTGAACCACTCGAGCGACCTTGTATCACGGCAGACCCACAAAAAGTACATCTTTTTGACTTTGCGCTGGTGCAACTGACTTGTAAGCTGATAGTAAAGACTCCTGAGAATTGAACTCATGGGTGTCAAGCCTATTCCATTGGCAATCAGGACAGAGTATTCGTAGTCAAAAACATGCTGCGTCGGCGCCCCGTACGGACCATCGACCATAATTGTTGGCATACCTTGGAAAATAGACGGCGCAGCTGGCAGCATTTTGTTGCGGTTTAACACTTCGTCTATGTTGCGCGAGTTTGACGCCGATGCGTAGTAGTCCAGCTCGGGCAACATGTCCGCTTGCAGTATCCCATTTTGAACGAGTCCCTGGCCAAAACCACTGCGGTGCTGTTGCGTACGGTTGTGATATGAGCCTTTGCTAGTGGTGGGCACTGAGTATGAATGCTGGAAGTCGAAATCTTGTGCGTCGTTCTGATGGACACGAGCCGGAATTGGCACCGAGTGGTGAATAATTTCCAACCGTTTTGGCAGCCGAGTTGCGCGCTCGCGGAAAGCCTTGACGAGCTTGCGAGTCCAGTCTCCAGCTACGGATATGTGCACTGACAGCTGGTCTTCTTCTGGCGCACTAGTTAGAGTGAACGGATGCCACTGGAACCAGGCAAGTGACGGAACATTGAGATAGATAAACTGGCCTGCCTTTACTTTCATTCCGTGCTTAGCAAATCGTAGCTCGATAACGTTGGATGGGTGCTGAATGACGCTGATAATTTCAGGGTGGTTGGTGCGCGAGCGGAGAAAGCGGTAGAGGCGATCAAGCGCGTATATGCTGCCCGGGACTGCAATGTAGTACTTGAACGTGCTGACTGCAATGTGCTGGAAGAGCAAAATGATAATGACAATATACAGATGGTGCAAGAGGTAGAACACCTCAAACATCTTTCGGCGAACTGGAGGAATGGCACTGGCCAACATCACTGTTATAATGAACAACATGGAGTGACCAATAATACCAGTCTTTTTGTGGAATGAAAGCATGAGAAAGGTCGTTTTGCCCTTGCTGGTGACTTCTATTTTGTGGAACTTGTAGTATTGAATAGACACGTGGACGATGATCGCGGCTGTCATGATGTACCCGGCAAATTTGTGAGCGTGGGCGCTTTTCTCGAATACAAACACGCGCGCGAGAAAGGTTTTTCGCAAAAATGTGAGCAGCGTCGGGGATTTGAATAAGAATATCGATGAAAAGTTAAACATTATAACCGACATCATTCCCCTGTTGAATCCAGTCAGTGTGTCGCCAGCATTTTTTCCCTTGATAGTACGAATAGATATGATTAATACCTGAACGGCAAGCCAGAACGTCACAAACACCACTCGCTGTGGCGTTATTCTTTGCAAGTACAAGGACCATGCTGACGAGCTTTTCGTTTCGGGTGTGTATATGGGTTGGCCTTCAAATGCACGGCTGTTGGCTAGCTGTGAGGCGTATTTGCTGGCCATGTGGTGTGATGCATAGTTGCGAGAGGCCATTATTTATGTGCAAAAGTGGGTTAGAGTGCGTTAAAGTGAAAAGGGGTATGGTAATGCTAATTAAATGAATACAGAGCGCTCAATATATGGCGGTAAATTATTTTGGTGCTGTATAGGGTACTGAAAATAAAGATCAATATAAATATAAATATAAAAGTGAAAGTTTAATTTTTAAAACAGACAGAAAAGGCTGTGTCAACAATATAAGAGAAATATATAGATTTGGCCGCGCTTCACAAGTAAAAATAAAATAAAAATGGTGGTCAATTCTAATAACTTCATGCAAACCTTGTGACGACGCCCAAGTGTTCAATGTTTGAAATTTTACTCTTTCCTTTTCCTTTTCATCATTTATAAAAATAATCTCGAAAAGCGGCTAGAAAGAGCCATTGCAAGTTCATTATAAAAAGGAATATGCCCAGATGAAGTTTCTTTGCAACTCTTACTATCATTTTTCAGTTCTTTGTATCGTTTTTCTCTTTTATGAACAAAAATGAGTATTTCATTTTTAGGATTGAATTGTGCACATGCACATTTTCTAGGACCATAGCTGGGCTTTTCGAAAATAAAATTGCGACGTCGAAAATGTGCCAAAGTATACAAAGCACCAAAGTAATTTTTAGAAACGCCATTGTTTATATATATTTATATATAGGAAGCGCTCAGCAACCAAATATATATAGGCAACCATGGTGCTCATATAAAAAAGAATTGGGTCTATATCTGGCTTGCGCGCGCTTTTCAGATATCGGATCCGCACCAGTTTCAGTTGATACAAGGCTCACAGTTTTATTGGCATTTCCCATCTTGGCGCTTTAAAGCGATGAAAGAGCACATGCCCCACTCACAATACCACCTTTGTACGGGCCATACAAAGGAATGGAACGTTGAAAGAACAAAGTGCGGTTTGCGTGCAACTAATAATTTTAATTCAAGTCTGTTAATTTTGCACAAACAGATTATCAGCGCAGAGAATGGCTTATCGAGTCAGAAAAGTTAACAAAAAACTTTTTTCAGCATCCAGCTGGTGAGAACATTTTGCATAAGTACCAGTAAGAGAAAAGCGAACAATGTATCTGATTGGCGAAATCGTTTCTGGTTGCCCGTGAGCAAGGGCAATCTGAGTGGTAGCATGTACTCTGATTGGGTGGATAAAAATATATTTTGGAATAGAGATAGTCGAGCAACAGGCGGAGGAGGTAAAAAACTAGTGAGGCATCTTGGTACCTCTTATGACAAATAAGGGTCAATGGCAATGCAAGGCAAAAAAGCACACACACGCGCTGTGGCAGATAGAAGTATAAAAAAGTGGCTATATCCTTGCTTGAACTTTATTTCCCTCTCTCTCTCTTCCGCTTGCTTGTTTGTTTGTTCTACAAAATTTTTCTGCTTACATTTGGCTTGCAACCACACATTTTTTACTTTAATCTTTCTCTTCATTCATCCTCACATAAAAATGGTTGGTTTAAACGTCAGCTCCGATACATGGAGCAGTAACCCGTTCACAACACTCGTGCAAGACCAGAAGATCGTGGTCATCCCATCATTCACACTCGAGTCCGGGGACGTGCTCCGCGACGTGCCTGTGGCATATAAGACATGGGGTAACCTCAATGCACAGAGAAGCAACTGCATGGTCATTTGTCACGCACTTACCGGATCCTCCGACGTGGCCGACTGGTGGGGCCCTCTTCTGGGCAGTGGTCGAGCCTTCGACACCAGTCAGTTCTTCGTCGTCTGCTGCAACGTGCTCGGCAGCCCGTACGGAACAGCATCGCCGTTGACCATCAATCCGGATACGGGGACGCCCTACGGCCCTGATTTCCCGTTGACTTCGATTAGGGACGACGTGCGCCTTCACCGGCAGGTTCTGGATATCCTGGGCGTCGAGCAGGTTGCCATTTGCATTGGCGGGTCGCTCGGCGGTATGCAGTGCCTGGAGTGGGGCATGTTTGGCGCTGAGTACGTGCGGGTCATCGTGCCAATTGCCACCTGCGGCAAGCACTCTGCATGGGGAATTTCTTGGGGTGAGGCACAGCGGCAGGCCATCTACAGCGACCCGAATTATTGTAAGTATCCCAAATTCTGACCTGTGATCAGCATGTATGCATTGCAACACCCTCCCGGATAATGGCGTGCGCGCCGAGCGTTGCCAGCCAGAGAAAAGAAAGCATAAATATGTGCGTTATCGATTCAATCGCTTTTGCAACATAGTGATTGTTATATTTGAAGGCACATACACTCACACTCATTCAAGCTAACGCCTTGCATTATCCAAGTATATCGAGTGATTTAATTTTCCAAGAGCTTGGATAGAAACAGTACAGTTGAATGGTGATGCAAAAGCCACAGATTCTCTTTTTAAACCCCCATTTTCCTGATCTCCAAACCTGCTGACATATCCACTTATTCATTGATGTTATTTGTAACCCTGTAGGCGATGGCCACTACACAGCTGAGAAGAAACCTGAGCATGGGCTGTCGGCGGCCCGCATGTCGGCGCTGCTCACATACAGATCGCGTGACTCGTTCGAATCCCGGTTTGGACGCAAGATGATGACATCCGGCCGCGTCAAGGTGTACACTAGCAAGAACCTCGATGGTGGTGATGTTAATGGCAATGACGCAGAGAGCAGCGAAACCAGTGATATCGAGCAGCAGCAGGAGCAGGGCCAGACAAGCAGTGGATCGTCTGATAGGGTGTCGTCGCCCAAGTGCGGCAACGACGACCGTAGCTCCAGCAGCATATTCTCCGCACAGAGCTACCTGAGATACCAGGGCGAAAAGTTCACGAAGCGGTTCGACGCCAACTGCTACATTGCCATCACGCGCAAGATGGACATGCACGACCTAGGCTTTGGCCGGGAGAGCTACATCAGTGCGCTCAAGCAAGTTCAGCAGCCAGCGCTCGTTGTCGGAATCGAGTCCGATGGCCTGTTCACAATTAACGAGCAGTACGAGCTGGCTGAGCACATCCCCAAGGCGCAGATGGCCACGATCGATTCACCGGATGGCCATGACGGCTTTTTGCTCGAGTTCTCGCAGCTCAACCGGCTTATTCGGTCATTTGTGCGCGACCAGCTGCCCGAGTATGCCTCGACCGAAGATGCGGACGTCAACGCCCCTTCGGAGTTTGTCCCACAAAAGTCCAGCGTTTTCGGCGAGGCCGAGGTTGACGTCATGCAGTGGTAAACAAGCCAATATATATATTTTTTTGTACAGCCGTGAAAAGTAAAAAACCTTAATTTTTAAAAAAAGCATTGACAAAGTTGACATGTTGAAAAATACATGTCAAAGCAGTGCTGGCTGAATAAAGCCACAAAATATCAACCTAAATGGTGTAAGGGTAAACGCTTGAGAGAACAAGCAAATGCCAGACATATATGTATTTCTTTTGGATAAACCCAGAGTAAACGGACAGACAGACAAACCAACAAACGGATGCGTGTCTGCTAAAAATTATTTTTTTGACAAGATGCAAGAAAAAAAACAAGGATATGTCGATTGTGGTCGACAAAGGGTTTGCCAAAGTGAATATTTTCCTCATTTTTTAAAAAACCAGCAAAATATGTGCCAATTTTTCACTACTGAGTCAGGATATTTTTTCTCTCGCCTTAGTAAAAAATGTCATCGAGTGTTCTGTATCAACTTGTCCAACTTGCTTTTTGTGTCGCACACGCTTTCTTTTTCATTTCATCTTTTTTTTCGAGCAGATCAAGTATTTACTTTTTACAGTTTGCAACGGTTTTTTCGGCGTCTTTGCTCATCCTCTCAGCTTTGATTTCAGGGATAGCGAGTTTACAATTCTTCTTTTTTACAACTTTTCATTATTATATTTATCTCGTTCCCCTCAACCCCCCCTGTTTCCAAGCGCTATTACCTGTTACTACGTCTTTCTCCCCTCGACACAAGTTTCCTGTTATCGCGAAGCAGTCGGTTTAATATTACAAAGCAATAATGTACTCGAACCATTACAGCGGGGCACCCGAAAATTCGTCACAACAACAGCAGCAGCAGCAGCAACAACAGCAACACTACCACCATCAACAGCACCATGGAGGGCTCGCTCACGGGAGAAACGGGGCTGTGCCAGTGCGGCACCTAGTGCCGCCACTCCCGCACCTGCACATGGCCATGTCTCAATCAGGAGCAACTCTCCCCGCGCCCGGATCATCGCCTGCCTATCAGTTTGGTGTAGGAAACAGCAACCAGTCAGACAGGGACACTACAGGGGTGGGCAGCTGCGCCTACAGCAATCGTTCGGCACCAATATACAATGGCGAAAGGGGCACATACGTGTATCCAAGCACGCTGTTCCCGTCGCGCCATATCCAGGCGCACCAGCAGGACTTCTCTTCGCAAACACCAAGACATGCACCAGTGAAGCTTCTCCAGTCGTGCGATAGCTGCAGACGGCGCAAGATACGCTGCTCTGGCGAAAAACCAACGTGCTCGGCCTGCACCAGGTACCAGGAGAAGTGCCATTACAGCCCGTTGGCAACGCCACGGAGACGCGTGGGCAAGCGTATCAGGATGAATGCAGAATACATGCCAGTCTCGATGGGTATCAATGTGAGCAAAGCATATGGTGAGAGAAGTCGTGGTGGAAACGGCGTTGGTGGCTCTGGAGTCGCAATGCCAATAAGTGTTTCTGCGTCTGCCTTGGACTCGACCTTGTCGCTGGTGCCTGCGTCTGCACCGGTGTCTGTGCCTGCTACAGTGACCATGGCATCAGTTGCACCGAGCGGTATCATGCATTCATCGGCGTACACACCATCTGTAGTTGACCACAGAGAGGAGTCTGAGACAGGTAGGATGCGACGCGATATTAAGGGACTGTCGCGCAAATTCGACATACTGAGCAACAAGCTTGACATGTTAATGGACCTTGTCGGCAAGCGGCAGTGCAGCAGGACTGGCGGAAACCCAGAGTCAGAATTGGACCTTGACATTAACATGGACTCGACAAGCGACGAGGACGATGGCAGCTACGAGGGCGACGAACAGACCCAGGACGACCAGCTAGACAACGCGGAGGAAGCGCCCCACGAGTTCTCGACTCGAATCGACAAAACCAGCCGCTTTGGCATTGACGCTACCAACATCGGCATGATCTCAGGCATGATTAGTGACATGAACGAGCGGCTTGGCAAGCAATGGCAGGACGTCCGGCAGCCAGTTGAGGGTATACACGTTTCAGCGGGCCTGGGCAAGTCGGAAGATATGCCGACTGAGACACCACAATGCCTTGCGCTGCTGGAGTCGCCCGAAATCAAGCAGCACCTCATCGACATGTTCTTCCTCAACGCAGGCATCACCACGGCTTCGCTGATCCCACGCTACATATTTTCGCGTCTTCAAGCTGAGAACCGCGTGCCAATATCACTCACTAACATAATGATGGCCGACGCCTGCAACTACTCGGATTTGCCGGCCCTCATGGCCGCGGGTCGCACGCTTGCACGCGGTTACTTTATCGAGCGCGCCTACAAGGGCCTGTTTGACTGCCTGGAGTATGACTCGGTGGAACACTGTGTGGCCCTTGTACTTTTCTCCATAATCATCACCAAGGCCGGCTTGCATCGCGCCTGGGTTATGCACTCGCTGGGCATGCAAATGGCCATTCGGTTGCGCTTCAACACAATCGACTCGCCGCTGAGCGCGCTGACTTTCAAGAAGGACTCTGAGCTGATCCGCGAGTGGAAACGCCGCGTGTTCTGGCAGCTCTACACATTTGACATTCTCACGTCGTCGATGAGCGACCTGCAGCCATCCCTGTGTTATGCCGATGTGCGCTGTAATGTGCCGGTGCCGCTACCGTCCAGGGAAATGCAGGGCCCACAGCTAGATCCGGGCCACTATTTAATGCTTTTGGGACCGACCGTGGTCTTTTGCGATGACCAGCAGACGATTGCAGAGCAAATTGAGCTTATCGGCATCATGTGCGACATCACCTCATTGCAGACTCAGCTAACGCCGGAGGTGAGTCCGTTCCCACCCGCTTTCAAGCAAATATTCGAGCACATTGTTGCGCTGGAGGCCCGCATACCGCACATTGCCATATTGGTCGAAGGCGATCCCGCGCGGATATCCGAGGTGTTTGAGCACCAGCCAGGCCGGTTCATCCTCGGCCTGCTATTCCAGTACACGCGGATTTTTCTGTGCCTGATCAAGGACACATGGCTGCCAACTGCCCGTGCCATGACGGCCGAGGAAAAGAACACGCTGAATTGGGCGCGCCAGACTGCCTACGAGTCCGCGCAAGTCGTACACCGTGTGGTGCCCTTTTTGCGCAAAATGCGGCAAAACACCGTCGCCTCCTACGTGTCCTGTATCGTGTTCCAAGCGTGTATCGTCAGCATAAATTCATGCTCTTGGTGGCCGTCGCAGGACGACCTACGCGGCGTTCAGGAGGCAGTGAGCAGCGTGCAAAGCGGGATGGATTTCTTTGAATATGAGGCGCCACGCCTGGGCTTTTCCAGAATCCTGACAACCTCGCTGCGCAGCCTGATAGTCGAGTGTGGGTTCGGAGACAAAATAAACTCGAGTCAAACACCCGCAGAATCTATAGCGTCTTCGTTTTCTGGTGGGGACTCTCGGGGTAAAGATGCTGATACCGGAACAGCGACGCCACCGGGCACTGGCCCACAGTCTATGCCATCGAGCGACATTGCTGAGCGGTTTTCTCTCTCGGAGAGAGTCCGGATGGGCCGCGGAGAGTCGCATTGGGAGAGCATGCTGCGCACAAGCGAGATACCGAGTCTTTTGCGTACTGCGACTGATAATTCTGCCAGGCTCTCGCACGCTTCGGGCAGCTCCGAGATGGCGCCATCTACGGCCACATCGCCAAGCAGCTCACAGAGACCAATGTCATCAGCGGAATCAGACGCGCGAACGTTCAGCACTCCGGTATTGGACCGTACGCATGAGCACGCATTGCAGAACCAAAACCAAAACCAGAGCCAAAACCTGTACCAGTACCATCAGCAGCAGCGTCATTATCCCAACTAGACGTTGACATAATGTTTTTTTAATTTATCGTGTAGTTTTTAATTTAATTTATCTATTTGCTCAAGTTTTGTCGTAGTACAAAACACAAAACATGTGAAATATCAAATATGTCAGAATAATATTAGTTCAAACGTTGTATTGTTCACATGCTAATGCTTAGATTTAGGCGTACTTTTCGCTGGGCAAGCGGACATTTGCGGAGCGCGCGTTCCACACATCAATCCACCCCTTGACCTTCTCGTACACCATGAATGTGATGGCCTGACCGGGGGCGACTCTGAGGATGCGCGGTGTAATACCACGGTAGAACGCCGCATAGCCCTCCTTCTGTGCAATATCACGAGTAACAGTAACAAAGCGGGTCCACCCAGACTCGCCGGCAATGCTAGTGGCCTTCTGGATGCGCGTCTTGATTGTATCAATCGGGGCGTTTGACAGAGGGCCCATGGCACCGCTGACACCACCAAGAATCAAATGCTGGTAGCTGGGCAGCTCGTCGATATTCTGGAACTTGCTGGCCATGCGTTTGAACTCTTGGTAGAATGTGAAGTTGACCGCCTGGTTGGTTGCCTGGCGAAGAGCCGTCAGGGCAATGCCCTTGTACAGGGTCATCAGGCCCTCCTCCTTGATAATAGTATACGCAGTATGGATGGCGTTGCGGTACTTTGGCACGTCCATCGGGTCGACGGTCGAGTGGCGCTGGGCCTGCAGCCTAATCTTAATGACGTCCATCGGGGTAACCACTGTGACAGCCTCGGTGACTCCGGCACCCAGACCAGCCAAGAACACACTCGAAGTCGACACCAGTCCGGTCTCGGGGTTAGCCAGCCAGGACTTGTATTGCTCGAAACTGCTGAATCGGATGGCCATCTTGGGCACAATACCCGTGACGACAGCGCCCAGACCCTTGTACAGGGCCAGAGCGCCCTCGCGTTGGACAATGCGCTGGCCGACACCCAAGAATGACTTTGGCATGGCCGCGCTGCTGGCTGCTGAGGGCGCACGCCGCATGTTTGTGAGCTGCATGCGCACCTTGATGGTATCCAGGGGATGGCAGCACATGGCCTCGGCCAAACCGGCGGCACCGCCGGCAAGAAGATGTGTTGCGAGTCCGACCTTTGGCTTTTTGTTGGTTTTGGCGGCGGAAGCCGTGTTAGGAGCAGAAGCGGCGGGATGTGTGACTGTTGACATTTGATATATAGATATGTATATAGATAGAATAAGTTTAGCTTTAAAAATTTACAAAAATCGAGGAATGAAAAGGATTAAAAATGTGCAGTGGAGAGATGCTTCGTGACCACAACGGAGACGTGACCTTTTTATATGAAATGCGCAAAAGGAAATGACAACAACTTTCTTATCATATGTAAAGCTGGGCCGGCAATATCGCAATGTTTGTTTGCACTTGGCCTTTGCTCCGCTCGCCTATTATCTTTTTTTTTAGTTTTGGTGCTGCCGTTGCTGCCGTTTTTGTTTCTGCTCCTACTGCCGCCACCGCGTGTATTATTTTATATTATCGTCCAGAAATAGTACAAATCCCTTATCTTTACCGACAGTCAATCACCAGAGCTCGTGGCCCGTATCTTTGGCAGCCATTGATCGCTGGAAAATATTTTTTGTACACCTTGCATGTGCATATTTGTTAATAAAAAAGAGGGGAGTAGGTCTCACTGTGTCCGGCGGTGCCTAATTTTCGTTATTTTTGCGCAAATAATTAAAAAGTGCCAAACACAAAGAAAAAACACATGACATGGCTTTCTTTGTCCTCGCTTGTGACTGTTGAATTCGCTCACTCCATTTTTTATCAGTTGGATTGTGATGCCCCGTGCAAAAAAATTACACTTGATTTTATCTTCCTCTTTCAACTATGAAAAAGTACGGAGAATTTTATCAATGGATTGCCCGAAATTCGTCATCAACCGCAAAACATCCTCGATAAAGACAGCTTTGCATATAAAAAAACAATGCAATTCCGCATGCATACATCTTGTTTCCTTTTTTATTATGTTCAGAGCAATCTCTATAATTTTTTAAATCAGTGCTGATCAATTGATTATGCTCAATTATTTTTTATTCATACAAAAGTGAAAAAAAATATTGCTGGTGATTCAATTCACTCGGCCGCCTTGTCTGTATGCCGCGTACTGATGGACGGGCGGGCGCTCCTGCTCCTGCTGAAGGTGCCGGCGGTCTCGCTGTATCTGCGGCGACGGGAGCGGCGGTGAGCGCGGCGGCTGATAATGCTCTCCAAATCTTCACCCTCGCCCTCGCTGGCACTTCCATTCTGGCTGCTGCCGTGACCGCCGTCGGTCGCATGCATGCTTCCACTGTCGCTGTTGCGCGCAGTGGCATCAGCATCCTTGGGCTTGTAGTAGAAATAGCACTGCCACAGAATCAGCATCTCGAAGCCCAGCGTGCCCAGGGCGCCGGCTAGCCACGGCGCATACATGACCAGATAGTCGCGATCGGTCGACATCGACACAATCGACATGCAGTAGGTGACGTTGCCCAAGACAGTGAATATGAACATTCCCGCCGACAAGCCCTCTGTCGACTGCACGGTGAAGTTCCAGGCGATCTGCGGAATGTACGCGATGAAGAACATGGCAGCCGATATGTAGCCAAACACCTGCGAGACCACGTCGGTAATGTGCTGCGGGTAAAGCGCCAGAATCATACGCGAGCCGACGCCCAGTCCCAACAATATGAACAAAACCAGTATCGATATGGCTGCGGCGCGTCCGGTCTTTGCTGTGCCCATTTCGTGCAGCGAGGCCAGCAGCTGCGCAACCTTTTTCGGCACCGGGCCATCTTTTGAAATATTATTTTTGGCGGGCTTGCTTGCGGACGACGCGACGGCACCGTATGTGTGCTGGTGCCCCTGGTGCTGATCAATCATCCTGCGCTCAATCAGCGTAGAGTGCTCGACTTGCTGGTACTCCTGCATTTGACCCCGGACGTTATTGGGTCCCAAGTACTTGATCGCCCGTCGGCCGCGTCGGACCAGCAGCGGGGGGCGCTCGGCGCCCTCTGGCAGCTGGCTGGCCCCAAATGCGTCGTCGTCGCTCTTGCGGTAGATGAACATCTGAGCGAGCAGAACTACATCAGTGATCACAAAATACAATGCAATGAGGATTGCTGGTAACAACAGTCGTCCAACATAGGCACCGTACCAGTCAGTGAAGTCGCCCGCCAGCCACATCAGAATGAAGCCGAGGCTTAGCCCTTCGCTGGACTTACGCTTGTAGTTGAGCCACAGCTGGGGCATTAGCACGCAGAGCCAGCAAGCAAACGATATGTAGCCAAAAATATCCGACAGCAAGGCGTTCGAGGGCTTTATAGAGTCTCCAGCAGCAAGAGTGATGTTGCTGTCGATAGCCGATGCTGCTTTTGCTGCTGTGGAACGCGCCTGCTGCAGCGCCGCCAGCATTTGCTGTCTGTGTGTAGTTAATAAGTACAAGTTCATTTAGCAGATATAATAATAATAAAAAACACTTTTATTAATACAAGAAAAGACGTAGGAATAAGAAAAAATGAAAAGTAGAAAAGAGAAAAATAGAAGAGGAAAAAACTTTCGCCTTTCCAAATAGTAACACAAAAAAGTGGAAGAGTGAAAAAAGAATGTGTGGAGAGAAAAAAAGCGGCATGCACTTTTAAATTTTTAGTTGGGTTGGACAAAACCCCAAAAGCCTTTTAGAACATCTTTCGACGCACATCACGCACGGTATGACATATTATGCTATCCTTGGTGTGAGAAATGGGACATCGAAGCAAGCAAACCTTTTGTGTGGTAAGACTTCCCATGCGCGTGTGATCCAATCGTCTATGCGCCACCGACGCTGAAAAGTTTCCAGACGGTTCTAGTGACGTCATATTTTTACACCCAGCTTTTGGCCCAAATTAGGCGGATTTTGCACCTCAGGACCCTTTTTTCTGGGGAGCGTGTGCTTAGTTTGGCTGGTTCAGGGCGGCAGAAAAAAGGAATTCGACGCCGGTTCAGACTTGAGCGCTTTTTAGCACGCGTTTTCCATTTTTGCTTAAAGAATGCCAAATATCCATCATGCGCCTGCATTTTGAGAAACGCTCGGTCGATCCAGCTGATGTGATGTCACTTTGCGATACAATTTGCTTGAAATGAAAAATGCACGCATATAAAAGTACACTTGGATCCCAATTCACACCCTTGTTATTAGTGCTCGTTTTTTTCAAGCTCCCAACCCAGGTCCAACCCGATTTTAGCACAAAGTCAAGCGATGGCTTCAAAAAGGGGCGCGTCTTATTACTCCTTGCTAATTTCATTTTATAAAAAGACGATATAATATTTGTGCTCCCATGCGCGTTTGTCTTGGAAGTACCCCGGAGCTTAAAAAGGGGATTTTGTTATAGCAAAATGCTTTTCTTTTTAGTGTTTCTATTTTACAGCTTACATGTCTCTTCTTAAATTTACCCTTCACGCTCTTTTTATTATTTTTGCTTTTAAATTCGGGGTATGAACAAATACAATAATTATGCAGCCACCGAATTCAAGACCCACAACGACATTCAGCCGTTACTAAGATTCCGACCATACTGTCCGCCACCAACACCGCTGTCGCCCGAGGACATTGTGCAGCGGAGACGCTCTCTGGGCATAGTGTCGCTCATGTCGGACGATGACCAGTCTGTGTTGAGCACGGGATTCAGCAGCATCATAGGCTCTGAAACAGGAAGCATATACAGCGAGTCCGAGAGCAGTAGATCATGTTACTGCTTACCCTGGCCATTGTGGAGTTGCGATTGAGTTCTCAATCATTTGCTGTGTTGGCAGTAATTCGGGCTTGAGCAAAGAAGGGAGGCGCATTTTTCTTTTGGCGAGATGAAGAATCTTGCCGATATGCGTCGAAGAAACATATGCGCGGGTCTCTGTAGTGGTGGTGTCGATAACAATGGATGCATGCGCGCAGAGACGAGAAGCACTGCTGCGCTTCCTGGGAATGGATTTTTTCATTAAAGCATCTGGCGTGCGTGGTCATCTGCTGATCTAATTATGAACGAGCACAGGCCATCCAGAGAGAGTCTGCTTTTTTCACCTGGATTGGTTACACGGACCGTCTGGGGGTAGTCGTCAGTGACTGGTTTTTTTTTTGAAAAGAAGCGAAGGTGTGGGTAACGATCGGCGCCAGCATCCGTATTCAACTGTGGAAGGTTCCAATCGAAGGAGTCGCAATGAGAAGAGTTGGGGAAACATAAAGCTGGTTGAACCGCAAGGCGGATGGGATAGTCTATTTATGGACTTTGTTTTTCATTTTTGTCAGCCATGTGGTTAGCAATTGCTGCACAACCACTAGGCAGCACCAGACACAAATAAGTGCATACATGCATCTCGATGAGATGAAGGGAGAGATGTGTGTGTATGTATATGAGTGAGTGAGTCAGTGCGCTCTACACATTAATATGTAAATTGTTTTTTTGCAGGCAATTATCGTGCTGGGCGAATCTGGCTTGAGCATTTTTTATAAAAAAAAAAGTGTATAATAATAGTTTGTGTGGACGTGAAAATCTCAACAAAATTTTTTGTAAACTAATTTTTTCTCAATAAAAACAAGCGGGCTGCCACTTCCAAAGCTGCTAAGAAAAGCTGTTATACTTTTAGCTCTGCACTGAACCCCACAAAACTTTATTTTTTTCCTGTCACTTTATTTTTATACTATTTTTACCAAGCCGAGAGACAATCAGTCCAAAAAACATCTCATATCCAAGGTGCTGGCCAATGTTGATAAACAACGATACTGGTGCCGATGAGCACCGAGAAGGCAAATTCTCGCGCATTATCCGCAAATGCAACGATTTCCGCTCCACACCAGCCGCAGTTCTGACAGTATCGACCTTGGCGGTCTTTGCCGACACAGTAGTCTACGGTCTAATCGTGCCATTCCTGCCTGAGATCCTCCAGGACAAGCTCGGCATGAGCACATCTGCAAATGGCATTCTATTCGGCTGCTTCGGCGTTGGGGTATTGATCGGAGCACCCATTTCGGCATACATCTCGGACCGCTGGAATATCCGCAAATGGCCCATGATCATCGGTCTTGTGGGCTTGGGCGTCACATCAGTGCTTTTTGCCCTGGCCAATGCGTTCTGGCAGCTCGTGGTTGCGCGCTTAGCACAGGGTATTTCTTCGGGCATCACCTGGGCAATCGGACTGGGAATGATCGCCGACGTGTACGCCGGTGGTGAAGCCATAGGCAGGGCAATGGGGATAGCGTTTTCGGGGTTCACGCTTGGCTATCTCGGAGGTCCTGTTTTGGGCGGCGTTATCTACGGAGCCGGCGGCACACACGCGATAGCCATATTTGTGGCTGGAATCACTGTGGTCGATCTGATATTCCGCCTGCTGCTGAAGGAGCCCGAGAGTATTATGTCGCTGGTTGCGTCGCACAATGGCTCGTCGGCCAACCTGGAGCTGGAAATTGCCCAACACGAGAATATTTTGGAGAGTAACCTGAGCGCAGTCACGTGCAATCTGGAGCAGGAAAATGATTGCGCTCAGCCAGAAGCTGATATCAAGTCACTATCAGTTCCTGCTCCATCGCCAGTGGCTATTAAAAAGATTGCCTCTATTGCCAGCTTGGCCAAATCCAGAATTCAAGCCGAAGAAACAGCAGCTGGGGAGATTGCGTTGAATGGAGTTGAACACATTGTCCTCAAGGTCGAGCCAACAGAAACCATTGTGGCGCTGCCCAAGAAGCGCACGACTATGCTGGACCTCCTCAAGGAATGGCAAATCCTGGCATGCTGCGTGGCAACCATCACTGTGACGGGCGCATCGGGAGCATTCGAGCCCACTTTGCCCATCCATTTGGACGAAAAATACAATAGCAGCTCGACCATCATTGGCGTAGTGTTTATATCCATTGTGGTTCCAAGCGTCATTGCTGGGCCAATAGCCGGAAAGTACACAGAGGACGAGCGGCTACTGGCGTGGCTTGCGCCGTATGGCCGGTTTGGATTAATGATTATCGGATCGATTTTTGCGGCCATTGCCACTGCGTGCTTGGGCGCAACGCGCAATATGGCTGGGCTTGTAGTCAACCTGGCTGTAGTCGGGCTTTTCAGCGGGTGTGCCGCTGTGCCGATCATGAGCGCCATGGGCGTACATGTGCACAGAATGGGCGGCGGCGCGTATGCCAAAGTCTACGCACTATTTAACATTGCCTACAGTGTCGGGGTCATTATCATTCCAACGGTGCTGCCGCCGATCATGAAAGCCATTGGATTTGCCGGGACAATGGGCGTGACATCATCCATCCTGGTGCTCGGCGCCATTGTGTTGGCAATCAATCCCACGCATCAGTTGCTCAAATACGGCCGCTCTGCTTTTATCGGCGAGAACGCTCGCACGTTTTTGTAATGTAATTTTTTATGTTGCTAGACTAATTTTTTTAAGGAGTGAGTTTGTTTGCATTAATGTCGCATACTTTTTTTTTAAGACTTTTGACCTTTATTGCTTTTATTTGAAACAGTGTTTGTCGCCACCGCACTGGCCCATTACGCAAACATCAAAATGAGGCATTTATGCAGTCAAAAACCCTGTTTTATTCTATCTGTGGGAAATGTTTGGTTTTGGTTTTTCCCTCTCTCTCAAAAGTTGCTCCACTAAAACTTCTTTTTCTGTGCACAAATGATGAGCAAAGCTAGCGTACGGCCAAAGAACCAAACAAAGTGCAAGATTCCCCCATTTTCCTTTTTTTCTGCTCAACATTAAATTATTTTCTGCATTCCTCTTTCAGCAAGCTTTTGAATTCACTTTACACCCTCAACATATCTGCCACTAAAAGGCCCGGTCAATACGGACCGACCATATCCATCAGGTAAATGACTAGCGTTCACAGTCTTGATTTATCTGATGTTGGCGCTGAAACCGTCTTCAGCGAGTACGAGGACATGTCAGCCACATACGCCCCGACAGGCGAGAGCACTGTTAAAGTGGGCTTCAACGTGCTAAACACAATCATTGGATCGGGCATTGTGTGCCTACCGTACGCCTTGCACAACGCGGGCTTTGTCTTTGGGCTCATCATGCTGGGAGTCATTGCAGCGTTGTCACAATTCTCGCTCTATGCCTTGGTCGTTGCTGGCAAGCGCACGAACACGGCGCATTTTTCGTCACTCACACAGGTGGCTCTGGGGCAACCCGGGTACCATTTCTTAAACTACTCCATGGTCATCGACATGGTCGGCACGGTGGTCCTATACCTCATGTTGGTCGGCGATCTAGTAAGTGCGCTGGCAAACATTTACCTGCCTGTAGTCGTGAGCCGCTCCAGCGTCATCATGGTTATCTCCCTGCTTTTTGTTTTGCCAATGCTGTTCTTCCGCAACACTGGCCCACTGGCCCGCCTGTCGATTGTCTCCATTTTATGCCTTCCATACATCATTCTGGCCGTGGCATTCCGCGCTCCTCTGTACGCTGGCAAAACATCAGCGGACTTTTCATTATTTGGGCCACGCATCCTACCGGCCATGGGCGTGTTGGCATTCACGTATAGCTCGTGCCACGCGGCTTTCCCCAATTATTTGGGTTTGAAGGATCGGTCGGTCAAGTCCTGGTTGCGCGCGTCGTCTTCCGCGAGCATGGGCGCCAGTCTTATTTCAATGGCATTTGCAGTAACTGGATTCCTGGCATTCGGCAGCAAGGCCGAGGCCAACGTTTTGAACAACTTCCCACCCTCGGACAACTACATAAACCTCGGACGCCTGCTGTTTGCCGTCACACTGATTCTGACCACTCCCATGGCATTTTACCCTATCCGCGACACAGTCACTGAAATGTTCCACATTGATCCAGAAAGACACGGTGTCAGCCGCGTGCCAGAGTCCATATGCACTGTGATTATTTTCCTTGCCTGCGCTCTGGCCGCTGCTGTGTTCACTGATTTGGGGCTCGTGTATGAGTTGATTGGCGCGCTGTCTTCCAGCGTGGTCAACTTTTTGCTTCCTTCGTTGATATACATCTGGGCTGGAACCGATGTAACGCTAGTGGCTATTATCAGGAGATACGGCCGGATATCCACCACCGCCAATGGTGCTACTGCTGTTACTGCTGCTGCTGATGCTCATGATGGCCAGGGTAATTTGAACTCGCAGGGGGAGATGCCGCTTCTGATGAGACACAAAATAAAAGACCCCCTTGGAGCCCAGGAGATCGGGCTGTGGTTGATGGCATGGGTAGTGGCAGGATTCGGCATGTGGGTCATGGTTCTGGGCACATACAATATTGGCCGCGATTTATGAATGCGGACGAATGGTGTTATTCACACCCGAGTTGTTAACAAATATATTTAATATATGATAATCTTGTGTATTTACAAAAACGGAAAAAAAACGGGGGGAAAATTGGCCGTGTTTTTTTATTGAGAACCGGTGAATATACTGCGACGCCAAGCTTCAATGCATCCTCTCTTCCACCACTGCCAGCTGCACATATAGCAGCGGCTTTTTGGCCTTTTTGGAAATTATTAATTCCATGTTTTATGGTTAACTAGCTGGCTGGCATTAACAAATGTTCTCATGATATTTCGATTGTCTATTAATGTTATACATTGATTATTTAACACAATTGCATCAGCCGAGCAAGCCTCAGAGCACAGCACAGCACAGCACGGCAGTGATAAGGATAAAGCAACAACAATGGGAAAGTGAGAAATAATTGCAATATTTTGTCGTTCAAATTAAAACACAATAGGTTGATATAATATAATTTTTTGTTGGCCATGTTGTCGCCTCCAACTCGCACAGCGCTATTATATCTTAACTTTTTCCATTGAGGATAATTGCATTTGGTTAACGCCATTTCGTCCAAACCTTAAAAGGCTTTTGGCTCTGCTATTCATTTTCATATTTTTTTCATTTTCTTTTCATTTTTCACATCGATATTTAAAGCATACTCAGCTGCTTCCTCTTTTCAGTTATAGCAACGCAACAATGGCTCATCAAGGCGTTCTCGGTTGCGCACAATCCATACACACGCTCCATTCCGTTGCTGGATCACAGGTGCCTCAGCACACATCATCAGAAGGCACAGCACAAGCACCGCTCGAGGCGCCCTATAAACAAAGACAGCCAAAATGGGGCCAACGCGCTAAAGCCGCACTTATGCTGCCAGTGCACTTTGCAATAAAAGGGCTGCGCAAAACGAACCTGACCATGTGGATTATACTGGGCCTAGTGATTGGAATCGTTGTCGGGCACACTGCACCAGCATTTTCGGTCAAAATAAAACCACTTGCCGACGTTTTCCTGCGAATGATCTCGGCACTGGTCACCCCGCTGATATTTTCGACGCTTGTTGTCGGTATTGCCGCGCACGGAGATGACCTAGTCACAGTCGGTCGTTTGGCGATCAAGTCGCTAATTTACTTTGAGATCGTTTCAACACTGGCCATCCTCTTGGGGCTGCTGATGGTCAATGCCGTGAAGCCCGGAAAGGGAACGCATATCGAGGCAAACAACGATGTGCCAACAACAAATGGCACAATCACTTGGGATGGCGAGCTGTTCAAGATTGTTCCAAAGTCATTTTTCCAGGCGGCGGCCGAGGGGGAGATTCTTCAAATTGTATTTTGCGCGCTCATGTTTGCAGTGGGCTTATGCCAGGTACCGTCGCAGCCCGTGCGACAGGCCATGATTAGTTTTCTGCACTCGCTTTCGGAGACAATGTTCAAGGTTACCGGGCTGGTGATGAACTATGCACCTATCGGAATTGGCTGCTCGATCGCCGCCACAGTCGGAAAAAACGGACTCGGTGTGCTAATATCGCTGGGAAAGCTTGTCGGAACGCTGTATGGCACTCTGGCAATTTTTATTGTAATAGTCCTGGTGCCTGTCATGCTCATTGCCAAAGTACCAATAAAGCTGTTTTTTGTCACGGTTTGGGAGCCCTTCCTTCTAGCATTCACGACCGCGTCATCCGAATCTGCGCTCCCAAAGGCCATGGAAAACCTTGAGCAGCGCATGGGCATTCCAAAAAAAATTGTTGGGTTTGTGATCCCCACCGGCTACAGCTTCAACCTCGACGGCACCAGCCTGTACTTAAGTCTAGCAGCAATATTCTGCGCGCAGGCCACCAACACGCACTTGTCTGTTGCCAAGCAAGTAGTTCTGATGTTATCGCTGATGCTGACTTCAAAGGGTGTGGCCGCCATTCCACGGGCCTCTTTTGTCGTTTTATCTGCCGCGTTGGGTAACTTTGACATTCCAAGTGATGCCTTGTCACTGATTCTAGGCGTTGACGCGTTTATGGATATGGCGCGCACGGGCGTTAATGTCATGGGCAACTGTTTGGCTGCGTGTGTAATTGCTCGTTGGGAAGGTGTTTATCCTCCGTATGGTCGCTGGGAGGGCAGATGGGCCGATATGGATCCAAGGTTACAACAAAACCAAATCGAGATCGAATATAATAATATTGACAATGGCATTGGCACTGGCACCGGCACTGGCCAGAAGCAAGACGAGTGGAAGGGGTCAAATACCCGTGTATCGTCTCACTTGGAAGAAGGAATGGCAGTTGTTTTGCACAAGAACATTTAATTTTGGTTTCTATTTTAGCAATAAATTGGAAATAGTCTTGGGTAATATTTGTATAAAAAATTGTCACAGAAACTCAGGGTACTGGATGCCACAGTCAATTTCAGCAGATTCGTATTTTATATAATCCACCGGAGTGTGGTCTTGGTTGTAATAGTCAGTGAAGATGAGTATCTTCTCGATAAATCCTCTGCAATCTACAACGTCAACCCACTTTTGGTTGTCAGGAACAACTTCAACATCTACATAGTTAGCCTCATTCTCTTTAACAGCCTTGATCGGCGACTTGAATCTCTTGGGTTTGCTCAAGCTAGGGGTTTGCCTATGCAGCATGCTGAGCTTCTGCTGAAGCCCTCGCGACAACTCAGTGTAATGGGTTTTTTTGGACAAAGAAAGCCTTGCCCACGCTCTGCTAATAACCTCATTGATGTTGGTAGCAGAATAACCCTGTCCCTTGACGCTTTTTATGTGGTCGAGCCTAAATAGCATGTAGGCGTTGGGGGCCTTGGTTTTGAGCATCTTGGTTTTCTTGCAGTACAGCATGCTGCGCTTTTCGCTGAAGTATGCCGAAATATCCTTGGATGGAAAAATATAGTCTAGTATAGGCAACAAAGGAGAGCCGGCGTCGGGAGTATCAACAAGGGGGGTTGGCTCGGGTGTGACGGGCTGCTTATCAATAGTTGAGGCGGAATCGCTAGCTTGTGTGGGCAGCGGACTTGTACCTGTAGTTAACCAGCCTTGTGGGTTGACTATTACTGGCATAGGATAGTACAACGACAAAGACTGGGTGATCATGTCGTTTTTGAGGCGAGTGCCATTTGAGCGCTGCAAAACTTCCTTGTCAGAAGAAATCGGGAGGAAGATGTCTATTGGGCCAAAGTAGGTGTTGTCCATTGAGCTCATGTCTTATAATAATAATAATGATAATAATAATAATAATAATGATAATGATAAATATAAAAATAAGAGATAAAATTTAACGAAAGAGGATAATAGAAAATAAAAGCATAAAAGTCGAGAAATATTTCCCAATTTTATAGCAAAGAAAGAGGGGGCATTTAAATGTTTCGGGTGTGAGCTCCACGCAATGTTTCGGAGCTTTATTGGCAATTGTACAAATATAGGCATGTTTGGTAAAACAGACACCTTCGGAATGTCAGGAAAATTTATTGTTTTCTGCGCTCGCTCCAGACTTGTGAGACGCAAAAAATGATCCAGCAAAATAAACACGGTTGCAATTCTAATAGAAGCCCTATGGAAGATCAGCACAAAAATTGTCTGCTTATATATACTTATTTACGTATCAGCATTGCATAAATTTGCATTGAGCGCACATTTGGTATTGATACTGTGTCCAATTACACTAGCCATTGCATATTAAGCAATTGTGTCTTTGTCAGAGTCGTTAGATTCCTTTACCAAAACAGGATTGATAATTTCCAGTAGGATATTTCGGCCAACCATATCATTGTATAAAATATGACATCCCCCTTCAAACCTGTAAAATTAATGCAGACAAATGTGCATGGATGTGAGAAGCCATTTAATAAAATTATAAAAAAACAAGATGTATTCAAATGTGGTCCCCCAAAAATAATAATTGAAATAGCCGGCAACAGCCAATTGAAACTGTGCGACTGCATCCTTCATATTTGCAGCCGCTGGCAATCTCGGTTTATGTGAATAGATGGCACAGAGAAAAAAGTTAATTTAAAATAACTTAAAATAAAATAAGAAATGTTTCCTGTCCTTGTTAACCACACACTATCTGCCGCTTGTTGCCCGCATCCTTTTCTCACTGATTCAGGCTATGGCTGCGGCGCACACTGCGGGTGCGTTTCTTGCACACTTTGTTCACGAGATTGAGCTTGATGTTGGGGCAGCTTGGAATACGAAGTTGCGACTTGTATTGGTTCAGCAGCCAGATTGTGATGCCAGTGGTCCAGGTAAAGTCGCCTTGCGACTCAGCGTTGGTTGCAGTAACAGCATTGCCGTCTGGGCCAATGATAAATGACCCAAGACTCACTCCAGAAGAACTCTTGCTATTCGAACCATATGAGTTGAGCACGCCAGGGATGGATCCTCCAGTGGTGTACCAGTTGCAGAACGCCGTTTCAATTGTTGACTGGGCAATTTTGGCCGCAGTGCCCTTGTAAGGCGCATAAACAGTGCTGTTGTCATTGCTCAAGCTCTTCTCGGCAGCGTCAGCGCTCCTGATGGCCATGTGCTGCAAAGGAGGCTTGATGTTCGGATAATCCCAGCCGAGCGATGTGTTGTAGTAAGTGTTAGGCAGGCCGCCAGGGAACTTGTCATGCAGCTGCGCAATGTTCTCGAGCGCTCTTTGCTTGTGATTTGCGGGTAGCGCGTTTCCAATCGCCCAAGATGGCCAGAGCGAGTTTACCGACCACACGTCCGACTGCTGGCCCAAGCCCAAGTTGTAGTCTGCAAACAGGCCCGTATCCGGGTTGTAGGTCAAGTCGAGCATGGTCTTAAGGCGCTCCTCAGCGCGCTTACGGTACATATCACTCTCTCCGTCAACCTCGTACCTGTTGACTATGGACGTGAGGTTGGCGACAATAATCTCGGCCTGGTACAGGATGGAGTTGAGATTGACGGGGATGGTGCTGTTGATGTTGACCGATCCAAGCACGCACAGCTGGTCCTTTGTAAACGCAGCAAATGGATTATCCTTGGGGAGGTTCAGCTGCCGGCGGTTCAGCGCAGTTGAGAAAAGCGAGGGCCCGATGGTTGCAGTATAGCGGTTGGCATACTGAATACTGGGGAACGTGCCCGACTCGGTCGCTGCATACAGACTGCCGTACGACAGCGCTGTAGAGAACAGAGATGGGCCGGAGAACGAGGTCTTGGCAATTGTATAGTCACTGCTGTATGTCTCGGGGCGCAAATATGCATACCTGTTAAAGATTGCCGTTGAGAACAAGTTGGGCCCAAAGGTGGTAGTTTTGGACGTGACTACCTCGATATGATCGCGCTTGCCCAAGGAGGCGTCGGTAATGTTGCGCGTGTATGTGACGTTGACACTGCGGTATTTGTCCCAGTAAGCAAGCTCCCTTTTGAGCAGCGGCAGCGCGGCAGTGACAAAGTCAAGGTCCTGTGTGGCCTCAAAGTACGTTTTGACCATTAGCGCAAGCAGGGGCGGCTCAGTTCTATCGGTGTAGTAAATCCGACCTCCCGAAGGCACAAAGCCATACAGGGCTATTGTGTCCAACAGGTTCTGCAGTACACCTCGCGCAGTCTTGTAGAGGCCCGACTGCAACAGCCCGAGCTCGACGTAGTACGTGTTCCAGTAGTGGAACTCGCGCGTTGTCTTGCTCCCCGACGCAATGAAAGTGTGGTTCACCGGCAACAGAGACGATTCGCATCCAGCACACAAAAACGAAGTATCGCGCTTGCGGCCCAAAGTTTTCCACTGGTTGTGAAGTGACAGGCCGTAGCCGCGGAGCACGGGGTCGACAATTCCCTTTAAGAACGGCGGATCGTCGTTCCAGTCTTCCAGCTCGACTTCAACAACGTCGCTGCCGGCAGGATAAAAGTTGTCGTGTACAAATGCTGCCAGCTGCCCCCGTGTCGCGTTGAGTGGGAGTTTGCCAAATGCGTGAACAATATCGCTGACTGGCTTGCGGGTGGGCATGTCGATAAATGTCTTGTCCGAGTCAAAGACGCTGCCAAGCTGAATGGCCCTCAAGATTGGCCCATCGCAGTAGATCGGGTGTTCGCACACCTTCTGTGGCGAGCGCGTGTCCTCAACCGCCGCTCGAGGCGGAGAGTATATCTGATCTGCAGCAGTAGTAACCGAGGCAAGGGCCCAGGCCGACATGACCAGGATTTGAAGCTTGCAGAATGGCCTCATATTGCAAAGTATAGCCGCGTAATATGCAAATGTATTCTTTTGCAGTAAACAGCCAATATAAGGATATAAAAAATGAAGAATATGGAATAGCTGTTTGGAGAAAAAACAAGAGACAAAAATATTGGTTATGAGCGGTTAGAGAAAAGAAAAGATGAACATGAGAAGAGAACGACACAAAGCTGTAGCAGGCAAATGAGGCTTTTAAAGCGGAAGCGGATAAGGTGGGTTTCAAATGAAGTTCTGCAAATGTTTTTTCTTCCATAATGAATATGTTCCTTGTCAGTCAGTGTAGCCATGGGGATGCATTCAAATTCTAAGTATAGAGCTGCAGCTGCAGCTGCGGCTGCACACGCTTATTGCTTTTTTAGAATTTGCGGATATAATTATAAAAACAACCGCCGCTCACTCTTGTCTAGAATAATTGCATGACAACTCGCCAATGTTATTTCTGCTTTATCCACACACTAAAAAATATGTGTAGGAATGAGTGGTGAAGCCGATGTATTTGTACTTTCTCATCCATTTTTTTCCGCTTCAATGCATTATCTTTTTGGTGACAGAAAAATGTAGAATGCGCGGCGACAAACAATACTATTTGTTACAATTTATAATTATTTTACAATTCACCGCTTGTGCACTCTTCAATGGAGCCGTGTGAAAAATTAAGACAACACGTTCAATTGTTGCCACCGCTGGGTTTACCTCCGTTTGCAAGTCAGGAGGTGATAGCCACGTTACCCGTATTGCTCACCCCAACTTTTAAGCCAATAAATTCCATATTATTGTTTGCTATCCCAAAAACATTCACCTTCTCTCGTTTGCTCACGCGTGCATATGAGCGGAAGCTTGAAATATTATCAACGAGTTCTGAGGACAAACAAACAATTTGAGGGTTGATAAACAATGCAATAATATGTGCAGTGTATGTGCAGACACTATATTGAAAGGTTACACTATGCTTGGTAACACTGAAGGAAATTGGCCGAAGAAAATTGGCACGGCATATATGTGTGAGCAAGATTTGGAGGATCAAGCAAATAAAAACAAACGATCAACCAATTATCGCTACAAATGAAAGTAAAATAGTATTATTATTTTTTGTTTTGCTTTATTTTGAATTTTCATTCATTTCTCATTCAAAAGAATTGCAAATATAAATTCGTTAACCAGGGAAAATGCCAACTACCACAGCCAACCTTACAGCCACGTCGCTCCCTCAAGACCTTCTTGAACAAAAGTCAGCGGCGTGCGTGGGGGTGCAGCGACAGTTCACTTGGGAGGAGGTCAAGCAAGTGGTTGCTGCCGAGCGCCTGGACCTGCTTGGGCGTGTTGCTGAAAATGAGCTGATATACCGCGAGAACATGCAAAAAATACGCAAGGAGTATGGATCAGTCGTTGTCTACATACAGCAGGTGAAGCTGGCGGCATTTCTTTGTGACACAGCCAGCGAGTTTCTGATGATTCCAAACGACTATCCGTACGCGCTTCCCGATAATACCCAGCATTTCATTGTGTGGTCCAAGGTAAAATTGACTCCAGGCACTGTGCCCGATGATGTGATAAGGCGGCTGTTCGAGACCAGGCTCAACAAGGAGATTGGCGCTGGCAAATACGAGTGGGTATGGTTTGTGAACCCGCCCCACTTGCAGAGCATCCCAGAGGTTGTCCACGGACACTTAATTGTGCAAATGATGTAGTGATATGCTCTATATAGAATGTAAAAAAATAATATAAACGAAACAATTAAATGAAAAGATGTATGGTGCATGGTGCATGGTGTATGGAAAAAATAACGCTGCTCTAAACATGGCGCTCGCACTAAGCGTTTTTGGATATCTGGGGATCCGAATTGGACCTGGAATCGAACTCAGGCTTGGTGGGAGTAGTGCTATGTCCATACGTCTCCGACTTGGACAACCCCACGTCATTAGTTGTCGACATCTCCGCATCCGACGAGTGAGAAGCCGGTGTTGGCTGCGGTGACATCGAGTATTCCTGGACGATCGATGGCGCAAAGTTGGGTGAAACTTGCGGCGATGGTGGCTGCCACCCGGATGGGTTGAATCCGCCCATTCCGGTCGTATGTCTGATAAAGCCCTCCGTGAGCGACTCATCGCGCTGGCGCTGGCCGACAGTTCGCTGAGAGGAGAAGAGATGCTTGGCAGACTTTTTGCCTCGGATGATGTTGCCCGCGTGCTTCAGGCCCCGCTTCAACCTGCTGAGACCAAGCTGCACCATACGATCCTCCTCGCCGACACCGAATGGATTGTAGTTGGGATGCTTGATATGGCGGCGGATTTCGTAGGCGACAAGACTCTTCTGCCTCTTAGTGATGCGCTTCTGCACCCTGGTGCGCCGCATGGTTCTGTTAATCAGCTGCGTGAAGTAGTTGACCGCGGACACCACGAGGAACGTCTCCAGCGCAACGGCAACAAAGATGAGGCAGATGAAAACAATGTTTCCCTCTGTAGTGCTCGGAACGGTATCGCCGTAGCCGATGGTCGTGTAGGCCACATAGCAAAAGTACAATGCGTCAAAGTAGGACCAATGCCTGCGCTCGACTGCATAGAAAATACTAGCAGACGCGCACCAGAAGCATATGTTGATGAGTATGGCGGTGAAAAGGTACTTCGCGGGGTCAGAGAGCCCTTCAGGCGCCTTGCGTCTCTGGTCAAGCTTGCCCTTGTCCCTTTTCCAGGCTTTGTCCTTGACCTTGGTGCCGACGGCAGATGCCATGGACATCACACGCTTAAAGCGCCTGTCTGTGTTCCCGTCCATATCGCCGCTCTCGGGCTGCAGCGTCTGATCGGCATGCAAGTTATTGCAATAGTCGCTGTCCTCATCGTCGTTGCTGAGCACGCTGTTCTCATATCTGCGATGTCTGCGATGACTCCTATCGTCGCTGTCATTGCCGCCATGATCACTGTCGCTTTCTTCGTCCACCATATCATCGCCATCCTCATCTTCGCCGCGCTTGCGACCGCCGTACAAAATGCGACGATAAAAGCGCTGCCATGCACTTTGATGAGACAGGGCATCACGGATCTGCGAAATTCGCGACGCGGCAGTGTAGGTCCGCAGCATAGGCAACGGGGTCGGCTCTGCATGCTGTTCGGAGATGCCTCCTTGCCCCTGCAACTGGGCAGGCCCGTCACGCGTTGCAGACATGGGAGAGTCCATTCCCCTTGCACTCGTCTGCTCGGCCTGCATGACCGGATCTAAAGACAAAGTTTCGTGCGGCTGCGAGACATTTTCCGGCTTGCCAGCTTCGTTCAAGTGCTTGCCTACCTCCAAATCACAGTCGCCCGCGGCAACGGTCTCTTCGTCAAACTTTTTGCGCAGCCAGTTCGGGATGCCAATGCGCAAGCGGTGGCTCCGCGAAAACAATATGCGGCTCTTGAGGTCAATCAGAGTGGCTTTCCAGGTGCGCTGCGGCAGACGGGCTGCCAGTCGCCGCTTGACTTGGTTGAGCGCCACATCTTGCTCGAACTTCTTGCGCTTGGCCTCAAAGTCACGCTTGGCCAGACGGATCTTTCGGCGAGTGATTTGAATAACAACATCGCGGGTGTTTAAGAGCATCAGACCAAACAGCAATATCCCCAGCGGGCCGTAGATTAGCTGCAAGATGCGCGAGTAGCCAGGAGACGGCGACTTATTGCCAAAGCCGATGGTTGTGACTGTGACCATGCAAAACATGACGCTGGTGATTGTGTCCCAGCCCTCAATCTTTGACCACGCGTACCCGCCGATGCCAATCCAGACGACAATGACGATGATGTTGAACTGGAGCAAGCGTTGCTGGCGAGACATTCCTGAGCCGCGAAACCGAAATCCAGGGGTGACAAGCAAATCTAGAAGTAGCAGTGTGGCGTTTAGCAGACCGACCGCCGCGCCTGCGTATGAGCAGTAATATTCTCCGGTTAGCTGGGCGTTTGGGTGCTTGGGCCGCTCATTGTTCAGGTAGAAGATGGCGCTGGCAATGATCAGAGCGGCATTGACAAAGTTTGCGAAAATGGATGTCATGGTGGTGATCACCACGCTGTACTCGAGGCAACGCAGGATAAAGCAGACGCCACTTCCCACAATGAGCACAAGCGACATGATGGACGTAATCAGGTATGCGCTGGGATTTTCTACCCTCACCCTATTGCCTTCGGCGTCTTCCTCATTGTACTGCATCCAGCCGCGTCCCAGAAGAATGACGTTGAGCAACACGTTGATAGGAATCAAGTATCCGCCATAAGAGACTAGCGCGCGGAAGTTGTGCTTGGACCTGATGAGGTGCTTCAGCGGGCTGGCCTTTTGTTTGTTTACCGACTGGCGGCTAAAAGTCAACTGGATGTTGCGCAAGTCGTTTGTCATCTCGGGGCCCAGGCCCAGAGCCGGCATGTCGTTGCCATCGTCGCTTCCAAAAGCCATGCGGTTCCGAAGGCCATCCTTTTCCCTGGCTGACGCGACAGTTGTTACCCGCGGGAGCGAAAGGGCTGAGCCTGTCATCCGGTGCAGGGTGCTGTGGTTCGCATCTGCTTGACTGTGCCCATTGCGCACTGAGAATGTCCGCGCTCGCTCGAACCAAGCGGCCTCCATCGGGGAGTTCATCCCAGTAGTTAGCGACCTGGGGTCAGGCGCGTCTGAGATGCTGCTGTCGCTATCATTGTCGTTGCTGCTGCTGCTTTCACTGCTGCTACTCTCACTTCCACTTGCGCTGCTTGTGGATGTATCTGATCGACGCCTGTACCGCCTGCGGAATGTGCGCAACTGTTCGGCTGCAATTTCTGGCTGCTGGTATTGATACTGGTTCACACTAGCCGACCAGTGGGCATGGATGCTTTGCTGCGGCGAAATGGGGACATCGCCGTGTTGTCCTGTACCAACAGAAAGCGGTGGGACCATGCTGTGCTGCGCGTCGGGCATGGTACCAATGGGGGTGTTGACTGGTGGGGGGCCGGATGACAGCGTTTCTCGAATATCAGATCGCAGGCGCTCCAGCGTCGAGTACGACTTTGACAAATTCAGTGTATCAGCCTGCTGTTGCCGCTGTGCCTTGTGTCGGCTATGCCGACCGAATATTCTCATACGGGCACCCTCATCCGCGACTGGCAGCTGAGTTGCCGACGGATGCTGCTCAGGAGGGTCGTGTGCGCAAGCCATGACATCGCCCACAGCCATGCCAGGGATTCTGTCGGTAGAAGGAGAGTTGGCGGACGACCTTTGCGACAGACCTACAAAGGTGACGACTGGATTCCGGAGTTCACCATCACTACCTTGGTTACTGCCGTTATGACTGTTTTCAATATTGTCGCCATTATCGCCACAGCCCTCACGAGGGTCAGTGTGCTCTTCTGCACTCACATCTGCGTTTTCAATGTTTTCGGGATCCCGACGGTTGCTTGAGCCGGATTTTTGTGTGTCCTGCATGCGGCAATATGTTGCAAGCAGGTAATAACACTAAAACAGATATAAATATTGAAAGATTGAAAAGCAAAAAATTTAGCCTCTCAAATAAAAAAGGGCAAGCCTGTCAAAAAAGTAATAAAAAGTGGAGAGCAAAAAAACAAGAAATTGGACAATGAAGGGTTGTGGAGGAAAAAAAGCAAGATAGGTGATCGAGGCACATGCTTGTTAACCAAGGCGCGACAATGCTGCTTTATAGGTCTGAGCACTCATTCAAGCAAGGGTTCTTTCGAAGGGACAACAAAAAAAGACTTTCTGGAAAAGAAAAAGACAGGGTAAGCCCCCATTTTCACTCAACGTTGTTCGATGCTACCTCAACCAGATACAGGGTGAAGATAATTAAGTGGATTTTTCGCTTGAGGGGACAAATATATTTTTCGGTTATTTTTGGCGCTTAGATGGAAGATATAAAAGAAAAGTGTGCCAAGCAAAAACGGGTCAATTGTCTTAGGGCTCACCCCAAACGCCTTTGTCCACCCTTAATTTAAAGCACTCTTTGCTCTGCTTTTGCTACATAGTAAGTAAACTGTTCTTTTGTTTTTTTTGGAGGACACCTTGGCTTTGACCACAATGTCTTTTAAACATCCTTTTTGTGCACAAGGCACAATGATTTTTCCAAGGCAACCATGGGTGGAATGCATCATTTGTATGTGTAATGGTTATTTTACCGTACATTAATTGCCAGTGAAAAAATAAATAGGCATGCTTGGCGTGAAAAATTTTTATATCTAAAAAACGAATTTTATTAAAAATTCTAGTATTAATGTAATGCGATTTGCCAAATTGCATAAGTAGCCACAGGTGCGGTTTTTTCATGCCAGGTGGGCCTGGTCACTTCTCATCAGCCCTATCCCCAAATGCAAATTCGCAGTCGACCTGGCGAATGAACTGAAGCATGAAATCGTGTCGGCGCTGTGCTTCTTGTCGTCCTTGGTCAGTTTTCATTTTTGCGGCCAACTGCAAAAGCTTCTCTACAATCGTAAAAATGTTTACAGAAATAACGAAATGGTTGAATTGACATATGTAAAATATAGATCAAGCAACGCCCACACGTGGAAGAGCAGGAGTACACGAAAATAGCGGGCATCCAGAAATGCGACCTTGCCAGATATAATCATTACATCTATATCGCACTACAACTGAGATATTGTCTTCTATCTACAAAAAAAAACCAACGCTTGCATGTATATTTGTATGCATATTTGCATGCATATTTGTATGCACGGAGCAGGTAAAGTGCAGCTTTACGCGCTGAAAACATTACAATCCCCCAAAAAAAACCTTACCATGGAAGTGAGAAATAGCCGTTGCCGCTGAGTTGTCCGTCGCTTGGACGTACTGCTCATACGTGATGTTTTCAATGAACCTGTCCTTCGGAGCATGAAGTGTACGGTTACGCGCCCCAGAGAAGGCCGCGCATCTGAGCACACCAAATGCGCCAATTGCATCCAGGCGGTCTGCATCCTGCACGCACGCCAGCTCGACACAGCTCTGGCGCCATTCCCAGTCATCCTCATCGCCAGTCCCCTGTTTGTGCAATTCCTCAGCCAAGAGCTCCTTTCGGAAAGACACCCCATCCGCTACGCGGCAAACAAATGCGGCCCTGGCGCTGTCCATCCCAAGGCCGACAAGAAAATTCTCGCTTGAAAATTTCGTGTCGTCATGGTGCACATATTTGGCATCGTCAACATCATGTAGCAGCGCTGCTAGATGAACAACAAGAACGTCAACATGCTTTGTCTGCGATTGCATTCGGGCCAGCGCCAGCGCCTGGCGCACAACACGGTTGACATGCTGCCAGTCGTGCGAACAGTCGTACTTGTTCATGTATTCATGGACAAAATTTTCAGTTTTTTTGATGATTCCCTCGGCCATTGCGGAATGTATTGGACAAATTTAGAAAAATCGAGATGGAAAATCGGAAATGCAGACAGATAATATTATAAAAAAGCTACTTTGGGAGCAGAAGGGCCTACTTTATATAGATGGTGGGAGCTCACTGCCATGCATATTTTCCAAGCCCCAATTTGGTGTCATTTCAACACATTAGAAACCGCATATATGGGCACATGTCAATTGATGGTGGTGGTGGGGGCAGGGGCACGGGCGAAATGACTGTGGCCGACGGAGTGACAAACATTCTGCAAGACCTGTTGGTCAGTTGGTGTAGTTCAAATGGGTGCTCGCATTCGACGATTCACTCTTGGTGCTGCCAACCTTGGTGTTCACATACACAGTGGTATCCTTGAACCTTGATGACGCAATGCTCCTGCTCTGGTCGTTACTGAAGTTGAATGAGCTGGGAGCAGGGGCAATTGGCTGCGGCTGGGGCTGGATGCACCCTTGAGCTTGGTTCTGATCACATGGCTGAGGCTGAGGCATCGGCTGAGGCTGAGGCATCGGCTGGGGCTCAGGCTGAGGCTGGGGCTCAGGCTGAGGCTGAGGCTGGGGCTGGATGCATCCCTGAACTTGGTTCTGATCACATGGCTGAGGCTGAGGCTGGGGCTCAGGCTGAGGCATCGGCTGGGGCTGGGGCTCAGGCTGAGGCTGGGGCTGGGGCTGGATGCATCCCTGAACTTGGTTCTGATCACATGGCTGAGGCTGAGGCTGGGGCTCAGGCTGAGGCTGGGGCTGGGGCTGGATGCATCCCTGAACTTGGTTCTGATCACATGGCTGAGGCTGAGGCTGGGGCTCAGGCTGAGGCTGAGGCTGGGGTTGGACTGCTGGACCACATGCCTGGCCAGGGAACATGCCGCAAGGCATTGTGCGGCCACCAGTCACGAAGCTCAGATCAGGGAACCCAGAGGTGTGCCTGAAGCCTGGGCCAATGAACTGTGAGCTGGGGAACAGATTGCTAGCGGTAAAGCGGAATCCACCAGTGCAGCCACCAAAGCCACACTGGTTGCGCTCATGCAGGTCGCGGTTATAAAAGCCACCCTCATATGGGCTACCCTCATACATGCTACCCTCAGGAGCCATGAGCTCATGGTCGGCAATGGGGAAAGAGTGGACTGAGGCAATAGCCAGGACAAACAACAGGGAGGTGATCTTGAACATTGTTAGTTTTTTGGTTTTTTTGGTTTTTTTGCAGTATTGTTTAGAAAAAGGTTATAACAAAGACCCAAATGATTGAGGTTCTGAGGTTTCTAATTTGAAATTGTGGCCACACCCGTCGTATTTATACTCCAAACGATATGAGAGCTCTCTATCCAAAATAATAATGACAAAAAAAGAAAAGTCTTACACTGGCTTTCCTCAGACTGATAGATATCACATCTGGCATATTATCAATCATACCAGAACTGACAAGTGCTGGAACACACTGATAACTGAGGAATTGCGAAATGGCCGTTGGCTACATATATGTGTGCAAATGATGTTGATCATGTTTTTTGCTTAAAAATATTTTTTGGAAGGTGAATAAGGAATATTGAGTATTTGAATGGCAAAAATGATAAAAAAGTAAATCAAATCACCACGCTTCAGCTGCGCCCACCATGGGATCCACCGCGGCCACCACGAGATCCACCACGTCCACCACTGGAGCTGCCACGGGAGCCTCCACGGGAGCCACCACGTCCGCCGCGAGAGCCACCACGAGCGCCGCCACGCGAACCACCACGGAATCCACCACGGCCTCCAGTATCTGACGAGCGCCTTCCAGACGACTCGGGTGCCTTAGCAAAGTTTATTTTCTTCTCAGCAAAGCCCTGGCTCCGCGCCGTACGGCGCTTCTTGTTCGACGGCTTATCACCCTTCACCGAGCGAGTTCCCTCGAGAACCGAAGTGACCGACTCATCAGCGCTGTGCTCGCGTCTTCCGCCCTTCTTCTCCTTGGAAACCTTATCACTGCCGCGCTCCACACGCAGCTTGCGCGAGTTGATCTCTGTGCCATTGAGCTTCAGTGCCAATGCGACCGCTGCCCGGTCGTCGAATTGCACGTAGCCAAAGCCCTTTCCAATGTTGGTCCGAGCGTCGCGGATGATGCGCACGTTCTCAACGGTTCCGCAGGTGCCGAAATGTGTCCACAGCTCCTCCTCCTGAGCGGCAAAATCCAAGTTGCCGACAAAAATCGACCGCTTCGAGTCGTGGGCCTTGGCGTTGCTGGCCAGATCTATCCGGAGGTGCTTCTCTTGGAAGACGGTTCCGTTGAGCTCGAGGGCCTTGGTGGCGGATTCCTCAGAGGTGTACTCCACGTAGGCATTGCACGACTGACGCGCCGAGTGGAACTTGCCCTGGATAAAGGCAACCTTGCGCGGCAGGATCTCAGAGAAGGCAATGGATCTGAAGCGGATGGCCTTGATCTTGCCGTACTTTACGCACAGCGCCTTAAGCTGACTGTAGACCTTGCCATCTGTGATGCACTCAATGGTGATGTTGCCAATGAAAATAGTACGCTTGAGGGTCACAGAGTCCTGGGGCATGCGGCCAAGAAGGTTCTTCTTGGGCTTCTTGACCTGGGCCTCCTCTTCCTCCTCATCCTCAAGGTCCTTGTCCAGACCGTGGCCGACGCGGCGAGCACGCTTGGCCTTGGCCTCGCGCTCCTCACGATCTGCGGTCTCAACCTCAGTCTCCTCCTGCTCGGGTTCATCCTTGCCGTTTCTGGCTCTCTTGGATCCAATCTTCAGCTTTGAGATCTTTTCGGCGGCCTTATCGGTGTCTGCGCTGCCCGAGGCCTTGGGCTCGGGCTTCGAAGCAACAACCTTCACGGGCACCTGCGGGGGTGCGTTTTTAAACAGATCGTCGAGCGCGCTGCTGATGACTGTCTCGCCCTTGGTGCTGCCGACAAGCAGCTGCGATAGCTCGCCCTTCTTCAATATGGTCATGATCGTGTGCGTGTGTTTGTGCGTATTGCTGGTGGTGGTGGTAATAAAATTTAAAGAGTATATTGCAAGAGAATGAATGAGCAGATACTCGAAATAAATAAAGAGTAACGCAAAGGTGTTTGGGTGTGCGGTGCAAAAATCAAATCATATAAAGCTGGTCCGTCACATTTGCGAATTTTCGTACCTGTCGCCCAGTGAGCAACAAAGGAAAAAAAAACTACACAGAAAAAAAAGTACGACTGATCATCGGCGTGATCACCAATATTAAATTACATTGCATTTCTCTCAGCTGTTGTCTTTGAGCCACTGAGACCACTTGTTGTAAAAATGGTGGCGCTGGTTCTCCTGCTGCTTGTTTTCGACCAGGGCGCACTGGGTTAGCAGGCTGTTGGCGAGCTGGACTAGCTGCACGGTCTCTTCGATCTGCCGATTCATGTCCTCTGGCTGAGTGCTGCGCAGCGAAATTGGAAGCTGCTGGAAGCTCAAATTTGGTGGCAGCGACTGCGAAGTGAAGGGGCACACAGCGACGCCCTCGAGCTTCATGACCCACGGCAGCACGCGGCGAATAGCATTGTGGTCGCGCTTGTGGAAAGCCTGGCTGATGGAGCCCCAGTAGCACAAAATGACAGTGAGAATCGTGGTTGTCGATTTCCACGGTGGCTGCAAAAACTTGCGCTGCAAAACATCTGACCAACTTTCGGCGTACGTCGGTTGCGGTTGCAGCTTCTTCTTCAGTTGGCCAAGCAGGACCTCGTACAGCCCGCAGCCTGTTCTGCTGCGCATATACCTCACTATTTCGACCGAGATGTCGAGTGCGGTGTTAACCAGGCCGATTTCCTTATTTGGCGAGTCGTCCAGATATATAATGACTGGAGTGTCGCTGTTGCCCCTGGTGTTATTTGGAATTGGCGTTCGCTGGTCTTGCGTCTGCATCTGCGGCTGCGGCTGCGCGACTGTGGAGGATATACCCGGGGTCAATCCCGGAACAGGAGTGCGCGGGACCGCGGCGGTGGCCAGCCCTGGCAATGTGCGCTGAGTTTGCTTCTGTGGCAGCACACTTGTAGAGGAGGTCAGCAGGGTCAACCCGGGAATAGGCGATTGCAGAGTTGAAGCAGTGCCCAACCCTGGCAGTGTGCGCTTTAGGGAGGCTAGGCCGGGCACCGGAGCAGACCTGAGGCTGGTTTCTGTTGATGCGGGGCGAGTGGTCGAGTGAACAATCTCGATCTCGTCGACATCCATCTCATCGTCTGAGTCCTCGATAACAATAGGCTGTTGTTGCTGAAGCTTTTGTTGCTGAAGCTGTTGCTGCTGTAACAACGAAATATTAAAAAGTCCGAGTCCGGAATGTGCATGACAAATGTTTCTATTGTCATGTGCAAGTGCATTGGTCATAGGACCTGCCATTTGGCTAGACACTGGATGCTCGAATGCGCTGGCCTGATTTCCAAATAGGTTGTTCTGTATCGCTTGGAATGCTACTGGTCTCACAATGCCATATGACTGGTTCTGTTGCTGTATCTTATTCTTATTTTTACTCTGTCGCTGCAGTTGCCATTGCTGATGTTGCTGATGTGTTGCTGATGAGCGTAACTGCATGGTCAAGTGAGGCGAACTGGGAGATACACGGGCCTTTTTAGACCGACTTTGCTCCATAATATCTGGATCGTTGTCGTTGCCGTTGGTTGTCATATCCCAAGGAATGCAATGTGTCGTCGGAATGGTGACAAGTGACCCCTTTTGCTGGTGCTTTCTAGGTACTTTATATGGATGAGCGCGAGCAATCTTTCTGAGTTTCCCAGCCACCTTGGCCATCAATGGCGGTGCCCTAGCCGCACCTGCAGCAGCAACCCCTCTATAGACGCTACTCTCCGGCGGAAGCACCTGCACAGCATCATCGGATTTGAGCAGCGAGTTCTCAATAATATTGAGCAATCCCTGGGCGTCCATAGCCCAATCTCCGCAGGTCGCGCACCCATTAGCGCGCGCCTTGACATTCAATGAGCGGTCTTGCGTGAGAATGGCCACAGGAAGCTTGCATTTTTCAATAAAGTACAAGCAGCAATCGAGAATCTTGTCATCGTTGATTGTTTCGTTCCTCAAATACTCTGAACGCCTTTGGCACCGAAGTGCATTCCCCTGCCGCCCGAGTGCATCATCGAGATATCGATTGGCACTGCGTGCCAGCGTGGAAACTTCCTGTAATGGCCTGTTGGGGCGCGTACTCATCCTTTTGCACGACTTGAGTCCATCCAACTCTTGGATTACTATCCAGGGAACTACAATAACCAGTTCCCGGGTGAGAGCAATAGTTGCAAGCGACATGATCAGGGGCAGGTTGTCGAGAAAATAGTTGGTGTCAATGACAACTATCATGCGCGCCTTGTCGAGCAAATCGCCCTCGATCATGGGCAGTGAGAGAGTATTCGGCGGGGTATTTGTGTTGGGCCGCCTGTACTTAATCGGGCGTTCAGACTCGGCAGCGTCGTCAGATGGATTCAATACAGCCGCTGACAAGTCTGTGGATCCCACAGCACCGCTGCTTTGATTAAAAATAATACTGGGCCTGTTGTCGTTCATTATCCTTGGAAAATGGGAAATTAATAATAAGAATAAATAATTGAAGGTGAATTGAAGGAATAATTTAATTTGAAACAAAAATATACAAATAGAAACAAAACAAAAAGCATTGGGATTAGGCAACCAGCAGCTATACATTTAGCAAATTTTGGCAAAATATCAGGAGCGTGGCTTTGTTTTGACCAAGAACCAAAACGCATGAAAATATGACAACTAAGCTAAAAAATAAAAACTGATTTTGCCTGAGTACCTTTTCGATAAATTAAAACTTTAAATTACACTCAGGATGATACTCCTCTCTCTATGTTTGGGTGTGATTACGAGTCACAGGTCTATTAGTAATATTTTTGGATTTATACGTTTCAAGTGACTTGTGCCATATCCAAGCATGTCTGTACAAGTTTCACCAAATCGGCGAATCATTTCCCGCACAAGGCCTGGGATCCAAAACATAGATTAATTTTTTTTTACCTCGTTATACAATATTACTTTGCACAAAAATAAAATGTTATTTTTGGCCATCCGAGCGACTTCGCGCACCATAAAACCATCGATCACACGCAGCTGGACGCGAAACCTATCTCAATCGGCGAAACGACAGTCAGACGTCTTCCCACTAACCAAGCCAAGTTGGTCAGTAAACACGTTGTTAAACGGCGCCGAGGGCATTAAGCACCCGGAAAAGCTCGACGGCGAGCTAGACCAAGCCAGAATACGCCGGCTATATGAGCTCTCCGGACTTCAACTCCCGGACCCTGCGGTTGAGTCAGAGAGATACAAACAAATTTCCGAGCACGTTAATCAACTCAAGGACTTTTTGGGTCATATACAGGCTGTTGAGGAGACGGATAAGCTTGATGGTGTGGTGCCGTTGATGAGGATTGCGGAGGTTTTGGAGTTTACCATTGAGGAGCCTAATGCTGGGTTGGTCGTTGGTGTGGATTCGGAGGCGCATTTGGGAAGACGTGTGCTGGAGCTGGCGGCAAAAACCAGCGGAGATTATTTGATTGTCGAAGAATAAACTGTATTAAATTGTTTATTTTGCGAAAACAGGAAAAGAAAAATGCAGTGTCAAGTGATATTGCTGCTTGCTGTCATTCCATTATACAAATGAATTGGATAATAGAATAAAAAAAAGCAAGTCTTATTTATTTTCTTTGCTGTGTTGAGAACCCCATGGGGGGACTGCTACCCGGGCTGAGACCCGCAGGCACGCACAGATGCATCAAATATATGCAAGTCATCATTTTTATTTAAATGTCGTCACGAAATTCGGATAATATCCGTACCTCAAGGCAAATTGGTAACCGTAACGACGGAAAACCCGAGTACAAACCCACCAAAAGTCCGGTCAACAGAACATCAGTAAATCAGACAAATCTGGCGAATACAACGAAGGTGACCCCAAGAAAAAAATCCAAACAAAAAAACCATCCAACCACATCAGTAAATTTATTGAAGGTAACCTTGTAATTCATCAGGGCAAGTTACAAAATCAGTAAATAATGGCAACAATGGCAACAATTTCAAATTGTATTATGCGGATGGTCAAGCATTTGCTCCTCATTTAAAAAATGGCAATAATACAAGTAGGGATAATGATACCAATGGGATGATTGATTTATACATACTTAGTATTTCTATGGGGAGGGGGGGGGAGGAATAGACATGTTAATTTACAATATGTAGATTTTTGTGTCTCCACACAAATGCATTACCCTCTTTATTTTACTTCTTTTTACATTAGCAATAAGATGACATCAAATAAGAAATTAAACTACTAGCTTGACTTTCTTTTTTCCTTTACGTTTTTATTCTTATAGTATTAAACAAATATACTTATTTATTATATATACAATAAAATTATATTTTATGTATAGATATATTGAGATGAGAATGCGCTTAGCGCTAATAGTTTTCATAACATCCGCAGTACTTTCATTGTTTTTCCTTTTCCTCGTCCAACCCACCATCACCACTATAGCAGACACAAACGCCAGGCAAGCTGCAACACATAACATTGACGCACTAAACAGAACAATGGGGTTCCACCGCATATACTCAATCACATCCGCCTCCAAAACCACAAAAATAAACGCTATATCCAACCTACTCGATCTCAATCTAACCCACATCAACACAACGACCCCGGCGCAACCACAAGCCCAAATACAAATCCAACCCCGGAAAAAAAAACTCCAAACAGAATTTACAATACCCCCCACACTCTCAACCGATTTTCCCACCCATAGGCTAATCTACAAAGACATGGTGGAGAACAATATCCAAACAGCGCTGATCCTCGGGCCCAATATTGATATGGAGCTGGATATCAAGCAGATTCTCTGCCGGGTGCAGTATAGGCTTAAATTTGACTTGCTTTTTCTCTGTCGTTCGCATTCAGAGCCATCCGAGCATGGGCTATCCACCCTGCTCCAAATCCTTCAACTGACAGAAAACGACCCGGATGAGTCTCATTTAGAGCAACTGCAGAATACAAAAAGAGATTTCCTCGCTAGATCTACAGCAGTTTACCGGTCGGTTGATCCCAGAGGCGGAATTGAAAATGGATATGCTTTGAGTCTACGCATGGCCGAGAGGCTGCAAAAGATAGATAACTCGAAGGAAGGGGTGGATTTTGCTTTGAGAAGTGTGGCTATGAATCAGAAGTTTAATTTGTGGAGCGTCTCACCTCCTGTTATTACCGATTCTAGGGCTTGCCAGTATCTCAAAACGTCTGTGCTGGCCGCCATGTCATTGAGAAATGATAATCCGCACGATCACCCACCATATATTGATCTGTAATGAATAAATTTAAAACAGCAACCTGTAAGCAAAAAAATGTAAAATGAAAAAAGGTATATTATTATTTGTTTCACAAAAAAAAACTAGTTTGCATGGATATATGGAAAAATAACACAGATATTTCTCAACTTGAAGGGAATATTCCTGACGAAGCAGTAATGTCCCATCATCAAAATGACCAAGTAAACGAGGCCCAACGACGCCAGCACATGCCACCATGCATGTAACTGCACATTAAATGGCAGAACGGAGCCCTCCTGACCATTAACATATGAGCATAAATTAGTGTCCACGAGCCAAAACGCCGCAGCCACACCATAGCACTTTGCACCCCTAGCGAACAGCCCAGCAACATGACTCATCCCAGCCTCCTCCAATTCGCGCTTAGCGCGCCAGCACAAATACACCATAACAAGAGAAAGCCCATTGAAACTCGCTTGGAACAAAAAGAACTGCAACTTGCCACTAAACCCAGCAGTAAACAAGGACACCAAGGCAGTCCACAGAACCAAAGCCCATTTAAGTTTCTGCTCATCCACATTCTTGTACTGAGTGGTTATTGTTAGGTAGCAGGCTATGGAGATGGCCCAGAGCATGGGTAGTTCGTCGGTCATTTGCATGGAGTACTTTAGTGTAGCGTGGAAGAGCCAGCTTCCAAGACCGACAATGGTGATGGAGCGGCCTAGAAGAGTGAAGCCGCGGTGGTTGGTTGGGTTCATACGGGCGCAGGCTTCGCCGAGGAGTATCATGGAGACAGATGACCAGCTGTTGAAGAATTCGGCGATGTAGGGGGTCCATGTGTAGTTCTCTTCGCACCAGTCGACGGACGCTGTGATGTCGCCCCAGTAGCCGGCGCCGATAGGGGAGGAAATTGGTATAATGGGTGCCATTAATAGTAATAAGGAATTATCTTTGTAAGTATAGTCTGGGATAAGATAGGTAAAGAAAAAAGATGGAAAGAAATATGTGAACGGATGGAAAAAAAAAAATATAAAAAAAAAAATTATTGGAGAAAACAAAGTAGCAGATATAAATTTTTTTGGTGGCTGCCGTAATAATGATAAAAAAAATATTTTCTGCTTGGAAAAAAAGTGAGTGACATGCATAGACAGTGAGAGAAAAAAAAGACACATGGGCCACATTATATAGTTTAATAAAAATATACAGAATCGGGATGGGCCCCCTTATTTCACTTTTCTTGTGTGTAGGTGGGCCTTTTGTTTTAGTCTTTTCATTGACAATATGAACATCAACTAATCAAACACTTTGAAAAAATTGACTTTTTAAAAAAATACCAATGGTATTGCCCTGCGGATCAAACAGTACTAGACCCCCACCTCCACCTCTCCCCTCCCCTCCACCTCTGAGAGAGTAAGAGGATATAAGGAACACCAGTGTAGACATGCTTTATGAGCGAAAAACAGACTTAATTATATATTGTTCTTGAACCCCCCAGTAACGGAAATTAGTAAGCACTGGACCCTTTTTTTCCACCTCCTTCCCCCAAAAATGGACAATACAACCAATCGCCTCCATTTTTTTTGGGCGAATGGGAGGAGTCGGAATTCTGAATTCTTAATCAGGCCAATAAAAAAAGCCTAAAAATTTAAAAAAAAATTAAACACGCTCGTCAAAGCGGAAATTTGTGGTTGGATCAAAAAAAAAAACTATGCAAAACACTCTTGCGTTGCGAGACGAGAGCAGTAATGTAAAAATTGATAATTGAAAATATCTTCGTTGCCGCAGCAACTTGGAGCTTTTGGCTACAAATCTGCACTGGTCTCCACAGCGGAATTCAATCTTTTATTCATTTATTGATTTATTTTACGAATTCCGCGATAAAAACCCTTAGAATTCCGCTAGAATTCCGCATAAGGCCTTTCCAATTCAATTAAACTAAAATGAGCCACAGCCAGTCGCCGTTCGACGCAGTCCCAGACGAGCTCCTTGCGCTAATCCTATCAAACCTCACAGCCGCCGCTCTGGAACGCGCCGGGGCAGTCAGTCGGCGATGGCGGCGGGTGGTGACAGACGACGGCAGCTGGCGACGCGCCCTAGCCCAGGAATTCACGCAGCTCCCATTCTCGCGCATCTCCGCCACCAGCTGGCGCCAAGAGTTCACGCAGCGTCTGCGGCTGCGGCGGCGCTGGCTCGGCACGCGGCACCACCAGCGGCTGGAATACTGCGCGCGCACCGGGATGGTCGACCGCATTGTGGGCGGCAGCACGTGGGCGCTGGCCGTAAGCGTAGGCGCGGCGGCGGCGATGCTGGTGGATGCGCGATCGGGCCGGATGCTGGCGCCGGTGGTGTGCGGCGGCCGCGGGAGCAGCGTGGCGACGCGCGTCGATGGTGTTGTGTGGGGGATGGCTGATGGCAGCGGCGCCGCCGTGCATTTGACGCCGCAGGGCCGCGCGCGCGCGATCGTGCGGCAGATGCGCACCGGCACCGCGCCAGTGCTGGCGGTCGCCGGGTGCGCGGACGCGCTGGCGCAGGGCGCGGACTGGCGCAGCAGGTATGATGTTCCGGATGCGCTGCTGGTGGCCGGCGCAGACGCGCTCGGGTGCGTGCGCCTGTGGTGGGACCACACGGGCGCGCACCACCGGGAGCTGAGCGCCGGCGATCGGCGGCCACTGGTGGCTGTGGCGTGGGCCGCGGGCGTGCGCTTTGTGGCGGCGGCCTCGGCGGCGGCGCTGCTGCTGTGGGACCTGGAGGCTGGGCCCGAGGCGCCTGGGCCCGTGCGCGTGGCCCTGGGCGCGGCCGCCGGGCCTGTGGTCATGCTCGCTGGTGATCCGCTGGCGCCCGTGTTCTGCTTGGCGACCGAGCGCGGCGGCGTTTGGCGCGTGGATGCGCGCAGCGGCGCGGTGCTCGCGCGCTTTGCCGTGCCGCTGCCGCCGGCTGCGGCGCCACTGACGGCTGCGTCCGTAGACTTTGCCGTGCCGGCCGGCCGCGTGCCGGGAATCTCGCGGCCGCCGCGGTGGGGCACGCCCTCGCCGCCGGCCTCGCCAGGAGGCAGCGCGTCGGAGCCCGGCGTACCGCCGACCACGCCAACGCTGCGCATCCCACCGCCCCCCGCCGCTGCTGCCGCCGCCGCCAGCGCATCGTCGGCCACACAGCTGCTCCTCATTGGCGATGCCGCCGGCAGCCTGATGATGTTTGACTTTGGCGCGGGCTCTGGGTCGCCGGCCATCCACGCGTGGCCGCACCTGCATCGGCTGGCAGTCTCGTCGGTCCAGAGCAGCGCCGCCGTGGTGGTTTCGGCAGCGCGCGACGGCCAGGTGGCGGTTCTGGAGCCGCTCACCGGCCAGCGGCTCTCGTCCCTGCGGTGCCGGTCGGGCGGCCGCAGCAGCGCCCTGGCGCAGTGGCACCACGCCGTGCGGTCGCCGCTGCTCCAGCAAGAGCACCACGTGCAGGTGGCCGTGCGGCTAGCCCAGGCGCTGGGGGCACGCACGGCGGAGCAGTGGGCGCGCCAGGTGGCCGAGCAAACGGGCGACCGCCTGGACCGCACGGAAAACATGGGTGCAGCGGCCGTGGACCAGGTGCTGGGGTACTTTACCTGGGCGCAGATTGACCCGGACCTGCCCGTGCGCGGGTTCCCGACCCTGGTCCCACACTTGGCACTCACCAATGACCGCCTGCTGGTGGCCAGCGGCACCCATATCCACGCATGCCACGTTACCGAGCCACCTCCCGCGGTGGCTGGTGGCCGGTCGCGCAATAGGCAGCGCCGCGGTTGTGCGGGCGCAGTGTCGGCGCGCGTGCAGGGTGCGCGCGAGCTGGCCGATGAGCTTAGCGCATTGCGGGTCGAGTCCGAGGAGGAGCGCGGTCGGCGCATGCGGTGGGCGGAGGAGCAGAGCTACCTGGACGACCGCTTTGGCGGATTGGGGCTGGACCCGCAGGAGCAGATTGAGTATGCACTTTGGCTGAGCAGCAATGCCGATGGCGATGGCGATGGCGATGGCGATGGCGATGCTGATGCTGATGCTGATGCTGATGCTGATGCTGATGCCAGTGCCAATGCCGGTGCCAATGCCAGTGCCAATGCCGGTGCCAATGCCAATGCCAATGCCGATAATGCTAATGACAAAGGCGGCGGGGCTACTGCGTGGCGTGGCCCTGGGAGCCCTTTCCTCGACGACATGACGGAGGAGGAGCAGGTCGCGTACGCCATTATGCTGTCCAGCTCGTAGAAATCCTTACTGCTGCAAGCCATTTGCTTTTCTGCTTTTCTTACACCTTGAATTGACTTTGTGAAGAGCATGCAACACATGATGCTCAGAGGAATTAATTCTGAAAAAGACCCTCATTTCCCCACCCCCCCCCCCCCAAAGCCATTGTTTTTGTAGCTTCGTGTTGGCTTGTTCGCATGAATGCTGGGACGAGACTAGAACGGCAGTTGAAGGATAAGGGTTAATTTCTTAAAATTATTCCTTTAGAGGGGGAATGTGTTCCTGCATGCATACAATTGTTCTATGCAAACCCAAGAGTCTCACGCGAGAGCAGAAAAAAAGTATAACAGCAGAAAAGAAAGGAATAATAAAAGGATCACTCTTGTTCCTAATTGTATATAAAAAATCCAAAATATTTTTTTGTTATTCAGCTCGTACTACTCCTTCCTTAACTTTTATTTTATTTTATTCCCCTTTTCACCTTTATCCACCCCCCCAATTTTTCCCTTTCTTTTTTCTTTCTTTTTTTTACCGTGTTACATATTTCAGCTCGGAGTGGAAAAAATAAGAAGAAAAAAACATTTTCTGCCAATCCGTTTCGATTTTTTTGTACTTTTTTCGGAGGAGTTCCAGAGCTGATTATTTATTATCTTTTGCCCATTTCCGCACTTGAAACACTTACAATCCACAGCCTTTTTCCTCTCTTTTTCCCCAAAAGAAAGAATATTTGAAATATTGGGTTTTCTTGCCTCCTTGTTTTGTTTTTCTCTTTGCTTTTGCTTCTATTTTTTTCTTTCTTTTCCTATTTTCGCTAAAAAAAATTAAAACCTAATACTAATAATAACAACATTCCCCTCCCCCTTTTCTTTATATATATATATCCATCTATCTATCTATTTGTACTTATTTATTACTTCTAATTGACTATAAAAAGCGACTTTTCTTCTTTCATTCTCACCAGCATGCCGCCTCTGGAAAGACGCCAGCCACCGGCGGTCGCTGCAGCCGACCACAGGCCCCAGACCAACCGCATAGAGGCCAGCCCGGCCCTATCCACGTCCTCCGGCGAACCCAAACGGCGGCTGCGCTCACGCCGACACACCAAGCGCACCTCCGCAGAACAGCCCGAGGACATCGGCGTCGACGGCAAGCCCATCCTGCGGCTGTCCGGGGACAAAAACCTCATCCTGAACACGCGCAACCCAGTGATAATCTTTCTGGCGAAAAACGAACTCTCTCTCTCTCTGCTCTTCCTCACCGTACTCCACGGCTGCTATTGGCTCGGCTACCAGTGGCCGGAGCAGTGGATCTGCATGCAACATCGGACCAACTCAGTTATTGGCGCCAATGGAGCCGCTGGAACCGCTGGTGCGGTAGAGAGGTTTGTGCGGGGCGTGCATGATTTCAAGTTTGTGTTTTATTGGATTGTCCAGCTGGTTGCTACTCGCTCTATGCTCTTGCATCATCTGCTGCCGATAATCCCCCGGGCACTGGGCATCGGGAGTGCGCGGAAGCAAAGGCGTTTTTGCGAAATGGCCTGGAACATGCTTTACATTACAACGTCGTGGGCGATCGGCTACAGTGTCTGGGAGGCGTCCCCGTACTATATGAATACGGAGAACCTGTATGCGAATTACCCGGATGAGCATATGCTTATGCCCTATGGGCTTAAGTGGTACTACCTGGTGCAGGCGGCTTTTTGGCTGTCAAACGTCTACACCATTCATGTGGAGGAGCGGCGCAAGGACCATGTGGAGATGATGACCCACCATATGGCGACAATCACACTTGTACTAATGTCATATGCCTGCCATTTCACGAGATTCGGCCATGTCTTCATGCTGATTATGGATTTCCCCGATATCTTCCTGACCTCGGCCAAGATGTTCCGCTACTTGAATCACGAGCTCATACCCAACATTCTCTTTGGCCTCTTCAGTATCTCATGGATCGTCACTAAGCACTATTTGTGCCTGAAAATGATGTTTTCTATTTGGACCCAAGGTACATATTTGATCCCCCAGGAGAAGCGATTCCCGCATTATCCAAACTCCTACGCCTCTATCACTATTGGCTGTGTGTTTTGGGCTTTTCTGGGCCTTTTGCAGATTATCTTGATCTATTGGTTCGCTTTGATCTTGAACGTGCTGCAGAAGGTGCTGCTCAAGGGAGGGGGGCCTAAAGATACGAGGTCGGATGATGAGAGCGAAGGCGAGGGCGAGGATGAAGAGCTGGAGGAGACTGCTGTTGACACCAAGGACGCGGAATTGCCCAATAAGGCTGAGTAATAATTTGTTTTTCTTTTCTTTTTCTCGATTCCTATTTATTTTTGCTTTCTATTCACGAATTTCTTTTTGTTTTCTTTGTTGTTCACACTCACTCACTCACTCATTACATTCTTTTTACTCTAAAAAATAATTTTTATTTCTATTTCTATTTATCATAACTCCAATAACTCCAATAACCCAACAACCCTAAATCCAAAATCCAAAATTACGCAACAAAAATTAACACCATATTATTACTCTATATTTGTATGTATGTACGTTTGTTTGTTTTACTTGTCCTCGACGTTTAAATCCCCAGTCTTCAAAACCCTATTAGCCTTTTTCCTCGGCTGCGGCGCCTCTGTATTCTCCTTAATATAAAACTGTCTCAACAACAATACCGCCTCGTCCTTCAAAAACCCACCCTCCGCCACATACTCCCTCCCATCAACTACCCCCTGATGCACGCCTAAAACCGACCCACACCCTCCAAACCTCTCATTCCCACAACCAAAAAACACCCTCCCAATCCCAACCAATCTCAAAGCCGCCGCACACATAATACATGGCTCCACAGTAACATACAAATCGGTTTCGGCGAATTGTTCTCGGGTGTATTTGAGGTGGTGGATCATGAGGTCAATGGCGACTATTTCGGCATGTCGGGTACCGTTTTTGGATAGGTTGGTTTCGTTGCGGCCTTGGCCAACTTGCTTGTTGGTCGGGTGGTGGATGAAAACGCAGCCGACTGGGACTTCGTTGTTTTGGAGCGCCTCCTGGGCCATGTTGAGCGCTTGACGCATGTGCGTGAGCCGCTGGGTATGTGTATCTTGGGATTCTAGGCATTCTTGTGATCCTTGGAAATCTTGGGATTCTTGGGGTACCGAATCAGTAAACATTTTTGTTGTTGTTGTTGTTGTTGTTGTGTATATTGAGATCAAATAAGGGTTGTTCTTCGTAAATGGAAATAATAAGAATTGAAATTGAAATTATTTTTGTATTTTAGTTGCTTATGTAAAACCACCATAACTAAAAAAAATGTTGGTTTGGTTTGGTTGAGTCGCAGACATTTGGGCTATTTCACACGTGAGGTATCTAAACAATTTTAATGATTTTTCAATACATTATTTATTTTATTTAAAAAAAGGAAAGGGATGGCATTTGCGCACCACAATGTTTTTATTTCTCAACATCAACTGTCATCTTGGTATTAATATTAGTAATGATTTCGTCTGCTGCAGCGGAGTCAGCGGTTTTGACGGTCTCGGCTTGAACATCAATATCCGCATCTGTATTCCTGTCATCAAATGTCGCTGAATCGGCTGTTTCAACAGGTATTTTGCTATCTGCTGCTGCCTCCACATTAGCAGTTTCAGCCGGAGCCTCAGTATCCACTACTGTTTCCTCTACAACGATGTCCTCTACAATGACGTCCTCTACAACGACATCATCTACAGCGGCGTCCTCTACAGCGACGCCCCCGCCATTCACTTCCGCGGAATTAACCTCAGCTGGGATATCTTCGGCATCCTCCTTTGTATACCCCTCCTGAATAGTGATCGGATGGCCATTCCAAGTGGTCGGCACCTGAGAATACACATAAAACGTCGGGAACTCCAACACAGTCTGGTACCGCAGCTGGGTAAACAAGGGCTGCTTAGAATCGATCCTGCAGAACGTAGGCTTGTTAGCTGGCATATCCTGAACAGCAATCAGCCAAACCAGATCACCCACTGGTGTACCCGCAAACATCCGCTTAACTCCCAGCAGAGTCTCGGGCTTAATCGACGACCAGAAAACATACTCGTCGCCGTTATCCGATGGAATCTTAATTTTGATCCCGCCATCCAACTTGATCCGTTTCTTCGGGTTCCCGTCGGCAACCTCTGCAATACTGGGGTTGGGCGCATGGTCCAGTAGGCGTGTCCAGAGATCGCCCAGCCGGCAGACATCGTGGAACCCGTTTTCTGTCCACTTTTGCGGCTCGCAGTCAAGCTCTGGAATCACAATCTCCAAGGTCCACACTAACCGCGACCACCTAGATGCCCATATGGTCCTATTCAGCTTACTGCGCTGGATCCCAGGACTCATGTACCTGATCTGCACCTGTCTTTGGGTTTTCGCCCGCGCAACCACATTCTTCTGCGCCCTACCAAGCACAACCACCGGCCCACCAGTTGTATTATCCGCCTGCGGTCCAGCTGGACGACGCGAATCCGGCATTGCCTTGTTTTGAGCAAGTATCTTGAGATCCTGCACTTCATGGGTCAGATTAACGTGTTCCCGGGCAATGTCCTGAAGAAATCCATAGTCGCTCATTAATGTGTTGGCGTCGTATTCCGCGCGCTTGATGAATTTGGTCTTGTCGCGCGTGCCGCTGCAGTTGGTTGAGGATTTGTGCGATTTTGAACAGGCCAGTGAACATGTTCGTAGCATGCAGCCGGGACACTTGTATTTGGCTGTTTGTGATTCGCATTGCTCGCAGTTAGTCGCTGGTGTGGCTGCGGGAGGATTTGTCTGTGGTGGGTCTTCTGATTCTACTGGTACTTCTACCGATGATGTTGACTCTGCCTTTGTCGCTGTTGCTGCAAGTGTATGTTCCAAATCCGACATTACGAGTTTGTGGGTTGTGAATGATAAAATAATTTAATTATAAGATAGGGTTAAAAGAACAAAGAGTGTTAACGAGTTTGTCGGTTGCACTGGGTTTTTTTTTGCTAAATGTAACAATAAAAATAAAAATTTTATAGTTACCAGCTCACACATCAAAAAAATTAAATTTATGTTAATTATAATTTATATGATTCGGCTCCCAGCAAATCACAGCGCCTAGTTATGGATGCATTCATATGCTCTGTTGTGTTAGCCCTCAAAGGAAAAACAAGCATGTGAATTATTTTTGTTAAATTATAAAACAAACAAACGAAAAAAACGCTTGTTTCTTTTATGTATCGGTTTTTAACTTTAAAACATCATCCGTCATCAGAGCGCAAAGAAAAAAAAGATATTGGCAGCTGATTAAAAAAAGCGTTCAGAAATTTTAGACAAGCGCTTTTTAGCACAGACCATTGTTCGCTTTGATGTACGACATGTGAAAAAGTAAGATATTTTGTTTCTTCAAATTAATTATTGGGTTTACACAAAAACTGACCTTGTGATGCGTGGTTGGCCGACAGCCATGCCTTCTCATTTCTATTACGCGTGGGGACAATATAAATAGAAGGCAGGAATGAGCCACCTCACCCCTACTCTATTATATTCTACTTTTATTTTATTTTGAACATTATTATCATATCACTTCAAAAAAGCGTTTATAATATTCATTAGTCACTTTACCATGAACCCAACAACAGACGAACCACACATGATGTCTGAGCAAAGCAAGTTGCCGCGCCTGCCGATTCCGCCGCTGAAGCAGACTATCGACAAGTACTTGGAGTCCATTGTGCCTGTTGCCGGCGATGATATTGCAGCGCTGGCCGAAACAAATCAAAGAGCCGCGCATTTTGCCAAGGTGGCTGACCGGCTCCAGCAACGGCTCATTAGCTACGAGCAGACGCAGCCCAACAGCTGGCTGGAAAAATGGTGGTTCGAGCTTGCATACTTGACCTGGCGCGAAAGCCTGTGCATCAACTCAAACTACTGGATTGCATTTGCCGATGACCCCAACGCTTACGGACTGCATGCTGCGCCCAAGCCACTGCTGCCTTACAGCCCGGAATACAAAGTGGGCCAGGTCTTAGACAGAAACTCGTATGGCGAGTTCCAAGTGCGGCGGGCCGTCAAGTTTATTCAGAAGGCTCTGGATTACAAGGAAATGGTACAGGAAGGGCGCATCCCGATCGCTCGCACCAAGAATGGGCCTCTGTGCATGAGCCAGTACCGGGCAATGTTCGGAATGACCCGCATCCCTCGCATGGGCTGCGACGAGCTGCGCCAGGATGAGGCCACGATGAGCTCGCGCGCCATCATTGTGATTGCCGAAGACCAGATTTACAGCGTCCAGGTGTACGACGACGCCGGTCGCAGAAAGCCAGACGGCGATCTTGAAGCTGAGCTGCAAGCAGTAGTCGCCGATGTGCTTGAGCGCCGCCGGCTGGGCGAGCTTGACCCAGCGGTGACTGTGCTGACAGCCGGACATCGTGACAGATGGTCTACGGCCTTTGAGAGACTGGAGAAGCAGCCGGCCAACCAGGCGACTTTAATTGCCATCCAAGAGTCACTGTTTGCCGTGTCCCTGGATACCACATACAGCAATCCGCCGGGCTCTATCAACGCGAATCAGCAAAACATGAAGTGTCATGGCACCCGCCCGGGCCACAACAGGTGGTATGACACGTGCACTACCTTTATCTTTGACCGCAACGGCGCGGCCGGATATCTCGGCGAGCACTCGCCCTGCGACGCGCTCATTCCGGCGTATATGCTTGAGCACGTGGCACAATCCGTTGCCCCCGAGCACATTGAGCAGGGCGTGGCCAGCGCGCGCACCCGTGACTACCAGCCGCGTGTCAAGCGCCTCCGCTTTACTGACGTTGATGCAACAGTGCTTGCGTTGATTCTCGAGGCAGAGAAGGAAGTTACGCAGACGGCCAAGGATAGCGTCAGCCGGCAGATTCGCTTTGAGAACTACGGCTCCGACTGGATCAAGCGGGCGGCCAAGATGAGCCCCGACGCTTTCGCGCAGCTCACCTTGCAGCTTACATACTATCGCCTCCACGGCACACTTGCCTCCGTCTACGAGACCGCCAGCACGCGCATGTTTCTGCATGGGCGGACGGAAACCGTGCGCTCACTGACTAGTGAATCTGCCGATTTCGTGCGCACCATGTGCGATGCCGCATCGAGCTCTGTCGACAAGTACGAGGCGCTGGTGCGCGCGGCCAAAAAACACCAGAAGCTGCTTGTAGATGCTTCGTCGGGAAACGGAATTGACAGGCATATTTTGGGCCTGCGCATGGCCTATCATCGTCTAGATGCGCTGCCCGGCGAGAAGCCCATTACTGTGGAGGAGCAAAAGGTGATCGAGGACTTTTTCAACGACCCGATTCTGGCTAAATCAACGACGTTCCAGCTGTCCACTTCGGGCTTGTTCCCCGCCTATTATCTCGCGCATACCGGCTTTGGCAGTGCCGTTGCTGAGCGCGGATATGGAATTAATTATATCATTGAGCCCAAGCGAATCAAGTTTGGAACCGAGAGCAAAACCCTCGAGGCAGGCAAGGGCTCTAATATGGCGGTGTTTGAACCCACGCTGCGCCAGAGCCTGCTGGAGCTCAAGATCGTCTGTGAGCAGGCGAACAATATCCCTGTCGGCGATCTTAGCCGCCTCTGAGTTGATCATGCAACCTGTGTGTGCTTCACGTGCAGATTTCCCAAACACGGTTTTGTTATGCCGTGGTGGCCAAATTGTGTGGATTTTTGCAGGTTTATTATTTTTAATTTTTAATTTTGGCATATTTCTTCTTTTCTCTTTTTATTTCTATTTTTATTTGTAAACTAAACTTGGCGTCACTATACCCATGAGCGATTTGGCCACAAATAGGCCAGCGACCAACCGCTCGGCATCAGCAGCGACAGCGGCGGCAACAGCATCGGCGGCAGCCACCGCGTCAGCAGCAGCAGCAGCAGGAGCGACCGGCTCACAGACAAAAAAGGTAGTTGTTCGGTTCCGGGCTATTGGAAACGCCCCCATTCTCAAAAAATCTGTGTACAAAATTTCCTCGGCACAGCGGTTCCAGGCGCTCATAATTTTTTTGCGTAAAGAGTTGGGATACAAGGCCGTCGAGCCGCTGTTTGTATATGTCAACAGTGCGTTTTCTCCGGCTCCCGATGAGACCGTGTACAATTTGGTTCGCTGTTTTGGACTAGACAGTCAGCTGACTATAAACTATGCCACTACGCCAGCTTGGGGTTAAATGTACGCTTATTTAATACATGTACTACGCCATCAACAACAATAATAATGATAACAATATAATTAGGTTTTAAATTTGGCTGGCTCCTTTATCGTTTCTTTTTGTAAACCCGCAAATGTTGACAATAACTAATGGCATAAGTCAGCATCACCCGCTCGCTTTGGTCGCTGATTACTCAGACAGCTAATTGAGAATGGGTTAGATGTGTTGACAACAAGTGAAGGTGTTAACGCTACCGGAATATGGGGAAATATGTGGGAAAAAGAATTGGCTATCCCAATTCTGCGCCGTTTGGGCTCTTGCTCCTCTGATGACAGACAGTAGGCATAGGTTAATTTCTGCGCATATTTGTCCCAATCGTCTTTTGTCCCTTTTTCCGTGAACCGAACAGCAATCCCCAACCCTGCGCTGAAGCAGCTGAAGATGATGTGTATGTTTAGGCTTGCCGCAATATCTCTGTTACAAAAGCGCTATCTGATTTCGGGCACCATTTTTATAGGGGAGGGGTGCAACATCCAAAGGAGCCATGCCAGTTGTAACTTGTGCTATGCCATCAAAAACGGGGGCAGCAATGCTTGCAACTGGGATTTGGCTATCCAAAAGAGGACCAACGCTAATAGACATTGATTTGCGTGCGCGATCAGGTAACGAAGAGGGGACAAGCAATGGAAAGAGAGAGAGGAAGAAATGGCGTTGCTTCCCTGTTATTAAATGTAGTAGGATATATAAAAAATAAAAATATTAGCAGCTTTCCAGCTCAGTTCAGCTACTAAAGATGGTACGCTTCAGCGGTAGGCTCGAGCTCAGCAGCGCGGCAATATCCTGCCAAGTCGGCGCCATCGCCTGCGCCAGCACACAACCGGCCCCAGCGACGCACAACGAGCGCAAAGCAGGAGCATGATCAGGCAGCGACCGAATATCGAAAACCGGCGCTTTAATGTAAGTCAATTCGGGAAATACCCCGGACAGCCTCGGCACTTGCGAAGCACCAGCAGCAGCAGGTGCCGGATGATGACTGTCGCTGGGCTCCATATTGCCAACAACAACCTGCTCGAGCGCAGGCATGCAGTCAGCGTAGATACGCAGTCCGGTGTTTTCGCGCGGCGCCATAAAGTAGTTATCAATGTGCAATTCTTTCAAAGCCGCCCAAAGCACGGGCTGCGGCGAGCTCTCCCGTGTGGCAGCTCTGCGTCCGCCACGAATTCCGGAATAGTGTGCTTGCTGTTCCTGACTGGGCAGCACCATCTGCGTCGTCGCCCATTCGACCGCCTGCATGTGCCGCTCCTCGATGCGCCCGAACCGTAGCATGTCAATAACTTTGTAGTCGCACTCAATCAGGTGAAGCGCGCGGAGCGTCGACGTTTGCGCCATGGCAAATGCAAACACTGTGTGTGAGCGCAGGGCGTCGCCAGTGACGGCCAGTATTGACAGTGACGGGTGCACTGCAGGCAGCTGGTGTATGGCCGTACACAGATATGCACTATCAACGGCAGCGACAGCAGCGGAGCCTTGGATTTTCGCTGTCTCGATAGCTGCCACAGTCGACAGCGACGAGCGCCAGGATGAGCCTGAGCTGCGGCGACCACTGTCGGAATTAGCCCACACGCTGCCGGCAATCTCGATGGCGGCCAGGGGCAGCAACTGGGCGCATTGCAGAATGTCGGCCAGAGCAGTGGCTGGCACAAACCCATCAATGCGCATTGAGCGCAAGCGCGGCATTGTGCGCTGAATGTGCGCGGCAAAGCCCTGGTAGCAGATAAGCGGCATGAACGACATGTCGAGGTGCTCAACGGCAGGCCATGCCTGATCACCAAACACGCTGCGTAGCCGGTTGGTGCTTGCAGAGTCTCCGTTGGGGGCATCCTTGCCTCTGTGCAGGCGGCTGCAGCTGTCGACACTGAAACCAACAATGCTGTCGCTGCTGCTGCTGCTGCCATTGCTGCTGCTGCCGGCATCGTTGTTGGCGTCCCCAAAGAACATGCCATCCCCAGCCGCCATCCACGACACGGGCGCGGCCATGGCACCCCAGGGCACGACCAGGCGACGCACGCTTTGTGCGGCAAAGGCGTGGATGTCATGGGCGCTGAGGAGGCCGCTAGAGCCGGTCAGTTGCACGGTGCGCCAGGCACGCGGCAGCAGAGCAGCCCGCCAGTCACGGCTAACATGAGTGAGAATGCGCAGCGCCTTTTGTGCCTCCTCCGCCAGCGCGGGCGTGGCACCCAGACGCTGCAGCGTCAACTGGCGTGTGTCGCTTACATGGACGGTGATGATTACGGCGTCAGCGATGGCATTGATGATATCTGATGGCAGCCAGATGGCGGGACCACTGTGTGTGGACACGGATTTTCCTTTGCGCTTAATTTCAGGATTGACCTCGGACCTGTGATTTGCCGCCATTTTGGTCCGGAGCGCCTGCTTGCGTGTGAATCTGGCGATTGGCTGGCATTGCATGCGAACGATGCGTCGTGCGTTGCGCGGGGCCGTGCCGAACGAAAATGCCGAAATCTCGTCTGTCGCTCTGTCGCTTAGTGGCATCGGTGCGACGGATACTCCTGAGCTGGTTATCATTACCCGCGGTCTAGTGCTGATTTTTTTGTTGCTGTGATTTCGGCTTCTAGTGCTGGGTTTAAATAGCAATTAGGCGCAGAATAACCAAAGCTATGAGGTTTTACAGGCGAAAAAAGTGTACGCGAGAGATGCGGTAGCTGCGGTAAAGGAGAAGGGAAAGGTGGAAAAGGCGTAGTATAAGGGATTACTACGCGAACATGTGTCTGCAAAATTGGGCCCTGGATATGGCGACTGCTGCTCTACTTGGTGGGTATTGCGGCTGTTGCTGTTGCGTGTAACTTGAGAGCTTAGGCTGAGATCCTAAGTAACCAAAATGGGGTGTGGTCCTTAGAGTCTGAGATGGGATAAAATAGGATATTGTGTTGTTAAAAGCGGCTAAACCGTGACAGCTATTAAATAGATTTGTGTAGAAATACTGCAATACGAGACGCGTCGGGCAGTATATATTATATATATGTATGCAAAGCTGAGAAGTATGCTAAAAAATATTAAAAAAAAGCCTAGCAATTTTGTAGGTTAAAAAATTTGCGCGCAATGAATGGAGGGCAGGGTCCTCTTTTTAAATGGTTTGTCGCAGTTTTTTGACTAGACGAAACAATGAAGTGCGCGGGTGAGGGGCGGGTACACAGGGATTGGGGAATGAGGAGGCGACGCGGATTTGCTGCAAATAAAAAACCATGCTGCTTTTCCCGTCCACTTAAAAATTGAAGTGTTGGGCGAATTGTATTTTTCGAAGGCGGAGAGCGAGCACGGGAGTGTGAATTGGTAGGTTGGCCTGTTCGCACCCACTCACCCACCCACACATACTTGAATACAAGCCATCTATGGACGGGATGCTTGATAACTGCCCACATTTGCGCAGTGCTCAATGGGTATGTATTCACCTGCTTTAACATCAACAAGTGGGAGTTTCCAAGTGGCGTTGGCCAAACTTCAAACTTTGGCGAATGGGAGCCCGCGTAGTTGTGGCAAGGGAGCGCAGACAAGAACAATTAAATGAATATTTAATTACATGGTCGCTTTGCCTGTGCTGCAATTGATTGAACATGGTAGCCAGCGCCGACTCTCCCCGGAATGGTTGGTGTTTATTTTTGGCCAAGAACGAGTGATGATTCCGGCTGTGCAGCACATGATCCAACTAAGAGCATTCTTTTAATGTGCATTGTTGGACGTATTTGTCCATTGCAGCTTTTCACATTTTTTTCTAAAAAAAATTACACTCCTTGCTGCTGGCCGTGTCTCGCAATTATTTTTCCGATTGCACAATTCGGCAAGACAACAAAACATTTGACAACAAAACATTTGCTCTTGCTCGCCGAAAAATGTCAAGTATATTTAAATTTACACGCGCTTCATGTTATCGATTAGCGCTTTAAACAAGAGGAGATTGTATTTTTGTCACACTATTTTTTGTATATCAAATTATGATATTACATTTTTGTAGTCTGGTTCCAAACTCCCGGATATATGCTTTTCTGAATACATGACTGAGTTTCCAAGCATCTTGTTGGATACAAAATTAATAGGACGTCTTTCTTTATCTTTCAAATCTTTGAAGTTATAACCCGGCGCTTTCAACATGTGCTGCTGCATATGCCCATCCCTACTTTTATGGGGGAAAAAACTCAGCTGGTCAGTGCCACCAAATATGTAGTGTATTACACAAATGTACCGAAACAAATCATCGCCAGCAACTTTGCTTCATGCGAAGTTCAAGAGTGTGGCTTGTTGTGTGAATATATAGCGTCGGAGAATAATTAAATTAGTTCTGCATATCAAGTTGTTTGGTACTCCCGTGTATACATTGCAATATGCCACTATATCGCCGCATACCAAAAAAAAATTCAATAAGAAATTTGCACATCCATTCCAGACACCTTCAACCATGCATAATCGTGCACATCTGAACATAAAGTTTTAAAAAACGATTTCCCACGCAAAATGTCGGTTGGTAATCCCGAGCATCATTGCCATTTTGGAATGCAGCCACTACTAATTTACAAACAAATACTAAAATATACCACTAGTATCACAACTGAATCAACGCAATTCTAGCCCGGGGATTCTAACTGGCACTTGTTGTCAGGACATGGTTGAATGTGACAACTAAATAATATATGTGTGCAATACAAATAGGAGAGAAATTAAATAGAAAATTAGAGAAAAATTAAAACAAAAGTGATATTAGCGCTCGTTCAGCCAGCGTGTGAGTTCTGCTTGTGTAAAGTCCAGCGACAGGTTGGTGCTCTTGTAGGTGCGCGCCAGCACAGTGACAAAGCGCTGGTAGTTTGACAAAATGTCATCGGTGATCGACTGCCAAACGATCATGCGCAGCTTGGGCTCATTTGCAAAATGCTTCTCGACGCGCTTGTAAAGCTGCTTGATGTTCTCGCGCATGCTGCTGTTGGAGTGCGCCTGAATGACCTTCTTCAGCTGGCTCTTTCCTAGATTCGGTATCGCCAGCGGGTCCTTGTTGGCAGCCAGGCACCTTTCGACGGCGTCGAAAAAACTGACCAGCCGGCCCATCGGACGTGAAAGGACATCCTTAATATACGCCCGAGTCACCTTGCGCTGGACAACCTGCGCATGATCCAGGTACGTGTCCAGAGTGGGCATAAAGTATGAGCCGCATCCGCGGGCCTTGTACGACTGCAGTCCGGTGAGCATGACATACATGTTCTCCAGCAGCAGCACATGAGTGTTCAGCTGCTCCTTCTGCGCGTCCTTGTCGTCTGTGTTCTTCTGCGCGTTGCGCTCGGCCTCGCGCAGCAATGACTCGAGCGTGTCAAAGATCAGACGCGAAATACGGCTGCAGGCATTGTCAGCAATTGCGCGCGCGGTGTACCCGGTCTCCCCGACCAACGTCTCGATGTGTGCAATAAACTTTGGAAAGATGCGCGCAAATGGCAGTACTCCGACGCGCTTCTTGGTGACAACCTTTGTGGCCTCAATGGCGCGTGCCTGCTCAGAGATGTAGCTCTGGAACAGCGTCTCCAGCTTGTCACTGGACCTCTCCAAAAGGTTGATCAAAAAGCCTTGATCGCTTCCTCGGCACAGATCGAGAGCCTTTGCCACAGCGACCAGCATGCCGACGGCCTGGGATGGGTCAAAGCGTGTGCCCATGTCAATAAGCGAATCGACCTGAGAAACCAGCTTGCCAAAGAGCAGATCAAGCATGCTCTTGACCTCCTTCACAGAGCCAAAGTGCACCGTCTGGCTGACAACGCCCTTTGAGTCCAGCTTGGAGCGTGGTATGTCCCAGTGCTCGATCGGGCGCAGCTTGTGTGTGACCCAGTTGTAAAAGGTGACGTTCTCCCCCAGCTTGGCTTTAGCAGCCTCGCTTTCGCTGGTATGGCGGTGTGCTGCGCTGCGAGTCGACTGCGAGCGGCGGACGGCGCGAGTGTGGGAGGGCGGCACGTAGTGGAACAGGTCGGATATAAAGTTCTGCTCAGAGATAACGTTGGCTACGACATTCTCCAGTGCAATTGCAAAAGCCTCGGACGGCTGCATCTCATTGCTTGGCACGACCCCCGCACCGCCATAGTTCCCACCGGCACCACTGGCAGCGCCTCCGGCGCCACCTCCGTCTCCCCTGACAGCAGACGCAATAGCGTGATGTGCGGCGCCGCTGATTCCGTCCAGGCTGAGCCTACGCCCTGTGTTGCTGCTCGCCGCCGCACCGACGTTGGTCGAAAACGAGAACTCAGAAATCGGATTGGGCCCGCCGCTGCTGACATCGTGGCGGTACCTGAAGAAGAATGGCCGGCACGAGTCCACCAGCTCCTTGGTTTGGTTCCCGTACAGCGTGTTCATGCACTGGATGTACAGTGCCTGGAGCTCCTTGTCCGCTGACGGCTTGGCCTCCTTGAGCCATAGCGTTAGCCCGGCATACTTGACCATCATCTTGTGCACGTGGTCTGGCCCGCTGATCAGGCGAATACCGCGCACGGTGTTCCGGCCCTTGTCATTGATGCTGCCGTCAATTTTAAACTGAAACATAACCTTGAGGTAGTCGTACACGCGTGTCGAAAAGTTTGAGCAGTAGAACTCATACTTCTTCATCTTCTCATGAGTGGCCTCGAGCCCGCCCAGCCCGTCCCCGGGCGTCGTGCCCAGCATGCGCTTGAGCGAGGCGGCCACGCGCTCAACACGCTCAATGCCGTCGGTTGTCTCCAAGGACTCGTTGCGCAGCACCTGCAGCTCGTCCTCAGACAGCGTAATCGTTTTGAGAATCTTCTCCAGCTCAACGAGCAGGCGCTGTTGATTGGCCTCCTCGACCTTCAGGCCCTCGTTCTCTATCTGAATCTTTCGCACGTCGCCGTCCATCGACTCGAGCTCCAAGCTGTAGAACTTGAGCATTTCGTCCATCCGCTCCAAGTGCGAAATGGCCTGGTCAAGCTCCTGGATCAGCTTCGGGACCTGCGTGTCGGCCTCAAGCATATCACGCACGTTCTCAGACTCGAGCTTGTTCAGTTCACTCATAAGGCGCGACTCAAGCTGTGCCGCGCCAATGTTCGCTCGCCACCCAAATTCACCAACCAGTTCGTCCGCGGAAAGCATGAAGGCCTCATCCAGCAGCATATCCTCGACGTCATCCGCCGCCTCCTCCATATCTTCGCCGTCCATTGCATTATCGACTCCCTCTTCGATAGGTGGCGCGTCCATGGGCACCAACGCCGAGACGTCGCCGCCGTGATCCGCTACGTACTTTGTCATGCGCCGCATCAGGGCGCTCTGGTCGCCTGGACCGCCGCGCGCATTTCCTCGCGTCTGTGGGCGGGCGCGGGCCTGGGCTTCAGTCAAAGAGCCATCCGCTTGCTGCTGCATCAACCTTGGCGGGTCAAACGAGGGCATTGTCGGAACAGAAGGGTTGCGGGTGTGCTGCTGAGCATTCCTGCCATAAACGGTTCTGGGCCTGACAACACTAGCGCTTCCAAAAGGCGTCGACCCCTGGGCTCCTCCGGACACAGTGTTGATGTACCGTGGGGGCTTGAGCGCGTACTTGTTGCAAAAGCTCACCAGCATCTGCACAAACCCCTCGACCAGCACGGCATCGGAGGCGGTGAAGTCGTACTTGTGATTCAGCTGCAGCGAAAATCGCGTCGGCTCTTTGAATTCGATGGCCTTGACCTCGTCCATGGTCCAGGTCTTGCTAATTTCAGCACGATTGTTGTTCATCTTCACCTTGCGCAGCCGCAGTTTCCGGTTGCGCTTGACTGTAATGCACAGCATTCGAGGCTTCGCTGTGCCACTGCCTTTCGAGTTGTCTCGCTCCATGACGCTAATCATGTTGAGCAAACGCTCGTGGCGTGGCTGTTGGCCACCAGAGCTGGCCTTGGCAGCATTCTCTTGGGCAGTCGTGGCCTCAACACCGATAAATAGCTGCTGTCGTAGCACGTCGGCAATGGCCTTGGCCTTTGCCATTTCTGTTTTTGACGTCATGTCACAAAAGCAAAATTAATAATGTAAATAAATGCAAAACAAAAAACAAAAACAAGATGTAAATTTTATTATAATCTCTTGCAAAAGGAGTAAAAAACAGCGCTTGAGCTTTGCGTGTGCGCTGAAGTAAGTGGAGATTGAAATCGAAGTCAGGTCCATTCACTTCATTTTGATACTATCGACATGTGTCCTGAACCCCCGCACTCTTTCTCTCTCCTGAAGCCATTCATCACGTGAAGCGCAGAATTGATTTGATTTCGATATTGGTAAATCAACGATCGGTTTCAAAAGTGCTGATGGTGATACCCAAGCCTTGAGTAGACCTTGAGTAAACCGTTGCTAAGTGCACTTAATTACTCGTTTTTTCTCTGTATTTATCTCGATTCGTGTGCCATTGACATTATACACTTTCAATTCAAACTCTCTTCTTGCACCCGAGTTGTTCATTTTACCTCTACTTTATACCTACATTGATTGCAGCACTAGCACCACTGCGATAAGATAGATACGCACAATGTCGGCACCAAAGGCGATTATACAAATGCTCATGACAGGCACCCGCATTGTTGGCCGGGCATTCGGCGACGCATACAAGCAGGCAGGAGCGAGTAAGTTTATATGTTTTGCATGAGAAGCGTCTTGAAGGGTAGATGCACGAGGCATATTAGCGATATCACACTAACATTGATCTTGCACATGTCCTTTCAATAGACTCAACGGCGGCGCGGGCGGCAGCTGGCAACATGAAGGAGTCTGCGGACGGAGATAGGATGACACAGGCTTCTGGAATCACAGTGGACGAGTCGACCAAGATTTTGAACATTCAGGATCCGAACAACAAGGAGGATATGGTCAAAAAGTTCGAGCACCTATTTGCCACCAACGATCCGAAAAAAGGCGGCTCATTCTACCTGCAATCGAAGATTATTCGCGCTCGTGAACGGATAGAGATGCATTGGGCCCAGGAAAAGCTCAAGGCACAGCAGGAAGCTGCTGGCGAGGCCCCGGCTGAGTCCACTGCACCCGACAGCACCAAGCCCGATGGTCCTCCGTCGGACAGCAACAGCAAGCCCCAATGAGCACTTTATGAAATTTTATCCCTTAAAAAGTATGTGTGCGGCGCGGATAACACCCTATCGCCTCTCCATTGATTGGTGTGCGCGATTTTATTATTTTGTTTTGATTTAAAAAGTAAACATGTAGATGAAGTGGACCAGCAGGTTATATTGCTAAGCACTTTAGTTGTCGAAAATGTATATTATTTTTGTGATGTATGTGCTTTACTTTAATGCCTTTTATTGATTTTATTTTGATTATTTTAGCCATTTGGCTGTGCGAAACTGGTTTAAAACGGGGTGAACGAAGCGAGAAAGGTTTTAATAAATCCGTGAATGGTATTAGTTTGCTTAAACAGATATGCACACTGGCAGTGCACCTAAATGGGGAGTTGGCGTGGTCGTGAATAGTCGTAAAAATATATTAGATAAAAGACGTCTGTCAGATCTGGTCAAGCAAATGGCCTAGATGCATTGAGTTAAAATGGACCCGTTCTAGAACGTGACAAGGCTACCAAGCCCGCCGAACAAGCTGCTGAGTCCATCTGAGAGCCCCTTAAAAAGACCTCCGAGTGGATTGAATGCACCACCATTGGCATTCGCAATATCACCTACAGCGGGCTCAGCTAGAGGGGCGGGCAGAACATTTGCCACGGGGGCAACAGGCGCTGCCAATGTGTACTGTGCTGCGGGGGATACGGGCACCGCCTGAACGTACTGCTCTGCGGGCACCGTCGGAGGTAACAATACCGACTGTGCGGTGGGTCCAGCAATAAAGGTAGCTGGTTGAGCTGGTGCAGTGTATTGACCAGAATTCAAAATTATGGGTGCTACACTTCCATTGAACAGCCTCTGAGCATCTACTTGTGGGTGCTTGGGCATAACAGGAGACACAATGGCAGGAATTGCGGGAAATGCAGGCATATTTAGCGAGGGTAAGTAAGATGTATGCGTTTTCGGAGGAACAGGAAGCACCGGTGCTGGTTGAGCCACAACCTGGTTGGTACTGCTGGCCTCGGTGAGTGCCAGGTCATAAGAAAAAGGAGGGGCAGTGTAAATTGGGGCAGGTACTGGTGCAGAAGCAGGTTCAGGAACGGGTGCAGGAATAGGGACAGGTGCAGGTGTGAGTGCATATACAGGTTCAGTTACGGGTACAGGTGCTTGTGCAGGAGCAGAAACTGAAGTAACAATAGTATCAGTCACTGGCGCAACAATTGGTACAGGTGCAACCACTGGTACTGGTACAGGTTCAGCCACTGGTACTGGTAGAGGTGCAGCCACTGGTGCAGGGACCACTGCAGAAGCCAGTGCGGGTAAATATACTGGCGCAGGTACTGAATCAGCTACAGGTGCAGCCACTGGTACTGGCATAGGCTCAGCAACAGGTTCAACAGTTGGTGCAACAGTTGGAGCCAATGCATAACTGACTGCTGCAATAGCTTGGTCGTAAATTGGGGCCGGTGCTGGTGCTGGTGCTGGTGCTGCAGCGGGCAAAGGTGCTGGTGCTGCAGCGGGCAAAGGTGCTGGTGCTGCAGCGGGCAAAGGTGCTGGTGCTGCAGCGGGCAAAGGTGCTGGTGCTGCAGCGGGCAAAGGTGCTGGTGCTGGTGCTGCAGCGGGCAGAGGTGCTGGTGCAACTGGATACATTGTACTAGCAGTTAACGCGGGCAGAGCATTGGCGGTTGCTGCTTGAGGAAGCACTGCAGCCGGAGTCATTGCATTGATATCTGCAATGTTATCGGTAATACCAGCAACATCACCACCGGCAATGTCAACGTTACCATCAAGAGCCGCAGAAATAACTGGGTCCAGGGCGAAAGCGTCAACAAGCTCGTCGTAAATTGCCGCTTCAAGATCATTAGCCCTGCGGTTATAGCGGGGAGCAAACTGCGGTGGCAGGGCCAGTGTCAGCGCCAGTGTAGCAATGCTGACACAGATAAGGCGCATGTTTGTTTCGGAAGGTCGTTAAAATGATGGTTCTAGAGATGTTTTTAGCTTGTAATAGTGAGGATAATGTTTGTCGTAATAAATGTTGGCGTGGATAGTAGTAGCTGGAGGACAAGAAGGAGAAAAATAGAGGGAAAAATATTTATGTGTTTTGCAAAAGTTTGAGAAACAGGAGTGAAGAGCACGCCATTGCGGATGGAGCTGTGCTGTTAATAAAAGGGCCGACAGTTTTCTGAGTTGGATAATAAACAGCATCAATGAATTCTGTTGTTTTTTTGCTTGATTCAAATTGGAAAATAAGGGAGGCAACTAAACAAAGTGGCGTTTAAACAAGAATATTGCTGTAATAGAAAATTGCCCGTTTAATTTTGTACAATATTGTATATTTTAGATTGACTCGATATCATTTAATCTTTCATGTAAAATGAACAATGCGCACAAAAATAAACAATGTCATTTAATGTGCATCCTCAACATTGCCCAGCAGGAATATAGAAAATAAAATTGAGGGATGTGCTGTTTGACTCGTTTGTTTTGGTGGATTATATAGAACCGGTTCCAGCCATTGTGGCTAGACAACAATGTATTTAACATAAAAACTAGGAGTGGCTTTCTGGCGTACATTTTGGTACCTGCATATATGGGACGTGTAAGCATGAAACCCCTTGGTGCTCTGCATATCACAATTGTACGGCTAGTTGTTCATCATGCCATTTTTGTGATAGAAGTGCGCTCTACTTGTCAATTAATTACGCTGCTTTTTTGTATATTTGCATTTACATATATCAATCTGGTAAGTTCCCTTGTAACATATGAGAAAAGTTAAATTGATTTAGTGTGTTCACATGATATTGATATCATCAGTTCAGATGCTATCTATTGCTAACCAAAAAGCGTTCAACGTGTTGTTTTGCTTTCCTTTTTAAATGACTAACTTTTTGACACATTTTTTATACATGAAGCCACTTGCTGTCACCGTTACTCTTGTTGCTGCTGCTCTTGCCAGAGAGGGGGTTTACCAGGCTGAGCCCATATATGCAGCCTCTGTTCCGGATGGAGTTAACCTGGCACCCGCTAGCAGTAATAAAATACCGGCACCTGTGCCAGCTCACCCTATCATCGGTCCCACATCTGCATCCAGGGTGACCAACATAGCTGTTGAACCAGTTTGTGCTGCCTTAGTCATAGCGCCTGTACCAGCAACTCCAGCTTTTGCCTCGATTTACAATTGGCATACACCTACACCCCTTTTAGACAGACAGGTTCATGATTTAGAACCACTCTTTGTTGCCCACGTTTATCTGCCTGTGCCTACTCTTAAAACTTTGCTCCTGCCTCTGTCTCCGGGCTATGCTGCTGCTACTATTGGCAGTATTTTTAAAGACACGACTCCTGGACCTACCTCTGAATACGCCGCTATCGTACATGTTCCTATGCCCGCGCATATCCCGGATAGTGGCTATTTGGCTTGTTACTGAGCTTGAGTCAATTTCCTTTTTGCGTACAGCGACTGCTTTCAAACCTGCAACTGCAAATGCAACCCGATTGCACATTAATGTTCTGTTTAATATATTAAGGTGGCAATCTCGTAATTACATAATTTGTTTCGAATAAATTGTCACTAATTGCAATTGATGCAAGCCAGCTGACAAGGCTATCTTCTGACAAGTGAGAAATAAATTTTGAGTTTTTCGTTTATCAATGACAGACAGACTGTAACATTGCACGCTATTTTCTCTTTTCTTTCTCCTTATTTTCCCTCTTTATATCATCTTTTGTGTTCTTTGGCGTTGTATAATTTTCTTTTTTTAAAAAATAAATACGACTGCAAATGTGTACGCCCCACGCTGCTCGAGCATTTTTTGATGGACACAAATTGATACTGCTATAAAGCTTGCCGCTCATGCTTAGCAGCGGAAATGCCAAGAACTTGTGACTTCAATTTTTTTAATTGTGAGCAAGAGCAAGGACAAAAACGAATGGAAAATATAAATGAATGGAGTGGGAGTCAGGGCTGCAGCACCTTGTTGCCCAAATGATACTTAGCTGCTCATATATAAAGCTCGTCGTTTTCCCCTCTCCATTCTTCTTTCGCAACCGTTTTATTAATTATCCCCCACTTTGGCTTTGTATTATCCTTCTTTCTCCTTTGTCCAGACCCGGCCTCACCCATCTTTATCTGCTCCATTTCGCCGTTCCTCCCTATAGCCATACACGATGCAAGCAAGCAAGATATATTTTTCTATTGCAGGGTTGTCCGATGCTGATGAACAAGACACTTTGTAGCCGCATTCGGCGGTGGCTGTTTGCCTTGTTTCTTCCTTATGTGTTATGTGGTGTACTTGCCTATCTCTATCCGCCCCTTTCTGCCTATGTTCGTCCCGATATCCACACTAAGCATGTTGGCATTTGCCAGTTAGAACTGTCCAACGGCTTGCCATGCTTTCTATATTTTCTTACCACTTCATTAGCCCCGTCTTTTATTTCCCCGCCGACAATTACCGCTGCCCTAGTGTTTTTCAGAACATTATATCGTCACCACATTTTTTCTTCCGACAGCGCCGTCTTTTCTGCCATCATTCAGAGCGTGCAATCCCATCATCAGCTGTAGCATTGTAAGAGTGTTATTCGCATGATGCTTTATTTCGATTTGCATCACCCGACATGTACATTTTCCGCCTTTGAATCGTCTCGTGTTTTAGAGTCACAGCATGCCCCCCTATCTGCGTACATCTTACCCACACATTCGTCGCTGTTTCAGTTTTTCTGTCGAACGTGCGGTCACGAGCCAACTGGTGCAACACTATCTTTGAATAGAGACAGTTTATCAGGTTGCACCCGCCTGAATATCAATCCTTGCCGGTGCAAGGTGCAAAATTTCCGGTAGATAGAATTTTCATAATGTTTATTTTCTCTGTTGCTTGTGATGATGCTATTTGTGACTGTTGATGCCCATTGTGTGTATTTGTATATATTTGAGGGTAGAATTTCCATGTATATGTGTGGGTGTATATTATTATTATAGATTTGTTTGTCCTGTGCGCGAAAGAGGACGATGCAGCAATGTTGAGGTCGCTGATATGAAAAGGCAATGTCCACACTGATCAAGCAAGACGCGGGAATGAATTTGGTCCCAGACGTAGTATCCGAGCGAGAATTATGAGAGCGATCATCTTCCAGAGATGAAGACATACCCCACCAGAACTCTGAGAATTTTGACAAGACCCATCAGATTATCCAGGATCTTTACTATGGATGGGGATATAGCGATTCAAGCGCAAGCGCAAGCGCAAGCGCAAGCGCAAGCGCAAGCGCAAGCGCAAGCGCAAGCGCAAGCGCGCATAGAACAACGATTGGTGACCAATAATGGAAGAAGAAGAGAGCGCAGCTGGTGATGTAGATGGTTAAACTACTGGTGTATAGGCCGTCGCAGTTGGTATTGTGCGTGAAATTGGCAGCAAATGTGTTCCTGGGAGAGCGTTGTTTCTTTTTGTATTTTGTATTTTTTCTCTTTTTCCTTTTCCTTTTTTTTGGTTGTCGTTTAGTTGTCGCCGGTACTTTTTTGTATTTTTCGGTTTCAGAATCGGGTCGAGGTCAAGGTCGAGGTTGGGGTGGTGGTATCGACAAGGGACGAGTTCGCGGGCAGTGGGCGATCGACGATGGGCGCGGGGCGGCGGTCAGTGGACGGCGGTCAACGGTCGACGGTTAACAAGGGTTGAGGAGGAAATTGGCAGCAAGACAAGCAAGCTCAAGTTCAAGTGAGAGGATATCAAGGTGTTTCAGTTGGGCCATGGATCGAGTCCAATATTCGGGCAGCATAATCGACAGTTGCAGTTGCAAAGCTGCAAAAAAGTTGGGATTGCTCGATATATATTTTATATCATTGGTGTGTGGGGGTTTGGACGGGCGGTGGGATGGTGGGCAATATAACCTTTAAGAAAAGATTTGATTTCTGAGCTATTTTACGCTCTCAATATAATATCCCGGTTTCAAGCTCAATCAAGATCAACAGATCAGCGAAAAATCTTTGTACTGGAGTATATTGTCTTTTCTTGTTAGGCACAAATTATTTGCTCAAAAAACATTAAAAAAATGAGCAAAAAAATAATGGCAGCGAAAAATCAGAGTGAGTATTAATGCGTGGCGCACGCATCCCCAAGACTGGTTCTTTCTCTTAAACCAGCGGAGTATATTTTCTTATTATAACTAGCATCCATCACAATGGTGAGTATCAGAACGCATCGCGAATAGGACAGCATTGGCGAATCCATTATGGCAGCGTATCCATTGAAGGAATTAGGCGTCTGTGCGTGATAGCTTAAAAATTGAATTTTGAAAATGTGCAAATTTGCTAATTCCCAAAATTCGAATTATATTATTTGTGAACAACCACTATAGCCCTTCGTTAAGCTCCAGAAGAACAAGGCTTACTTCAAGCGCTACCAGGTCAAGTATCGTCGTCGCCGTGGTAAGTAAATCGCCGTTGTGCGCGGTTTCTATTCTTGAAGCTGGTAGTTACCTGTATGATGATTTAAAAGTATAGTTCATCCGAGATCATTTGGCCACCAACGTGTGCGTCATTTGCTGAGGATTTAAAGCAAAATTAGTCTTTCGCTCCTATCTGAACCTTAACGCCAAATTCAACCGCACTTTGTATTGTGCATTCGACCCGAATCTGCGAATCTCACAACCAAGATTACACAGCAGCACCGAAACTAATCACAATTTGACGTTTATCTATGTGCACTGAATAGAGGGCAAGACCGACTACTTTGCCCGCAAGCATCTGCTTATCCAGGCCAAGAACAAGTACAACGCCCCCAAGTACCGTCTGGTTGTCCGTTTCACCAACACTGACATTGTCTGCCAGGTTGTCCACGCCAAGATTCAGGGTGACTTTGTCCTCGCTGCTGCCTACTCGCACGAGCTCCCCAAGTACGGTGTCAAGGTTGGTCTGACCAACTGGGCTGCCGCCTACGCTACCGGTCTGCTGGTTGCTCGCCGTGTTCTTGTCAAGCTTGGTCTTGACCAGAAGTACGAGGGCTTCCCCGAGATTGACGGCTCCATCCAGGAGGTTGAGGCTATCGAGGACGGACCCCGCCCCTTCAAGGCTTTCCTTGATGTTGGTCTCCGCCGCACCACCACTGGCTCGAAGGTCTTTGCTGCCATGAAGGGTGCCTCGGACGGTGGTATTTACATTCCCCACTCCGAGCGTCGCTTCCCCGGTTACGATGTTGAGTCCAAGGAGCTCGATGCCGAGACCCTCCGCGACTACATTTTCGGTGGCCACGTTGCCGAGTACATGCGCAGCCTGAAGGAGGAGGATGAGGAGCGTTACAGCTCCCAGTTTGCCCGCTTCATCAAGGCCGGTGTTGCCGCCGATGACCTCGAGGAGATGTACGCTGGTGCCCACAAGGCCATCCGCGCTGACCCCACCTTCGTTGCCACCGAGAAGAAGGCCGATGCTCCCCGTCGCCACAAGACCCCCGCCCTCAACTCCAAGCAGCGCAAGGACCGCGTTCGCCAGAAGATCGAGGCCTTCAAGCGCGCCCAGGTTTAAATGCCTTGCGTTGCGACAATGGTACTGCCGCAGTGAGCCCTCCCCCTGTTCAATCCATCATTTTGGACGACATTAAACCATACTGCGATGTGGTTTACTCCGCCTTGTTCCATCTGCGCGCCCCCCCCCCGTTTTTGGGGTTGCGTGTCACGACGAATTTTGCGTTGCAGTGTTTAAGTTTTCCTGTAAAATACGATAATACAAAAGAGCTCATCAACCAACTAACCAAAAGAAACTTTAAAAATTGAATATTAATATTTAAATATTAGTATCGATATTCGAGCTGAGCGATTTTTGGAATATTACAATAATCCTCGACCAGCGCAGGGAGGGGAGTTTGTCGAATGTTGTAGGTACTACATTAATGAAAACAGATTTTGTAATTTCCAGACATTTATAGCGAAAGCCCAAATTTTTAAGCAGGGGGTTTTCAAAACCCGTTTTCCCAGTTTTTTAGCCTAAAAAATCAGAAATCCCAGGATTTTGAAGATGCGGGGAAGTATTTAGCGTTTGTGTATGATTGGTGCTTTGACTGTGAAGCAAACGTGACGCTTAACGATATGATTATATTCATCTAATTCCGTCGCAGGTGCAACCACCGCCGACGCCGCATTTATTATTGACAGTGCGCAACAGAGTCCGACCAGTGGATGCCTGTTCGCCCACAGTCTGCCGATATCATCCGGTGGATAGGGGAGGAAAAGGGTTGGTCGCGGGGGCAAAATCGAGCGTAAAATCAGACAGAGGATATGCGATGAGTTGGCCGCACAGCAACAGCAGCAGCAGCAGCAGCAGGTAGCTTGCAACAGGCGTTAATACAATTCTGGAAGTAGAAAAACTTTGCCAAATTTTATGCCACAGCTTGCTTCAGTGCACAATGGAAAACTGCCTGCAAATCTTCAGGGCCGACAGAACTAATATTAAAAATGGCAAAAAAAGTGCCATCAGGCAGATGGAAGTGGAATCATGACATGGCTGTGGTGCTAAACTTTCGCATAATCCCTAATGCCCTGCTTAAAGGCGAGCGCCCTCCCTGTTTCTTGCGCAATAATGCATTGCCAGAGTCGGCTGAGGCCGAGTCTACAGCGACGCTCAAACCAAAGCCCAAGCTTAAGCGTGTGCGCAAGAATCCATCTGCCCATGCTTCTTCTCTTTAAAAGAGGCAGCAAACTGTTTAATATCGTCAATCATAGTGGTATATTGCCACTGGTTTCTAAATACTTTTTAGGTTGCTATTCAATCTGTGGGAAGGATGTCGATTTGCAGCATACTTGTAGCTTCGTTCTTTTCTTATAGTCTAATCGAGAGTACTACTGATTCCCCTGGGTATGTATGCCCCTCGGGCCGTTGACGACTACTCCGAGAGCGAACTCTTATCTATAACAGCTTATTAAGTGTCGCTTTTCCAACATCATTATCGAGTCATGGCTGAAACCCGCCGAATGACACCCAGAAAAGTTGGTACTTTTAGCAATAATGTTTTCATATTTTGCGCTCAAGCTGTAAACAGCTGTAGACAGCTCTTTCAAAATGTTAAAGTTTGTTGAAATTATAATGTTATTTTTTATACAGCAGGTAAGAATAATAATGCATAAGGAAAGGCAATTTTAGTACCGATTTAGACGCAGCCCTGGTGGATCATGGCCTCAGCGACCTTGAGGAAACCAGCAATGTTGGCTCCGGCCTGAATGTCACCCTTAAGGTTGTAGGTGGTGGCGGCAGCCAGCGAGTTGTCAAAGATATCCTTCATAATCCTCTCGAGCTGGGAGTCGACATCTTCGCGGGTCCACTGGAGACGCTGCGAGTTCTGGGCCATCTCCAGACCAGAAACGGCAACACCACCGGCGTTGGCAGCCTTTGCGGGGCCGAACATGACGCTGGCGCTCTTGTAGATCTCGATGGCCTCGTTGGTCGAGGGCATGTTGGCGCCCTCAAAGACACCCTTGACGCCGTTGGCAACCAGGACCTTGGCGTCGGCCTCGTCGATCTCGTTCTGAGTGGCCGAAGGGAAGGCCAGGTCAGCAGAGACCTCCCAGGGCTTCTTGCCCTCGAAGTACTGGGCGCTCTCGGAGAAGGCGCAGTACTCGGAAATGCGCACGCGCCTCACGTTCTTGAGCTCCATGACGTGCTCAATCTGCTCCTGGGTAAAACCGTTGGGCTCGAGGATGTAGCCGTTCGAGTCGGAGAAGGTGATGGGGACGGCGCCAAGCTGCAGCAGCTTCTCGGCAGTGTACTGGGCGACGTTGCCCGAGCCGGACACGACACAGCGCTTGCCCTCGAGGGACTCGCCCTTGTATGCAAGGTAGTTCTTGGCAAAGTAGACGCAGCCGTAGCCGGTGGCCTCGGGGCGGATGAGGGAGCCTCCCCAGCGGAGATCCTTGCCAGTCAGCACACCAGTGAAGTTGTTAGCAAGACGCTTGTACTGGCCGAACAAGTAACCGATCTCTCGGCCACCAACGTTGATGTCACCGGCAGGCACATCAGTGTCAGAGCCGATGTGGCGGAAGAGCTCGGTCATGAAGGACTGGCAGAAGGACATGATCTCATTGTCGGAGCGGTCGCGGGGGTTGAAGTCGGAGCCACCCTTGCCCGAGCCCATCATCAGGGTGGTCAGGGAGTTCTTAAAGGTCTGCTCAAAGGCAAGGAACTTGACCACCGAAAGGTTGACGGTGGGGTGGAAGCGCAGACCGCCCTTGTAGGGACCGAGAGCAGAGCTCATCTGGACACGGAAACCACGGTTGACCTGCTGGACACCCTTGTCATCGACCCAGGGGACGCGGAAGATGATCTGACGCTCGGGCTCGACCAGGCGCTCAAAGGCCTCGAGGTACCGGATGTCCTTCTCGAAGACGGGGGTCAGAGACTCAAAGACCTCATCGACGGCCTGGAGGAACTCCTTCTGCTCGGGATCACGGCGGAGGATCTTGGTGCGGACAGCGCTGATCTTCTCGGCGGCGACGGACATGATTTAGAGTATTAGATGTGTGTAAGAAAAAAGTACAAGTGGGTATAAGAAAATGAGTCTCTTGGAGATTAAGAGAGTCGAGATAACTGTTATTAAATTGAAGTTGGTTGTCTGCGTGCTGAATATTGCTGATGTGGTGAGGGGGAAGGAAAATGGACGGTCTTTATATAGTCGCGGCCCCGAGGCCTTGCGCGCATTCTTGCATTTAGAAGGAAAATGGCGCGCAAGTGACAGGATAGCCTAGATAGGCAGAAATCAATTTCTACTCTTTGAACAAAATATGGCTGGCAAAAGCGCACACTGCTAGCAAAGGCCGGAAAGAGCGCGCAAATAGCAACTGTTGCGCATCAGATGGGCCTTTCCCGTGGCCGTGCGCCTATTTGCCAATTGTTCCGTTGTACAGGTTGTTTACCGCCCTCAGGCATTATTGGAGTACTGCATGCGGCAAGGACGCTCGCGATTGGGAGTGACACAACAATTTTTGGAGACACTGATGGGCGGGACGGAGAGTGTGTGACCAACCCGCCCCCCAGGATTTTTATTTTGCTTTCCCACTGGCATGTGGAAGAAGCGCAGTGGTTTTTTTTTGGCGGTTATTGCCCTTTTGCAACTAATTGGCCCTCAGTCGGGTGCAATCGATAATCACAGACCAATCTTTAATTCCGTGGGACTGTCTTTTTACTTGGTCGGGCGTTGATAACAGGCTTCAACCTGCTATTAGCTCCGAGCCTGTGAGCCAAGAAAAAGTACGCCGACAGGTATGGAATATTGACCAGTGGAAACAACTAATTTCCACAGCCCACAAAAGCTGTAAAATGGTATTCTAAAGATAATAGGTGGCGGGGCATGGTTCGTGCGCTCTCATTTCGGCGTGTTTGCGCTCAAGCCGCCTTGCTCGCGTCCAAAGTAAACCAAAGCGGGGCGTGCACGTTCTAGGTGCTCTGTGAGAGCAGCAATAATCAATGGTGCCGGGGGTTGCCGGAATGGCTGTGTTTGTCTGCTTAAATTACAGCTAGGGCAGGGCCGCCCAAAATAGTCCGGAGATTTTCGGAATAAGCGCAAATAACTATGTCATTCTTGCTTTTCCTCCGCAAATACTGTCAAGCGATATGCCGTTTGTGGGCTGCTCCCACCCAAAAGAAGATAGCAACTGCCTATTGCGGAAAGCTGCACATTACAAGTGACTATATTCTTAGTGTAAGCCAGCAATCGAAGCGCAGCTATTTGCTGCAATTCGAGTCCAATGTTGCGGGTTACAATTTTTTTGATAGGCGGGGGACATGTGGATTCTACCGGATAGACATTTCCGAGGTATGCGCACACTGCTACTTTAATCGCAACCGATCCATTGGCTGGCGCAGCAGACCAGAGATAGCCAAAAGGCTGGGATGGAAACAGACTCGCTTCTTTTTTGTGGTCGGTGCAGCCCAGCCACCTAAAATAGCAGACAATCTAGTTCCACATTTTTGGAAATTTCAAATATTTGCCCACGCGTCGCGCCGCATGACTCGCGATCTGGCACGATACGAATGACGATTCTTCCCCTGTTTATTTGTGCTGCCCTCGAGCAAATAGATGCGCTCTGATAACAGCATACGCCCAGAAAAACGCTATCGCAAAGCAATCGGTGTTAATATTTGTTCTGGGCTAGCGAGAGTCAATACAATCGAAACATCGATAAGTCATGAGATAATGCGCAATGGATGCAAGGCTAAACCTGTATTGATATCTGTGACAAGCGACGTCATTCTTACGGATTATTCCGGCTGCGTGGCTGCAAGCTGGGAAAAGAGGGGTGAGGTTGAAACGCCCAGGCAACCCTCCTTCCTATCCTCGCTTCGGCGTCCCAGCACCATTCTGGACACATCTTTGATGCTAATTGCCCAACATGTATTGCATATTTGCACCACCTGAAGTGCGCTGTTTACAATAATGATAGCTTGCGCTCCTCTACCTCGCATTTTCCCGCCGAAGCTCTGGAATGTATAAATACTGCCGTCGCCGGCCTATTCTCCAAAGCTTAATCAAGGATAGCCAAAAAAAACTTTAAATTTTCAATCACTCGGGCTCATGCCACTAATCTGCTCAGCATCTACGCACACTCCACGGCTTTTCGAGCCTCAGCATCATGCATACTGCTAAGCTCAACTGTCGTTATCGGCCGCCATCTGCGCGCGCTTAGTGGCTACAGGGCTGGGTGAGATGCTGTCACCGGTGCCCGTATATTGCGCCCGCTTCAACGGATTGTTCTCACTTACCCCTGCATGATTTGGGCACTCGGCGATAATCATCAGGGGGCGCCTAACGATAATCATCAGGGGGCGCCTAAGTGTGCGCGTCACATTTTTCCACCAGCGCACCGTCAGCGGCGCATTTTTCTCCATTTCAACAGAAACAAACATCGGAATAAGGGGAGGCAGTGACTGCGAGAGTCGATAAGCACTGGGATGACATTCTTGGCCCATCGCTCCGATCGTTATCAGCGACATCGGCAGCAGTGGCAGCGGCAGCGGCAGCAGGCGTTTTCATGCGAATACTCGTGTTATTGTCCACAACTCCGCCAAAACGCTATTCCATTATTTTGATGAGAGCAATTCCTTTTTTATTTGGCGCTTTGCTTGCAGCACCTCCTCGGCGTTAATATTTTTCCAGATTGGGGCCATTGCGAGTGTTGGATCGATTGCACATCACCAGCCTGTTTTCCAGACTCCCGCAACGAAGAATAAATAAACAGGAGCTGGGCAGGATTATGCACGCAACACAGAGATTGCAGCCGCAATGCAGGCCAGCGAACAATCTGGCTCCTCCTGGTAAGTACCAATTGTTTTTTATTGCGAAGCACATGACCTGCAAGCATTTCTATTTGTCTTTATCGATCCATCTTGCTGCTCCTTCACACCTCAGATGACGCACGGATAGTGCCTGAGGTCTTGTGGCCTGATACTAAACCGGGTTTGTTTCTTCCCACCATGCCCGTCGCCCACGCACTATTTTTTCTTTTGAAAAAAAGCGGCATTGACGATTGGCCCGTAAAACAGCGAGCGGTAAACGATGCGAGTGCGCTTTTACACAGGTATTCCCGAAAGGACAACAACAAGGAAGGAGGCCAGTATTTTTGTTTTCACAATCTCCACAAGATCGCTAGCGCCTTGCGTGCACGCTGAATTCCATTTGTAATTTTGCTGCCATCGATTCGGGATTTTCGTGCGGACAAGGCCATCGCATTGCATCTTTGTCTTTACCAAATCCGTCTGACTGGCTTGGGCAGTGCTGATATTCGCGGATGGTCTGATCAGCGCTCATCGGACATGGTCGGAATGCATTCAGTATCGGTATGCACGAGCACAGAGCACGGCTCTGACCATATGTAGCCCATGCCCAGCCAGGTAAGACAATGTATAGTTTCATTTGAGTATATTGTACAATATTATGGTGGTGGTGGTAGTGTGCATGGGCCATACATATGCCCAGCTCCCACTGTCGATTATCAGTTCTCGCATTTAGGTACAAAAAGGGCATAGTTATCTGAGCGTCAGGCCAACCAGATTCAAACAGGTTACTGTTATGTGTGGCCTGTGCTCAAACCAACTAAAATACGCGCTGCGTATTTATATTTAAACAGCATTTTTAAATTTGCCTTCAAGCTGTCTGCACATTCTAGCACGCGTTCACATTTCTATTGTGTTCATTAAATCGGTTTTATACATTTATTTTTTATCCAATTAAACATATCAATAAACCGAATAAAAATCTAAACCTGACATCAATGATCAAGTGGAAAAATTGTGTTGGTCACATCGCCTTTACTGAAAAAAATATTTTCATATAAGAGCGCCGTTATTTGAGGTTTACAAATGAGGATGGTATATATTGGATATGCAGTAAAATGCGATAATGTGTGATTATAGATAATTTAGCGCTTGGATATATATATATACATGCAGGCGGAAAAATGGGTGCTTAGTAGTGAGGGGCACTGGCCTGGTAGGCGGGCTTGGGGACCTCAACCTGGGGAGCAACATAGGCGGGCTTGTCCTCGTAGACAGGCTTGACCTCAACCTTAGGGGCAACGTAGGCGGGCTTGTCCTCGTAGACAGGCTTGACCTCAACCTTAGGGGCAACGTAGGCGGGCTTGTTCTCATAGACAGGCTTGACTTCAACCTGGGGAGCAACATAGGCGGGCTTGGGAGCAACATACTCAACCTTGGGGGCAACGTAAACGGGCTTGGCCTCGTAGACAGGCTTGACCTCAACCTTAGGGGCAACGTAAATGGGCTTGTTCTCATAGACAGGCTTGACTTCAACCTGGGGAGCAACATAGGCGGGCTTGGGAGCAACATACTCAACCTTGGGAGCAACGTAAACGGGCTTGGCCTCGTAGACAGGCTTGACCTCGACCTTAGGAGCAACGTAAACGGGCTTGTTCTCATAGACAGGCTTGACCTCGACCTTAGGAGCAACGTAAACGGGCTTGTTCTCATAGACAGGCTTGACCTCGACCTTAGGGGCAACGTAAACGGGCTTGTTCTCGTAGACAGGCTTAACCTCAACCTGGGGAGCAACATAGGCGGGCTTGTTCTCGTAGACAGGCTTAACCTCAACCTGGGGAGCGACATAGGCGGGCTTGGCCTGATAGGAAACCTCGCCAGCGATGACAGCAACAGCAAGAGTGGCGATAGCGGCGAAAGTCTTCATGGTTGGAAAATGTTGGATGGTTTTGAGATTTAAGGAGTGTACGGAAAACGAGAGATAATAGGATGGAATATTGGGGGAAATGTAACAGCTAAGGATATAAAGATGCCACTTTGATGGTGTCGACTCCAGGTGCTCATTTTATAGAGCGATTTGGCCTGCTTGTGTGCGTATGTCGCTGAACCTTGTAAATCTTACATCCCTGCTGCCATGTTGTTTGTGCTAATAATAATATTATCTGGCTTGTGCACCTTTTGTCTGATGTGAACAGCAGGGGGAAACTATTGTTTTCTGGAATGTCGCCAGCAATGCAAAAGGTCTTTGCAAATATGCACTCCAAATTCAGGTATTGAAGCTATATTAAAAGCCACCGCTAATCATAACAATGGCATAATAGCACACGCCAGATACTATACTTATCACCATCCCTGTTTCAATAGTCGAGACATGTTATTTAGCAGCGCAGCCACCAATAATGGCATTTGAAACCCAACAAAACAATGTTGCACATTCAATATAAATTAATTGTCCCATCTAGCCCATTGTCCAATATGTGATTATGTGGCGTGGAATCCACAATGAATCAATCAACCAAATACAAAAAACAAAATTTTATATTGTTTCCTATTAATATATTTTATTTGACTTATTGTTTCGCCAGTCTATTTCTCATCATATGGCCAGAAACAGATTGTTCTCAGAAGTATAATTTACCAAAAAAAATATTATTGAATTTATTTGTCTCATAGAGGGGATACGCCACTTTATTGAAAATTCCATCATATTAATGCATCAAATAGATGATACATGAAATTGCAATGTTTCCGCTCCCAAATATATTATTGTATTATTCTTGCCTTGGCTTGGTTATTTTCTGTTTTCGACATCCAAAATGTTTAATTTAGAGAGTAAATGATACAATATAATCATTATCGCTGGGAAATTAATTTAAATTCATTGGAACTTGTATATAAACATGATAATTTAATATGCAGGAGCATGAATGAGAAGTAATGAAAAATGAACCAATATTAATATGAAAATCCATTAAATTAGTTGACAATTGCCTTGGGCTTGAAGCCAGCGGCGTTTCGCACAGCAGCCTTCTTGTGCTTGATAATGTGGCGAGTATGCTTGACACCATGCTTGATGCCAGTATGGGCCTTGTGCACAACCTTCTTAATATACGTGGGGCTGGAGGCACTGTAGGCTTGGGTTTGTATGGGAGCTGAGGAGATGGAAGCAATGACACTACCGTAGGTGGCAGGAGCAGGGGCAGCCTCAGAAGTCGGCGTGGGTGCAGGAGCAGGGGCCAGTGCAGGGGAGTAGATAGGGGCTGGAGCAGGGGAGTAGACTGGAGCTGGAGAAGGGGAGTAGACTGGAGCTGGAGAAGGGGAGTAGACAGGAGCTGGAGCAGGGGAGTAGACTGGAGCTGGAGTAAGGGAGTAAACAAGAGCTGGAGCAGGTAAAACCTCAGAAGTGGGAGCAGGGGAGTAGACAGGGGCTGGAGCAGGGGAGTAGACTGGAGCTGGAGAAGGGGAGTAGACTGGAGCTGGAGAAGGGGAGTAGACTGGAGCTGAAGTAAGGGAGTAGACAGGAGCTGGAGCAGGTGCAACCTCAAAAGTGGGAGCAGGGGAGTAGACAGGGGCTGGAGCAGGGGAGTAGACTGGAGCTGGAGAAGGGGAGTAGACTGGAGCTGAAGTAGGGGAGTAGACTGGAGCTGAAGTAAGGGAGTAGACAGGAGCTGGAGCAGGTGCAACCTCAGAAGTGGGAGCAGGGGAGTAGACAGGGGCTGGAGCAGGGGAGTAGACTGGAGCTGGAGAAGGGGAGTAGACTGGAGCTGAAGTAGGGGAGTAGACTGGAACTGGAGTAAGGGAGTAGACAGGAGCTGGAGCAGGTAAAACCTCAGAAGTGGGAGCAGGGGAGTAGACAGGGGCTGGAGCAGGGGAGTAGACTGGAGCTGGAGAAGGGGAGTAGACTGGAGCTGAAGTAGGGGAGTAGACTGGAGCTGGAGTAAGGGAGTAAACAAGAGTTGGAGCAGGTGCAACCTCAGAAGTGGGAGCAGGGGAGTAGACAGGGGCTGGAGCAGGGGAGTAGACTGGAGCTGGAGAAGGGGAGTAGACTGGAGCTGGAGAAGGGGAGTAGACTGGAGCTGAAGTAAGGGAGTAGACAGGAGCTGGAGCAGGTGCAACCTCAGAAGTGGGAGCAGGGGAGTAGACAGGGGCTGGAGCAGGGGAGTAGACTGGAGCTGGAGAAGGGGAGTAGACTGGAGCTGAAGTAGGGGAGTAGACAGGAGCTGGAGAAGGGGAGTAGACTGGAGCTGAAGTAAGGGAGTAGACAGGAGCTGGAGCAGGTGCAACCTCAGAAGTGGGAGCAGGGGAGTAGACAGGGGCTGGAGCAGGGGAGTAGACTGGAGCTGGAGAAGGGGAGTAGACTGGAGCTGAAGTAGGGGAGTAGACAGGAGCTGGAGAAGGGGAGTAGACTGGAGCTGAAGTAAGGGAGTAGACAGGAGCTGGAGCAGGTGCAACCTCAGAAGTGGGAGCAGGGGAGTAGACAGGGGCTGGAGCAGGGGAGTAGACTGGAACTGGAGTAAGGGAGTAGACAGGAGCTGGAGCAGGTGCAACCTCAGAAGTGGGAGCTGGGATTGGAGCATGGGAGTATGCAGGGGCAGGAGCAGGCATTGGAGTGGAATGATTGTATGCCTCAACATAGGTTGATGTGGGAGCGACACTACCAGATGAAGAGATAATCAGGGTTGAGTAAGCTGTAGATGAGCTGGAAGTAACCTCATTGGTGACTGAGGTGGGGGAAATTGAGCCATAGTTGGTGGTGGGTGCTATGGTTGTTGAAGTGGGTTCAACAGAGCCAGAGTTATAAGTGGCATATCCATAAGTAGGGCCAGCAAAGGTCGAGGTAGGAGCCATGGAGCTGGTTGTGGGAGGAATATAGGTTGAAGTAGGGGCAACAGAGCTTGAGCCCAATGCACTTGAGTATTTAATAGCATACTTAGGGGCAGGGGCAGGAGCTGTAGCAGGAGCTGGCATAGGTGCAGGGGCCGGTGCAGGGGTGAATACAGCATAGTGTGTGGGAATTATGGTTTGCTCCTCACTTGTCGGCTCACCAGACTTCGAGTAGCTGTGAGGTGCAAGGGCATCCTCATATTCAACCATGCTTGAGTTACCAGAAGCAATATCTGAGTTGGCCTCAGCATTGTCGTTGTCCTCCGAGTCATCTTTAGCACTGGCATTATACCCTTCAGCCTCAGAGTCGTTGTTAGCAGGGGCAGAGTATTCGACACGGGCGTGAGCAACACCAACAGGGTGGTTGTGCATATTTGCCTGGTGGAATGCAATGACGATGGTCGAAGCAGGCTCCATGGCAGCCGAAGCTGTGGCAGCAGCAGTGACCAGGGCAATCAAAGCTGAGACAGAAAAGGTGGTTTTCATAGTCGTAATAAAATGCAAGTGTTAATAAATTATGCACAGAAAATGTTAATTTAAATATGTATATGTGCTTCTGGCCAATATAGGCGATATGCAATTATGAATAAATGATGAGGGATGAACCAAAAATGAAGTATGCAAAATGAGAATAATATGCAGGAGTAGAGCCTTGTGATGATAAAGTATTTAAAAGTGAAAATCTGCAGAATCATCAACAGTCTTTATATACGAATAGTTCTAGCGTTTCAAGCATGTAGCTTCGTGTTGGAAGACCATCACACCATTGTATTTCTGTGGGGTCTTATTTTTATATTAATCTTTGAATCAGCGACTGGCATCGCGCTTGCAAATATTAAATTACAATTTAACCCTTTTTAGTCTCTAACAAAAAATAGCAGATCTGGCGATACGGGGATAATATTTTTAAATGTACCCGCATCAATTCAGTACAGGGTTTTAATTTAGCTGTTATTTAGATTTAGATTTCGCGATTTCTCCGCACATCTTATTTTGTGGGAGTAAGATCACTCCATATAAAAGCTATTTGGTATTTTTCAAACATTAAAGTGCAAATAAATGTATTTTTTAAAACCAAACCCAATATCAGAATCAAAACACATTTTACACCTACATTTGCGCCGCCAGCCGAATTTACAATTGATCTGTTGTTTTATAATATGCAAAACGAACTGATGTAAAAATAAATACATTTTGGTTTGCATGTGCAATGTTGAAACATTACATATTCAATGTTCAGTATTGCAACATACAGCTATTTTGCAAAATAAAATATAAAATTGGATACTTTTATTACGTATGGCCGAGCTCTTGAACAATATTTATAATTGTTTCAACGAGTCCGAATCCGCTGACCAAAAGGCCAAACACCAATAGCGATGACAAGCCAACAAGCGAAGCTTTGCTACAATTTCTCCAGCCTTTCAGCTTGACATAGCACGCAATGGGCGCAAGGTATATTAGCACGGGATTTGTCAGAGCGCCGATTAGAGTAATGACCTCATCGAAAAACGGCAGGGCCTCGGCTATTCCCAGAATTATCAGTACAGAACCGATTCTAATGCCAAATCGCCAAATACGCTCCATTTTCTTTCCCTTGCTCGATATGCCCAAGCCGCCTTCAATTTCCAGTGCCATTTGTACCAGATAAAGTGGGCCCGCAAACAAAACATGTATTGTTATACAGATGTTTGCCAGTGTTGTCGGCCAAACTACAAAATATTAAATGAAAAAGATTGATAAACAAAAATGCACGCACACACGCACAAAGTCGCCTGTGATTTAGTAAAACAATTTAAACAACAATGAATTTCCATATTCAACACATGTGTGAGTGCACCCATTGTACAATCTACTTACGCTTTGGAAAATTAAGTGTTATTGGCGACTGTGTGAAACTGCCGTATGCCCAATAACCCGTGGTTGCCATGACCACGTATATTGAGGCGATAACAAACATCGCCAGCCCAAACACCCTGTTAAACTTTTCCGGCTGCCGCATGCCGCCCTCGATATGTGGCACAATGGTTGTGCCGAGATACGCAAACGTAACCGAAGACAGCGATACAGCAAATCCGCCAGGAATAGCGCCAAAGTGCGAGATAGCCCCCGTGTGTGTGACTGTATTCCCCACATACACGTTTTCGCCTCGAATTGGATACACACATGCCATGACTATCACAGCGAGCGTCACAATTACTGATGTTGCAGTGCCAATTATGCTGACCAGCAGTGTCTCGGCCAAAGTCTTGGCAAACAATGTCGGCGCACACATTATTACCATGCTGATTATCATTAGCAGGCGTGGACTGACATTCATGCCAACTTGAGCAAACAAGTCCGAGGTGTTGGTGGCAGACAATATCGCATATATGCCCACAGAGCCCATGATGTTAAGCATATTGAAGACAGTGATTGTGTAGTACCCGATACGCCCAAAGGCCGCGTGGCCTATATCATGGTATCCAGCTAATCTTCCGCCACCACTAAAAATTAAAAACATATAAGAATAATTACAAAAGTTAATTTATGTCCAATATATAGTCAAATTTTGACAAATCAACAATCAGAATTCTAGTTATCCCCCTACTTACGGTTTTAGATACATGCACTCTGCCGTAATGGTGGATGTCAAATAGGCCACGCCGGCGGCAAATACAATAAACAAAACGCCGACCCATCCGCTTTGTTTAAGCGTGTATGAAAGTTGCAGCGAGCCAACACCGATGGCCAAGCATCTAAAGCAGTTCCAAATAAAATTGACAATTAAATAAATAGCAAATGTTGACAGGTGAATAAATCATGCAGCATATACTATTTTTTCAGTCTGCTTGCCATCATGTATTTTTAAAAATATGTATTTTTAGAAACTTACAGTATGTTGAGGAACGCACTCATTGATGATCCCTTGTTTTTATTGACATTATCTTGAAGAACATCGAATGAGCTGTTGTTGCCATCGTTTATGGAGTCAACCTCCGTTTTGTGTTCTGCCTTTTCACTCACTGTAATATTGGACGTATGCTTGTTGTCGTGGAACAATGCTGATTGGTGGGCTGGAATAGCTACCAAATTATATTCACTTGCGAATTTGTCGTGCATCTTTGTGTATATTTGGAAATTTATAATGAAAAAATAAAACAGTGCGACAAAACCAATATGAAAAATTACCGATGCGAATAAACATTTTTTAGCTTGCGTTAAAGGAAACATTTTTATACCAGCTAATGTTTGATCGACAAGCAATATTAGTGATGCTTTAAAAATGAGTATAACATTTTCATTCAAAAAGTACGTTGAAATGGCGATTAAAGCGGTATTAGCCGCGTCATTGCACACGATACAATTTGCAGTTCAATGGACCACCATGCATCTGTCGTGCTCGCACACATATTTTCTGTTAGATATGTTATTTTGATTATATTTCAAAACCACTTTGAACGATATTTCCGTTCAATCATTTAAAGTCGACATGCAAGGCACAATGCTGCTCACTGCGCCATTGGGTTGAGAGAGAAAATACGTAAATTAAACTGCTACACACTAAAAAAAGAAATGTGGAAACATGGGGCGTGCATAAGAAAAAAGAGTCAAACTATACTTGCTTACCGGCTTTTAGAGTAGTGCATGGTGAGTGAGTCAAGCCAGCCAGCACCGCTTCCAGAAAGCCCTGCCCAGCTATATCCAGTTGGTGGCTTGAGCACATGTGTGCTCCCGCCCTTGCCGCCCTTCCAGCCGCTGCGTTTGCCATTGCGAGTGACAAACTCCAGGCCGTCAATCCACCAGCCAGAGTTGACAAGCACATAGTCCAAATCGTCATCATTATCGATGTGCAAAATGTGCGTCCCGCCGCCCTGACACTTGCCGACCTGCTGCTGGGATCCGTTGGTCATGTGGAAAATGACGCCGTCAATATAGTTGCCCGACCGGATCTCAATGCTGCGCAGCTTTAGCTCAGAGGAGTGCGCGGCATTGCTTGTAAACCAGGCCTCAAATTTCTCAGAGCCTCCCATCTGGCCCTTGCCGAGTTGGCCCGCACTAAACACAGTATTGCCGTTGCCGTCCTTGCGAGAGCTTCCCTTGATGATAGTGATATCAGAGTCCGTTTGGTCGGTAGCCGTCGCGCGTGAGGTCAGTACGAGATGGATCTTGTCCGAATTGGACCACCCGCCTGCCCACTCACGCCATGTGCTAATGTCCACAAGGATGCTTTGTGGGAACTCGGCGGCCATCTCATCGGGACCAGCGGGAATTTGCCCAGAGCGACGGCTGTCGAGATTCTCGGCAGTATACTCGCGGTGGTTGCGGTACTTGTTATTGACCCAGACCTCAATCATGGTAATACCGTTGGTATTCTGGACGGTCAGGCCATTTTCAACGGGCAAAAGGTTGAATCCGCTCTCGGCACGCTCGTTCTCGCGCAGTGGCGGGTCAGTTGGCAGGCGCAGGCATGGGTGATGGCGCAAGCGAATGATATCGGTGCGGTGCCAGTGCGAGCCGGCCTCGTCTTGCTGCTTGACCGGGCCCTTGAAGTTGGGCGCGTGGGCCATGAACGTGCGGTTATAATCATTGAACCCACGAGACATGATACCCGATGGCGTGTGCGCAAGCGTCAGAAGGTGGCCACACTCGTGCAGAAACGCTCCCATGCCAATATTGGCGGAGCGCCAGTACTCGCCGCACTCGTTGCAGTCGTTGGCCAGATAGCGCGTATCGGTTTTGGTCGTGTCAAGGAACTTTGTCGCCACTTCCTCAGCGTTGGCTGGCCATGAGTGAGTGGTGTGGGAACCAAACACGCCCAGGCGAAGGTCAGAGGTGCCGCCTCCAAGGGCAGCGTGTCCCAGAATAACCCCAAGCTCGGGGTCCCAGCGAGAATCTGCGGTGAGGCACGCCACATAACAGCCATCGCCCTTAGGGATGTCGTCATATCCTTTTATAGCATCTATAGCCACGCTGAACTGAGACTCGTCAGTGTGCCGCTTATACCCATGCGGCTCCTTCCACTGCTGTGCCCGCTCCTTGTCCTGGATCTCGGCAACCGTGTATTTGGACCTTACAACATGGACTCGCGCCGTCATGCGCCTCATATTGTCGCGCGCCATGGTGTCAGGTTCGTAGGTCTCCTCTAGGCGAAACGTACGGCGGCCAAATCCGTTTCGGTACAGCTGCTCGGATATATATGCTTGCCACAGATACGCGCAGCATCTGAACTTGCGCACAGCCGCATCAAGGTCGTTGACACCGGGGCCACGAGCGTCGGGAGGAGCGTCAAATATGCCCTTGGAATCGCTGCCAACTAAAATGGCAAGACGCAGCGGCGGCTTGTCCATATATGGGGTCATCTTGATGCTGAGCTCTCCCTGGGACAGGCGGTCATCGCCCTGGAGGTAGTCAAATTTTAGGCTGTTTTCGCCGCTCTCCAGCTCAACCAGAACCTTAAAGTAGCCGTCGATTGCTGGGAAAGTCAACGGCGGGAAGTACGGGTGGTGCACGACAATTTTGTCCTGGTCGCCCTTAACCCCCGGCACCTGTCCACATACAATCAAAAAGCGCTGGTGCACCATCTCATTGTTTGTAATATTTAGAAACTCCATCTGCTTGCCGCTACTGCTACTGGCACTAGCACCGGAAACAGCGCCCGCAAGTGTCGCGCCGTGCATTCTTTGGCTGTCTGCGGCCGAGGGATACACATTGCCTTGTTCGACTGGCAGGCGCACATCTGGCGGAATCTCAGAGGGGGCCAGAGTGTGAAGGCCATTACCAGTGCCATCATCTCCACGTGGTGCCCCTTGGCCGTCTTGCGTCTTTGTGGGCTCAACTTTGTCGGCACCGGGCAGCTTGCTTGGATGCTCCCCAGTTCCAGGTGGTCCTTGCTGAGGTGCACCCACTGGTGGATAGGGGGCTTGCGCAAATGACGGGGGATAGCTGCTGTCATTTTTGGGTGGATAAAGAGCATGGCCCTGGCCCTGGTCCTGTGGTGGATAGGTGCTCTGGGTGGAGGGCGGATAGGGGGCCTGGTCCTGGCCTTGAGGCAGGTATGGACCCTGACTCTGTCCTTGCGGCGGATAGGGTGGGTATGCCGCTTGGCCAGGGAACGGGCTGTTGGGGCCGCCATAGCGACCGGCGTCACCACCAAAGGGGAACTGCATCCGAGATGGAGGCGGCGGCGGCGGAGCAAAAAAGCCGCCAGGACCAAGTCCCTGCTCGTAGTTGTTGTTGGGTTGGTGTTGGGCAGTCGGGAAAGCGCGGTCAGGAGGCAGTTGCGAATATGGCGACTCTTGCTGCTGCTGCTTTTGACTATAGTGATGCTTGGATTGGCTGCCTGCTCCTGGGTACGGCTGGTTGCTGGCTTGGTGCTTACCCGCCGATGATGAGGAAGCGTTGCCGGGTCTGTCGTTCCCAGAGGTACTCAGACGCTCAAACTTTGCCTTAATCTTTTCAAAGTATTCCATTATTTGTATAAAAAAGTAGAAATTAAATGAAGAGGGAAAGTGAAGTGTAGTAAGCAAGAAAGACAATGGATGGCTTCGACTGAATTATTTTTTGTTCAATGCATTGGCAAAGATGCGGAAAAATGAGGGGATGAGAATGTTCCGTTCCTTCTTTTTCGAAACGTCACAGAATTTTCGATTATGTCTATTTTTGGATCCGGCACATCTGACGTCTCTGTTCATGAAATTAGTGATTGAATTAATTTACTTTTTCGTTTAATATAATTGGCCGCCAATTGATTGGATTTGGTGAGCATATCGCCAACGACAAGCGCGACCACTCCAGAACATTGAAGTCGCAAGCAGCACCAACAAGGCAAGGTGAAAGATTATTTTTCGTCATGAAGGCTGCATAAGAATGCAGGAGGGAAAACAGAAACACTTTGAGCGGAGGAAATTGGAACAATATAACTTACGAAATGCAATATAAAACATGTGCGCATGGGCGCGCAGATGGTCGTACAAGCATGTGAGTAAATGTTTGAGCAACTGTGGAGTATGTATGTGGGGAAAGGTATCTTTCAGAAAAAAATATTAGTGCTTTTTTTTATGAAACAGTGGACCACATTGCCCTTCAGGTCCAAGCAGTAAAACAGGACCAATATGGTTTTGGACACGAAAGTGTGGGTGTTTCTACTTAATTATTAGAGCCGTTTGCGTTTATTTAATTTTAGCAAGGTTAAGAAACGCGTTGTTCTCAAACAAAAATGTGTTGAGTGCGCAAGAAAAAATACGCATATTTATTTAATAATATATTCTAAAATAAGTATACATTCTGCGTTTAGAAATAAAGAAAAATGTTGCTCTGAGCAATGCTTGCAGCATATGTATATAAAGACCAAACGTTATGAGTTCAACTTTTATCATTTTCCTAATCAACATTGTCATCCACACATCATTCATTCGAACTAGGGCATTTACAAACGCTTCTTTTTAACTAACATATCATTTTATTAAAATACCGCAAACTTCATTTAAAGCATTGCATTGAATCACTCGTCTAATAAAAATGGTCAACCGTTCGAGCATCAAGATCGACTCGCTGCTTGCATTCATTGCAACTGTGGCTGTGGCCTCTGCGCAGGAGGGCTGGGGTGGACAGGCCAACGCATATTTGCCGGCCGCCAACATGCCCGCATGGCCGTACAATGCAGCGAATTTTGGATATGCCCAGCCGAACGCGTACAGGCCAATGATGCGCGGAAAGGCAATGGCTGCTCGCGTCTACAACGACGATTACGCCTCTTATGAGAGCGAACCAACCGTGTACTCAGCAGACATCGATTCGTCAACTGAGCTGGAGTATAGCAACAACGGCTACAACAACAATGTGTACAACAGCTACGAAGCGCAGCCTACCGTCGAGCACCCCTATACCCCGTACACCAAGTACGAGGCGGTTGAGAGCACGGATACCCATACCAGGTGCCCTATCATTGGCCCCGTGACGGTTACCAAGACCGAGACGTGCTATGTTACCTTGCCGCCTCTCCCACCTCTTCCTCCTGTGACTGTGACTGTGACCTCGACTACGACCTCGACTGGAGCTGGTGGCTCAACCGCAACCACAACCGTGACAGAGCCTACAACAGAGTTTGATACCACCACCCAGACGGTCACAAACACTATCACATGGACTGTCGCCCCAACTTCCGATACCACCATGTACAACACAAGCACGACTAACACTTCGGATACGACTTCTACCGGTTACTCTAGCGCGCTTGGGTACGATACCGAGCTTCCAACCCCCGTATATAGCAGCGTGGCACCCGGTTCGGAGTACCTCACGCTTGAGCCCAGCGCTACCAGCAGCTATGGCTCGGAGTCCGACTCGACCATTTTCCTGACCACCACGCGCACCTCAACCTCGACCTCGACTGAGTTTATCGACACTACCTCCGAGGTCACCGTCACCTGGCCGCTTAACAATGGGGCCCAGTTTGCCACCGACATTGCAAAGAAGCACTCTAAGCCCAACCACCGCGCCAACATTGTTCTGCTGGACTCTGCCTCTACTCATTTTGCGCCAGTGATTCCTGAGCACTTGCTGATCAAGCCTGCAAAGGCGGCAGTGCCGAACCAAAATGTCCAGTGGTGGATTCCCTATGTTGATCCCAAGGCGCGCGCCAATCTGCGCATGAGCACTGAGGAAAAGATCATGGGTGCCGAGGGCGTTAAGCAGGAGGCTGTGCGGGGCATGGGCGAGAAGAGTAGCGAAGTGAGGCGCAACGCCGAAGTACCCGTTAACAAGAGCCCGCAGGAGCTCATGGATAACATTGGTTTCCGCATCAGACATGGTGCCGGCCGCAATAATATGCGCCGGTACGCCTACTGAGCACTAATTCAGTGCCTATCCTCTTTTATTTTCTCGATTGATCCGCTTAAATATCTTATTTTATTTAAAAAGAAACATACATATATTCATTAAATATCGATATGCGTCTTCAAGACAATAATTTATTTTGACGAGGGCTAGGAAATTTTGATTTGAGCGCTGAGATCACTTTCGCAAACTTAATTTTTATTTATCGACCACAAGGCAAACCCGATTTTGCGCCGATCGTGTCAAACTGGCAAACAAGCAAAACAATTTGTTCTTTTCTTGCTTCTGCTATTTTCATCTTCATTATTTTTATGTTGCTATTCTACAGCCGCCATTTTTTTACTTTCTCGTTTGTTTTTAATGACGACAGGCGCCCCTCCAAGGCTTGATAAGGCAGCAGAAACACCTTCTGCAGATGTGACAGCGACGCTCCGCCAGATCAAATCCGATCTCGCCGCCCAGCGAGGGATGGCACCCGATGAACCAACCGACGCCTGCCACACGGGTGGGCGCTACGACTGGGACCTCAACGACAAGACTGAACGCCGGTGGTGCACTGACTGGTTGCTCCAGGTCATCAAGTGGGCAACCAGGCGCCACGAGACCACGGAAAACGACGAGTGGGAGGAAATCATGGACCAGGCGGGGTTGCTGCTATCAGAGTTGTCTGGGAAGAATACCTCAGGTCCGGTCCAGCGACGCGTGTCGCTTTGGCTGTCTAAAGGCGAGAAGCTGCCCGGAGGCATACATATACACGAGCCAAGCATGATGCAGGCCGATGTCGGTGGCCAGACGTGGGGATCGGCTATTTTGCTGGCACGCCGGATTATGCGACGCCAGATCAACATTGAGAGCTACAAAAACTGCATCGAGCTTGGAAGCGGCACGGGTCTGCTCGGGCTGGCTGTGGGAAAGGTGCTGCAGGCATTTGGCGCCACCGTGGCGATGACAGATTATCTGCCAGTGCTTCTGCATGCCATCGAGAAGAGCGCCCGCAGCAACGGGCTCTTAAAGGACGGGACAGTGGTTCCGATGCACTTGGACTGGTTCGAGATGGTGGCTGATATTATTACAAACAAAGGCGCTGGCGCCTTTACAAGGGAGACCACAGTTTCTGTCCCCGTTGCTCACTACATGTCTGTCGACGAGCGTCAGCTTGCCGGCTGCCCCGAATGGCATGGGCGCGACAGCATTGACTTTACCCAAAGTAAATCTCGCTTTGATCTGATCATTGCTGCTGACGTGCTCTACGAGATCGAGCAATGTCGCGCCATCCCGCTGCTGGTCGACCACTTCCTGTCCAATGCGCCGAGCGGCCCTGCTGGGTCTATGCCCAGGTTTATTGTGACGACCCCGCTGCGGAGCATGCGTCGGGCAGAGATCACTGAGTTTGAGGGCGAAATGGCGAAGATTCCCAGCCTGCATTTGGTTTCTGCAGATGACGTATCGCGCGCCGATGATATGATCGCGTGGCGGTCTGCAGTGTGCGAGAATGTGGGCAGTGATTTACTTGGCTACGACCACGGCTTTTTAAAGGCCTTTGAGGAGGATCTGGGCGATTCCAATGAATACCGTACATACATTTTTGAGCGGCGCAAGTAGCCATCACCACCATTTTTCTTTAACGAGCCGACAGAAAAAAGTAAAAAATGCTCAATTGATATGCACAATGTCCACGCTATTTTTTTGCCTTTGTGTGCGGACCTGTTCCAATGTAAAAAATGACCAAAAAGAAATGTGGACGGGTGGGAGCGTAAGTGGAAACGGAAAAACGATCTCAAAAGGTGAATCCGTGCTTGTTTCGGGTAGCAAGCACAGTTCAATTTTGCGAAATGATCCAAAAAATTGAAAAAGAACAAAAGGGTCTTTAGCACCTGGCGTCCTCGCAAATTAAATTCGTGCAAGAGTGCAAATAGGTAATAAGAATACAGAGAGCAATAATTGTCATCAAGTGTTCCATATTCGCAGAACACCCTTCCCCTCGCCCTCGCCCTCACCCTCACCCTCTTCCGGGACGATCTTTTTTTCGGTGTTCTAATTTTTTTCACTGCTGCTCCTCTTCCACATTGCACTTTAGACTCGTCGCATGGTTTAGCTGAGAAAAAGTCAAACTCGGCTCCTTTTCTACTTTTCTTTTCTTTTTTCTTCTTATTCTTGCACTTTGAATTTCAACTTTCCTTCATTTAACACTTTACACAGAAAAAACTTTTTGTCAATAAATATCACACGTACACCCTTTTTTACTTTCCACATACCACCACCACCCCCACATCATTCTGTCTTTTATTCGCACCATTGTTCATATTTACGCCCGAGCTATCCGCATTTTCTCTCCAACTTTACACACACGCACACGCGTACGGCCCTCCACACCGATTTACTCCCAGTCGATCCTCGAAATGGCAGTGATAACCCGTAGCCAGAACAAAAGCAGCAGCGAAAGCAACGATAACGCTACACCTAGAAAGAGCAGCCCCAGCGCTATCAACCGCATTGGCGACAGCATCAAGACTAGCCCCATCGGGTACTTTGGCCGCAGCGTGAGCAGTCTGCTGCTTTCAACTCCACCGCCGAGCCTCAACACTCAGGAAGCAGTAACTCCTAAGCGTAAAATCAGACAAGGTACGTTTTGGAAAATAATATGTTGGCGATATGAATATCTGATTAATGCGCAGAGGTTTGCGCAGACAGATGGATCCCCTTTTTATTTATATCCCTGATTGTCTCCTTTATTCCGTTCTCTTACTTTGATGAAAGTGGAACTCTGCTGGCGAAACCCTGGCCCCATCTTTATAATGGGCCAGATCTCGCTGGTTTTTGCCTTGCTTGGTGCTGCCTTGATTTGATCATGCAGGCGAGCTTATTATCTGCTGGCAAAAGTAAGCATATGTTATCACGCAAGGGCTTAATTTCCCCTTGGTCGCCTATTCTTAGTGCCTGGATCACCTGCCTCTATTTGTGAGAAAGTTTCGCTTTCTCAGCCCCAAAAAAATAGTGTTGGTGCTCAGACTCATGTGGCTGCAATGTCAGTCAACTTGTTTTCTGCTTTTTGAGTGATCGACGCAGCCAATTTTCTTTTGCAGTTTCTTCAAAAAATAACGATATGCACGCAAGCTTGCGCACCACACGCAAGGCAAATTTCCCTTTTATTGCTTGCGCAATTGCCTATATATTTGCGAGTGCCTGTCACTGGTAAGAATAATACCAGGACCTTTCGGATCACTTCCTTTTCCTGCTTTTATCGCCATTTTGCGCTCGCCCAGTTTTCTTTTTTAACACGTCCTAGCTTGGGTACATAGTCACTACTGCCAAAGATACAACACAAAAGGGTTGATATCCTCGCTCGTTCGCCTTTTCTTTCTTTACTCCTACTGCCTTTTTGTAATTTTAACAAGGCTCTTATAACTGCGCACCTGCACTCTATTTCTCAAATTTGCTTACTGTGCACCTCCTCACTCCAAGCCTTGCTCGTCACTGTCGCTGTCGAATCTGCCATAAAATGTATGGCTTGCGCGCTCTTCTCACATCATTCTGACACCAAGTTTTTTTGTCGGAAGATCTGCACTCGTACTCGCACACCAACCGAATCGCAACTCATAGTTCGCTGTTCAAAGTCATATTTATACACTCATGTTCCCACCAGTCACATGCCTAATCCACCATATTTTTACTTGTCCACAGTCAACAGCCTTCCTATTGTGCATTTTACTTTTAATTTTTTCGATTTTATTTTTACAGGCGCTCCAGTTCACTCTGTTGCTCTGCGAACTTCTTTTTTCTTTCCACTTTTATATCCCACCAACTTTTTCCCCTTCCTTTGCTTGGACAGCTTCCCCGTTTTAGTCCCCCCCCCCATTTATTTGTAACAAATATTATATACTATATACAAAGCCAGTGCTGGCGCCGCCAAATGCACATACTATCGTCGATAAAGCAGCACGTCACATCGACAGCACACGGGTCTCGCAAAGCAGCGCCATCAGAGGGCAATGAGGAGCAGCAGCAGAAGCAACAGTATCATGGCTCACTCCGCAAGGCGCTCAGCAGCGGCAAGGACAGCTCAAAGCCAAAGCCCCAACGGCCATGCCCACCGATAACCATCCACACCAAGGATATATCATGGCCAATAGGGAGTGGCAACCGTGAAACACCGCGGCTCGACGACGACCTTGTCAGCACGCGAGAGCTGAGGCTATCCTCTGCCACTGTCGCCGGCTCATTTGAGAAGCATAATGTTTCCCCGGGGCTGTCGACAATTGGATACAGTGGGTCTCGAGGAGACGCCCTTGCTCTATCACACCCGCGGGCGGTATCAGCATCCAAAAATAGGCAACAGCTGCCGTTTATACACACTCAGTGCGCCAATACCACAGCGTCTTTGGGCAGCTGCACTGCAGAATCGATACGCTCTGCTGATGGCTCCCTGCGCACTGCTATTTCCGCCTCCGCCTCTATTGCTGCGCCCAATTCTCCCCTTGCTACTGCGTACATTCGCCGCTCTTACAGCAACGAATCTGCATCTATGCCCATTTCCCCTGTCACACCCACCTCCGCATTCTCATTCGTGAGCGTCCAATCTCCAATTTCCCTTAAATCACCCGCACACCCCACATTTGTGGAATCTGGTGGCCGGCTGCGGCGAGCTGGCACACTAAATGGGTTGAACTCGTCTTCTTCCAAAACCCCATCCGAATATGTTGCTGCCTCTCGGCGAAATAGGCATATACACAGCTCTTATAATTCGCTTGTTTTGTCGCAATCAACCACGCCCACTGTAGTTTCGTCGTCGTCATCACTGGGCAGTTCGAATCGCCCGACTAGTACCGACAGCCTTGCCGCCGATAACAACAGAAACAGTCGTAACAATATAAAGCGGTCGCCAAAGAAACCGCCCGCCGATGACGATGAACTTCGGGGTCCCCCACCGCGCGACGACTGGGACATTGTGTTTGACCGGATCAAAGAGTACCGCGCTACCCACGAGGCGCCCGTGGACACAGTTGGGTGCGAGGCCCTGGGCGCCGAGGAAAAGGATCCAAAGCTGCAACGCTTCCGGACGCTCATATCGCTGATGCTTTCGGCGCAAACAAAAGACGAGATCACCGCCGAGGCCGTCCACAATCTGAGCCAGCGGCTTCCGGGCGGTCTGACGCCAAAGGCGCTGAGCGAGGCACAGACGGATCTAATCCACGAGTGCGTGCGGCGCGTCGGGTTCTGGCAGCGCAAGTCGGGCTATATTAAAGAGGCAGCGCGCACGTGCCTTGAGCAGCACGACGGTGACATCCCGCGCACCGTCACCCAGCTTCTGTCGCTGCCGGGCGTCGGGCCCAAGATGGCGTATTTGGCCATGCAGGCGGCCTGGCAGGACAATCAAGGAATTGGTGTCGACACACACGTGCTGCGAATTTCACACAGGCTCGGCTGGGTGTCCGATCTGGCCAGGACGCCCGAGGCGACTCGGCACGCGCTCGAGTCGTGGATGCCCAAGTCGCTCTGGCGCGAGATCAACCCTCTGCTTGTCGGCCTCGGTCAGACCGTGTGCCGCGGCGTGGGCCCGAAATGCGGCGAGTGCCCTGTGAGCCAGTACTGTCCAAGCGCGCAGATGAGGAGGAGGAGCGCCTCTCTTCGTGATGGCCGCGGAAGCACGGGCATGCACTCGCAGAAGGGTGCTTTCGGCGGCTCTTCCGAGCTGTCTGACGTTGATGTGGAGGACCTGGCGAGCATGGTGCGCGGCGCTGAGCAAGCCGTGCGCTCGCGGAAGACCAGCGGCGGCCGCTCGCGCCAGGTTGTTGCCAAGACCGAGTTCCCCGAGATTCCCGAGTCCCCGGTGACAAAAACCAGGCGGGACGACGGTGCCGACGGGACAACCTCTGATGGGTATCGGGCTCGCGCTCGCAGCCGTGCTTTTAGTCTCAGGTACCTGCGTCCTATAAAAATTCCCTCGACGATGAGTGACGCGGATGCCGGCAATGACAGTCATGCTTCTGCAGGGATGTCTGATACAGAACTGACGAGCAACACGCGGGGTGGTGCTAGTGGTGACGGCAGCAGCAGCGGGCGTTCTCCAAAGCCAGAGCTTACCCCAGCTACGTCGCAGTACTTCATGCGCTCGCGCTCGAATGCCGCGAGCGAGCTGGTGCGTCCCGAAGCGAAGACGGCTACGGTGCGCAATGCACGGGCCAAGGTCTGTGCAAAGAAGCTGTACTCGCGGCGCCTGAGCAAGTCAGATATGCAGTGGGCGCTTGGCGAGGACTGGGATCCGGAGAGCAGCTCGTCACTGAGCGACTCAGATCTTGCGGATGAAAAGCATGTGTCTGATGCTGGTGACAATTTAAACCATTGAATATATTAGTTTTTGTGTTTTTTTTTACCTGGTTTGGCAATATTTTTCTTCTATTTTTTATAACGACAATGCATTATTCACTTTCTCCACGTTCTTTAAACGCTTAATCGTGTGGGTGTGTACTTTGCTATATTTTGTTTTTTATCTCGGCATTTAGTTCGTTTTTATTTGGATGTATCCAAATTAAATTCATTTCGGCAGGCTTATTGTATCTGTGTCTACAACAAAATTCATTTTAATTCCTTGATATATTCTGGCCTATTCGATATTATTAGCACACCCTGCAAACATGATTCAATTGTTTGATGTAGTAATGTCAGAAATTATGCGGGCTGGACTGCGCAAACAATGCAAGCAATAAAAAATTACAGCCGGTTCATTTCTCACATCGAGTGGGAAAAATGTATATGGAGGTCGCTAGTTCGGCTATTATTCGTATCGGGTATTTACATTTTGGCATGGCTAGTCTGTCTGCCTGTTTGTATGGATATCCCAGTTCCAAGTGATATAGTGGCAAACGCAATTCCACTTCTAAATTGGGCAGTGCACATGTCAGATATGTTGATGTTTATGAATCAGAATATGCAAATTAATGTTTTCTATTGCACAAGAAATCACCAATATTGCATATTGAATATTGTACACTTGCATTAATACGTGTGTGCATTCCAATGTTTACGTATTCCAGTTTGCAAAAATAAAAATACAACTACATATGTTAATTGCGAGGTGGATAATTTTTTGTGGACATTTCAGAAGCAACGCTTCCGGCTCCTCAAAACATCCCGTACAGCAACCGTGGCGCACCGCCGCAAATAAACTTGCGCCTGCCTGCTGCTATTTTTAATCAAACTGGTTTGGCTCAAACGATTCAGCCCGGATGTGATAACTCAACTGGCGGGAACAAGTAACTAAAATTAACTTGCCCCTCCACCTCCCACCTTTTTCGTGTATATAGCGTTTGCCTTTAAGCGGCAGAAATCAGCAGCGTAATATCTGATTTTCAAACAACCAAAAATAAAACAGCCTTCGTTGCGGGTTGGTGTATGTATCCATTGTGTTCGCTTTGGTTCCGTGCCGTCCTGCCCTTTGTGTATCCACCCATTGTTTTTTGTTTACTTGTTCTTGAGCTGAACACAACTTGATACTACCTTGTCTAAAAGCTTGACGCGCATATACCCATGGGTTTTTTGTTTGTTTGTTTATTTTTTTACCTCCGAGGTTTATAATATTTCTTGTCCAGGATATCGGCAAATGGAGGAAGGAATTGTATTGCAGGCATATTGTTTGCTCAGAGAAACTGGTGGATTTGTATGGATGGGCTGCTTACAAACGGTATGCTTTGGGAAAGAGCAAAAAAATCCGTTTCATACTCATATATAAACAGCAGATACATCCTGCCATTACTTGATCAACCAACATCCTCTCAACCAACATCTCATCTCATCCCAACCACTACTACTCTTTCCTCCCGCGCTCCACCAACCAACCCACTATCTTTATAATCCAATCTACTTTTACCTTTTCTTCTCGGCCATGAAGCTCATCTCCTCCCTCCTCATCCTCGCTGCGGTCGCCACCGCTGCTCCCGCTCCAATCCCCGGCGACAACACTTACGGTGTCAACGTCAATAACCCCGTCTACACCACTAACAATGGCGGCTCCAAGGGCAACACCTCTAACAACTCGGGCGGATGGTCTAGCAGCAGCTCCAGCTCCAGCGACGAGAGCAGCTCGGGCTCCTGGTACGACAGCAGCAAGGACAATGGCAAGGGCAGTGTCCAGAACAACTCCGGTGCCACGTTCAACAACGACAAGAACTCAGCCAGCGCAGCCGACAATAGTGCCTGGTACAACAACAGCCAGAACAACGGCTACGGCAAGACTGAGAACAACTCGGGCGCCCAGTACGATAGCACCAAGAACGCTGCTCAGGAGCACAACGCCGGCACGTGGTACGACAACAGCGCATCTAGCGGCTACGGCAAGACCAGCTCGAGCGACAAGGGCGCTTCATACGATTCAAACAAGAGCGCCTCCGAGGATAAGAACTCTGGTGCCTGGTATGACCACAACAAGACCAACGGGTATGGCAAGGGTGGCTCGAGCGAAAAGGGCGCTTCTTACGATTCCAGCAAGAGCGCAGCTCAGCAGCACGACGCTGGTGCTTGGTACGACAAGAGCAAGACCAGCGGCTACGGCAACACTGAGAACAGCTCGGGTGCCTGGTACGACAACGGAAAGAATGCTGCTCAGCAGCACGACGCCGGCGCCTGGTACGACAACACCAAGGATTATGGCTACGGCAAGGGCAGCTCGAGCGACAAGGGCGCCTCGTACGATGCTAGCAAGAGCAGCTCCCAGGACCATAATGCCGGCGCTTGGTATGATGAGAACAAGACCAGCGGCAACTACAAGGGCGGCAACGGTGGCTACCAGGCTAACCCCAAGGGCAACTACCAGGCTAACCCCAAGGGCAACTACCAGGCTAACCCCAAGGGCAACTACCAGGCTGACCCCAAGGGCGATTACAAGGGCGGCAAGGGCGGGTACCAGGTCGAAGTCAAGGCCGACCTCAAGGGCGGCAAGGGTAACTACAACACTGCTTCTATTCCTGCTAAGGCACCTTCCGCCCCCGTGCTTCCCAAGGGTCCCATTGCTCCCCAGCTGCCTAAGGTCATTGTCAACTAAACCATCTGCCAATTGTATTCTAAGGATCTGAGGTTATAATAAGCCACTCATTTTCCACTTTAGTATTAGCTTGTTTTTCATTGTTGAGCAATCGTTAATGTCATTATAATTGTTAACAATTTAATTTTAAATACCAATCAAATCAACTATGAAATTAAATATGTGGCCGAATATTTGACAAACATTGAGGTGTTCCCCACGCCAACCGAGTTCTGGAAGAACCGTGGATGGACTGGGCCTGCCAAGTAAAGTAAAGAAAACGCACTTTTGTTACTATTACTTTTTTTGGTCTCAGCATTCAGCTCGCTTCCAAATGGCAACTGTCAAACATGCAACCCACAACACGTGACTTTAAATTAAATATTTAGAGTAAATATAATAAATACATTATTGTGTTTTGTGCTATGCCATATCAAATGCCGCCCGGGCTTGCAAATGTGCGGGATGCGCCGGCTCTAGGCCTCATTCAGTACCCGTACGCGCTCTTGTCCTGGCTCATCTGCCGCGTGTGGTGGTCCAGCCGCTCCTCGAGCGCTGCAAGCGGCCCGACCTCCTTCTCGGCCGCATCGTATGCCGCCTGCTCGTCACACACCGCCTGCATTGCCGCGTCCTCAACCCGCTGCTCAGAGGACGCCTGCTTGCGCAGCGGCGGCAGCTTCTCGTTGTCGCGGTCGTAGCGCTTGGCCTCTTCAAACGACAGCACAGCCATCCGCAGCCCGCGCCCGCCCGCCGACAGCTGCCCAACCGGCAGCCGCTGGGTGCCAAGCAAGCCCTTGAGCTCGTTGACTGTCTCAGCCTCTGTCCGAAGCACGCGGAAGATGCGCGATATCTTGCCCACCGCCAGGATCTTCTTGCGGATCGTCTCGCGCCGCTGCTCGAGCTCTGACGGCTGCGCACCAGCGCCACCGCCCAGCAGCGCCGCCGGGATGCGTATGCTCTTGCCCGGCCGTGGCGACCCGGCGATGCTGCCGTCCATGCTGTCGCCTTCGCTGTCGCTGGCAGCGCTCACCTCGGTAATCCTACCAGACTCAGCGGCCCCAAGGGCATCAGACGCGGCACCCGCCTCGGCAATGTTCTCCTCGAGCTCGTCCTTTGTGCAGATGTCCAGAATGGCCAGCAGCATGTCCGTCATCTTCTCGCCGACAAATGGCAGCGACCACGTAAACACGTCCATAAAGTTGGGCAACCAGTACGGGTGCGGCGAGCAGTTGAACTGCCGGATGTTCATCACGTTGTTCTCGTACTTGAGCACCGCCGCCTTGTTGTTGTACGCGTCCAGGTAGTTGGGCGCTGAGAACAGTGTGATCACTGCCGGGAACGCGTTCGCCTTGCTCTTGCGGTACATGCGATACCCGGCATCCTGCGCCTCGTGCGCGCGCACCAGCGACAGCAGCCCGTTGCGCTCGAGGAACGCGCACGTCGCTGCGTAGCTGAAAAAGTACGAGCATCCGCGCGCGTAGTTGTGCACAAAGTAGCTCTTGTTCTTCTCGTGCCCAAAGTCCTCGACCGGGTCGGCCCACAGCAGGTCGCACATCAGCCCATGCGTTGGCGGCTCGCGGAACCGGTCCAGCGCCCGCAGGTCGTCAAGTGTGTGCAGCTCAGGGCTCAGCCCCCCGTGGATGCATAGAAACTGCTTGTTGACCACCGCACCGAGCGGCAGCGCGCAGAACGATTCGACCGCCGCCTCGTACACGTGCTCCGAGTACTTGTGCACGCACTCGAGCTTGAACGTAAAGTAGTCCGTCAGGTGCCGGCACTCATGGTTGCCGCGCAGCATAAACATCGTCTGCGGGTACTTGATCTTGAGCGAGTACAGGTAGAGCAGGCACTCTATCGAAAAGTACCCGCGGTCGACGTAGTCGCCCAAGAACAGATATTGCGTCGATGCTGGGTCGCCGCCAACCTCAAACAGCTTCATCAGGTCGTAGTACTGCCCGTGCACGTCACCGCAGATGGTCACCGGCGAGTCAATCGTCAGCAGCGTCGGCTCGGCGCGCAGAATCACCGTGGCCTGGCGCAGAATCGCCAGCGCGTCCTGTTCGCGCAATCGGCCCTCGCGGAAAAAGTGGTTGCGCAAAAACGCACACTGTGGCTTTGACGCGTCGCCGCCCTCAAACACAGTGTTGGCGTCAGGGATCTCTGCCGCTGGCAGCGGCACGTCTTTGACCATCCGCTCAGTCGTCCCCGGCTTGCTGCTCTCATCGGCTGTGTGTACGCTGAACCCGACCTTGGGAATGGAGCTCCATCCTGCGGCCGACGCCGCTGTGTCGCCATGAGCTGTGTCGGCGCTGGGGCCTTCAGGCGAGACATCGCTCATCTCAGCGTCCATGGTGTCGCTGTGGTGTGTGCTGCCGGCTTTGTGCCTCTCCGAGGGAGAGTCGACGTCCATGTCCGCCATGTCTGAGTGTCCTTGTTAATGTGAATTCAATGCCTAGCCGGCGGCACTGGTGGTAGGCGGTGGTAATTATGAAGCGTGCTAGTAATTAGCAAAAGGGCGAATGGCGCGCTGTCTCTGCGAATAAAACCTGTGGCAGCAGCGTTGACACGCGAATTCAGAGACAAAAAAGACAAGGTGCGCGTGTTGTTTGCGTGTGCTGTTTGCTTGTATGGCGAACCTGTAGTAATAAGAGTAAATACGCGGTAGAGGATGAAAGGTGAAAAATGTAGAAAATGTGGAAATCGTGAAAAAGAAAAGCTGACCTGCAAATATCTGTTTTTGGATTTGTGCACGTGCTTAAATATCAATGTACAATACAAAAAATATAGTGAGAAATCGACTTTTTCCGTTTCATGTGTTTAAAGTTTAAAAAAGTAAACTGCTTGTGCGTTTTCTGTTGATATATGTAGTGTTTTTTAAATAGATGGCTTGTTATATAAATTTAAAGACGATTAAACACAAAATTGCAAGATAAAATATACAAAAAATGAGCGCCAGCGCGCATTGGCTGTATGCAAATAATTTGAAATATAAAAGACACGGGCTGCTACGCGCAGCCCTGACGCAGAACGGAGGCCGAGAGCAGTCTCTGTCCATTTCCGTTCTGCATTTTAATATAGGCCTATTTACAACCCAAGGAGTCAGAGGGTTGGCCCAACTGCAATTTTTCTCGCCAAGCGCTGCGACGAATCAGCTCATGTCGGCGTCCTCGTCAGCAGCCTCGGACAGAGTGGGCAGAGTTGACATGGTTGTGATTTTTTCGTTCGAGCTGTCAAATACGCCTATGGACATCGGCACTGTGGCTCCTGCCAGACTACCACTGCTGCTTATACTTGCAAATGGCTCGGAGGAAATGAGAATATCTTCGGGGACTAAGGGAAGGCTGGAAAGGTGGTTTGGAGAGAGGAGCTGATCAGCCTTGTCCGTCAGTATGGTGGGCGAGAGCAAGGGCGTTGAGTGAGTTGTCGACATCGGAGTGGATGTCAGCGCCCACCCCTGCTGCTGCTGGAACTGTAATTGGCCTTGTGGCATATCGGCAACAGATGATGAACTCACTGTCACCAGACTCTCTGCAGTGCTCTGCGAGATCGGCAGGTACGCGTTGCCTAGTACCGAGATGTTCAGTCCGCCCGAGGCAAAGGCAGCGACGGGGGCGCTGGTTGCGGGAAAAGAATATTGAAGAGGAGCTGCGGTTTCCAAAGCAAGATTTTGCTGCTGCTGAGGTTGAAGCTGGTAATCCTGCGGCTTGGCGGCGATATCAACGGGAATACTCATGGCGGTGCTGACGTTGCTCGCGCTGGTGCTGCTGCGACGGCGGCGGTGTTTGGCAGTTTTGTTGAACTCGTTAGGGTGCTCGAGCTCATACTCGCGCATCTCCTTGGTGAACCGCTCCTTGTCCGCACATGCCATCCTTAGATACGGCCCCTTCTCGTCTTCGCTCATCGCTCGCCACTTGGTCGACATCTCCTTCAAAAAGTCGCGGTTGTTGACCTCAACGTTCGTTGGAGTGCCGTCCTTCGAGTACTGAACCTCACGGCGCCGCTCATTGACAAAGTAAATGAACGAGTTGCGGAAGCGCTTGATCGACATTGGCAGGTTGGTCATCGGCTGCCCGTCACTGCTGCTCTTGCGCTTCGTGCCCACTAGAGTGGTGATTGGCGGCCCGTTGGCAGACATCGAGGTAGAAGCAGCAGCAGCAGAAGCAGAGGCTGAAAGCGTCTTGCTGGCGGTGTCGCTGCTAAGGACTCCTCCTTCAGGAGCTAGCATCGGCTGGTGCGGATTGAATCTTAAGGGCGATGATAGCGACTGCGGGTTGAGGTAAGCGGCTTCGTCGGCTGCTGTTGGATCGTTTCCGATAAAGCAGGAAGAGTCAAACTCGTCTGCATGCGGCGAAAAGTCCTGGCCAAATGCCTGCTGCATCCACGCTAAGTACACCTGCTGGTTCAGCAGATTTTGTGTAAAGTCACACGTGTCTATATGTGTCACCAGCGGCACACCCATGCTGTGGTGAGTTGCATCCGGGATCACGGGTGTTTGTTGAGGGATGCTGAGCTCAGGCACTGTCATCGTAGCGGGTGAAACAAATTGAGATGGCTGCGCAGTCGAGGCCGAGACCGAGACCGGAGCTGGGGTTGAGATCAAGGCCGATACTGGTGCGAAAGCTGCTGTAGTGAACTCGGGAGACATCGCAGGTTTGGAAGCAGCTATGATGAGCGGCGTCGGAGCAGCAGGAACAGATGATTTGAGTGCGGTGCTTGACTCTGCTGGCTGGGGAGCCGGAGCAAAAGCTGGCGCAAAGACTGGTTCTGATGCTATTTCCAAGGCGGGAACAGGAGCCGGTACCGATACAACAGCAGGCAGAATCACTGGGGCGGGCGCAATAGGGACCGGGGCAAACTTGGGTGACTTTGTGGGGGTCTCCAAGGATGACAGGCTGCCGCTGGACGCCTTTCTTTTGCCCTTTGTCGTAGGAGTCGCATCTGCAGTTGCTTCCAACGCCGAAACTCCTAACACGGCAGAGCTGCTGCTGGTGACCGATGTCATAAGCGGCGCCGAGGAAGGAGTGCTGGATGCAAGAGGGCCGAACTTAATCACGTCAGCCTCGTAGCGCATCTTGTCGTCCTCGGCCATCTTTACAAAGGGTGCCTTCTCGTCGCTGCTCATGCTGTTCCACACCTTGCTCATATCCTGGATAAAACAGCGGTTCTGGATCTTGGATTCTTTGGGATGCTCCTGTTTCAACTGCCTGCGCTTCTCGTTGGCAAAGAATATGAATGAATTGCGGAAACGCTTGTATGGCGCAGTGGGCTTCTTGAGCTTGGCGCCGCTGGCAGGTCTGCCGGCGCCCTTGCCTGAGCTGCTTTTGTCCAACTCCTTGAATTCAACGCCATCCATTTCGGCGTCATCGCCAGAGCGAATAACATCGTCGTCATCTTCATCATCCTCTCCGTCATCGTCATCGAAATCAGCAACGCTGCCCACGGCGGGTGAAACACGAGAAGAGGCCAGTGGCGGCGCGACAATAGTCCCAGTAAGCGCAAGCATCTGGCTAGAAGACTGGGCGAACGGCATCGGGCTGATATCGCCGGAGTTCAGGGACATGGCTGCCGGGTTGATGCCTACCGGCGACATCTGTCCTGACATCGTCTGGTTGAACTGCGCAATGTTGAACGCTGAGGACAACGACCCCAGGTCGACAGAACAGGAACCATGATGTGTGACTACCGGTCGCTGCCGCTGTTGATGTTGCTGCTGCTGCTGGAGCGTCAGGTCACTAAAAAGAGCGGGCTGAGCTCCGGCCGAAAACGGGTTGACCGGCTGGTGTTGTGGGGTAACAGGCATTGTGCGAACCATCAGCGGGCCGTTTGTCTTGTGCTGAGATTGACCCTGCTGCAGCTGCATTTGATGGTGCATCTGAAGCTGCTGAGACAGCATCATCGAGTTTGCAGCCCCAAACTGCATTGTCTGCATCGTTTCAGCGGGATGCTCGTGAATGGTCCCGTGCATGGGCAGCGCGTGGAGTGAGGAAAAATCCGAGCCCATCAGCCTGAAATTTGCGGCGTCGAGTGATAGATGTCTGCTGTGTCCGAAATGCGAGTGATGTTGGTGGCCGTGAGCTCCCACAGACTGCAGGTGCAAACCAGCCGAGCTCGGGGCGTGGTGCATCGGGAACTGAACCTGTCCAAAGTGCGTCGGCGTCCCCGGCACCATTGTCGGTGGTCCTGTGTTCATGGACATTGGCGTGTCAATAAACATAATCGGCTGTTGCTGTTGCTGCTGAATAGCCGAAGGGAAACTACTACTCATTTGGCGCCGGTGACCACTATGCACAAATGCGCCCATGTTGTTGGCAGACGGCGTGTCGTAGGGCGACAAGATGCCACCATGGCCAATACCTGCAACCTCGCTGGCATCTGTCGCCGCCTGCTGCTGTTGCTGTAAATGCTGCTTGACCTGGGCGGCTGATGGCTGGGCAATATTATTGCTGGCTGACAAAGCGACCATGCCGTTTTTCGGTGTGCCGCTACTGGAGCTGCCATTTGGGTACATTGAAACCATGCTGTCGATGGCAGACGCCGAGCGGCTGTGCCTGTTAGACACGGGCATTAGCTGCGACGATGCGGCCACACCGTGCGCGTGCTGTTGTACCTGTGTAGAATGCATCATCGCGGCAGTAGTGGCTACTGCGGATGACTGAGATGGTGCCATCGGTAGGCCGTTGGCCATGGCCACACTAGGCAGCTGACCCATGGTGTGGAACATTGCCGAGGCCATCTGCTCAGTCGTAATTCCCAACATGCCCATGCTGAGCTGCTGAGCCTGCACCTGCTGCTGCAACTGGGCCTGGACCTGAGCCTGGACCTGGGCGTTCATGTGTCCGGCGACAGCGACGGCCGTGGTGTCGGCTTCAATCTTCTGGACTAGCGACTGGCTCTCGGATAAAAACGGGGCGGCAGTCGTGTCGATAGACAGAATATGTGCGGATGATGCGAATGGCATGGATGTAGCTGGTTTTGTGGGCGAAATAGGTTGTAAAATGGGCTGTTGTTGTTGCTGTTGTTGTGTGTGCTGGTATTTCTGTTGAGAGACATTGTTGACGGGAAGTTGTATTGTTGCGGCGGACTGCTCGTTAATAAGGTTCTCCGCGCCGACAGAAGACATGCTGGTGGAAAAGCTGTTGGCAGAAGTCAGATGAACATTGCGAGCGAGATCAGCGCCAGAGACCTCTTCTACTGGGGCGAGCAAAAGGGCAATGTTTGGAGTGCTCGCTGCATGTGTCGAAGCTTGAAGTGTTTGAGAAGTGCCCTGCGCTGTCTGCATGGAGATACACACGTCTGCTTCCGAAATCCCAGTCAGATGATCCTCTGCAATCGTTGGGAGCAGTTTATTTGTCGCGGCGGCTGGTGAAAATTGCGTTTTGACAGCGTCTGGAGCGCCCGTGCTGTATTGTTCGAGCTCTGCGCTGTTGAGGGACATCATGATCAACTGTGTGTGCGGCAATGCGTCAAAATACGGCTATTGTGTCTGTGTGCGTATATGGCCTTTCGGTGGATAAAAACCAAAGCGTGTTTGTGTGTTGCCCAATAAAGTGAATGGCGCGGCGCGGACCTGTGCCTGGGGGTGCAGCAATGATGCAGGAATGATAATCGAAGCTCAAGCGACCAATAATAATGGCAATTTGAAATTATATCTCTGCTCACACGGATATGCGCAAAGGCAGACGCGAATTAATGACAAGCAACAAAATGAGACAAAGGCCCAGAAAGGTAAAAAGCAACTGCTGATGCTGCTGGTGCTCGACGGAGCAATAAAGTATTATATATTTTAGACCGGAGCAAAGGTGCAAATGGCCGTGCGTTCCTACATGTGGTTGCAATAAAGTGTGTGTATGGGTGTATGCGACAAATCAAACATTCAATGATTAATTAGTATAAAGTACAAATTGCCAGCAGTGGCGATGAAGGCGTGATATAGGGCAAATTTGGCTTATGGAAAATTGGAAGTTCAATGAGAACAAGTGGTCCCGGGAACATCCAATTGTGCGCACGGGTAGGCAAAGAAGGATGCTTGAACCGTTCTTATTGTTCTTGGTTGGAATCTACCAATCAAATAATAACAATTGTGCTCACCAATATTGTTTCAACCGCTATGGTATTTTATGCGCTTAGCAAATGAAAAATAAAATAAATTATCGACAGATGAAAAGTACTGGCCCCGAAGAAACAAAAAGAAACGTTTACAATGTCGATTTTGTTTTTTTCAATAAATAAAATTTTAATTAGCTGACAATTACGAAAGAGCAAAGAAAATCAAAGGAAATATGTGCGAGAGGAGCAAATCTGTCCAAGGTTTCGTCGTGTGTTGCCCATTGCAAAAAAAGAAATGTACCAAAAAATTGTATCTTTCCATTTTGGTCAGACTGCAAGACATTGAAAAACAGGCAATCCGAAGTGACATGCTGGGTAGGGGGAAGGGGAAAATAAGGGAAATATTTTCTGATTTAAATTGGATTTGATGGCGATAAAACACAAAATCGCGCACGGATGATCTCTGCGTGCGCGAGGCCAGCTCTACGGTTTCAAAGATCAAATATAGAAAATATGATATCACATCAAAAGATGGGCCAAACAGCTTGTGTAGACGCGCTATTTGTACCAGCAAAGAAAGTAAACAATGATGATGGTTGTCGACTTTTTATTTGCATAAAATTTTTTTTGTATTTACCTCTGTTCTTCTGGCTTGTTTTTTTGACTGAATGGATGATGACGGCCACGAGGATGTATGATGCGATTTAAAAAATAAACAAGCGCGCCGCTGAATTGGTGGATAAGGGGAGGATTCAAAAGCAATAAAAAGAGCAAACGCAAAATATCGATCTTCAAGTTTCCGGAAGTCAAGTGTCAAATAAAATGTGTTCAAGTATCGCTGACGTTAGCGCGGGTGGTGGTTGAGCTCTGGCGACACTTGTGATGCTGACTCGGGACCGCGAAGCAACCGATTTTATCGAGGCGCGAAGGAATAAAAAAAGTGAATAAATAATTAAACAAAGAGTCAAAGTGCTCTTAACAGTGTAATGCCTTTTTGAAGCCCGAATGATACGCGATAGCAAATACACGCGAACTAGGAAATGAACAATGTCTGTTGTATAGGTCAAAGCCTCAATTGTCAGTGTTTCGGGGGGAAATAGTACCGGTGTTCTGGGGGGAACAGTCAAAGAGCAGTAATTGTGCTGTGTCGGTCAAGATTGAGAGCCCAAAAATGTGGAAAATGGGCGGTAACTGCGGGCAATCGTGCGAAAATGGGCGCTGGTCCTGCTGCGGGAATAAATATAAAATGCTTGTTGAAAAATTGAACACCAAAAAACAATAAATGAAAAAATTGCGGAAAGAGGCAAGCTTGAGAATTAAAAAAGAACAGAAAGTTTGGCTGGTGAAATATGCAGATGCTGCTTTTGGTCGCTGTTGGGACTTGAGGTGTGCAAAAGTGAGCGATAAAAATTAGAAGAAAATTTAAGGCAAAAATAGGACATATCAGCGAGCTGTTCCTCCGGGAGGCTGGCTCAGCTTCCTGCACCAATCGCGAGCGAGAAAGGAGCGGTTCAATGGCTAGCCAGAGGCTGCAAATCTGCTAGTCTGCCAAGGCGAACACCGCAGAAAAATTTTTAGGCAAGGGCAGCAGCCAATCGCCACTTTTCAAACACTAGACCAAACAGCTTGGCAGACTACCACTCGATTCGCTCCGCTTCCGTGGCTCGCGAGCCGTCAAAAATTCAATAAGGCAGGATGGCGCAAACAGGCACGAGCTGTCTCATGCAGCTCGCTTTTCTACAAAATAATGTTTTTTATTTCGCCAGCACTCAACCAAGCCGTTGTGGCCGCCGCTTAGTAAGAAAGCTGCTTCCATAGCAACATGCCATTCTACACAATGAGAACATAGTTATTTAAAGTTGCCGATGACAATGACGCTGCAGCACTACAGCTGTATGTCTGTCTGCCTTCAATTGTGATTCATTTGTAATACTAGAGCGAAAAAGGTAATTAAGTACGCACACAAAAGTGCGGTCAGTTTTTTCTGTCACTGTTTGCGTCACTTGGCAATTTCATTGATCGGCTTTAATTTCGACGAGCGTTCTCACGCGAGAGTGGCCTCACAGCGTGACCGGCGCTAAATGTTTAAATCGCATCTGCTGTGACAAATAAAAATCATTGCGCCATTACCTACTTGCATTTTTCAAGTTCAAAACATGGCAGTACACAATAAATTTGACTTGTGAATACGAATGAAATATGTTTATTTTGGCTTCGACACGTGCTTCTATTGTCTCATGCTAAAAATAATTAATTATACATACAAGTGCAATCGCATTAAAATTGGGATCGTTTTTATATTGCAGCTCACTTTGCAATTAACACGTATAGGTTGTCATTTTCAGCGCTGTCGTCCACAATTTCTCCTGCATAATATACACGTGTTTCAAGCATGTAACGCTTCTGCCACCCTCTTCCTCCCCAACCATGTACGCACCCTGGGGGTTTATGCTGCTATTTTAAATGCCTTTGCAGTTATTGCTTTAACGTTGAGCGCCTTTTTGCTCTCATGCGTGCGATGAGAAATCAAACAAACTTGAAAGCATAGATATGAAGTGTATGCTTGCCGATGCAAGGATATTGAGTTTATTGCGTCGCCTGTCTATTCATTGTCATTATTTCCTGCCGTTAGCGCAGAATGCGAATTGGGAAACATTTGCTCAATCTAGTTGGGGACAAAAACCGACCAAACAAATAAAATAATTGGACGGTTCTTCCAATGACCATACATTGACATGTAATATCTGATTATCGGATGTCGCGATAAGCGTGTTGTCTGAACAATTGATGAGCAAAACCACCCCACCCACCGGCCATCGGCCCAAATGGAATTGTGCCACCAAAAGGTTGGCTGGAATGCCGCCTTTACACGTCATTAACTTACCCGACAAAGGTGCCACCGTTCCGATGTCGTCAGTGTAATTAACTGCTGCTTTTAATCCATGGGTCGCTAAATAATTAGCACTGATCATTAATTTTCTCAATCCAAAGCTAATTTCTCATTTCTCATGGACCCTGAAGCACGTGCACAAATCCAAAAACAGATATTTGCAGGTCAGCTTTTCTTTTTCACGATTTCCACATTTTCTACATTTTTCACCTTTCATCCTCTACCGCGTATTTACTCTTATTACTACAGGTTCGCCATACAAGCAAACAGCACACGCAAACAACACGCGCACCTTGTCTTTTTTGTCTCTGAATTCGCGTGTCAACGCTGCTGCCACAGGTTTTATTCGCAGAGACAGCGCGCCATTCGCCCTTTTGCTAATTACTAGCACGCTTCATAATTACCACCGCCTACCACCAGTGCCGCCGGCTAGGCATTGAATTCACATTAACAAGGACACTCAGACATGGCGGACATGGACGTCGACTCTCCCTCGGAGAGGCACAAAGCCGGCAGCACACACCACAGCGACACCATGGACGCTGAGATGAGCGATGTCTCGCCTGAAGGCCCCAGCGCCGACACAGCTCATGGCGACACAGCGGCGTCGGCCGCAGGATGGAGCTCCATTCCCAAGGTCGGGTTCAGCGTACACACAGCCGATGAGAGCAGCAAGCCGGGGACGACTGAGCGGATGGTCAAAGACGTGCCGCTGCCAGCGGCAGAGATCCCTGACGCCAACACTGTGTTTGAGGGCGGCGACGCGTCAAAGCCACAGTGTGCGTTTTTGCGCAACCACTTTTTCCGCGAGGGCCGATTGCGCGAACAGGACGCGCTGGCGATTCTGCGCCAGGCCACGGTGATTCTGCGCGCCGAGCCGACGCTGCTGACGATTGACTCGCCGGTGACCATCTGCGGTGACGTGCACGGGCAGTACTACGACCTGATGAAGCTGTTTGAGGTTGGCGGCGACCCAGCATCGACGCAATATCTGTTCTTGGGCGACTACGTCGACCGCGGGTACTTTTCGATAGAGTGCCTGCTCTACCTGTACTCGCTCAAGATCAAGTACCCGCAGACGATGTTTATGCTGCGCGGCAACCATGAGTGCCGGCACCTGACGGACTACTTTACGTTCAAGCTCGAGTGCGTGCACAAGTACTCGGAGCACGTGTACGAGGCGGCGGTCGAATCGTTCTGCGCGCTGCCGCTCGGTGCGGTGGTCAACAAGCAGTTTCTATGCATCCACGGGGGGCTGAGCCCTGAGCTGCACACACTTGACGACCTGCGGGCGCTGGACCGGTTCCGCGAGCCGCCAACGCATGGGCTGATGTGCGACCTGCTGTGGGCCGACCCGGTCGAGGACTTTGGGCACGAGAAGAACAAGAGCTACTTTGTGCACAACTACGCGCGCGGATGCTCGTACTTTTTCAGCTACGCAGCGACGTGCGCGTTCCTCGAGCGCAACGGGCTGCTGTCGCTGGTGCGCGCGCACGAGGCGCAGGATGCCGGGTATCGCATGTACCGCAAGAGCAAGGCGAACGCGTTCCCGGCAGTGATCACACTGTTCTCAGCGCCCAACTACCTGGACGCGTACAACAACAAGGCGGCGGTGCTCAAGTACGAGAACAACGTGATGAACATCCGGCAGTTCAACTGCTCGCCGCACCCGTACTGGTTGCCCAACTTTATGGACGTGTTTACGTGGTCGCTGCCATTTGTCGGCGAGAAGATGACGGACATGCTGCTGGCCATTCTGGACATCTGCACAAAGGACGAGCTCGAGGAGAACATTGCCGAGGCGGGTGCCGCGTCTGATGCCCTTGGGGCCGCTGAGTCTGGTAGGATTACCGAGGTGAGCGCTGCCAGCGACAGCGAAGGCGACAGCATGGACGGCAGCATCGCCGGGTCGCCACGGCCGGGCAAGAGCATACGCATCCCGGCGGCGCTGCTGGGCGGTGGCGCTGGTGCGCAGCCGTCAGAGCTCGAGCAGCGGCGCGAGACGATCCGCAAGAAGATCCTGGCGGTGGGCAAGATATCGCGCATCTTCCGCGTGCTTCGGACAGAGGCTGAGACAGTCAACGAGCTCAAGGGCTTGCTTGGCACCCAGCGGCTGCCGGTTGGGCAGCTGTCGGCGGGCGGGCGCGGGCTGCGGATGGCTGTGCTGTCGTTTGAAGAGGCCAAGCGCTACGACCGCGACAACGAGAAGCTGCCGCCGCTGCGCAAGCAGGCGTCCTCTGAGCAGCGGGTTGAGGACGCGGCAATGCAGGCGGTGTGTGACGAGCAGGCGGCATACGATGCGGCCGAGAAGGAGGTCGGGCCGCTTGCAGCGCTCGAGGAGCGGCTGGACCACCACACGCGGCAGATGAGCCAGGACAAGAGCGCGTACGGGTACTGAATGAGGCCTAGAGCCGGCGCATCCCGCACATTTGCAAGCCCGGGCGGCATTTGATATGGCATAGCACAAAACACAATAATGTATTTATTATATTTACTCTAAATATTTAATTTAAAGTCACGTGTTGTGGGTTGCATGTTTGACAGTTGCCATTTGGAAGCGAGCTGAATGCTGAGACCAAAAAAAGTAATAGTAACAAAAGTGCGTTTTCTTTACTTTACTTGGCAGGCCCAGTCCATCCACGGTTCTTCCAGAACTCGGTTGGCGTGGTGAGTTTGTGATCATATTCTTTGGCGCGCTCGATAAACTCAGTTCTGCCATTGAAGAGCCCAAACTCCTCAATGCCTTTAAACATCTGGATCATCTCCTCCGTTCCCAGGTACTCCTCATACGGAATCTGGACATAGCGGGCTGGAATGCCAGTGACCTCGGTGAATGCGTTGACCATATCCTGGGCCTCATAGTAGCCACTGCTCGCCTCGATTACAGTTTCGAGGCACTCCTCAGGGTGGTCCAGGATATACGACACCACGTAACCAACATCATTGGCAGTGTCAACAAGCGGCAGCTTGGTGGTGGGCTTCAATGGGAACGTAAACTCGACGGTCTTGCCGTCCTCTGGCGACAGACGCGAATAATTCACGTAGTTCTCCATGTAGAACCCCACATAAACAAAGTATCCGCGGATCTGGCCTGCCTTGCTCGAAATGTATTCTTCGACCTCGTGCTTGCTCTCAAAGTGCTTGACTCCCGGATACTTGCCGTGAGAGTTTACCTTCATGGAGTCAAGGCTGCTGAAGACTAGGGATTTAACACCCTCGGCGATGGCAGCGTTGACTATGGCCTTCCCGTGCTCGTACTCTTGATCGCGGTCTCTGTCTTGGGGCTTGCCCGTGGGGTTGAACTGGGTGACGCCAAACACAATGTCTGCGCCCTTGAATGCTTGGCGCAATGAATCGATGTCGTCGAGGTCGGCCTTTGCCAGCTCAACGCCCGGGTATTTCTCCAGCACGGCCTTTGCAGAGGCGCTGGTAGTGTCGCGGGTCAGCCCGCGGATCCTGTACTTGCCGGTGGCATGGAGCGCCTTGAGAACGCTGCCGCCCTGGAGGCCGGTCGCGCCGACGATTGCGATTGATTTGCTCATGATATAGATAATTTAATGTAGTTTGAATCGAAATTAAAAAGCGCGAACAAAATAGATAAATAGGTGATAAAACCGAGAAGGGAGGGGAAAAAAGTAGACGTGTGTCTAGTCCTATTCTTAAAGCCCCCCCTGCACCACCGTTGCATTTGGTTCTAGGTCCACGCGTTGCACAAATATGCAATCACAATTGTACTTGCAATCATAGTCGCATACAAATGAAGCCCAGAAGTCCATCTACCTGAAACACAGCTATTAATGCGGGGTATCCTTATTCATTGACATAATAATTTATTCCTTAACAATATACAACAGCCTTTAAGACTTAGAAGCCACCCGTAGACCCCAATCCACACACACCTCGCTCAGTCTCTCCGAGACCCTCGTCGGTGCAGTCCTCAACCACCGGCGTGTAAATCCTTTCGAGAATCATCTGAGCAATGCGGTCTCCAGGCTTGACCATAAAGTCATTGTCGTCATTGTTGAACAGAGCAACCATGATCTCGCCACGGTAGTCAGAGTCGATGACTCCAGCGGCCGTGTCAATGCCAAACTTAACTGCAAGACCGGACCGTGGCGCAATGCGTGCGTACGAGTCCTCGGGAATGGCAATCTTAATGCCGGTCTTGACGACCCCGCGGCCGCGGCCCTTTATGGTTAGGGGCTCGGATGCGTATAGGTCATAACCGGCGGCCAGCTTGCTGCCCCGGGTCGGCAGTTTGGCGGAAGAGGTGATGCGGGCTACACGCAGGAACGGGCCGCTGTTGTTGCAGACAGTGGGCATTGTTAGTCAGTTAGTGTGTGTATGCGTAATGAAAAATGAAGGAGCAAAAATAATAAAAGCAAGGGGTAAGATAGAGAGGATAATAAATAATAAAAAATCCAAGATGAAGAACCGCCATTAATCTGGTACACTGGTGGGCAGCGCATCCTCCTTTTATAATACGACTGAACTAGCTTTCGAAGCCTGTATTTTTTCGCACACAGCTTGACGCGTAAACATGAAAAAATTTGCCCATTACGCGTGCGAAAAAAAACTGCCTTGACAAATTACGTGTTTTAATTGGTGAGAATGATTTTAATTTGAGCCACTACAATCGATCTGTTGGTTTGTTTTTTCTTTCATTTCCAACGCCAAACACAATAGTGTGAATTGCAGCGAGTCATAAGAACACCTGGTCTGGACTACCGCACCCTTGCTCCACATCAGTTTCTAATTTACCTTTTAATTCCCAACATTCCATTTATGAACTCGACTGTACTTTTATTTTATTTCATTTTTCAAATTGTGCCATACATCAAGCCAGTGACTGCTTTGTATATACCCAACCATAAGCTTATTTGAACACAACACATAGCGCAGGCTTGTTGAGAGCCGACATGGATCCAGAGACACCCACGCGACAAAACTCGCGCGGCGCGCAGCCGAACTCGCAGTTTGTGACACCCATGCGCCGAGTGCTGCAGCGCGTCGATGAGATCACACCACAATCTCGATTCCTTTCGGGCCTATCGCCATTTAACACGCCAGCTCTACAGCGCCTGGACGAGAGTGCCTTGAGGGGTAGGCTGAGGGAGGCATACCAGATGCTGAAGGAGAAGGAGAAGAACTTATTTCTGGCGGCTACCGTGGGGCAGGAATTGGTGGACACAAATCAGCAGCTGCAGGACAGCTATGAACGGGTGCAGAGGGAGCTAGCCGACGCCCAACAAAGAATAACCGAATTTGACGACCAGTCGTCCTCGCGGCTGTATGGCCGGGGGCGGAGTATGGCAGCGCAGCATCTCTCCGAGAGAGGTGATGCTGCTTGCCAGGAGCAGACGTTGGCTGTCAATGAGAACGGTGCGACGGCGGTTGACGAGCACGAGCGGCAATGGGTCAAGATGCACGTGCTGCCGGTGAAAGCGCAACTGCAGATGGCGCAAGAGCGCACTGACGAATTGCTCTCGGAGCGCGAGGATCTTATGGCCGAGGTGTACAGCTTGCGGCAAGAGCATGCAGCGGCGCTGCGTCGAGCTGGCGACTCCATGGCGAACACCGACGACGCGCAAAGGCGCATGGAGAAGCTGGAGGAGGAAAAGGCACAGCTGCATCAGGAGCTGGACGAGCAGCGCACGTTCTGGGCCAAGCGGTGGGTAGAGCACCAGGAGGAGCGCAAGGTCGGGGCGCAGGCCGTAAGCAACAGCCAGCTGGCAGAGCATAGACAGGCCCAGGATGCTGCTGCGCGCATCCGCGCCGAAAAGCGGGCCGACGAAATGCACGTGCGCTGCAGCACTGCCCAGGCCGAACTGGAGCTGCTGAGGAGCCAGATGCAGCGCATAGAAGAGGAGCGCGTCAACGAGTGGGAGCCCATGCGCGGGCGCTGGCTCGGCTGCGAGGAGGCGCTGCAGGAGCTCCAAGAGACACACCAAAGCACGTGCGAGGCACTGGCGCAGGCTGAGGCACGTCTGGCCGAGCTGGACAAAAGCAACGAGCTGAACGACCCAATAAAGCTCAAGAGCGAGAAGACCTCGACCAGCCTCCTCGGAGAGCTCGATTTGCAACGACATAACGCGGTGGCCCAGCAGCGTGCCCTGGCCCTCGAGTACACATCCCTGAAGCGCGCGTACGTTCGAGCGCTGAACACGCAGTCGCGGATGAAGCAGCAGGTGGCCAGGCTCACGCAGCTGGCGGCGGCCGGGGCCAGCGAGGCGCGGATGAAGCGCCTTGAAGCAGCGCTTGGCGAGGCCGAGTGCCAGCAGCAGGCTCTCCTATGGGCCAGCATGGAGCAGCGCAGGTCGGTTGATGTCGTCATGTCTGCTAATGGCCCAAGGTCCGAGGCCGATGGCACGGCGCTTGTCACGGCCTTGCGGGCCAAGGTTAAACAAATTGCTGCCGAACGCGACCAGTTGCAGCGCGAGTTGCGCACAGCACATTTGCTGCGGGCTAACGAGATACAGAGAACTCGCGATCTTGAGCGCGAAGCTGCCGAGTCCGAGTCCAAGCTTCACCGCGCTCTTGGTGAGCTGGCCTCCATCAAGGCCGACCACGATGCGCTCTGGCAAGCGGCCAAGGCGGGCGAAAAGTATGCGGATTCGCCGCAGGGTACGCCGCTCACACAGCCTGCTCGGAAGCGGACGATTCTGGGCGCCAGCCCGGATTCCGTGAGCCCGAGCCAGATGAAGCGCAGCCCTATGGGCCTGGGATTTATGATCAATTCCAACTTTGCAAAGATTAACAAAGCGCAGCCGCTGTCATCTCCATCAAAATCCAAGGTGTCTAAACGGCGCCACATTCAAGACAACTCTCTTGGAAAAGAGACACCTTGCAATTCGGGGCACAATTTCAAAGGCCCTTGCAGCACTCTAGGCCCCTCGCCGCCGAAGCCGCTGGCTGCTGAGGCGCAGGATCTGTGCGACATCAACAACGCTGCCGATCGCGGGCTAAAGTCTTGTTTGGGCGCTCTAGGCATAGTACGGCCACCAGAGACCGTGGCAGCAAGCAGTGACAGCATCAGCAATATTGAAGGCGATGGCACTGCGACGCTTGGGAATGCACACAAGCATGGGAAAACCTATCAGCCACATGAGTGCAGCAGCAATGACAACATTGCTAATAACACCACAGTGGTAGCCTCGGACGATATCTGCATAAGCACTCGCGGTTCCCACAAGCCAATTGAGTGTAATAACCAGTGACTTGTCGTTCGCAATTGGTGATTTTTTGATGTTTAAAAGCTCGTTTGCATTTGTATTTGTATTTGTATCATCCCGAAACATGCTTTATTTCGACAGTAGAATAAGCAGCTCATATACACAGCACAAATTTGCTTTCAAATTGGCAGAGGGCAGAAGGGCTATCGAAACTCGTACTCCACAAGCCCACTGTGCATCCAAGAAGTGCACACACGTCGGGTTTTTGTTAGTTTTTTATTCGGCTGAAGATATGTAATGAAGGGGTTTTACTGTGACAACGCATCCATTGCCATCGGTGTTTATGCTTATACTTTGTGGGCAATGTTCAGCTCAGGGAAGCTTTCTCGGGATGAAAAATTCCAGTATATGCAGCTGGCACATGCCTTGATCGACTGATACGCCTATAACTAAGACCTATAAATGGCTAATAGAAAGTAACATTGCGGTCAGACAAAACCGGTAGATGTGCGATTTTCTTGCATTGTTTTTCTTTTTTTCTGGCTACACATGCAACTGTCTGCTTGCAATCCCTTCTCCATATGTACTACAGCAGCTGCTACAATATAATTATTATTGTTTGCTGCTAAAGACTCGAAGATTTGCAAAATGAAAAACGGACATGCTGCTGAACGACAGGGTATTCCTTTCTCAATTTGGGCCGTGTGTCTAATGGCAAGCAGGGCGCTGCTCCTATTACAAAGGATGCAACGAAGAAATGAGAGAGCATTCACGTGAGTTATGCATATTCATCTTTCTCGGATATTGATTATAATGCTCTCAGAACAAATGCGATCAATGTGGAATGGCATTTGCTGTCAAAAACATATTATGTTATTCGCCTTCTAATTAATTAGTTCAATCTCACGAGATCGATGGCCTGAGTGAATGCATTCTGCATGCCATTTCTAAATTTTTGTTGAGTTGAGTAGCATCGAGAAATAAACACAAGCTGAGCGCATTTAAAGCTTTCTTTTTCCATTTCTTGCTCTCGCATATGCCGCTTTCTACTTTGTTTGCTTTAGATTTTGGCGGACGAAAATAAGAGGCAGCGCAAGGTATGCCAGGCGACTAGTGCAGGATAAGTGACTTCATGCACGTCTGCCTGCATGGCATGACATATGGCCATCTTTGTCCCCGGCAACCGCCGCTCTTTCTGCCATACACACATCACCGGAATCACCGGGTCTTTCTTTTTTTGTGTTTGGTTTTACCCTCGAAAGCGTAGCACATCTGCTCAATTCACCTTTGACATTTGGCATTTGGGCTTTGGGCTTTGACGTGTATCGCCTTTCACTGCTATCCTTCTTTCTGCTATAAATATGCGAAAGTAAAAAACCCCAACAAATCACATGCTGCATATACCGTGATAGCCACGCCCTTTGTATCCTTGCCAAAGGCTTTTCTTTAGTCCAAATCCGCTGCCATTTCAGCTGCAAGCTCAGTAATTCAGGCACGTTTCTCGTTCAAAAGGATAAAATAAATTTAGAGAAGAGGCTGCACATTCTTTTTTAGCTGCGTTACATTTTTCTTCTCAAACGAATGTCAAGCTTTTTATGCTGATATAGACAAGCGATTGCGCTTTTCCGGCCGAACTGAAAACTACCCGTTTCCTTTCTTGCGATTCCATATGCTTATATCCTTTTAGTATTCAAACCACCATCAAAGACATTCTTATTATCCTTATTACATGGTTTACATGGACCGAAATACATTGCCATATTTTTCATATTTCTTCTTACAACAACCTGTTTTCTTTGCACTCTGGATATCACTCTTGTCATTTGAACGTTTCCTTCTTTACCAAGCGAGCAAATTCATCGAAATATACTATTTTTAGTCATTCATTGATATATTTTTCTACTAGGATATTTTTAATATAGAATCAATTTCCAAAAAAGAACAAAAGTGTAGGAACTCTACACTTTGCATATTTAAAGGGTTTGGTCGGCAGTCTATAATCCGCTTTTTTATTCCTCATTTGCTCAACAATCACATTTATATTTCTCAATTCATTCACTGACCTCGCATTTGCACTTTTCACCTTATCTTTGCATCAAGTACTTTTGTTTTATTTATTGTTATCTAACGTTTGCATTTTATTTGGTTTCTACATTTTATTGTACACAAACTTCCCTTTTATTTTTATTTTTGGACAACACTCCTGCCGCGCATTTTTACTACTCAACTTTTGTTCCGTGCACTATCAATACCTTTCTTATTTGCATATACCATATCTGTATTACTTTATTGTCCTCAATGTCTGAGTCATCGCACTTATACGCGCCACAGCCGTTACAGAGGATTCACATTGAGTATCCAGAGTTAGCTCAGTTTTCCAGCAACGAAAGTGCTCCAAGAAGACCTGGTGTCAGCTACACACCGGTGACTGTGCTGCTGCCCTCCGACCGGCGACTGATCATGATTCCAGCATCGTTTCACATACCCCCAAATGGGTGCATTTTGGTAGACGTTTCCAATCCAGACAACGAAGAGGTCGCTGACACCCCCGAAAACAATTCTGTTCGATCTAGGTCTGCAAGCAATGCCTCCAGCGCCGATATGGTCGTTGAAAGTGAGATCAACACGGATATGTCGAATGGGTGCACAGACTGGACGCTCAACAGTCATAGCAATTTTATGCAGTTTTCTGACATATTGAGCAGCAGCACCGCACCCAGTCATGACTCGTCCCAGGCTATCAACAGCTATTTTAGCATGGGTTCAGCATTTGGCCAGCAGCAGCAGCATTTAACCGCCGCTGAAGAGTTTACAAAAGTTCAGAACACAAAGGACCATGATAGCTTTACCGACGATTTTGCAGGCAGCAGCAACTTGACCAATCTTTCGGTGGCTGATTTGAGCATCCTGCCAACACAGATGAACATAGAGAAATCGACACAGTTGCTGAAACGAATTCGAGAGGAGGATAGCCAGGCAGAACTTCTCAAGCCAAAAAAACCGCAGAACGCATTCTTTCGTTTCAGGCGCCAGTTCCATATGGAGTGCATGGCAACAGGAAAAAAGCACATGGCCAAGGATATCTCGGAGATGGCATCAAAAGTGTGGCGTTCTATGACAGAAGCTCAAAAGGATTACTACAAACAGCTTGCTGACGAGGAGATGGGCGAGTACCAGGTGAAAAAGGACACCTACAAGGAGGCAACAAAGAAGGGAAGGAAACGAACAAAAAAAACGCTCAAGAGCCCGCCCACTTCCGCTGCAGCGCTGGCCACTTCGGACAATAGTAATATCAGTCCCGTTTGTCATCCTGACTCCACTTCAAAGGCTATTACAGCTTACCAGCATGCTAGAAATAGTCACAACAATACTGCAGCTGCGTTAACGTTTGCAACAGCCGCCGGGATTCCACTTGACATGGGCAGCTCCGTTTCTAGCTCGCACATACCACTGCATATTCCAAATATTACATCCAGTAATTATGACTGGACACAAGCTATACTCGGTGGACCATCAATCTCGCTCATGGACACGGATGGGCCAAGTATGCAGAGCAATCCCGCGTTGCAGTCAAGGTTTGTGTCCTTGCATTCATCTGGCTCGCAAATGCACAGGTCCGTGCAAACCCAAATGCCAGTGTCAAGCTCGTGGAATCTGAGCCATTTTTTAAACAGCACGGATACGACTCGTACCTCGCATTCCACAACATATATCAGCACCCCTGCGTCGGGCGCGGATAATCAAATTGATTACTTGACGGATCAAAATCAGCCGGTGCGACCTCAACCCGGCCAGTTGTCGTCAGCAAACAGCTACTTTTCAAATTCCCATCCTGCCAATTCTGGAATTAGCGCGCCCACCAGGACACCAAACAACCTCACCGGCGTTCTTCCATCCATTCCTGATATTGCGGTCGTCGATCCAGAAAGCGAAGATAACATACATACACTTCAGTACTTTTGACAACCGCCAAAGTAAAGATGAAAAAGAGCCTTGGATCTTTGCTTAGTTATTGGTCTTTTTAAAATATAAAATTTCTATTCGGGGTTCAACATAAATTTTTTTCGCACAATGCAACTAATTCAATATTTTGGAGTTTATTACTGGCAAAGTTGCTAACATTGATTATTATAAGAGCAGTTAATAAAGGTCAATTATCAAAATCACAAATGCCATAGTATGTAATTATTCTACGCGCACGCATAAATTGGTTGTAATTGAGTAATAGCAAATTTTGCACGTTAGAAAAGTACAATTACAATTGTGCATGAGGTACGCACGCCAAATCTTAATTGCAATTAAATGTGCCGAGCGTTGTACAATAGCAATTACAAGCGCATTTTACAAAAGTAATATTTTATTATAATACAAAGCCTATGCACTTTGATCTGATTGAGTCTCCTGTGTTTAAATATTTTATATACACACTATTGACCGCACTGTGTGCAAGCTCAAGATTTATTTTTGAAGCATTACAATTGTATTATTGCACAATGTAAATTATTCTATTTTTCTTGGCCAAAACAAAAGATGTGCACTTCAAACTTTACGTGCTAATAATTTAAAGCCATTTAATAATGTTCCAGTCTTCTAATTGTATAATAAACATCCAAGGCCGTGTTTACTACGAAAACAGCGCGGGTCCAGTCCCAATTTCATTAATAGCAATCAAGCGGTAAAATTCTATTGCACTAATTGTGTTGACCCTGTTGCTCATTATTTAATTAAAATTACACCTTTCTATTCTCAAGTGACCAGAACAACTACAATTTAGCCAAGGCAAAAAAGTAATTCTACATTTCAAAACAGGTTGGAAATATTTACAATGCAAGCAATTGTAGAAGACTTCCAAGCACATTTATCCATTTAATTGGACACGTGAAGATTTATGTTTTGCTCATGACCTGTTAATTGTAGAAACAGACATCTTTTGACATTAAACAGTAAAAACACATTGCTTGCAGGGCATCTTTGACAGTTTAGAAAAGTATATATAATGATAATTTCCAACATTCTTTGAATTTTTACTTTTGTTTTGTTTTTTTCTTCTGGATTCTTAATTCTCAATTTCTTTTCTTTTCTTTTTCTTTCCTACGCTACACTTTATTATAATTTATTTTAGACACTATGCATATACATATTCACACCCTATTCGCGCACTCTCCCACTCGTAAATATTTTTTGACGAATTTGAGGCAGTCCAGGAGGCTAAATCGCATGCTATTTAATTTCGGCTGGCGTAATTAACTTGATTTGGATTTACCACAAAAAAATCGTATTTGCTTGTCATTATTGGCATTTCCCTTTTCAGACAAACAAAAAAAGCGACATTATCATGCATACATTAGGTAGTCACAACACCCAACTCGTACACATGCCATAGGCTTTTCTTTTTTAACCTGCGTAAAGCAGTTGTGCCAAAAGCTTTATGCTTCATTATTTCTCTTCACATTTTTCATTTCTGCTGCATACCCTTTGCCATTTTTATTTTGTCATGACCATGCATATGCATTTGCATTGAACCCAATGACCCCGGCATCAAAAGCAACAACCTCTTTCACTTCCGTATAGGCATTGTGGGTGTACTATTTTTTGTTAGTATGAGTGAAAGTAGAAATTTATGATACTACGCTCATGCATATCATCTGGATGTACAAACAAAGGATACGTGTCAAAAAGCAAGTTTTTTGTACCAATTGCTTTTGGAAAGTGCATGACCTGGTGCAGAGAATTGACATAGCATTAATGAATTGTTTTTGTTTAATGCATTTGATAGCTGTTTAGAAAATTGATACTGGTTAATGTTGATTCACGCGGATTCAGCGTACGAATAATTTGAATTCATTTTGGTGCAATTTCACATTTCCGCACATTTTTGCGGCTATATAACTTTTAATTTTATGCGTCTACGCATTAATTTTTTTTAAAAAAACAGCACAAATAACATTGTATGTAAATATTTTTAAACTGTCAGCTGCATATACCCACATGTTTTTTTTTAGTATTTGCAGCAATATGCGGTTGAGAAAAAGTCCTGCCACAAAAAAAGCCAAATATATCTTTCACCCCAATTTTTAATATATTTTAAAAACACCAAAAAACAAATAATGAATTGCTCATTACATCCTCCACACAGCTAGCATAGTTTTCCCATCACATTTTTTGCAAACGGATTTGCTTCTATGCAATCGAGTGTGAGCAATACACTGTGAAGGTTATCTGTATCAGCAGACATTGGTCAGATACATTGTCAGATTTGAGATAAGACTGATATTTACAGATGTGAGAGAAAACATTTGCATTTTTGTAAAAAAAAAATTTGAAAAAAATAATGTACAAGGATAAACAAAGCGTGAAACGCCGTGTCATTTTGTAAAAATCAATTACATTGGTTGCAGCAACTGCTGGTGTAGCCCTTGCCAATTTAAGAAAACAGGGAATTGTTGTGGAAATATGAACCGGTTTTACTCTGCGCTTGAATTTTTGACCACTGCATAACAACATAACAAAGCAGTGCACGCATATTTGCCCGGTATTATATATTATGCTATCCCTGGCTGTAAATAAAACAGATGCTAAAAACAAGTGTATATTTTAAAAAAACTGCATGCATACCTACATAAAATATAGCTAATGCTATTTTGATAAATTACATTTTATACAAATGCATTAGGCCTATCATTAAGTAAAATGTAAACCCCCGAGTAAAGTGCGTTTGTGGCCAAAGGTGTGCTTTTAAATATATAGTTACACATTTGAATTTCCAAAAAACAAATTGCAAGTACGTGTTGCATTACTAGTTTTATTTGTTTGCATATGTTTGTTGAAAATGTAAAAATATAGACAGGTTTATGTTTTGTCAAAAAAAATCAACAATAAAAAAGTAAAAAAAACATTACCTGTGGCAGCAAATGCAAACGTGCATTTAATTATATTAACATTCACTATTAAAGCAGCAGTGGTCATATTCATTTTCAAAACCGTTTTTTGGCTTATTGTTTTGAATATGTGGTATTCATAATTCTTAAAAATGTAATAAAAATATATCCAATTATGAACGCCCATCCATGGAATCATAATATTTACAAAGTAAATTAAACCCAAATAGCATAGAAATAATGCAAGAATTTAGACACAAGCAATTGTACAACCATGAGATGATGGCCTTTTTTTAGATCCTACAATTGAATACATGATTACAAATGTCAATCCATGGGTTTTAATTTTTTACTTTAGTCAACCGCGAATTCGGATTTTATTAAATGTAGATTTTATTCTCACATGTGTCGTCAAATAATTTATTTTAAAGTATTTAAAACAATTTATAACATTCTGTTTTGTTAATAAAAATAGAAATGATTTACCGACATCAGCATGGCAAATAAAATGCAAAAAATAATTACAAAGCATTTAATATGTTGAAAATCAATAAAAGATGAACTTTGCTTTTCCGTGTATTTTTATGTACTGGGTTATGCACGTCAGCGCGTTCTTTGTGGCTAACAATTTTAAACATGTCATTTATTAATTTTTAACAAACAGGCATTACATCAGATTAGCTCTAAACGAGCCCTTGACCATACGATACAACCAAATTGTTTTTCAAATATATTGCGGTGTTAAGCTCAAAAATATCTAAACGCTGTGATTTAATTGTGCAATTTGATTTGCAATGTGTAGAACAATTTTCAATGGAATTCAATCAACGCATATGACATAGGGTACTCCCGGAAGAACAATGGTCTGACGCAAACCACTGTATCTGTGATCGGTCAGCTGGATATAAACCTTAGATTGTACCCTATTAAAGCCAAGTCATATGTGCGTGAAATGTATTCTTCCTAAATATTTTCTATTGTTAGAGGCCACATGTCTATCAAATAAGACATAGTCTGCATATTTCCAATATCAGGGTTTTCTTTTGCCAAATGACTGTGACTCATTACATGTGGTTAAAATAACAAAAAAAATCATTTTATAGATATGTGCAAAACGTACCAAACAAGTGTTGACTGCTGAGATGATATGAGCATACAATTTAGTTTGTGCGCATTTATTTACTTTTTCATAATCTAAATAAATTCTCATGACATGTACTAGCCATTGAAAAAAGGTGCGCAACAAACTTTAATAGCTCTTGATACCATAGTATTGTCATTATTGGTATATTTTGCATTTTGCTCATTTGTATGTAAGAACAATGCCATAGATTTGCCTTACATATATCAATCTTGCTTGCTAAGCTAGAGGATATGACGAATATGTGGACTGCGGAGCAAGCTGGTACATAATAACACAACATGCCAATCAACTTCAAATATTGGAGTCCAAAATCAATTGACATACAACTGAACATAGAGCAATGCGTCTAACCTGCAGATGTGTATATTTGGAATAAAAATCATGCAAACTGGCATTCGTATTCAGTCTTCAATTCAAATGCATACCACTCACTATGGCAAACAAATTGCAACACGCGGATGTCTTTGTAGCAGATAAAAAATAGTCATACTGTTTGGGGAATTCGAAAGACGCAATGCAATTAATAGATGTGTTGCATGTCATTGCAAAACAAAATAGATATAGCGAAATAATGGGGGTGGGTAAAGGGGGGGCGTTTGGAATCCAGCACAATCACACACCCCCATGTGCCATGCCCCTTATGCTGCTACCTGCATACTCAATGTCGGCATTTTTTGCTCTTATTTTTTGCACGGGTTAAACGACTTCCACGTCTGCTTGTCCGCTGCATCCTCAGCGTATGCGGCCTTTGTCTAGGCGGGTTAAACGGCTGGTCGACTGGATGACACTCCAAAGTTTGCTTGATGCCTGTTCGTACATTTTTTTGCACCAGGCAATGTCTGTGCTGCTGCTATTCTTATTTCCTCACATAATGCATCTGGTCAGCTAGGCTCTTTTTCTTCTTTATTTTCCCATCACCGCCTTCAAAAGCACAGCCTGTCCAGCCCATGGACAGTCAGTGCATTTTATGTTAAATAGAAAGAGCATCCGCTGTCCTTCCCAAACTTGAACTTTTTGAAAAGACAAACCACTGTCATTTTTCACAACCTTTTAAAAGATAACTTTATCTGTTTAACAAATCGCCGCCTGTCAATTTTTGTATTTCTTTTTTTCACGCCAACTCATCCAATCATCCACACACACACCACTTTTCTGGCTATTTGTCGTTATACTTATCTGCCACAAAACATAACTGACTTTTTGTAAAAGTTTTCTTTTAACCATATACCAGCAACTGTTCCCTTTTTAATATTAATATTTTTGGTTTCTATTGACCCGCCACCTTTTTATTTGTCAAAGGACATTTTTTATTATTAATTTTTATTAGTTTCTCACCATGTTTAACAGCCATACGCATATTAATGGGGAAACCCCAGCGGCCCAGCAGCTCAGTGAGGCCGAGTTCCGTGTTATCAATCAGTTGCGACGCTTGCAACAGCAGCGCGCCCAGTACGTACCCGTCATCGGTCGTCATGAGCCATTGGGGATGATCAGCTACGACGGTCGCCAGTTCCTTGAAATTCGTCAAAATTTTTCACCCATTCTGGTTCCCACTCACATGCTGACCACAGTACGCACATTTATTGCTCAGAACCTGCCGCGGCACATACGGTCTTTGGGTGCACAAACGCAGTCACCGCCACAGTCACCACCAACCTTGCAGCCACCATACATGCCGACTAGCCCTCTGTCAGAAATATCGCAGACTCCACAGACACCGCAGCCAGCTTTCAGGACGGGCGCTTCATTTTACGACAGCACTTCCCCATTGGGTTTGAATGGGATGGGCATGTCATTAGCCCAGCCAAGTGCACCAGTATCCGAGCCGGTTCCAATTCCTCAGATTGACAACAACTCGGCTCTGCTCACTTCTTTGCCATCCAACTTTGCAACTTCGATTTCAGCCATGACCAATGGCGGGTTCAACCAAGCGACATCGCCTCGCCAAAACAGATACATAAGTGCTGAGGATTTGCTTACAGCGGAAATTAAAAGCAAGGGCAGTCTGGTCCATTCTAGGTCCCCATCTATAAGCGGCAAGGTATCGAAGCGCTCGGCATCAACCAAACTGCTCAAGTCGCCAAAAATGTTGCAGCGTGGCCAGGAGTTTAAAGGCCAATCCATGCAAACCAATCGTGTCATTCGTGAGGACTGCGTGGACGACGAGACCATCGAGGACGAAAATGCTGATTGCAACGACATGGACATTGTAAGTGAATATTATGTAAGCGATAATGAGGATGACGAACTCCGCAAACCGGCAAATGCGTTTATTTTGTACAGACAATCCAAAAACCAGGCCCTTCGGAAGCAGAAGCCCGGAATCAGTGTTGAAGCAGCATCGTCTGTTATTGGCAAGAGTTGGCGCGAGGAGTCTGAGGAGGTTAAAAGTATTTTCAAGGAGTTGGCCCAGGTTGAGCGCGAGAAGTACTTTGCCAAGAAGAAGCGCGTACTGGCGCGGCAGAAGGTCAAGAAGGCCGAGCGCGACGAGGTGACATTGTCGCCAACTCCGCGCAGCCCGCAGAAAGCGCCCGAGTTGCTGCCCAAGACTAAAGCGCCCAGCCAGATAATCTTTTCCGAGTCACGCGGTCTGAGCTCGTTTGCACCCGAGGCCCTGGCCGAGGGTTCTCTTAATGTCATGTCGTACCAAGACCACTCCAATTTGCAAATGTCGCAGCCTCGAAATGTGAATGCACTCACTGTAAATACTGACCAAAATATTGCTGGCTCGTCACTGCTAAGAGATTATTCGTATCCTGGAAACAACATAAACCTTGAGCTGAGCGGGATGGGGCCAGCGATAGATGGCTTGAGTTCTTATGACAGGTCCAGGCTTTTTCCCGAACACGCTAATCTAGACTCGTTTTTCACTGCGGCCAGGACAGAAGAAAACAGTGTATCGCAGGAATTTTCCCGGCAGGTTGCATCGTCGATGGAGAAACTCACAGCTGCTTATAGTCAGACCAAGTCGCAGTCAACCTTGACAACAATGGCCATCGACCAGCCCTTGCCCGCAGCTTACAACAATGGCAGGAATGGCAATGGAAGTGTCGATATCACTAACAACAGCAACGGTAGCACCAACAACAGCAACAACAACAGCGGCATAGACTGGACACCCGAGCAGATGACTAATAGCAGCGGGTTTGAAAATATGTTAAATTCTTATTTTAATAAGAACAGCTAGCATGGTTGTTCAAATTCTGTGCCTTATTTAGTATTAATTCTAATATTCAATTTTTTCTTAGGCATTGCGCGCTCTGTTACATAAAATGCCATTGCTATTTATTATTATTTTTGCGTTAAAATTATTTACGTCCCAATATGCCTTGTCTTGCCATTTGTTTACCAAGGCAGCGCTCGGGGAATTGCTTTATCCGTTTCTGTGAGCACTGGTACTACTGCACCTGGATGGGCATTGCGGACATCAGCATCACCCGCATATGCGTGCATATGTCAAATGAATGCAGATTGTCAGACCAGGCAAACAATACCTTATAAGACCTGCTTCATTGTGTTGTCACATGTACGACAAAGCCTTGCAAAATATATAGTACTGTTTTATATTTCTCACAAAATTTTCTGGATAATGTATATATTGCAGGTGAGCGTTACATGATGCAGTGTGTGTTGATCGGCGGCATATGCCAGTGCACATATTTTTTTACAAGATACGATAGGGTGATGGAAAGAAATTATTGCGCTTCGGCAGCCTTGTCAGGACTTGCGAGCAAGCGCTTTGCGAGAATATGCAAAGAGCAGACGGTATAATAGTCGCTGACTAGCCTGGTGACTCACAGTCAACTGTGTACACATGCAAAATAATTAATTTGGCAGACATTCACGCATATTTTCAGCATTGAATATTAAAAGTAGTCCCCAAGTATGGAAATCAAGTACAAATTGACGCGGTAGATCAATTACTAACATGTTGATTTTTAACCATTGCGCAGTACTTAAATATTGTCTAAAACCCAAACGAAACATGGCCCCAGCTGGTAATGGACTTATACAATGGGGGCAATTGGAGAGTAAGGTCTCTGGAAAAATGCAGACTGCTCTCTTCGAACAGCACGCTATCGGGTAGACAATTTCTGGGCGGGTTCCATTCGCCAAATAAGGGATGTCTTGATCATGCAGTGGCCGCAAAGAAGCTTGCTTTGTAAGGATCCAAATTACGTATTTTGCCACGGAAAAAAATTTGAAATCGTGCTAGTCTTGGCGATATCGAACATTAAAATGAGCCTGCGAAAAAAACCAAGATCTGACACGATACTCAGCTTTTTTTCCTTTTGGATTGCCGCTGCACAAATATTTATTGTGATATCATTTACCCCCAAATTCCACCAGAAAGAGTAAAAATAATCCGACAAACTAGTCCTTTAAAAGGAAAGCCGTTCGAGTAGATTCACACCCAACGCGAACTGGTCCTTTGTACGAACCTCTCGCTTTGTTTTGTTTTGTTTTGTTTTCGAGAGCGCCCCGCATAAAAATCAGCAGACCAAGCACATACGCTTTATACAAAATAAAAAACTTTACGAACGGAAATAAAGAGGCGCTGGGGGGGTTGAGAAAAAAAACCAAGTACATTTCTATATTCTACTCACAGTAGCCCTGCTTTACCCTGTACATCTTTCGAGCATAAATGTTATTTGCGGACTTGTCTAAAATTAAGTTGGAATTTAAATAAAGATTTGGACTTTACCATATATAGCCTCGTGTAGCATTCACACACTTTAAAGGGAAAAAGGATGTTCTTGGAAGAAAAACAGGAATAAATGCGAGTGTGTAAGATGGGGGAAATCACAAAGACACGCGGAAAAAAATATATAGACACTGAATGTTGCTCTGTGTTTGTTTTCTTTTTTGCTTCTGCATTTTTTGTAATTATTAATTTTTCGGTGTCCCTTCACTGTACATGCCAGGCATTCTGTTGGCATTGTCATTAGCATCTACATATTCCTGCAGCCTTTTCTCTGTTGTTTGCAAGCACAACTCGCCACACACTGTCCCTTTCTTTTTGTTACCCCACATCTGTTTTTCTTATCGTTTGTTGTTTGTTGACTGGTAAACACAAACATCACCTTTTATCTTATTTATTACACGCTACTTTATTATTTTACAAGGCCAACTATCGACAAAACAGGAAACCTTATTACTCTTGCTTGCCGTGTGGCTCCCAAAAATAGCAGCCTATACCACCCTTCTATTCGCACTTTTTTTGTATTTTTTCTCTATTTATTTATTCTTTCTTTGTGTTCAAGGCGCGAAACGAGGGAGGAATTACGCTTACACATCGCCCGACATGTCCTACACACAGATGGAGCATACGCTGAACTCTGCGCGTATGCCCTGGTCGCATCAGCACCACATCGACGACGGCAGCGACACCGAAAACGCCCGAGCGCAAATCAACAATGCCAAAATATATAACAAAAAAGTTGGGCTCAGCATTCGGCCGTCAAGGGGGCGCATGAGCATGATGCTGTCAGAGGCAACCGCGCAGATGCAGTCGCCAACAGTGCCGAGGAACCTGTTCTTTGATGCGGGCCCGCTGTCTCCGTTCCCGCCGCCATCATTGCCAATGGCATCGATGCCCGCGCCGCCAGTTCCCGCATTGCCAACCATGCCAATGCCATCATTACCGTCGCCGCCGCCGCCGCCGCCGCCGCCGCAACCCGCGTTCTCTCGCGACAGCGTAATCATGATAGATCACAACCTGCCCTTGTTTGATTTGGACTTTGCGCCTATTATTGAGGGGGGCTATGAGCTGAATCCGTCTTTTATGCAGGCCTGGGAGGAGAAGAATAATGGACCACCCGTCGAGCAGGCTCCCAAGACGTTAACAAATAAGTCCAGCAGACTGGTGGATATGCCAGAAAGTATCCTGTTCCCGCGACCGGGCGACGACGATTACAAGGGGAGCGATGGGGAGGCGGCCGCCGAGCTGGTGCCGTACAAGAGCCCGCGGGCTAAAAAGGCCAGCCGGGCGGCAGAGATGGCCGCAGCCGGCATTGGCAGCCCGATGAACGTGGGCAAGCGGTCCACCCCGCGGTCTGCCAGCGGGTGGCAGGCGCCATCCTACCAGAAGCGCAACTTTTCGTTGCCTGTAGCTCTCATTCCCACAATGCCCCGGCTTGAGCTGCAGAGCTACGAGTTTTCGTGCATCGAGCGCCTCGAGCGCAAGTGGGCGGATGTCAAAACGGAATCAACGCGAATGCTCAGCTCGGCAATCTACAAGTATTATTTTAGCCATGGTGAGTGGAGTGAGTTCGAACAGGTGTTTCCCAACAAGGTGCTCGAGGTCTGGGAGGATTTCTGCAGCAAGTTGTCTGCGGCTGAGCTGTCGCATATTAACACCGTGCTGGTCTCGCAGAATCCGTTTTCGGCCGGGGAGAACACAACACAGGAGAAGCACATACCGCTACTTGCCCGCACTATTCCTCTGTCGCAGGCCGTGCGCACTATGGTGTACGCAGAGGATATGCGCTCCCGTGAGAGCTATAGCTCGCAGGGCAGCAGTGGGCCGGAGATTGACCAAGAGTTTGCCGATTGGCTTGTTTCGCGCTTCAACTCGACAAAGGCCAGTGTGGTGTCGCCGTCACCGTCGGTCTTGGCATTTGACGAAACTAGGGCGCAGCGGGTGTCGATGATGCTCGACATGTCGGCACCATCGCTGGTTTTGACGGGTGGGAGCGACAAGGTCCCCCCGGTTCCTGCGTTGCCCCCCGTCCGGCCAGCCCCGATTGTTTACGCCGCCGCCGCAGAGCCTACGACATTCTCCACCATTGTAGAGGTTTCCGAAGATGTTGAGTGTTCCGCAGCGCCGATTTCAAACAAGCTGAAGGCAGACTCGACGGCTGTGGATTCTGGCACGGAGGCTCGGCCAAAGTCATCCAGGGAGCGCACCAAAAAGCCCAATAAGAAGACTGAGTCAATGCATGATAGTAAGGCGTCATTGGTCATTGAGAAGCCGCGGCGCAAGAAGACAATAGACAGCGGCGACAAGTCAGACATTAAGGACCCCTTGGGTAAGCGCGAATCAAAACACAAATCAAAACGCGAGTCCAGGCGCGAGCCCAAGATTGAGCCATTGCACGAGCCCAAGTCTGAGTCATCGCACAAGCAAAAAACCGAGTCATCGCACGGGCACAAGCGGGAGTCTAAGCGGGACCCTAAGAGGGCGTCTAAGCGCGAGTCAAGGCGTGAGCCCGTGGCCGATTATAAGACCGATTCGGAGGAGCCGGTGCCGACGATTAGCTGGAACCCGAGCATGAGCTTCCCCGCCATGGAGCAGCCTTCCCGGCGCCCATCGACGAGCATTCCGTCGAGCAGCAAGCCGTTAACCACGAGCGAGTCAAACCCTTGCCTGCGTCCAACCACAGCATCGCGAAACTCCGAGGCTGCCGACGGTACAGCCACGACGCGGCCGCGGTCAGACTCAAGGTTGCGCAGACACACACATAACTTTTTCATGTCCGAGTCGAACGAGTTTGTCGTACCCACGGAGTCCCTGCGGTTGAGCCGGCAGATAACACGCGAGATTCAGATGAAGGACCTACCGCCGCTGCCGCCCAACGCGGCAGAGATTGGCGAGATGTCTAAGCTGACCGGGTCTAACTACAAGGCGGGGCGGAACACGGCGCCCTCGACAAAGTCTGGGATTATTGCGCACTTCAGCTCGCATGTCGATTTGGTGCGGCGCAAGGACGCGTCGATGGACAAGCCGCGGTCATCGTCCATGGCGATTGACAGCCTAGAGAAGGCGCGGCCCATGACCGCAGTGCCCAAGACAGAGGAGTCCAGGACGTCCAAGGGTTGCTCGGAGGAGTACTCGCTGTCGGCTAACTACGACCTACGCGCAATCCCGGCCGAGGGCAACGGCCCCAGCTGGGGGTTCCGCATTTCGTCGCTGGTGTATCTTGAGCCGATGGAGCGCGCAAAGATGGACACGTCTTCGCATGTCGTGCACGCGCATATTGAGACTATGAACCGCCGCAAGCTGCCCGACCCCCAGAAGGATACACCGCCGATTATGCCGCCGATGCCGGCTATGCCAGCTGAGTCCATGCCACAGCCACTCTTGTCGGCCTCCAAGTCCCTGCGCGGGACTCGACGCAAATCCGTGAGCAAGGCTGACCAGCCCCCGTCTGGATCTGGATCTAATAGTAGCGGCACTAGCACTAGCACCAGCAATGGTAGCAGACCTCAAGCTGGGCTTGGTTTAGGCCTCAGCAGTACCACTAGCACCACTGACAGCAACAAGGCGGTTGATCCGGGGGTGCGCGGCGCCTTGTACGAGTTGGCATACTTGAGCACGCAGAGCAAGAAGGTGTGGTCAGCGAAAGACACAATTTTCGGCAAAATGTTGAAGGCTGGATTGGAAGTGACTCGGATTGCTGAGCAGGACTTTTACGACTTTTGTGTGGATGAGTTGCTCAAAGGCAGCAACGATGCATTCCATGATTTGCAGGCTATGGGGAATAAGGAGGTGGCGCAACAGTTGTTTGAGTCGTTTAATGCAAGGTTGACTGTTTTGCTATCTGGTTCTGATATGGAATAAATATGGAATAAATATTTTTCTTCACCTAGTATTATGCAATGCCCACCAAAAAAACCGTGTAGATATTATATATTATTTTTATTGTGAGCTTGTGCTTTTGATTGATGAACGAATAGAATGGATGTGACTTTTTGGTTTGTTTTGTTGTTTTCTTCATTGATAGAATAAACAATAAAAGTTGTCAGACACTTGCTGTCGTCATAGAAAAAAAGCAAATCTTTGTTTATTGTGTGCGCACAGACATTTTGCATGATTTGTAAGTGCTATTGAAAGTAAATAAACAAAAAAGAAAGACACCCCCAATTTTATTCTTTTTTCAGTCCCCTCAAATGTATTATTGTGAATGCCTTTTCTCATTTTTTTTATTTTTCTTTCACTTTTTTTCCTTTCGAGTCTCTTTATTCATGCATTTATTCCTTTGTATTTTATTGAGTAAATGGCCAAGGAATAAGAAAATTTGATTGGTGTGAGAGAGGGTGTGGAGGGAAAGAGAAGGGTGAAAAAAGGCTGTAAAATGATTTTTTGTGTTTTGTATTTTGCTTTATATAATTTTTTCTTTGACACTATATATTTTTTTACATTATTTCTTTTAACAAAATAAAAAATAAGCCCAATGAACTAACAAGACTAAAAGGCCAAGAATATAAAAACCTGTACTCTCTTTATTTCATTTAAATTATCTTTATTTTATATATATATTTACATTTTTTTCTATTTTTTTACTTGTCTATACATATACACAAACATTTTTAATTTAATTTTAACAAATGACTGCAGGCAGCACGATACGTAAACTATCGCTGCAAGTCAAAGAGCGGTTAACCCTAAAACGGCGCAAACGCAGCAACAGCACCACCACAACCACAGCCGCAGAGGAATACGAAATAGCCCACCCGCATTTCAACAACTCACTACCACCTCACGCACCCGCTGTGCGGACACGCAGTGTTGATGATGACTGTATGCAATGGGGAACATTTGCACCAAACCGACCCGCACCACCCCCACCCGTACCTAATAAATCCAAAGCAGCACCGGTATCGGTTCCTTCACTTTCACCTTTGCCTTTTATTTCAAAAAATGAGAGGTTTAGTAGAGATGAATGGGAAGTTAAAGCTACTGCGGCAATGTTTGGTAGCTCGCGCGGGAGAAGGGATAAACAAGACCGCGCGGTGAAGAATAGCGTAACGCAAGTTCAAATATCAAAACCAGTTATACAGAAAATAGAGTCCCCCACGGGGGTGAGTTTCCCGCGGTTATCCGATGACCGCCACCCTCAGCAACAGAAACAGCAACAAGCTGCTAATGAGAATGATGATAGGGAGGAAGAGGAGGAAGGGTTGGATGAGATTTTGTTTGCGACCAATGCCCGCGTAGACGCAGAAACCAGGGCGACAGTCCGGGGATGTATAGACAGCACCGATGTGTCCCAGCATATTCTTGCAGATTTCGACAGTATCGTTGCCAAAGCATACCGCGACTTCACCCAGACTGCGCTCCAAATCCTCACCAAAAGCCATCACTCCAAATCTATCTCAGAAATAGTCGCCACCTATACTGCCGGCCAATACACCTCGGGACGACCCCCACCCGAGCCACTAAGCGGCTCCATGATGGGCGCAGCTGCGGATGAAGTCGGTGAATTGGCCCTGGAGCTGCACCGTCGCGATATCAGCGAGGTGAAATACAGCTTGGATCAATTGCGGAGGTACGCGGCTACAGGGCTATGCAAATACGTCACGAGCCAGGTGCTCTTGAGCACTGGGGTGGAGAACGACTTGGTGGATAAGCTGGAGGAGGCTGCGGGTGCGTTGAGCTGCACGATGGATCAGATTGATATTTTGCAAGGGCTAGATGGTGCCGGAGCGGTAGAGAAGGAGGATATCAGAGCGCTGAGGGAAAAGGCCGCGGCACATAGAAGGGCCGTCGATCGGCTGAAGGCTGAGGGCAGGGAGGCTGGGGTTATACGAGAGACCTTTGAGGAAGTTCTATTGGCCATCCAAGTATTGTAACCCCCCCTCATTACATTATTTTCATTATTTCAAATTTTGTACTATTATTTTTTTTCATAAATTAAATTAAAAGCGTTCAAATACACAACCAATTCTCACATATTCATTTTCCCTCAAGACGACGCCTGCGGCCAAGGCCCATTATCGGCTTCGCAGTGAACAGAGCCATGACAAAGCCAGGCAAAATAGCCAGCAACCTCCACATGGGCAGCAGCGTAAACAGCCTCCCCAACAGCCCCTCCCTCAATGACCGCAGCTTAGGATAAACCATACTGGGCCCAAGCCGGGCCTTCCACGCATTAGCCTTCCCGGCATACGGCGCACCCCTCACGGTATCCATGCCAGGATTAGGGAACCACATGGGCCTCAGCAGCACATAGCGATGATGCGAGAAAGTCTCAAACGAGAACTTCCCCGTATACCGGCCCAACCCAGAAGGCCCAACGCCACCAAAGGGGTTGCCGTGGGAACCCAGCAAGAACATGGTGTCGTTGACAGAGGCCACGCCGGACCGCGTGTTTGCTAGCACATGCTGGGACGATGCCGCGCTGCCAAACACGTAGAGTGCAAGCGGCTGGTCGCGCGAATTAACCAGCGCAAGCGCCTCCTCCAGCGTATCATACGTGACGATCGGCAAGATAGGGCCGAAGAGCTCCTCGGACATCAGCGAGTCCGACGGCAGAACACCATCGACAATTGTCGGCGGGAAAAACAGATCTTCCTCCACCGGCTCCTCCCTACCTTTACCCAGGATCTGGCCCTCGGTGCGATCCAACAAATCCCGGAGTCTTCGCCAGTTCCTCTTATTGATAATCCGACCGTAATCCGGCGACGCCGCCGCCACCGTGCCAAACATAGCCACGGCCGCATCCAGCAAATGCTCCACAAGCTCGTCCTTAACCGACCGATGCACGAGCACGTAGTCAACGGTGACGCAGGTCTGCCCGGCATTCGCCAGCTTCGCCCACATGATGCGGTACGCAGCCACGGACAAATCGGCCGTATCCGCGTGCACCACCGCCGGCGACTTTCCGCCGAGCTCCAGCGTCACCCCAGACAAGTGCTCCGCCGCCGCCTTGGCCACAATTCTGCCTACAGTGCCATTGCCGGTGAAGAAATAATGGTCGAAGTGCTGGCGCAGCAACTCCGTAGCCTGCAGCACGCCGCCCTGCATGACGCGGACAAAGCGGGGGTCCAAGAACTGCTCGATAAGCTGCCCGACGACCACTGCAGTGTGCGGAGCCAACTCTGAGGGCTTCACCACCGCAGTGTTGCCAGCAGCCAGGGCGCCGACCAGGGGCAGGAGCAGCAGCCGCAGCGGGTAGTTCCACGCACCCAGGATAAGCACCGTGCCCAGCGGCTCCTTGCGCACCTCTGAGCGGCTCATCAGGAACGCCGGCTGCAGAATAGCCAGTGGATGGCGGTCGGGCTGCGCCCATTTGTCCAGGTTATCCAGCGCCAGCCCAATGTCGAACTCCACCGCGGAGTATTCAAAGAAATCAGTCTCTGTCGCGGACTTGTGGAGGTCCAGGTAGACGGCATCGAGGAGCGCCTTTTTGTACGTCCGCAGGCCCTGTAGCAGGGAGCGGAGCTGCTGCTTGCGCTCGGGGAGTGGCCGCAGGGCGTGCGTAGCGAATGTTGTCCGCAGCTCGTCTACGGCGGTGCTGATTGTGGAGAGCTCCGTGTATTCTAGCGCGCTCTCATTGAGCGAGCCTCCCGAGATGGTGCTATACTCTTTTTTGGTGCTCATAATAGAAAGAAAATTTTTTTGGGAGAGGAGCTGAAAGTGATCAAATAATAAAATAATAAAACAAGTGAGGTGAAAAAAGAAAAGGAATATATGATTTTTTGAAATGCTTGGGTTTTTTTGGTTCTGGTTTTAGTCGAACAAGCAGAAAAATTCCAAGCTTTATTCCTACTGGTATTGACTGTTGTTGCAAAAGTAGAATTTTTGACGTAAACAGCGAGGAAATAGCATGTGACATAACTGTTTTTTAATTAGCCTGTAAAAAAGAATAGCAGAACAAATGAAAGTAACCATTTTTGATTTGATTCTGGACCTAAAAACTGGTTATTACACCAAGCGAAAATAGGAACGAAAACAAAAGCGTCATCATGTTTTGGTTTGGTTTTGTGAATGCGTGTGTGCTTGTATGCATGTATGCGGGGTGTGTGTGGGAAATGAAACCTTCATTTAAAAAAAGCAGAAAAAAACCCAAGAAAAAAGCAGAAAAAAAGTGAACCTCTTTCACACCATAAAAACAATTATTTACACACTCACAAATCCAAACACGCAATAACACATATTAAACGTCAAACCTTATTATTGTTTTTTTAGCATCAATGACTATCGGGCACCGCGTACTTTGCTCGTTGCCCATAGCGGCTCTTGCGCTAAGCGTCGCAGCTCAAGTTCAGCACCAGAGGTTTACGCCCTTTGACCTGGTCCAAACCACGCGGCTTTCAGGCACCCCGGCGATCTCGCCCGGAAACACCGCACTGGCCTACATCCAAACGCACTACTCCGTTGAGAAAAGGCGCCAAACCACGCAGCTCGTAATCCAGCCGCTGGGAGGAGAAGGACACCTGGCCGATTCAGGTCTTACTGGGGAAATCGTTCTCGAGCACTCGACAGACGTGCGACCATCTGCTGCTGCATCCAGTGCTAAAAAGACCGGAATGAAACCGGCGCAGCCCGTGTGGCTGAGCGACTCCGCCCTGGCATTCGTGGTGCTGGGCGACAGCGAGTCCACCGTATACGCGCTCGATAAAAAACACAAAGGCCATGGGCGGAACAGTGGGTGGGGCAAGCCCAAGGAGGTCACCCGGGTGGATGCCGAGATCTCTGACCTTGCATACAGCCGCGAATCCGGCATTCTGGCATTCACTGCGCCGGTATACACCGGCACAAGCATTAAGCAAACTGCCGAGCGCGACAAAAATGAGACCCAGGACAGGGCAGATTCCGGGCAAGTGTTCGACGAACTCTGGGTGCGCCACTGGGACGCATTCGTGTCGCCCAAGGTCAGTCAGATCCACAGTCTCCGGGTATCGCCCCGTGGCCTGGTGGTGGCGGGCAAGAGGGGCAGCGCCGGGCCGCACAACGTTATGCGGGGAACAGCGGTGGCTGACGGTGCGCGGTTCGAGGCGCAGCAGGGCTTTGTGCTGTCGCCAAATGGCACGCGCGTGGCGTTCGTCGCCAAAAATCCAGCATTAGAGTACGCGTGGCAGACCACCAGCTACATCTACCTGGCCAGCACCGACAGCGACAGCAACAACAAGACTGGGCCAGTATTAGTGGTTAACCAGGAGGCCGGCGCGGGCGCGAGCAGCAGCCCGGCGTTTAGCGCGGACGGCGCAAGGCTGGCGTACCTGCAGATGCTGCACCCGGCATATGAGGCCGACCGCAACCGCATCCGGGTCTACGACATTGCGCAGAACAAAACCATAAGCGTGGCGGAAGACTGGGACCGCTCGCCAGCGCAGCTCGCCTGGGTTGATGCGGAGACACTGGCGGTGACGTACATGGACCACGGGCGCAGTAAGCTGGCCACCGTTGATGTGCGCACCGGCGCAGTCACGCCGGCTGTCTCGGAGCACTCCACTGGCCTGGTCCGGGTTCTTGATGGGCGCCGTGCACTCGTGGAGTTCAGCGCGCTGGACTCGCCCACAGACCTATTCGACGTGTCGCTGGACTCCGGGGAGATGCACCGCTTGACTGCGCTTAACGCGGACCTCCGCGCACGCGACGTTCTGAGCAGCCCCGAGGACGTGGAGTTCATTGGCGCGGATAACCAGACAATCCACGGGTTTATCCTGCATCCTCCGGGGTTCGACCCGGAGCGCACGTATCCGCTGGCGCTGGTAATCCATGGTGGGCCGCAGTCAAGCTTTGCAGATGCGTGGAGTAGCCGGTGGAACCTCAATGTGTTTGCCAGCGCCGGGTTCGTCACCGTGGCGCTGGATCCGCAGGGGTCAACCGGGTACGGACAAAACTTTACAGACGCAATCCGCAACCAGTGGGGCGGCAAGCCGTATGACAGCCTGATGCTCTCCGTTGACCAGCTGCTCCAGCAACGGCCATACGTGGACTCCCAAAGGATGGCAGCTCTCGGGGCGAGCTACGGCGGGTATATGATTAACTGGATCAACGGCCACACTGACCGATTCCGCTGCTTGGTTAATCACGACGGGATATTCTCTACTGTCAGCACTTATTATAGCACGGAGGAGCTGTACTTCCCTGAGACCGAGTTTGAGGGCACACCATTTGAGGAAAAGGCAAGGGCAAACTACGAAAGGTGGAATCCTGAGAGGTTCGTTGCCAAGTGGAGGACGCCGACGCTGGTCGTGCATGGGGAGAAGGATTACCGGCTGACTGTGTCCGAAGGCTTGAGCACATTTACGGCGCTAAGGAGGCAGCGCGTGCCGGCGAAGCTGCTGTACTTCCCGGATGAGAACCACTGGGTGGTGAAGCCAGCCAACTCGCTCAGGTGGCACACTGAGGTTCTCGAGTGGATCACCCAGTGGACCGAACAAGAGCCGGCGGAGAAGGAGGAGAGGGGGTCCCGCAGATTCACACTGCAGAACCAGAAACCAGCCGACGAGAATCTCATTAATTAATTGCAATTGAATAAATAAAATTCATTTATTTTTACTTGAGTCTGCGTTTCTTGTGGAAAACCGACTTACCCGTACGCATGATCACATAGCGCTCGTCATCACGACTGGGCATATCGCAGAGGCGCAGCAAGCGATGATATGTGCGCGCGACAACTTCCTCAGGCACCCCAGCGACCACCGCCGCATTCAACACGGATATCCACCCGGACCGGGCACAGCCCAAACCAGGTGCAGAATTCATTTTGCCGCCGGCCGTCCACAGTGCACGCATCTTCGCCCAAGTATCGGCTACACCAGCGACAGCCTCCATTGCAACCGTGCGTGAGACAAAGTCCGACAGCAACCGTGGCAATTCCGGCGCACCATGGTGTGTATCTGAGCGCGGCATTATTTGGGTGAACACTTGGGTGCGTGTCAAGTCAATGAGCGGCTGGTAATGGTCAAGTGGAGCATGTATGGGGTCAGACGGTAGTGGGACGCGGGCGTATCGCGGCGCGAGCAGTGCTGGTGTCTGCACTTGTGCGGCGGTTAGGATGCGCAGGCTGGAGTCTGTGCGGTTTATGAGCATCCCGATGCCGCCGTTGCATTGCGGATCTGCAATGGCGTCTGCATCAAACCGCGCCTCCACTGAGCCCACAAAGCCGTGGTCCTCATCAGAGCCGCGGTCCTCATCAGAGCTGCGGTCCTCATCAGAGCCGCCGTCCTTATCTAACCGCGCCTCCGTCGTGCCATTTCCCTGGATCTGCCACGCATCCCACTCGCACCCAGGCTCCTCCAGCTCCACATCAACAGGTTCCGCGCCATGCCGCAGGGGATCAATTCCCATGCATTGTGGCAACCGCGCGCGGATCTGCTCCGTGTACCGTTGGATGTCAATCGCCGGCCAAGCCACTATGCGCGATGTAAACCCGCGCAAGCGCCTGTCACGCCGCTGCACGGCTTTCCGCGGCTTGCCGTCGCCGCGCATAATGATTTCTCGCGTGATGTCGGTTTCGCGCTCAAGCAATAGACCGCTCATTGTGCGGTGCGCCATACGTACGAGGCGTAGGGTTTCGTCGCTGGAGAGGGCTGATGGGGTGGTCTGCGTGTGTGGATCCTCGGTGGCTGTCACAGGGAGGCTCTCTACTCTGTTCTCAACTCTGTCGTCCTCTTCGGCATCTACTTTGCCGTCCTCTTTGTCATCTGTGTCTGAAGCCTCTGCGTAGTCAGAGGCATCGGTGTCGGCCTCCAAAACCGACAACTCTGTATCCGACACCAACTCTGATTCCGACGCCGACACTGACTCTGACCCCGACACTACCTCTGCCTCTGCCTCTGCCTCTGCCTCTGCCTCTGCCTCTGCCTCCGACTCTGACTCTGACTCTGACTCTGACTCTGCCTTGACAGTTTTCAACAGGGTTAATGCCTGAGAACCAACCTCAGCTGGTTTGACACTCATCTGCAGCTGCAGCAGCTTGGTTTGTTTGCGGTGTTGTGGTTTGACCTGCGGGATCATCCCCAGTATTGGCTTTTTTTCATTATTCCCGCTTGTTCGTTTCACTGGTTTGCGCAGTTTACCCGCGCCCAAGGGTTCCCTACCCGTATCTGTGGGTTTCCAAGGCCTGGACCGATTTGCAAACGGGTCTTTGCTGCTTCGTGTTTTCATTTCTTATCTTTTTAAACGAATGAATTCTGGGGAGGAGGAAAAATATATATATATATAATAAAATAAAAGATTTTGTAAACGAAAAGGAAAAAAAAAAAAATTATTCATATCTTATTCTAAAGATCGAAATCACGTGTAATTAGAAATCTCCAAAATGAAAAAACACCTATTTTTTCATTCTCAAACGGTTTTTCTGTCAGACAGAACCCTGACAATCGAGCCCAGTCCTCCTGCCTCCACAACCTTCTCATGCCAACTCAACAACACACCGCAATTAAACTCCGCGGGTCTCTTTAATCCATGATAAATATACTTCAACAAAACATCTCTCGCCTCCTCTCCCAACGCAGCAACCACCTGGTTAATATCCTGCGCCCTAGTGCTCATTAAAATCTCACTAACTAATTGGGCATTAGCCGCCTGCGCACCTTCCATTCCGTGGCCATAGGGTGGGTCGGAGAGTGCCTTGTTGAGTGCTTCGTTGGTGTTGCCCCGGGTTATGAAGGCACGAACTTGGCTGGCTTTTTGCTCAACTTGGTGGAGTTGCTCGGTGGCAGTGGTTGTGCTGAGATGGTGCAGTTGTTGGGAAAGAGTGTCGGCATCGGTGTCGAACCCGTCGATGACTAATTTGCGATGACTCATTTTAAAAACAAAAAACAAAAATTTAAAAGGTGAATTTAAAGTGGATGAGGAATTTAGATTTTGAAAAGATGGGAAATAAAAAAAAGGAACTTTTTTAAAATAATTCCACGCGGTTTTTTTTTTTGGTTTTTTTTACCCTCATCCTTTACTACAAAACAAAGCTAATGAAAAAAATCGGATACCCAAACCACTTGTTTTTTTTTGTAGGTCACAGACCAGGCCATAAGCTGTAGTGAAGTTCAAAGCAACAAAACTGCTTTTCCACACCCCCTCCCCCCTTCCATCTTATATTAAAATACATTCTCATTCCTCCCCCTTTATGAATACATTTTGACTTTCACAATACTCTTGCATCCACAATAAAAAAAACTTATAATGAACACGGATGACTTATACTCAGGAGGTGCAGCGCTCGACTCCCAGCTCGAGCCCTACAGCGACATCACCCATTACAACCCAGCATCAGCCACAGAAAACAACGCAATGGATACCCACCAACTCTCCGACAATCAAGCACAGGAAGACGAAGAGGATAGCGACTCTATTGAAGAACAAGAAGACGAAGATGACCTTTCTATTCTTATGCGTTCCTGGATAAACGAGCGAAACTCGCCTGAGCTGCTTGAATACGAGGGTTCGGCCCTTGAGAATTTAATGGAGCTGGTTGATTTCCAAACGCAGAAAATGCAAACACAGCAGGTGCCGTTTATGAGCAATATACTCAAGATGGATGTGGATCGGATCAAGTATCTTGTTAGGTCATATTTGAGGACGAGGTTGGGGAAAATCGAGGACCATGTCAAGTATTATTTAGATAACCAGGTTTATAGGGAACGCATGTCGCAGAGTGAACTTGATTACGCAAAAGGGTAAATGAAAAAAAAACCAAATAGATGGAAGGGGTTTATTATATGTGTGTATGTATGAAGAGAAAAAAAGAGATAGATATTAAAAAAATTGTTAATTTTGTATTTAGGTTTGCCAAGTTGGAGGTTAATCATGTTAAAAGGTCGTTTTTGGACCAATTGCCTCCTCATTTGCGTGGATTGGATGAGGTCAGCAGCGAGGGTCTGGATATGGTGACTAAGCCAGACTTGGACAGCGCAGTTTTCTGCCGCGTACGCACCACAGTTGGCGAGTTTCAGTTTGAGCAAAGGTAAACTATTATTTTTTTGGATAATTTATTGTACATGTATACAATCAATATAGCACTATATATTAAGATCTGTTTTGATTTGATTTGTTTATTTTGTAGTGAGGATCCAATTGTCATGAAACGGAATAACATTTTCATCACCCGTTACAGTATCATTCGAGACCTGATGGAAGATGGAAAGGTGGAGCTTATCTAACTGTTTTTTGTTTTGTTTTTGTTTTTGGTTCTTTATAATTTTCCGTTACAAATAACATTGGCATTTACCAAGTACCAAGTTCAATTAATATCATTTTTATTTATTGCAAATATTTTCCTTGATGGTTAAAAAAATTATCTACAGTCCAAATGACTTTAATTTTGATTGGTTCAAATGTTTTTTTTTAAAAGAAAAAATGTTCCGCATTTATATCAAGTGCAAAGGGAAGATTATCGGTGGGTGGAATTGAATCATCCGATAATAATAAAAAATACATCTTCAGTAAGTGTTGCCAATTTAGGATAATAAGGACGATTGACGATGGAAAAAAGGAGCATTTGACCCGGTGGAATATTAGGGCAGGTATGATTTTATTTATTTTTTTGCGCACAAACCTTTTTGTTTATTTTTTTGTGGATGCGGTTACCTATTTTGGCCAAAAGTACCGCTTAATGCTCCGAAATCCCGCCAATTGGAATAAAATAAAATAGCGATGGAGAATAAGATGAAGATATATATTCGCACGCACCAAAGCACGTACACGCATAAAAAAAGTTTTATTCTTTTTTTTTCTTTTTCAAAATAGTTTGGAAGGGAAAATCGTACAGGGCAATAATTAATTAAATGTATAAAATATAAAAGGGGTAAAAAAAAGCATTCACCGCGCAAAGCGCATCGAGTCCGGGTTATCCAACGACCTAAGCATATCCGCCAAAGAAGGCAGCATCGTGTGCCGAGACGACACAGTCGCGCGTAACGAAGGCGAAGAGGCAGACAACTGCGGAGACGAAAACACCGTCGACTGTTCATCGCTCGCCCCACTATCGGTAACCTCGGCGAGCATATAAAGAGCATCGCAAGAGGTATTCTGCTGAGCCGCCGGCCCTACAAGCCGCCGCTTACTAGGCCACACATCCTCCTCCGCAAGCTCTCTTTTGGACGTACCCCGCGGCGACAAGGTCAACGGCACAGCGAGCATATCGCGCAGGGCGTCGAAGCGCGTAATGCGGCAGACAAAGTACGCCTCATCCAGGACTACGCCGGCAGTGGCCAGGGGCGGCGAGGAGACTGCGCCGACGAACACGTGGATGTCGAATAGATCATGGGCGCCAGACGCCGTGCGCAAATGCGCGCGCACAGACCCGGTGATATCCGAGCACACGCGCTGAAGCAGCCGGGGGAGCGGCAGCGCCTGGAAAGTATTGGGGTCGACGGCGCGTGGCGGATTGCCCAGCACCGAGGATGCGTACACTGAGCGCTGGGCGACCAGCCGCTGGGACAGCTGCGCCCGCAGGGATTCGAAAACCGCCAGCACCGCAGGCCTATCGTGGGGGCTTATAAAGTCCACCATGCTGCGGTTGATCAGGCTCAGGAGCGAATGCCCGAGCATTGCGCGCTCGGCCGCCGGCTCCTCCAGCCGCAAGCACAGGAGCCCGGGCGTCAGGAATAAATGCGCGGTGCAGGCTGCCGGCGGCAGAGAAATGTGCGATGGCTTGGGCGATGGCGGCGCTGAGGGCGCCGCCGAGGGCGAGCAGGACGGCGCCGCCGTGGCGGTTGGCGAGCCTCCGCTTTCGGTCATAAATGAGAACTGGAACATTTGTGTTTCCATCGGCGACTTGGACTCAACCCCGATGCTGCTGCCGCTGCCGCTGCCGCTGCCGCTGCCTGCAGCCTGCGCCTTGTCCTTGGAGCGTGGCCGCCCGCGCTTCTTGTGCTGGACGTCCTTGCACGTGTCGCATTTGCCGGAGTTGACGCACCGGTGGCATGGCCGCTGGAGATCGCAGGCGAGATGCGCCTTCTTGCAGTTTGTGCAGGCGCTGGGCACGTGCGGCTTGGCTCCGCGCCCTGTGCGCACGGCCTTTGTGGTGAGGGGCTCGCCCGAGGGCATGATGAGCATCTTTGGGCTGGGTCCTGCCGAGGCCATTTTGCGGGATAGTGTGTTTTAATGGGTGGTGAGCTAGGATGAGCAAGTAAATAGACAAAATGGTAGATTCTTTTCTTTTCTTCGCAAGAAGAAAATGTCGCCCGGCCGCGCTGCTGGGTATTTATACCAGCCCCAGCCACCATCTTGAGAGGGGAGGGGAGAGGGGAGAGGGGGGTGGTAGTGGGGAGGGGCATCGGCCGGCCGTTCAACTAGCTGGCCCATTCACCTCTGGGTTCTTTTATTCCCGGAAGCGGCAGGAATGGTGAGAATATTCCCCTTTTGCATCCCCCCCTCCTTCCTCAGCGCCCTCACATCCTCTCCAAGCAAGAAAAACTACTTTTCCTCTTTTTCTGCGGACTAAAATATTCCCGAAAAAGCGCTTTTGATTTGCGTTGGCGCTCGTGTTTATGTTGCGTGTTGCTGGGTGGGTGCAATATCTCCGAGAAATAAAAGGATTTTTATGACTTTTGTCAACTGACAAAGGCCTTTATGCCTACACCCTATCGCCCCAGTGCATGGAAGGTGAAGGTAAAGCAAATATAAATATAAGCTGGATATTTAGCTGTCACGGGCATTTTACCAACACACATTACGCCCCCCCCCAATATATGCCCCCCTCCTCTCTCTCTCTCTTTCTTGTTTTTATGGTTAATTCACATCCTCAGCTTTTTAAGCTTGAAAAATGTGACTATTATTATCCTTTTCTTATCTTTTCTTTATTACAAAATGGCCTTTTTTGCTGCTTGGTGGGATGTGTGTCAAAAAAGCCCGGGATTATTGCCCTTTAAGGCGTCCATAACTTTGCATGCGACCATTCAGAGGCTATTTTGCTTTTGCGCTTCCTTTTTTTATAAGAAAAAAAGTGTTGCCTTGTCGGGTGAGGCTTTGAGTCATTATTTGCTCCCCACAAGCGGCTTTGTTTGTTTTCCATCTAATAGATTCAAATTTGATTATTTTTTTAAAAAAATATTGCAACCCTTTTTCTGGCCAACGACCAATCTCGAATATCCTCTCTTTTTTAAAGTTTTCTTTTAGCGCTTTTCGGATATACCAGGAAAACCCTTTAAACCTTTACACAAAGTGGCACCCACTGTCTGCTGCTTGTCTCTCACTCCACCTACGTACTTTTCCGGACACTGGTTTATTGCAATAATCGCGCCACTTGCGCACTTTAGATCCTTAAAAATTTTTTTTTTATTTATCGCCGATACATACATATTTATACATATCCTTTTTTATTATCCGAGTTTTGCTCATCTATCGCTCTCTCCACCCCCTCTCAATTCCCCCAACAATATCAGCAATACGCAACGCGCACACATACTCTCTCTTAAACACACATACACACACACACACAAGACTGTGCGCTTCAATCGGAAACAACAGCAAAAAAGAAAAGAAAAGAAAGAATGCCACGCCAGTGCGAAATATGTCAGCAAGCCAGGGCCGTTCTGCGTCGGCCCAAGACAGCACAGCGGATCTGCAAGGACTGCTTCTACCATGTCTTTGAAACCGAAGTACACAACACCATCGTTGACAACAAGCTGTTCAAGCGCGGCGACCGCGTAGGCATCGGTGCGTCGGGCGGAAAGGACTCGACAGTCCTAGCCTACGTGATGAAGACCCTGAATGACCGCCACGACTACGGGCTCCACCTCTACCTCCTGTCCATCGACGAGGGAATCGCCGGCTACCGCGACGACTCGCTGGAAACCGTCAAGCGCAACAAGGAGCAATACAACCTGCCTCTTTTAATAGTCTCCTACGAGCAGCTGTATGGCTGGTCAATGGACTCGATTGTCGAGGCCGTTGGGCGGAAGAACAACTGTACGTTCTGCGGCGTGTTCCGTCGCCAAGCTTTGGACCGCGGCGCATTGATGCTGGACCTTGACCATATTGTTACTGGCCATAATGCTGATGACGTGGCAGAGACTATTCTGATGAATATATTCCGCGGTGACCTCCCCCGACTCAGTCGCTGTACAGAGATTGCGACCTCCGGTGACGGCTACATGGTGCGCTCGAAGCCGTTCAAGTACGCGTATGAGAAGGAGATAGTCATGTACGCGTACCTTAAGCGCCTCGACTATTTCTCTACTGAATGCACTTATTCGCCGAATGCGTACCGCGGCTACGCGCGTGAGTTCCTCAAGGACCTCGAGGCTGTCCGGCCATCGGCCATCCTGGATATCATTCATAGTGGGGAGGCTATGCGGATTGCGCAGGAAGTTGTTATGCCAGTGGTTTCGAGGTGCGAACGCTGCGGGTATATTTCCTCAAACACTGTGTGTAAGGCATGTGTGTTGCTTGAGGGGCTGGAGCGTGGGTTGCCGAAGCTGGGTATTGCGAAGAGTATGAAGAATACCCAGGACCTGTTGGCTGGTCAGAAAGCGACCCGTGGGAATAAGGCGGTCGAAATCGTGCATTTCGATAAACTGTGGGAGAACGCCCAGAAGATACGCGATCGGCGGATTCTTGAAAACGAAAATAATGCAGGGGTTGAGACGTGCACACAGTCGGCTTGTGCTTGTGCGGGCAAAAACACAAAGTGCTAGATACAATTTTTTTGTAGGAAATTTATGCTTGTGTGTATTTAATTATCCGAGAAAAAAAATTTAATTTTTTTTGTCGTATCTGTACATGTTGCTCAAGTCATGTCGACACTCAGAAATGCTGAATATAAATATAAGTTGCATGTTTTTTATTTCATTGTCTAATTAACACACGTGAGTGTGTCAAATGTTTTCTCAACATATTTTTTGCATGTCGGAAATTATCCAATTTTAAAAAATAAGTGTAGTGTTGAAAATTTCCCGTTGTTTTTTACTCGGTGGAAAGCAATTGAATGATTTTTTCAATAAAAATTTCCGTCGACAAATAAAAAAAATAATATATATAAATAAAACTCACTCAAAGATAACGAAACAAATAAAAAAATTGTTGAAAATCAGTTATGCTTGCTCATCGATACCATCGATAATTCCCGAGAAAAAATAAAATAAATAATATAATCATTTTTAAAGAAAAAATTTCCCGTGTTATCATTTGCTCAAAAATGGTCAGTGCCTGTTCTGGAGCCAAACAATAAAAAATAAAGAAAAAATATCAGACAAAGCACAGCCGTGAGAGAAAAAAATCATTTTTTATTTTTTGTCCAATCGGAAGATACAAATTAAAAATAAAAAAGCTCCGAAAAGGAATATTTTAGGGATATTTTCTAGCCTCAAATAGCTTAATTACAATTAATCTAATTGTAAAATCAATCAGTGATTGATCAACATATTTGATCATTTAATTTTTTTTTTGTCTTTTTTGGCCCTTTTTTTTTAGAATTTTGCTTATTAGTGTGCGGCAGTCATGATTAGATCACGCTTCAATGTTTGTTTGAATTATGATGAGCGTAATAATTATTTCGACATGCTTGTGGATAATTGATTGAGACTAAGCAGCTGTCACAAAAAAATATATTTGACACCATTTTTTAGGTGTGCGGAAAAACACATGTTCTTTTTGTTTGGTTGACCGCTCTCCCCTACCCCCCTATTCCTTATCATTGCATTTTGAACGTTTCCCCTTTTCTTTCGCTTTTATTGCGTATTTTCATATTATTTTTCTTACATTTCGCTGAAAGGTGCGTTGCTTGCTGATTTTTTTTGTCGATAAGGGACACAACGCACTTTTTTTCTGAGCTAATTTAAACACACAACTAACCAACCAAGTTCAAGTTCACTTTTTCTGTATTATTTAGCTAGCTTCAAGTACATATTTTCTTTTCCAAAAAAAAATGGTTTCCGGCAAAACACTCGCCATTGCCGCCACGGCCACCGCCGCCGTCGCTGGCCTAGGCTACATCGCCTACTTTGACTACAAACGTCGTACGGATCGCAAGTTCCGGCGCAAGCTGAACCGGGATCGCAAGAAGGTCGAGAAGACCGCGCAAAAGATTACCAGCCGGTCCCTCGACGACATCAACGATCAAGCAATGGAGCTGCTGAACATCGTCACCAAGGAGAAACTCCCCGAGTCGCCCGAACAAAAGGAGCAGTTTTTCATGGCCCAGGTATCCCAGGGCGAAACCCTCTGCGCCGCTGGCGAGGCTGGATACGCCGAGGCTGCGTGCAGATTCTACCAGGCACTTAAGGTGTACCCGAACCCGGTTGAGCTCGTTATGATCTATCAGAAGACTACGCCGGATGAGGTGTTTAAGCTTGTTATGGCGATGATGGCGCAGGAGGTGCGCCAGAAACAGGCTAGATACTTTGATGTGTTCCCGCCTAGGGAGAAGAACGTTGAGATTAAGGACAAGAACAAGGTGGAGAAGAAGGAGGGCGCAAAGTCTGATATTGTTGTTCCTGATCGCGGCTTGTTCTCTACTAAGGACTTTACTGCCGGCGAGATCATTTATGAGGAGGAGTCTGTGGTCTCGACGCTGCTGCCGTGTGCGATGAATGGGCAGTTCTGCTACAACTGCATGAAGAACATTCCCAACAAGAAGGCTGAGGAGGAGGAGGTTACCGCTGAGAAGACTGCCAACGATGAGACGAAGGAGACCACTGAGACGGAGGCCACCGAGGATGATCAGAGCGAGGGCTCATCAGAGTCGGCCACCTTTTCCGAGGCTGTTAAGGCCGGTCTGACGCCCGAGTCCTCAAACAAGAGCACTGCCGCTTTCGAATGCGACAAGTGCCACGAGGCCTTCTACTGCTCCGAGGAATGCCGCACGGACGCCTACGACGCCTACCATCAGTTCCTGTGCCCAGGCAGCAGCAGCAGCTCGACCGCGCGCGATTTCGCCGTGCTCACGCAAAAGGCACATGAGCTAGCGCCCGTTCTGATCGCCAAATTCTTTGGTGTCTTGGTTGATCGCGAGAAGAAGAAGGAGCTGGCGCGGATGCTCGGCACTGCTGGGCCCACGTCGGAGGTCGACGAGTATACAACCTGGGAGCATCTCGAGTGCATGCGGTACTTGGAGCTTATCCCCAGTGCGTCGGACGCAACTATGCTTCGGAAGCTCAGCGAGCTCATGAGCCGTGGCGTCCCGGGTCTCAGCGAGTTCGTTACTGGAGAGCGCTACACTATGCTTAAGGGGAAGCTGGACTACAACACCTATGCTGTGCACAACTCGGCCGAGGGCATTGAGGTTCCTGCGGATACTCCCGAGACGCATGTGTCAGACACTATGCGCAATAACGGATTTTCTGGTGCCGTTGGACTTGCGCTGTACTTGATCTCGTCACATATCACGCATAACTGTGATCCTAATGTGCAGATCGTCTTCCCTAACAATACTAACAAGGCTGCTATCAAGACGCTCAAGCCGATTGCTAAGGGCGAGGAACTCCATGTCTCGTTTGTTGATGCATCGCTGGAGAAGGGTGTTAGGCAGAAGAGGCTCAATGGATCGTACCGCATCATCTGCACTTGCGACAAGTGCAAGGCTGAGAATTCTGCTGCTGAGGCGAAGGCTGCTGAGGATCCCGTCGAGACCGAGATGGAGGCTGAGTTTGATGCTGCCGTCGAGGCTGAGGCTGATAAGGAGACCGAGGCTGGTAATGAGGTTGAGGCTGCCGTCGAGGCTGAGGTTAAGACTGAGGAGGAGGCCAGGTTTGAGGCCGCCGTTGAGACTGAGAAGGAATCTGAGGTTGAGGCCGAGAAGGAGGCCGAGAAGGAGGCCGAGGCTACTATTGAGTCTCAGAATGAGGTTGTGGCTGAGAAGGAGGGGGCTGTTGAGGTTGAAACCAAGACTAAGCCTGAGGCCACCGTCGAAGATGTGCCCGAGACTACTGTCGAGGATGTTCCTGAGGCCGTCGTCAAGGATGTGCCCGAGACTTTTGAGGAGACTGTTGAGGATGTTCTCGAGACTCCTGCTGTAGAGGAGACCCCCGTTGAGGAGACTGCTTCCGAGGAGACCCCCGTTGAGGAGACTGCTTCCGAGGAGACCCCGGCTGCTGAGGAGACTGTCCTCGACGAGATCATTGTCGACGGGGACAAGGAGTAGATAGCGCACACAATATTTTTATGCCTGTTCAATTCTAAATTCACACTTCAATTCAAATCCGCTCGACATTCGCTGCGGTTGATGTTTATTTATCTTGGCTGTGCCTGATCATAGGATCAAAATCATATGATTATTATTTGTGCCCAATCAGCTAACTCAATCCTTGCTGCGGCAAATGGCCAGCCAAACTTTGAATTCTAGTGGCATGTTTTGATAGGATTGCAAAATATCGAATTCCAGTGCGCACAGTGTAAAAAATGTGGAAGAACAAAAAGGATGGTGGCGTGTGTGGTAGGGGGGCCGGGATATTATACAGTGCAAAAAACGGATGCAACTTTGGATTCACTCCTTTTTCGCCAACCTTCTCGCTCATATTAATACATAATTTGGTACGTCGAATCCATCATCAAAATTACGATTTGTCAGAGCGGACATCCACGCAGGATTCAGTATCAACAGATTCCATAAAAAATTTTGCACATACTAAATCATTCTTTTTCTTTCTCTCTTTCTTTGTATCCATCCGTTAATTTTAATAGTCAATATGGTCGTAAGTATTTTGCAGTTATTATAATTTTTTTTACGAATTTTTGGGAGGCGAGCCGCGAATTTGTATAACATTGGCATTCAGAATTTGGAATTTGACGAAACTAGGATGGGTTTAATTTGGAACGAAATTGCGACTATGCTTTAAAGGCGAGATTGGAATGAGGAATTGCTGGACCGAGTTTTAGATTGGACGGCTGATTTGGCTGCCACCAGTAGGATTGCCCTCTTAATTCAACTGGTGGTTATGCAGTAGCAGTGCATATTTGCAGCTAAAAACGCGGACCCCTGGGCCACACACGCGCCAGCTTTAACACGAACACGCATTTATTTGGTTTGTTAGTACGCTTTGTGGTCTCAAACTCGGCTGGTATATACTACTATGACGATTGAGAGCCCCGTGTGGTAGTATTGTGCGTATGTCGCGCGCAATACCGAGTTTTTGTTTGTAACAGTCTACTCACAGCACAGTGAAAACTGCATATCGCGCAGACTTGAAGCTAAACGCGTTCTTTCTAATCCGACTCCCATCAGCCGAACTCTAAATTCCGAATTCCATTATGCCATTGCCACCTGCTTGTTAACAGTGGGAATGCGCGATTCGTTTTATGTGTTGTGCTTTTCACAACCTTTGCATATCTCAACCAGTAGTTCTCAAAGATTGGACAGCACGTATATTTCACTTTTCAAAATGGACTCATAGCACTAACAACACTGTTTTATTTTCTGTATTCTGTAGCTTGCGGTCGATCTCCTTAACCCCACCCTCGAAAGCGAGAAGCGCGAGCACAAGCTCAAGCGCCTCGTGCAGTCCCCCAACTCGTTCTTCATGGACGTCAAGTGCTCTGGCTGCTTCAACATCACTACTGTCTTCAGCAACTCGCAGACCGTCGTTGTCTGCCCCGGCTGCTCGACTGTTCTGTGCCAGCCCACAGGTGGCCGTGCCCGCCTCACCGAGGGCTGCTCCTTCAGGAGAAAGACCAACTAAAGCGAGTCTAAACGAATACAGCCTTTGTTGGAAGAGGATTGAATTAAATTTTTTTGCGGATTTTTGAACGCTCTCCTTTTTCCAGTTTTTACTCACTTTGCCATAGTCTTTTTAAAAAAATTCAGTGTGCAACTTTATTTATTTCTTTAAATCTGTTCTTAAATTACCTTGCTTTTGCCTTGTATGTATTGCCGTCGAGATCATGTGCAATTGCAGCCTCATTTTTAAAGAGATAAAAGATGTTTGTCATGAAAATTTTAAATGTAAACATTTGTGTGGATTGCGCTCGCTCTGTTTACAATTGATACATCATTTGTCTTGGCACAAGCGGAAATATGTGAGTGACATTTGTGCCAAGATATTATTTTGGTGGATGGTCAGCCGCCAACTACCAGCTAAAATCAAGTATTTCTCGTTCAAGGCCAAGTTCATAAAGGTCGCTGGCAGTGATATTCATAAATTGGTTTGCAGGTATAGGGGCAGTGTTAACAATTTGGAGTACCATTAATTTTCCTTTGAAAGAGCATGTCTTTGTGGTTTGTTGATATATAGACCCCTACCATCACCTAACCATTGCGTCGTTATTATCCTTCGCATCCCTGAAAGTTGCCGCAACCGGATAGTGAATGACAGGCGTTTTACAAAGCAATGTGGAGCACCAGCCGTGCCGACATAATCATGAGATATAGTGGGCGAAAACAGACATGTTGTATATGGTTATTTTTGGTTCTGGGCAGTAAATCGCACAAGAGATCGCATCAAAACATAGCAACTGGTTTTATTTGTGGTCGGCAAATACTTTTGTAATTGTCTCTGTGACGATCCGTTCGTTTGAAAGAAGAGTGCAATAAATAATCCCAAACAAGAAACAATCAAGTTGAAGAAGGCCCAAATAAAATATTTACACAAACCAAATTTATGTATATCCCTTCAGCGGACCGCATGATCCACAGGTGCAATTTCCAATTGTGGACAATCTCCCCCACCTTTTTCACTTACCTTTTGGTGTTGTATGTGCGCCAGTCCATAGTTTTTCTTATGAGGCAAATCTGCAAATGCAAAACTGCATTTGCATCTGCGGCAATTCGACACCATTAGTGCAGAAAAATAGTGCGGGGAAAAAAGTAGTTCTTTTTGCGATGCTCATTAAACCAACCCTGGGTCTAAAATTTTCAATTATATTTTTGTTTGCGTATATATTGTGAGGCTGTCGCCGCCCCCTTCCACTTTCTTGTACTTTTCTTTTTTCCTTCAGCGTTCATAAGTAGATTTTTTTCTTCGCAAGGGCATTTTTCCTCTCATACATTAGCATTTTTATTTTGCATCTATTCGTTTCAGCCATTCATTTATACATTTTTCATTTCCATATCACAATATAAATAAAATTTTTATCCATTCACGTTTTTTTGTTTTTGTGATTCATATTTTTCCCTTTCAAAGCCATTTCTCATATACATTGTTGTGCATATATTTTTATATTTGTGCAATAGACATTCATAATTACATTTCAACAATCAATATCCTTGCCTCTTCTGAAGCCAAACACATTAGTGATTTATTTTTCATTCTATTCTAGTAATAGCCAAAAAAGATATTATTTTACTTTCATATAATCTGCATCCAATAACCTCCCACTTTCTTTCACACACACTCACAATGTTCAGCATTTCTGCCCTGTCTCCTCCCAGCACACCCCGCGGATCCATCTTTTCTCCCCGCCAAAGCGAGGCACCGTGGTCAATGCACGCCCTGTCGCTCGAAAGCCCAGGCAAGCGGGTCAAGCTCAACCCCGTGCCCAGCACATTCAGCAAACCCTCGTTCCCCCGCAACAACAACAAAAACATGTTTATCCGCTCAGCCACCCTGGCCTCGCGCAGACTGAAGAACGCGCCGACCAGCATTGCACCTCTGCAAATGAGCAGCGCTCGGGTCGAGCCCGAGACACAGTCCCTGAGCACCGGTCTGTCGCCAATCGTCAAGAGCCTGTCGATCATGAGTAAGGCCAGCAAGCCCTCTGGCTTGCAAATCGAGTCCCGCCAGCAAAGCCCCGCAGCCTGCGAATCCACCCCTTCCCCGTCGTTGACCTTCCGGTTGCAAAAATCGACGCCCGCCAAGATTGCACAGGCCAAGGGCGTGGCTGTGCCTAGACTGAGCCTCGCTATCCCCACGGGCCTCATCAGCCCGCCGTCGGCCAACTCCACACCCAAGCGCCGCCCGCCCCCTCTTAGCTTTGGCTCGCTTGCATCGCCCGCCACCAACAAGAGCATGTCGCCGTCCCTGCCCCAGACCCCCGGGACCGCCGGTTTCGCGTCTTTCTCGCCGCCCAATATCATGGAAGACCTGATGTTTGGCGAAGCCAGCCCCTCATTCTATGCGCAGAAGACACCGCCACCAGCCAGCTGGGTACCCACATTCTTTGTCACGCCACCGACCCCCGTTGCTGCCGACTCTTGCGCTGGCTCGCAGAGCGGTAGTGTTGAGGCTAAGCTGGGAAGCGGTGCCTGCACATTGTCCCCGTCCACGCCGCCGTGGCCAAAGTCGGGCTCTGGCCTGCAGAAGACTATTTTCGACCATATTGGAAAGAACCAGTTGAGTACTATGGATTTGCGTGGCTACATGGCTATATCCATGAGTAGCTAAATCTTTCTAAAATTATTTTGGTTTCGAAAACTTTTTTCCTTACTAATGACCCAACTCCCCCTTATGTTTTATATTTGTTGCGGTTTTGACTTATTTTTTCCTTATTTTCCCTACTATATTTAATAACAGCGAAGTGCACCAATTATTCCTTTTTCTGTTCCCTCCTTACAGCCTGACCACGCACGCAAATATGCGTAGAATTGAGTATATAGCTCAGTAGCTAATTATTTTTTACTCCCTTTTTCTCAACAAGTTTGAACCTATTTTCAATTAGCTGTCTGAGTAACCAGCGAACAAAGCGAGTGGGGTGGGTGATAATGACTTGTATAATATACAAAACAACACAACCAATTAAACGCAAATATAAAAAACAACGGACAGAAAATATATTTATTTGTGCGCTTTTAGCCCGTTCCAGAACCAACATCCAGTATTATTTATTGCACTCTCATTCGTGTGTATATATTGCTGGAAAATATCACCGGACTGTTTTTTGTATGATAATTTCTAGTTGCACAAGAGCCCTTTGCTTGCAGAATAATATTTTATACTTAAGCTGTGTCAAGAATATAAAAATGGTGTTGACAATGCGACACTTTAACTCATTGTATTTATAACCAAAAATTTACTTGGACATTAAACAAAGAAAAAATAGCTTGAGTATGTTTTGCAAACTTACTTCTAGCAGTAAGCCCTTGCTCCACGCATCAAGGACAATCCCAGCATTAGCCCGGCACCATTACGCGAGCGTGGCCGAACCCGAGAAGATTTTCTCAGGACTCAAGTCTGACGCCTATACGACGCTAGGGGTGGACGAGCGCAGCAGCGCGGACGAGATCAAGGCAAGGTACTACAAGCTCTGCCGTGAACTGCACCCGGACACAATCAGGCAAACAACAGCAGAATCAGCCCTGCCAAAGTCCCTGGGTATCGGTGATACGCAGTGGAAAACGCTAGGCTTTGACGAGCGGAAAACTGCATTGCGCGACCGGTTTGTCAAGGTACAGGCCGCCTACGAAGTGCTGTCCGACGCTGAGCTGAGGCACAAGTACAATATGTACCGGAGGCGCAGGCAGAGCTATATAGATGATGCGCAGAAAGGTTCTTATGACGTCTGGGGCCAAGAGCGGCCCCCGGCATACCATGATGGGAGACAAAAGACTGAGGAGGAGAGAAGGAATGAGAAACGCATTATGCTGGGCATTCTGGGGTTTACCGGTGTGTTGGCTGTTATAATGTGGTATCAGGAGCTGGTAAAACATGAGGATGTGCTGCGCATCAGCGGCATGGAGCACCTGCGGTCGATGCGTATGATGTCGGATGCACGCGAGCGGGCCAAGGAGAGATGGCGCGAGGTGCCGCCGGACCACGCCATGGAGTATGAGGCGAGAAGACTGCAGAACAGTAGCCGATCCGGAATTAATGGCGGCGATGGGGTAGCAACGGGCGAGTATCATAAGATATGGCCGCATGGAGCGGGGCTCGGACTGATGGCCCTGCTGGAGGACAATCAGCTCTGCGGCGTGGAGTCACGGAAGAGGGCTGGCGCTGACCCCGAAGTTCTGTCGACACGCCAGGCTGCTCGGCACGCTTTGGAGGATGACAGTATCGTGCACAAGTACATGGCTCTGCCTCCGCCCTCAGAGAGTCCTGTACCGGTTTTCGACTCTGCTGCCCGTCGTTCGGCGGACCCTTAATTTGTGCATGACATCGCTTTTCTTTTCCAATAGTGCAAGCACACATGCGCTTCTCTCAACATTAATGAAACGACACACTACACTAGTGAAATTGTATTCTGGAAGTTCCAGACATTTATAGCCAAATTCTAGATTTTTAAGCAGGGGATTTTTAAACCGTTTTTTCCACGCAAAAAGGCACCATTCGAGTTGGCTGAACCCGAGTCTACAGCGACACCCGAGACTTTGTTCAAGCCAAAGCCCAATCCCAAGCGTGTGCGCAAGAATCCATCTTCCCCTGTTTTTTCTCTTCAAAAGAAGCAGCGAACTGATTAATACCGTCAACCATGGTGGTATATTGCCACTAATTCCTAAACACCTATCAGGTTGCTATGCAATCTGAATGGGAGGGGTGTCGATTTGCAGGATACTTGTAGTTTCATTCTTTTCTTTTAGTGTATTTCGATGACTGACACATTTTGCAAAGAAAATTTTTTGGTCAAATGGCCTGCCCAACAGCTTCTATGCGTGTGAGCGTGTGTCGTCTGCTGAAAATGAGTAAACAAAATTGTATATCTTTGCGCCTGCTCCCTTTTGCCCTTTATATTTTGCGAGTCCCCCTTTTTAGAGCTCCGAGGCGTTTATTTTTCTTTCTTATTTCTTCTTTCTAAACTAAACTTTTCACTTTCTTATTTGGCGCTGCCTTTTTTGACTATACTTTGTTTCTCGTCTTCTCGTTTTCACGAAGACACTTTTTAACGCTCATTATAACTTTCCAATTTACGTTGCTTATAACTTATTGCATTCGACAACCCTTTATTATTTCTATTTCTATTTCTTAACACCAACCATGCCTCTTTACGGAACAGCGATCGAGGTGCGCGACGAGCAAAAGGCACGAGTGCTGCAACAGGGCGGCCGCGTGCTAAAGTTCACCAATAACGGCGGCAAGATTTACTTCCGGTACTATTTCCCACACCCGAGTCAACTCACCTGGAACAAGCTAACAAGCGGCCTGCGCGTTCTTTTCAGCATAGCTTCAATGGACATCTACATCCGGTACACGGACCCTGATGGTTCCCAAATCATAGTCAACGACGACAGCGGGCTGAAAATCATGTTTGACGAAACAAAGGGTAGTGATGTCATCCATGTCGAAGTCATTTCAGAGGACAACCCGCTGTCAATGCCAAACTCGATACCGGGAATTGACAAGCCGCCATCAATGAGCGGCACGCCCACGATGGCCATGCCCATGCCAGCACCTGGGTTCCCTGGCATGGAGGCGAGCCGCCCCGGGTCGGCGATGAGTATGGGAAATAATGCAGCCGCGGGGCCTCCTCGCCCTCCCGCGCAGCCTATGACCATGTCAATGGCACAGCCAATGCCGCCTAATTCGGGAAACTCTAACCACCCAGGCCCGGTGTCGCAAATCATGCCCGGGCCGTTTGTTGCACCAGGACCCGCCGCTCATGGTGCGCCTCAGGGCGCGTATGGGCGCATGGACAACTTCTCGACCGCCACACTACCGCCTCCCAATCCTCAGGAGCCGCTGAAATAGATCCCCTTTTTAAAGTCTTTTTTGTTTTTTGTTTGCGCTCCATTACTCGTGGTCAATGTCCAATATATACTTTTATTTTCCATTGTTATTTCATACATACAATAATGCAATCATCCTGTGGTGCCCAACACACATTTCAAGCCACTACCTTTCCTTTTCAAGAACTAAGATCGTCCTCATGGCCACTATACACATTTCTGTTATTGCTGGCTGACATCAAGGAACACCATGATGTTTACAGTGCTGCCCACACAGCGCTGCCCCCTTTTTCAGTTAAGTAATTTTTAAGACTTGAATATATCGATTTAGATCCACATTTTTATAGAGCACGACACATCCAACTGCTTAGAACAAGCCAGGATCGATGCCCAGGCGCTTGAGCATGTACGTAACATCTATATCCTCGTCGTCCTGATGGGCATCTGCATCGTTGCCACTGTTACTGTGCGTCTGTTGCGTCGACTGTCCTTGATCGAACACACTGCCGTCGTTGAACCCACTTTGACTGAACCCCATCGCATCAGCCTGCCTCTGTGCTTCCATCAAGGGTTTGAGCAATTTAAACAGGTCCTCGCATGCATCCGAGCATGCACTCTGCCATTTCGAAATCAAGTCATTAACTACCACAGCCTCGTTCTTCTCCTTCAAAGTGATGGCTCGCTCCAATAAGGCGCGCTCCTCCTTGACGTTTGTCAACTGGCGCTGTAAACTGGTCTTTTCTTGCACTAGTGCCCGGCTGACTTTGTCTGTCGGGGACAGGAGGTTGGTTGTTTTGCCAGTGCTCTTGCTGATTTTGAGCGGAGTCAAGCGCGGGCGTTTCTTAGGTGTTGTATGTGTGGAGCTCAGCAGGCTGCTAAGTGAGGGTGATGCTTCCAAGAGTGTCGGTCGCTTTCGTGGTGCTGGTGTCAGGGTGCCGTTGATGGTTGTTTTGGTGTCGTCAGTTTTTGAATTCGGGGTGACCATCTCTGCTTTGCTTGTGGTCTTATTTGCTAAGAAAGGCGTGCTGCTGCGCTGAGGCGACTTGAACGGCTGCCGCAACGAGCTCCCCAAGCTCTTTGTTCGTGGTTGCATGGATAACGTGTGTGAGTGAGAAATGTTGAAATTCAGACGAAAGCGAGCACTCCTGTAAAAAAATGGCTACAAAAGTTTCTGTTGTTAAAGCGAAATTCAAATTGCCAAGGAAAAAATGGAAAAAGAAAAATAGCCTTTTTTTGTTGTCTGACAACAAATGCGCAGCCAAAACCAAATAGTGATCAATCTCCAGCACTGATCACGATTGTCTTCGCTTGACATTTAGAACGCTGCGCTGAAATATACTGTAAAATTATACGTTGGTCACTGAATGCCGTCCAGCGTGCGGCGGTCTCGCTGATACTCCTCGTTCTCTAGTGCGATCTCCTGCCAGTCGGCATCGTTAAAGTCACTCGTAGTCTCCCAATACGAGTTCAGCTCATCCTCAGGCTTCTCATCAACAGGGCGAATCCACACATCCTCCTTATGCCTCTTATGTCTCTCACGATCCTCCTCGATACGCTTCAGAATATCTTGATGCTTCATCCCCGTATCGTTAGTGCCGCCGCTCCCACCAGCACGATTGGCAAGCAGCAACTCGATGCTGTCGGCAGTGGGCGCACCAAAAATGTTTTTGCGCCGCCATCCCGAGACTAGTTTGCGGACCTGCGACACATTGGCGTCACCCCCGGGGTTCTCGGGTATCACCGTTTTGATAATACTGACCATCTCCTTTTTAATCAGATCCGTCCACGTGTGTGATCCTGTCCGGTGGTCTGAGAGGAGTATTGTGTCTATGACGAAGAGCAGGTTGAGCCGTGGGGGCACTTGGAGCTTTTCGAGCTTTTCAAGGATGCAGTCGAATAGGTTGTCGGACAGGCTAGCGTGGTCTATGGCGTACTGTGATACGCGTTCGATGGTTGGCTGCGCGCCTGTGAGGTTGTCCAGCTTGCTGCCGAAAAGCAGGCGAGCCTCGAATGGGTCCATATCATCCATGCGAGTGTATAAGTATGTAAGTGAGCGTCTGTGTTTGTGTGTTTGTGTGTTGTTGTTTTTTTGGTCCTTCAGGTGATAAACAACAGTAACGACAAGATGAATTTTTTTAGGAACTGGACAGCCTAAAAAAACGGAAATTCTGTCCCAGAATAACAATACATTTTTAAGCAACAAAGATATGGTTCCCCAGCTGAAACATGTTTCGGTAGTAATTTCTTATTTACTTTTTGCCCCTTTGCCCTTTTCTTTTATTTTTTCATTTGTGTTTTTCCTTGTCGAATTAGCCCCTTACAACACGCAAATTCAATGAGCTCAACTGCAGCACAGATACCCACAGGCCACGATGTCATGCGTGTGGAGTATTTGCAGAAAAACTTGTCGATCGCGTCGGTTTCTGTCAGAGTAAACGATGACTCGCCCAATCCACCACTGGCACAGCAACTTCCAAACCCGCAGCCGGTCCTTCTATTCATGGGTCCAGCGGTGGCCGGCCTGATAGCGTTCTCCATGGTTGGGATTCTCATACGAGTGCATATGAGCCGCCTGTTCAGGTACCCGGGCCAGCCCATATACGAACTGATATGGACCCAAATGGTTGGCTGCTTTATAATGGGCGTTGCTACTCGAACCAAGGGCATGCTGATGAGCCTTTCGCCAGCACTAAACCTCGGCATAACCACAGGCCTGTGCGGCTCAATAACGACATTCTCGTCGTGGCAACTTGGGATATATAATGAGTTCTTTAATGTTGCGGGTAGCGACCACACAAAGTTTAAAAACTTTTTGGGCGGGATGAGCGTTCTGGCAACCACGTTTGCATGTTCGGTGGCTGCAGTGCGGCTGGGCCAGATAGTTGGTGATGAGGCACGCTCGCTGTGCAACTACTATTTGACTCGCAATTTTTCGAGCGACGATAACCCAATGTGCCGCATTGACACTAGAATGCTTGGAGGCGAGGCAGCATCAGTGCGGGATGGCTGGTTCGGTTGGAGCAAATGGCGACCGGTTGATTTTATTTTGGTAGTCGCTGGGATAATTGGAATTGCTGCCGCCACTATTGTCATTTCTCTTGCACCGAACACGCGCAGTGTAAGCATTGCACTGCTTTTTGGCCCTATAGGGACGTTTTTGCGCTGGAAGCTCTCTTTACTGAACGCACATCATCGGCGGCTCGACCGTGTACTACCAAAAGCCATTGTGTCTTTGAGGCTACCTCTGGGAACTTTAATTGTCAATGTGGGCGGCACTATAGTGCTTGCTGTGATTTATATATTTCAAACTGGCGTCGTTGTGCGCCCATCTTTTGCTAGCTGTTATGTGCTGGCTGCAATGGCTGGGGGATTCTGTGGCTGCTTGACTACTGTTTCAACATTTGTGGTTGAGCTCGGCATGCTGCGTTCTCGAGTCGCCATGCTATATTCGGCTGCATCGATTGTGGCGGCCCAGGCCTCCTTTGTACTTATTGTTGGAATCTACTTTGAAACGTCTTCCGTAAATTATCCAACGTGCTAGCTGTATAGAGCCTGCACATGGTTGTTACTCATCAAAGTTTTTGTTTTCATTTTACACAAAATAATATCATTAATTTACCTTTTCCACGTGCAATTCCTATTGGCTACTGTCGAATTGAATTACAATAGGAAAAAACATCATTTTTTTACTAGCGTGGCAGTAGAGAAGTTTACGATACCGCAGTTTATGCTTACAGATTCAAATTATGCATGGTTTAAGTGTATGTTGTATGTGTGGTTACGCTTTTTGTGCCGTAACACGTTTGGAAATCCGTGTTTAAACGTACTTAGTACAAACTTAGCATGGCGCACATTTGCATGCACGCCCATATATTTACCCGACAAAATATTGTTTGAAGAAATGAACACAATGTCACATTGTTCAATTATTGTCAGTCGCAACCACGCATACTTTGAAGTGAAAATCAAGCAAGACATAGGACATAAGTCAAAATTCCTTATACCTTTTTTATATACCTTTAAAATTACGTATTAAAAGGCAAATATGACAGGCATGGCTTTTAAACCACAATTGTTGTCAATGAAACCGTCAACTTTCACGTGAAATAAACCTAGGAGGGCGAGCACTATGCGCCTGCCAGCCTCTTTGTCCAAAAAAGTTACACATTGCAACACTACTCGGCAAACTATACCTGATAATTTTGACAACATTTTTGAATACCACATTGATGGCGCATTGAAACAGCAATAAGTAGAAAGGTAGCAAAAACAATTTACACGCAATGCATGTGTATGTAGTGTGGCTTTTGCTGTGCTTAGAAGGCAATTTAAAAATATTTTTAATAAAAAATCAATAAAAAATATTTTGACCTTGCAAACAACCATCGTGTTAATTCAGGGAACTTAAGAACTTTGAAAATTAGTATAAAATAGCAAGCATCTTCCCACTATTCTACAATTTTAGTTTCTTCAGTACACTACAACATCTTGATATTAATCAACAAACTTCAAACTCACCAACATCTAACAACAATGCAGTTCAAGACTCTCGCTATCATCGCCGCTGTCGGCCAGGCCTCCGCCTCTTTCGACCTCATCTCCAACACCAAGGTTGCTGAGAACATCTTCGGTGGCAACATCCAGAAGGTCAGAGTTGTCGACCGTGCTGTCCACGATGCCGCCTCCCCCATTATTCAGGCCACTGCCCGCGTCGTCCGCGACATGCAGCCCTCCATGCTCGAGGGCATGACTTTCTTCCACGCCACCCTTGACAAGGTTGTTGACTCTGTCCACCGCGTCATGACCCCTGAGATGCGCGCCAAGGTCAGAAACAGCATCATCAACGTTGTCAAGACCACCAACGACAACTTCCTCTAAACTATTAAATATTGTTTAGTCGGCGCAAAAGCTGAAGCATTCTTGGGATTCTAAGGCATAAACAAAAACTTTGATGCCGCAGTGTGCCTAAATATTTAGCTTTTGCAGCTATAATTTGAGCCTGTCTTTATTTCTTTAGTTTACGAGTATTTTTATAAACTTTCTAAATACACAGTCAAATCAATAATCTATTGAATTGTAACGCGCGCACAAGTAAGGTGTTTTATTTGGCGCTCGTGACAAAAAAAAACAAAATGAGCTGCTGAGCACAATATACAAGTTACACCTTTTTTTAGTTTATATTTTCAGCTTCCATATTTCGACTTTTAGAATTGTTGTAATGAGAAGGGGGTGTAAGCACTACTATAGTAGTGTTAGAAAAGTAGGGGGGATTTTATAATTGGTTTTTAATACTAGTGTTTCTAAAGTGCTACCAGCGCTGGCCTCGTCTTATATATGTGTCTCCTTGCCTTTGTTGTGCACTTCGTTGGCGAGAACTGGTTATTTTGAGAGCAGCCCGGTATCTTGGCATGTCAGTGTTGTGACTTTCATGTATTTGCGCTCGTACACACGTATTTTAAGATGGGCAATGTGTCTGGATGTCAATAGTGGCGCCTGATTTGATCACCTATGATTTAGTACATATTCAATTTATCAGCATGCAGACGGGAATCTGTTTCACGATTCTCGACCTCGACATCCATTTCCATGTTCTCAGGTTGCGCAACAAAACAATCATTATATTTTTAAAAAATATAATAGCGGTGGTGTAATGTGAATGTATTGAATGATTATAAATCAAAATGGAAAATGGTTATGAATGAATGAGTGAATGAATGGAGGGAGGGAATGGGATGACGTACGGGTAAGTGAAATAAATGGCAAGAGAAAATGAAGTTGAAGGTAAATGTGTATGGAATGGTTTTCTTTGGCGATAGTGGTACAGGTGTAATTGTATGATGTTGGTGTTGGTGTTGGTGTTAGGGTTAGGGTTAGAGTTAGAGTTAGGGTTAGAGTTAGAGTTAGAGTTAGAGTTAGAGTTGGTGTCGGTGTCGGTGTCGGTGTTTTTGAGGGTGTGGTGCTTAGCGGATGTGAAAGGACGTTTGTCTCGGAAATAGGAGATTTTGGCGAGTGCTGCGCGCTTGCTTGCTACCTACTGGTAAACATACGAGCTATTTGCAGTTGCAGGTGTTGAACATGCTGTTGCAGTGGGTGCACTGATACGAGTTCGATTTGCACGAGTCACAGTAGTGCATCGACCACGAAGTGTGATTGCAGATGCACCGGACGCCAAAGTCGAGGACACGAAGTACGTTTCTGATCGGAGCAAGCATGATGGTTAGTCGTTAATTGGCAGGTTGAATGAATGAAAGGATGAATGAATGTTTAGTGTGAATGAAATGTAAGAAGAAATGAAGTGAGATAATTATAAAGTGAGAGAGTAAAATGAATTGGTACAAGGTAAAGTATTAGGTCGTAGAATGCAAAATGCAGATGCAAAAAATGAATGAATGAATAAAAATAATAATGCAAAATATCGAGGATGAAGAGGGAATCTGTAACACACCGCAAACTCAATAAAAGTAAATGATTAAGTAAATGGAAATGTTTTTATGTGGCAATGACAAGAGTAGAAAAATAAGTAGGGAGAGAGAGAAAAGGTCCTTTGATTTTATACCAAAACGCAGGGCTGCACATAGAATAGAAATGGATGACCGCCTCTGGCGCTAGCCTTGCAAATTTTTAAGAAAAAATCATTACCCTGAGCATTGGCATTGAGAGAGAAAAATAAACTGAATATTCACCCGTTTGCCTCTTTGCAAAAAAACAACTTATTTTACAAAGGAACAATGCACCTTTGCCACAAAACGAAATGGCTGGTTTTGTTTCCCCTGAAAATACAGAGACGGGTGCAGCATCTAGAAAGGAAATGGAGCTCTATAAAGGCTTTTTAAAGGGCAGCAACAACATGCGATTTGCCTCTTTGTTTCTCTTGGCTTTGTCGGTAAGCAATACAAAGTTTAATCGCATTTTGCTCCCCACCAGCTTTTTACTTTATTTTTTTGGCGGCTCCAGTATAAAAACAAGGCTAAATGGCATCCAAAAGCGTCTCGCTATTCCGTCAGGTCAATTTGATTATCATTAATGTGGTTTTTAGATGTCCGCAACAAACGAGTATATTCCTGAATAGGAAAATGCGTGATGGAAAGATCCCTGCTCTTTTCAAGGTCCGTTTGCTTTGAAAGTGCGTGTTGTGTCGAGTGATTTTTTGTGTGAAATTGTCAAACTTTCTTGCGCTATTAATAGCAAGCATATAACCTTGGCCTGCTCTTTTTCGGCCTTGGGTGGACAAATTGGGAAATAGTCTGGGGAATGCTCAGGGTCCAGGGTTGGCCCCCTCAAATTCCACTGGACGAGCTGCCGATGAAGCTGCGCATTTGGAAAATACAAAGGTCCGATCTGCCCTTTAGCACTCACGTTTTCAAATGTAAAAAAATAACAATAATAAAAATATGCAATTCATGCACAGAACAAGCCATTGACGATATCAACGATTTTGCCCCTGTTGGCCTCGACATTCTTGACGCCCTGCGTTTCCATCCGCAGACGCGCGTTACCGACAGCCACACCAATATCCCTGCCCTTCAGCATGGGCCAGCGCTGGCACACCAGGCTGCCGACGCTAACTTCGTCCGGCACCTGCCCTGGCACCTCTGGCGCAATAATGGTCGCCGTTGTCAGCATCTTCTCGCCAACGACGCCGCGCAATACCAAATCCCCAGACCTGAGGGGCCGCCACGCCTTAATATTGTTAGCGTAGGACGGCCTGAAGCCAGCGGGTTCATTGTACCCAATAGTAATGTGTGGCGTGGTGCCTACAACCTGGGGCACAAGTGTCATACCTTTGCCCTGCATCCGCGCCAGCACAACGCGCACAGCAATCACTGCGTTTGCAATTGTTCCCAAGCTGTCAACGACAAGCTCGACGGTCTCTCCTAACTGCGCGCCAATACACAGGTTGAGCTCCTCGGCAGTCGCCGGCCCCAGGGTCAGCGTCATGTGGTGATCAGTCTTAGACCAGCCCGTCGGGCAGCGCACGTTCTTCTTGAGCAGCCTACGGCTCGCGTGGTCAAGGAAAACGCCCGTGTAGCTGACATAGTCCTTTGTCAGCAGCGAGCCAATCGGAAGCTCACTTTCGCTGGCACCCACTGCGGAAGTGCGCACGCGAGCGTTGTACTCCTGGATCATGGTGTGCACCAACCTGCGCTCATTGCTCTCGCGCATAGGTATGGTCTGTGGCGGCACATGGTACACCTGCGCCTTGGTAATATGGCTGATGCGGCTACGCAGGGCGTTTAGGTACTTCTGCATCTTTTCGCATTGATTCTCGCGGTCGTCCCACATGGAGATATTTTGAATATCTGGAAACGCTGCAATGGTGTCTTCAACCACAGCCATCTTGTAGTCAAAGGTCAGCGGCGCCTGCGGATCCTTAGCAGCTGTGCTGAAATCAACCTGCGACACGAGCGGGGATTGTCGCGTGGGCGTCTCCTTGAGAATGACAATGTCAAATCTCAGATTCTTGCGGCGACTCAGCAAATCCAGGATGGTCTGGCGGTATGCCGCGTGCGAGCGGCCTGTCAGCAACATGACAAGGGTGTCAGACCGTGAGTTCTCAATCTCAGTCAGCGTCTCTATGGGCGTTATCCAGTGGTTATCTGTGTACTCTAGGTACGGCGAGCTCAGCGTGCGCCCGTCCTGAAACCAGCCGAGATCGGTGCTTCTCAGCATGCCATTCAGCTTCTGGTCCCAGAGCTGTGGGTTAGGCAGTGGTGACTTGAACAGCGTGTTGTCAAAGTCGATTATCGACAGCCGGGTGATTCCGTGCTTGCGTGTCCGCAGCTCTGAAAGCTGTTGCCGGTACAAGAAGTCCTCCTTGCCAATAGGGCGTGTCCAGTCAACTGTGCTTGTGTATATGGGTGAATCGAACGAATCTGAGGGCTCTTCAGATAGCCTGTATGGTTGCATGTACGGCCCGGCCCGGGGCACGGCAGCGGCCTCATCAGCATCATCAGCATCATCGTTTAGCTTTGCCTCAGTAATCTGTATGGATATCCCGCTTTCCCCGCCGCTGCTGTCGCTGTCAAAATGGCGGTTGGCGGCAGAAGTAAAGATGCCCGATGTCATGGAGTACTGGTGTGGTGTTCTAAGTGAGAGAGAAATAAATGCAGCCGAAGCACTAAGAAGCGATGTTTTGTAAAGTTGCAGAGTAGAGTATGTGCGGAAGGCGGCGCTTGCGTGGAGTTTTATACTAAGTTTTACGGTCATAAAGCAGCTCAGTAGAAACGCCCCTTTCATAGCACTTGTGGGCGCTCACAAAGAAAAAACAAAAGAAATATCCACAAATTGTGTTTGGTCACGAAATGTGAATTTTAGCAAAAAAACAATGTCAAGAAGCAAAAAAGATAGGGGAAAGAAAAAGGGTTCTCGGCCAACCAGGTTCTTTTTAAAAAAATAAGTCAAAATCTTTATTATTTGCTCCGTCCCTACGGAAAAATCCAGCAGGAAAAAATGTGGCATGACGAAACCTTTTCATTTTTGAGTCAAAACCGATTGAAAACCTTTTTTGGGGAACAAAGGGGAAATTGTATGTTAAACATTGCACTGTAACAAATACCCAACCCGTGGGGGGGGTAACTTTGGAGGTTGTGTTTACGCACCTACCTTAACGCACTACCTTTTAACAAAGTGTAAACACCTTTTGCCAAAGGTAGGGAAAAGGCAGCAGATTAATCTTGGATTTTTTTTAAATATTTGCAGTCTCATTTTTCCTTCAGTGTGGCAATTTTATCTCAAATATCTTAAGCACCTGAGGAACTTTCTTGCCTGCAGCAACAAGCTTTGGGTAAGACCTTAAAAACATTTTGTTTTACAAGTCAGCAGGTTTTATTCCATAAACCCCATGCATGCAGACTTGCAGTAATAAATAGCGCAAGGGGAGGGCCGTGCGCCTGGACAAGCTGCCTCCACTTATGCTTCTGCTATGCATTTATGACAATCAACTTTAATATTGACACTCTAAAACGCTTTTTGCAACTCAGCACCTGAACATTTAGAACAGTACGCCGCACGTCTCGTTTTGCATATCCGCTGCCACTCTGCCACTGCTTTTTCCTCCAAATATACACACCTCAACCACACTTTCTCTCTTATTTATACACGCTTACACGCACATGGACGCCAGTCGCCCGTACACGGTCATCGTGAGGATCGACAGCAGCCCCGAAGGGTACGCAGCAGCCGAGTATTCGGCATCGTTGTGTATCAAGCTGAAGGTGAACTTTCGGCTAATATTCCTTTTTGTCGTCGCACTGTACAGAAGAACCGGGTTTCAGCTTATCAACCGCCAGACAGATCAAATGAACGCCGATATCCGTGAGGATGCAGAGAACGAGATGGTCAAGTGCAAGCAGTTTCTCTCGCGCTTCGAGTCGCTGGTGCCCTACGAGTGGATTTCGATAAAGGACGAGGGCAATATCGGCCCGATTATTGCCCAGTTTATCAAGGATGGCCTGCAGACACCCATCGACCTGGTGGTGGTTGGTCGGACAGCCGATGTGGGCATCAAGAAGCTTGTCGGCGGCCACGTCAGCGACTACCTGATAACCCACCTCTCGTGCCCAGTAATGGTCGTCAAGGACACGTACGATGTGTCTGACGATGAGGGTGACAGGTAAGCCGTCGTCTCGTATAATTTAATTTTAAAACATTTATTATAAGTATCCACAAGTTATTGGTGCTGCAAACTCCACGGCTCATTCACGCGCCGGCTCACATCTTGCATTTATCAGAGCCGGCTCCAGCAGGCGTCAGCGTGTTCTCCGTCCAGATGCGCTGCAGACGCTCCTGCTCCTCAGTTGCGACCGAAATGGGCTTGAGCAGCTTGCGCTTGGCCAGTTTGTACAGCTCGGATATGATCAAAAACACCAGCAGGGTGATGAGCACAATTCCCCACTCCCAGCTGATGCCGGTCATCTTGAGCACCTTGTTGTTCAACCCTGGGATGTACATGCACATGATGCACAGGATAGTGCCGCTGACAACTCCGGCGAGCAAAAACTTGTTCTCGTTGAGGCGCTTGATCATGCGCCAGCTCCACATGGGACCACGCAGGCGCCGGCAGTTGTACGAGTGCAGAAGAATACCCAGAGTAAGCGTGGCAAACACTGTGCCGCGCGCGCGGTACACCAAGTCGCACGACTCGGAGTACTCCTTGTTGCAGTGTTGCCCCATTTCGCCGTTGCCAAAGCCGTCGATGACAAGCCAAAAGTTGGAGATGGACAAAAGGCCAATAGTGAAGCCATAAAACACAATGTCAGACTGCACCTCCCGGGTGAAAAGCCCGCTAGTCGAGGAGCGAGGGGGCTCGTCCATAATTGTCGGCCAGGCCTTCTCGACGCCCAGAGCCATAGCTGGCGGCGAGCCCGTCAGCAGGTTGTTGATGAGGATGGCCACGGGCGACAAGGGGAAGACAGTCTCTCCCAGTTTGTCCTTGAACGCCAGGCCAACTACCAGACACACCAGCTCCGCAATGTTTCCGGCGACCAGCACGCAGCAGAAGCGCTGAATGTTGCTGAACACACGGCGGCCCTCGCGGATGGCGCGCACGATGGTGGCAAAGTTGTCGTCGGTCAAAATAATCTCGGACGCCTGCTTGGCGACGTCAGACCCAGAGAGACCCATTGCAATTCCGACGTCGGCAAACTTGAGCGCAGGTGCATCGTTGACGCCGTCGCCTGTCATAGCCACAATTCCCTGGCGCCGGTGCATGGCCTGGATCATCTTGACCTTGGTGTCAGGGCTGCAGCGGGCGATGACCTGTGGAAGCTCAAGAAGGGCGTCGATCTCGTCGTCGGACAGCCTGTCGAACTCACGCGCAGTCATGACGGTTGGTCCCAGGCTGATGGCGGCGTTGTGGTCGCTGCTGCCGTCGCCAATTTGGCTACTGACCTCGTCTTGCAAAATGCCAACCTCGCGAGCAATGGCAGATGCGGTATCAGGGTGGTCGCCGGTGAGCATGGTAACCTTTATTCCGGCGCGGTAGCACTCCATGACGCTCGGGTAGGACTCTGGGCGCGGCGGATCGTAGATACCAACAAGTCCGATAAAGGTCATATTTGTCTCAACCAGCTCGCGGTCCACCTTGTTCATGTTTACGGACTTCTCTTCCAGTGACAGATGGCGGTAGCCAATCGACAGTACGCGCAGACCGTCGCGGGCCATTTCCTTGATCCACGGGTCCAGGCTGGTCTGCAGATCATCAGGCGCTAGCTCTGTAATCTTCTCAGCGCCGCCATCCTGCCTCCCGGTGCAGCACGGAACAACGCGCTCGGAGGCGCCCTTGATAAATAGAATCTGCTCGTCCGTCGCCTCATTCTTGGCCACAACGCTCATACGCTTGATGCTAGAGTCGAAAGGGTACTCGCAGATGACTGACCACTTGTCCCCCGTGCTGCTGCTGACCAGCTGCGGCTTGCCCATGGAGAGCTTGGACGCAAACACCTGCAGTGCAATCTCGGTCGGGTCTCCAATGCCGACCCACTCGCCGGTCTCAGAGCTGCGCTTGATCTCGGACATGTTGCACAGAGCTGCAGCCTCGGTAAGCCGCCTGAAGCTGGCAGACATGTTGGTCGTGTCGACAGTCACTGTTCCCTCGCTGTCAGAAAAGTCGTTATCGAGAAGCTTGGCTTTTTCACTGATGCTGCCACTGCTATTACCAAACACACCCTCAGTAAAGTTCACGCGAGCGTCATCCGGCCGGGCAATTGACGGCAGTTTGACTACCTTGGTCACCTCGCCGACGGGTTCCAGGCCGAGGCCAGAGACGCGGAAGAAACCCTCTTTAGGAAGCCATGCGCGTACCAGGACCATGTTATTGCACGTAATGGTACCGGTCTTGTCTGTGCAGATGTTCGTGATTGAGCCCAGGCTCTCCAGAGCAACGAGCTGGCGCACGAGCGCGTGCTTCTTGGCCAAGGTATGGACGCCCAGTGACATTGTCAGCGTGACGACAGCCACAAGGCCCTCTGGAATCGTGGCGACTCCAACACCGACGGCGTACAGTAGGACATCCGTATTGACCTTAAACTTGTTGGCACCGAAAACAATGACTACAGAGGCGGTGGCAATGGCCAAAAGGGTCCACGACATCTTATCCAGACCCTTCTGCAGCGGCGTCTTTTTCCTCTTGTCTGTCTCTATTAGCTTTTTGGCAATTTTGCCAACCTCCGACGACATTCCAGTGGCGTACACAATGCCCTTAGCGCGACCCTTGGTCACTATGGTGCTGGCAAACGCCAGGTTGATGCGGTCGCCCAGAGATATCTCGGGGTCGTTAAAGGAATCAATCTCTTTGGAGACTGGAAGCGCCTCGCCGGTGAGCAGGGCCTCATCAGTGTCAAAGTTGAACACTTCAAACAACCGGCAGTCGGCCCCAATCACGTCGCCGCTCTCAAGATATATGATGTCGCCAGGTACAAGCTCGATAGTCGGGACTACCACCTGGTGGCTGCCGCGCAGTACACGCGATGTGGGCGAGGACATCTTGCGCAGCGAGTCCATGGTCTTTTCGGCCTTGAATTCTTGGACAAAACCGACGGCCGAGTTGAACACAATGACGCCGATCAAAACACCTAAATGCAATCAATAAATGTCAATCAAGCACATATTAGTAAATAAGTCGGCAAATTTATAAGATAATTGTTGTACATGGACATTGGAATGAATTTATATTTTTTGTGGTAACTTACTCGCTTCGATCCAGTCCTTGATCACAAATGCGACTACGATAGCAGCAATGAGGATAACAGTCATTATGTTGGCCAACTGCCGTAGCAAAATCTTAAGCCAGCTTGGCCTGCCGCCGCCACGCATCTCATTGGTACCGTAGACAGTCAGCCGGCGCTCAACCTCGCTGGTGGACAGACCATTTTCCAGGTTGACGTCGAGGTCGTCAAGCACCTGGCTTGTGTCCATACAATGGTATGGCTTTATCGTGTGAACATGTTTGTCTTCCTTCTTGCTCTTGAACAGCATTACTGGTAAGTAGTAAATAAATATAAAAAATATAAAAAAATACAAAGTGTTTATGCTAGTGTTGAGCAAGTCAATATTGAAAATGTAAATATAAGTAATAAAATATTGGCAAAATTATTAGCCCATTCGTCCGTATAAAGATGAAAGTTTGATGCTTCGGCGAGCTTGAAGGGATCGGTGCGAGACACTTTGTATTTATACTCCTCTTCGGATCAAACTATCCGGGCATGTTGTTCCCTGAGCAAAAAATTTGCGTTTCGCTTCCGAAGAACATTTTGCTCTCTCGATTTTAATTAAGCAATACACTTTTTTATGATGTTGCTGTAATTACGCAATAAGTGAAAACCGTCTTCTAAACAGAACATGTTTAACACCCATTCCGTGATTCCATGGCATTTCACGAGCAGCCAAAATATTACTCGGCGAAAAAAGATAAAAGGTAAAATTTTAAGCACCAATCATGTTTCTGTATCCAGTTTAAATATTCAATTACATTTGGAGTGGAGAGATATACATGACGGGAGGTGACTGCAGAGAAACAAATAAAGAAGAGTATAAAGGAACTTTGCCAAAATGTTTGCTAACTTTGCGCATTCTATTTGCCCACAGACAATACTTTTGCTTCTAGAAGGTTTCCCAAAAAGGCAAGCGTGAGTGTTGAAAGTGTCAGGCGCAAGTGCGCCCGGGCCAATTAGAGAGCAGAGATAAATAGTAGCTGGCACACGTGGACATACTTGGGCTGGTGAAATTCGGAACGAGCGCGGAAAAAGTAAGCTAATTGCCGTGTATTGGCGGCTGCGACACGGCTATTTTAATCAATTACGCTTGCTAATTCGGCCACCGAGCTGGCGACCAAATTCGTTGGAACGATATCCCGACAAGGTACTACCACACATGCATTGCTAGATAAAGCGCGCGTTTCTCAGCATATAAGGTGTGTCACGAGCGCCAGATCCGATCTCTCGTTGGTCAGCCGAACAAATGTTTATTTTTGCACTTGATACCATTGTTGGCGGATTTTGTTAGAAAAAAGAGCAGCTTTGACACAGATAATCTGTTCAAATCAACAAATCAGTTTTTTTCAAACCACAACAATACTGGTCTTTGGTCTTTGGCACTTTCCGAAGCCTGGTCTTATACATCCGGTTTCTGCTTCAATTTCGGCCCAAGAATTCGTGTTTTCGTGCCTTTCGGTTTAAAAATAAACCTTTGTTTGCATTTTTTGCACTGCTGATGCGCGTACTTTTTTATACCAAGTCCCATTTGCAATATATTTCCTGGATCCAAATAAAGAAATATTGGATGAGCAGGATACAAAGAGATTTGAATCCTGTTTATCGTCTGCTGCAATTTTTTACTTTGGGTGCATGCACCAGTATCGCCTTTGCTTTTGCTGCCAAAGGCATGCTGCACAAGACCAGTTGGAGTGCGCTTGGCCATAAAAGAAATAAAAAACTGCAAATCGGAGGCTTGTGAAAAGCTAGTTGCATAAGCCTTATGGCAAACATTTGCGCTCCCCACTCCCCTTATGTTTTTCTTGCCAACTGAATAGAATAATGGCAGCAAAGTGCTACTGTCGAGGCGTTGTTGTTTAGCTTTTCGGAAAGACTTTTTGCCAACAATCAATAACACATTGTAAAAAAATGTTGTATTGATCCATTTTTGAGCGTCCAATTGAACCAGCTTTGCACCTCATCCTTGGCAACAGTAGTGTCCTTGCGCTGGGTGCACCAAACAATACATGGGTGCCACCCAGTAAGGAAAACCAGTACAAATTGACTATTCGCGAATTAAGATAAGTAGTAGTTTACAAAGGGTATAGCAGTCGCTTTGTGCAGAAACAAAGCAATTATTTATGCTTGAGCAACTTCCACGCACTGGCCTCTAGTTCTCATATTTAGCCTCCTTGTGCTCCATTCCGCTTTTAGCACCGCACTGCTTTTTCATTTTTTTGGTCTGCAGATTGTTTATTTTTCCATCTTTTGTGAGCGACCTCTCTTTTTTTCTCCTTCCCCTTTTCGGCTTCATTTATTTTTTCACTTTTACCTTGCTCTTCATTTCATTTTTGTGGTCAAGCACTAATTTTTTTCCACGCACTCTACAATTAAAACCATTTTTTGCCTTTATTATTATTTTATTGTTATTGTTTTCTTAAAAATTGACCAGTCTCATTTCATACTGACGCGGATATGCACGCACAACAAACAAACACGGAGCAGTCTGTTGTAAACAGACGCTCTGTTGATATGCGGGGCGGCGCTCGGCAGTTCTATGCAGACGAGGCCAATTCGACGGCGTTCCAAGCAGGTCCAAATGGCGGCTTTGGCCAAATTAGCGACGATTACAATTCGGCCATTGCTACACGTGCAGCCATGCTTTCGCCACGCTTGCAGCAGAGACTGCCGCATCATGATGCGGTGGAAGGCCAACGCAAGAGTATGTCGATGGTCTCTGGCATGCGCGGCTCACCCGACAGGCAGCCCGCGGCTAGCGGATTTCTTGCTCGTAGCGCAACAATGTATGGTGGCGCCAGCAACACTCATCAGGAAACAAACACAATGGAGTCGTGGGGGGCAATGCCTGGCGGCGAGCAGCGTGCAGGCCCGTACATGTCACCCCCAAGCCACAGAGACGGAGGGAGGCCATTTATGATTGACAACGCGATTCAGAGTATCTATTCGACGCCTCCTACTGCGAACCGGCACTCGATGTCTACTGTCATGATGCCCGAAGCCATGCGCATTGCTACTGCTCAGTATCCACCGCCACCCATGTCAGAGAGCGGCCGCTCGGGGTTTACACCGCGTGCCAACCGCGCGCATCCCGGTGATGGGCCCCAGCTTCTGCGGCGCAGCTCGTATGCTGACTTTGGCACCAACGACCGCCCCGCCACGTCCGGCTTTGGCCTTGAGCCGCAGTTTGGCCGCGAGTCTGTGGTGGCTGATTTGCGTCAGATGAATCGCAACTCTGGACACTATGGCAACGGGCCAGTCACGCGCGGCCCTAGTGATGTCAGCACGCTCGTCCCAGAGGCGCCTGGTATATCACTGATCGGCGCTAGTCGCAGCCAGCACGGGCGGGGCAACAGCGTGTCGTCGCCGGCGTCGCGTGCGCGGGCAATCGAAGAGACGCGCAACGCGCTCAGCGGTGGCACGCACGCAGGCAACGGCTTGGCAGTTAATGTGCACCTGCCATCCGAGCACCCTAACCGCCGGTCGATGGCCTCGTTCAGCGCCGGACTGGCTCCCGAGTACCCTGGGCGTGACACGCTCAGCGAGTCGTTTGCGTGGGGCACACCAGATGATGGCCGCACGCGCGCCGGGTCATTTGCGCTATCGGCCAGCGGGCGGCAGTCGTACCACGAGCCCCTTCAGCGCGCCAACACCCAGACATCTGATGGATTGCACCGTGGACAACGCGCGTCCTATGCAGGTTCGGCACAGGCCACTTCGGCCGTGGGCAGCAGTGGGCAGAATGGGCCCCTGCGTGCCGGGACCAGCCAGATCGGAGGGGCGGCGCGCAAGGCGAAGCGCCAATCACAGCAGCCAAAGGTGGCCAAATCAGCCATCCGCAGTAATTGGTACCATGAGACAGAGAAGATTAGCGATAGCGACCTTAAGGACCAAGATTTCTTTTCCAGCGACGAGGAAGACTTTGGCAAGGACGGTGTTGGATACGGCGGCGACATGGTCTCCCAGCAAAAGCTCATTCAGAAGCAGCAGCGCGAGATATTTGATCTCAGCATGAGCTGCAAGATGCTCAAGAGAGCCATGAACTCCAAGACTCATAAGCCATATGAGTCCCTGGCCGACCAACTGGGCAAAACCTGTGCGTCCAACCGCGCTGCGAATCGCACAATTGAGGCGCTGCGTGCCAACGTGCAGGAGCTAAAAGAGAAGATTGGGGTGTTGGAGGCCAATGCTGCCATCCCGCCGCCGTGCCTGCTTCAGCATGGCATGTCAGATATGGATCGGGAGGAAGTCGGGAAGCTGCAAAATCTGGTCGAGGATCTGAAGATAGAAATCCAGGGCGAGACCGCAGTCATTCACCATCGCGGCCAAATGATTGAGAAGAAAGATATCGAGATTAGGGAGCTGCAGGATGAGCTTGCTCGTGAGCGCGCTACCTCCGACCACTGGCACCGCCTAGCCATGAACGTGGGCGTCAATGCGAACACTGATGCCAAGGCCGACGCAAACATCACCTTGACCCAAATCACATCTGCCCAGCAGCAGCAACAGCAAAATCGCCAGCAGCGCCAGAATAATTACCCTGCGTCAGAATTGCTTTCATATCGGATGCGTGCGGGCACGGCGACCACAGCGAGCGAGACGGTCACTCTGAAGGCGCCGTCTGAAGTCTCTGGGGGCGGCTCTGCTATTGCTGATACGCGGCAATCTACTCCGCAGAGCGTGCGTGCGCAGTTTAACGACGCAGTGTACAAGTCCCAATGCGTGGAGGCGTTTGAGAACATGGAGCGCATGGTCAAGGACTTTGAGAAAACTGCTAAGCAATCCGAGGCGAAGTGCATTGCGCTCACCAAAGAGCTTGAGCAGTCCAAGGATGAGTGCGGCCAGCTCAAGGACGAGCTCAAGCTAGCGAACAAGTCGCTGCGCGACAACATGGAGCAGCTCCGCCTTTTGCGGCTCGAGCTGAAAATTTCTGTAAAAACAGCCAGTATTGCAAATAGCGAAGGGGATGCGTTTGAGAGGGTGATCAGAGAGAGTGAGGCGCTTAAGGACCAGTGCGAGTCACTCGCGGACGAATTGAACCATATCAGGGGTGAGAATGCTGAGCTCGTGGAGCGACTGGAGAAATGCAAGCAGTACGAGAGCGAGGAAAACCGTGAGGGCACCCTGTGGCAGAACTCGCAAATCGAGAATCTCAAGAATGAGCTTCGCATATCACAAGAGTCCGATAGGATGACCCAGGATAAGCTGGAGGAGGCCATGAGCCAATTGGCGCTGCTTCGCGGCCAGTTCGGCTACTTCTTCAACGATATTCTGCGCCCTTACCTGCGCGAGACCCAGGTTGGCCAGGGGAGTATAGAAGAGCTCCGCAGGTGTGTGATTGAGTGGAGCCAGGCCAGGGTGCCGTCTGCTCTAGATGGCATGACCACGCCGACAAACCAGAGGGGCCGTGGAATTATGCCGTCGTACCAACCCCCAATACTTCGCTACCGCGGCAGATCCAACCACAGCTTGTCGCCGTCGCCGGTGCCGTCGGCCCTGCCAACTTTTGACGATGACGATGACGACGACGACTCGTTCGCGACGGACCAGTCGGATGATTATATGCCCAAGTTTAGCAACCGCTAGCCATGGCAATTGTGTTTATACCAAATTTTTATTTATATTATTAAAATACTCTAAAACTTTTCTAGCTTTATTTGGCAGCACCAGCATCAGTAGCTTGCGGGCGATGGCCGTGCCAGAGGTCGAGGTGGTTGATGGCCGACATGTTGAGCCGCTTGTTGCCGGCTAAGCGGTTCTTTGTGTTGTCCTTGTCGCCGAGCCTGAGAGTAAACACGGGTGTGTCGAGCGAGTACATCTGCAGAATGCCGCGCTCCTTGAGACGCATAATGGCCATATTGATAATTTCTGACGATGTCGGCGACGAGCGCAAATTGGCCACAATGCGCCTTGCACCCTTGTGCGACACAGCATGCGCGTGCAGCCCTATGGGCATATTGGCGAACCGAATGGAATCCGTATTGGGACTAGCCTTGGGCTGCTTTCTCTCAAAGGCGCCGCAGTGGCCGGGGAAGAACATGTCCCAGTCCTGGGGTAAATTCCTGTGGATGGTGCGCATGATTGTTTTGATGTTGAGCTCCATGTCGACAGAGTCGTCGAGAACCAGGGCCGAGCGGTAGCCTGCTTCGAGCATGTCGCAGTAGATGCGGTGGCGTGTTTGCCATTCAACTAGGCTTTTGGCGGACTGCACCATGGATGCAGGTACTTGGTTCTCGGCCAGTGGGATGACGGGCACAAATTCTGCTGTGATCTGGAGCAATTGTAGGAGCTCAGCCATTCTAACGAGCTTATCGGGATGGCCCAAATGGTGGATCACGTATATGTGGTCGAATCCCAACTGCGCTGTCACGGGCGGGCCATAGTTTGGAATGATGGGCAAATTAACGTCAGTGTTTTTGTAGGGCCTCATTGGAATGATGGGCAGTGGGTGTGGCAGTGGTGTATCGGTGCGGTCATGTTGCTTGTTGGGCCCAGAGCTCGGGCTGGTTTTCAGATTTTGCCTGACAGAAGCTGTGATGGTTTCTGACCATACGTAGAAACCGGTTGCAAAGCAGAAGAGTATGAGAACAAGAATGTATGTTCGGTAGCGCAAGAAAATACTGCGGTATTCGTGTTTCTGCTTAGGTCTGTGCACGGATGGCAGAAGCGATTCGTCCAGGAACGATTCTGGTTCATCGGGCTTTGATCGATACCCTGACATTATTGTTAGTTGGTGCGGCAAGTATTGTTCTTGTTCAAACGACAGGTGTTAATAGTACAATTTTTTACAAAGGTTTTTTATATGAACTAGAATTAGTTGCAGTGTCAACAGAGCATGACATGTATTGTGACACTTTTTCTTGGTGTCATTTATTTTCTTCAATGTTATTTGCAAAAAAATTAAATAAAAATGCATGTATATTTTTGAAACACATGTCTTGGACTGGTTTACTCTGGATGTTATAATTGGTGCTGTTAAGTTGTATATTTAGCCATGTATTTAACAGTAGTCATTTTTTGGATACGACAATCATGCCCATGCCCACAAGAAAAAAGAAAAAGAAAAGCAGCTATTTGCATTACTGCGCCCAAAAAAATTACTGCGCCAGCAATCTTTCGTCATCGTACTTTTAATGGCGCCGTTCTTAAAACTGTCTACCAATATTAGTATAAAAAAGTGGCATTTGTATCACAACGTGTGGCTGGGCTTATCGATGAGAGATGCTGAATACATTTGGAAACTATCATATAAATTTTGCACATTCCTTTTTTTTTTGTTATTGTCAGACACTGAATTTATTCTCCGATTGCCTCCGATACCTGTGCAATATTGCTACGGCTCTAGGTTTCTGCACACCCGCAAAATTTTGGAAGAATATACAATCTATGTTTTTTCTATGTAAATGTTTTATATACAATGCCGTTATTAGTTTTATTAACATTTACAGTGGTTTCTGCATTTCCTTATCAAGAAACGATCACATTATCAATCGATATACTAATTATTTAAAAAAAAAGTTGCTGTTGAACAGAGCCTCGCGGCTCCCTCAATGTTTTTTTTACATTTATTTATGTCTTTAGAATTATTTTCCCCCAGACTTGCTCTTTATAGTTCTTAGGCAATTTGTCTGCTGCTCCCTTTTAAAATTGGGGTGGGGAATGAGTGCGGAAGGGGAAAAATGCGACAATCTGAAGGGTTTACTTATCGATGGCCATCAGGCCAATTAAAAGGGGGCACTATTCGCATGGTCAGGGTCAATTGGCACATCCAAGCCAGTCGATCAAAAGCGATAGGGCAAAATTTTAGCTCGAAAATGTTCATTCATCATCACGAATTTTTTGGTCTAAATTCTTCGAAGATTCAGATTCAATTCATGCAGCTATGCGCGTATAATCGCTGGAAGAGAGGCATACGGCGAGTGAGAGTGGGTGAGGCGTTTTGGCTTGGAATCATACACTGGCAATGTGGTTGCGTAATTTTATGGCGGCAACCCCGCCCTGCCCCCCAGCCGAATAGTGTAATTCAATTCCTCGCAAAAATTTTGCCATCCAGAAAAAGAGAGCAAACTGCATCGGAAGGAGACAAACGGAGTAAATAGAAAGAAGCTTTCGCTTTATTCCGTTTGACGACGCATAACACAAACGCACGCACACACCCCCTCTTTTCTCCCTCTTTATAAAATTATAACAGGGCATTTATCAATTCTATATTTTCTTTTCAGCATTTTGCATTTTCGTCATCATTGTCCCTATTTATTTTTTCATAGCAATTTTTATTTAATACCGGGGTTTAGTTGAAGAACACTACTTTTTTTATAAATACCAACCAACCGGATGATATGAAAATTTTTTGGAGGTCCTATAAAGCTTTATTAGTTTTTTATATCCCCCATTTTTTATTGTGGTCAGCCTTCAAGCCAACAACCCTCTTATTTCTATTTTATTACTATTTGACACACAATCCATATCCTGTTTGTCTTTCAATCCTATTTCAACATACCAAGCATCTGTCCGTGTCCTTTTTTGGCTTGCCTACCCTTTTTTATTTTTATTTTTATTCTGCATTATACACATATTTCACCCTATTTTTTTATTTCTTGTCTTCATATACATCTGCTTATTCTTATATTAGTTCAATTGCATCCATTTTTCAGCACAAACAAAAAACTCTATTCATTTGCTATAACTCACACCTCAATGATATCGACTGTAAGTGCACCATCGACACCATCATTGAGCATTTCATGCGAGCCCACAATACCGTGTTCAATTTTGTCAACCCAACTGCAGCGGCCCCCATACACCACAGAGCCGAGCACAAAGTCGTTGAGTCTGAACCACCAGCCACGCGAGGCATTGCCAACGTCCCGGCTCTCGACAAGAGCCACGCTAGTTCCCGAACTACCAGCCAGCAAACCACACCTTGCACCACCCCACTGTGAGACGAATAATAGGGAGAGCCCAGAGGCAGTCCGAGGGCTACATTGCATCACTAGGGCTGGTGGGAATGCTGTGGATGGCACGCTGTCCTTGTCGCTTAGACCTGCGGGATGGACTCGGAGCGTGCTTGGACCCAGCATTAGGCGTTTGGGTGCTGGTACTGGCGGTTACGTTGACCTCTACCGCTACACTATTTCAAACAAGGTAAGGCACAAAAAAAGATGTTTTTTTATCCAATTATGCAATTTTGTATTAATTTTTTTTGTTTTCCCTGTTCATGCACATTCATCTTGATTTGCGTGCACGATGAGCAAGTGATTCGTTGTATGGCAATCGATATATTGAAAAACAGACATGCTCTATCTGTATATACTTTTTCTTTTTTTTCTTGTGGTTCCACTGCTGTCGTTTTTTCCTCGAACGACATGTTATTTATGCACGTGCCTAGCTCGACTGGTATGTGCAGAACCTGCCATTCACACACACCATAAAGCATTTAATTAATTAATTAATTAAATGTTTGTTTGGAATAAATCTGTTACAATTTTTTTTAATAAAAATTATAATATTGTAGGTAGTCGCAGTCAAAACTTTGCAAACGCAGCAAACCAATGCGCCCAGAAGTAACCCTGCGTCACCCTCGTCCTTCGTCGGAATGCTCAGCCGTCGAGTGCTAGAGGAACTCGGAATCGCCGTAAACGTGAAGCACGAGAACATCATACGGACGTTCCAAGTGATTGTCGAGTCCGACTACAAATGCTACCTAATAATGGAGGCATGCGCGACCGATCTCCTGACTCTAATCCAAAGCCACTCAGCCGCCAGAAACACAGTTACCACGAGGGGCGGGGTAGAAGGAAGCTTTTTGTCAGACAACATGGTGAACAACTATTTTGCTCAGCTCGTTCGCGGAGTCCAACACCTGCATGGCCTAGGGATTGGGCATAGGGACTTGAAACTGGATAACGTGTGTGTGACGGAGAATGGTGTTTTGAAAATTGTCGATTTCGGCTGTGCCACTTTATTTCGGCGGCGACAGCCAGCTCAGCAGCAGGCTCAGCAAAATCGGAGTTCCGATGCGTGCACTTCATTGGCGGAGGGCCACCAATATCATAAGCACAAAAACGCACATTATCGCGCGGCGCCTTACTCGGTGACAAGGCCGAGGCAAACTGCAGCGACTGTACCAGAATCAGTAAATCCGGATGTCTATCATTACGCTGAGACCTTTTCCTCGGGTGTCTGTGGTTCTGATCCGTACATGGCACCGGAGATATTCCAGGACACGAATTACAGCGCGCCAAAGGTGGATATTTGGGCGCTGGCGATTATGTACTTTGCTATGTGCCATTTGCAATTCCCCTGGGCTGCCGCCCAGCCATCCCGTGATCCACGGTATGCAAACTTTGCGCGTAATTCGGGTGCGTTTTTTGATACTTGGTTTCCCACCAAGGAAAGTACATGGTCGTCGCGGGTGAGCTTTTTGGCTACGCAAAAAATAAACAGCTGCAATAATGATGGTGGCGGTGGTAGAATGCAGGGCAGCACGGTTGCGGATACGGGTGCGGCGTGTCGGGTAAGAGATATTATCGGTCGGATGTTGGATCCCAATCCGGAAGTTAGGGCGGACATTGAGGAGATTGCGGCCGACCCATGGTTTCTGTCATTGGGTGCTGTGGCGATCAAACCCGCAGCAAAAAACCGCCTAAAAATTTAAAATATAACAAAAAAAAGAACTCAACAATTATTATAAACTTTTTTTTTTACCCACAGGTGTGTCTTTTCGGAGCACCGCAGCAGTATTAGTACAAGCAATTACTTTTGAAAGACAGTTAAGACAATCAAGGGGGTTTTCCTTTTTTATTTTGCTGTTTACTGTTTGAGAAAATTAGGCGTCAAGGGGGGCGGGAAGGAGGGGGGAGCGTGCAGGCAAGAATAAATAAATAAAGAAAAGATATTAGTATAAATAAACAATTATTTTCTGCGTGGACCCGCGCGTATTACGTGGAAGAAAAATGAACTAAAAAAAGGCTTGCATGTGTTAAAATATTTTTTCTTCTAATTTAAAAAGAATAATTAGAATTTTTTTTCGTGCATGTGTGGCACAAACATAATTTTGAAGAAAAATTCAAGCAATGGATTGTTCCTTTGTGGAAGCACAAAGAAGCAGGGGGGGAAAATTGAGAATATTCCTCACACAACGGAATGAGTTCCGGATTTTATTTGTAAAATAAAAAAAATGATGATGCAAAGTGTGAGAAACGATGGCATAGATATTATCTGGAAAGTATCACAAAAATAGTGTTTAAATGAATTTTTATTAATAAAAATCAACACTTGTATGTTTTTTATTTGTAATTGATATCATTCTCGGGATTTGTTTCCATTATATATTAGTAATCCTCCATTGCAATAAGCATATGCGGTATTTTTTATTTATGAAATTGTTACTTGTGGAACAAATATAGTTTTTGTTTGTGCGCTAATTTTTCTATTTTCCACAGTACTGAGAAATTGACGAGAAATTAACGTTGGTTGTTGTGTAAGAAAAAAAAAGGTCAGGAATATATGCTGGCAATCGCGCCATCAGCATAAAATAAGAGAAAAATCAATGGAATAATGCCAAGAAAAAAGAAAGACAATTGGTGTTCAAGGTTGAACAATTTCATCAAGGAAAGGAGGGTGGGAAAAAAAACAGCAACAGCAACACCCAGGATTATTGCCTGGCTGAGTTGCTCAAGAAGAGGGAGAGGGGGAGAGGGAGCCCGAGGCCTTTTGTTCAAAATCAGAATGACCGATTGAGATAAATAAGTAAATGTGAGACAATGACGTTGCTGGTGGTGACACTTGTATGCGTACGAGTTATAATGATCAAGTTTGAGTAACACCCGGAAAAACGTCGGGTTGGAAGAAAAACCCCTCCGGTGGTGGTTTTATGTTTATAGCCAGTTAGAAATCAGCGCAGTTGCTTATTGAGTGAATCTGACCAATCGATTGAAGAAACAGATATTTGTAATTCCAACAGCATTGAAATTCAACCAAAAATAAAAATGAACACAGGGAAGGGTGGAAGGGAGGAGGGGAGGGGAGGGGGGTGGGAGGGGGGTGGGAGGTTTGGTTGGCAGGAAAGGGGGCGAAAAATCCGATTACTCATCATCTGCGCATCTCGGATGATGTTTTGTTGACCGCCCCTTTTTTTTCTTCCTTTTTTGCGGTCAACAGAAAAAAAAGAGCGGAAATGCGAAAAAAGCGAGCTAAAATCCGTCATTTTCCACCCATAGAAAAAAGTATTGATGCCAAGAAATTATTATAAAAAATTTTACACAGTCGGGAGCCAATTTTTTCATACCGCATTTTTATTTATTTATTTATTTCTGTGTTCTCGAGCTCTTTTAATGTCTCGGAACCCTTACGCTCTGTGACTCTTTTTTTTCAATAACCAGTAGAGAAATTATATAAAGTCAATTAAATCCAGCCTCTTTTTTTTCTTGTTTTTCTGTCTAGCCTCTTGCCTGTTTTTTTAATTCTTTTTTAATTTTTTTCCTTTCTATTATATTTTCTTTCCTTCGAAAAAAAGCACAACAACAACAACAGACTTTTAATTATTATTTTTTTTGCTCTCCTATCTTTTTCTTTCTTTCTTTCTTTCTTTCTTTCTTTCCTTCCTTTTTTCTACTCTTTTTTCAGTGTACATGATATGTGTACAGACTACAAGCTATCCATTAGTTTTTTTTGATAGTTCATCACTAAACCAACCTAACCCTCCCTCCCTCCCTTATTTTTGTAACACCATCTCACTCATCAATACGGCTGCTTCTTGACTCTTTTCCTCACACATACAATATAACCTACACTCACACCTTAATATAATGCAGAACAGCAATAAACACGAAGTTTCTCCAGCCAACACACTTTACGATAACGCTTCAACAATGGGTGGAGCACAGGGCAAAAAAAAGTTTGCCCACTTCCGGCGGCTCTTCAGCAGCCTGCACAAAAAAAACCAACACAACCGCAAAGAGTCTTCGGATTCACAAAGCTCAACAACCACCACAAGCAACCCACATGAGCATGCACACCAGCTAATGGGCTTTTTCCGCTCAGGCAGCAGTGAGAGCGGCTCAGTGTCAGCAGCCGCGGCGGCGGCAGCGGCGCACGAGGGTCATGATGGAACCAGCCTGCAGAAGCGGTTGCGGCAACCGCCGACATCGTCCACGGTTATCCTGCGCCGGCCATCGACTGCCTCGTCATCGTCGACGGCCAGCGACGAGAATACGCCGGTTATCAGTGACCGCCCCACGGGGTTTATTTTGGAGACATACGGCGTGGCGGTGCGCACGATTGGGCAGGGCACGGGCGGATACGTTAAGCTGCACCAGGCTTGTGATGGGCGGTACTACGCCGTCAAGACGTTTACATTTCCGGATGCGGCGGACCGCACAAAGACCACGTCGACGAATATGAATGTGCGGCAGTGGAAGCATTTGCTGGATGAGGCTAGCTTCAGCCTGTCCCTGCGGCACCCCAACGTTATCCGTACGTACCAGTTTGTCAGGGAGAACGACGGAACAGTGTACAGCATCATGGAGTACTGCGAGAAGGATCTGTTTACAGTTGTGCAGGATGGGGGGTTGACCAAGGAGGACATTTCCAGACTGTTTTTCCAGCTTGTCTCCGGCGTGTGCTACTTGCATGAGAGCGCTCGGGTTGCGCACCGGGATATGAAGCTGGATAACTTGTGCGTGGATGAGGAGGGCAATCTGAAGATTATTGATTTCGGATGCTCCTCGACCTTCGATCCGCTGGCGCCAACGCAGACGCGGGGCATTTGCGGGTCAGACCCGTACATTGCGCCCGAGGTGTTTGTTCCCAGGGCGCAGTACGATCCGCGCAAGGTTGACGTGTGGGCGGTGGGGATCATTTACCTGGCGATGGTCTCAGGCCACTTTCCCTGGGAGGTGGCCAAGGAGGAGGACCCCAACTACACGCTGTATCTCAAGTTCCACGGCCGCGTTATCGACCATTGGCTGCCCAAGGACAGTCCTGCCAACTCGGTGATCAAGAGCATGCTGCAGATTGACCCCGAGGACCGTCCGACGATGGATGTGGTCATGCGGAGTGCGTGGATTGTCGGGCTGGGGGAGCAGTTTGGCCCGATGACTGGTGCCGGCGGTGCCGCCTCCACGGAGAGCGCTGCGGCTGCGGTTGCTTCTTGTGTGGGGTCGGCGGGGCTGTCCAAGTGCACCACGCTTTTGGCGGGTAATTCTTGCAGCAGTGGTGTTGCGGCAGCAACTGCGACTGCAACTGCAACTGCAACTGGAACAGCGACTGCGACTGCAACAGCGGCGTCCTTGGCTTCAGATGATGTCAAGGCGGTCAATGACGCCATGGCTACGTCTGGCATTTACGGGCACGCGCATGTTGCCGGGTACTCGTCAACGTCGACGGTCAGCTCTGGCCTGAGCATTTCGAGCGGGTATTGATACTCTTTAATTTATCATTTATCATTTGTAAATATAGCAAGTAAATGTTGAATTTTTTTTGGAAAGTGGCGTGATTTTAATGTAATTTAATTGATGTGGTTTTGTTTTTGCTGCTGCTGCTGTTGTTGTTGTTGTTGTTGTTGTTGTGACCACTGGTGGCCAAAGCGATCGTCTATCTCATAGAATTCTGTTAGAAATAGCAATCCTTTGTTTTTTTTGTATTGTTTGGCGAAAGAGAAACAAGCAAACAAGCAAGCAAACAAACAATGGCGGTGGGTATTGATGGTTGATGGTTGATGGTTGATGGTTGATGGTTGATGGTTGATGCGGGGGCGGCTAGATCCGCAATCAGACCCGCAATCGCAAATTAGCAAATGAAAATAATAATAATGATGATGCTGCTTTCTGTGGTCTTTTTTTTTTTTTTTTTTTTTTATATTTGGGCATTGTCGTCGCTGTCATCATCGTCACCCTCAGCGAAAGAAAAAAGAAAAGCCAAAAAGGGGGGGGGAGGGCACAACCTTCATTTTGTTTCTTCCCATTTTCAATTTCAATTTAAACCAAAATGGACAATGACCAAGCGGTGCAAGCTTACGTGGCGAAGCAAATAGAGCACACGGAGAAAGAGCGGTCCCTCGAGGCCGCACAGTCGCAGCAGCTACAAGCCGCCGTGGCACCGACAACGCTGCAGAAGCTCGGGCTCGCCCTGGTCAGCCTGCGAATCGTCCACGTGCGCACAGGGCTAGGCGGCCGCATGGCGCTCACCCTGGAGGCACCCATTGCGGGCGAGCCCTTGCAGCCAACAGTGCTGCGCGGCGGCGATATTGTCCGGGTTGAGGCGCCCGGAGGTAGCGGGAAAGCCAAGGGCGCGGGCGAGGACAACGAGGCGGCAATGAGCGGGGTGGTGGTCAGTGTGCGTGGCAATAGACTGGTGGTCTCGCTAGGGTCCGGGGACGAGGAGGTGCCGGGCGCGTGGCGGGAGCGGTGCACGGTGCGCAAACTGGCGAACGACACGACGTACCGAAGGATCCTCCACGCCCTGCGCGACCTCTCACAGTCCCCGCCGCCCCTCCTCGGCGTGCTCCTCGGCCACGCCCCGCGGCAGACAGCCGCCGACCCGGTGGCCTTCCCCCCGGACTCGCCGCTGAACGAGTCGCAGCGCAAAGCCGTGCGGCTGGCCGTGCAGTCCCGGGACGTCGCCCTGGTGCACGGCCCGCCGGGCACGGGCAAGACGCAGACCGTGGTGGAGATTGTGCGGCAGCTGCACGGCCGCGGCAGCCGCGTTCTGGTGTGCGCGCCGAGCAACACCGCCGTGGACAACCTCGTCGAGCGGCTCGCACGGCTGCGGCCCAGCATCCCGCTGGTGCGGCTCGGCCACGCCGCGCGCATCCTGCCGGCAGCCGCGGCGTACTCGCTGGACGCGCAGGCGAGCGCGTCGGACGACGGCGCGCTGCTGCGGGATGTGCGCGCCGAGCTGGACGCAGCGCTCGGCCGCGTGGCGGCGGTGCGCGGCAGCGGTGCGCGCCGCCGCGCGCATGAGGAGATCCGCCAGCTGCGGCGGGAGTTCCGCAGGCGCGAGGCGCTGGTGGTCGAGCGCACGGTGGGCAGCGCCCGCGTGGTCCTGTGCACGCTGGGCGGCGCGGCGGCGCGCGAGCTGCGCAGCCAAAGCTTCGGCGTCTGCATAGTCGACGAGGCGACGCAGGCGACCGAGGCCGAGTGCTGGGTGGCGGCGGCGCGCGCGCCAAGGCTGGTCCTTGCCGGCGACCACCACCAGCTGCCCCCCACCACCCGGCTCCCGCCCGGCGAGGCGCCCGCGACGATGTTTGGCCGCGTGCTTGGGCTTCCTGGCGCCGCGTGCATGCTGGAGACGCAGTACAGGATGCACCGGGCGGTCGCGCACGTGTCCGCGACGCTCCTTTACGGCGGCCGGCTGGTGCCGCACGCCGCGGTGGCCGACCATCTGCTGCGCGACCTTCCGGGCGTCGCGGCCACGGACGACACGTGCGCGCCGCTGGTGCTGCTCGACACGCTGGGCGCCGGCATGCTGGAGACGGCTGACCCGGCCACGCTGGTGCTGGCCGATGCCGAGAGCAAAAGCAACAGCGGCGAGGCTGCGCTCGTCCAGGCGCATGTCGCACGGCTGCTGGCTGCCGGCGTCGCGCCCGGCGCCATCGCCGTCATTTCGCCGTACACCGCGCAGGTGCGCGCGCTCAAAGCGCTGATGCGCGCACAGCATCCGGAGATCGAGGTCGGGTCGGTTGACGGCTTCCAGGGCCGCGAGAAGGACGCCGTGGTGCTGTCCCTGGTGCGCTGCAACGACGCGCACGACGCTGGCTTCCTCAAGGACTACCGCCGCATCAACGTCGCCGTCACCCGCGCCCGCCGCCACCTCTGCGTGGTCGGCGACAGCGAGACGCTTGGGAACGCGTCGCCGTTTTTGTCTGCCCTGTTCGCGCACCTGGAAGAGTGTGCGGACATACGGTATGTGGACCAGTGAAGGAAGAAGGAGAAGAAGAAGAAAAATGGAAAAATGAAGGCGGAAAAACAATGCCAGATTAGCTCAGCAAAAAAAAAAAAAAAAAAAAAAAAAAAAAAAAAAGCCGAAAAAGCCGAAAAAGCCGAACCTCATTTCAACACCTGCTTGCCAAACTCGTACGCCGAGATCATGATGGCGCAGGACGGCGCAACCTTCATCAGCCTGGGTGCCAGCCCGGCGAACAGTCCGCGGAGCCCGTCGACCGCTGCAATCTGCCGCATCACCTGCGCGAGTGACCGGCGGTGTCGGCGGTGCGCCTGCGCGTCCGCATGCTGCTCGATCTGCCTGCGCGTCTTTGCCACATCAAACGGCGTCGTCAACGCTGCCGCCACAACGCCGCTGGATGCCCCAGAGCAGAACGCCACCAGGATGTCCCTGCCACTGCCGCTGCCGCTGCCGCCGCCCGCGGGTTCTGCCGCCTTTAGCAGCGGCGCGTACACGTCGCGCCACCGCTCGTAGCCGAACCAGTAAATGGCCGAGAACGGCACGTCGCGCCACAGCGTCGGCACCAGCCCGCGCCACAGGGTGTGGATTCCGGATGCGCGGATGTTGGAGGAAACGCCGCGCATGACTGTTTTGAAATCGTGTGTGGCCGCAGACTGCATGCGGGTGCGGACGAGTTCTATTGGCGAGATTGCTGTTACTGCTGCGGTGCGTGCTAGGCACCCGGCCAGCAGTGCCGAGTATTTTTCGTATTCATGCCATGAGCTCCTTTGGATTCGCCGGCCTAGGTACTGCCGCAGGTAGTCGTAGCCGACAAAGTAGATGACGGTGGAGGGCCCGGAGGCTACCAGGGTGGGGGCTAGCCCGCGCCAAAGCGTGCGTGCGCCCTCGGTTTCTGCGATATGCCGCATTCCTGCCACTGTACCTACGACATGCTGCTGCTGCTGTACGCCGCGCATTGCCAAGGTCATTGCTTGTGGCGGCGCCGCAACAACCTCCCTGTACACTTGCCGCCACGCCGACCCACTGCTGCCATTGCTGCTGCTGCTGAAGAACCCTTTGTCTACGTCGACGCACAGGGACGCCAGCCGCTGTGGCCGCGCTTTGATCGCCGGATCACTCCCACATGCTGCCGAGCTGCTTGCCCGCCCATGATGATGGTGTGTCGCCTGCCATACGCGCACTGCTGGTGCGAGCGCTTGTGTGCGCACAAGTGTCCGTGACTGCTGCCGTGTTTTGACTACATCGAACGGTGTCATCAGGAGCGACGTTATTACTGCTCCCGTGCATGCTGATATTATTTTACTCTGCAGCCGTATTTCTACCACCTCTGACGACGACGGTTTTGTGGCTGTTGCCAAGTTGGCTTTTGATTCCACCGTCAAGGAAGCCATTCTATACTCTATAAAAAAAATATTAATTGAAAACTAATTTAAATTAAAAAAAAAAAAAAAAAAAGAGAGAGAGAAAGGAAATACGCATGCACACATACACCCCCCAATCATCACAAAAAAACCATTGTTCGGAATTTTTCTCCACTTATCAATCAACCCCCCTGCCTAATTATGAATCAGGCAAAAAAAATAAAATAAGGTCTCACCGAGATTCGAACTCGGGTTACCGGAATCAGAATCCGATGTGATAACCAGCTACACTATGAAACCCAGTGGTGGGAATGAATAGACTTTTTTGGAGCTACCAAGCCCTGTTGAACCACATAATTATATAATATATTATAGGTTAATATAACCCTTAAAAATATAATAAACCTTTAATTGAATCTATAATATATACTGTCAATTTATTTACCTTTTAAATTAAACAAAATCCACTATATATGCACTACTTTTAGCCACTACTTTTAACTGGCTTAAACGTTACCCATTAAACTTAATTAAAAACTATTATGTTTCGATGTTTAGCCTGCTCCTTCAAATATTTATATTTTTCACCCTCTTTCCAAAACACAACGTCTGCAACATACAAGGTAGTTTTACCAAATTTATCCATAAAATCAAACGAGCTAAACGGATTGAGCTTGTTTTTTTGGTTGTTAGTCCTATTATTTGTTTTTTTCTGTAAGTATAGTTCTAACAATTTAATTTCCGTGTTGCATATTTTATCAATATGTTCAATCAATACATTTTTAACCTCAATAAAATTCATATCATATGGAACACCCCAAGTTTTGTAAATTTCATTTATATTTTTAATTTTGCCTGTTAACGATGTTAAGTCGAAAGTTACATCGACCATACTAGGGTGCTTATTTATTGACACTGATGTTGATGTTGACGGTGACGGTGATGGTGACATTATCCTTTTTATTACTGGCATTGTTTTTGCTGTAAAATACAAATTCCTTGAATGAAAACAGTGACGGTGTTCTAGATAAAGTGGGTAGCTATGAGTTTACTGAGGAGTATATGAATTATAGTGAATACTGGAAAATGTGTGTGCTTGATGGAGAATAAAAAAATAGGGGAAAAAAGTCAGTTTTTATACTTCAAAACGCACGTCCATTTCGTCCAATATAGTATTGTAAAAAAATTCCCAGTTTTATTCCGCAAAAAATATTCATCAGTAAATGTTTTATAGCACTGTATGGAACCCATTTTTAACTATATAAAAATGACGCAGCCTACCTCAATCACAAGACAATGAATGAGTGTTTGAATTCATTTGCAAGCACTTTTTTTAAAAATGGCAGCTGAGGCCTTTATTAACTGTCAGACTGCTTTTGTAGCAAAAATGCTGCGTTGTATAATGCAGCTGTCAAAACATGGCAGCTTTTTATTTTTCAAAATAGTATTCCCCCTTTCTGCCTCACACCTTTGCACATAAATATCACACAATGAAAAGTGCCCCTTTTATTTTGTAGCAGGGTTGTGTCGTTTTAAAAACAACTTTTGTAGCTAAAAAAAACCTGCTGTCATGTTATGAGAGGGGGTGTAGGAGCACTACTGTAGTAGTGTTAGAAGTGTGTGATTTTATAAATGTTTTTTAATACCAAGGTTTCTAAAGTGCTACCAGCGCTGGCCTCGTCCTATAATATGTGTCTCCTTGTCTTTGTTGTACACTCCGCCAGGTATGCACTACGTTGGCGAGAAACTAGTTTTTCTGCGAGCAGCCCAGTCTCTTGACATGTCGACGTTGTGGTCTTTGTGTATACATGCTCACGCGTGTGCGTTATAAAACAGGGACCATACTTGGATGACATTATTAGTCCCCTTGATTTATCCCCCCCCCCATGGTCCAGTCTGTAGCCTATCAATCGGCATGATAACTGTTACGTTAAAAAAATATATATATTCAACAAAAATGAACTAGCGATTGATTCATTAATCAATCGCCAGAGACAAGCCGCAATTCCTTGCATCACAATAACGGAAACTTGTTTCACAATTCTCAAACTCAACATCCACTTTCATGTCCTCGAGCTCTGCAACACTGTATTGTATAATGCAGCTCTGTCGAAACATAACAATTTGTGAAAAAAGGATAATAAAATTATATTTACAAAATTGCAGAAAACAGTGAACACTATGCTTACAAAGGCACTGCATCAGCTTTTAATGCTTTTGCAAGATATCAACCAATACCTAAGCAATTAGTAGGTTTTTGTATTTAAGTCAGCGCATGTAATTTTATGTATGACTGCACTATCGATTATAATAGTTTTTGTAATAGTTCCTGTAATAGTTCCTGTAATACTCGCAATTGTGGTAGTAATAGTAGTAATTGTAGTAGTACACATAGTCGTTGTATCGCTTTATTGCTCTTGCTCTGCGGTTGATAATATTTATAGGTTCAAAATCTCCCGGTTTCATGCTTCCCTCCCACGCACGCTGTTTTGGTCTATTTGCATTGTTTGAAAGCAACACAATTTTTCCTTTTACTCTAATACATGAATCCAGTTTCAAATTAACATCATAGTTTATATTCTTTGAAATAAACGTGTCCCTGCCGTCAAGCTTCTCCACTCTGCCGTTTCTTACTAAATGCAATACAACATGTTCAACGTCCAAATGATGCTCTTGTTTTAAGTATCCTTCTAAGCAGCCCTTGACTGCGTCCATGGTATAGTCGTTGAAAAAAGTAAAGTGTATTTGTGGTTCAATTTGTCCTAGCCTCAAATACTTACTTCCGTCTGGCCGTGTTTCTTCTCTTAGCACCTTGAGATACCTGCATGTCGTAGTGTTAATGTTAACCGATAGCTGCTTAATAGTGACCATGAGGTTCTTGTTCTATGGAATAGTTGGTGTGCAGCTGAAAAAATATGTAATGAAAATAAGGAGTGGTAAAAAATATATATATGAATGTGGTATATTGCTATTAAAAGCAAGAACAACGCGCAATAAATAATATGTACACTACTCCAATTTATAAATAAATAAAACTGAATCCTTCACCACTTTATAGAAAAAATTCTTAACATGAATCTTTCACCGCTTTATAGAAAAAAAACTCTTAACATGAATCTTTCACCGCTTTATAGAAAGAAACTTTTGACATGAATATTTACTTATTGAAACAAGACTACATCCATTATTTGAATATGGCTGACATGTATTAATTACTTGATCTATGCTTAATTATATTTCATACAAATACAATTACATTTGTTTTATGAAAACTAACCATTTAAGCGCTTGATTTGCAGATGTTGCAATTAGCAATAAGCTAAACGTAAAAAGTAACCCTGAACAACTCACCATTTAAAGCTGTAAAAGCTTGCAACCAAAAGAAAACCAGGTGCTCACAGATCTTGTGAAGCCATTGTTTTTTGCTCCATATGACCTTGATTGAAATACTATCGTTGAGCGAGTGTGCACAATTATCACAATTGTAACAATAGCAAAAACGCGTAATACGCAATGACAGAGTAACGGTTATTGTTTATGTTTCTGACGATATATGCCCTAACTTTACAAATTAATCTGACAAAGAAAAGAAAAAAGAGTAAAAAAATGTTTGCTATAAAAGCTGACCAACTGCCAGCTTTAAAATTCGAGCTATATATCAATACTTTAGTGCTCAGCTTCTGCTATATCTTTGTAACTAACTTTTTTTAATATGTATATGTATGATCCGCATGACCCGCACAAGCCTAAACCCGGGGAGCACGACAAAGAGAGAATCTGCCATGAATGCAGGAACCCAATACCGTACATTGACTACGAACAACATCTTATTGACCATGGAAGACAAAAAAGAAAGGAGAATCTCATTAGAGGAAGAGAAAAATACAGACTCCAGTGGGAGGAGGAGAAGCAGAACAAGAAGCAGCACCAGAATCAGAACTGGTGAATTGATTGGGGAGTATTTCTCCTTAAACCAATTTTTTTTACAGTTAACGCATATTTGAACATTTTAAATAAAAAATCTTGCAAAAAAATACACTACTAATCTTAGTGTGCGTTTTTGCTACAACAGCGCTCGGTTGCTAAGATCAATTAACAGAAACAATTTTATATTCTGCTTATGTTTCTCGTGACATGTCAGGAAAAATTCATGTCTAAAATGACATGTACACATGATACCAATTGCAATTGCAATTACGCAACTGTGAAAAAAAGCAATCTCAAATATTTTACATTAAATTGAATTTCTATTAATATCCATGAACTGAAAACATATAAAGAATGCTACTTTTTGCATATATCTCTTTTTTTAAATTCAACCTTTACTTTTATTTTTTTTACTGACGGTACTGACTAAATTTTACACTTTAACTATGCCTGAGCCTTACCATTATGCCGCCGGTTACATAGACTATTTCCCGAATCCAGGCCCCTGGACTTGTCCGAAATGTAAGGAAACCGCCGAGACATGGTTGAAATATGTAATACATGCATCCAGCCACAAAGCTTCTACTGCTGAGCAGCCGCAGAGCCGAGATGACCAAGATACTACGCACAAATAAGCAGAACCAAGACGGATATTTTTCCATGAGCTATGTTATTAATAAAAATAAAAGATATGCAAAAAATGGCTTTTTGAAATAAAGCAATTAAAGCGCACAGAATGACCTGTGTAATCACAGGTTCATTTTTTTGAACACGCATAAATTAAATGACTCTGGTGACATGTTTGTGTCACAGTTACATCAGCTATTGAAAAGCCAAAAAAATTTCGTAGCGTGCGTTTGCAAAGCTACAAAATGTGAGAAGAGTGGGATTCGAACCCACGCCTACGAGTAGACCACGACCTGAACGTGGCGCCTTAGACCAACTCGGCCATCTTCCCAAAAGTTAGTAAACTAATTCACTCACTGATATTCGTGACTTTACCAACATACATTACAAGACTGTCAACACTAAGACGTCATCACTTTGATTGTTTTATCTGCATTGAGCTTTGTAGAAACCGAAACCTATCAAAAACCTGGACAGCCACCATTATCGAATGACGTTTGCCAACCAGCACCCACAACACTCCCAACACATCCTTATCAAGACGAATCTAGCCGGCAACAGCCTTGTCGACGTTTCCACAAGATTCCACACACTCCGGTGGAATATTCGTACTATATCGACCAGCAGACAGGACTTCGCAAGATGCTGTTCCGACCTCGCCTCCCGACGACTATAAAAATACACTACGCCCCAAGCCATTAAAACCTGAAGACACAGACAAATATTTAGATAAAGATTTAGACCAACATCCAGATACTGCACACAATAAATAGCTCTTCCCCCTTTTCTTGTTTTCCTCAATCACAGCCACTGTTTTTATTATTTGAACCAGAATCTATTATTGCCATTTTAGTTACCCCCATCAGGCAACAACACCGAAATTGATTGCGTTAACAATTATGTCAGCAATATTGGTCACTCAAAAGTCTAACAAACCGACTATATGTTGATGTACATAATAGTTAGTCATTAATTCCTGCAGATTGCAAAAACACATCAATCAATTCGCAAGCATAAAATCAAGGGTAATAATTGTCAGCATTCAAAAATCATATTTCACCGCTCGAACATTTGATGTTTGTCATAGCAAACAGTGTTATTGATGGGTTTAAGCATTTGTGCTGGAGTGGGGGTTGGTATATTTTTTTGTCGCCACAATACATTCGAGTATAAACGATGCAGGTCATACCAAACAAAACAAAAATAAACGTTACAAAAAAATATTTATTCACTTTTATTTATACTTTTTATCATGTCGACAATTGGCAAATTTTTTCTCAGCTACGCGAAGGATGACCTGTCAGTTGAAGTATGTAAGGCGCTTCTGACTTGCTCATCTTTTACATGGGTAGATCAGCCTCTAAAATCCCTGAGCGGCAAATTTAGCCAGTGCATTAGTGAAAAGCCAATTCTTATGGAGGTTGATAATTTTGGAAACAATTTTTTATTTGTACAGTTGGTACGATAGAGCTATATCTTGCAAAGCAGCTTAAAATTTTACTTGATGCAAATTTTAAACAAGCAGTTATGCAAACCCAGGTTCGCGGCCATATCAACAAATTGTACAAGCATGCTATTATGGCCAGGGATAGTTCTGAGATTGGGGCGATTCAGCGATTAAGGGGTTTAAGGGATTTCTGGACAAATTTGTCCATAGTCGGCAGAGGACCAAATGGGCGTATGGAAATGATGGCTTCGGCTTTAACCGTACCTTTATTTACATTGATATTGCGCTCAGAATTGTTGTTCAAATCGTTGAGCCGATTATAAACCATATTTCACACTCTGCACTTGGGCTCATTGAACAGATTGGACTTCCTGTATTGGATAATCATCATTGCCAGTATATTAAAATTATTCCGTATAAGCCATATTGCGCCATTTTAGACGCCAGACTCGCCACTCTTTGCCCACCTGCCGCCGAGACCAGCAATGCTTCAGCGAAGTCTGAGTAAATTATTTTTCAACATCATAATAAAACGACATGCTTTTCTTTACACATTCAATCTGCTCACCAAAATATTTTAAAAAATGGGAAGGATACTAGTATTGACATCAACAAAAAAAGAAACAAAGTACTGGTAACATATACACATAAAACACTAACACCCCGAACCCCGACAAAACCAGACAAACTGGGAAATAAAGGGTCAGACAGACAAATAATACCAAAGCAATACAAAACAAGAAAATGACAGCAAAACAAAGAAAAGGCCAAAAAATAAGGTCAGTTTTATTACGTCATAAGTACTAGTGTCTCATTTATTTTGACAATACAAAGGGGAAAACCCCCCCACCACGCATTCGCTCTTCTCAGCAAGAAACAAAGGAAAAGAGTATACAGCAATCCCCACATGCAAAGGGCATATTTCTTTGTAAGAGGAAGAATTGTTTCGGTCCGACTGAACAAAAAAAAGGCAAGAGGATTTACATTATATACAATAATAAAGAAAGGAAAGAAAAAGAGAAAAAATGGACCAAAAGCGGATAACGAAATCAGAATGAAAAAACAAGGGCAAATGTCGCAAAAAAAAAGTGTCCCCTCCTCTTCATCATTTCCGTCACTTTTTTCATTCTTACTTTCTGTTCTTGTTTTTTTTATCTTTGAAACGACAAAAAAAAAACATATTCCTTGGGCATATTTTTCTTTATTACTACTATTTTTCTTTATTCCTTCCACATAATTACGTATCGCTCATCCCTCTCCCACATAGTCACTTTATATATACTTTTATTTATTTCGTTGCGCTGGTCGTACTTTTCATTACAACAATGAGCACTCGACTATTACTATTACTCGTGCTTATAATCCGAACTATAACCATGGCTCTCGGTCTACCAGTATCTGGGACGGATGAAGGCGAAGTCGGCGAAATAGACAATAAAGCAGAGGTCATAACAGCAGGCGGGCCCGGTGCTCCAGTCAACACTATTCCCCAGGGAACCAGCAAATGCTCAACAGGATGCGGTATCGGTATCGGTATTGGTTGCGCGGTGGCCGTGTTGCTGTTTTCGTTCATCTTTGTCATGGCGCGTAGACATAAGCGGCAATTGCATCATTTATGGATGTATAAAAGATGGGAGTCTAAGCATAAGGAGTTGCCTGATAAGCCTGTGCCTGTGCCTCCTACGCCTTCCAAAATCTAAATAATCAAAGTCATTTATCCCCTTTTATTTTCCTAAACTAGCATGCCTTTTCGTTCCTTTCTTTCACTTCATTAATCGTAAAGCTTTTTCATACATACATAAATATATTTGTTATTGTATTGTATCGTATCGTATATAATTGAAATTTTTTTAAAAAGACAACCAAGTCAAAAGATTATCATTTTTCATTCATACTCCCCAAACCACCAGAACTATCTTAATGCTTGGCAGCAAAAATAGCCAAAAGAGTCTGCCAAACCGCCGCAGGCTTCTGCGCAGCATCAACCTTCCTCAGGATACCGCGCTTCGCATAGTACTCAGCCACAGGGGCAGTCTGCTTATGATAAGTCTCCAGTCTCTTAACCAAAGTGGCCTCGTTATCATCCGACCTCTGAATCAGCGGCTCTCCAGTAATATCATCGGTCATCACAGTCTTCGGCGGGCTAAAGATCTTATGATAAGAGCGACCCGATGCCGGATGCACCAATCTCCCGGTGATTCTAGCTACCAAAAGACTATCATCAATAAGCAACTCCACAGCATGATCCAAATTCTGATTACGCCCATCAAGCATCTCGTCAAGCTTCTCGGCCTGAACTACCGTACGAGGGAACCCATCGAGGATGAATCCGTTCTTGCACTCCTTGTTGCCCTCAATATTATCCTTGATCATACCAACCATGATTTCGTCGCTCACAAGACCGCCAGCATCCATGATCTTCTTCGCTTGCTTGCCCAGGTCACTGCCAGAGCTCACAGCTGCCCGCAGCATGTCACCAGTGGCCAGGTGGCAAACGCAGAACTTTTCCGCAATACGAGGTGCCTGGGTACCCTTGCCTATAAATGGGGTTTTGTAGCTTTTTTGTATGTTTTAGTTGTAAAGTATTATAAAGCTTGTATTTGTGTTGTTGAATTCAAGAAAAAGTAAATTTAGACTATTTCTCTTGCTTATAAACTTACCGGAGCCGGGAGGACCCATGATGACCATGCGCAGAGCCTTGGGGAGCTTAAAATCGTCAGTGGAGGACATTTTCAAAAAGAATGAAACGAAAAAGGAAGAGAAGGGAGGGTTAAAAAACAAAGATTTAAATAAGTTAAATTTAAAAAAAAGTTTTTTATTACTAACACAGCAAACACGAGAAAAAAGCAAAAAAGCAAAAAGGCAAAAAAAGAAAAAAAAAGGAGAGGAAAAAAGGGGGTGATGCTACGTGGAAATAAGAATGAAACGCCTCAACTGTGAAACCACTCCCATTAAAAAAATTCGACCCAACCCAGCCCAAGAAACCAGACCAAACCAAACTTTTTATTTGTAAAAGAGCTCTGGCTTTTTGAATCGGTAAAGATAAGAAACGCAAAGTTGGCCAACACATCTTGGAAAAGGGAAATCAATTCATTGGTTCTGATTGGCCGAAAAGAAGCCCAGAAAAAAGTACGCGGTTGTGATGGGTCGGTTTTTTCTCGTACTTCTCGCTTGCAAAGTTGGGGAAAAGTCAGGGAGAGAAGTCAGGGATTTAACGTGCTTTTTCAATAGAGAAGTTGGGAGATATTGAACAGTTATATCAACAAATATGACTAGACCAAGGCTCTGTAGGAAGTCTCGCTTTTTAATATGGCCTGGGTCCCCTTTCTTCGTCGGATTCTTGTTATTGTAATTTTAATTTATTTGCAAAAAGTTTAAAACAAAAAAATATAATGTGACTGTCATTTTGCTCCCAAAAAATCAAAAAATCAAAAAATCAAACCTATTTTTTTAAATACTTTTTGGTTTCAGTACTTTTGGTACATCTTGTTGAGTACACTCTCAAAGCGCGATATGAACACGTTGACGTGTGCACTGGTCAGCGTAAGCATGGGACGAAAGCGCACAGACGCTTCGCCCGAGCCGCCCATATTGACACCCTCCAGGCGCATAAGGTGGATCAGCTCAGCACGTATCTCAGGTGTCGGACAATCAAAGGCCAAAAAGGTGCCCTGGCCGCGCACATTCGACACCAAGCGGTGGTAGCGGATGGACAGGGGTTTCAGGTGCGAGACAAGGTAGGATCCGGTCGACTGCACCTGCGAAATCAGATCCTTGTCCAGAACCTCAGCCACAATAGCGCGCGTCAGAAGCGTGCGCGGCACATCGCCCATCCACGTGTTAAAGTTACGGTACGGCTGATCGGGCACCAGCTCCTTTGTGTGGTAGAACCCGGCAGCCTGCATTTTCTTGGAAAAGGTGACCATGTCCGGGGGTGAGTCCAGCGCCCACTGCTCGTGGGCCCAGAACGATCCGGTCGCCGCGCACCCGGTCTGCACCTCGTCGACAATCATCAGCACGCCGTGTTCGCGCGTAATGCGCCGCAGGCCGCGGAAGAAGTCAGGCGATGCCTGGCGGTCACCGCCCTCGCTCTGGATGGGCTCGACAATGACAGCAGCGATGGGCACAGGGTTGGACCGCAGGATCTCTTCGGTCTCGGCCAAGCACCGCTTCTCCTCCTGCGCATTCTCCTCAGCGTGCTTGTCCAGCGGGTAGCGCAGCTGCGGGAAGGGCGCGTGCGGCCAGGGGAATGCCGGGATATCCATCTTGTGTAGTGCCTTGGACCGTGTGGTGCTCAGCGCCCCGAAAGTGCGCCCGTGGAAGCCGGACGAGAACGAGAGGATGGCGACGTTGGGAGATCCCGGCGGGCGGTTGTCCATGACGGACTCCAGCTCGGCCGCCGAAAAGACGCCGGAGCTGCGGCGCATGCGCGCATAATGGATGAAGGCGGCCTTGTATGCGATCTCGTTAGCGTCAGACCCGTGCGCTGACGTGAAGACCATGTCCAGGCCGGCCGGGTGCACGCGCAGGAGTGAGTCCTCCAGCAGCTGCGGCCAGTCGGCCGACGGGTAGACACCCAGTGCCGGGCGGTTAGCCAGCGCCGTCGCCATCTGGTCACTGCGCGCGGCTGCCAGGATGGCCGAATTGTTGTAGCCCACAGGGATGGAGGCGATCTGGCAGTACATGTCGAGCAGCTGGTTGCCGTCGGCATCGACAATGTAGTTGCCGACCGACTTTTCGTAGTCGCCCACGAATGCCGCCGCGCGCGTGTCTTGCATTGCGCTCAGGTGCTTTAGTGAGGCCAGCGATGCCGGGCCCGGGATCTCGCTGGTGACCACGCTGGGCTCGCGCGGCTCGACCAGCTGCGACATGGCGCGCACTCGGGCAAACTGTGGCTGCAGGCGCGCGTTCCCCAGGCGCAGGGTACGCGCAGCGGCGGCAGTGGTGTTGATTCTTCCGAGCATGGCTTTGGTTGGAATGTAGTTTTTTATTTATTACAGATTAGAGAGCAGGCTTGAAAATATAGAACAGAACAGAACAGAAGAGAGAAGAATAATGGGTGTCGAGGGGAAAATATTAGGTTTGCCTAAAAGCGGACTGCAATGGTGAAGAGGTGAGGAGAAAAGACGAAAGCAGCGCCGAATCAGCTGCATAATTTATACTCTGGCGTGGGGTATATGCGTGCCGGTTGTTGTGGCAGCAAACAGCGCATACATCCCACGCTTTTCTCTCTTTCCCTCTCTCCCCTGATCCAGAAGCAAGGTTGTACAGAGAGCGTGACTGCTGAAGCCGGATATTAGAGAGCCAGCTCGCCAGCAAATCTGCCATGGCCATCGACATCGCCATTGCATAGGCACGCTTGCCTGGTGCTTGATTGTTTGCTTGTCTGCAAGTTCAGAGCGTGAGAACGCAGCGCAAACCCAGAAACCAAAAAGCGGACAATAAAAAAGGAGGCCCAGTCTCCGAGTCAGTTAACCTTGCCATCATGGTCATCGTCAAAGATGCTGCCCACATGCGCAACCATCTTCCCAGCCAGCCGCAGCGCGCTCATCTCCCTGGCATCACGCCAAAACATGGCAAAATATCTGCGCTGCATGCCGCTGGTCCACGAATCCTTCAGCATTCCGCACATCCTGACACCTGGCTGCACAACCTCCCAGGCAAACCGCTGTGCCTCGCCCTGCCACCGCACAATGGCCTGATCCATAGCCTCAACCCGCACAAACTTCTTCCTCTCCTCCTCGTCCGGCAAAATATCTCGAACAATGCGTTGACTGACAATTCCCTTGCCCTCGAATTTGGCATACTCAGTGATATTCTGTGTGCCGCGAACACGGACGATTTGCCACCGGGTCAGCCACCGCAGCCCCCATCTGTCTGTCCACGGCTGCGTTTTGCGCTGTTGCAGTTGCGCTTGAGCCATTTGTCGCGTAAGGTTCTCTAGGCATACCAGACGGCCTGTGAGTGGTGGGCCGGAGGGTGTGGGGTCGATGTAGGAGTGCGTGACTATGCAGAGTCGCGCAGGTGTGTGGTCCGTTGGTAAGGCCTGGCGGTTCTTCACTTTGGTCCGCGTTTGCTCTACCTCGGACCATGTCGGGCGCTCGGGCGCCGATGTTCCTGGCGCGGGGACAAGGATGTTGGTGTTGGAGTCGTTATTAGTGCTGGCGTCGGTATTGGTGCTGGTATCGCTGGGCGCACGGCCACTACTGTTTGCCTCGTCGATTGACATTAATTAAAGAGAGTAAAAATTGGAATTGGAATTGGAATTGAAATCAAAATCGAAATGGAACAAAATGGAAAAAAGCAAAAAAAGAAAAAAGAGCCAAGTTTGCAATTTTATTCTGAACACAATAAAAAATCTGTGAAAATATAGTGAGCAGCCACACCATTGGCCAAACAAAGCCTCAGCTCTCCGCGCTAACTGCCCAACAGTTTTCATAGCATTTGGTTCAATCAATTGCATCTATTTGCGCGCGCATATGCTTTACGCACACTCTCTAGTCTAGTCCGAAAATTCACAGATATCGTCATCGCTCAGCACCAGTTTCTCCATCGCAATTTCGCGCTCGGTCATAGCACCAGCGCCAGCAGAACCAGAACCAGAGCCAGAGGGGCCACTGGGTGCCAGCGCATCGGCCGGTACATCGACCATAGCCGCCTGCGCCAGCCTCCGCATCAGGGCCACGTCATCACCATTCGCAGCAGGAAGTGGACGCCGCGCCAAAGCAATGCGCATCCTCAGCGACAGCTCATCAAAGAACCCCCGCCCACGCGCCCCCAACAGCGCCTCCGCAGCCATCGGCTCAGCGCACAGCCGCTCATTGGCCACCTGCGCGCGATACGCCTCAAAGAACTGTGGCTTGCGAAATGCCACCATGCCCCTGGACTGCACCGCGTTCTGCCGAGCGCCCTGGTCGAGCAGAAGCGGGTGGCCGCGCACATGCATGTATCCGTGCACAGCCAGCATGGCCGCATAACTGTCGGCCGCAGCCTGGGCTCCTCCTCGGCTCCCCATTGCGCGCGCCGTTGAGGCCAGGGCGTCAGCCTCGCTGAAGCCGTCGGCGGCCGCAGCGGCCTCGTCAATGGAGGAGCAGAAGTCAAGGTTGTTTTCGTGAATGAAAAGCTGGAATGTGCCAAGGTCCGTCGCCACGCTATCAAGAATCTCTGAGGGATCCGACTCGAGCCGCCCGCGGCCCAGCCCGCTGTTGTCCGTGAGTGCACCTGCAGCCATGCGCTTGGCATAGAGAACTTTGCCAGCGGCGTGAAATAGGTCTAGCGCCACGCGCCGCGGCTCTGCGCTGCTTCCATCGCGCTGCGTGCCGGCCATCCCAATGACCTTTGTTGCTGCTGTGCCCGGCCGCCGTCGCTTGCGCGAATGCCCTGGCGGCTCGCCCCGAGCCATCGGCGCCATCTGCGCCATCTGCAGCATAGTGATTGCCGAACGCATGTCGCCGCGGCACTGCTCCGAGATTGAGCGCACAGCAGCCAAACACTCCGCCGAGAACTTCGCCGATGCGCCTAGGCCGGCGCGCAGATGCAAAATACGCTTAAGCCCGCGCGCCACAATGGTCGGCGCTACGGGATTGAACTTGATCGTCTGGCAGAACGCCGAGTTGAACACAGCGCCAGGGACAACGTCGGCTGCGCTCCACACGGAAATGTCCGAGTGCGTGTCGCGGTCGGACTCGCGAAACCGGCGTTTCGTCTCAATGCCGCCGCCGCCGTCCAGCGCTTGCTGTGCCGCGAAGGCTTCGGTCACGACCATCACCAGCGGACAGGACTGCTGTACGGGCAACGAGATAAAGCGCAGCAGCGCTTGGCGGAACGCATCGCGCGTCTCGCGGTGTCCAATGTTAGGCAGGTCGTCGACCAAAATAATGCGGCTGCCGTGCGTTCGCTGTGTGCCATCGGTCGCTGTCGGCAGCGCCGCGTACCGCTCGGCACGCATAAGAAAGTTGCCAAACTGCCGCACGACGCTGCTTTCATCGTCTCCAGGCTCGGGCTGCCCGGCCAAGGGTGCCTGCGTGGACAGCGGGTTGATCCACTCGACGACGTCCAAGCTGAGTTCATGTGCCAGGACGCGGATACATGTGGATTTGCACGTTCCCGCTGCGCCCTCGACCACAAGAATACGGAAAAACCCCGATCCGTTGCGCCCTCCTGATGCAGCCGCATCCGCTGCCATCGACAACCACCCGCGCACCTGCGAGATTTTGCCTGCGTGCACTGCCAGGTCACCAACAGTCTCTGGTGCGTACCGCTGCCACCACAACTCACCTCTGTCGTCCGCGCCGTCGTCCATCAGTCGCTGTTTTTCTGCGGTTTGCCGCGGGTTGGCCAGCTTAAATCGCGGCCGGTCGGTGATTGGCCGCCGCTTTGCCGTGCTAACTGGCGGCCGCATCTTTTCCGCGCATTTGTTCGCCTGGCTGCTGTTACCACTGCCGTCGCCAATGTGTCGTGCCTGCTCCGGTTGTGGGCTTTTGCTCACCTGGCTGCTGCTATTGCTGTTGTGTCGCGGCTCAGGCTGAGAGCACTCCTCTATTAGCGCTTCCAAATCGCTGTCTATCTCAAAGTCCATATTGTCTATCATGTCGTCGTTGCTCGGTGCCACCAGGGAAATCACCTCCTTTTGCGTCTCTTTATTATAGTCTTTTGAGCTGCGCAGCCGCGTCTACTCTTCACACAAAAAAGTATAACTCAGTTTTAGCAAAATGGGTTTTGTTTGTCAGAACATAATGCCCAATTCGTTGGCCGTTAATCGTTGGCCGCAGCCAGCGCAGCTTCTTTGTTCGGCGCGAATTTCACCTCCTTACTTTATGTGACATTGAAACAAAAATGTGAAAAATATATATATTGGAAATGCAAAATGCCAAAGGAAAAAACAAGTAAACCAAACCAAAAAAGAGAGAAAAAAGTATAAATACCGGATCGCCGCTTAGCACACAAAAAGGCGCACTTTTCCAAACTGCGCATTTAGCTTGCAATCAAATCAAAAATCAAAACCCAATCAGGTTCCAATTCAGTGGTTGATCTCCAAAGACTGCTGCGCAACAAGCAGGCTGTACAGCCCACGCTGTGCGATCAACTCCTCGTGCGATCCTTGCTCGACAATTCGGCCCTGCCTGAACACAACAATAACATCGGCATTTTGGATAGTACTCAGCCGGTGCGCAATAACCACAGTTGTCCGGCCCATTGTCGCCTTATCCAGGGCCTCCTGCACCAGCTTTTCGCTCTGCGAGTCCAGTGCACTTGACGCCTCGTCCAGGAGCAGAATCTTTGGGTTGCGCACCAACGCCCTGGCAATCGCAATGCGCTGTCTTTGACCACCTGAAAGCTGACCACCTGTCTGTCCGATGCGCGTGGCATACCCGTCAGGCAACTCAGTGATAAACCCGTGGATGTTGGCCTGACGGGCCACCTCCTCAATCTCTTGCTGCGTGGCCGAGGGCTGTCCATATGCGATGTTTTCAGCTATAGTGTAGTCAAACAAAACAGGCTCCTGACCGACCAGCGCAAGGTTATTGCGCAGGCTCTCGACATTCCACTCACGTACATCTGTGCCCTCGACGCTGACTGTGCCGCCAAGAACATCATAGAGTCGTTGGATAAGTGCAATTACTGTAGACTTGCCCGATCCCGACGGCCCAACCAATGCAATGGTGCGCCCAGGCGTTGCCTTAAGAGTGACTCCGCGCAGAATCCGTGCTTGAGCTCGCGTCGGGTACGCAAACATTACATTGTCCAGCGCTACCACGGACTTGGCCCGCTCCTGCTCCAGACACGCGCCTTCCTGCGACTGCGCGTCAATGGTCGGTACACTGCTCAGCGTATTTATTAGCTTGTCAGCCGAGATTAGTGCTTTAGTAACCACCGATGACTGCTGCGCGACCAGCCCAAGCGCAAATGCCGAAAATACAATGGCGTACATGACGTTAAACATTGCTTGCACATCGATATATCCTCGGAGAATGAACCGCGAGCCGACGAAAAATGCCAGGCAATACACCAGGAACATGCTGGCTTGCGCAAGCCCGTAGCCGAGAGAGCCAAAATAGTGGTTCTTGATGGCGTTTCTGTACGGCTCAACACTGTTTCTGCGGAACTGCTCGATGAAGGTGTGCTCGCGTGTCAATGAGGCCACCGTGCGGATATTGGCCACCGTCTCTGAGGCCTCCTGTGACGCCTTCTCGTACGCGCCCTTCATAGCCTTCGTCGAGGCAAACACCGCGCGACCCTCAAAATAAAATGCCAACGTGAGAAAAGGTAGCGTGGCAACAATGACCAGGGTCAAGTGCCAGTCGTAGATAAAGGCAATGACAATGCCCGTCAGTAGTGACGTTGCGCCGGCAATAAATGCCGGCAGGGCTTCGCCAATGGCCTTGTTGATGTCCGCCGCCTCGGTCGCCAGCCGCGAAGTTAGCGCACCAGTGCCGTTCTCCTTGCGGTCAAAGTACGCCGCGTCCTGCCGCATCATTGCTCGGAACATATCATAGCGCACATTGAAGGTTATCTGCTCACCAGCCCGGACAAAGCAGAGGTTGCGCCCGCCAATGGCAAAAAATATTACACAGGCAAACATGAAGAACAGTCCGCCGTAGAGATTGACCTCATGTCGCTGCTGCGCCTTGTCGGGGATTGCCATTGCCACGATCATCCGCGAAAACACAAGCGAAAAGCATGGGAATGACGCTCCATCGATCATTGTCATCAGGGTACCTGGAATAAACATTATAGTGTGCTTGCGGTACATCATAACCAGCTGCACAAGTGAGCGCAACCCGTTGCCGCTCATGCGCTGAGCATCGCTATTGTCCGCAGCCTCAGACGTGACACTGCGTGACTCAGTATCTATAGACGCACCCGTCTGCGTGTGCTGGATAGAGGTGCCTTTCAGCAAAGACCTGCGCGTGTTTGTGCGCTTTGTTTGAACTGGCACTGGTGCTGGCATCTCCATAATATCGCTGGCGTTGTCTGGCGGCGAGCCGCCCGGCGATACAACACTGTTCATCTGCGCGACATCCTGCTCCAGCGCCTGGCGCAAGTGCTGGGCATCAACCAGGCGCGCATACGCACCCTGCCTTGCAATCAACTCCTCGTGGCTGCCGGACTCCAGCACACGCCCCTTGGAAATGACATGGATGACGTCCGAGTCCCTGATGGTGCTGAGCCTGTGCGCCACTGTGATGGTCGTACGATTAGCTGAAGCTTTGTCCAGGGCATCCTGTACAATGCGCTCAGCCGATGAATCCAGTGCTGAGGTGGCCTCGTCTAGAAGCAGAATCCTTGGGTTGCGCACCAGCGCCCTGGCAATGGCAATGCGCTGCTTCTGCCCTCCCGAAAGCAGCGCCCCGCGCTCGCCACACAAGGTTTCGTAGCCATCGGGAAGGTCCATAATAAAGTCGTGGGCATTTGCATCCCTGCACGCTTGCTCGACTTGCTCGCGCGTTGGCGGGTTGCCCTCAGCGTCGATAGCACCCCAGGCAATATTTTGGAAAATCGAGTACCCAAAGAGGACGGGAGTTTGCATTATAACGCCAATTTGCTGTCGCAGAGAGCGCACGTTGTATTCGCGCACGTCCACGCCGTCGACCCTGACTGCGCCTTTCTCGGGGTCGTAGAACCGCTCGATCAGTCCGATCATCGTCGACTTGCCGCATCCAGACTCGCCGACCAGCGCTACTTTCTGCCCTGGTCGCACGTGCATGCTGAATCCTTGCATAACCTTGACATCCGGGCGAGTTGGGTACCAGAAATCCACGTCGCACAGCTCGATGTCGCCCTGGATATTCTCTGCAGACAGGCCCTTGTCCGTGTCCACCGGGTCAATCGGAGACTGCCGGTCAATCACCTGGTACACTTTGACCGCTGCGCCGCGCGCACTGGACACCGCCGAAATGCTTGGTGCCGAGTTGCCCAGAGAAAACCCGCCAATTATCAGTGAAAAGAACACGTTGAGTACCGTTTCGGGACTCATTTTGCCCTCCCGTGCCAGCTTGCCGCCGTACCAGAACCCTAGGGCATACACGCTATAAATGCTAAACATGATGAACCCCAAGCACAGGCCCAGAACCAGCGACTTCTTCAGGCCCTTGGCCCGCGCCACCAAAATCTTTGTTCTGTACCGCTCCAGCTCGCGCTGTTGGCCACTAAATGCCATCACCGTCTTGATAGACGACAGAACTTCGTCAGCCACGCCGCCGGCCTCTGCGTACGAGTCCTGGCCACCCGCAGTGTTTTCCGCAAGCAAGATACCCATCAGCCCGGCCGACCCAACGATGGCCGGCAACACAGCGAGCACAACGAGCGTCAGCCGCCAGCCCTTTGTAAACGCTAATATTATGCTTGTGCCAAAAGTGACGACGTACTGTACGACGAAGCTGAACTTTTCGCCTATCCCCTCCTGCACCATATTAACATCCGCTGAAATGCGAGTCGTCAGCTCGCCGGTCGACAGCTCATCAAACCAGCCGATATTCTGGCGCAAAATCGAAATGTAGAACATCTCGCGCATCCGCCTGCCAATTCTCTCCGAAGACACGCTCCACGTTAGCTTTTGCACACTCGAAACGACCCACATGGCTAGTCCCAGTGCTAGAAAGTACAGGCAGTACCGCCGCGTCTCAGAGTCAAGGTAGTTTCGCGACTTTTGGTTGTCACCACCGCTGCTATCGAAGTTAAAATCCAAGAATTTGCCCGTCAAACTGGAGAAAATGAGCGTCATGAGTGGCAGCGCTGTGCCTGCTGCGCACGCTCCTGCCGTGCCAATGACCATCAGCAGCTTGTCTGATGGGTCAGCAAATCGGAAGAGCTGGACCAGAGACACCATTGGCTGCTTTTCCTTTACCTGTCCCTTGGCACCCGTGGATTTGCCGAACAGCTTATACTTGCTTGTCTTTTCAGGTTCAGTATGCGGCAAATCCGGCCCAAATTCGGCGAGTTCAATAGGCGGGTCTGCAGTCATTGTCGCTCCTTGTTTTAGCTCGACAATGCGGGTTTGAAAATCAAATATTGGTAAGGCAAAGTAAAGTAAAGTAAAGTAAAGTAAAGTGGTGAAGAAAACAAAACAACGAAAAAAGCAAAATAATTATGTCAAGGTTGTGTTTGTTTGTCTACCTGTTGGATCCTGCATGCATATTACAATAAGCTTGGCTGTTTCCTTTTCCTTATGCAGAAATTTGATTGTTTGGAAATACACAACAGTAATAAAAAACCAAAGCCGCCTTCAAATAGCTAAATAATGTCACAATGGCCAATTTGGCACAATAACCACACACTTGGTCCAAAGCACCAAAACCAAAATCAAAATGGTTATTTATGTTTATTTAATATACTAAAATGCAAGACAATAAAAAAGTAACAATACACAACTGGGGTGAATGTCTGCTGCCTTGTTATTGGTGCTATCTCCATTCTTGTTGACACCAAACGCTTGCTATTCCATTACCTTGCCTGAAATGCAGACATTATTATCATATGGTATACTCTAAGCAGCCTTAGGAATCAACTTCACATTGTAGTCATTACATATCTTAGTTTTCAAGTTTCCATACAAATTTTTATATTCCGAAAAATACACAACATACAATATACACTTGTTGCCATCTTTATCTTTCGCATTATGGATGGTATCCGAAGATATTTTGGAACGTTCAACTAACATTTTTTTTGCTATAACAGAAAATTTAAGAAACGGGCCATTTTCTGTTGTAAATTTTTCTTCATAACTCAAATCATTAAATGCAGGGTTACATAAAATATAAATAGTAATCATCTAAAAAACCTTGAGATATATATGTTTGAAAAGCTGTGAGCGTACAAGTGTGCAAATGTGTAATTATAAAATTTATTTGGCTGCCAAAAAGTGCACATTTTATACTATTCAGAATGTTTTTTTTTAAAAAAACGAAAAGCCCGAGCCAAAACCTTTTATTAGTGCAATTTACAAAACAATTTTCAACTGGCAAATTCTCTATTCCCAAATAATGAATAAAAGTATGCAAATACTTTGCAATTATACTAGAAAAGGTTTTCATTTTTGTACGCGTGTTTTCTTTTTGTAAAGCAATTGTATAAGGCCAATGAGCGCATGTATGCGCACATGCATTTTATTTTACGCTAATAGCACAGTTTTTAATACAAAATTTTAAAAACATGCGCGAGTAAATATTCTATGGGCTCTGCTTTCTATGCGGGCACCTTTTAATTGGTCACTTGCCCTTTTCCTATCATTTTTAAAACTAATGCATGTATGTTTGTGCGTTTTCCATTCCATCTATTTTTATTTTACTCTGACAATTACGTGAAAAAAGGTATTCCATTTTGAATGTCTTTGCAATAGAACTGGCCAACAAAAAAATTAGAAAATGCCATGTTAGCCATTATTTTTTATGTGTGTAGATTTATTCAACGAATCAAGGCTATATTATAATCGTCTTGATCATCGATTAAATAACATTATTAGCAAATTGTACCAAGTTTTAGTTTCTTTTAACATATTACTAGTTTAAAATTAATAACAGAATTGGCCGATTCCATTTCCAAACGCAATTACTGCTGATATTAACCAACAATTCAAATATTTCACGCTGTGCAATGCATTAAAAATTAACACAGGGTTGTTTACAAACAGTTTTTGACACGGGGAAACAATAAAATACCCAGATATGGTTGTACGAGCAAAGTTTGTTTTTTTACGGGTTTTCTGTTACGTGTTGAAAATGAAAATAAATTCCCAATCACTTGCGCCGTTATTGCAATTATTTGTGTGTTTTCTGGTTCCAAAAAACATTTGTTCATTGTTTAGAACAATGAAAACACTATATTTAGTTCTTATTCAGAGGCCGTATCCAAATATAAAAATTTAGTAGTACGCACACACTATTTAATGCAAATCACGCTTACCATTCGTCGGCCAAGTGATATTTGTATTTTTGTTGCATTTTTGAGACAAGTCCTTTTTTCTTGCTCCATCTCCAAATATCTACCAAAAATGCAATTGCATATATCTTTTTATATAATTTCCATCATTTCAACTCTGGCTGCTGGTCAGTTGCCAGCCATTGCCAAAACTCCCCTGGCGAGAAGGCAGCAGAAACTTAAAAACTATAACGATAAATACCCAACTTGGCATACGGATGTGCAAGTATATGGCGAGCCAGAAATCTATGACACTGATTTCCAAAAATGCAAAAAAGCTCACGATGAGCACTTCCTGTGGTTGGTTAACGCTGCGCAGACATTTGCTAACAATGACGGTCAGATTCACAGCGCAGGCAGCGGCAACAAGTTGTGCAGCAAGTGCTTCTGTGTTCCGAATACACAGCGTGTCGGCTGTGTGCACATTGATTGCAAAGAGGTTGCAGGTGGATAATTGAAATTGAGTTTAATTTCGATTATATTTAATAAAGGCATACACATTTAAAGACTGATGGGGAAATGAAGGTGCTTATGACAGGATCCAAATTGCAGATGATCTTCTCGATCATTGTACACATGTTATGTTCATGAAATGCAATAAATACAATGAGCTTAACAAAAAAGTTCAAAAACTTAAGGAGACTGCAAGAGCAAAATACATAAAAGTAGAGTGTTATAGTGAGAGAGGGGTATGATAAGCATTAGTTGTCTAGTGCTAAAAGGTAGGGGTGATTTTATAAAAGATTTTACTACTGATGTTTCTAAAATACTACTAGGGCCAGCCTCATCTTATATATGTGCCTTGTCGCCTTTGTTGTGCACATTGTCAATTGTGCTCTCCGTTGGTGAGAACTAGATCTTCTGCGAGCAGACCGGTATCTTGGCAAGTCAATGTTGTGGTTTTTGCGTGTGTGCACTCATACGTGTGCATTTCAAAGTAGGGAGCATGTTTGAGCATCAATGTAATGCCTCCCTAATTTACGCCTGCATGATCCAATTAGTACCCTATCAATTGGCACGCAGGTGGAAACCTGTTTCGCGATTCTCGACCTCAACATCCACTTCCATATCTCCAGTCTGTGCAACAAGAGGAATTAAATGGCACTACTTTAGCAAGTCTAGTCTTTAAAATTTGAATTGATTCAATTTGGTTCCTAATATATTTTAGTAAACAAATACTTAATATACACGTGACTGCAGTCATAACCTTTTACTCAATATAAAAACTTTAAAGGTTAAAATGAACATGGAAAACCCTCTCGCACGTATATTAACTGCAAACTTATTTTTGCCAGCCATTACTACCACTCCACCAAAAATGAAGCTCACCGCAGATCTCATCAACAACTCTCCCACATACATTAACGCGATAAAGGACCGCGAGTTGGATCTAAGCGGGAACCAGATCTCACTGATAGAAAATCTGGGAGCCGCGCGCGATCTCAACGACTCTCTCAATCTGTGCGACAATAGTATCCGAATCCTGGGCAACTTCCCCATACTCAAGCGCCTGCACTCGCTGTACCTGGCCGACAACCGCATAGCGTCGGTTGAGCGGAATTTGGCAGAGTACATGCCGAATTTGCAAACGCTGGTTTTGACAAACAACGATATCGGCGATTTGGTCGACTTGGAACCACTAAGGAATATGGGCCGCTTGGAGATAGTCTCACTGGTTAATAATCCAGTTATGCGGAAACCGCATGCCCGGCTGTGGTGTGTCTGGCGGCTCTCGAGCTCTCTGCGGGTGTTGGATTTCGAAAAAATCGGACAAAATGAGAGAAACGAGGCGAAGAGACTGTTTGAGGACGGAAAGGGCGGCATTTCGGAATTGGCGAAGAACATCTTGGCTATAGAATCGGTGGCGGCGGCGAGCAACGTGTTTGTTCCCGGAGAGGGCCTTGACGCAGTCCTTGGCGGCGAGCAGCAGCAGCATCAAGAGGTAGAGAAGAGCGCAGAGGACATACAGCGCGAGCAGAGTATCGCCGAACTCAAGGCACGGATTCGCGAAGAAATGGCACAGGTCGAAGCCATGGAAGAGTTTATCTGAATAAAAAATTGTAGTTTGTTTTTATATTTATGGGTGATAGAGAATTGGCAAGTTCAAAAATTCATTATACTTTTTATTACTTGTCCTCCTCAGGAATGACGCCCTCGCTCTGGCCGTGGTACGGGTGGCTGGCAAAGTTGAACCAAGGAATGACATCAAAATTAAAGAACGCGCCGGTCGAGTATGCGGCTGATGTGCGCTGCAGGGCCAGAGGCATGTTGGACACGCCGTGCATGGGTTTGCCCTGGGCCTTCAGCTTGGCGTATTCCACGCGGTACTTTTTGATCTCGCGCGAGTTCTCCGACAGTCCCCAGAAACGCACCGAGACCATCATGTATGCGGTCAGGAATCCTGCCATGGCGCCAATGCCGCCGGCAATCTTCATCGCACGCATGAGCGGCTTACCGGGGTTGCCTGAGGGCTGGTACTTCTCTACACAATGTAAATGGTTCGCGGAATTGAAGGTTTTAGTTTTGGTGAAATGCGTGGCAAAAGCTCAATTTGTGCTCATTTGACCCTGAGACAGCAGAAACAATGCTTACCCATCCAGTACATAAAACCGGGGCCCAATGCTGTCAACGAGGCGGCAACGGCGTAGTCGGTCGGGCGGAAGTACCGGACGACCCGGCTAAAGTTGGGGTCAGTGTCGATGACCGGGTATGGCGCCTTGTGAAGATTCTGCATTTGACTGGAAATTGAAAGTAGATAAAATAAAAAATAAAGTACAGCAGAATACTAATCAGTTCAACAAAACTAAAAGATTTTTAATAAACAGAGGTTGAATTGAACGAAAATAAAGTTGAAAAAAACGAACTAAAAAGTCACAAAAAATATTAGCTGCAAAAAAGATACTCGATTTTTTTGTGAGTGGGGCGTGTGTTTTGTGTCGGTTTGGCTGATCATCTGCAGAGATAGGTGATCAGAAAATCAGTATTTACAGCTGAGGCTTAATTTTCATTCTCATATATTCCCCTTCCCCAGCCCAAAAAACGATCTCAAACATCAACATCAGCCTTTTCTTTTTTCTTTTCGTACTTTTTCTTAAAACCTTCCTTTTACGATATATATACTCGTCACAAACTAAAATTCAAATGAATCGCAGCGCCTCCTTGCTAAAGACCGTTTTCACTCCGGCCGCCCGGTACCACAGCGCATTATGCACAGCAGCCACCAGGACAACTGGCGTTTCAGTCTTGGCCCTGGCCAAGAGCCAAAGCGCAAACACATGCGTGCAGCAGCGCCTTACTTACAGCACAGAACAGCCAGCACCACCAGCAACCAGCCCACCCAAACATGTGCTTCCAGAGAAATACGCGGCATTCTTCCGCAGCCTGCTCAAGCGGTTCCTGCCGCAATACCAGGCGCAATCCATCGGTAAAATGGTCTACAAATCGTGCAGCACATACCCAGACTTTAAGGAGTTCTGGGTGGGTGAGTGCCAGCTTCCAGAGACATTCCAAACGTGGTTTTCCACGACGTCCTTGTACGTGTGGATGGCCATGGTGCGCATTCGTGCTGATACCAATTCCAAGCATTACAACCAGGGCTTGATCGATCAGTTTTTCCAGGACGCCGAAGCTAAGATGCGCGAGTCGGGCATAAAGTCAGGCCGCATCATCAACGACACACTGAAGGATTTGGTTCAGTCCTTCCAGGGCACCGTGATGTCACTGGACGAGGGCTTTGCCCGGTCGGACGCTGTCTTGGCTGCTGCCATCTGGCGCAATTTGGTACCTGTCGACGAGGCCGTAATGCAGATCGACACCGTGGTCCGGTATGTGCGCCAGGAGCTGCAAAGGCTTGACAAGTGCGAACTGTCGGAGATTACCTCGGGCAACTTTGTCTTTGAGTCCATCAGCGAGCAAAAATAGGTTTAATCTTTTTATTGAGCCATCTTTGTCTTTATCTGAAGCAAAAAAAATCAAAAAATCAATTATGCGATCATCTTTCCTTATGCCAAATTTTTTTGAAGGGGATAATATTGAGGTGCAGTGAGCTGAGTGGCTTTGCTAGGCAGTTGCATCTGGCCGTTGCAAAAATGGAACTCAAAAATTTTGTGTATCTGGAAAGCCAAATGACACCATGCGTCAAAGAAAATCATTGCAGTCGAGCATAAATTGTTTTTTTTTAATTCCTTGTCCATGGTACCATCCAAGCACCCTCTCCTCTTTTTTACTTGTTCCATCTTTTCTTTATTTAAATTCTTTCTTTCTTTCTTTTGAATTCTACATTTTTAAATTTTTTTTGCACAAAATACATACATCGACAATAATATCACAAGAACATGTCCCCACGCACGACTAGCGGTCCGCGGCGCTACAAGCTGCGGGTCAACTTTGTCGGCCTCGATGCCTACGACAGGGACGAGAATGTCCTACCCTACCGCAAACTAATATACATTGCGTACGAGAACGAGAGCATTCGCAACGTTTGTGAAGGCATTAACACGTTGTTTGCCAAGCTTTATCCAGAAGACGGGTAGGTTCTTTCCATTTCCAGTCGAAAGGCCGCAGTTGCTTGACCACCTTGCTCATTGTTGAGGGGAGTCACGTTGTTTTAATATCCTGTTCGCCTGCTAATACTGCATACAAACGGATATTATTATCACCGTGTTTGTTTTATTTTACTTTTACTACTGATAGACACAACAAGGTGGTTCGTCTGCGCGACTCCTTCATGTGCGACGTTTCTGACGACTTTATTGTCTCTGAGGTTTTCGATGAGAGCCCCGAGGTGTATGCAGCAATGAAGGAGCTATCGGTGTCGGACGATCTCCCGGAATCCGCGTTACTTAGCACCTCGAATGACCACCAGAGGATTGCGGTCCGGCCGAAGCGAAAGCGCTACATACTTACTCCCTGTCGGGACATGGTCCCGCTGCTGATAGACAGGCGAGAATCAATGCCGCTCGAGGTGGCTGCTAGGAACGGATGCAGCCCGGATGGCATTGTGAGATCAACAGATAGGCCAAAGAGGATTCGTCTGGATAGCTCTTCGTCCAAGATGACCAACCAGCGCAGATATGGTACCGAAAGCCCGGAGCTCGGGTCGTTTGGCGATAAGCACGAGTTTACCAATGTATTAGTTTCCGCAGCTACATCTGCCGCTGCGTTGGGAATCACATCTCGCACAAATGTGATCAAAAACAGCCTGCCTGGCACTGGAAGACCCGGGATTTTGATCAACCGGGATTCACATGTGTTTTCGGCAATTGCTCCGAGCTATATCTCCGGTGTTGGTCTTGACATTGTCGGTGGAACGCCGCACTCCGAGGCGATGAGCCCCGAGCTTGGCCAGCATATTTATCAATTACAGAACCCCCACCCAGAGGCAGAACTGAATCCCAGTGTCAATGAGGAGCCATCTAGCGAGCAGGCAGATGGGGTTGATAGCCGCAACGACAACGAGCCACCTGCGCACAACGCAGCAGTCACATCACCGCCAACTACGAGGAGCAGCGCCCGGCTCGCCAAAAACCAAACTAAAGATCTGGTCAGCACTACTCCCGCGGCTTCTAAGCTGACGGAAAAGGCTGCCGTTAAACCCAAGCCTGAGCTTGAGGCCGATGCTGATTCTGATTCGGCGCAAATGGACGCCGAGTCTGTCGCCCCGACCAGCACTGCCAACACGGAAATTGCAGCTGCAGCTACGGCTGCTTCTGCCACGCCGAGCTCTGACGTCACAGGCGAGGGGGAGAAGTCCGGTGAGGCAGAGTCCAGCGATGGCAGTGCTATGGAAGTGGACGATGACAATGTCAAAGTCAAGGTTGATGCCGAAGCTGACGAGTCCAGCGACGAGGATAGCGGGTCCGACGATGAGGAAGAGTCTAGCGACGACGAGGCTGCCGAAGAAGATGTTAAGACCGAGCCTGGCGTAGAAGCTGAAGGGTCCAGCGAGGAGGAGGAAGAGGATGAGGAGGAGGATGAGGAGGAGGATGAGTCAAATGAAGAGGATGCCGACAAGACTACTGTCAAGATTGAGCCCGGCACTGAAGTCGAGGTCGAGGAGGGAGAGTCTGACGAAGGGTCTGATGGAGAATCTAGCGGCGAAGAGGAGGCCGGTGTGGCTGTCGTAAAGACCGAGCCCGATGTTGAGGAGGAAGAGGAGGAGGAGGGAGAATCCAGCGAGGACGAAGATTCCGGCGACGAGGAAGAGTCCAGCGACGAAGAGGCCGACGAGTTTATTGTCAAGGCCGAGCCTGGCGCCGAGGAGGAGCAGGGGGAGGAGGAAGAATCCGAGGAAGAGGAGGCGTCTGGCGACAATGGGGTGGTGGTCGTCAAGGTCGAGTCTGCTGCAAACTCCATTTCAGTTGCAGATTCTAAGGCGAACGAGGACGAAGCGGAGTCATCTGACGAAGAATCCGGCAGCGCAAGCGAGTCCAATTCGGGCGAATCGGATGATTACAGCGACTCTGACGGCGACACTGAATCCGAGACTGAATCCGAACTTCGAGCAAGTGTCAAGTCCAAGGTCACCAGCAGTGCTGGAGCCAGTGACAACAAGGATGCCATCAGCGTCATCAAGGGCAAGCTTGCGGAGCACATGTCTGTTGCTGCGCCGCAAACACCAGTGCAGTCGAAGCAGCGGCCGCCGGCGCTCGATGCGAGCAAATTCTTGACTCCCTCGAAAAAATTGGACAACGCAGTCCCCGACACACCCATCAGCCCCTCGCGGCGCAAAATACATTTGCGGAAGCCCTTGGCGGTTGAAAATGAATCTGACAGCTCCGACTCCGACTCCGACTCCGACAGTCAGCCCCGCAAGCTGGCCAAGTTGCCGATCCTCGGCACTCCCATTACTGTGCGGAGGATCAGCGGCGTGTTGGAGCTGGCCAAGACGCAGAGGGTTGGGCTGGGAAGAGAGGGTTCTGGTATCATGTCGATCAGCCAGATGGCCAAGGAGAAGCCATACGATGAGATGCGCAAGAAGATGGCCAAAATCGCGGCCACCCGGGTCACGTCGAGTTTGCAGAGTACGCCTGCAGCTTCGGCCAAAGCGACGCCTCAGCAGACAAGGGAGCCGTCGCCCGAAAATGAGAGCGACAGCGACTCGTCGTCATCCAGCAATTCCGATTCCAACTCTGAATCTGACTCTGGTAGTAGCAGTGACGACGACGACGATGGCAATATTAAGAACGGAGGCAGGGCAAATGGTAAGAATGTGACCATCAAGGCTCCAGAGTCCTCGCAGAGCATGCAGCGGAGGCCCATTCGTTTTGCTGGGGCCAGCTCGCTGACTACCAGCGCGAAGGCGCGGAGAAGGAAATCAGCGCTGTTGAATATGTGAGCTGAATATCGAATAATTTAATAAATATCATTTGGGATTAAATCAATTATTTGACAACACAAAAAGTCAGAATATAACTATATTTACTCTAAACTGGGGGTGTTTAGTGGGCAAACAATCTCACAAGTGCAGATTTTGGTGCATGGCTTGGTGCGGCACGGCTTGCAGCGCTTGGTGCAGCCGGCTTTCACCGCGTTGCTGCAGTTCGAAGGACATGCCAAAACAGGAATTTGGACAGCCGCGCAGACCATGCCTACGGCGCATGGAAGGGGGATTGAGTCGTTGTAGCAATCCTGGGATGGGTACTTGGGGATAGCCAAAACTTGGATGGCACCCAGGGAAGCGAATACAAGAGCAATGGTGAGGAACTTCATTAGTGATATTTGAGTTAAAAAGGTAATATTAGGATTGGTGAAAAATGGGTAAGGAAGAGAAGATTTTTAATAAGTAAAAATGACGGATGTGATTTTTAAAAATATTTTGTGACATACTAATAGGTTTGATTTATAAAGTAGGGAAACATTCGATGGAAGAAATATGCAGATACAATTGTTTGGGAGGTGGCGTATAGCATGTGTTTGTTTGTATTGTGTTTTGTATTTTGTCATATTTACCATGTGTATACATATCAGAACCCATGCTTTAATATGCCATTTTAAATACTGAATGAATTATTTCTAAAGTTTGTCTAGGCCAAAAGGCGCGAGAGTAAGAGTGAATGCGAAAAAATGAAATGGGTTTCAAACATCACTTGAACAAAACCCTTTCCTATGATTAGAATTCAATATATAATAGTGGAGTATCTTGTCATGAAACACAACCAGTGAAAAATTGGGGGAGGAGTAGGTAAGGGTGCTTTTGTATAGATTTTAAAACTTTCTTAATATTATAGTTCTATTACTTAATCCAATAAAGGAGGTTGTCTGTTTTGCTTATCACTTATCAGAAACGGCTTAATCGCTTGAACTTTGGCTAATTACTGTTTCATTTTTTATGCCCTTGATCAGTTGAGCATTTATTAAGGAAAAAAGGAAAGCTTCATTCAGGTAATAACTGATTAAATATAAGACATTTAACATTTAGATAAATATTTCTGCAACTTATAATAAAAAATATGTAGGAGTTTGATCATAGAAATGGGATATCACTTGCGCGGACAAGTTACCTCACATATGCAGAGAGCAGGGCAAACCATGTCATAGCATGGCTTGCAGCGTTCGGCACAGCCGGCCGGCACAACATCACCGCATTTCCATGGGCAGGCCGACACAGGGATCTGGACAGCCGCACAGGAGTTGCCCTCGGGGCATGGAAGAGGAATTTCATCATTGTAGCAGCCCTTGGGCTGGCACTTGGGGTTGGCTGAGACTTGGATGGCGGCCAGGGTAGCGAAGAGAAGGGCGGAAATGGAGAACTTCATTTTATTGTGCTAACAAAAATGACAATAGTAATGGTGGTAAAAGTGGCGATAATAAAAATAAACAGAAAACAAAGGAAATAGACGTGCTTTTATAGTATTTGGCAAAGATCTCGTATCAGCTCAATTGGTGTGCTTTATGAAAATAAAGAAAGCAAAATTTTTATTATATATATGGAAATCCAATTGCAAAGATATGCAGATACTACTATTTGGACAGCGGCACACATGTGCTTGGTTTTTTGTTCCATACATTAATTTTGACCACAATTTGCTATATTTGCCACGCATACACATGTTCGGAATACGTTTTATCATGCACATACCATTACCTTTTTTTTAAAAAAAAAAACTATTTTTAGTAACGCATGTAGCATTGCATTTGTAGCCAAAAGGAGCAATAAAAAGAGTAAAAGTGAAAATGAAAGTGAAAGTAGAGTAAGAAATCTGTGTAGTCAGACATCACATGAGCAAATTAAGTATATTCTAAGTAGAACATTGTAAATAATCGTGTATTGTAATGTGATAAAAGGCAGTCAGTTAAAAATAGGGGCGGAATTGCTAAAAAGAGGGGCTCCTGCGCAAAAATTTAAAATATTCAAACACCCTACTCCAACTTAATCTAATTTTAGGTTGTGCTTTTTTCAATTCACATTTAATATTTAATTATTTGATCAAATGCCAATTTATGTCCTATTTTTACTCTTTAATCACAATGGTTTACCTTCCATGGGAAAATATTTTATGCAGTTCTTCTTTATTAATGTCTTTTTATTATCATTGTTGTCGTTAATTATTTAATTACATTATTGTTATAGTAGGAGGGGGGTGTGAGGCGCACTAGTTGCCTAGTGTTAAAAGGTAGGGGCGATTTTATAAAAGGTAACTAGTGCTCCTCACACCCCCTCCTATAACATTATAAACATTGTATATACTTTACGATTGCGCTGGTAGAGGCCATGTGTAAATTTATTCTGAGAATACGGTAAAATTTAAGAATTTTGTTATATAACTTTAAGAATATAATTCATATATCTCGGTGAGCAAAAAAAGCAATAAAAATTGATGGTGCCAAACTGAAAACCTTACTTTAGCGGGCAAATATGCTCGCAAATGCAAACTTCAGCGCAGACCTCAGTATGACAGGGCTTGCAGCGCTTGGTACAACCAGCTGGCACATTATTGCCGCATTTTGAAGGGCAGACCAATACAGGAGTTTGAACAGTCATGCAGGCCCTGCCTATGGGACATGAAGGGGCGATTGAGTCGTTGTAGCAGCCCTCAGGATTGTTTTCAGTATTGGTCAAAGTCTGGGCAGCAGCCAAGGCAGTGAGGAAAAGAGCAGATGCAAGGAACTTCATTTTTATAGTTTTTAAAAGTAGTGCTAAAAATTACTATAAAGATGGAGTAAAAAAAAAAGTTAAAGAAAAATATGAAACAAGATGGCTGGGTTTCATATATATATTTCTATTCAACATTTTTATTAGTGTGCTGTGAAAAAATAACAAAAAATAATATTAATTTCTGGACAGCTGCACTCAGCCACCTAAAGCCTTGCACAATATTTGTTTTGTCTTTGTCTTTGTTACATTCACCATGTGCACAATTGTTTACAAAAAACTCCTATGTCTCACTTTACTGCTTATATTTTTAGTATTTCTTTTATTATCGCTTGTTTAATAGATACAAAGTTGAGAATACAAAGAGGGTAAATATAAAAAATGAATTTTAGAACACCGCTTGAACCAAACATCCTTCTAAGCAGAAAGTATCAACAAAGGTGAATTTTGATGTTGCAAGGAACAACTAAAATAAAAAATAGGAGAGCGGAATACGAAAATAGGGTCTCTCGAATGTTTTAATTTGTTTTGTAAACATTATAAACATCTACACCCTTGACAATATATATATTATTCCCCCTCCTCCTCCTCCTCCTCCTCCTCGGCGTCATGTGTATTGTTTCGGTGCCTGATATTTCCCTTCCTCATGGCCATCGCCCTCCGATCCCTACGCTGAATCAGCTGTTTTTTGCGATTGACAAGGTTAGCCTGCTTCTTGCTGGCTCCAACAGCAGAGCCAGAAATATTGTCACTCGACTGATATCTCTTGATCAGTCTGAGCTCTGTTTCCCTTCGATCCACGTCCATTATCTCCGCCATCCCAGCCATCCCAGCCATCCCAGCCATCCCAGCCATCCCAGCCATCTCTGCTATCCCGGCCATCTCTGCCTCCTCCTCCATTCCTTCGTCTTCAGAGGATCCTTCCATCCTAGGTATCTGCGAACTGACAACCTGGCCTCTGATATCGCGATGTTTCAAATTCCCCAAATTAACAGCCTCCCTGCAGCAGTTGTTCTCCATAAATGCCACCACCAAAAACACCATCTGCTCCAGCCTTCTCTTGATCTGTGGCACAACCTGTTGCAGCTTTGTGTCCTTGGCCACCTTGGAGTGGTTGCATATATTCTGCAATATCCGTGTGGATTTCTGGATTCGATTGAATATAGCTAGGATACTCTCGCTGTGAAGCAGGAAGAGTGAGTCCATAGTGGGCATAATGAGCTTGATTATGTGGTCTATCAGCGTGTGACCGGATTTTAGTGCCAAATGGAGGATGGTGCGCTGGAGTTGCGGATCCAGTTGCTGTTGCGTAAGCTTATTCAGAGAAAGCCAGCTTTCCGCCACGCGGTTGGCGTAGAGGAGCGCCGAGGACTGTGACCATAGCGTGGTCTTGATGGTTTGTCCGAGACTATGCAGGACAGCCTTGTAGTATGTTGGGAACGTTGCTCGCGTTGTTTCGGTTGATTGGCCGGATAAAAAGCCGGGGAGCGTCTCCGTGGCGTACCGGTGGATGAGATCCAGCCGGTTGTGCGGGTACCGTAGTATATGCTGAGCAATCACGTATTCTAGATCCACAGGTTTCACTCCATTGTCTGAGTAATTCAGAATGTTCTGCGCCAGGCGGCTGATGCACCCGTCCATAGATTCGTCGCGCTCTGATTCGGACAAGCAGCTGGCTTCCTCGGCAGCAGCAGTGGATTCGTGGGTGGATAGTGTGCGCGCGCCAATGAGAATGCGCAGCAAAATAGTGCTGTGCTGCGCTGTGGGCATCAGCGAGGTAAGCGACCAGAGATAGTCGAAGGCGCGGCGGACCAGGGCGTTGGGTTCTAGGTCCTTCAGCTCGGCCATATCTGTGTGCCCACCTTGCGCGGCCAGTACTCCCAGAATGGCTGTTGTTTCTGCTGCACCACTTTGCAAGCCGTCCCAGTGCATCACAGAGGACATCACACCTAATAGTCCGTCGATGCATTGGTCAATCTGGTCCAAATCGCCATCATCGTCCAAGATAATCCGGCGATGCGCGTTGGCGCTGTCCAGGGCGGCGCCCATCTGGATGTTGTCGCGGTGCTGTGCGCTGACCGCCAAGCAGCCCGCCAAGTAGCGCAGCAGCGCCGGCAGCAGCGGCAAAAGACCGGCCACAATCTGTATGGCCGAGCTGGCCGACGTGTTGGAGCCGAACGTTGCCAAGTTGCAGTGGGTGGGCGCGCGCACGCCAAAGCCGCGCCTGTTCTCAGTATGGCGCACGAGCTTGACGCCCAGGATGGAGCCGAGCTCGCGCACGACCAGAGCCAAGGCCGGCGCACTCAGCAGAGCTCTGGGTGCATCGAGGTCGCTGCTGCCAATGAGCAAGACGCGGAAGGCGGAGAACCCAAGCTCACGCAGATACACGTGCGGCGATTTACAGAAATCATCGCTTGCCCCGGTGCTGGCAGCACCAGCATGCGCAGTGCCGGCGGCGGCAGATGCGCCAAACTTGCGCTTGCTGCGCCCACGCTTCGCTGCCGCAGAATCCACCCCGGACGGTGACAACAGCAATGGTTGGGTGCCGTCAATGAGTTTGCGTGTGTCATCCTGCGAGAGGAGCAGCCCGCCAAGGTCCATCGTGTGCGTGTGGTCGGCCAAGTTGGATCCCTGAGCGCTGATTAACTCGGGGCGACTCAGTCTCAGCGATGCGCCGTCCACCGTGCGCATGCTGGGCGCGTCAGCGAGCTCAGCAACCAGGCCGCTGACCATCGGGCGGAATTCATGTGGCGACCCAGCAAGCGATGTCGCCATAGCCATCAGGCTGGCCTCAATATGCGGCAGCTGGTTGGCGCGCCGCGCAACGTGCGTAAGGATCTCAGCCGAGTGCTGGTCGGCAAACGCGTTGATCAGCTCGCGCACCCAATTGACTGCCACATACAGCGACGAGCACAGCGTAAGCCGCAGCTCGGCAGTCCATGTGTTGGCGTGCACAATAAGGTCGCTGCGCTGATCGGTGGGATCGGCCAGCGTCGAACCCGCAACCATGGCTGAGCAGTCGTCGGAGGCGTCGTCCGGGCGGTGCGTGCCCGTGGGCGAGATTGGGGGCAGAATGTACAGGCCGCAGACCAGCAGGGCGTCGATCTCGCCCAGAGACCCATCGCCCAGCGCCTTCTCGCATACCTGGATAAGCCTCAGCAGTGACGGCAGACAGGACAGCAGGCAGCCGCGCAGTCGCGGTACGCCCTGCTCTGCCTTGTCGCCGTCTAAATGCAGCGCGTCACCATTGTGGTTGAGGATGTCCAGAATTGTAGGCTCCTCCTCGTCCAGCCACAGCGCCGGCGCCGGCGGGCTTTGCAGCCCGTAGCGCTCCGTGAGCAAATCAGGGTCGGCCAAGAAGTGCGTGGCAAACGTCGACGACACATTCTCGTGCAGCCACGTCAGCAGCTGCGCGTGCAGGCCCCTGGTCTCGACAATGTGCGCGAGCTCGTCGTAGGTCATCGAGACGAAGGCCCACGACTGGTGCCGCGCCGAGTCCATCAGCATCTCTAACAACTGCACGGCACGGCGCAACGCTTGCAGATTGATAGACGCTGCCGACGCCGCCTGCGTCGAGCTGCCAGCAGTCGCAGAGTCGGCCACCGTATGCTCGGGTGCGCCCAGCTGCCGAAGCAGCGAGACAGTGCCAACGATGCCGATGCGGTTGTACTTGGGGTACACGCTGGCCAGCTGCTTGCGCACAAAAATGTACAGGTCGCTGAATATGCTGTCGCTTGCACCGCCCTGGCCCAGCGTCGAGAGAATGCCTAGCGAGTCAAAGATCACGCGCACGTGCTCCAGCGGCAGATTGTCGACATAGTCCAGGAGGCCTTTAATGAAGACTGCGAATGGCCGCAGCTCGCATGGGTTCCGCTGCGCCAGCCGCAAAAAGATGCGCGCTGCCGTGTCAATCTCGTTAGCGCTGCCGCTGCCGATGTGCACAGCCAGCTCGCCGGCGATCTCCTGCCGCTGGTACATGCCCATGCATGCAAACGCTGCCGCCAGGATGCCTGCCGCCACGCGGCTGCCCTGGCTGCCCAGCGCGCTCGTGCGGACAAGCCAGCTGCCCACGGCCAGCAGCGCTGGGAAGTGCGCCGAAAAGACCGCCGGAAACCGCGCAATGACGGCCTCGAACAGGACCGGCGTGTACGCCACGCAGCCCGAAACTGTTGAGTCGATCTTCGCGCGCAGAAGCGTCTCGACACGCCGTGTGTGCGCGGGTATTTGGTGCAGAATCAGCAGAACCACCAAGTCCAGCGTTGTGTGTGTGCCCACCTTGTCTGTGTCCTCAGCAATGACGCGCAGCCAGGCATCCCGCAGGTGCTTGTGCGAGCGCAAGCTGGTGGCGATTACGTCGAAGATAAGCACGTCCGGAGAGTGGTTCGCCGACGCCGCTACATCTTTGCCGCCGCCTTTTGACGCGAGCACAATGCAGTCCAGATCAAGTCTCTTGCGGATGCGCGAGATCAGCGACGCTGCGCCATCGCTTGTGACGGAGTGCAGGAGAAACTTGACCATGACCGGAAGATCCAGCGGCTCGGCCGAGATGAGATGGCCAATAACAGAGCTGCGCGCGTCTTGCAGCAGCACCGGCCCACAGTTCAGGCTGCCAAGCGTCTCCAGCAGCGGCAGCATAAGCTCGGGTGTATCGCTCAGCATGCCAGCCAGAACCTTGGACACCTCAGTGTTGTCCGAGTCCGAGATAATGTCCGGGAGCGCCGACACAATCTCGCTCTGCATCTCGGCCGGCACAAACCCTAGTGTCTCCAGAAGCTTCTCTGTCAGTTCGGCCGAGTCGACAATGTAGTCGAGCCAGCGCAGCTGCCGGAGCACCTTGATCGACGTCTTGGTTTCGTCAGCGGCCTGCTGATCTTCAGTCCCAATGAACTCAGGAAACTTGTCCAGAAGCAGGCCGATCAGCCGTGACTGCAAACTGTCGACGCCCAGAAGCAGCCGCACAAGGCTTTCTGGTTGACCGTACACACCTCGCACTTGGTCCTCCTGCGGCTGTGTCACTGGGTCAAGGTAAAGAGCGATGCTATCCGATGCCAGCAGACCCTCGATGCAGTCGCCCACTACTTGCGACACTTGGGCGTTTTGCCGGATCGCCTCGCTAAGCTTGTATCTGAAAAGCGCCGTTGACGTGTGCAGAGCGGGCGCCTTGTCGCTGAACATCTCGATACCGCACCGCAAGAGTATGTCCGAGCAGGATTCCAACTGCATTGTGAGCAAAATAATATTAACTATAGAATGTGTTGTCGTGAAATAAATATAAAGGGTGAATTGGAATTCAACGCTCGTGCGAACCTGGAATATTTCATTTTTTGATGCGAAGAGATCGATCAAAACAAAGACTGCGCATTTACACAAGCAAGTAAGCAAGTAAGCAAGCGAGCGAGCATGTTTGCTTGCTTGGTGATTTGATCGGCGATTAGGTGCGATCATTTGTGAGCTTTTGGTGTAAACAAAAAAATCTGGCGTAAAATTACACAAGTCAGTTGGGACGCGGGGATACAAAATAAAAGAATCAAAATAAAAAAAATAAAAAACGGTTTACGCGTTATCACTTTCATTTTTCGTTTTTTATTTTTTATTTTTTATTTTTTATTTTTTATTTTTTATTTTTCGCACGCTTTTATATATTTATATATTTTCATTTAAAACTTTCATTTCCACATTATGAGCAATCGGACTTCGAGGCGAGCCAAATCGCCAGCCATGCGCAACAATTTCAGCGACATTGGCGTAACCGGCAGGTACGTTTTCAACACAGAGAAAAAACAAGAACTAGAATTAGTTAGTGTTCAATCCAATTACTTTTTTTCTATAAACAAACGCATGCATGCAAACTAACACTACCTTTTCTGCTTTGTATTTTTATACCAATTAGAAAAACTGGCGTCCGCGCTGCTGGCGGAGTCACCGTTGACAACGACGGGCTCGAAAACGTAGTCGAATTCTACAATAAAACCTCGCCAACACAGCCCGCCAAACCAACACAGCCACAGCCACAGACGCTCCACGCACTCCTCAGCCCCACGCCTATCCGCAGCATCCCGGCGTATGATACGCTGATGGGGGCCCTTGACATGGGCACGCCCGAGCAGCGGCCTATTCTCAGAGTCGATGCGGAGGAGGACGAGGCCATCCCGACGCCCCTGCAAACCCGAACATTGAGAGCGCAACTTATGAACGTTACTGAGAAAGAAACCACCATTACCACCGCTGTGGCTGCGCCGGCGCCGGCGCCAGCTCCAGTGCTTGTGCTATCGCAAGCCCCGGTTGCGACAACGGGTGCGAGTAGGAGAATGACTATGGTACAGAGCAAGGTGCAGAGAGAATCGTGGGTCAATTCGCCGGTCAAGAACAGGAGGGTCACTATGGGCGTTACGCAGAAGAGAGCGGATCCAGGCGATGAGCTGAACTTTGGTCCCGAAGATAGCACGGACGAGTTGAATTTTGGACCATTAGAGACACAGTCGAGAAAAAAGTTGAACGGAGCGAGTGCCACGGAGAATAAGGCTGATGAGAATGACAATGAAGAGGAGAGGTATGTGCATGTGGAGGACGCCGACCAGAAACTGAGTCCCGTAGAATCTGCCGCCGACAATGACAATGAGGAGGAGGAGGAGCCGCAGTTCAACCTCAGTGAACCCGAACAAGATGATAACGAGGTGCCCGACCAGGAGCCCGAGCAGGAGATGCCTGAGGATGAGGTGATCCCCGATTCACAAGAGCCAGCTCCTGAAGTGTCTGAAGCAGAGCAGGATCCCACTCTCGAAGACCAGTCGGGCGACCAATCCGTCGACCACTCCGCAGAGCAGCCTCGGCGCCAGAAACAGATAAAAGCCAAGTCAATGTCTGCCGAGCAGCCCATACGGCGCAGCACGCGCGCCACGATTCAGCCCCTGGCGTACTGGCGCAACGAGCACGTCGAGTATGAGTACAGCTCCGGCCCGTTACCCGGCGTCCCCGTGCCCAAGCTCAAAAACGTCGTGCGAGTGCGCCAAACTGCCGAAGAGAAAAAGTACGCCAAGAGGCGCCGCACTAAGCACTCCTTGCCATCACTTCGTCATATTCCGCGCAGCGAGTTGGACCCCTCCGACCGCGGCCAATTTTTCTATTACGATGATGAGAACTACGGCTTCCCCGTCAAGGGCGATTCGTCGGGGCGCTATGGGCCTAGGTATACAGAAAAGGCCAAGGCTAGGGGATCGACGAAGCGCTCGCTGGATGACATGGACGACAACGACGATATCCCCGTGGACGAGCGGCCCAAGGTGGTCCTGATGGGCGATGGTGTGGAACGCACGCAGGAAATAGCCATTTCGCGCCAGTCCATCGAGTGGTCCAACATGGACACAGAGAAGGACAAGTACAAGGTTGGTATGGGGTTGTTTGTTGAACAATCAGAGGGCTCCGTGGATGCCAGTTCGGGTGTCATTTCCATGGCCGTCGGCGGACAGAAACCCGCGAGAACTGCGGGCCCAAGGACGCTGTTTTACCTGGTCACTTCGGGACAGGTTGAGGTCCAGGTGCACGGGTCTGTGTTTCGTGTGGGAATGCTGGGCCAGTTTATGGTGCCCAGAAACAACACATACTCTATTAAGAATGTCGGCACGCATCCGGCTCAGCTCTATTACGTGCATGTCAGTCCACTGGAATCTGTCACGGAGAATGTACAGAGCGGTGGCAGTGCTGCTGCCGAGCATAGCGACAGCGACATTGAATAAATAAAAGTTTCCTTCACTCTTTGTACCATTCTTTTTTTTATCGCTTCTATTTTCTCTTCTTTCGTGACAATTTAACCTTGTCAAAAATATTTTATACAAGATATTTTAATTCCGAACATTGTCTTGCCCTGAAGTGTGGGCTTGACTGCGTTATGACTGGCGGAATGTCCAAAACGGTTTTTTTATACTTGGCTTAGCACCAATGTACATTGCTTAAAATAAACCATATATATAAAAAAGTTTGAAAACATTGGATGTGTGCTTAGAAAAATACACACAATAAAAATGGGTATGCAAATGTTGCGCAGCCCGAGGACATGGAAGTGGATGATGAAGTTGAGAATCCTGAAACAGATTTCCATCCACATGCTGATAGATCGAATATGGACTAGATCATGGTGTATTAAATCAGGTGCCAATATTGACATCTAGGATACATTGTCTGTTTTGCAGTGCATTCGAATGGGCGTACACAAATGAAGAGTACAACAATAACATATCAGAGACTGGGATGTTTGCAGAAGAACAATTTCTCGCCAACGGAGTGCACAACTGGCGGAGTGCACAAGGACGGTGACCAGACATATATATAAGACGAGGCCGGCCCTAGTAGTATTTTAGAAACATCAATAATAAAACCTTTTATAAAATCACCCCTACATTTCTAACACTAGATAACTAGTGCTCCTCACACCCCCTCTTATTATAACACTCATGCAAATTTCTTTATATATAAAATAATTACACCCTTTTTAAAAGGCTTGGCATATGCATGCTCGACAAAATTGGCATGTGCATATTAATAATACCTGGCCAATTATTTGTTTAAAACCAAAAATGTTGGTAGAGTTAATAAAGCAAAATGACAAAAGGCAAAGGCTTTACAATCTTGGGAAAAGTAGACACTATTTATTTTTTAATAGACTGCAAGGTGCGACTTATTGTAGGTAATTTTTTTTCGGAGCGGAAGACATTTAGTAATGACACTGTAGATGCTTGTACGGATGAAAATCTGCAAAAAATGTACAAAATGTATTTATTTGTATAAATTGTTTTATTCACAAAACGTTAACCAACTCTTATATTATTTATATGCTAGTCCATTTAATAAAATAAGTATGCTTGGAGGAAAACGTGTCTTCAGCGACAGCTGTCGTGCTCTATAAAAATGTGGATCTAAATTAATATATTTAAGTATCAAAAATTACTTAAAGAACTGAAAAAAGGGACAGCGCTGCCCACACAGCGCTGTAAACATCATGGTGTTCCTTGATGTCAGCCAGCAATAACAAAAATGTGTATAGCGGCCATGAGAGCAATCTTGATTCTTGAAAAGGGAAGATAATGTCTTGGAATGTGTGTTGGCCACCACAACAGCAACCAGCATATTATTATCAAACACACTAGAGCCACTGCACACCTTCACTTTATAGAACTGAGGACAGGCAATTTCTAAAAAAGAAACAATGGTGGCCAAACGAGGCAGTAACATGCTCTTTTTATGAAAATCACCCTGAACCAAGGGGCTAACAACCAAGGTCTCAGAAACCTTGTCCACCTTTTTTTTATTGGTTGACAGCATATTGCAAATATTTGTGCGGCTTATCCATGTTATTCCAGGCACTATGTTCAACGTCGAGTAGGTCAACGAGTGTATGTGTGGCGGATGCCAGAAAGGTGTAATGACGTCTGAGAGAGCCAAAAATGAGGATCATTAAGCACCCGAAAATTACAAAGCATCAACAGATTTTCGACTTCTTAAGTATGCTGGATGTCAATCACAGTAAATAAACTGATGGGTGATGGCGAGACAAGCTCTTTTAAAATCGGACCTAAAAATTCTACCATCCTCAACTTATCACATAGTTTATGCAAATAGGTAGAGGTCGCATTGGGCAGGCGGATGCTCCTTAGATTTGGGAACCAGTTGCCACAAGCAAGCATCTACATCAAAACGTTGAACAAAACATAATTAAAATCATAAATTATCGGATTAATGCATAAATTCAAATTCTTGGTGACAATCAGAATTACGCAATTAAAATTTTCAGAATATTGAAAATCAAAAAATAACTGAAAACGATTCAAGATAGCATTAATTTTTCCTCCTGCGCACGATCTTTACACAAAAAACAATGAAAAAACACTTTTTGTTCTCTCGTCTTTCAGTTCTTATTTTCCATCGTATATATTATATTAATTTCATTTTTCGGTATGCTTACAATGATGCTACAAGCGCTCCGAGCGCGGCCCCTCCAGCTCGCGCCCCGACATGCTTCGCTCATACACACAACCACGCATAACTTGGCTGGTGCCCCGCTAAGCGCCAAACGTGAGGAGAAAATCAAAGAGCAGCAGAACCGGCGATCCAAATGGGCCGACCTCAAAAAAGGCACGCACCGTATGCGGCTCACCGCCCTGCAGACTGCCAAGGGCGGTGGCGGTCGCAGCAGCGGCGGCCAATCGCAGCACCTAGAGGCACGCATGCGCCGATCGCGCGACCAGCGTGCTAAATTCGACAGCGCGCGGGACCATATTAATCGCACGACGGTGACGCAGGAGGAGCGCGGACTGGCAGAAGCGAGAATCCTGCGGCAGCGGTCGAGGGAGTTGAAGAAAAGGGGCACCCCCGGGTTGGGGTTCACTCCGGCACGGTTCCGGCTTATGCCGGTGGAGAACGAGACCGGTACAGATGTCGTTGCGCTTATGCAGAAGACCGATGGGCGC